CAGTTGGGAACCAACTCGAGTCAGGCCGCAGTTGAGTTTCGTCACTCCGCGTGCGAAAGCTCTTTGAATCATGATTTATTCTCCAACTGCATGTTCCGTCATCTCTCAAAACAATTGTGCGAGAACGGACGCTCAACCCAAGCCGAACATGTTTCACAATAAACCCTCCATTACACCCCTTCCGGCATCTCAAATGTAAGCCTGTTAAAGGCCCCGTGAAGAAACAATCGACACATAGCAAGTACCGTAGGAAATTAAGTAACTAAACACAGAGAATTGCTATGTGCAAGAGTTTGGGTGCGTCCAAAACAGTAGAACTTGGGAGAAGAGGCTTGGTATTATGGGACAGTGCACACGCTAACACATGAGATGCCGAAGGAGGTGCACCCCGACCCGATTCCGCATCCAGCATTAACGTATGTTGGGGGGCCGCCAAGTAGAGCCCAGAGGCTTGGATTCTGGGCGGAATCGTCGCAAGCCACCAAACTGACCAGGTTAGATAAGATCGCCTCTGACCACACCATGGTACGGTGCTCTTGAGCAATCTTGAGGTTATGGTTGACGAATAACGTGAAAACAACCCAGACTAAGGCTAGTCCAAGAGAGAAAGCACGAGGTGCCAAGAGACCGATGAACGCCCTAGTTTTTGATCCAGCTTGCCCAGTTCCCCGCTTGCTTCCCCAGTAACCCCAGAGGGTGGTGCCACTTTTCGTGAGAGGCGTAGTCCACTGAAAACGGCACTCATTGCGGAGGAACGGAGTGAATGGAGGGGAAAGGTTGGGGGAGACGGTGAGAAACCGCGCAGGTCTACGGCGAAATCCCCGCAGAGCCTCCGTCCCGGGACTTTTCAACCCGCATCTGAGGAGGTAATCTCCACGGACTGAAGCGTCCCGTAGTTTTTTGTGCTCATACCCATCACGACTTCCAGAACCACAAGCTGTTCGTTCGCCGTCAAATAGGCAAACTTTCGGCGTCCAAGATTCTTAAATCGGTGCCGCTGCCGCAACATCGGCCCACTCGCCCTCGAGCCAAGCAACGTGAAGAGTGGAGTACGATGAATTTCCAAGACTTGCCAGGACAGGGCCAAGACAAGCTCGGCAAACACCAAGACTCGTTTGTTCGATGACCGACCTATTGATAGCTCAAGTTCCGAACCAGGAACATCCTGTCGACCTTCCTGTGGGCGTAATTACGCGCATGACCTTGTTTCACTACATCATGGAATACTAAAAGTCAGTCGCGATTGACAATAGCAGGCAAGATTGAAGAGGAAGACATGAGCTCGTCTCCCTAGCTCCAGATTATCCCAGCTCGCAACGGCTGAATGCTTGCTTGCTGAGAATACCCCACAACCCGTCCTAAAACGTGGGGCGAATGATGGGCACGCCATGGGGCAAGCTTGGAAGAGTTACGTGAGTGAGGTTGCAGGCAGGTGGACACCTATATTAAGTGTCGGAGCAGCCCTTCTTCTGCTGATAGTAGTTTGTGTCTCTGTGTTTTGTCTTGAGCTGTCCAAGTGAGGCCTTGAGTGAAGATTGTATCGTGTGCTCTGTTAATCATCACATCGTCGCCCATGAAATATACGTGACACTGGGGTATATACTGAACTCCGTCCGTCCCGTGTCCCGACAATGGGCCAGCCTGAAATCCAACCAGCCGAGCCGTGCGTTTTCACCGCCTCCCTCTTCTTTTTAGACAATCTAAGCCTTTACTGACAGCTTCGCAGCACACCCAAGGGTGTGGCAGGCGACCACTTGGAGAAGGCTCACTCGGTTACCGAATATGTCGACCTCAACACCAACCTAGAGGCAAAGTAAGTTGTTGTAGTGACCGTCACTCGTCAACCTCTGAGAACAAGCTGACCAGCCGGCTCTCAGAATCAAGAATCCTCTCAAAGGCATCCCCTACGAGCAGCTCATGCATGACGTCCAAGAATTCGCCGTCGAGAAGGGCCTTGAGGAGCACATTGCGTTGCTGCGCAAGGGCGCCCTTGTTGCTCAAGATCCGACAAACTACAGGTACATCACCGGCCCCGAAGCCCTAGACGAGGCCGAGAAGAAGGCTCTCGAGGAAGAGGTCACGCACCGATGGCGGCTCCCTAAGCGCTTGTTCTTGACAATTGCGACTTGCTCCATCGGGGCCGCAGTGCAAGGTTGGGATCAGACCGGAACTAATGGAGCCAACATCTTCTTCCCTGAAATCTATGGCATCGGTGGCAATAGCGCCCGTGATAGACTTGTAAGTGCTTCTTCTCTAAGTCGAATGTGATGGCTAACAAGCTCTACCAGATTCTGGGCGTGGTCAACGCTGGTCCTTATATCGGTTCTGCGTTCCTCGGTTGCTGGCTGTCGGACCCCATTAATAACTGGCTCGGTCGTCGTGGTGTCATCTTCATCTCCGCACACTTCTGTATCTGGCCTCTCTTCGGCTCCGCCCTGAGCCACAACTGGCAACAGCAGCTCGTAAACCGCCTACTGATGGGCATAGGGATGGGAGTTAAAGCGTCCACTGGTTGGTCAAGCTGTTGTCCCTTGGTACGCGTTCAGAGGGCTAACCCGTCCTAGTGCCGATCTATGCAGCTGAAAATGCACCAGCATCTATCCGAGGAGCTCTTGTCATGTCCTGGCGTAAGTAGCCTTACTTCTTACTACTGGTGACTCGAACAATAGACTGACAGCCCTGCAGAAATGTGGACTGCCTTTGGAATCTTCCTCGGCACGGCATTCAACCTAGCAGTTTATAACACTGGATCCAACAACTGGAGATATATGCTTGGTAAGTAGGCCCAGGGCCCCCCCGGGTCGTCTCAAGAACTCGCCACTGATAATTTCCCCAGGCGCTCCTTTCATCCCCGCGGTTCCTCTGGTTGTCATGATCTATTTTTGTCCAGAGTCACCACGATGGTACATGAAGAAAAACAAATACCCTAAAGCCTGGGAATCGATGAATGTGCTTCGAAACAATCCGATCCAGGTCGCCCGAGACATCTACTATATTCATGCTCAGCTCAACATCGAGAGGCAGCTCACCCAGCACAGTACCTACATCTCCCGCTTTACCGAGCTCTTTACCATTCCTCGAGTCCGACGCGCAAACATTGCCGCCTTTACTGTCATGATTGCGCAGCAGATGTGCGGTATTAATATCATCGCCTTCTACTCGACCACGATCTTCAAGGAGTCCGGGTACACTGAATTCCAGGCTATGCTTTGCTCTTTTGGCTTCGGTCTCGTCAACTGGCTGTAAGTAATCTCAAGAATTATCTCCTGCACTTGCTGGTCTATCTCAGGAGCAACATTGCCCAATGACATTGTGTTGGGAATAATTACTCCTAAGCCATCGCTTTTGTCCCCATAAATGAGAAATACTAATTCACGCAGATTTTCGTTTCCGGCATTTTGGACCATCGATACCTTTGGCCGCCGCTCATTGCTTTTGTTTACGTTCCCGCAAATGGTAAGTTCTCGTGGTGTTGTGAGGTATGCGAACTATTGCTGATATTGAGGATCGCAGATGTGGACTTTGCTAGCAGCTGGATTATGCACTCTTTTGCCAATATCGACGACGCGGACTGCGTTGGTCGCCCTGTTTGTCTTCTTGTTTGCTGGTAAGTGGATTGATATTACCGGCGGATTCTGTCAGGCAGACAAAACTAAGGTGAACCACAGCCTTCTACTCACCCGGCGAAGGTCCCGTGCCCTTCACATACTCGGCCGAAGTCTACCCCTTGTCTCACCGTGAGGTGGGAATGGGGTTTGCCGTCGCGACTTGCCTCTTCTGGGCCGCCATCTTGGGCATCACATTCCCCTTCCTGCTGGAAAGAGCGGGCACCGTCGGTGCCTTTGGCTGCTATGCCGCCTTCAACGCCGTCGCGTTTATCATGATCTTCTTCCTGGTGCCCGAGACAAAGCAGCGTACCCTCGAGGAGCTCGACTACGTTTTCGCCGTGCCCATGAAGAAGTTCGCTTCTTACCAGTTGGGCACTGCGTTGCCGTGGTGGTGCCGACGATGGTTGCTGTTCCAGCGTGACGCTGTGCTGACGCCATTCTACCACAATGACAATGAAGACGAGCAAGAGCACCAGCACCAGCAGCAGAAGCAGACATCGCATCACAGTAGCGATATCCCATTCGTTCATACGTCAGCTTACGAGTCGAAGAAGCTTGACTAAGCCGGCCTAAATGGTCAACGTTGGGAAATGTGCTCAGCGAAAAGCCTAGGTCTGTAAGTCGGTGGCAGCATGCTCTTCTCCAAGAAAATTGCGAAAAGACGACTTGTCCCGGTGATCTGGATGACTATCATTACTAAGGTAGTCAAGAGGAAGTGTTGTTCTGGATGGGAGCTTGGTCAGCAGTTTCGTCTCTCTACGTCAAAATCTTGATGAATAATCCAACACCAACTGAGTAGGTTGTCGCGTCCGTTGTGTGTAAGTACGCCGTGCTGCCAAGCATGAATTAGTATACCCTCATTGGCATTGCATTTCTTCGTATCCGCCGCTTCAATTTTTCATGACTATTGGATTTGTGATGCTTCAGCTGTTCGAGAAAGTGACTCCTGTACCATGGATGAATGAAGGGTATGTGTCAATTGTGCAGTTCCTTCCCCGCGAATCGTTGTCGACAACGCCAGTGAGTAAGGTGCTTAAGTAACTCGAAAATTGAAACGATTCCAGAGGGACGATAGGCAATGCTGCAATGCTGAGGACTGAAGACATCTCAAACACCTTTGCTTTCAGGTTGATGTCGAAACGCCGGGCTTTGTGAGTGTTACTGCTTGAAACTGGCGCCTACTCGGCTGACGCGCGGCATGGAATACTTTCTTCTCTGGAGCATTCTCTGAGCATTGATATGAGTTATTGCGCTCGACAGAAATTGCGTCCTGCCCGCGGTGCCATCTGGTCCACCCGATGCGAAGACGTTGAACCGATAGACTGGGTTAAAACATGAGACAAGGTAATTTCGAACTTGAAAGTGCTTGGCTTCGCAGCTTCGTCCGTTCGAAACAAAACTTACCCGAATCCTTGAAGTCCTAGTTGCTGACTGGCTGAAGCTAGGCACAGCTACAGGGATAAAGATCCAGCTTAGCGCGTGCCCCAGCAACAGCAACGCAATCACGACCCCGCTACTCAGCTCCAAATCATGTCTCACTGCGTTGAGCTCAGCCAGCCCATGATGCGACTCCCGGATGTTGGACTTAATCATTTTCCTGCTTTCAATGCTCGCGTTTCCTGGGCCCAATTAGCTGGAAGCCTCGTATTCCATCATCTCACCATAAAAATCCCATCCATCTTTTCTCTTTCGATCATTTCCAAACCGTCTTCTGCTTGATTCAACAGTGTCCACCCCTCAACCGTCATCTTACGTCATCTGCGTGTACATCACCTTTCAGCCAAAGGCACGTCTGCAAGCCTCAGACTTCACAACACTTCCACTTCCAGTTCTTTGTTTGCAAGTTGATTTTAACATCAAACATTAGCCAAGATGGAGCACTGGGGGAAATTGAAGCGTCGCACGAACGAGATCCTGTCATCGGCGCACAAGAACATGCCGAACATGCCAAACATGCCTAGTCTCCCCACGCCGGCGATGCCAAAGTTGAAGTCCGGGTCATCCATGAAGGGCACCTGGCAACATGTCCCACTCCCGCCACTTCCTCGCTCATCCCACTCCCTCAATGTCGTTGCCGGGTCCGCCTACATCTTCGGCGGCGAGGTCGAGCCTCGCAAACCCGTCGATAACGACATGCACATCATCACTCTACCCTTTAGCGGAGCCCCAGCCGACTACTACAATGTGCCCGCAAAACCATCGACGAAGACACAGCTTGTAGAGACAATCGAGCCAATCGCCGAAGAGCTCGAAGTCACAGAACCTAACGAGCCACTGGAAGAGGTCTCGCTCTCGTCCCCCGCAGCCCGTGAAGCCGAAGCCCCCTTCAAGCCTGAGGCTAGCTCATCCGACAAGGGCAAAACCACCGTCGAAGTGCCCAGTCCGCGGGTCGGTCACGCCACCGCCGTAATCGGAAGTCGCATCTTCCTCTTCGGCGGCCGCAGCGCCGCCTCCGAGACGCTCGACGAAGGTGGCCGAGTCTGGGTCTTCGAGACCAAGACGCACACCTGGTCGTACCTCGACCCAGCTCCCTCCAGCCACGTTCCGCCCGCGCGCTCGTTTTTCTCGGCCGTCGCGACCGAAAAACCGCGCGACTTCGCCAGCAAGTCCGCCCGACGCAACGAGACGTGGAAGGAGTGGGCTGAGGGCGACTCCGCCGAGATGGGCATCCCGCAGCGCCCAATTGCCGGGAGCGTGGCGGCGTCCGCTACGGACGAGGAGGATGCCGGGTATGGCACGTTCATCATACACGGTGGGGGCTTGCGCGACGGTAGCCAAGCGCGCGATGTTTGGGCGTTTGATGTGCGGAGTCACATTTGGAAGGAGTTGCCACCTGCGCCGGGTGTAGGAAGGGTTGGGATGGCTCTCGCGATTGCCAAAAGCAGGTTGTATCGATTTGGCGGTTTCGATGGCGAGGGAGAGCTGGGGGGCCAATTGGATGTGCTCGAGTTGACTGTGGACGAGTTTGATGACAATTTGTCCAAGGGCGAGGTCGGCGTCTTCGCCAGAGGGGACTGGATCAGTCTCATCCCGGCATCCCAGGAAGGCGAGGCTGGCAAGCTGGTTGCGGACGAATGGCCTGGCAACCGATCCGTCGGGGGCATGGAGCTCGTCATGGGCGGCGGAAGACGGGAATACCTCGTCCTCTTGCTTGGTGAGAAATCGCCTAGTGGTGCCGTTCATGAAGCAGCTGGCCAGTTCTGGGGCGATGTCTGGGCATTCCAAGTCCCACCATTGGGCATGAGCACTGCAAGCGTCAAGGATGCTGTGTGGCAGGTGATGGGCAGGAAAACTGGCGAAGGTAAATGGACAAAGATCACTCCTGCGCCCTTCGATGAAGAAGAGGACATGGATATTGAAGGCCTGGCGAAAGGGGTTGGTTTGCAACTGCGCCCATGGGCGACTTGGAGGAAAATGGGATTTTCCTGTTCGGTGGCGTTAATGAGAAGAATCGCAGACAGGGCGACGGCTTCATTTTCAGACTTGGTTGATCTTGAGATAGGCTTGGTTTCATTTGGCGACTGGGGAAGAGAATCAGAGTCTTTAAACCAAGACATTGTACAAAATCGTGGATGGATGTCATGGATATGTCACTTGGGCCAAAAATCTGGAGAAGGTTACTGCATCTACCGTCTTCTGATCAAACTTATTCCTGCATGACTGCTGCCATTTGAGGCATTATATTGTCCATAGTTAAGGCAACAACATGCCGTGGTGGTCGATGAGCTGCCTTCATAACCTCCTCCGTATCTTCGAAGTAGGTGAAATACGAATGCTTATGCTACCTAATTAACACCGATTTGCCATCGCCCATTCTTGAGCTTCAAAGGATCGCCTGAACCTAGTGAGAGTGACGAGCGTTGGCATTGTGCCAGCCGTTTGATGCAAAGCAATATCTTCAAAATTAGTAAGGTGGAAAGAGAAGGACTCTAAACACCTCAAAGCCGGCGGGCTTGAAGTCTGTTCAATGCATTCACCATCCTCGTCTGCGGGCTTGCCGACCCACACATACACGCATCGGTCGATCAATCTATAGCCACTGATTATTAGTGTACAGATAGTAGATGCAACCGCCATGGTCTCCAACGAGGACCGGTATCGGTTTAATCTCTTAATCAATACAGCGTACGGCTCGTGGTGTATGTACAATTCTCGTTCTTTCCCATGTTCGCGTGCTCCCCTTCCACTGTGCCAGCTAGTCTCCCCTCCTCACAGATCCGACCGCGTAGTCTCAATCCCCCACGGCTCACTCGTCAAGTTGGTCAACCCCCCGCTATGCTCACACGTCTGGCGACCGCTCAAAGGCCCCGGCTTCGGCACCTCGACATTGCCAGCCCCGCTCGCGCTCTCCCTCAACGCCTTGATTAGTTTCTTGGTGGTCTCGGGTGTCAAGTCCTCGTAGTAGTCGTCGTTGATCTGGACCATGGGCGCGTTGACGCAGGCGCCCAGACACTCGACCTCGATGAATGTGAAGAGCCCGTCGGGCGTCGTCTCGCCCTGCTTGATGCCCAGCTCCTCCTTGATGGTCTTGACGATGACGTCGCTGCCGCAGCCGCCGAGTTGGCAGGGTGTCTGTGTGATGGATAACTTGATTAGCAACTGTTATCCAACCGGGCTGGACGGACTGCCAGCTTCTTCCTCTTTCGTACCGTAGTGCACGCCTGAACGTGGAATTTGCCCACGGGCGTCCGGTTGTACATGGTGTAGAACGAGGCTACCTCGTAGACGCGCATAGGGGGCATGTCGAGGATGCGGCCCACCTCGTTCATGACGGAGATGGAGGTGAAGCCGTGCTGGCGCTGGCCGAGGTCGAGCAGCGGCATGACGGCGGCCTTCTTGTATTGCGGCGGGTAGCGCTTGAGGATCTCGGTGATGACAGCCTCATTTTGCGCAGTAAATTTGAAAGGAATGTCGGGGTTGTTATCGGGTGTGTTTCGGTGCTGTGACGACGTCGTGTGGTTAGCTATACCATTGCTGTTGTGTCTTCTCTCCCTGGCATGCTGCTCCATCAGGAACAAGGACGTACGACGTTGAGCGAGTCGCTCCTGCGTGCGCTCCCTGCCGTGAAGGCTCGAATGTGTAGTCGCGGAGCTCGACTCGCTTTGCGGACAGCTGTTCTCAGCAAGAATGGGCTCAGTTTGGACGCCATGCTTGATTCAATGGCAGAAGGAAATGAAGCTGTTCTCTGTCAATTCAAGGTCAACTTGCTTGCAAATTGATGACGCTGAGGAATCCTGGCTAGGTCATTGGTCGGGCCTCTGGAGCCGGCTCACCGGCAAAACCCCGGCTGTAAACACCAACGCCTAAGACGCCGGCTATTCCGGCTATTACGGCTAGGGAAGGGTCCAGTAAGGATCTAATTGGGTTCTGGAAATGTTGAAGAACTTCGTGGCATTGTAGCAATGAATATCACTACATTGTAAAACGTGTTTGGTCAATTGTGCTCATACTCCTTGATGAAACGGAATGTACAACTAAAGCTGCGGATATAATAATCGAAGCTGGCCTGTTGCTCTGGTGTTCAGTGTGAATGACTACTGGAATACCGACTGATCCTCCAGACGGGACAATCGCAATTCAGACATGGGAACCATAAAAGTGTCATACCCTGTTCAACAACTTCAGTAACGGAAATATCCGAACCCTCACTGCTTGACGATCAAGATCCGCGCGCATCCGTGTATTGCAAAGCGCTGTCTCCATGCAGCGGCTGGAAAAGACCTCGTGTGTTAGGGAGGTTGCTGAACCATTGCCGCAGAAACTAATCGGCAGGCTCTGTGACAGCTTCCTCCGGCTTCTTCTCATCCGTCCCATCTTCGCCGTTGACGGGATTCGACTCTTCAGAGACTGGAACGGGCTCTGTCTTCACCTCAGTTCCGACGGTGCTTTCCACCAGCTTCCTTACGGCTTCGACAGTAGCAGCCGGGCCACCAGGCTCGGCCAGCAACACCTTGCCAGCTTTATCAATGGCAAACACCCCACGCTGAGTGCCCTTGGGTTTCTTCTTCAGCCCGATGGCATCGATCAGGGTGGCGCTGGGGTCGCAGAGCAGCGGGTAAGGCAGCTTCTGCTTTTCCTTGAAGGTAGTGTTGGCCTTGGGAGAATCCGTAGACAGCCCGTAGATTGCGAGACCATCCTTGGTGAATGGTTCGTACGAGTCTCGGAAGAGGCAGGCCTGGTTGGTGCCTTAATGATATCAAGTCAGTTTCCAGAATGGCGACGCCATACAACTATGACAGCTGCGTGCAAGTGGAAGTACAAGGCGAGATTTGCTGCTTACATCCAGGAGTAGAAGCCTTGGGGTAGGTGAACAGGGCAACACCAGATTTGCTCTCATCCACGAGGGCCTTTAGGGTCGTTTTAGTGCCCTCGTTAGTCTCAATCTCGCCACCGAAGCCGTCAAGAGTGATAGTGGCGCCGACGACAGGCTTTGCAGCGCCATTGGGCTCGCTGGATTTGGTCGGCGTGCTCTTGACGGTTTCCTTAACCTTGGCAACTGCCTTGGAGACCTTGGAAGTCTTCTTAGCAGGCGGTTCTGGTGCCGGCGCAGGAGCTTTGCGCTTCCGGAGCTCGACGGGCATGGCGTGATACGTGGTGCGGAAATATTACAATATTGATATTTCAACTACTCTGTGGGAGTCGCGACAGGACGGCGACCATGTGAGGCCAAAATACGGGCAGTTTGGATGGGTAATGGATGGGAAACCGATGCGACTGACGTTTGGAGGTGGTGAGCTCGAGGTCGACAGATGTTACAGGTAAACAGATGGCCGCTCACGACTGTTGACCAATGGGGTGCTGGCATCTCGGGAGCTTCTTACAATGGACAGGGATGGGAGACGTTGTCAATAATGCCGACATGGGCACCCGCTACGTCCGTCCGGCAGCACGCATAGCCAACAACGCCCGCCGCTCGAGCCATTTCTAGAGGTTCATCTGTGCAACGGGTGGGCTGTGGCTCGTCTCAGCTGTATTATTAATAAAACGTGTCTCGAGCTAATGAGGTTAGACAACGGCATATCAAATTTGGCAAGAGTTAGGATCGCAGAGAGGTCCCGTCTCAAGCTCCAACTCCACATTTTGGCGGTTTGCAGAACGGCAGGCAAGCAGGGACTCAGGTTAGGACCACAAGCTACGCTCATGACAATTTGCAGGCCAGTGAAACATTTCTAGATTCATCCGCAAGAAGCCATAATTGGAGATATCTCGCGGACACAACGCAACTCAACTGTCATCGTGCCTTCCAGGCGGGCGACTGTGGGTCAGACCGTCTCTTCTTGCCACTAAAATTACACTCTTGCTGCGTTCTTTACCAAGCCAACGTCGTCCCGTGTCTTTTTGGCCAGTGAAGCAACTATGTAGATTTTTGAGTCAGCTCAGCATTAGCGTACGTCTTTTGAACACCAGCGAAGTGCTTGTGTATCCACCATGACCTGCTTCAGGTAAGCCTCAGATATTTTGTGCATAGTCGGACACGCCTGCGACGCGACAGCGTTCTCGATCCCCAGCTGCTTTACAGAGCATGAAATACTTGTATTTTGGCTATGAGCGTTGCCGGGAGGTCGCCAAGAGGTGATTTCCGTAGAGTATCCAGGTGCTTGCCGCCGAGTTGGACCTGGTGAGACCAAACGCTAGGATGCATTTTGGCTCAGGGGAGAGGAGTCACTTGTCTAAATTCCTGCCAGCATCAACAGGAATCTATATAACACCAGCCCTACCAAAACCCTCTGGCATGTGATTATAGCCTTCTGGTGCTTGTGGCTGGGGTCTCCACGAGCTCATACTAATACTGGCCACAATGGTCACGTCCAGATTCAAAATGGTTGCGTTCCTGGCATTGTCCTCGAAATAATACTGATGAGGTTAAAAAAATGAGAGGCGTGGTCGAATCCATTCATTGAATAGCGAGCTACGCAAAAGGATGCGTACTATTATGGCCTATATAATTCCCAATACATATCCTGTTATTGAAACATATAATTAATCGAGTAGCTGTGGCTCCTCTCGAATCTCGTAGCAAAGCGGCAGGCTTGGGCTGAGCAGGATTCTTCCTTCTGACACTTCATGCTATCTTCGGAATACTAGCTATTCACTGCAGAATAGGACCAGTTCGGAATAGCATCGCATGACACAGTGTCGACCTCGATAAAGACGGGTTTCTTCGCCTAATATCTTTGACGGCCTCGGTGATCATACAATTCATTAAGAAGTTAGAGTATATGGCACTTACAAGTTTAGAAAGAAGCCGAAGTCCTCTTGCACAGGAAGAAGCTGCCTTGGTGAAGGTCTCACCCTTCTATGCGTTTCCATGTAGGTCATCTTACTAAACGAAGCCAGCATGTCCTCTCCAGGCTTAGTGGGGTACTCTTTGAATATCGGGTTCCAAACATTCCTTCGGCAGTGTCCAATTTTATCATATCATGTAGGCTTTTTTGGTCGAGGGAAGAGACTAGCTATATTCACAAGACTTATAGAAAATAAGCTAAAGTTCAGTTTACGTCTTTATTTACTGGGAGGCTCTTTACAGAGGCTAAAACGGATTACCATATAATAGTTCATGCTGCTTAGACCAGAGAGGTTGTATTTTATCGCAAGGCGGTAGCTACAAGGAAGTTAAATGATCATTACATATATGTTATCAGATGTCATTTAGGGTTATGTCTGAACGCTATTCTAACCCCTAATACAGTATAAAGCGCGGAAAACAAACTATTTCCGTGTATTTGCAATATTAGCAATAGCTTTAATAGGATAATCCTCTCAAATGCACTATTCTAGTGATTATAATCTCACATATGTTTCATAATATGTGTAGCTTGAGATAATAGAGAAACTTGCATATAACGAGGCTTGGATTCTCTTGTTCAATGGGTCAAACACACCACGTGGAAGTTCCACCCTGAAGCCTGGAGTTTTGAGATAGCAAGGCTATTCTTATTGAGTGAGGATATCCCTATTCTTCTCTTAGCTTCAGGACATGACTTAAGTTGAATCAACATCTTATCTTAAGCAATACTCAAAGAAATTCCCGATTTTCAACTTATGGCTAAGGTATATAAGTCCTTGAGTCAATAATGTCGAATATCACATGTGTCCAATCGAGTAGTCGGAAGTGCGTAAGATTGTATATGAATGAGGTGTATTGTTCTCTGTGTTCTCTGTTCTGGCGAACTCCCGTTGCTCTGTCTTTTATAGATTCTTTAGAACATATCGGAGGTACATTGTTCAGGTATCTGACCCTTAAGTGGACAGTAACTTTGGTGTTACTTTTGAGAAAAGGGGGTCCCCTCGCCTGCTGAACTTTAAGTGACAATAGTCTTCTCCAGTGCCATATCATTTCTGAACCTAGGAACCAGGTGCCCTATCTGACAATACTGAGCACCAGATTTATATGAAGGCCAAAAAAAGATGTTTTTTTTCTTTCTTTATGATGGTTACTTCTGGTTTTGGGGCGGGGTTTTGTAGCCCTGTACTTGGCCGTACCTTCCCACCTAGTCCTTTCCACATAATGACCGCCCTCGGTAATTTTACCAAGGACCTTGTGGTAAATCTCATCCTCACGCTTCCGATCTCTTCACCTCTAGATATCTCATCCTGACAGCTTATCCTCCGAGTCCTTCATCCACAACGTACACAGCAGGTGACTCCACCTCCCTGATGCCGGGCTCACAATTACCACGGCCCTAGGCTATCCATAGCCTACGAGAGTTCCCGCCTAGTCTCCAAAGTGCTTCTTCAATGTGACTGTCGACATGACGTATTCTGAGTGAGGTGGAGAAGGGCTGAGGTATTTGCCTCTAGGTATTGGCCTGACGTGACGGTGGTATAGAGCGCCGGCTTAAGGGATCTGAGGTCGACAGCAACGACCCTCCACTGTAGAATCATGCTGTAAATAACGATAGTGAGGTCCTAAATTGATAAAACGAGTGGGTTGAATAAGTGACAATGCCTTAGAAGGCTAATGATATTTCGCCTCATACTGAGCACCAGATTTATATAATAATATTAAATACGCCGTAGGTGTTAACCCTCGGTACCTCTACAAGTACTCCCTTAAGGGGCTATAGATATAGCGGGCCCTTAAGCCGCGTCGGGCGGTTATACAGGTAAACTTGTAGCCAAACGACTACTAAACCTCCTGTCCCTCCCTAAGTCTGTGCTACAACCCCTGCCTGAACTACCAATAAGTGTGGTAATGTGGCACTTAAATTCGTCCTCAGGGGTGGGATGCTGCTGATGTGCAGAAGATGCTCGACTATTTTTTTGTCGCGACAAGTCGTAGTATCTGCTAATTGAGGTTCTCGTCGAGCGTATACATCTCAACCATACGCTCAAGTGGATAGACCGTAACGTGGTCAGACGCTCGCAAGAATCGCGGCGAGAGGGCGTGCTGCGCGCCTTCTATCGTGAGGGGACGGGTTCGCCGACGAGCGTTATCGGAAAGGCGAGGTCCGATAAGGGGTCGGATTAACGATTCGAATTCTGGACCGGCAGATTTATATATGAAGGCCAAAAAAGGATGTTTTTTTTCTTCCTCTCTGATGGTTACTTCTGGTTTTGGGGCGGGGTTTTGTAGCCCTGTACTTGGCCGTACCTTCCCACCTGACGTAGGGACGTAAATAACTATTTATAACAGGGAGTAATACTCTGGACTAAATATATCCTTATACACCTTGATTAGTTATATGTAGTGCTCCTGGAAACTGTAGCTATCCTTCTCTCTAAAGTTGGTTCCCCAAGTTTCATTTTCGAAGGTGTGGGAGTTTCCACGCCAGTTGGAGTATAAACAGCTACAAGCTCACCGAGGGTGATCTGCACTCATTGATTAAACAATAAATAGTCGTTGGCCAAAGGGAGAGCCTACAACTAACTACACGGCAGAAATAATGATCGAAGGAATATAGTTATAACCCGAACTAGTTGCGAAGCTACGAACTATATGAATGTATTTACCCCTGGATCCTCAAAAACCAACCTACGACCCCTAGTAATTAATAATACGAAGTATCCACACCTCTGTTTTATAGTCATATACTTATACTGCGGAACCCGTTTTGATCCGTGCTTAGCTGTATATCGAATCGGCACTATCGGAGTTATTACCAAGTGCGGTAACTGGTTTCTCCAAGCAGATCGTTTATTCTCTCTCGATTAATTGTTCTATCTGGTATATACAAAGAATCATACATGATTAGTATTATATGGGGTTAGTTTTTTCAATTAAAATGAGCAGCACCAGCATACAACTAGCGAAGGTCATAACATGTCAAAGTGCACACACACACTTTGCCACGGGATCCCAAGCTACTCCTGTCGACGCGGTTGCCAGACTTTCAAGCAAAATTGTAGCTAGAAAAAGAATAAATTTATCAAGATAGGACTGTCAGTCGGCTTCGATATTGTCGTCGCTCTGTGTTGAGACTTCCGTAAGCCTGCTAGAGATCTCTGCACAAGCAAAGTACGCGGATATGATACAAATCAATTGGCCCCACTACAGTGTGTCAACATAGGCGATTGTTCCCAAAGTAAAGAGAAACAAACCGTGACGGGGGTTCAAAAATCGTGATTCGTATCAAAGAAGGGACGGTGTTGAATGCGAGAGGAACGTGGACAATTCCATACCTAAGTCCGAACCCTGCGCAAAGACTGTACTTACTAATACCAAAGAAATAATCAAAAAAGGGAGTAGAAGGCTTCTTACGGCTCAGAGCACCGGGAATGAGCGAGTGTGTGTGTGTGTGCGTGTTGGGGGTGATACAGAATAGCCTAGTGGCAGTGCATTGCCTGGTCAAAACAGCCCATTCATCGCTTGCGGTCCGGGTCTTCATGAGTCTCGCCACCGCCCTAGTTAAAATAAAGCTCATTCACCTGAAGACTGCAGCCGATTTGTTTACTTCAATATATTTGCCCCAGTAGCAATTTTCGGCCCCCAAAGTGGTACTGTGGCTTGACTGGTCTCGACAGGGCAGCCAGACACGAGACTGTTCGACCAGCCAGATGGGGCAACAAATTGAGTGACTTCACCAGCCCAAGGGCAAAGCACCGATTGGACGCAATGTTGTCGTCCGCATGCAAATTTACGCCACAACCCAGTTTAGGGGGTATAATCAGGGCACCAGCCACACCGCTGCTCCCCAGTTTCTATACCACTCCAAGATAGCAACGTGTGTGCCCGTCACACCCATGGATCACGCAAATGATCTCGCGATGATCCCGACTCCGCTCTTGCAGCTGCACTCATCCAGCTACACCCTTGTTATCCCTCCGTTGCATTGCTGCTTTAAGAGAGATGAGGTATTTGGGGGTAAAGGAGCGTGCGAGGTTGCACGGCTGCGAAGAAGGAATGCATTTGGAATCAATAGTTATCCGCCATCCAGACTCCAGTCTACGCCACTCATCTCTATAGAGCCCTTAGGTTTCCCATCATCTCGCGGAAATTGACGAATGACCTCAGAATCACCAGCATCCGCATCTCTCCAATGCCAAGACCCAGTTGATCCTCCCTTCCGCGAGCTTGACTTCCTGTAGGAAATGAGAATTCGCAGGATCATTCCGACGCAACGTTTCCAGACTTATTATTCGGCCCGCTTAGTAGTGGTCGAGGCCCTCACAGGGTAGAGTCCGAAGAAGTATCCCCCGAAGCCCCTCATGTACCCCGTACAATCTAGGTACGTAAGGGAACCTGCGGTCCGCCATCATGGGGATTCATAGAAACCCTTGTCGACAGCCTCGAAAAAGCTTGCACATGTTCGTAATATAAGGTCCTCACACGAAATCCGATGCGTCTTCGGAAATTAGGTTTAGATCACTCATGGCCACTCTTCCAACTCGCGCTTCGAGACACTCACACTCCGCCAGACCATTTGCTATCACAACTTCCCTCCCATCCGGTCAGACCTAGCGAATATTCCAATATTCCTTTCAGCAAGAACACCCTGTTTCATCAAAAAATCATTCGTCGACTTCAAGCCTGCCTTGGCATCAACAAGGAGGCCGAGTCCCGCTGCTGAGGCGTGCTGAAGCCCGACCCTTCACCCCTGATTTACCCAGAACGGATTTTCCAGAGCTTTCGGTGTGACAGTGAGAGCCATGAAGACCACTTGATCCGAGGCAACCATCATTCAGACTCGGATTGGGTGATGGTAATTTGAGGGCGATTCAGCAGAAGTTGCAGAGCGAAAAGGGGGTTGCGTCGTCGTTGCAAACACGTTCGATCTGCACACCATATCTCTCGCACTCGCAGCGGCTCACGGTAGCATACAGGAGATTATGCGATACATCTGACTACATGAAGCTGCATTTCACCACATGTCTGTGGCATCGGCGTGACTTACTCGGAGTGCTACGACGATAGGTGCGAGATTGCCGATCTCGAATTCCCAGCTAGCTCGTGAGATCTGACTGATAGTAGTATGCGTAGACTCAGCTCGTGAGAATCGATCTCTTTTCCTCATACTGAGAGCTATTGTGGGGGAGTTGCTGCGTTTCAGCAGATGATGAATGGACAATCCAAGAGGCCGACTTTTGAGTGGACGTAGACCTTGTTAAACGAGGTTTATAAGCAGCGAAACCCGCCTTTGACTTACCGTTTATCGTGCCTAACCCAGATTAAGTTATGTTTTTAATTTTACTAGAGCAGATAATGAACTAGATGATATCGTAATTAGTCAAATGAAAGATAATGGGCCTCAAAGCTTTACAAACATCGGTGGCCCTCACAACCTAGCAGCTGCGGCAGAAGTGTTGCACGCACTGGACAGTAATGACAACGGCGAGCTGCAATAAATATTGGAAGACTCCTGATAATGTGAGTTCTGTAATCCTGTAGTATTTAACGCATAACACCGGTTTATTTCTTCGCGGTGCTGGATAGAGCGCCCTCGAGAACTGCTCTTGAACAACCCATGGCTAGCGCAATACGGCAGCACAGAGCGACAAAACTGGATGACAATGCCTCAGTCGTTTCAAGTCTCAACATTCAAGACCTCTCAGTATCTGCCCGAACAATTTATGGTACCCGAGGTATGTTCTAAGCCTCTACAAGGTTGAGTCACAAGAAAAGACTTGGCTTTTTGAGTGAATGAATCATATTCTGATTTAATAGCTCACAAGGTCTCGAAAGATGCAACACCAGCCTGAGGAGTGGCCGCGAGTGCTTGCTATGAAACGATCTACCATTGCGCAAGTTCGAGTGGGAAGAATGGGAGAAGCCGAAATAAATACATTTGAGTCACACGTTTGAGCCACGAAAAAAGCGCAAGACTGATTGGCTATGACTGGACATTGTCAAAACGGAGCGAGCTTCTTGGTAATTGCCCATGCAGGACATTCCAGACTTAAGCCATGCGTTGAAGCATGAAGCATCGATCTGCGAAGCATAGGGTTTCTTCTCATATGCCTTGTATGTTTTGTCGTAAGAGTATAGTCACTTGCCTTTTAAACCAAGCTCATCGGGGGTGGCCGACAGATTTCCCCATGTGGAGATACTGAATCTACTCATAATCGACGAAGGTCTGCTTTGCTGGAAGTGAAGAATCTATGAGTCATTCGGCCTGCCTGTCGGTCAGAGAAGCATGGGAACCGTCGTCATCCGTCGGACTTCAATGTCTAACTTCGGAAACGGTGATGCTGCGAAGTCGTTTAGCTGGATGTTAGTTGTCGAGTATGGGGGCTTAAATGATATCAGAAGGATATTGCCAACTTGCTGTAATGACTGCTAAGTCAGCATGGAGGAAAGAAAATTACGGGCGAATGAAGCTCACAGCAATGTACATAGTAGTGGAGGGCGCTAGGAAGTTAGTGCAACGGTATCCCTACCTCAGGGCTGAGCGCGGTAGCAGCCGGACGTCATCGGATCCACCCCCGCTGATGGTGCGCCTTCTTGTTGACGAGAACAGAAGATTTCGTGTAATCCGCCTGAACGCTTGAGGTGTTGGAAATTACTAATCAATCTTGTTCAGTATTTTCCAGCTGGGAACGTAAGTCACTGCCCCGCAATGAACCCCAACGGTAAACGGATTATCCAGCTCACTTCGCCAACCTACCAACACAAACATCCCAACTATGCCTTTTACCGAGGAAGAATGGGACGAGATATCCCAGGATATCCCCAGCCCCGAAGATGAATTCATCCAGAAATACATCGAAGGTCGCGAGGCCCTGATAGCGCAAGAAGATAAGCAGCGCAGCGATGCCTCATTCCGCGCATCACTCTCGCCCATCGCCCAGAAGGCCTGCGACATCGTCTCGCGCATCCGTGACGAAGAGAAGTCGTCAATCTGGACGCCTCAGCTTGAAGACTCGCTGGCCAGGACCGCCGAAAACATGACGGTCTACCCGGGGATGATGTTTTCACTGTCTAAGTCACGCATGGAGTCGACCAAGCTGTGGAAAATCGTGCGCCAGATGCCTAAAGGAGCCTTGTTACATGCCCATGCGGATGCTATGGTCGACTTTGATTTTCTACTGGATGTGCTGCTGAAGACGCCAGGGATGCACATCCAATCTTCCAGTCCTCTGACAGATGCCAAATCCCGCGCTGGGGCGAAACTGCTCTTCCGGTTCCGAAAGCAGGCGCTAACAGAGGGCGATATTTGGTCCGACAGCTACAAGCCCGATACGCAAATCCTGCTTACCCAGGCCGCTGATGCGTTCCCGGAACGGGGAAGACCAGGGTTTCTCAAGTGGCTGTACAGCCGATGTACACTATCCCGCACAGACGCCATTTCGCAGCACCATGGAGTCGACGAGATATGGCAGAAGTTTATTGCATGCTTCCGTGTCGCCAACTCTATCATCCACTACGAGCCTATCTACCGGGCGTTTCTGCGCCGCCTGATGAGCCAGCTGAAAGCCGATGGAATCAACTATTGCGAGCTCCGCTTCTCGTGGAAGCTCGACTACTGCCTCCAGGACAGCGAGACGCCCGAGACAGACTACACGGCCATGATGAGCACGCTTGACGAGGAAGTCAAGAAATTTCAAGCTACCCCTGAGGGCCAGGGGTTCTGGGGCATCAGGACCATCTGGGCTACGATCCGGTACGACGCTACACGCAATATTATACAGGACATGGACAACTGCATCACCACCAAGATAACGCATCCTCACATGATCGCCGGCTACGACATGGTCGGACAAGAAGACCTCGGCCGTTCCCTCCGCGACATGCTCCCCGAGCTCTTATGGTTCCGTAAGCAATGCGCCGACGAAGGCGTCAGCATTCCCTTCTTCTTCCACGCGGGCGAGTGTCTCGGCACGGGCAACACCACCGACCACAACCTCTATGATGCCATCCTCCTAGGCACCCGGCGCATCGGCCATGGCTTCAGCCTGTACAAGCATCCCTTGCTCATCGATCTGGTCAAGGAGAAGAAAATCCTCATTGAGAGCTGCCCTATCAGCAATGAAGTCCTCCGTCTATGTGGGTCCGTTATGAGCCACCCACTACCAGCGCTACTAGCCAGGGGCGTGCAGTGCTCCCTCTGCAACGACGACCCGGCTATGCTGGGCCAGGACACAGCGGGCAGCACGCACGACTTCTGGCAGGCGCTGCAGGGGTGGGAGAATCTAGGATTAGCGGGACTGGGCTCGCTGGCGGAGAATAGCGTGCGCTGGTCTGCGTTCGAGGACCAGACGGCCGACGAGTGGAACAGGGACGTCAGGGAGGCCTCGGTGGGGAGTGGGCTCAAGGCACAGAGGCTGAAGGAGTGGGCGATTGAGTGGGAGAAGTTCTGCCTGTGGGTCGTCACCGAGTTTGGGGCAGGCGAGGAATAGGGGGGTTAGGCAAATAGAGACAGACGGTCGCCGTCCGGTTTGGGTCCGGCGGGCTGATGGATTGTCCACTCGGAGTAGCGATGATTCTACTTCTCGAAGATGATTTCACGGCTCAGGCAACAGCTTTCATTTCAACGCCCGATGTGCGAGTGCAGGAGGGCTTGTGCGAGTTGTCGCTGAGGCCGAGGTGCGATTGAGTTACGATAGGCTGCTGACCAGACAAGATGGATCAGCGGCGGCGGGCATGTGCAATCAGCATCTGACATAATCCGATGAGGCGTAATTGGGCGTTTGGCACATGCAAGACGCAAGCAGGACGTTTAGTTTGGTGACGTTTGGCGGTTCTTACGATTTTAGGCAGATGGATTTTCCGATTTGGAGAGATTGGCCAGACGGGCAGGCAGAAAGAAAAGGAGCGAAAAGAAAGAACAAAATAACCAAGAGACACGAAACGCCCATGGTTCAACAGCATATGTAAATGCATGCGGGCATATAGACACTTACATGTACGGCCATAGATAGAACGACTGTACGGCGAAGTTGGATGAATATGGGGGTTGCCACGCCTCATTTGCTCGGACTTCAACGACAGACGGGCCTGATACTCAATTCAAACCAGCCAAAAAGAGATGCATTTTGAAACCGCGCCATTTTAGGAAGGCTTCTAGAAGCCACACGTAAGACAGGAAAGACCGGTGCAGCCCGCTCCTCGGCATCAGCCTGAGAGGCAGGGGTGGTCGCGGCACCCAGGTTGCCGTCTGCCATGTCATGTATAGCGCATCTTGATTAGAGAGCCTGTACGTGTGATGAGATCTCGCCAATGACATCGTGCATTGTTCGGTGAGGGTATTGCGACGACCGGGTGGGTCGGATGACCTGCAGCGGCAGGCTTCGCTTGGGGATCCCTGGTTTCCAATCATTGCATTTTTGGGCCAACCCCCAGAAAGAAGAACTGCTGTGTGTGTCGGTATGATACAAATCAAATGGCTGGCTTGGCGACGGGGCAGGGCGGCGTCGGGTTTGTCTAAGTAGGCGAGCGAAGCCGTGTCATAGTAGAAGTTCGTTGAATGAAAGCATGTTTGATATTTACCAGACGACGGGGACAACAAAGGCATTTGTGACAGGCTAGAAAGATTAAAATCAATGGCAATTTTCAAAGTAACAGGTTGAGTGATCACGACACGGAAAATGATTGGCCCATAAATAGAGTGATGTTGCAAGCATTAACGAACTAAACTTGTTGGGAGATAATAACACGCTAGATGCTGAGTGCAGGTGACGTTCCTTCTACCGTTGCGTCTCCACCACGAGATAATGCGAATATTGGATCCGGAGCTGAGTTTGTATTGTGTATGGGGTTAAGGCCTTGTTAGTGTCACCAAGGCTAGAGATGTGAGAAGGAGTTGCAATTATTGAAAGCATAGCTGGTAAAACAGAGTTCGAATGAGAGAGGTCTAGAAAAGGTGTACTGGAAGGATCATATGATCGGTCCCCAGATGGCGGCCAGCCACTGTCCAAGGCCGACAGGTTCGAAGTTTACCAGGTTGTTGAGGTTTGCCTCGGAGTAGTTGTAGCGACCGTTGGCAGTCTGGATGAGATGCTCCATTTGCCGCCATCTTTCCCAATTTTGGTTGTCTTCGTAGTACTGTTGCCACGAGAGGAGTAAATCATAAGGCCGCCAGATAATCTCGAACGGCACTTCATCTCGTTAGTCAATTGTGGTATCTAAAGGGAGAATTGGATGACTCACCGCCTCTTGTCTGTTCACAAAGCTCCGCGAGCCGCCTGGTGGATAGATGAGCACCGCGCATTCTGAATTCGCGCGGCCAATTGTCGAGGCCAAGTTCAACAGCCGCGGTGACGAACCTCGCAACATCGTACACCGAGATCATGATGATCTGTACCGGGTGTCCTTGAGCGTTGGTTTCTGGTATCTCAGCGGTGCAGTTGCCGACATCGATCATATAGTCGCCCTGTAGCTGTATATGATGACTGGCCCCCATCTGGTAAGCCTGAAGGCCCCCAGGTGCAAATCGTTCGTAAAAGATGCCGCACGAAAAGACGGTGAAGCGCATTGGGTGACCGCTCGATGACGACAAACGTTGAAGCCAATCCCGGGCTGTGGATGACTCTCGGTCCAGGGGATCTTGGGTATTAGTTGGCCTGCGGCTCAAGGCTCCTTCGAACTCGGACGGAACGAAGCACCGCACTCGGGCTCGCCGTGCCGCATCGATAAGATTGAGCTGTGCAGTTCCCGAGATTGTGGATATAACAAGGTGGATGCCCATCAAATTGTATCGAAGGTTTTCTACATTGTCGTAGTCAACAACCGACACTTGACACCCGTGGGCCGCTTCGAAGCCAGGATGCGCCTATATTTGGATCAGATAACCGCCCTCCTAGGAATATTCTTGATTTAGTTACGTTTCTGGAGAGGACCAGGAGTGGGTGCTCAGTTTGGGACAAAGCCCCAGCCAATATATTGGCAAAGCCGCCGGCACCGGCAATCGCAATCCGCATCATGACTGTGTTTGCTTTTTTGGACATGATGAAAGTGAAGTTGAGTAGCGAAACCACAGGTTATTTAACACGCGAGAATGGAACTGGCAATGGTATCACTTATTTAGGTTTTCCCCAAAATAAGTGAAACGTCCTCGCCATGAGCGAATAATAGACCAGAGTCCCCCGCGGCGTACTTTGACATCGAGCTCTAAATGAGTCAAGATCGGGGGTCTCGACACCCACTCTGTTGGGGTACGTTTCTGAGGACCCTGAATACCTAAAGTCACACCCTCCCAAGCTATGATACGAGCGCATCGTGTGGTATGGATGGTTACGTTTGCTTTGTACTGTATGTCACTCGTCGGGATCAAGGACATGCCTCAGAAATACTCTTCCCGGGTTCCGGTACCGTGCGCCGTCGAGCCCTCCGTCTCTTTCCCTTCAGTTGTACAGCTTTGTCCTCTTAATGTTGCAACAACATGGAGTGACATGTCGGGCGCTCCGGTGATTTGCAACCACTTACAGTGCACTGGTTGAGAGGCGTCCTTCCCTAACACCACTCGAGATGGCTTCGGCAATGTAGATCCTGGTCCATGGCGACGGTGAGCCGAATTTCTGCAGGGATTGTGGGACTTCTTTGAAGGACCCTTGACCCAAAGCGATGACTGGCTATCCCAAGCTCCTTGAGCTGTCCCGTGGCGCATCGCCATGCTAACACACCCGGATTGATGCCTGGTATATCCAGTACAGTCTGGTGCTGTTGAGACACGTCAATTATCGGTACGAAAGCGCGTGTTACTGATAACGCGGATAGCACCTCTTGGAAGGATTATCTAGGAGCCGCGTTGCGCTCATGAATTTTCATAGCGGCAGATGGTTTTGTATACAGGGCTGAAGTATGCTGTGCCAGGAACACCCGCCTGTCTTAGATCATCTTGTGGGGGTAAGCGGCTGTTGGCAACTCGGTGAGAACTAGGCACTAGCGACCCGCTCGAGAGGCAGAATAAGGACTGTGAAAAAGTTACGAGTCGTAGGTCATGTGCCAGATCCAAGGAAGTGGTCGAGACTATCAATTCTGTATGTGAAAGTGACCAGAAGCTGTAGATGACATCAGGGAATAAAATGGTGGGTACTAACGATCACTAGACGGCCTAATAGAAAACCCCGTGGGGCAGGCCAGATCGATTCAGAAGCTGACATGTTATGTAAAAGCGGCAGGTAGCTGCAAGAACATGTCGTTCCTGGGTAAAACACGTCTTGGGCGGTACTGTTTCCACTTGATGGAACAATTCACCGAAGAGCACCGGATTCCACATGAATCCCGAAGCTAGTATGAGTGGCTGGTGGAAGGTGGGATTGTAGATGGTTCGAGTGAATCAAGGAGAACAAGGATGGGAGCCTTGTGATGAACGCAGTGATGGACGGAAGCCTCGTCGAGAACCGACTTTGAAAAGAAGGACAGGGTCGGATATCAGCGATTGGTGGAGACCCGTCGATTAGTGCTCGTCGCGCATGGGAAAATGAGGCTACTACCAAGCCTCTCAGCCCCGGTGACTGGGAGCCTAAGATGGTTATGCGGCGTTATGCTGAAACTGGTATCATCTCCAGAGGGTAGTCGGGCGGTTCGCATAGTGGGGGCCGAGAATACAAGGCTGTCTTGAAGTTGGTGATGCACTTGTCGTTCAAGGTTGAGTAAGGTGAGGTTGAACGAGGCTCCACACATAAGGTTGACTGCTGTGGGTCCACTCACTGGTCGTTTAACAATCAATCAGGAAGCCGCGTTTCGCTCCTTCAGTTGTTTTTGGTTGATTGATTCTATCCCCAGCGCGTATTCGACTCACCCATCAATCATCTGGACTTGAAACACTGCAGCAGTTGTTTCGATCTATTGCGTCTATCTCCAAGGAGTTCGGAAGAAACACGTGTTGTCGAACGCGTCTCATTAGTGACAAACCGTGATGTCCCGGGTGAATCACTTATCACCAGCCCATGCCATGAGTATGCAACTTGCAACCTGCAATTTCTGATTCAATATGTGTGCAGTATTATACGGACTTAGTCCATAACGCTTCTCGGCGGAAACTGACCATTCAAGTTGCTGGGAAGCTTTACAGAAAAACCACCCATGTCCCGAGCTTCCAGGCTCGCGGCCGGGGCCGTTGAAGACAGGAAAATTGATGTCCCAATGAGGTATGAGTCTCATAGCAACGCTATTGCGGGGTAATTCAACTACCAAGGTTTCCGAAGTAACCCCTGCGAGATGTCCGAATAGAATGTATGTCAGTACAGATCTAATCACAATACCTGACCGTACGCACTTTCGACGCAAAATAACGCCTCGTGAAAGCTGGATCGCTTTGCATGCTTACCGTAGCAATACCCGCAGTATATAGCACAAAACAACTCTGGTAATCATAGACAACTCGAAGAACTGTCTAGTGGGAAAGCGGATTCCCCACAAACTACCCAGCAGCGTTTTATTCTGTAAGTGAAATGGAAAGTCTGACCCTCTGTCGAAACCTGTGGTGTAAAGCGCTACATAACGACAAGGCCCGGCAGACAAGCTACTACGGTAAGCGCCGAGAATATCCAAAACTCTTTGGGCGCATATATGGCTGCTCTTAAAGCAGTCGAAGCATGCCAACATATGTGCCATCCTTGCTGCAAACCCCCAGGGAATGTCGGCCGAGGAGCCGCATCCAGCCCAGTAGTCCCGAACCTATATCCTGCTTGAGACATATAGCGGCGGGAGGATTGGGATCACCTTGCAGCATATTCCTTCATTAGCAAGTCGTTGCGTTGATACTTAAAACACACCCGAATCGGCCCGTCGAGACCACGGCATCAACTCCAAGTAACGTGGTATCAGACACGAGCAAGTATAATCCATTGTGCAGTCATCATGACGATGCCAAGAGAACAGGCCTGCAGAGGAGGTGTACTCGGCTTGCACGAGTTATCATACTGATCCTACAACCTGAAAATGCAGCAATGACCTGCGGTGAGACGGAATGAGGAGCCGGACAGCATTTCACATGCTTTCAAGCATCTTACTTCACCACTATGACTGTCTTCCCAATTGACTGCGATGGCGAACTTTCGGAGATCCTGGTTCATATGCGTACGAGCAAATGCCCTATGTATGGAGAGGGACGGACATGCCGAACCGGTCTGGACACTTGCTACCCAGGTATCAGATGTTTTACCGGTCGAAGTGGTATACCTGAAGTGGCTCAGGGGCGGCCCATCAAACGAATATATTGCGATCTAATTTAACTTCGTGCAAAATAACTTGAATCCTGCTCATCTGAGGTGGGAAGCCTCTCGACATGAACGCAAATTCATGTCGAAAATGCGTTTGCGTCATGGTCAGAAACATCTCGATGTATACTGCATTCCGAACTATCTCATTTTGGGCCGACTAAGCGAGTTACATTTCTGGACAACGACATGACAAAATTTTAATTCAGGGATAGAGGTGTTAAAATCGAACCGTCACAGCTCATTCCGCACGACCCATCCGTACATTCTCAGGAACGGAAAATAGTTTACAACGATAAGGTATGTGAACCGATGCCGGGCAGGCTTCGTGAAATTTGTAGCGCAAGATGTGACCTTGACATGGCTTGCCACGAAACTAGGAACCTGGTATAAAGCTAACAAAGTCGACACCGAATATGTGAAATATCTGAAACACTGTTCGTAGTTGGTATCAAGTTCATATTCACCACCGGTTGTCTGCAGTACTGCATCCTTATACAGCATCTATCGAAATAATGTGGTACAGTGGCAGAAGGTTGAATACTAAAAGTGAAGCTGATAGGAACAAGTTGTATTACAACGTTCTGAGATGCTATTGGAGCCTTCTCCACCCTTGCTGCATTATCCTTAAGGTATTATATTGATGTCTGCACCCGTCACTATCATTCTTCCGCCCCTTATTCACATATAATTGCTCAGGGCTTGGCAGCGTTCTGATCGGCCTCAGCCTGCTTCAAAATGTCATGCTCCGCGCCGCGTTGAGAGGCCTTGGCTTCATCATGTTGCTTTTGATATTCAGCCTGTGCACCCTTGTTGCCAAGCGCATTAGCAGTAGTTTCTCCGATGGCTGCAGTGGCACGCTGGACCACACCGTCCTTGACGAGATCATTAACCTGACCTTTCGCCTCTTGCTCTTTCCCCTGCTGGTTTTGCTGCTCACCGGCCGAGCGAAGGCCTGCGGATCCAATGGCTGAACCAATAGCCTCCTTTGCAGAACCGACAGTTTGATTGTACTGGCCGGCTGCTCGATCAGGGTGGTCTTGGCTGACACCAGATGCTGTGGCAGTGAAGCCGGGACCCTTCAGAGTCGCGTCAGATGCTTCTTTCTCAGCTTGGCCCTTGTCTTGCCTAGCTTGGCCGTGTGCCTGTTTACATTAGCTAAACGTTCGACATTGAAAGAGTATCATATTGTAATATCGACGATGCCATTGTGCGGGAATGAAGCATCTTGGATGAGCTGCGAGATTTGGGGTGCACATACCTGATCGCCAGCGCTGCCGGTGACGTTGCTCAGAGCGGACTGGACGGCGCCAGTGGCTGAGTCGACATATGACTTAAGGGTGGAAGTATTATCGTTGGCGGACATGATGACGGGTTTGTTGATGGTCTGAATGAGTAGGTGGGAGACGGGTCAAAGATTATCGGGATGCTTTATTTGGTGTATTTCGATTGGGAAGAAATGTGCACACGAGGAGTTTGAAGTAAAAAAGTCTGGGATGGCATGGGATAGCGCAAATATTTATATAGACTCTAACTCTGACTTGAATTCACATAACAGGAAGTCCCATCCAGAAACCTTGGCAATGACAAAAGGAATTTAAAAATGTCGATCAATAGTGACATGCATTTCTACAAGCCCGAATGTCTGATGGCATGTGTGTGTGTGTGTACCGCAGTAGAGCAGGAACATAGCATGACGTCACTGTCCACGTGTGGGGGCCTAGTGCCGTCTGATGGCAACACCTTTGACGACATGTCAGTCAACTTGCTAACTTTGGAACTCGCATCGCCGCCTTTGTGTAATCATGTGGGACTTGGGGTTCTGCGTTGCCGCGAAATACGTAATACAGTGATTTCCTTGCTGCCTGTGGTCTGAACTAGCCGCCCGTTTCTCCCCAGGACGAACGAAATGTCTCCACGAAAATACGCACCTCAAATATCTACAATAGAAGCATCAATGGTCTGCAAGGCACCTGTCCTCTACAGTCGCCTATGCTAGTTACAACGCCAGGGGTATGAATTGACGACTCGAATCACGGGGGAAGGGGGCAGCTTCTACTTGATATTCTCAACGATGAACCTTGCTGGTAACACTCTTGACCAGCGAAGTTGACATGACGTTCGTGAGGCGTTGCATTTGCATGTGTTGATCCCGAAACGCTGGAAACAATGAACGGGGAGGCTTACAGAGACGGTCCACATTTCAACATTGGTTGGCAAGCCCCGCATCAATTTCAGCTCGGGCGAGCCGTTCAAGCGCTTGCTTCGACCCGTTGATGGTTAGCAGAATCGACCCGTTGATGGCTAGCAGAATTACACCATTTTTGGTCAACAGAATGCAGATTATACAGAGATCATGTTCATTGATTGGCTGGATAACAAGTTCAGATATATTACAGCGCGTTGGTATTGATGACGTAGGCTCATAATCACGCCTTGGAGTCGAGTCATATTCCGACATCATGTTGATGCTCTCCTACAGCCTGCCTAGCAACCTTCAAACATGTGAGTATCAGAAGGAAAATATGCCCGCTCTGTTATAAATGTACAATGGAGGTCGAAGTTTCCTCCGTTTTGCGCCCGAAAACGATCGTAATCAATCCAAACCAAATCACGTTTGTCAACTACGTCGTTGTGCATGTTCATCACCATCCAAGTGATGACTTGCCGTTTCGATCCCCGAAAGAAACCTGCCGTATTGTTGGCATTCAAGTGACACTTGCAATACGGGAATGCGCTCCCAATAACAAACAGTGAACAAGCACTAGTGCTGGCTCCACTCAATGGTGTTCAAGTCGATGCCTTCTTGCACCAATTCCCATAAGGGACTCAGCTCCCTAAGGAATGTTACCCGCTCCTGGACAGCCTTGAGGACGTAATCGATTTCGGCTTCAGTTGTGAAGCGTCCAATGCCGAATCGAATACTACTATGCGCACTCTCGTCGCTGTTGCCCAAAGCTCTCAAAACGTAGCTTGGTTCCAACGAGGCCGATGTACAAGCGCTGCCGGAAGATAGTGCAATGTCCTTGAGAGCCATGAGAAGGGATTCGCCTTCAACGTAAGCAAAGGAAACGTTGACGCATCCAGGGTAGAAGTGGTCGGGAGCACCATTTTGTGTGGTGTGTTCCAGAGACAATAGACCTTTCATCAGTCGATCAGAGAGGTACTTGATGCGCTTCGAATCATACTAGGTGCGAGTCAGCGATATGACCAGCTAGTAACCCACAAAGAAGTGGTGAATCATTGTCAAATCAGCCGCATGTGCTGTATTACAATAATCGACTCCAATCAAGGAGTTCAGAAAGCCATGCACGTTTCAAGCAGTTTCTCAGGTGTGAAGGAAAACGAGCAAGACAAACGCAGAAAGAGGAATTTTCCACGTACGGGGAGTTCTTCGTAAGCAATGCGGCAAGCCTCGCCAAAGCCAACGACCAAATGTGGTGCAAGCGTACCACTTCTTAGGCCACGCTCCTGTCCCCCACCGCTGATGATGGGATCCAATCTGACTCTTGGGCGTCTGCGGACGTAGCAAGCTCCAATACCTTTGGGACCATAAATCTTGTGCGACGAAATGGACATCAAATCGATATTCATGGCATTGACATCCATGGGGATCTTTCCGACTGCTTGTGCAGCATCAGTGTGGAAGAAGACCTTCTTGGAACGGCAGAGCTTTCCAATCTCTTCCAGAGGCTGGATCACACCGATCTCGTTGTTGACGGACATGATGCTGACGATTGCGGTTTCCGGTCGAATCGCAGCCTCAAGCTCTTGCATGTTGACCAATCCATCATTTTGCACTGGTAAATATGTCACTTCGAAGCCTTCATCTTGGAGATGCCTACAGCTGTCGAGAACGCACTTGTGCTCCGTCTGGGTTGTCACGATGTGCTTCTTCTTGCCCGACCTTCCGAAAAACCTCGCCACACCCTTGATACTCATATTATTACTTTCGGTTGCTCCACTTGTGAATATGATCTCCTTGGGGTCAGCTCCGATGAGTTTGGCAATGTGCTCACGCGCCTCTTCGACAGCTTTCTCGCTTTCCCAGCCGTATGCATGGGTCCGCGAATGGGGGTTGCCATAGACGCCGGTCAAATATGGCAGCATCGCGTCGAGGACTCTGGGATCAACAGGCGTCGTCGCTTGCATGTCGAGGTATATCGGTCGCTGTCCCTCGTCCATTAAAGTGGCCTCCTTCAGAACCTCGGCCATGGGGCTGACGGTGGCATTCGCGGGATTGCCGGAACCAGGCATGACAAGCTCGGCCTTGTCGTTCATGAAATCCTTCTTATCCAAACGAATGGCCGTCTCGACATTGACCTGCGCATTGTCCCGTTTCGTTTGCGACACATAGCCTCTCCTCGAGGCTCGAGTTGCTGCTGCTGATGCGACTCTCGATAGCGCGGGGCTTGTACGCGTAGATGTAGATGATAGTGATTGTTTGAGGCCGAGGCGCGAAGCCTGCCTCAAAGCCGATGATGCTACATTTACCATCGTAAATCAGGCCCAAAAATCAAATGAGATATTCGAAGAAATGGGTGGCGAGTTGAAGAGGGAAGTAGGAAAATTCCACAGGAGCTCGACGCCAACTATAAATCAGCATCATCGGAAATTCGACAAACATCCGAGTTCTTTCTTCCGGGGAAGGTTGCCCGCCGGCCTCGGAGATAAGACCGGAGCGGAAGAAGCATGGTTCCGCAGTTTCCAATACACCTACTCTTAGATCCAACCCTCGGAGTTCGGAGCATCGGTAGATGGCCACATTGCCCTGCCAGGGCTGAGCTTAGTGCCTTGAGTGACGTCGCTTGATTTGTCGCCAGCTTGGAATGTCTTGGCATTCAGTCGAACCTGACTGTATTGGGAGTGACCTCACGGCACTTTCGGCAGCAGGCAAATTTGACAGTGAATACCCTCCATGTAGATGCTCGAATAATCAGACGACGGGACAAATAGAATCATGTTGACCTTATGAACTTTGACCTAAACCCCTATAAACCGACTTGAAAAAGAAACAATCTCTCTCTACACATTCTCACCCACAGCCCCTCCTCCTCAGCTACTCGCAGCCGAGCCAACAAAGGAATTTCAGCAGTGCCTGATCCGCCACAAGCCACACGAGCACAAGACGGCAGCGGGTTTGTGATGACCCCGAAAACGAGCGCTTCCTAGCACTGCCACGAGTCCGTCGTCATCACAGAGCCATCCAACAAGTCTACTAAATCCTACCAACGCCCACGCTCGCGACCCCAAACTGTCAGTAAGGCTTTTCCATCAGTCTTACTGCGCTGCATTCGACATCGATTCCCGCGACGCTAGCTTCGAGCGCGACCATCGCCAGACAATATTTTACATCCAGCTCGCCACATTTATATCCCGCCATCCATTCCGCCGTAGATATGAGCTTCCGAGGGTTCCAGAAGACCGTGACCCGGGTAAGTGCGAATGCGCCCAGCGCAGGCAGCTGTCTTGGATCACAAGGAGCCACAGGCTGACCAGATGGCTTCAAATGGCAGGCGCCGCAAACATTTAAAGCCAAGTTTAACTTAGGCGAACACACCAAGGATGCCGTGTACATAGACGCTGAACGACGCTTCCAAGAGCTGGAAAACGAGACGAAGCGCTTGCACGATGAGTCCAAGAAATACTTCGACGCCATCAACGGCATGCTCAATCACCAAATTGAGTTTAGCAAAGCTATGAGCGAGATCTACAAGCCCATCTCAGGTCGTATGTCGGATCCCATGTCAGTAGAGATCCAGAGCAATCCTGAAGGCATCCGCGCATGCGAAGAGTACGAGGCCATCGTCAAGGACCTGCAAGAGACTCTACAGCCTGAACTCGAGATGATAGATTCGCGAGTCGTCCGTCCTGCGAACGAACTCCTCGATGTGATCAAGGTCATTCGGAAAACGGCTGTCAAGCGTGACCACAAGCAACTGGATTATGACCGACATCGTCAAACGCTGAAGAAGTTGCAGGAGAAGAAAGAAAAGTCGGCAAAAGATGAGAAGGCCATGTGGAAAGCCGAAAGCGAGGTGGAAGTGGCGACCCAAGAGTTCAACTATTTCAATGACCTGTTGAAGGACGAGCTGCCAAAACTCTTTACGCTGGAGCGAGAATTCATTCAGCCCTTGTTCCAGTCATTCTACTATATGCAGCTAAACATTTTCTATACACTACATGAGAAGATGCAGCACTGCGATATCGGATATTTTGATCTGACGCTCGACCTCGAAGAAGCATTCAACAGCAAGCGCGGCGATATTCAGGAGCAGGCGGAAAAGCTTACTATCGTGCGATTCAAGACCAGTGGGCAAAAGAGACCCCCCAAGTACGGTCGGCCAGCTTTGGAGGCGGGAAAGCCACCGGCAGCAATCACCGCAGGACCTTCCACAAACTCCTCACCCGCCCCCTCACCCGCCCTGACGTGGAAGCAGTCTCAAGCAGAAGTTTCTGAAACTCCGGAAAACCCTCCCCCGCCATACTCAGTAACAAATAAGCCTTTTGTATCACCTATGTCGCCACCCCTGAAAAGCCCCATCTCTCCAGGTCTTGCGATGGCGGCTGCAGCAAAGGCAAAGCCACCTCCGCCGAAACCTAAGCCTAGTCGTCTTAGTGGAGCACCGACTGGAGCTGAGATAGTTCACGCGTTGTACGACTATTCCGCGCAAGCGGAAGGTGATCTCAGCTTCAGGGTTGGTGATGCGATCGAGATTGTAACGAGGACGCAGAACGATAATGAATGGTGGACTGGAAGATTGAACGGAAAGCAGGGGCAATTCCCAGGTGAGACCGGCATTGTCCAGAGAGTGGATCAAAGCAGCTAATCATTCACCAGGCAACTACGTGAAACTGGGCTAGAAACCTCCTCTTCCCTCCATCCCACGGCCTTCTCGAACCTAATGCCCAGTCTAATCACGACTGAAAGCACACCCTTCGGCGGCAGTCATACGCAGACGGCTGCGGTGGATTCAGACGATTAGGCACTACTCTGTCGCTGTAGTGAGAGCTGGTAAATGCTCGCCAGCGTATGGAAATTAACAAGGCCAGAGAGCCCGAGAGAAGGCTAGAAAGCCTGAGAGAAGGCCAGAGAGCCCGGTGGCGGCCATTTGCGGCGGAGATGGCAAAAGTCGAGATGCCTGGAACATAGCTGAAGAGTAAAGTAAATTGTTAAAGCAAGTCTTTCAACTTGGTCATGAGCTAGTACAAAAGATTCAACCCGTGTTGGTCTGTTAGGGACATATACAGGCTGCAAATACATCACCGCCAAGGTGCTGCTACACAGACACACCAGAAGTTGTCTGTCAAGCTGTTAAGTTTCGATAAACCACTGAATCCCCCTAAATAGCTGGCTCACAAAATAGAGCAGAGTAAAGGAGAGGGAAATTCGATGAAACAGATGAGAATACGCCCCCGAATTAAGGGCATATATAAGCATTGTGGATGTAGAAAATCAACCGCCTCCAGGAACTTAATCTATCCTACCGACCATATGTATTAAAAATCGATACGCTGGGTTGGACCGATATCAATTACCACTACACCTTTTGCCGCTTGACAGAGGGACAGTAGCCTTGAATGGCTTACCGGTTCTTCTGGCAGAGTAGTTGTGGTATGAGTGTTGAAGTAGTATTAGGAAGACCCATAATCGAAGAGAATTGAACGGTATTGTGGTAGGTCTGGATTTCAATTAGACGCTTTGGTAGGCAATTCTTTGAGGCAGGTTGGCTTGCTTCTGGGGGTTTGGATAACCCTCGACTCATGGCTCAGTGGAGACTTAAGACAAGAACACTACACACCACTGATAACGTCTAGATGCGTGACTTTCTCTTGGATCACCATCGGTCCTGTATCTAAGCCGGCAAAATTGATCTACATTGAAGGTCTTCACTTTGAAAACAATCAGACAAGTACTCTGTTATATGTTCGAGCGGTATTCGATCTAAATGATTTGATATATGAGTTTCTACCTTCTGAATCACATATAAGCTTCTGCTTTAGCTCTTATCAAAGGTAAGCTACCAAGAGAGTTATGTGTGGCACTTCAGACAACAATAATGCTATTAAACCCAAGAAAGGCAACGATAGGGTCGTGGACTATCCAAACCTACTTGGCAGCTCGGGTCTCCTCGGAAATATATGATAAAACACAGGGAATCAAATATATGATGAATTTGCTGACAGTAGGATTTTATTTGGTCCACTTGACCCCAGAGGAACCAACCCAGCGCTTCAACGGTTTTGTTCGCGCGACGAATTAGGTGAGAAGACCTTAAGTGAGCCGCCTGCCAACACGTACACTCTTCTATGCAAAAGGTATTTCCCGCTACTCAATGCAGTATTCCCTCTCATTAAACATGTACTGTGGTCAAATTATCCTCTAGTTAGCTCTTAGATCGACCGCCAATCACCCACTGTCACTACACTCGCCCATCCATCCAAAGTAGTTGCTTTGACATGCTCTCTCTTTTTGATATCAAAATCGTGTAGTGATAACATAAGAAGTTCAAATTATCTACAACTGTAATCAATTGCAAAGAGGGTGATAGCTATGCAGTCCAGTCCTGTGATGACTGGTAACAGAATGTGTAAGTCATTTACAGGAAGCACAATTCTCATTGCTACGAGAACATCGTTTCAGGCCGGTTCTAGTTTACATATTTGATGTCTCACATGCATTAGAATACTGCTGCAAGGATATGCAGCGTGTAGAGTAATCTAGATAACCAGGCAGCGATGTTCTTCCACTGCAACTCCGATTCTCGCCATGATATTGGAAAGGTAGAGAGAATCAGAGTAGGTATTCAAGTAATCAGTGGCTTGACAGAAACTCATCGAATGGTTCATTTGACTGACAGCCACATATTGTATCGGACTCAATGAGCGGCTTCAACGGTCAAGAACTGAAGTAGAATACAGCGTGTTGGCGGATGCAGTGTGTTAACAAAGTATTGTTGGTGCTCGCTCATTGTAGTTTTGCGGGCCGTTGCTGAGCCCCTGGCCCATGAGATATCGATATGTTGCCTTGTGAACATTTGCCTTTCTCTAATCGTATGAACTGGAGTTTGGGCAAACATAATGTGACGGTATGGCCTGTTGCTACCTCTCACTTACAAACAAGTCTCAATGTGAAAATGCGTGCTCGATTACTAAATGGTGATCAACATAAGAGCACTGCATAACACAAAGCAGTCTCGCAATCTTGAAGATGTCGCATTACTATGAGTTTCCTGTGCATTGCTTCATCACTTCTATCTGTGACCAATGATTAAATCGGGTATGAAGGAGCATGGGGTTTCCCAGTGTGGCCACCTGCGTATTGTGTTGCTTCGCTTGCACCATGTTCTAAGGTCACATTGAGGGACGCCCACTTCTGGCTTCCAGAATAGGTGAGCTGCGCGAGCCAGACACGTCACTCATGTACGAGGCTCGCCCCTAGGCGCTGGGTAGTTGTATGGACCGGCATCCATGCAGGGATTGTGGGCTGCGCCTCCTTTACTCATTGACGTTGAATTACATATAACAGTCAACGCCAAGGTCAAGATAGATACAGGCAATACTCTACCTGGACACTGATTTCGTATTAGCACAGCGACATGGAGGGCCCGACTTCGTCACTTATTCGCGAGGAGAGAAGACAGCCAATGGAATCTAGCCCCGAGATTTACCAGTACGAGGAACTTGCAGAAAGAGAGGGACAGTCGGCTCGTCAACGTGCTACCAGGTTAATTCGACGATCCGATCAAGTTGACCATCTCACGAGTCTGTGGACAGTTTTGAAGTTGATGCCACGAAATGTCGATTCGACATAGCGGGATTGAAGAAGACTGGATGGGATGCTCGAGAAACCTACGACGACCGAATCATTTTTCGTTGCGACAATGCCGACGGTGACAGCGATTTTATGAGTTCATAGGTACCCCCAGATATCCATCAAAAGTTCCTGCCAGATTACGAAGAGATAGCTATTCAAACACCGTCATTTGAGGCTCTCCTAAGAAGTCCCCTAGGAGATCTTGTAGAGATCCCGGTACAGCCAATCGGTCACCGTCCTGCAGCGCTTTCAATCCGACTGAATCTGGCAGACGCACTACGACATCTGAGATGTACGGACGAGACTCGAACGCTGTAGAATAACACCATCAGTATCAACCAATTCGATATAAATGAGCGCGATGAACAAGTCAAGCGCATTACAGATATCTACAGTTCGGCTGGGGGAGTTGTGATTTGGCTCAGGCCCTCTGCCGACGACAGTGAAAATGCAATGAGACACTTGACTATCTCGGACAGCATCCAGCGTCCACCACAGCTCACTGGAGGATGGTCGCACCTGATGCAGTCGAGAAGAAGTGGCGTCCTATTGGCTCCTTCTCCCCTTTGATGGCAGCACTTGGAAACAGAATATGGACGTTGTTTGGCCGTCCTGGGTTGGCTGCTTCTAGATAGTGCAAGACATCCAGCTTACTTGCAAAGCTACCTTCTTCTGTGCAAAGGACAGCACTGCATGGACTCGGTTCCTGGAAGCGTATAGGTATATTTTCTTGAAGAACCACGTACCACGACCTGTTAGATCACATGAGATCTTCAAGGATGACCTCGGGAAGACTATTGAAAGGAAACGCCCGCTTTACTGTATCATCAACACAACTTATGGACCGTGTTGCGCAGATCTCCGAGATCACGTCTACGGACCCATTGGCTTATGCCCTCCAGATTTCAAGACGCTTATCAAACCTCGATACTCTGACCCAACGGACGAGGTGTACAAGGATCTAGCCCTCACTCACAGTTCCTACACTCAGCGCCTTGAGCTACTTCCAGGCTATCATGAAATGGATTCTGCCTCATGGGTTCTAGATTTCAACCTCCCGGATCTCACATTGCTTTTAGATTAGTTTGCTGCTGGCTTTTCATCCTCTCGTATAATCTACGGGCAACCGAATACGCTGGAAGTTACAGTAGTCGAAGTCAAAGAGCCTCTTCTGACGGACTGGATCAAAACGTGGCATGATATCGTCAGTTTGGTTCGAAAGTGAGAGCGCAGTAACTTGGAATCTGGCACCTACCTTACCGACGAGAGCGTTCGGGACGCTTATGAGAAGACGTTACTGGGAAACTATCTGAAAGGTATTTTTCTTGGTATTATGGCGGCACTCTGCTTCATTGGACGATTGGATACGCCAGGATTCCATGGCTACTCCATTGGGGGAAATGACCAAAGTGCCCACGAGCGGCTGCATCATACCGACTCAGATGGAGTTTGGGGTTGCTCAACCAGCCGGGCGGATGACTTTCATGAAAACCGAGGAAGGTCACTGGTAACTATGTCCAAAACATGCTCAAATAGGTGAATTACCTGGACTTATGTCATGTTTTCGAAGGTTAACCTGTTGCAGGAGACTTGACTGCATCATAATAGTCCTCCGCTGTAACTCCAATATACTGAGACTACAGAGTGATGGAACACACGCAGTCATTGCCGGATTCTTGGCCTACGGCCTTGGCCCGTTGTTCACGTCCTATAAAACGCATGAAATAGCCGTTACTCAACCGATTTTTTATCGCTATTACCACACCGAAACAGGCACTTATAACGATAATGGCTCAAGACTTGGGATGAACCATCAGTGTTTCGATGTTTTCAAAAGACACGTCATGATCTCCGACCCAAGGCTTCTCCTCGAGGATATTGAGGCACGAGGGGTTCAGCTAAGGACATTCGCGCTAGTCTAATCTGCCTTCGGATGAGCACGCTGTGTATGAAAATTGCAACGGGCGGAAACGACAATATGGCAGGAGGCTTGTTACCAGTGTGTCTCCTCTCAGCAAGCATGAAATGATGTAACCTAGTCTGTGGTGAAACTTCGGCACGGCTTCATTCCTACATGTGTGGGACTGGTTCGCTCGAAGGGTTTCAGATTGGTCATTCCAATACATTTGAGGAGAAATACGAGTTCCAAACGTATGGCTCCGTCAATGAGAGGATGCAAGCCAAGCGGGCTCTTAATCTTCCTTCTTTCCTGATCTCATACCGGTGTCTAGATAAATCGTGTTGCATGTGTTGTTTATCTTCATTTGTCACTTCCACTAACATTGGACGCTTGTCATAAGGGACCCGGGCCCTGCCACACTGGGTTCCGGACAAAGATATATATGGATGAACCAATACAAATATCTTTTTGTAATGCGTTTTAGATATTTTACACCCTTCAGGTCTTGGCCAGGGTTCGAATTCTCTGACTTGCCATTCTCGCTTCTTTCAACATCAAGCCGTCTCTTAGACGAAATCACTTGAGTACATGGCCACAACGAGCTCTGAGCTACCATTACCATAGAAACTCATTCATATAGTATTTGACATAGCTCGTATAAAACACATAGTGAGCCTAGTCAAGCGCTTCGTATCGGACAGCATTGGTCTCGAAACTCTAAGGAAGGTTTCCTCACGCATTTACTCAACCCTACTTGACTGAAGTTATCTGTACCTTACTAGGAGGTGTGAACATAATCACTGCTTCAGCAAGGATAACTGAAAATCTAGAATCGTCGGCCTCAAATTTTGGAAGTTCGTATCAGGTTGCGTGACCGAATTCAACATTGAATTTGGATCCGAGTCAGTTCATCACCATTTACTTCACACGGAAGTTTGAAATAATCCAAAAGCACACTTACCGAGATCGTCGTGTTATTTCCCATACTCCAAGATACTTGTCAGGCTCCACCTTGATTATCGGAGCATTTACTAGGATGTCAATAGATCGTTTTCAGATCGGCAAACTTGCTTTGCAGTCTGAAGGCTGATGGTTTTCTGGGCTACCCCTAAAACCTTCGTGCCCAATATGGCCACCCTCAAGTCCGCAATGGAACTCAAGCAAGTCGAGACTGAAAACATCCTCGAAGAATGCCTAGCATTCAACAGAAAGCTAATAAAGGGTTTTTATGGTCCACATGATGGGCACGGAAACCTCATACCAAAGTATAGAAACCTTGGTGGCCCTAAAGAATGCTGTCTCACATAAAATTATTGAATTTCTCGATAGTTCACTATCTGGCCTGCGTAAAGCCTTCAGGGGTACTCTTCATTCAGGAATCATGAGGAGTGAGGTTGGGTGATGTCACATAAAGTGGATGGAGACGGAGATGTTAGCATCACCAACTACACCCAGAACTTTCTAAGCTGCGGTTGAAGACACTATCTAACTAGATTATGGCGAATTGTTCTAATGAGCTTGTTTTATACAGGCTTTATTTGCAACTTTTGATATATAATAGGATTTGATCAGTCAATGCGTGTGGTTACTGCTGGAAACCATGCCAGCGAGGCATGACTCTCCATGGTCTAAACACATAATTGTGATCGACAGATAGTGAATTCCCAACGAGAAGTTAAGTTATGAAAGCATAGAACGAGATTTTCGCAGAACTGGGTCGACCATATATGCCACCCTGCATAGCAACAAGAAGACTACCCAGGATATATACTGCGCTACCACATACGAACCGCTCTAACATGCCATGGTGTGTCATACTACTTCTAGATATCCACAGCCTTAAAATGATGCATACCGTTTATTCATAACAGTTTAGGAAGCGCCTTGTACATTGAAGCCATCAAATGATATCGTATAGATAGCCAGTTTCTGGAGCAAATTCTATTCAACTTCAGTGACCGACAGAATGGAAACCCCAAAATCCCATATCATGATGTATCGTACTTGCTGAACTACTCTATGAGGAGTATGCCAAAAATCAGATACACATTCAAAAACGAAACTAAAATAATAAAAGGGATGATCTGAAGGGCGGGGCTGGATTTGAAACAGCAATTCCTTTAGTCTTCAGGGGTGATACAATTACGCTACATAGCCTGTTAGATTATTCGTTAGGAAAAGCCGTCCAACGTGCTCTATCATATCTATCTCGTGATCTCCATGTATGCTGTTTCCGGCAAGAGAACAAGCGTATTTCTGCTCTGAGGCGTATGATGTCTTGCCTCGGGCAAAACCTGAGACATTGGGGGCTCACAACTTTCCAGTATGGAGGTTAATGACGAAGAACTGGCATGTATGAGGAGCAGCTTTCAACAAGGCTGAGGAACTAGGAGCGTTGCATCAAGGTGATTTCCATTCATCAAGATACGCAGACTACCATGATTGGACATGCACTGTCAGGACTGTCTATACAATGGAAACGGTTCTTACGATTCGTCGACCCTAAAGGAACCCATTCTAGGATGTGCCTATAACTCTTCCAAATACCTCCATTCTCATGATTCTTGTCCACTCGGCGGTGATTCACTGCCCAGTGCCCCCTGCGTACTGGACGCCCCTGGCTTTGAATACCATCCAAAGACACTCTTCTGCCCCTTTGCTGCGAGCTTCAAGTTGCTGAATCTCGCCTCGGGCAAGCGCTTCCCAGCCTTGATACTCTCAAGAATCCACTCAACACCAACGTACTTCACCCCGCAACCTCCAACCTTCTGGATTTCCCTCTGCAACTTCGCACCCGCCAACCCACCCCCCGCTCCTGTACCTCCACTCGCCGGCCGCCCAAGAATGACATGCGTGACCTGCCTCCGCCCAAGACGAATCGACATCCGTGCCCCGTTCTCCGCCAACAGTTGCTTGAGCTTATGATCTGAAATAAGCGGGTGGGTGCTCCCATTGACATAAACCATGACCCCTTCAAGCATCTTCCTCCTCTCAACCCCTTTCTCCTCCGTCTTCCTCTCGCTCCTCTCATCCTCCACCTTCCGCCTCCGCGCAAACTTCTCCTCCTCCGTCAATCTTTCCCCCAACTCCAAATTGCTACCTTCCTTCCCAGCCGCCCCGCCACCAAACTCAGCCAAGCTCGCCTTCATCGTCCCTGGCTTTGCCAACATATCCAAAACGGAGCTCCTGGCTCTGGCACGCACTTCGGGCGTGACCAGCGCCTTGACTTTAGGATCCCAGTCCTTTGCTCCAGTGCCTATGGAGTCGGATATGCGAGCTTGGCCGCCTGAGGCCCCGCCGCGGAACTGTGACTGTAGTTTTGCAGTGCGCGATTCGCGCCATTCCGTGCTGGCCCCGAGCCTGTTCTCGGCACGCTGATGGCCTGTCGACGACAAGTTCCAGGGGTCGAAGGACGCGCCGTGTCTGGGTTCGGCGGCCTTGATTGGGTACTGGGCTGAGGGGGGTGGACGCTTGGGTGATAATGGATTTGGTGGTGGCATCTTGAAGAAGGCTGTTTTGGATGTAATACCCAGTACAAAATGTGATGGATAGTGAATATTATGACGGAACACTGACCAAGTGTGGGTCACTGTGGTTTCTTCTTGTTGAAGTCATCATGAAAGACGACGAGAAAACAGCCGGCAACCGAGTGGAAACGCGCCACGCAACAAAGGCGTCAGTGAAGTCATCAATTTCTGACACGCCTGCTACACCATGTCACGTGGTCCTACTTTAGCACACCCGAGAGTTTTTGTAGTTCAAAGGTGCATTCTCTTAGCGGGGCCATGTCTTCATCGGTTTCCTTTTCCAACGACGACGATAATGGCACGAAAACTATACAATATAAACATCACATCCTGGCGAGCCAATCGGGTGCAGCCGACCATGAATTATCTGCTGCTGAGGCGGCTTGTGGGATAAATGGGCATATCAACATATTAATCATCAACAACAACAACAACAAGAAGCGACCCCTCTCAGGCCGCCTGGCTTGGCCTGGTCTGGCCTTTGCTACTGCTGCAGCTATCTTTCGTACACGGCTTTCCCGTGGGGTCAAAAGTTGTGGTGTGGTTTCGGGGAGGGGACTTCCCCGCATTCCTTCGGCCGCGTTCATGCAGGCAAGCCGTCAAAACTCGCCAGGATCGTCCCTTTTCGATGTTGAATGGTTTTGTCGTTGCCATTGGGAACAGATGGCATGACAATGGCTTTGTGTTTGGCCAAGCTCGGGAAACGGGAAGACGGATGAAAAGAGGGGTTACGTGCATCGTAGATTTCATCATGGATGGGCGTAGGCGATTCCTCCCGCTTCTTGCTTGCCTTGCTTCCTTGCTTGCTTGCTATTACTGCTGACATGGCTGGCTGGCTGGCTGGCTGGGGGGCGAAATAGTGACGAATCTCACTCGTCTTGACCTGAATAACAGACCCCATTATGCCGCCCCTGTTTAGTGTTGTTGCTTGCCAGGTTGCTGGCCATAATGGAATCGACCCCGTCCGTAGCCGTACGGACCTACGTAACGCTCAACGTCTCGTCCAACATGGGGTTGAGTGTTGAGGCTGGGTCCCCTTTTTGCCCTGTAAAGCTGTAGGCTGTATGTATAAAGGGGGGCCTGTTATTCATGCAGCCTGCGCTTGAGCCAGCGTTCATGCATGTCCCGTCCCTTTTCCCAACTCGTACCGCCCGCTCGCTTCTCGCGATCCTCTCCCTGGGCCTGCCTTGCCTGCTTGCCTCTTTGTGGGCGCCGCATGTCGCCCACGGCTTGTCTCCCCGTGCGCTGGATTTGATGTGTGCTACTTTTTTATCCACCCATTTTACCGGCATGGCAACTTGTCCACATTCGAGCGGGAGCTTGTTTAAAAGAGATCTGCTTTATTCACAAGGGTATGCTGTCTGTGGTTGCCCCTTCCCCTGTCTATCGAGATTTCTCCCCCTCAAGGGTTCAAGGCGCATCGCAGGTGGCAGAAGTGCAGCTTGTGACAGAGCCGGATGGCAAAGATGGCTTGAAGGGTTGGGAGTATACAATTTTGATGATAATATTGCCATGGCAAGCAAGCCTGGCGCTACCTAAAGCGGAGATCTCATCACGACCCTCACTTCAACTTTCCGCCCATGCCTTCTCAACTGCGAACAGACCAGGGTCAAAATTAGAAATAATGACCCAGAAGATGAGGACTGGGTGCGCGCCGCAGATCGGCGTTCTTGGTTCGTTTTGCGGAGCTCTTACGTCCCATCTCGGATCTTCCTGGGAGTCCGGGATTTCGTGGCCCAGCGGTTGGACTGGCGGATCTTCCGAGTCCAGGCCAGCCCTTCAATTAAAGCTCACACGAGACCCCGACGTTTTGAAGTCATACAAGCAAGCATCAAGAGATTGCCACCTACATGTACATATGCGAATCATAGTTGCTTCTGCGTGCGTCCTGCTTGCTGCTGCACTGCTTCTTTCTGCTGCTAATCGTGCTTCTGCTTGCTTCATGCTGCCCTGTCGTGGGGTGATTGGGAAGGGGTTCCTCGGCCTTGGTGATGCATATTGTGCTTCATTTACTCAATTGAGGTCGTCCTTGAATGCGGGCCTCATGGAGACCCGTTCAAGGACCCCAGTTGTTCAATCCAAGAAGCTTGGACTGCCCGCGTATGACAGCACTTCCTTGCAGCCAACCCGGACTGTGTCCTGCATGGAAGTGGACCGGTTTGCGGCTTTTTGCTTGATCGAGTTTCGACTGGCTCGCTGTGCTGACTGACCCTCACCTGCCGGCAGGTCTAGTTGCAAATCGTGACCTTCCTATTGCAACTGGACTGCTAGAGACATGCGTGCGGATATGTAGTCGTGTCATGGTCAAGACAAGACCCCTACATTAGACACAAGCAACTAGGCCCGCGGATGCGCTGTACGACGAGATGTGAGATTGCCCAGCAGCAGCAGCAGCAGCAGCATGCATGTCTCTTCCCCCCCCTCCGGTTCAGTACCAGCGGGAGCAATTCCAACAAGGGCCTCGCGTCTATCTCGCGGCCAAGCAAGGAGGCGACGGTAATATGAATGGACGCCAATACCACCGCAGTACCGCAGTAGATGCCGCTTCTGGGATCGCGGGTTTTCTCGTCTCATCCTTGTCCACGATCTCGTCTCTAACTTTGATCCGGATGGCCCCCACCCACACACCCGCTGTCAGTCGCACGCACTAATGACAGGATAAACTTAGAGATGGTTTTAACGAAGATCTGACGTCTGCTTAAAAAAGAATGAAAGGGAAAAAGACGAGCAGTGCGTGTGTGCGTGCGTGCATGGAGGGGTACCAACAAGGACCTTGGTGGGGGAGGGCTCTCCTACAGTACCAGACCCTCTTTTCTTCAAGCAAGGGACATGTATCCGCTATTGCTGAGCCGTCTGACACGTACGGTACTGGATCGGGTGGTCTTTTCCACTTCTGACGACCAGAGAGGCAGGAGCAAGCATAGGCGGACCGGCCAGGTAGGCGGCCAGGTAGGAGGCCAGAGTCGGGATGTTTCCAGCCCCACCAATCACACCGGTGAAGCCGTGCCCGCGAGTTGAATCCGATGTTCTTTTCTTGACTTGACTCGAGACGCCGGGATCCAACCACCGAGAAACGACAAAATAAATCTCGCCACGTGAGAGACACCGAAGCAAGGTTCGAGGGTTCCTGCTTTTGCCTTTCTCCCCTAGTGCATAAGCATGAGTAGCATAAGCAACAGCAGACAGAAAACGGCCGCAATGCAGCGCTCTGCGAGTCGAAACGATTTCTGCGCTGTCTTTTTTTTTGCTGATAAGAATTATCGTAGCGTTGGTGAGGAATTTGAAGAAAGTGACAGCGAAAAATAACCAATGGAAGGCCACCATTAGAACAAGCGCAATAGAGCCAAGCAAGGGTTTGCGGCTAGTAAGCCCCGGGGGGTGGGGGGCCTTGGGAAGAAGAGGAAGGGGAGGGGAAGGGGGGGTTGCGTTAGAGGCAAGGAAGTCGCGATGGTCGGAGAAGTAGCGGTGAGGGCTCCACTAGCAAGCGGCGACCGGGGAGAGAGAGCTTGGGCCCCATTGAATCCGCAGTCCGAAGTCATACAGTGTACTTGGTACCCAAGTAGAGCCGGAAAGCGCACTACGAAGTACGGGGCATTGGACTATCATGAATAGTTCCTCCTGGAGAATTCCACTCTATGCCCACCATGAGCCGAGTGGATGCGTCGAAAAGCTATATGTAAATCCCGACTTCTCACGGGGTGGTGACGTTAGTATGGTGGAAGTCAGTCGACAGCTGCAAGGCAACTTTATTTCGTGGACTAACTACTGTGTACGTGGTAGAGCAACTAGTTTATAGTGGGCCGAACAACTAAGTCATGGTCAACTAAGAACTCAACGTCGCCGCGTCTGTGTGTGCATTCAAACTAAAAAGTGATATGCGCCGAAGCTATCTAGACTACTCTAGTAGCATGTCCTAGAATCATTCCGAGCTTTCTCTTGCATCGACGGTGTTGCTGATTATTTTTCGCTTCACGAATACTGAGTAGCTCGCGCGTTTCCGTAGCTCAACTTCCTTCTCAAAGGAGCCCTTGGAGCTCTACAAACTCTATGTCGTGCATCCATCCATCCACGTTCCGTTGTCCAATTGGACCAGCTTGGGCAAGGTGGTTCGTCCAGGACCGTCCACGCCATCAGCAAATAAGTCAATTGGATCTTTGACAGCTCAAGCAAGCCGTACAGTAAACAACTCTGACGCCACACACATTGTGTTCACACCCACCGGTCCCATCTTGGCGTGGACGTGGGTGGTGCCCGGCTTGGGAGCAGCGAGGCTTCCCCCTCCCCTACCAGAGTACGTGTAGCCATTCGTAGCCCAGCTCGCCAGCCTTCTCGATGTTGGATGCACTGCAAGATGTGTGAGTGGACTTTTTGGCACGGAAAACGGTCCGCTCATGCAGCATCCTGGGCAAATCAAAACCGATCGAAATATGATATGCATACGGCTCAGTGTCCAGCTCCACGGACCATACGGTTGAGAACCGGTCACTCTTACCCTTGACCGGTAACAAAAACGCCGACAACGCTATGGTATCGTATCCAGTGTACACTAAGTCGGAGGTCTTGTTAATGAACGGAAAAGAACCCTGAAAGCCTTCGGGTCTGCCGATCGTCATCGACAGATGGAACAACGAGAAGTTCGGTCTGTCCACTGGTGCTTATGCTTCCAAGCTTTCAACTTGGCACCTGAAAACTCCCCTAGTCCCAACTTTGGGGCCTTAAGAAAACGGGTGGGTGGTCGACGTGGGCGTCCATGATTGGACGCGCCAACATCTGGCTAGCCCCGGTTGGTTGATGGGGGTTTGAGGGGAGGCTGCAAAGAGAGTGGCACAGCTGAAGTGGTACGAGGTATTTGGTCGTCTACCACAGTAGCTCTGTGCCGCCGTCCAACGACCCAAAAAAACGACATGGAATGCCTATCATGGAAGTGCAAGTGCCGTTGAAGCGGCGCGATCTTGAAACTTCGACTTCTCTAGCCCTTCTCGTCTTCTATATTACCTCGTTTAGCGGGATTCGTATTCTTTGACTTTAGGCGCTGGACGTCTCGCACTGTCCAGGCTAGCAAGCGCTCTTCCTCTCTCAGCTCTCTTTCTCTGCAAGTATTGTTTGCATTGATGTTGGATGTTGGATGTTGGCTGTTGGCTGTTGGCTGTCGGCTGTTCGTAACTCCGGCCACAAAATCGTATGGTGGCAAACTCGAGAAGCTGGGACCAGATACCAGAGGCTGGAAAACCCGACGTCCATCCATGGCCCGGAAGACGGGAATTAACTTGACGCGTCCCTTTGGGCAATACTAATTGAAACAGCCAGCAAACCAGCCCTGAAACGCTGTTACGGTCACAATACAAACACGCTTAGCAAGGCATCACCAACATCGGTTTTCTGGAGTGTGTGGACATGGGGGTCAAGCATGGGGTAAAAGAGGCTGGATTGGACAGATGTGAGATTTGCATAGCCGCTGCCCGCTGTGCGTTAGACTGCTTCTCGCTCATGCAAGTGCTCAAGCCATCCTCCCGGGGTCCCTGCCCTCTTAGTAGGCCACGGGAGAATCGTATTTTCAAGGTTTCTCAAGCCCACAGCCGTTAGGGGGGTGTGAGTGCAGGAACCCCCAACTGCTTATGCCAACCAACCGTAATAGGTCAGCAGAAGTATAGGAATGTCCAAGCCATCTCGACTTTAATGCTCTTCCAACGAGCCGCCGCATCATCGGCCGTGATGAACAACTCCCATGCCCTGTCGTGTCAAGTTACTCCACATCGGCTGGGAAGACCTGTGGTGAAAGGGAAGGCCAAAAAGGCAATTTCCTCTCCCATGTGAGGCTACTGCAACACTCGACTCGACTGCCCAGACAATTCCCAAAGATGTGCCGACATGCACTGCCAACGCCGTACGTACTAAGTACTCGTGAGATCACTGATGAATTGGTCCATATGATGCGGCATATGGGTCTGCATGGGGCGTTGGCTGCTGATGTGTAATACTAGGTCTATTACCAGCAGCACCCAGCGAGGAACATGATACATATGAGATATGATGGAAACTTCTCCATGAATAATGCCCGGGCTTTCGCCTACAAAGTCTCTCACGTTGAGACTTCTATTGGCTGGGAATCTTTTTGCCACGGGACCGAGAGCCATCCATGCTTTTCATACTACGGTTGACTGAGCTGATAACTACTAGTCTTTTTAGGTACTATCCTGTTACGAAATCCGATGCTTGTTCAAAAGATCCGACTTAGGATTGCCAACTCACAAGTTAGGAAATAGATAGTATCGCCTGCGGATAGCGAATGTCATGCATGACATGACATGGCATGACATATTGAGGCTCCTTTCCTCTCTCCAGAGCAATGAAAATGTCGTCACCCGACCGGTACCCTACAACGAGATGATGCTTCCATGCCTTGTAAGGTGAAGGAAAGAAGAATGTTAGCTGCATGGAAACCTGCGTCGTCGCGGCGCCCCGCAGCGCCGCGGTGGAATCATAGAAAAGGCTATAATAGAAAGTGCGGTGTCCCAGAGGCGCGGTTTCGTCACGGGTGTTTTTTGTTTTAATAAAGTATCGGGCGCCGGATGGAAGGAGCCGCTCATTTGGTGTCTGCAGTGACTGTGATCTGATGCCGGTATTTGCGTGTGTGCTCTGGTCTGCATGTGTTGGAACCGAATTGCAGCGAGAATGAGCAAACCAGACTGCCCAATTTGGATACACCCCCAACTTGTGATCGTCCAACGGAAAGAAAGAAGGAAAAAAAGACGAGGGAAATCTCCCAAAGCGAACGCAGAGACATTAGATTGCCACGGCCATGTGGCTTACAGACATCAAATCTCAATCAAAATCATGTGTTGTTTGAAACGTGAACAGGGCTGAGCCAACGTCCTCGACCACTAAACGGATGGCGTTTGACTCGCGTGTTAGCCAGTAGGCTGCGGCCACGCTGTCAAAAGCCATCTCAACAAGAATCGCTCAGCCTTCGGTTTTCATTGGGTAGACTAATGATCCCGCAGCCTCATGGAGCATTTGTGAGGGAATTTGATTGATTGCTACATGTACTTGCTCGTCTCATATGACTGAGCCTTGGGTGGCAAAAGAGCAAGAATAATCGGCGCAAATCATTGTGTAACGAGGTGTAAGTCTACTCAATCTAGGAACACAACGAAACGTGCATACGTAGATACTCTTCAATAATGCAACTTTTGGATAAGTCGTTCCGACATATGCCACTGTGTTTGCACCAATTCTTCTCCAGTTTGACGGCTTGGGAACTGCAAGCAACCTTGAGCGCCAAGATGCTGCATACAGCTATGCAGTAGGGCCTTCGTGCATATCTCTCCACCATGGCGTCACATTCAAGAATCTCTCGTTCCTACAGATACCCCCTTTTTTCAATTGAATTGATATTTTCGGGGTTTGGCTAGAAGCTAGAGCTCCTCAGATCCGCCGGCGGTCCAGATATCGCCAGATTTTGGTAACATGTGCTATGCTCGAAACACAACTCATGGGAGAAAATCTTAACCTAAAAGGCAACCACAAAACATGAAAATCTGAGAGAATGCAACAAAAAGCCCTACGCATTCAGGGATAGACATGCAAGAGATGGGCTTGGCATCGTTTTGTCTGAATACCGCATGCAGTCCTAGCGGAATCTTGCATTGGGATACATAAGTCTACTGCAGAGAGATCAGTGCGGCGTCTCCTAGCCTGCTGCACGCCCAGGTGCCCCACTACCTTCAACCTGTCTCCCGTGTCTTTCCTGTGTCGCCGCAGTCTAGAATTGGGTGTCGAATTTCGATTTGACTAGGCGAGGATATTGAGGAACTCTAGTGGCCAGGATGGAGATGCGTCCGCTTAACGGCTCGGGCTTGCCAAGTATCCGTATCCAGCGAGCGAACTACTGCAGTCTGCATGACTAGGGCAGCTCAACATACATAATACTGGTCGGAGCCGATACCCGTAACAACCTACGATGGACACCAGGACGTGTAAGAAGTTTTGGAGAAGTCGTAGTACTCTCACTGATTCATGTGCTTTCGCTGTGAAACACTAGAGTCCCGTGGACTCGATAGTATTCTTGTGTCCCCTGTGCACTGCTCTCTCTCCCCAGCCTGTGAGTCGGTCGTTCGACACGACGAGCGAGGTCTTCTAGCCTACGGACGATGTGCCCCCAATCTCAGATGCATCGTACATGCTACCACATGAAGCAGGTGTAACGGACGTGCTTCTTGTGTAGCACAGTGGCCCGCCATGGCTGTGCAATTAGGCGTGGCAGAAGCAGACCCAGAACGGGGGGGGGCATTGGTCTGCTTGCTTGCAGACTTGTTGCGCGTGCATCCAATGGAAAAGTGCCTGCATCAGCAATACCATCGTGCATACTGGGCGCAGTGAACAACTGCTCCATCCGAACAGCAATGGACCAAGGGTAGCAGTTGACGTTATGGGCGACGTTCTACTATGCGCAAAACGAAACCTCGGAGCCACTCAGGCTTCGCTGTCAACCGGTTTCCAAGCACTCCTGACAGCTTATCTTTCTTTCTTGAGTCTGGAGATCGGAGGATCTGCGAGGGGCTAGAGCGCAAGTGAGAGCTCGGATGAGATGCAATGGTGGATCGTCTTGCATGTTTTCCATGGCTGGCCAAACAAAGATACTATTAAACTCACAGGGCGCCGCACAGTTGCCATATGTACATTGCGCATACATGATACGACATGAGCCCTGACTGAGCGCATGCATTGGCTGCCGTCTTGGACTGGGACGTATCGTAACTCTAGTTGCATGTCTGACGAACGGCTATCACGTTCAAATCCGATATTGACTTGTATGTGAGTGAGCACAGTATATTTTAGACAGTCCGGTTGCCTTGGCGCTCGTCGGCACGGGGAAGAGGTTAAAATCAGACGCTGCGGCGGTGTCGTGATGGTGAACGTGTCATACAGGCGAGCGAGCCATCGGAAGGGAACTCGGCAGTGAATAATGATTATCATGGTTCCCTCCAGTTGCTAGTCCCCTGTCGAGGCTCTGAGCTGGTTCTGGCTGCGGTCCGTGAGGGACGAGGATGACGATGATTGTTGGCTGGTAGGCGTTACAACCTTGTACGGATCCACAACCACGACGCCCAGGTCTTGATTACCAACAGCAACCTTGCCATGAGCATGTCAGAGGAGGGGAAAGCGAGAGGATAATCATGGTGCCACCGAGGTGGGGGTGGACTGAGCAAACTCCCAACCCTCGCCCACTCTGCAGACACGCCTCAGCCTAGCAGGGAAACGTATATTTTCCATATTAACACTCTATTGGGCGCTTGCGTGTAATCCCAACCGCCTATTATTGGAATCCGTACTGTAGCAGAAAGGAGTAGTGATGATAAACCCGGCCGTTATCAAGATGTCCCACATTCCATCGACTCGGTTGAATATATCGACCTCATCTGACTGCGTGGGAAATGCCCATTAATTAATCCGGTAGATGGAGAAGAATTCCTTCGAGGTGACGAGAAAGAAGTGATGATAAGAACTCAATACGGGCAACGGTCTTGGCGGCAATCGTTCGAGAATCCAATAACCCATATCAAGCAGGCCAGCCCTTGTACAGGTCGGTACATGGTTAAGTACAGCTTCAGGTCTTTTGACGTCTTTTGACGGGATGAACAGATAACCTCTGACAGCTGCTTGTCAGAGGGGGGAGATCAGAAGGTTTTTGTCTCTGGGGTATTTCGAGTCCGAGACCGACCCTCTCTACTCCCAGACGCGAAGCTTGGAACTTCTAACGTGATCAATTCTAAGAGACGGCGGAGAGGAAACAGTACACAAGCCCTGCAAGGCTATTATGTTACTCTGTGGGATTGTTTGCATGCTGACAAGTTGTACACCTGTTTAGTGGTTGGTGCGCTCTCGGCGGTAGTGGGTCGAGGAATAGAGCGGTAGGGGGGTGAAGACGAACCTGTCCAGACAATCGCGGGACTCGTTCAATTTTGGTAATGGAAGATGAGGAATTATCCATACCGATACTAGAAAAGCCACCCAAGCCACCAGCGTCTCAGAAACCCAGTAAGCCATATATTAACATGATACCCTGTACCACGATGCGAGGCCCAGAACTGGGTGTAGCTGTTGCTCGCGGAGAATGTCCCTTGGTGAACTGGTTGTTTCCTGTGAGGGGTCCCTCATGCGGACCCTCTATCTGCTGACGGGATGGGGATACACTTTCGCCTTTCGGCGCGGTCCAGCGAGCGACCCCTACCTCTTTTTCTCATTGGCACCCGGCCCGACACTGTCTGCTCACACGTTGGATTTTTTTTTACATCGGCAGCGAGTTGGTATTGTTCATCTCAACTATCGAGCAGCCATCATGGAAAGAGCACAAACAATCAGGTCTAGCCGGAGCTAAAACGCCAGGCTGCTGTTAATCGGAGTAGAATAAGCGCAGGCGAATAAGTCGTGCCCTTGAGTAGAGCTCCAGAGAAGCCTTGAGTTGGTATGCTGCGCAAAGAAATTGAAGTCGACTCTTTGTGGGTGCTTCGCGAATAAGCAGTGCTGCTGTGGGGCTCTAGTGCAGCAGCAACTTTGGAACGTCTTCGAGCAGCAAGCTTCTTGGGGTTTGAAAGCACTCCAACCAGGACGGAGATAGACCTTATTCAGACTTTTAAAGACGCAGATGTGGTTTCGTCGTAATTGAAACCAACGCTTCCTCCTAAATTCCCTTGTGATGGAGGTGACGAGGGCTTTCTTGGCATCCTCCATTCTTCATCCAGAGCATCAGCCCCTCTAATGACAGTTGTGGTCAAGAACCAAAGCCTTTATCATACCCTAGAGTCAAGGTTTTAGAGGGAAGCAAATAGAGCCGAGTAGTGAACGGTGATTCACACTGTGAACAGAACATAGTGCCAGGTTGGAAAGTCGACGGTCTTTCACAAGTTGTCTGCTGACTGGTCCGGCTGGTACTACAGTACAGAGTACGGCGACCCGGATGTTACCTTGAGCGTCATTTTTTTCTGGTGGGTTTTCGAATCCGACGACCACCAACGCTGCGACGCTAGATCGTTGGATAGTGGGAGGAGACGGAAATATCATCCATCCTCGTCGTCGATAGGCCTCTCTACAGGCCCTAGGCGCTGCTGAGCCGCGGGAAAGCCCACGGTGAGACCCGTGCATCAGCGATCGCATCCACACTGCCAGAAAGATGTGCTCCCAATACCCACAGACGCTCCCCGCCATGGACAGTGCGTGCAGGAGAAGCTTGGTCGGTGCTCGAGCTGTCTAAAAATTGTTACGAGGGTGCTGATCGCTTGATGGCCTGACGGAAGCTGCGCTGGCCGATGTGTACATTGGAGTATGTACCTATTTACCTTGCCTACTGCATACCTTCTTTTACCACAGCCCACCTGCCTGTCCACTTCCAGAGCTGGAGAGTCGGTAATAACATGAGGCAAGCGAAGCGCGACCGAAGAACATTTGGTCAAATTAAGTGAATAAGGAACCTTTGAAGATGCTTGCAATCGGCGACATGAGGAGGGATGCAGACAACAAGACACGAACAAAAACATCGGAATGAATTGACAGACAGGCAGATAGACGGAGTTGATCTCAGAGCCGGCTGGTTGTGACCATGGTTTTTGCCTGTCTAGCCCCAGTAACAAAAAAAACCTCAATAGCGGCGTAACGGCCGGCGTTGAAGCATTTCTCGTCGAACAGGGTCTCCAGCTCGTCAATCCCCTCCTCTATGGTGTTACATCGCTACTCGCACTCTTCGCTCTATTACGGGCTCACCCCCCTTGGAAAGCGTAACCGCACACGCCATGGCCACACTCCCCCCCTCCCCCAAATGCTACTAGCTTGACCCAACCTCGCCAGCCCACTACCACTACGACGACCTGCCCCGGCTCGTCGACAGAGGACCCCAGCATGGCACACCTCCGGTCCCCGTCGCTTGTACATGGCTAGTGCGTGACGGGTACATGGGTTGATCTCTGGTAAGTCTACTCTACTACCACCGGCCTATCTCTCTGCAACGTCTGATTTGATTCTCATCCTCGCTCGCTCTATCTACCTACCACCTGCCTGACCTGCCACTCGCATCGGCACCGAAAACTTTCCTTTCTCTCTCCCTTTCTCTTTTTCCCACGGCCCATCCGACCTCCTCAATTTCTTGTCGAGAAGCAGGTCCTTGAGGTTGGAGAAGAAGAAGGTATGTGACCCGTTGGAGTTCCTTCCATGATCCCAATTCCAATCCCTCTGCACCTGTCTGCGGAAGCACCTCTTTTGCGCAAACTCTTTACCCCAGTCCCAAGTCGGGCCAACCAGCCAAACCAACTTTCGCGACTTCGTACCAGTATATGCAAAATTGTGCGCAGCCCCCCAAGCTAATGTTTACGTTCCTGCATTTTTTTAGATTTCCCTAAAGGTCGAAAGAGTTTAAAAACGAAGAGGAGATAGAGAAAGTGCCTGTGAGAACAGCGAAACCTTATGTGGAGCATCTTCGCGTGGTTGAGCGAGTCGTATCATTGAACCCCCTCCCACCTACAAACGACGCAGACCGCCGCCGATCCGCGACGCTGAACACTTGAACCGACTCGACGGTTTTTCCCAACTTCCGGTCGTTTATGAACAGTTACGCCGCCACGAAAGCTACGAACCCAATCCTCTTGTCCTCGGCTTCTTTCGCCTCTCTGTGAAATAACGGACACTACACGCAGCTCGTGGTGGATCAGAGCCTGGTTGCCCAGTCTCGGCATCAAGTCAAGCCAGCTTCAATTGAATTTCGTCGGGAGGCACCAGTCCAAAATCAGCTCCGCCTTTGTTACACCAGCACCACGATCCTGTTCTTGGCCATCTTGACTCCCTCTGGACCAGTGTGGAGGACCCGTCAGGCCGCACTGAGGTATCACAGCTTAGGTCAAGATATTTGCCATACCCGCCAACCTCTGTTCACTGCCCCGCTCCGAGCTCGCCTCTCACCATTTCGATTGTGCAATCGAAAGCCAATTGGTCCTGCCTACTGGTACCCGTTCGATTCCTGGCTACGTCGTTGAACACGTCGCTTCTCCAACCAGCCCAGTTCCTAGACGGGCTTCTCTCTACTCTCAGTCGCTGAGTCGTGCCCGTTGGCCGGCTTGGACCTGAGAAACTAGCATACCAAGCCTCTACGGCAGTTCCGTCAAGGTCGTAAAGCTGGATTTACCGCCGATATCCCATACGCAAGCCCGGGGTTCCGACGTACCACCATATTACGGCAATCCTGCTGCTCAGCGAGCGCCGTATGTGAGTGAGAGGTTGCCTTCACTTCCGTTGCCACAGCCGCCTTTGGCATACTCCTCGGGTACCTCGTCTCCCCGGGTCAGCTCCATTGGGTCCTCCGCAAGTTCAAACGGAGATTCGCAGTCTTCCTTCACATCTGCTGCGAGTTCAAACGGGCCCAAAACCCCATCGCCCAATCTTCCCGTCAGCAACGCCATCTCTGGGCCGCCGTCCCAGACCATTGGAGGATACGAGCACTATTCGACGATGAACTCAGCTCCCGATATGTACTATTCTCAGCACATGTCAGCAGGTCCTACGCCTCAGACCCAGACTGTCACCTCAAACGTACCTCAGTATCATCAACAACCGCCGTTACTACACCCTGGTCCCGCACAGTACCCGGCGCCTTACCCCCCATATGGTTATACCAACGGATTGACATCCCCTCAATCTGCCCCGCCTGCCGTGTCGAACTCGATGGGCGCACAGAATGTTCTCCCTCTCCCTGGTGTGCCCAACCAGCCGGGAATGCAGAATCAGTTCTCCGGCATGGACACCACTGGTCAAGTTGCGCCTCCGGGTATGAAGCCTCGGGTGACAGCAACCTTGTGGGAGGATGAAGGGAGCTTATGTTTCCAGGTCGAGGCCCGAGGTATTTGTGTAGCACGTCGAGAAGGTAAGCGAGAGAAAGAACGCATGGGCATTGAATATTACTGACTCGAAAACTCGCCAGACAACCATATGATTAATGGTACGAAACTGCTCAATGTTGCAGGCATGACTCGCGGCAGACGAGATGGAATTTTGAAGAGTGAGAAAATCCGCCACGTCGTAAAAATTGGACCGATGCACTTGAAGGGTGTTTGGTAAGCTCATCTCTCTTGTATTGGCTTTTTTTCCGGGCAAGGACTAAACAGATGATCAGGATTCCCTTTGAAAGAGCGTTGGACTTTGCCAATAAGGAAAAAATCACTGAGATGCTGTATCCTCTGTTCGTCCATAACATCGGTGCACTTCTATATCACCCGACGAATCAAAACCGGACGAACCAGGTGATGGCGGCAGCAGAGCGCCGTAAGCAGGAGCAGAACCAGATGCGCAACGGTCCCGGCGGGCCGGCCCCTCCTGGTGGCGTCCTTCCTTCAATACAGCAGCATCACCACCATATGGGTTTGCCCGGGCCGCAAGCCCCGCTGTCGTCGCATAACAATGCCGGACGGCCATCGCTTGATCGAGCTCACACGTTCCCCACGCCCCCGACTAGTGCGTCGAGTGTGATGGGAGGTATGGGTGCTTCGGAGAACTTCCAGCAATGGCCGCAGCAAGGGATGAGCGGAGCACCGAACAATAACCCTATGTCCATTGATACAGGTCTGAGCAACCCACGCTCCATGCCTGCAACGCCTGCGACAACCCCACCCGGCGCTTCGATGCAGAGCATGCAGCAATCGTACCCTCAAAGCACACAATCCTACGATAGTTCTCGGGGTGTGTATAACGGGCAGGCTACTCAACAATCGTCGTACCCCGCTTCCAACAGCAGTCCCCAAGATCGAAACTCGTACGGGCAAAGCAATGCTTACATGAGAGGCGATATGGCTCCTCCTTCTGGCAGACCAGCGGGTCCCGGCGAACAAGACGTTAAGCCACCAAACGGTATGATGCACCCGGGCCAGTCCGGCGAGCACGTCCCTCACTCGGCCGGTGACGACGAGGCGGAGCACGAAGCCGAATACACACACGACAGCGGGGCTTACGATGCTAACCGCTCAGCCTACTACAACGCACCGCCCCCGGCTCCTCTTTCGGGAGAGCATGCTCATCTGTCGCCCGAGATGACGGGATCACCAAGCCACCAAGCTGGATCTGGAAGAGCTACTCCGAGAACAGCAGCTCCGCCGCAGCCCTATTATGCCCAGCAAGCAGGATACAACACACCTCCTCGGGTCCCACCTCCGTCGAGCAATCTTTATAATGTAATGAGCAACGATCGGAGCAGCAATGGCGCACCGGGCGGAGATGTGTACGGTTCGCAAAACGAGATGGGACAGCCCATGCAAAACGGCTACCAGCCCGTCATGAACGGCGCGTCGGGAGCTATGAAACGAGGACGCGATGATGAGGATGAGTTGCCCCGCCCCTCAAGTGGCGGCTTCGACCTCAAGCGGAGAAAAACGATGGGCAATGGCCCCATCCCTGCGCCAACATATGATATGAACCGTCCTCCGTCAGCGGTTTCAGCACGCCGATGACAATGATATTCGACGCGACCCGAGTTCCTTTCCGTGTCAGCATTAACACAGGCTTCGCTATTCTAGCCAGGATTGAGATATCCTGCGACTATAGAGTACCATGCCTGTTACGACCACTCCTTCCATTTCCTTGCTTCATGTATTCACTGCGACGACTCATCGGCATGTTTGGACCCAGTCCCGAAGAAACGATGACGACCTTTACGACTTTATTCTTGACTGTTGTTAAATGCCGCTCAAAGCAGTGTACACGCCTCACGAATTGATGCGCCGCATGGAGGACCTTAATCTTCTAAAGAACTCTACTTTCACCCTTAACCCTTCGACATCACCCTCTTCTACTTTCATACCTTGATCCCTTGATGCCGAGCTCCACGAGAAACCGATGTACGGAAACCATGCCTATTACGAACTTGAGGCCGATAATGTTCATCATGACCGAGGCAATGTTGCTTTGCTTTTTGCTTTGTTCACCTTAGCCACCGAGCCTCGTACAAGAGAGGGTACAGAGAGCTGGGGTGGTACAGACCCATTTCCTTTGGTATCTAACGACTTTATGACGACAATTCTACTTTTACAAAAGGTGCGGTGTCGTGTGGGCGTGTTGGAAATGTCTCTTGAGGAAACCGAGGTCATGAATCAATGAAGGACTTAAAAGCTATTTGCTTGATAAACAGGCGATTAGAACATACAATCAAGCCTACAACATTATTCTGAGTCGGTGTTGATTGGTCTGTGTCATTGTCTGAATTGCGTCTGCTGTGCAGCCTCCCTTTTACTCTGTTTGCTTTGTCTGGATTTGTGTTCCATGTGTTCCATGTGCTGCCTCTTGGACCATCCATCTTCCCTGTGACAACTCAGCTCGTGGGAGATGTTGACACCCCCATCTTTCCACAGTGGAATAGATGCCAGGTCCTCTTGTCATCGTTATACCCGACCCGACACTCGAGACCGCTCTCCGGTCACACATCGCTCCCGTGTAACATGATTACCCCTAATCGCCGTCTCAATCCTCGGTCTCCCAATTCTCAGCCGTCCATTCTCAGACCATACCGGCCGGTAACGCATCCTTTATTGTTTTCCCAAAGGAGGAAACATCCCGTCGCACAAGAGGTCCCAGTTTGGTGCATACTTTTCTCTCTCGCTGTCGTAACCACTCGAGCCCCAACCAGTGGCCCGGTGAGATGCGGCGTGGCCGCAGAAATGCGGGCTCGCGCGTTCCCGAACACTGGGTTGGGGGTATGATCATTTTCTTCTCTGTCCCGTACTAAATGCATGTACGTATCTACCTACTGGAAACCACACCCACCCGTGCTTAGCTTGATTAGAAAGCGGAAATACCGTGTTTCGCTCGTCTCCCCCAGAGCGGGTTGCGCGGGTGACACAGGACGACGCGGCGGCCCGATTGTGGTGCTACGGTAACGTGTACGACTGACGGGATCGTTCGAAGGACTGGGTCTCCAGTCCAGTCTGAGGTGGGACTTCTCGGCATCTTGAATTTTTACGATTGGGTTGAGATGATAGTGAGGGTGGTGCTGAATAGTAACGGTATGCGAAATGGCTCAGCGACCCGGTAGGGGGGGTGTTAATTGGTAAGGTCGCTTACACGGCATGTTTCCCATCGTGGGCAATGTGATGGAGGGATGTGACTTGGGTTTAATGAGTATGATCAATGAGCCGGAGGTGGTGGTTATGCGAGTGACGGATGTTTGGCACGCCATAGTATGTTTCGATTGAGTAAGCCTTCGAGTTTGGTTGGTATGTCTGTAGTATCCTAACCCTTGAAGTACCCGGGAGTCTAAGAGAATGATTGACTTAGATTACATGATTACAAGTGCTGTCACAATAAAGTCAGGCTTACACACTGAACATGGCCCCAAGGCTTATTGAAGCGTGATTTGTCCCAGCATACGCATAAATATTCGCATGAACCAGCATATAGGGACGATACTTGTGTGGTCACCGAAGGCTCATCTGCAGATTGTAGCTGTACGACTAAGCTGTACCTATCTGACTAAGCTGCAGCTTTCCTTGCCAACATTCACGTCCCAATGCCGCAGTGATTCCAACAGATGTAGCAAGTCACAAAAGTGTACAGATGCTTTTGAGCCTGGCCTGAGCTTGACTTCGGGTCGAACAAACCATGATTCGTTCTTCGAGATGGTTCTGAGGTTGGTTTAGTACCTTGGAGCATTGAAGTCATATTGCAATTGTGTTATTGTATGATCAGACTCAACGGTTCTGCATCTGTTTTTACAGTCCGCAGCACCTGCGGTCGCCAAATGGCCAGTTAGTGGAGGAAAATGGACTTGTCTCCACTCATTAACCTCACTGTGCAATGCCTCAGACTTGCCTATGTCATGAGAACCAAAATATAAGACATCAAAAAAATTCCCCAGGAGGAAGTGGTCTCGATATCAGTAGTTCTTTTACCAGAAAGCAATAGCTTCCAGCACCATACCTTCCATCTTCGTGAGTCATATGAGGTGTCAAGGACAGTTTTGGAACGAGACATTTCAGGAGTAGCTCCCGGGTACCGTGGCTGGCTCCATTCTCGTCGGAAGCCTCTTTCAGATTCTTTGCTAAAACCTACCTCAAGATGCCAATTTGCAAAGGCTTGGTAGATGGATGCCTGCAAGCCTTGTAATCCCTTTGCCGACGCTGCTGATACCATTTCTGGGCAGTCCCACTACGTAAGTAGTTTGTTATTGTGGAAAGAACGTCAGCGTGGAAGACATTTAAGCAGTACTATGGGTATCAATTGAAGCAAGTAAAATCCGGATCCAGCAAGCCTACTCTACTAACATCTATGCATCCCGGTCAATTTTCTTCCGTGCCAGCCGACTGATTCCTCAGACCGGTGCACATTGCAGTGTGTCATCAATTTCACAAACGTTTGAAAGCCCAAAATTCGAGTGGCTTGGTAGTCTCTGTAGCAAGGGCACCAATCCCGTTCCTTGGAATTAGTCCAGGAACCCATGTGAATCCCTAATTTTCCTCCTCCTCTTCTTCTTCTTCTTCTTCTTCCTCTTCTTCCTCTTCTACCTCTTCTTCACTGGTAGCCTCGATATTTGCCTTCTTGGCCTTCTTGGCCTTCTTGGAAGACTTCTCCTTGGTGGAGCTAGACTTGGACGGTGGCACATCTGGAGCACTGGACGAGACGTCGCCAATCTCGTGCCCCATAGTTGCCAGCTCGGCATTGATGGCGGGAATTGCCTTCAGAAACACTTTATACTGATCGATAGGCAGGGAGATGCCCTTTGGTTACATCAGCTGAAGTGTTCGTTAAATCCGCCTTGACGTGGGCCTTTACCTTCTTGCTCGGCTTGATATCGCCATTATTGTCAATCCAGTACTCTCGGATGCTAATATACTGGCTACCATTGAACTCGGAGATATTAACTCGCCGTTTGACACTAAGCTAGAGGGAATGCAGGTTAGCTCGTTGCCTTGTTGATGGATCCAGTCTCGAGACTTACACCCCAGTACGGATTGCCCTCGGAATCCTTTCCCGAATCAAGAGAGGCGGACGTCTTCGTCTTCTTGGCCTTGCTCGTCTTGGGGACGTCGACCTCGCTGTCGTCGTCGCTCGCCTTGGCAGCGCGTCGCGATCGCTTCTGGCCCTTCATTCCAGCCATCGTGGTAGAATGGAGAGCGCGCAAGGGTGGAGGTGGGAGAGTGGAGACTGGATCGAAGCGTTGCCGAGTGGATAAAATCGTATTTCCAGTGATGTGGATGGGCTTGCTTCGCGTGCTATATTACACCTTGGGCCGAAGAAATTCAATTAAAGTACCCAACATCGAGTTGTCGCGGCAATGGCGGGGTCTAGGCGCGTCAAGAAACTATGTTTAGCATTCACAGAGTTCTTGCCAAGAGTTTGCGGTCCTAGCTCCTCTCAGTGGGGTTCGAGGCGATATGGGAAACTGCCGCGAACTTGGGGGCGTGTAATCGTGATTGGAAAGAGTGTTGATTTCGTCCTCAATATAAGGCAGGCAATCACGAAGTCATTTCAATGGCTAAATCTTGATTGTGCGTCTGGTGTATCTATGTTGAAGCACCAGAACTCCAACAATGCCAACTGGGCTACCCGTATATTTTCCGTCTGGTTACTTTATCCTCCCAGTTTATTTGTGGGAAACGGCAAAGCTCAACTCGGGGACCCCGTCACGCAATGATCTCCCCCGGCCCTTCTGCAGGGGCTCTAAAATGTGTCAGTTACGGTGGCCGGGGGTTTTTAATTTTGTAGCAGCTGGCAGATTTGAGATTCAAGATTCTTGAATGGGTCTCCCGGCAAATCCATCCTATTTTGTCTATCCATTGTCTGCGCTTTGGTCATTCGAGTTCTTTTTGCCGTCATAGAGCGCACTCTTTCTTTTATTGTAACACGCGCGACAGCGACTTGATTCTACAGCTCCCAGTCCAGGGATAATGCCACGTCTGCGAGACGACGTCACGTCATGAATTCTACCAACGGCCTCTTGCCGAACGACACAACTCTCAACAACACTGAGATGGCTTTGGAAGAGGCGCCAACACTGAAAAGCAAGGCCGAAACGCTTCAAGAGAAGATCGAAACCCCTAAGACGAAGGTCGACAAACCTGTGGCAAAGCCTCAGCAGGATGACGACCTTACGACCAAATTGCTGACCTTCCTCTCAACGGCGACACCGGAAACCCTTGGTGCCATTGCAGTCTGCCTGGCTGCCGTCACATACTTCATACTAGGGCAAATAGGACTCGTGATTATCGGCGCGTTTGCCGGCGTTACCCTTCACTCTTCGTGGGAGGCGCGACACCCCGATGTCTCCTTGCGGCGTGAAAGGGGCTACGACATTCTCGATCGACTTGTCAAAACGAGGACGCAAGCGTCGAGTATAAAGTCGGAAGAAGATCAAGAGAATGAGATACAGACGCTTAGTCGAAACTTCGACGACTTCCAGCCCGAGACGAGGGAAGCGCTGAACGCGTTGGTGGATGCTGTCGTCCGCGACTACGTCGAGTGGTGGTACGGCCCTATACTGCCGAAAGACAAGTCATTCCCGCTGTCCTGCCGCAAGGTCTTAACCAACTTTCTCCTTTCCATATCGAATCACTTGTGCCGTAAACGACCAGCTGATGCCTTCGTCGACTTCCTCACGCATACGTGCTCCATCATTATCGTCTTCTTCACAGAGATGACGGCCGCTTACGCTGTGCTCCCGACCGTGGACAGCTCGACCACGGCAGCCGATGCCATCTACAACTACCTCGCCTCCCATACAGATTCGCCCTTGTCAAACCTGTTGAACCAGAGGGAGCAAACGGGAAAGTTCAAGATGGTTGCAGAGGGTACGTAGTGTTGGCGGAGATGACCAAATTCTCGAAAATTCATCGGGATGAGATCGTAGAAGCGAGTACTAACTAGGGTTTTAAAACAGATCTCCTTAGTTACCTGGAACGCTCTACGTATGACTGCGATCCAGCCCGGGTCTTCCTCCGAGAGATCCTTGCGACCATTATCCTCGAAGGAACATTGCAAACTTGCTCCAAGCCTGAATGGATCAACGCCTGGATCGTCTATCTCCTAGAATCAGGGGAGACCGATCTGTCCCAGGCAATCGACGAGGCTATCCAGGACCAGAAGGCATTCGCTGATGTTGACGGCAACTTCGGCAATATCAGTCTTTCTAAAGGGAATCGCAACAGTTATGAGATGGACCGAGCTCGCAAGAAGGAGATAGCCCACAAGAAGAAGTTGTCAAAAGCCGACGAGGAAATGGAGCAAGCAAGTAAGTTCATACAGTATCTCATTAAAGTGGTCGGAGTTCCTTCTTTTGGCTGCTGGGTTCACCATGTATTCCCACGTTATTCGCAGGGGCAAATGGTGAACAGACAGCTGCTACCATCAAAGGCATTCCAGGCTCTTGCAAAATTCCCTTTTTTCGGTCGCGTTATCAATTGTTCATTCAAGCCTTGGACCGAGGTTTACACGGGCTGCTAAATATGGTACTCGTACTGACTACTCACACAGTGGAAGAGATGAAGAAGCTCAATGAAATGATTGCGAAAGCAGAGAAGGCCAAACCAAAAGAAGGGTCGAAAGATGAAGAATCGGCTGCGTCCGGTCTAATAAACAACGGCGTGAAGAGGAACGCTAAGGAACTTGATCTGAAGACAAATGCTTCATCAGTGGCGAACACCGTCTCTGCCCCGTCAATTCCCAAGGGGAACCCCAGTAAAATTGAATCAGCTACGGATTTGCTCATTTCACCGATGTCATCCGAATTAGCAACAACGGAAGCCACTCTGAGATCAAACGTGGACCTCACGAATCCAGTGCCATCACCATGTCCGGCGAAAGAGTCAGCAGCGAGCTCTCGGTTCACGAACTTTGATCAAATAGTGCCCCCCGCTAAAGACGAACCTGATGAGGAAGAAATCCGCCGCCTGCAGCCCCTTACTCTTCACAACGCAACTATCACAATCCACGACGATCCAGGCAATGAAAAGGGTAGACTCCGAAGCAAACCGAGTTGGGAGTACCTCATCCAGATTGAACCTGCCTCATCTCAACACCCAGGCTGGATGGTGATGAAAACATACGTTCAGTTCGAGTCTCTTCACGAGAGTGTGCGACGCATTGCGGCCGTCTCTGGCGCAACAGCATTCATGGAGGCGCATGCAAACTTCCCTGGTTGGAAAACGCACACCAGATCATCTCTTCGTGGGGAAATAGAAAGATATATGCGCATGGCTTGTTCGGAGAAATCCTTAGCAGAATCGGAAGCTATGAAGAAATTCCTTGAAAAAGGCCAAGAAACGCGGATGGGCAACAATAGAGGCTTTTCATTCGAATCTATGGGCAAAGGAATGCTTGATGCCATCCAGAATGCACCAAAGGGTGCCTTTGATGGAGGTAAAGTGATGGTCGGAGGCGTGACCGGAGTGTTTGGCAACATAGGACTTGGACCGCGAAAATCGACGAATTCATCAATTCAGGAGGCACAAGTGCCCAAAACAAGCAGCATTCCTTCGAGTCGTCCGCAGTCCACGTCTTTTCTCCCGCGGATGGATGCAAGCGCTTCTATGTCCAGGGACAGTCTCGACAGCCAGAGATCGTCGATCATTGCGACGCAGCCGGGTAAAATTGCACCAATGGAGCGACGGTCGAGTTATCAAATGGACTTTGAAGCAGATGGTCCGCAAAATACTCGGGCAGATAATTGGGAGCGTAAGTCGCTCAGCACGGCTAGTAGTAGAGTGAACAGTCGAGCCTCGAGTATGGCTGCACTTCGTTCGCCGTTGCGATCACCATCAGAGATGAGTCTCAGCCACCTGAAACTTCCTCCACCCCCGAATGAGATTTCGGATGATTACGGATCCCCCGTTGCGACTCGGCGCAGCTGCGATGGTCCGTGGAAAAATGACGGTCTCCTATCCCCACATTCTCCTCACACGTCGTTCACATCCTCATCCCCTTCCCGTTCTCCCGAATATCAACAATCGGAAAAGGCAGCTCAGAGCAATGGCATCGCCTCCGTGAGGCGTCCTCAGAAGCAGCACCCACCATTGTCCGAGCAGGAGACTAGGGTGGCAGTCGAGCTGCTTTTTGCTGTGATCAACGAGCTGTACGCATTGTCGTCGGCCTGGAACATCCGGCGAACTCTCCTCACGGCGGCAAAGACCTTCCTCATCCGTCCCGGAAACCCATCTCTGGTGTCTATCCAGTCCCTGATTCAGGAGTCCGTTCTTGATGCCAACATTTCGGATGAGGGGATGGCGGCACACCTTCGAAAGTTGCGGGAGAACTCACTTCCCACGGAAGAAGAACGGAAAACTTGGCCGGCCGAACTGACCACGGAGGAGAAAGAGGAGCTCCGAGTCAAGGCCCGGAAGCTGTTCATACAGAGCAGTGTTCCCGCAGCGCTGATAGGCATCATGGGACAGTCGGCCACGGGCGAAGCGCTGGGTCGCTTGTTCGATTGCTTACAGATCGAGGAAGTTGCAAGAGGACTGTTCTTTGGCATCATGCTGCAAGCTGTGCGGATCATCACGCACTAATTGATCTGTGCACCTGGAGTCACACAACATGTAACCACCATGCTCGTCCGCGTGGATTCGTGGACCGGCAATTCAGAACCCTCACGGGTATATTAATATTTATGATTGGCAACGGTTGCGGTAATCATCTTGGCGAGCGGGATTTGGGGACCATTTCCGGGTCGAGGGCGTGGGGATGAATGTACGATTATTATCTTGGACGGGAGGGCAACAGTGGGGAGGTCCTGGTGATGAGAACATGCTCCGATGCTCATGCTCACATCGGCGGGGTTCGAAGGTATACGAATGGAAGCAATAATTGTGTCACCTGCGCAGCCAAGTGCTAGAGACGGAGCGGTTCTACGATCGTCCAGCAGTTAAGAGAGGTGACATCCCCTGAAGAGACTATGCTCCTTGAAAGTGGGTGTTCGCTAGCCGAGCTGCGGCTCCTCGTTGGAGCATATCTAGACAGACCCCGGCGGCTTTCCAAGCCTCCCCAAAGTAATAAATAATTCACATAGCAATTGGATGGAGCTGAAGACGACGTCTAGCTGGCATGCCACAGAGCAAAAAATCCAGGCCACCATAAAAACCCGATTGGGCCATTCCAATCTGCGCCGGGCATTTGCCGATCTCGAATCTCGGTGTTCTGATGAAGACCATTATTAAATCCGGACGGAGTTCCGTCCCCGTCAGTGCTTGAGTAATTGCTATTAGTAATGAAACTATTTCCATCACGTCAGCTCCCATGATGGTACTGGCAATGTATTCTCTAAAAGTGGTGAATAACGCACCAGTGTGGGGTTGTTGGGGTGGGCATGTCTTCTCCAAGTTCTTATCGACGTGACGACATCGGCTAAGTGCAAACTGCACCAATCGCGGGCGTGACCGGCCTATTGTCGTAGCTCGGGGTTGGAGCTCCGCATAGCATTGCGATTACGATGGGAAGTATTTCAAAGTATTTCATGGAAAGACTAAGTAGTCCGTATATTGTAGAGCTTTGGGTGGAGGTTCGTATCTTTGAGCAGTAATTTTGCAACAAGCTTTACTTGAAGATTCCATTCTTCTACTCAACCACAAACCATCAACTACGTTACCCAAGAGCTCCTTCACTCCTCCCAAGCAGGTTGATATAGGTACGACTTACAATACCCAGGCTCTCATACCCGTCCCTACCTTGATGCTCTCCCTTCTGAGCCCCATACACACGCACACCACCCACTCCCTCAACCATGGATTCCACGACACAACCCGACCGCGGAATCCGCATCGCCATCGACCGCGGCGGCACCTTCACGGACTGTGTCGGCACCCTAAACGGCAAAGACATAGTTATCAAGCTCCTGTCCGAAGACCCAGCCAACTATGCCGACGCGCCGCTCGAGGGCATCCGCCGCATCATGGGCCACTTCCTTAAGCGGGACATCCCGCGCGGCGAGCCCCTCGACACGTCCCAGATTGAAAGCATCCGCATGGGCACAACGGTGGCGACCAACGCGCTGCTGGAGCGCAAGGGCGAGAAGATCGCCCTGGTCGTCACTGAGGGGTTCCGCGATTGTTTGGTCATTGGCAACCAGAGTCGACCCAAGATCTTTGATTTGGCGATAAGGAAACCGGACGTGTTGTATGAGGAGGTGGTTGAGGTGGACGAACGGGTCACGTTGGAAGATTATGCTGAGGATCCGGAGAGGAGGATTACAAAGGCAGATGCTAAGGCTGGTTCGCACGAGGCAGGGAGTGCGGATTTGGTTATGGGGTTGTCGGGGGAGGCAGTAAGGGTCCTGCGCCGGCCTGAGGAGGGGGGAATCAGGAAGCAGTTGCAAAGGGTCTTTGAAAAGGGGATCAGGAGTATAGCTGTGTGTCTCATGCATGGCTACACGTTCCCAGATCACGAGGCGCTTGTCGGGCGCATTGCCAAGGAGATTGGCTTTCAGCACATTTCCCTCAGTCATGAGTTGATGCCCATGATTAAATTGGTATCGAGAGCGACGAGCGTTTGCGCCGACGCATACCTCACTCCTGCTATCAAAAAGTACATCTCTGGGTTTCAAAAGGGGTTTGCGGGTGGCATTGGCACTCGGAGTGCACTGAACGAGGAAGGCAGCAAAGGTGCTCGATGCGAGTTCATGCAAAGCGACGGTGGCCTCGTCGATGTCGAGAAGTTTACAGGACTGAAGGCCATCTTGTCGGGCCCAGCTGGAGGCGTTGTGGGTTACGCAATCACGAGTTACGACGAAAGCACGAAAGTACCCGTCATTGGTTTCGACATGGGTGGCACGAGTACAGATGTGTCGAGGTATGGCGAGGGCCGGTATGAGCATGTGTTCGAGACTACCACCGCCGGCGTAACCATACAGTCGCCACAGCTGGATATCAACACCGTGGCTGCTGGTGGAGGTAGTAGACTCTTCTTCAAGAACGGCCTCTTCGTCGTCGGTCCAGAGTCTGCTGGGGCTCATCCCGGTCCGGCATGTTACCGGAAAGGCGGGCCTGCTACAGTAACGGACGCCAACCTCGTCTTAGGACGCCTCTTGCCCGAGTTCTTCCCGAAGATCTTCGGGGAAAACGAAGACGAGGGTTTGGACTTTGAGGCAAGCAAAATGGTCATCCAGGAACTTACCGAGCAGGTCAACCGCGACACAGGCAAGAATATGAGCATAGACGAGGTGGCGTATGGATTCCTGACTGTGGCAAATGAGGCCATGACGAGACCAATTCGATCCATCACGGAAGCCAAGGGCCATGACTCGTCGAAACACAGGTTGGCCACGTTTGGTGGTGCTGGAGGTCAACATGCAGTGGCAATTGCCGAATCTCTTGGAATACGCCAGATCCTGGTCCACAGATACTCATCTGTCCTATCAGCATATGGTATGGCGCTGGCCGACGTTGTGGACGAAAGACAAGAACCGGACTCGAAAGTTTGGCAAGGCAAGGGCGGGGTCGTCGACGAGTTGAAGATCAAGATGGAAAAGTTGAAGGACAAGTCACGGCAGGCCCTCAAAGACCAAGGTTTCGAGGACAGTGATATCGTGTTCGAGGAGTATCTTAACATGAGGTACCGCGGTACCGAATCTGCACTCATGATTGTCAAGCCAAGCGAGGAAGACTCGAAAGCATCCTTTGGGGGGGAAGAGTGGGCATTCGGCAAAGCATTCGTCAAACACCACCGTTACGAGTTTGGGTTTACGCTCGACGACCGAGACATCATTGTGGATGACGTGCGAGTACGTGGTATCGGGAAGAGCTTCCGCTACCAGGACAAGACAGTCGACCAGCAGCTTGATGAAGTCAAGCGACAAGATATTGGTAATAAAAAGGCACACGGGAAGGCGCAAGTCTACTTTGAAGGGGGCCGGATGGAGACGCCAATCTACAAGTTGGAGGACTTGTCCGTGGGAGATGAGATCCAGGGACCGGCCATGCTGGCAGATGGAACACAGACTATTGTCGTCACGCCAAAAGCGAAAGCACTTATCCTCGAAACACATGTTATCATTGACCTGCAAAAGGATGGAAAGGACGAGTGAGTTTTCCGAAGTAGCTGTCTCAAAGCATATTGAGTACTGACGAGCGAACAGTTCGCACGAGAAGAACTCATCAGAACGGGAGGTCGACCCGATCCTGCTCAGCATATTCGGTCACCGTTTTATGGCAATCGCTGAGCAAATGGGCCGGGCATTGCAGAAGACCAGCGTCAGTACCAATGTCAAGGAGCGTCTCGATTTCTCTTGCGCTATTTTTGATGCCACTGGTGGACTAGTTGCGAATGCACCTCATTTGCCCGTTCACCTTGGATCCATGTCGACTTGTGTCAGAACACAAGCAAAGATCTGGGAGGGAAAGCTGAAGAAGGGCGACGTCATTATCTCCAATCACCCGTCCTACGGCGGTACCCATTTGCCAGACATCACCCTCCTCATGCCCGCTTTCAACGAGAAAGGAGACAAAATTCTGTTCTACGCAGCTTCACGCGCTCACCATGCCGATATTGGCGGTATCACAGCCGGCAGCATGCCGCCTCACTCAAGAGAATTGTTCCAGGAAGGTGCAGCGATCAAGAGTGAGAAGATTGTGAGTGAAGGCAAATTCAACGAGGAGCGTATCACGGAATTACTTTACAAAGAGCCCGCCCGGTACCCCGGATGCAGTGGTACAAGGTGTTTGGCCGACAACATCAACGACCTACGAGCGCAAGTCTCAGCGAACCAGAAGGGTATTTCCCTCATCGAGACTCTGATTGAGGAATACGGCGAGGATACCGTGCAGTTTTACATGGTCAATATCCAGCACAACGCCGAGAAATGTGTACGCGAACTCCTGAAGAAGGTTTACCAGAAGTTCGAGGGCAAAGATCTCTCAGCCGTTGATTTTATGGACGACGGAAGCCCCATCAGGCTGCGTGTCACGATTGACCCAGAGGAAGGAGAAGCTACCTTCGACTTTGAGGGCACTGGTCCCGAAGTCTACGGAAACATCAACGCACCGGAAGCCGTGACATACAGCGCCATCATCTACTGCCTGCGCTGTCTCATCTCAGAGGACATACCCCTAAACCAAGGCTGCCTGAAGCCCATCAACGTCAAAATCCCACCTAAATCCCTCCTGTCCCCCTCAGCAGGCGCAGCCGTAGTCGGCGGCAACGTGCTCACGAGCCAGCGCGTGACCGACGTCATACTCAAAGCCTTTCAGGCTTGCGCCGCCAGCCAGGGCGACTGCAACAACCTGACCTTCGGTTTCGGCGGCAACCTGACGGGCGAGAAGGAAGTCAAAGGCTTCGGTTACTACGAGACCATCGCCGGCGGCAGCGGCGCCGGACCGGACTGGGAGGGGACCAGCGGCGTGCACACGCACATGACTAACACGCGCATCACGGACTCGGAGGTGTTCGAGCGCAGGTACCCCGTCCTCCTACGCGAGTTCTCGCTCCGCGGCGGATCGGGCGGATCGGGCCAGCACCGTGGAGGCGATGGCGTGGTCCGCGACATCGAGTTCCGCATCCCCTTGCAGGTGTCCATCCTCAGCGAACGCAGGGTATACAAACCGTACGGTATGGCAGGCGGCGAGGACGCGCAGTGCGGGCTTAATGTCTGGGTGAGGCGCGTCGATAAGTCGGATCCCGAGAACGACTTGGCGCAGCAGAACGGACACGTAAGCGGGGATGGGGAGGCCGTCGAATATGAGGAGCGGTACATCAACATGGGCGCTAAGAATAGTGCTCCGTTCAAGGCGGGGGATCGAATCATTATCAATACGCCTGGTGGTGGAGGCTGGGGAAAGGTGGGAGAGGAGAAGGTGCTGGACGCGAAGAGGGATCATACTGAAGCGTGGAGGAAAGGGAGTCATGCCAATCGGGAGGATGCGGCTTTGCAGGTTTGAGGGGTGGTTTGAGACAATCTTGATAGAATTGTGACATTCACCAGGACGCAAATATGAGATGAGAGCAGAATATCAAGCAATTTGTCGAATGAAGCGAGACAAATGTCCTCCTACGTTCATAGTCCATCCAGGTTCAATCTTTACCCCGGTCGTTGATTCCAACATGACCTTAAATCTTGATTCTGTTGGGATATTTCTCCCGAACCAGTAGCGGACATACCCGGAAGCCACCCCTTTTCATCGCTATTTCCCTGAAGTTTGGCAATTTTTAGGCTCATGCTTACCTCAAGACTGCTTCATTGCTTTTCAAGATGACGGTGAAACTTCACTCATCAATTCATAGGGTCTTCTCAAAACTTAGGTAAAAACAGAATAAGTAGCCTACTGCTCCGGGCGAAAGCCTGCCAATGCAATCCCCAACCCAAAGGACCAAACCGACTCAGTAAAACCAAACGCCATCCTCTAAACGACACCGCTGCTATTGGCCCCTTAATGTTCCTTGACCCACTTCAACATCTGCTCAAAAGCTGTTGCTTGCGCTTCTTTAATGTGCGAATCTGCGTAATCCCCAATGACGCCGAAACCTATAGCTTGTTAGCATGTCGCCTCGTATATCATTGGGCGTGGCTCGGCGTAAAACTTACCGTGTGGTACACCAGGGTAAACCTGAACCTCGTGCTCCACCCCGTCCTTCGACATCATGTCCTCGCCCTTCGTCCGCACCTCGTCAGGGAACATAGGGTCGTTCTCTACGCACACCAGGCTGATGGGCGACTTCAACCCAACAAAGTCATCAGGGGAGACCAATGTCGCATGCGCCAGTGCACCGGCTTTGATGAACGGACCCTTCTTGCTCGGCCCCTGGCCCTCACCAGCCTCCTCATCCGCAGGCCTGTTCACACCACTCCATCCTCCCTGCACCAGCGCCTTCTCCGCCGCCAGTAGCAGGATGTAACGAGCGCCAAAGCAGTAACCAACCGCATAAATCCCATCACCCGCCGCCACGGCATCCGCGAACTCGGATTTGCATGCATCGATCACCTTCTCGAGCAGCGGCATGACCTTCTCCTCTGTGTGCCGCGCCAGCCACATGTCGATCATGAAGGACTTGGCCGTTTCGACGGCTTTGAGCTTGAACTTTTCCAGAAAAGAAGAGCCTTCCGTTTCGGCGTCAGGCAACGTAGATGAAGAGTTAGGGGCCGGGTCGCCTTCGAATAAGTCGGGCATCACGACCACAAAGCCCTCGGCTGCGAACTTGTCTGACTGGATCTGGTTGTTGGCTGACTTCAGCCCCGTGCCGCCCGTCAGGAGAAGGAGGAGTTTCGAGGGCGCTGTGGGGTAGGATGCGGGCTTGGACACGTATGCCTGGAATTCGTTTCGTTCTTAGCTATGGCCCGCGAGAGTGGTTTAGATGAATTGAGGGACACGTTGGAGAGCTCACATCAATACCGCCCAGCTTGCGTATCTCTCCTTGCGGAGCTTCACCGGCAGCTGCGTGGTTCACATTAGCATGTAATGAGCAACAGCTTCCGCGACGCTGTACCCACGGGTTGGCCTGTCAGTTGTGCAATGTTCGCCCATAGTAGGACCTGTCTGCGCCGGGGTATCGCCAAGGATAACGGGGGTGAGCGCGGGCGTATCTTCCTGTGCATCGCTCTCGGGAGCTTTTGTTGCAACTTCGACTTCCGTCATGTTGGTCGTGATTGCGGGGCAGTGCTACGGGGCAGTGCTACGGTGCAAATATGCTGTCGAGTGTGTCGCGACGGATTGTTCTGATGACTACCAGGGCATCTGCTCAACATCACAAGTAATAGATGGAGATGTTGGGTGCAGTTATAGGACAGGTTGCTACCAGCTAGATGGTGAGCCGCAGCAGTTCATGCCAAGGGTCTAGCTGTTTTGGTGTGGATGTAGGGTGGGATGAATCGCAGGGGATGACGCAGCTATAGCGGGCAGCTGCACAGAGGATCGGGGCAGCTGTCAGTGCCAAGCCATCATTGACCCCGCGCCTGCCTGCGAGTTTAATGGGGAATTTTGAGCAAACGCGTTCGACGTGTCAAGGTAGCCTGAGGCGAGTGATATTTCTAGTTTCTGCCTCCAAGCCCGACACTGCTTGTCCAACACCCAAACGCACCACAATAAGAAGAGTCACGATGTCTGCAGCAGAAGCCCAACGCGCAATTACTCAAGGTGCCTTGGAGTAAGTACACCTTAAGTAGTGCACTCCGATTCGTCTCATTTAAATACTAATGTGTGCAGCGCCATCTTCAACGACGCGGCCAACGTCGACCAGCGCTTTCCCGTCCCCGTTCTCCAATGTCTCCAAATCAAGCCCCTCGCAGCCCAGCCGACAGGTGGAGGAGGTGGTGCCGAACGATATCGAGTTGTCCTGAGCGATCTGCGCAATTATGTCCAGTGTATGCTGGCAACCCAGGCAAATCATGTCATACATGACAACCAGCTGATCCGAGGATGCATCGTGAGGATCAAGTCTTACCAGGCCAATTCGGTCAAGGGCAAGAAGTGAGTCGTGAACTTCTTCATTCGTTCATCCTTCGTGCTGAACAGCGCAGCATCTTGATCATTCTCGACCTCGAAGTCATTGAGAACCTCGGTGCTCACGACCGTATCGGCGAACCTGCCGCGTTCGAAGCCAAGCCCGCGGCACCCGCAACAACCACAACGATTGGCGGTTCGGGCTTCTACGGAACTAAGACCGAGTCTCCGGCACCCGTCAAGTCGGAGCCTACGTCCTCGCGCATGGGCGGTGGTTCGAACGCTGGAGCCGCCAGCCATGGCAACAATGTCATCTACCCGATCGAAGCGCTCTCCCCCTACGCTCACAAGTGGACTATCAAGGCCCGTGTCACATCCAAGTCAAACATCAAGACATGGCACAAGGCATCGGGCGAGGGGAAGCTATTCTCGGTGAACCTCCTCGATGACAGCGGCGAGATCAAGGCGACAGGCTTCGGTGAGCAGTGCGATCAATACTACGACCTGCTGCAAGAGGGAAGCGTCTACTATATCAGTAACCCTTGCCGTGTGCAGCTAGCCAAAAAGCAGTTCTCCCACCTACCCAACGACTATGAACTGACTTTCGAGCGCGACACCGTGATTGAGAAGGCCGAGGACCAGACGAGTGTGCCCCAGGTGCGATTTAATTTCATCGACATTCAGGGGCTGCAGGAAGTCGAAAAGGACGCCACAGTCGACATTGTTGGCGTGCTCAAGGAGATCGGCGAGGTCTCACAGATCACATCCAAGAACACGGGCAAGCCCTACGACAAGCGCGAGCTAACCATCGTCGACGACAGCAATTTCTCTGTGCGTGTTACCGTTTGGGGCAAAGGCGCAACTGCTTTCTCCGCACAACCGGAGTCCATTGTGGCCTTCAAGGGTGTGAAGGTCTCCGATTTTGGTGGACGTTCACTTTCTCTCTTGTCTTCGAGTACCATGGCCGTTGACCCTGATATCCCTGAGGCCCATAAGCTGAAGGGCTGGTACGATTCGCAAGGCCGAGGTGACTCATTCGCCACGCACAGTAGCAAGTCCAATATGCCGACAGGCCGTCAAGACCAGGCTAAGACCATCTCTCAGATCAAGGAAGAGGGTCTCGGCATGGACAACCCATCCGGCGACTACTTCTCCTTGAAGGCCGCCATTGTCTACATCAAACCGGATAACTTTGCCTACCCGGCCTGTAGCAGTGAAGGGTGTAGCAAGAAGGTGGTGGACCAGGGTGACGGCTGGCGCTGTGAAAAGTGCAACGTCTCGCACCCGCGGCCGCAGTATCGTTACATTATGAGCGTCAATGTGAACGACCATACTGGCCAACTGTGGCTCAGCTGCTTTGACGATGTGGGTAGAGTAGTGATGGGCATGAGCGGTGACGAGGCCATGGAGCTTAAGGAGAACGATGAGAGCGCCATAGTAGCTGCTTTCGAGAAGGCGAACTGCACAAAGTTGAACTTCAGGTGCAGAGCCAAGCTCGACACGTACGGAGAGAATCAGCGGTATATTATCCTTGACTTACTTCAGTTGTGTAGACAGTTTGCTAACAGTTGATGAAGTGTACGATACCAGGTCATGAGCGCATCGCCCCTGGATTTCAAGGCCGAGGCGGCGAAGCTGGCGGACATGATAAAGCAGTTTGGTATCAGTTCGTAAGTGGGTTGGGTGTGGTTTACGCGTCAGTGATGAGAAGTCGTTGGTGGGATTGTATAAGCATGCAGTTTGTGCTTAGGCGCGCCATACTTGAGAGTGTAAATTGAGCTGAGGGTCATTGTCATTTACAACATTGCTGGGAATGAGATATGGCGGATACGAAATAGCCAGATGTACATGAGATTCAGTATGAGGTGTCATGCTGGACGAGAGGGGTTAGGGTTCAGTGTTCTCCGTTCGTGCTAGTCACTGGCCTAGTTTGGGTCACCTCTCATAAGTGAGATGGAGGGGGATACTTAGCCTTTGGGAAAGTCGCAATGGCTTGTAATAACACACGAGTACCTCAAGCGGCTTAACATGTTGAAGATTGCTATGCAACGTCTGTTTCCATAACATTCCGGCTAGGGCCACGAGACTGCTGGAGCTGCAAGTACGTGTAACCAACCCAATTAGAACCATCCAGACAGTGATATCATACCGATGCTACAATACTTACTTTTGAAAACTCGCAGCTCGAAGTCCAAGGCTGTCTAGGTACCTCTTCGAGTGTCGTGCGCCGCCAGGTGTAAACACGGATCCGAGAAGTGCCGTGGAGCTCTCACTTACTAATCCAAACCCCACCGGCGAATACTTGATGTCACCATCGACATCCACGAGGCTCCGTAATACGTAAGTCCTCAACATACGTGTTCGTGACGATAAACCGAATAACCCAAAACAAGTGATTGCGCAATGAGCGCACAAGCCATGATAGACAAAATGCCTTCGATAATGAAAGCCGTAGGTAAGCCATCCTCTCTCTCACACCCCGCATCTCGAGTCCCATCTCACTCACACAACCCAGATATAAAAAATGGCAAGGGCCCCATTAGCGCCCTCTTCATCAACCCAGACACCCCCGTCCCCACGCCCAAAGAAGGCGACGCGCTCGTGCGCGTCAAAGCCTTCGGTCTGAACAGGATGGACCTCCTCCAGCGCGAAGGCCAGTATCCTCTTCCCCCGCAAGCCCCTTCCACCATGGGCGTCGAGTTCTCGGGCACCATCGTGTCGTTCGGCCCCTCCGGGCCACAAGGTGATCTCAAAGAAGGTGACGCCGTCTTCGGTCTCGCGTACGGCGGGGCCTACGCCGAGTACCTGGCCGTGAGCGCCAAGATGCTCCTGCACAAGCCCGACTTTTTGTCGTGGCAGCAGGCGGCAGGCATCCCGGAGACGTGGATCACGGCCACGCAGGCGCTGATGCTGGTGGGCGAGTTTAGCAAGGGGAAGACCGTGCTGTGGCATGCGGGCGCGAGTGGGGTCAGTATCTCGGGGATCCAGTTGAGTCTTGATGCCGGGGCGAGTGCGGTGTATGCCACGGCCGGGAGCGATGAGAAGTGCGCATTCATTGAGAAGACATTGGGGGCCACGAAGGCGGTGAATTACCGGAAGAGTGAGGACTGGGACAAGCAGATTCTTGAGGCGACGGGGGGAAAGGGCGTTGATCTGATTGTTGATTTCATCGGGGCGAGCTATTTCCAGAGGAATCTGAGTGTGGCGGCGAGGGATGCGCGGTGGGTTGTGCTGGGCATGATGGGCGGGATGAAGCTGCAGGATGTCGACGTTGGAGCTCTGCTATTCAAAAGAATACGGATAGAGGGGAGCACTTTGCGAAGTCGGGATCCGGAGTACCAGGGTAAGTTGAGGGATAGGTTAGCCGAGTATATCCCGCACTTTGAGACGGGGAAGCTCAAGATCTTGATCGATACCGTGTTTTCCATGGAGGATATTCAGAAGGCGCATGAGCTGCTCGAGGCCAACAAGACGATTGGCAAGATCATCTGTACGGTTCCCTAGGGAGGTCAGACGAGTTATCCAGGTATTGCCACTACCATGGCTCAAGATATTCTCGTAGAATATCACGTTGGACATACTGAAGTTGTTATGAGGTCATTCGGAAAACGCTGCGTTGGGGGGCACCCGCAGACTTGATGGAGGACCAGCCTCGGCAAAGTCAGTTAGTGTCCTCAAAGCGTCTTACATCTTTGAGACGTGTAAACGGACTCAATAGGTGGCAAACGATAGGTTCAATAACCGAGTTGCGAATTGGCACATAACCAGTTTTCCACCTCGTGTTTGAGTGCCAATCCAGGTTGGCGTTAACACCAATTCCAGATGCACCATTATGAGTTTTTAAACCATGAAGCGGATAGTCAAACCCATTCGTAGATGTCAGCTTCACATTGATCACTCGATCAATGTCCCACGTAGACTAACAGAAACAATAGATCCCAACGAAAAACATATTCGGGGTTCTGTGTCCCAGTGTCTCAGAAGGATGTCGTCCAAGGCTATTTTTATAGCTCGTATGGACCACTGTCCGTGGATGTTGGTTGATGGATGATCTCAATTCAAGTTGGTGGAAATTACTCCACGTAAACGGACTCGGCCGCGTCCAACCTTGGTTACCAAGCACGCCTAGTCAGGAACATCAAGTGCCTTGAGTATGTTGATGGTACCAGGCTTACTTCGTACTGTTGGTATACATTTAGCCTGATGACGAAGAGGCAGTTGGGAAAATCCTCCCGGGAGCTGCGCACATTCACCCACCGAAGCGCTTCCTCTGCTCAGCAACTCAAAGCCAAGTACGTGCACATGCAGTTATGCCTCGTCATGGCCATGCAACTGTTGCTGTCGGACAGCACTACTGACTAGGGTCTGTACGGTGTTAGCGAGCTCTTGCACTCACAATTTCCGGGATGTAATGGTCCATCCAGGCTAGGAGACCATCGCCGCTATCAAGCTGTATAAAACTCCGAAGGAACTGGGTGAGGCTCCGATGCGGCGCGACGCTTAAACGGTGGAGCTTCTAGTTTTGATGTGGTTAACCAATCAGGTCTCAAAGCTAGCGGGACGTTTGATGCCAAGTTGAAGCTGCCAACAGGAGAGCAGCTTTGAACCGAGTCTGATGAGCTAACATTTTCATACGAGATGGAGGCCAGCACAAGAGTGAGACATGTTGGCAGACCTGGTGGCTATTCAAGTTGTGGAATCCCAGCACCTGGACATCCGGAATGATTACTTGCTGCGACGTGGACGTCAAAGGGGGAGCAGCCCGTAATCAGCAGATACGAACATTGCGTTGTAGGTTGTTGGTTCAACGGGAAACGGTCCCCGACACCCGAGTGCGGGTGGGTCATTGACTTCCCCCACAAGATGTTTCTAGAGCAGACAATGGACGACTGCAAGCAAGGTGGATTTGTAAATGGCGAAGACTCCAAAGAAGAAACGAGTAAATCGCCTGGAGAATTCCAACTCCCGGAATCAAGTAGACTAGATGGTGTGGCGAAAAGCCGGTCTGGCTGTCCCGGTTTGCCGACGTTCTCGACCTGCCCAGCTCTTGACTCCACACTTTGATCAAGAACTCAACTTCTTGCGAAGTAGGACTTCCCAGACATTTGTCACCCGTATGCAGTCAATCAACATTCTTGGGGGGGGGAAAAAACACAAACAATTTGTCGCCGAAAATCGACGTGGTCACGCCAACTTTGAAGATAGTTCAATCTTCAGATTGACTTTTGACGGCGGCGGCCGTCTCCCGCTGACTAGGGACCACGGAGCGCCCTGTGATTTGAAGGTGGATTCGCAAAGTTGTTTTGCGGGGTCAGCTTCCAGGTCGTTCCTGCAGCAGTGCAAGTTGTTCCTGCATCTTTGGGTCTGAGCGGAGCCATGGTTAACATTACATCAGACGAACTGCGTTGACCTGACATGCACAGCTCGCATCCTCGTCATTATTGCCAGCACTCTTAAAATGGACATTGCAACCATGTCAGTTCTCTATGCTGCAACTCCTCAACTTCCAGAATAATCACACCATGAACGGACTAATATCAGCGCAACTAAGCTCTAGTCGGCCGGACTCTCAAGACCACAACCGCTCAGAACCGCCTAGGCTAGTGGCTTCCCAATTTGCGCAATTTATACCCTGCTCTCACCCCTGGTCGTATCCTGGTCTTGTTCCTTGCAGTTGGCAGCTACGCAGCCTGTCGCGACTCGCCGAGCCAGCAATCTCTTCTCGACCCTCCATTATTGATTACTGGTCGAGATGAAGTGTTTCCCAACTCGTGGATATGGCACAGTTTGTACTACACCATGATAGATGGCTCACAACTATCGCCGCTTCATTGGTTGATATTTTCAGCCGGCTAGCCGAAAGAAGAGCGGTTTCTTTCTTGGGCCCCTTTTCGGCACCTTTCATCGTTATTTAGGGTACACTATTATTGCGCGCTCATTGCCGAATCCATCGAGTCAGCGTCTGCTTGAAAGTCGGCTTGTGATTTGCCTGGAAAGCGAAATAAGTTGCAGAGAATAATATGGGCCTAGTAAGGATGCGACTCCTCTCTGCAGGCTGTCTGGCCCCGCCAGTCAACAACCCCATCGCTGCCCATGGCCATTGCCCCTGTCTATCGCTGCTCAGTATGCACTTTATATAAATGAATTCCGTCTAGAATCGTCACTTTGTTTCCCTTTTCCTTCCTCACCCACATTCGCTTGCAAACCACCCTGACTTTTCAGTCAATTTCATTCGTTATACCACTGCATAGCTAATCGTCGTCAACCTACAACTTAATCCACCCGACAACCAACTCTTATCTCTATCTCTACCCGAGCATCTTAATACCAGTCAAAATGAAGTTCACTGCCGCTGTCCTTGCTTTCGCCGCCGGCGCCCAGGCTGGCTACGCTGTCTCCAACGTCACCTACACCACCGAGGTTGTCACCGCGTATACCACATACTGCCCGTACGCTACCACTATCGTCCATGGCAGCAGCACCTACACTGTCTCTGAGGTAAGCAACTTCTGGGAGCTCGAGTCGAGGTGCATCAGGAGGCGGATGGCCTCGAATCTCTCGCTCAAACAATATGCTAACAAGACTTTCCAGCCCACCACCCTGACAATCAGCGACTGCCCCTGCACCATCAGCAAGCCGGTCTACAGCTCCAGCTCTGTTGAGTGCAGCACTTGCACCACTGCGACGCCGATCCCGTCGTCTGTCAGCTACCCCAACAGCACCATCTCCACCAGCACCAGCGCCGCTGTCACCTACTCCACTGGTGCTCTCCCAACATCCACTGCCGGTCCCACTGCTACTCCCGTCGCTACGGCCGGTGCTGGCAAGATTGCTGCTCTTTCGGGCGCGGCTCTGGCCGGTGTCCTCGGCCTCGCTGCTCTCCTCTAAGCGACCAACTTGCTTTCGCATCACGTCTGACCTACGATTTTCATTGTCCATATTACCTAATTCGTGGGATAATCCCCATTGCTCACGACGGAAATGCAGGCTGAAAGTTTTGGAGTAGGGTGATGGAAGGATGGACTTGCGCGGAATGGCACCACAGCCAGGCATGCACGAGTTCATCTCGATTCTTGTATTTAATTGTCCCGATGCCCGGACGAATACCCTTTTTGGCCGCAAAAGGATTCTCGAGTTTGGCGCGGTTTTCCGATCAGGCTGGAATGGAATGTGGAGGAGTCCATTCTCGAGGAGGCATTCCGGCCCATGCGTGGACGGTTTATGCGAGAGATGTCGGGCGCCTCTGACAAAAACCAATCACCATTCCAGCCAAAGCCATGCCGCTCCGTACCCTATCCAAGTTTCGTTTCTCGTGCTCTGTTGCCAATTGTACTCTTCTACATGGGAAAACATGATAATATAGTGTGGAGTCGAAACCCCTAATTACTGCTGGATGTTGTATTGGTCTCGGTAATTCATCTCGGTGTTTGGCATGTCATGTACACTAGCGGTAAAGACCAGCAGAACATTGCCAGCAGACCAAGTTTTGGTCCAGCAACCTTACACTTCAAGTTCTCGATGTGTTCGATGTGAAGTTGGTTGTCGTGTTCGAGACTTGAGTGTATCACTGCATACCACAGCATCAAGCAACACAAGAGAAATAAAAGGCTTTGGTGGTGCTACAACGCCCACACGGGCCGGTCCAGACTTCGTCTTCGTCGTATTTTCAAACACTTCTCACTCTTATCTCATGTTGCTTAGTCCGATGCAATATATATATACATATGGGCTCTTCCGGATGCCCGAGTTAGCAACATGTCTGATGATCTTGCCGGACGGAAATCCTGGAGCTTTCGCTATTGCCTCGTGGAGTTAAGATGTGCCGGGGTTTGACGAAAGTACCGTTAGCATTTTTGCGAATTGTACTTCATGGTGGTCGCAAGGCATGTTGGCTTACATGTATCATGTAGTGACCCTATCTGCTGGTTGTGGTGGCGGCGCCTCCAAAACATTCGAGGTTTGTTAACTTCAGCTCCAAAATGAAGCTGGATCTCTGTAGTTCACTAGCAAAATACCGTGTCAACACAATTTATTTTGTTCAGCTTCAGCTTCATCGATGCTCAAGTTCGGAGAGGCTAAACGGTCTACTTCTGCCGAACCCTCTACATTCCCCATCCGATACAAGTCAAACAACGAGGGGCAAGTACCGCATAGGAATATATGTAAGCACGACACTGAGATGGTGTCTATTGTGGGTTATTGCGCTTTGCAGTGACCGAAGCGCATATCGAGGACCGATGTTTTCAAAAGAACATCCGTTTCTCATACTCAATGAAAGTACGACTTCGTCTCGATTATCAGTGTTGTTTTAACATGCATCACTAATAAATGCGTTTGGTCAGAAATTGTACTCCAACTTGTGAACGCAATTGTACAACTCGATGAGCGTAACTTAGTCATGTATGCTATAATCACTTGTGACAGTAAAGTGCCCACCAATGAGCAGCTTTTAAGGAACAACCCCGCCTGATAAGAGCCGACCGTTGTTCGCCGACGTTCGCTCTCGAGAAATCGGGAACGGTACAACAGCTCCCACTATAACTACCGCGGGTGATGGTGGTTCCATGAGGCTGGATGGCATGATGTGCCCCATCGCGATTGTCATGGTGGACATAATCACCTTCCCGTCTTGGCGTAAGCTCGCTGCGAATGGATGCTTTCACCAGGCAGCTTATCGTGAGCGCAGGCGCATGATGTCACCGATACTCTTAAGAGGACTACAAGTTATTCACAGTTCACTCTTTGACTAAAACTCTGAATGATGATATGACTGTGACCAGTCTGATAAGCCGCAATCGTAGTTGAACAGGACCGATTTTCTGGATGTGCGCCTCGAGTGGGTTTCCGAGTCCAGTAACCATGATCTTCAAATAAGAGATAGCCGACGCCGTTGAACAGATTTACCTGCAAACGTTTGACCGCAGTGAGGTTCTTTGCGCATCTCCACCCCGAGTCACGCAGCGATTTACAGAGAGATATTGATCCCTCTCGCCCTTTAAGAGGTGTCGCTCCCCCCACGACATACTCATCTCGCACCGCCATCCTCTAACATCCATCCCCGTCGGTTGATTCCGTCATGCCTGACATAGAAAAGACATCCGCGGCACCAAAGAAGGCTGCCGACACGGCTGGCATTGGGACAATTTTGAAGCATGCCGATAGGGGCGACGCCGATGAGGCGCTCAAGGTCTTGCAGGGCGCGGATGGCGAGGTCATTGTATTGACTCCCGAGGAAGAGAAGAAGCTGCTGAGGAAGATCGATTTGAACCTGATGCCGTTGCTGTGCATTGTGTATGGTTTGAACTATCTGGACAAGACGACAGTTTCGTATGCGTCAATCATGGGCCTCAAGGTGAGTGAGTCTTGGGTGGACCGCTGCTCTTCTCAGGTGTACTATAGATTAACTTCTTGAGTTATAGACGGATATCAACCTCGTTGGTGAGGACTCGGCTTGTGATTCTTGCTGTCAAAACACGCTAACACGGTTCGAATCTCAGGACAAGACTATTCATGGGTTGGCTCCATGTTCTATTTTGGTTACTTGGCATGGGAATGGCCGACGAACCGTCTCCTACAACGATTTCCCCTGGCTAAATACTCTTCGTTCAACGTCATCATGTGGGGTCTAACGCTGTGCTGTCTTGCTGCAGTGAAGAACTTCGCAGGAGCAATGACAGTGAGGTTCTTCCTGGGTGTTTTCGAGGCAGCTGTATCCCCCGGATTCGCCTTATTTACCAGTCAGTGGGTGAGTGCAATGACCCGCGCGAGACGAGCATGAAGGATCGCGCAGCTCCGAACCTAAGACCTTCTCCAGAATAATGCTAATACCTACATAGTACACAATCCGTGAACAGGGTGCTCGCACAGGCTGGTGGTTCAGCTTCAACGGCTGGGGCCAGATCCTCGGCGGGTTTGTTGCCTACGGCATCGCCGTCGGGACCGAAGCTCACCCTATTGCGATCAAGTCATGGCAGCTAGTATTTCTGGTCATCGGACTGTTCACAGCTGCTATGGGAGTGCTCTTCCTGTGGTTGATGCCGGATAATCAAATGAATGCCAGGTTTTTAACGCCGAAGGAGCGTATAATGGCTGTCGAGCGCATTCGAATGAACCAACAAGGCGTCGGCAACAAACACTTTAAGTGGTACCAGTTCAAGGAGGCGATGACTGATCCCATGATTTGGTCATTCGTATTCTATAGTTTAATAGCCGATATCCCGAATGGTCAGTGGAATTCTTGGTTGCATATACGGAAGAAGGTGGTGAATGGCGGATGCTGACAACTTGCAGGTGGGATCAGCAATTTCTTCTCCCAACTCATCGTATCTTTCGGGTTCACACCAAAGCAGTCACTATTGGTCGGCACACCAGGAGGCGCCGTCGAAGTCATCGCACTGATTGTGTGTGGACACTTGGGCGACAGGCTCCAGAACAGGCTGGTACGTCGAAACGCAGCCAGCTTCCGAGCATGACTGGCTAATATGCTTGCAGCTTGTATGCACATCTGGCCTTCTCGTCGCCATTCTGGGCATGCTGCTCATCACATGCCTCCCTCAAGATATGAGCCTCGGCCGGCTCATAGGCTACTATCTGACACAAGCCTCGCCCACGCCGTTTGTCGCGCTGTTATCTCTCATCTCGACCAATGTTGCTGGATGGACGAAGAAGACGACTGTGGCAACAATGGTTCGTCCCCTTTATTATTCTCCCTATGAAGAAGTGGTAATCTGTGTTGAGAGAAGTATCTCCTTCAGCACATAAAACGACCCACCTAGCACAAGCTATGAGAAACGATTGCTGATATCGAACGTTGCATAGTACCTAATTGGCTACTGCGTGGGCAACATCATCGGCCCGCAGGTGTTCCAGGCCAAGGACGCGCCTCAATATCGCCCGGCTGAGATCACCATTATCGTTTGCTGGTGTGTATGTTTAGTGGACTTAATGTTCATTTACTACTGGTGCAGACGACAGAATAAGAAGGAGGCGGTCATAAGAGCTCAGCCTGGATATCAGAAGCTGGATGGCCAGGAATTCCTGGACTTGACGGATGGGGAGAACCCTGAATTCGTCTATAGCCTATGATATCTTTCGCGACGGCAAGAATGCGTTGAAAAGGGCATTTTCGAAGACATGGCCTTGTCACATGATATGAGACTTGGATATGGAAATCTCAGGCAGGTTTTCATATTTTGATAAGCTGCCAAAATGACAACAGCCGCGTGAAATCTTGGGATGCGAAGATACGAGAGAGTGTGATTGTCTTCGAGGCATGCAAGTAATGATTACTGGGTGACAATCTGCACCTACTCGACCAAGGCCAGCTCAAAATATGGATACACTTGGTTAAGCAAAATTTCGTGTCACGCCTGTGACGAGACTATAATGGACAAGTCCAGTATTCGATGTAGAAGCGTTAATGATTCCCTCAGTATGTCCATAGCAGTCCGTCGAAAATGCCGGGCTTTCCTTAGGCTACTTGCTGTAGAGGAACCAAGTTGGAATTATTGAGTTATTGATTGGACTTACTTCGTGGAGCACTGGTATAAGCTCGGTGTGCACTTCCACCCTAGGTGGCGTTGCTGGTGCCAGCTGTCACCAGTCTCCTGGCAGCTCATTTGCATTAGAGGCTGGGGCACCTTTGAGTTGCAGGGAGCTCCCATCTCTCTACCCCGCCGAACGCCGAACCCTTTAGGCAGGCGCGCATTCATGTCACTAGCCGGGAGCTACTTTATATTCGAGTTGACATCCAACAAGGCTGTGGAGGAACAACCCGACTTGACCAAGACCGGGGTAACTAATCCTCCAAGTCAAGTGATTGCTGAGCAGTAATCACCAACATTGCAGCAGCCCAACATGGACCAGTGCGCTGCTGTCTGCTTGGCATTCCCGCCAGAGGATCTGCTGGCAGACAACCAGACCTACCACAAGGCTGTAGGCGTTCACCTCACCCAGCTCTCGAAGCTGCTGAAGGAGTCAACCACGACGCTCGTAACCCATGGTCTCCAACTACTGGAGCTTATGGATCCCGCTGTCAAGTCTTTATCCTATCTTGCTGTCCTGCACACTTTGCTCATCCCCAGCGTGTCAGCGCCTCGCGATGTTGTCTTGGAGAAGCTGGTGGTGTTCCTGTTGTCGTTCGACTCAAGATCTCTGCGATACGCAGGATCGCATCTGCTGGACATCCTGAACCTGACCCCCCAGCTGCTACCTGTGAGTACCTTTTCTTGTATTCTCGGGTCTCCCACACGCTAACAGGCACCCAACAGCCCTCGATAGCGGTCCAGGTTCTTTCTGAAGCGATCTTGCGAATCGACCCAACCGGTAGCATGCTCACATCCACGCACACCCATCTTATCAAGCTCGCCTATACTTCCAACAGCATTCATCCGACCCTCCTGCAAGTCATCGACAAGCCCATCGTCTTCTATCCCGGCATGGCAAACCAATCCGATTCAGACGTCGTGTGCGACATGTCAATACCACCCCCCAAATACATCTCGAAAGACTCCGCGCTCACTGTAGTCTTGAAGCCAGCCGCGGTATTGGAATACGACCTGACTTGCGGATTGATTTACTGCGCTCAAAGAGACTGGGCCAAGGCGTATGCGGCATTTGAGAGAGTCGTCACATTTCCCACACGTGAGCAAGGCACGAGTAAGATCATGGTTGAAGCCTACAAGAAATGGGTACTGGTCAGCCTACTTCTGAAAGGCAAGGTGACCCCAACCCCCTCGTACACTGGCCCCGGTGCCAACAAGGTCTATGAGACCCTCGGCAAACAGTATACGAACATTGCATCTTTATTTGAGAGCGACGGCGCGCAAAGCTTGAAAGAGGCAGTAGATGCAGACGCGGCGCTCTGGCGAGAAGACGGCAACATGGGTTTGATTCGAGAGGTTCTAGCTGCATATCAGATGTGGCATGTTCTGAACCTCCGACAAGTCTACACCAAGATATCGATTCCCGAGATCCGCCAACAGACCAAAAGCGCCCAGACAGGCAATATTCTTGACAAAGATGAGGATATCGAGACTTTGATCCAGAACATGGTGGCATCCGGCATGTTGGATGGCATCACTGAGAAGCATGACGACGGTACCAAGTTCTTGACATTCCTCCCTCCCTCCACGGCTCTTTCGGAGCAGCAATTGGCAGCAGAGTTGGCGCAAACCGCCACCCGCCTCAAGAACCTTCAGCCCGTTTTCAAGTCGACAGGTGAGCGACTTGGAACGAGCAAGGAGTATGTGAGACACCTCGTGAAAGATCAACGACGCGGCGGCGACAAGGACAATGACACGATGATGGGCTTCGACAAACAGGTGGATGAAGAGGACCTTATGGGTGGGATCACATCGACCTGATGAAGGAATGCATGAGGCGCGAGGAATTTACATGAGATGATGACACACGCTCTGGTTATTACCCCACATACCAGAGAATAATGACCAAGGCGACGAGTGGACGACAGAGTTGCCACTGAGGCCTGGAAACTAGATAAGAGCAAGATGACATGACCAGACATGAATTCATGGCACAAAAGCTCGATTAGATAGACTTGCTCGAGCAAAAGAAGAAAGTAAACATGACCAATATCCCATCTGAGAGGCTCTTGTCATGTTGCTTATGAAGGATGGCATGAGGCGCATTGCTCATCGGGGGTGCTGTGGTCTCTGCCCAATTCTCATCATGTGCCACTCCTATTCCTCCACACATTGAGCATTGGGGTTTATGCCCAAGAACGGGACTGTTTTGCAGCGTGCTGCAGAAAATACAGTTTCCCCACAGACAACGCTGTGGCTTCGAACCATGAAACTTATGACGCGTCCTTTGATGAAGCCGGGGCCGTGATAGTGTATCCATGCATGTATGGGGCCAGAATCTGGGGTAAGGGACTTATAATCCTAGGTCGTCATATGGGAAGGTCCCTCGACATCAGCGTTCAACGTGCGCGAATTAGAACTCATTCCCAGCCACGGATCTCTAAAATCTCGTGTGTGGTTTTGGGGTCTGAGCTGGTAGAAAATCTTACCCAGAAGTTGCCGATCTCAACCCTTACTCCGCACATATTGGGAAGTCTGGGGAAGCGGAATGCGGGGCAGGACCGGAGTCACGTCCACGGCACAAGGGTTCACACAAGCATTCAGCTTCCTGGAAATGAGGACCTACTCTGTAGTCAGCCAGTGTTCCCCCCATTGTTTCAGCTAAACCTGGAATTACTGACCTGGTCAATTCCGTATTGCGTGTGCGGGACCTGCCTGCTGGGATATCATCGCTAATAACCCCGGGCTGACGGAAGGCGGCCCCCGGTCTCCCTCCCTCCGCATTACCGAGGACCAATACAGCTACTTATAGGATAGGCCCGGACTTTGAAAGACGATTGAGTCTAAGGGAAACTTATTGACCGTCTCTGCCAAACAAACAGTCTCATGTCGAACCTCAAAAGCGAGGAAACCACAGACAACAAACGCCACCGCCATGAGCCACCCCCAAGACGAAGTGCACCGGCACTCCCTTTCAGACCCGTCATCCTTCTGGGCGCATCAGGCGGAACATCTCTACTGGCACAAGAAACCTAACTCAATCCTAACGCAGACAACGAAATCGCTCAAGAGCGAGACTGAGCATCCGCACTGGGAATGGTTTGCGGGTGGCGAGATCTCGACGTGCTATAACTGCGTGGACCGGCACGTTTTGGCGGGGCATGGGCACCAGCCAGCGGTATACTACGATAGTCCTGTCACAGGGACGAAACGGACCATCACGTATGCGCAGTTGCTGGATGAGGTGGAGGTGCTGGCGGGGGTGTTGAGGGAGGAGGGCGTGGGGAAGGGGGATGTGGTGTTGGTGTATAGTAGGTGTTCTTGGACTACTTGGCCATTCAAGCTCTGTTTCTGTTGCTTGAATTACGACAACAGAGTCGATGCAGAATAGCTAATGTGCTGTAATAGTGCCCATGATCCCCGCGGCCCTGATCGGCATCCTAGCCATCAACCGTCTAGGCGCCCTCCACGCCGTTGTCTTCGGCGGCTTCGCGGCAGCTTCTTTGGCGCAGCGCATCGAGGCCTCGCGCCCCGTAGCTATCCTCACGGCGTCGTGTGGCATCGATGGGGCAAAGGGGCCAATGAGCTACCAGCCGTTTATCCGAGAGGCCGTGGCGCTGACCAAGCATAAGCCGAGCCGGGTGCTGGTGTGGCAGCGGGAGCAGCTGCGATGGGGCCGCCTGGAGAAGGCGAAGGGGGAAAGGAATTGGTTCAAGTTAGTGAGAAGTGCACGAGCGAGGGGCGTCAGGGCCGAGTGCGTGCCGGTTGGGGCTAGTGAGGGAGTGTATATCATATATACCTCGGGCACGACGGGGACACCGAAGGGAGTGGTGAGAGATGCAGGGGGTCATGCTGTCGGGCTGCATCTTTCTATAAGCTATCTTTTTGGCGTCCACGGGCCGGGCGATTGCATATTCACAGCGAGGTTAGCCTCCCCTTACCCTTGAATTTCCCCGGTTGGCATCTGGGGACCGAGTTTACATGTTTTCCTGGGAAAGTGACATAGGCTGGGTCGTGGGACATTCCTATATCCTCTACGCGCCCCTTCTCACCGGTGCCGCGACAGTCCTGTTCGAAGGAAAGCCGGTGGGAACACCCGATAGCTCGACCTTTTGGCGCATCATCCGGGACTACAAAGTAACGAGTCTGTTCACAGCGCCCAGTAAGTTACTTCTGTCTACACTGTTCATGTCGGCGCAGAACTCACAGTACCAGCGGCACTACGGGCGATAAAACGGGACGACCCGGAAAACAAGTTCCTGAAGCGAATCGGCGAGGATGGCGGACTGAATTCTCTAAAGGCACTCTTTCTCGCCGGCGAAAGATCAGAACCGTCTATCATCACCATGTACCAGGAGCTCCTGCAGAAATACGGAGCGCCAGGTGCAACAGTCATCGACAACTGGTGGTCTTCCGAGTCGGGCTCGCCCATCTCTGGAATCAGTCTAGTTCCCCATGCCGGGAAGGACAGGAAGACTGAGGCCCGAGATCATCGGCCACTTGGCGTGAAGCCAGGAAGTGCCGGTAAGGCCATGCCGGGTTTTGACGTTAGGGTTGTGGACGATGAGGGGACCGAGCTGGAAAGGGGCAAGATGGGGAATATTGTCATGGCGATCCCTTTGGCCCCGACTGGGTTTCGGACTCTGTGGGAGGATGAGGAGAGATTTCATAAGGGTTATCTGAAGCGGTTCGATGGGAAGTGGCTCGACACGGGAGGTGAGTTATTTCGGCTTATTAACTCAGCTCAGTGACGAATGCTGACCTTGGACAGATGCTGGCATGATCGACGCCGATGGCTACATCAGCATTATGAGCCGGAGCGATGACTTGATCAACACAGCCGGTCATCGACTATCGACCGGTTTGCCGCCCAATGAACTACCTATACTGGCGTATGCTAACATGGAATCCAGGCGCTATCGAACAAGCAATTACAAGCCATCCCCTCGTCGCAGAAGCCAGCGTGATCCCCATCCCAGATGCCCTCAAAGGTCAACTGCCCTTCGCTTTCGTCACGCTCTCCGTACCCGACCACCCTTCATCAGCCGTGCCCGACTCCAAACTTGCCGAGGAAATCCAGAAGCAGGTGCGCAGCCAGATCGGCGGCATTGCGACGCTCGGCGGCATCATTCAAGGGAAGGGAATGATTCCCAAGACGAGGTCGGGAAAGACTTTAAGGAGGGTATTGCGGGAGCTCGTGGAGAATGCGGTACATGGCGAGTTTGAGAAGGAGGTGCAGTGGCCGGCTACGATTGAGGATCTGGCGGTCATTGAAGTGGCTAGGGCGAAAGTGGCCGAGTACTTTAGGGTGAAGGGGAGGACGCATAGAGCAATTGAGGAGAGGGCTAAGCTGTAAGCGAAGTTGAGTCAATACTATGGCCTACAGCGAGCGACTTCTGCGGGTTGGGTTACATCATTAGCCCCTTTATCGCCGCGACTTACATCTTATCCATGCTTTTGTGTTGGCAGGAAATAAGCCAGCTCATCGACCGATAACTGGATTTGCGTAAACGGCGTGGCCACCAGTGCCGGGCCACGAACGGAGTCCCCGGGTAGGTGTCGTGCTCAAACTTGGTCCACCGGCTCACCATGAAACACCCATTCCCAAATCCAAGCCTGATGCGCCGCTTATCTGGTTGTGCTGCGACCGCAAACGCAGTGAGCAAGCCGGACACCGAGCGCGACACCCCCACACGCAAAACGTGTATGCTTGACCATAAAGAAGGGGTCACGACAGACGCCTTCGATCGTAGGGTCGCAAAGCGCCAGCAGCGCATTTCCAGCTTCGGGCAAGTCAAGCACTGAGATACGGCCTTCGGAAGAGAGTTCGTCGAGGTTCTTGAAGGAAGAAGCCGTCAGGAGCTTGGCCCTGGTGCCAATGCAAGTGATTTTGGAAGTTCCACCATGCGGATTTATCTGCAGACGGCCGATGAGGTGGGCAGGGCTCAGAATTCCAAACCAGAGCTGATTAGATGCAGCATGTTAGCTGAAATCCTTATGCTAGGCTCTAGGTTCAGGGAACGTAGCTGGTGGTTGACGCGCTTGACCTGTATAAGTGTGGCATTCGTATGAATTTAGCCAAGCTGCCGCATTCACAGGCAGGATTCTCAAGAATGAACAACATTGGGCAAACCGTAGAGGCTACGCATCACAACCATTTCGCTCATAATCTCCAACCAGCGATCAGATGGATAGCTTGGTGGCATCAACGTGGCTATCTCGACCGTGGACGAGGGTGAACTGGGAACTCAGGGCGCATGGAATTCGCCCCTTTCTGCATACTCTGGTTTCTCCGCATAATGATTGCTGCTTGGTCTTGCCAGGTTGAATCATACTTGCGAGACCCCAATTGGGCCCAGAACCATATGACAGTATGTTCACGCTTTTTCAGGCGCGCAGATCCACATATATTATCTAATCCTCCGCATTGTGCTGGCATATTATCCGGCACGTAGTCCATAGAAGCACTTACGCCATATAAATATCGAGTCACCGGTACAAGGAGTCCAAAAATGAGAACAAACGCAGAATGTGCCAAGTGAAGCAGCAACGCCACCCTTGAGGACTTTGCTGAAAATACACAGATGCGTTCTGAATCCGTCATTCCACCAGTTTCCTCGAGACCTGCGGCGAAATCTTGGGATCCCGTATTGCCGTTACTGAGCTGTAGATACTGGTCTATTGTTTCAATTCAGAGATACCGGCTGTACAGGTCTAGCAGTGCTAAACATAGCGTTCTCTATTGACCGATAAGCTCAAGACACACATGCATTAGCAAGGCGAAGTGTCCAAGTAACCATATTGCATAGAGCCGTCCCAGCGTGAAATTATACAGCCGCGTTAGAGAGTTGCAGCTTTGTTGATATACTCATGATGACGACATGTGCTGGAAAATTGGCTAAATAGAAGGTCCCCGGACCGCGACCCGGGCTTCCCTCCGGAAACAAGCCGCCTTCGCATAATTCTGAATCCGGAGCAACTGGTTGCTTGTATCAGAAACTCGACAATGTGTTGGCGACCCCGACCGCCGGTTTCGGCAACTGTGATCGGCAACTGTGATCACAGGAGTGGGGACGATCTATATCTTTATCCTGGCATGGCGTCGTTACTTGTCATTACATTTGCCACTTTATTGGTATGCTGCTCAAGGTATCTGACCCAATGGCATCTTCGATCACATTCAAGGCAGTGCAGGATATCTGATAGAAACAGGAACGGGAACGACTGCGATGCAGCAACATGGGGGCACTGATAGGAGGATGCCGATAGGAGACTTATCGAGCGCTTCGATTCAGTTACGTCACTTTCCAAACCCATGTTGATAACCAGGTTCTCCAGGCCACCTTCTGCGCGTCCAATGCAACCACATCTTGCAGGGCACGAGGGCCCGGCTTCCAGGGTTTCCATAGGATGGACACACAGCACTCGGCGAATGCGAACCTGGTGGTCGCACCAAAGCCAGTTCTTGTTTAACCGATGATGCAGACCGTTTCATCAGGATGTGAATGTGATGGAGTCTTCCAGACTGCAAACAGGGTTCAGTTGCTGTCATCCCATGATTGACAGAAGCTCTGCAGTTGAGTAGAGCACCATCTTGGCACAGTGCTATGCGACCAATGAGAAAAAGCGAATAGGGGGTTGAACGCCTAATTCGGCAAGGCCAACTGCCACGACTGGAAGCAGTCAGCACTGTAATTCAGGAACACAACTCGCAAAACCAAAGTCATCACCAACAAATCAGCAACATCTGATTTCGGTGACACCCGTGCAAGTGTGGCTAAACTGTGTTTCGCCTCTCGTCACTTTGCCACCGCTTGTGAGCTCTGCTGTTCGCCGCATCTTTCGCCAAGACCGGGGTGTTTCCTTGTCTCTTCCCTGACTCCCGTCACGGGAAGTGGGACATGCGGCGACATGTTTTCTTTGTTACCCTCCAGAGTTACGTCGACTATGCCCACATGACGGAACTCTTCAGACAGCTTGGGATATGGCACCCCCGACCAACAAACAAGTCTTCACTTCCTGATACTGTTACAAACACAAACACGCAAGCATGCGTGGGGGGAGCTATTTCGTGATCGATACACGCACGGAATTATCTGGGGTGCTCACCATCTTTTGCGGGTCATTCTGTGGTACCGATGCGCCTTGTGTTTGCGCTTGTCTAGTAGAATACAATATCGCACATTCTACATGGAAATAGCAGTCCGTTGCATCATGGTTAATGCGCCATTAACTCTGCCATCCCTCCCCGTTGCCCTGCTGAGTTCCACAGTAGTACATGGGCCAGTCAGCGGATCTATTGAAATCAACTCGGAACGTCGAGTGTGATACCAGACAGGTACCACATGTTACAGTATCTTGATTTGTTTCCGGTAGAGGTGGCAGTGACTACCTGCGATTCCCAGGTAGGTGCCTTCTAGGTGCATAAAAGTCCAACAATCTCTCTCAATTGGATTCTTCTCCCCTCCTTCTCTCCTTCGTCTATCTCAGCTACGCAACAATACTTTCTCATCCCCTTGTCAAATATCTGCAACTCTACCTAACTCCAAACAACCCACCAAGAAGTCAATATGGAGGCCATTTTTGCTGCTCAGAACAAGCTCAAGGCAAGCCGCAACCTCTCCAAGATCAAGGTAGTCTACAACAAGAACTACCAACGACATGGAACGAAGTCATACGTCTATCTCCTCAACCGCTGTGGGTAACCCTTGAGGCTCTTCTTTGCCTCTCTCGTTGCGTCTCAGAGACTGGCATGTGCAGAGTGCACCCTGCCTCCTACAACATAGCTTGACCCTTTCCCCCAAGGCAAAGCAAAATCAATGATTACTGACGGCAATATTTGAACAGTCGGCTTTGAGCCAACGAAGCCTGGCCCCTACTATCACGCCAAGCAGGTAAACCAACGAGGACTCGCCGGCTCCAACAAGGCGGTAGGAGGGCGCCTTCGCACGGACCACGTTCTGGTCAAGAAGGTCGACGCCGATGGAAACACTGGCCAGGTCACGGCCGAGGACCAGCAGAATGACTCCAGTACGCACCTCCGGTCTCCCCCTCCCCCCCCCTCGTCTTGTATTTGTTGGCATCCAAAGCTGTCCACTAGAGCTTGTGGCTTTTGTGGGAGGCTCCCTTCCAAGAAATGGCCGAGAAGCATTCCCTTGACCGACTGGGGAGTAATTGTTACTAACAGATTGTCCAGTGTACCTTTCCGAGGTCACCATCGGTACTCCTCCTCAAAAATTGATGTTGGACTTCGACACGGGCTCTGCCGACTTGTGGGTATTCTCTACTGGACTGAAGAACCCCGGTTCAGGGCACAACGTGTTCGATTCCTCCAAATCATCCACTTGGAAGGCGCTGTCGAACGAGACATGGAAGATCCAATACGGCGATGGAAGCACCGCATCTGGCACCTGTGGGACGGACACCTTGACTGTCGGCGGTCTTTCTGTCGAGAAACAAGTCATCGAAGAGGCAACCCAAATGTCTGACCAGTTCGCCCAAGGCTCTGGTGACGGTCTTCTTGGCCTGGCGTTCGGAGCCATCAACACAGTCATGAAAAACGGAAAGTCCCACCCCGTGGCGACACCGGTCGAGAACATGATCTCGCAGCAAGATATCCCCAAGGAAGCAGAGCTCTTCACCTCGGCCTTCTACAGCGATAGAGACGGTGCGAGCGCCGCCGAGTCCTTCTACACCTTTGGCTTCATCGACCAGGACCTCGTCACGAAGTCAGGCCAGGAAATCAGCTGGGTTGACATCGACAACTCTCAGGGGTTCTGGCAGTTCCCCTCCACATCTTACAGCATCAACGGCAAATCGACCACGGTCAGCGGCAACACTGCTATTGCCGACACCGGAACCTCCCTGGCGCTCGTCTCTGACCAAGTCTGCGAGGCGCTGTACAAGGCTATCCCTGGCGCCAAATACGACGAAACGAACCAGGGCTACGTCTTCCCCAAGGACGCCAAGATGCCCAAGTTCAGCGTGGCCGTCGGCGACAAGGAATTCGTCATCAGCGGGCCTGATTTGGCTTTTGCTGATCTTGGGGATGGCAGCAACAACGTGTACGGAGGTGTTCAGAGCCGTGGATCACTGGACTTTGACATTCTTGGTGACTCGTTCCTGAAGAATGTCTACGCAATTTGGGACCAGGGCAATAAGCGGTTTGGCGTTGTTCCTAAGATCTGATTGTATTCGCAACCGTCAACGTATGTGTATATGAGAAATGACGGATGGCATGGCTTAATTCTTACATTATTGATGAGAATGGATTAATGAATACACATTCCTATATTGCACGGGTTTGATGTCTCTATATGACTTATGACACCGGTCATTATGGGTTGTCCTGGTGTCTGTATGCGAATCTCTCGTGAGCAAGACACCTTGCAATATCGCAAATATGATCTGCAGCCAAGTCAGAATTTCTTAATTCGGTCGGGGCCGTCTATACTCGTTTTCTTTTCCTCAGATGAGCGACGCCCCGGGAGGTGAAGATACAGGAAGCGATTGAGGCCAGTGTACTTAAATATGCCAATCCATTCCAAACACCTTTTGACTCTGGTACCAAGACGGCTTTACAACTCTTAGCCACCGCAAGTCCCTATAGTAGTGAGGGCTTTAACTTACCGCTGAGCTCTTGGATTGGACTCTGATTTCGAAATGATTGGCATTAACTAAATGGTTTAGTCACCTCACAAGTATTTGAGTGACACCTTGGCCCCTGTCCCGTTCGGCGCCTTTCCCATCCACCAACGCCACATGGCACTAGTACCAAGTAACACCTACAGACCAACCGAAGACGAGGAGAAAACACGGTCCAATGTCGCCGGGTTGCAAGTCCCGCCCTGGTCAAGTCGGCAAACACGCGATCTACAGGAGCAAGCCTAGGGCGAAATAGATTTGGCCTCACTAGAGAAAGACTTGTCCCAGATTGTTAAGGAGGACGACTCAACCCGGATAATATCGCGTGCCTGCTCCATGGCACCGAGTTCGGCAAAGGCGATGATTCCAATCGGGGCCTGGAAGCAAGTGTAAGAAAGAACTAGAAAAGATGAAGCTGCGACAACTCGACTTATGATGAAGAACCTCGTCTTGGCGAGACCGGAATTTGGGTTCAGGGACATTCTGGTCATTAGTGAGCGCCGAGGTGGAGGTGGGAAGTCTAGTAGAGGTGGCCCTATCTATGTGTTGTAGATAGTCTCTCTGGGAACGGGCTTGGCCCAAAATGGTGGGATTTGCTCGGGGGCGGGGGGGGAGGGGGGGGGTTGGTCGGTGGTACAGAGGGCTCAAGTTGCTTGGGTTGGCCAGGATGGAGGAGCAGTTTGCGCAGATCGCGGCTGCTAAGCGGAGGGATATGAAGGGGAGGGTGAATACAGATTTGCATTAATCGGGGGATATGTAAGTGCCTGGTTCCTGTGATCCAGAGTATGAGCAAGGTAGTATGAAAATCAAAGAAAGTGAATGATGTCTATATATCGCTGTTTCCAGCCTCCTAACTCCAGAACGACGAGCGCAGTTCGTCCATCCACCCTAGAATCTGTAAGTTAAAGAAACAGTCTGTAACGCTCACACAAATGGGATATGATAAAACGAGCAATACACCGAATACTCAATTAGATTATTTCATAATATTGAAATGATCACTCTCAATAGGAAAGATCTTCAACTTCTACTGTAATATCAAAGGTGAAATAACAAGGTCAAAGACTCCATGTCAGAAATGCGCCTCTACGTAGGCTCAAATGGGTAATGCCATTATCACTGTTACAGACAACAGCATGCCCACGTATAAATAAAGCGCCCTGGAAACGATAAGAAAGAAGCAAAGACGGTCAGCTCAACCGATCAATCGACATGACGGCATAAGAGAGATTTCAGTAGTCAAATATAAGTTGTCCAACAACTCTTCAATAAAGATAGAGACAATATTCCTTAACTGGGTTATTCTTCAGGAGGCAACTGACCGTCTCATAGACATAGACAAATCCGGGCCTATATTGTTACTCTATAAAACAACAGGAAAACAAGAAGCGTTCTACGCCAAATTTGGATCACCGGATGTGTGAACGACACACAGAGACCAAGATAAAATGGCCCGTCGTCGATATTCCTCGAGATTTGGTAGGTTCAGTCCAAAAGTCGCGAAATGGTACTTTTAATTCCAGGAAACGGAGATGGACGGATCGGAGCAGGGAATACCCACCAATGACGTACGGGAGGCATCACTCGGCTACTCTATGCAGATCTTTTCAGTACAAGACTCAGATGCGAGCGGCGGTCAATTTTGGTAATATAAATTACGTGAACTGATTCCACATGCGTACTACCTGCTCTCTTTCGGCCTTTTCCCTTGCCTGAAACCTCTCGTATATCACAGCGAAAGGCGTAGGCGTAGATTTGTGTCAAACGACCCGAGTGTTGCCTCCTCGAGGGCATCTTCAACGAATTTTCTTGGCTTCACCGGATTAATTCAGACTTCCTAGTCGGGAAAATCCCAGGAGACGGGGCGTGGTGGACATGAGGCCGGGCGATAGCCAAACCTCTGGAGGAGAGAAAGTGGACAGCGAGTCAAGGGAGCCGTGAACAGAGGGCGACAAACGGCTTCTTGTTGCACGTTCTGGGAGGAAGCTTCGTCCTCGCCACATGTGTGCGATACGATTTGGGCGGAGGGGCAGGGGCCGTGAAGCCGGTGTCTTCGATGTCAACTGTTCGCGCCTTGATGAGCTTCATTCGTCTATTTATTCCCCGCCTAGAGCGCCTGTGTCGTAGTATTCTCCACGCCATTATAGAGGACTGACTTTTCAGCCCCACTCATAGTTCAAATAAGCTGGTTGCTTATGACAGTGGCGAGGAACCCATATAGCATCGCTGACCCAGAATAAATACGTCACGGTCGCACGTGCAGAAGACATCTCTGATTCAGAGGGTAAATACTTTAGGTTTCCTACGTGCAAGACTGTGTATACCTAACCATTCGTCTGCTTTCCCCTGAACCCAACCGCATCCGCTGCATCCTCCTGCCGTGAGCCATCTGCCTCAACTAAGCAGAGCATCACCATCACTCACACCGCGGGCACAGCCTCTCACAGAGGCTTTGCTTCCATCATTCGATTTCACCTGCCCTCCCCAACAATAAACTTGACGAAAACTTGACGAAAGTCGTCTCCATCAATCGACCGTACTGTCAATAGCAAATGGTAAGCAAAAACTCCTCCAAACGCCAGTACACTATGGGCCCCTCCCCCATCACTTTAGCAAAGAACACTTGTAATGAGCCCGACGCCTAACGAAGGAGGAAAGGACTCGTAAGGACTCGTAGCGTGAAAGGCAGGGAGAGCTTTTCCGGAGAGGGCGTCTCATACGACGGCGGTGCGGTGGTGGATTTTGCAAATATTTAAGAGGGTGTTTGTCCTCAAGGGATGAACGACCATAGCCTGGAAGCCGGCGTAGAATCCCAAGATTGGTGTTAAATGGTGAGCACTGAAGCAATGGAGCCAAGGGGTTGAACATCAGCAAAGGCAACTGATGGCTCCCCCACATAGACCAGCGATGTTGAGGCGATCAGCGGGTGTGATGGTGCCCTTGCAAAAAAGCAAGTGATTAAAGGTATAGAAGTTGCATAAGTTGGAACAATCAAAAGATGGATCGTCTATTGCGGATAGTAAACTCCAGGTTGGGGGTAATAGAACCCGTCCGGACTAGGTGTAACAATGCCGTTCAAGCTCATGACTCCGCCAGGCGCAGGATATCCTTGTGGTGCTGAGTACGGAGGGTAAGCTGCCATCGGCGGGGGTGGTGGTGGAGGAGGCAGCTGAGTAGCGTCGTAGTAGTATACCATGCCATTGACCTCTTGCGCAACCAGATTAGAGCCCGAAGCGGTCTGGCTGTTAGCCTGGTTGGCATCATTCTGAGGCTGTCCTTGTTGTGCACCAGGAACAAAAGGAGGCGCTCCGGCAGCATAAGGGGCAGGTGGTGGGTAGTAGAAGTTCTGTTGAGACGGCATCACCTGGTATGGCGGATAAAAGCTCTGCTGAGAGTACTGCGTAGGCTGGAACGGAGCGGCGTGAATAGCACGCTCCGGGATCTGCGAAAGTGGAGTTCCTGTCGAGTGGTGTGAGGGATAGGATGGGTGACAAGCATGAGATTCCTGGCCGAACCCGTTGGATACCTGCACGGGCACCTGATGATGGAATGCCTGTTGGTAGGATTGAGGATGCTGCTGCATCGTGGGGGACTCAATATTTTCCAGTGATACTGTTTTCTGAGGCCGAGGCTGGTGCATGGGGATCGGTACCGATTTGTTTTCCTGGAAGGTCGGCTTCTGTGGCAGAGGGTGTGTCTGCGGCTGGGGCAGCTCGTTGATGGCAGTCTGCCCAAAAGCAGGTGGCCCCTCTCCTGGTGTACCGTTAACAGCAGGCAGCTGCGGCTCAACTCGAGGAGGCAGCCTGACCACGGGTCGAGGAGCATCCAAGGGCATCGGCGGACGAGAAATAGCGGAGCCTGTTGGAGAAACGATGAAGTCCCGCCCCATATCAGGAGCAATTGACGATCGCCGACTGAGGGCAATGCTCGGGGAGTAGTTGCTGCCATTGTAGTAACTACCTCCAAAGACGCTTGTCCGCCGAGAGAAGCCTCCGATGGAACCAAGTCCAGACCTAGGCTTACCTCTCATGCGCTGCTGATTAGGACGCATGGCCCGGGGGATGAAGATGAAGGACCTGTCGGTCGCCGGGAAGATGTAGCGAGGTGCGAAGTTGGGCAACGAGATGCGGACGGGCTTGTCCCGACGCAGGGGTGGACGGTGGTCGGGTAGCTTTGTGTACTGCTTTATGGGGATGCCCGAGAAGACGATAGGTTCCTTCAGCGGCGGTATGTACACCCGAATCTGGACATTTCCCAGGCGCTTCTCAGTTGAAAGGGTTCTATTGATGGGTGTTGAGTTGGATGGACAGGTCGGGATAAAGCCATCACCGTTGGGCGGCCCATCGTCGGCCAATGGGGCAATGTGTCGTGGGTGCCGAAAATGGATGGGCTCAGCGGCGACCGTTTCGTGCATGTCATGGGCCCATGGCGAATTGGTGATGGGATCGGCCGGATTGTGAAGTTGATGGCTAAAGGGCGTAAATGGACCTCCGATAGCACCACCGCGACCTCTTCCCCCACGGCCTCCTCTCCCAAAAGGACGGAAGCCATTGGCCGCAGGGCCGGCATGTCTGTGGTCGTGCATGAAGAAGGCGCCTCTGTTGGGCACGAAAGAGGGGTCCTCGTCCCGCTTCCGCCGGTATTCATCGTGTTCGCGGCGGCGTCTTTCCTGAGGAGCACCTTGCGGCTGGTCCATGACAGCAGAGCTCGAGCTTACGACAATGGGAGCCGAGGACTTGGAGGGAGACTCGGACTCGGCGGCGTTGTCCAAGTCCATCTCTTTCACCGACTCGGGTGGCTGCTGGTCCGAGATGGACAGACGGTTCAGCATGAATTCCGTGTCTGCCGCGGCACCAAGCTTGGCCGGCTTCGCGGCATCTGCACTGGCTGGAGCTTTCGCACGTTTTGCCGCCCCGTTGCCATTGTTCGCACGGCCAGTGGCCTTCCTGACAGCGGGTGACGTCGGAGAGGCCTCGTCGATATTGCTAGTATCGCTATCGTCGGCCGGGTCGTGGTCGTCCGAGGCTAGCGAGCCCTCGGTCAGCGAGTCATCGTCCACGTCCAAATGGTCGACGCCACCGTCCTCCTCGCCTTCATCCTCGACCCTGCGGCGATGGCCAATCATCTTTCTTCGTCGCGGTGCTGCCATCTTGAACATGTGAGGGATTGGCCTTTGACGCGCCGAGGCCGAGTGCGAGGCAGCTTGAAGCAGCTGGGAGCTAGATGATGGTGCTGCCGCACGACGTCTGCGTCGTGATGGATGAGGAGAGGGAGGTCATGCAGGCGGGCCGACGGATGATAGATGCTCCAGAGGCGAAACAACCGCCCTGCGGCCAAAAAAACGAAGGTAAGGTTGAGAGTCTGAAAGCAACTCAATTAAGAAGTCGTAGTGTCCAGTCTCTCCCAAAAGTGCCTCATCAAAAAAAGAAAGGGAAAGGAGAAGAGAAAAACAACTTTATTGCATCCAGACTACCGTGAGGAACGGCACGAAGTCTGGGCGGGTTTCTAGGTGATGAAGTTGTAGTTGTAGCTAGAATTCAACAAATTCGAAGAGCAAAAAGTTCACAATGTAGCAACAGTCAGGCGAGACCAGGCGTCGTGGTGCGGAGCCCGATCGAAGCAGCCCATCATTGATGCATTGATGCCTCCCGGGCTGGGTTAGACCCAAAACCTTCAAATCACATACGGGTTGTCGGTGGTAGTAGGTGGAGCATGCTCCGATGATTGGATGGTCCGTGCTTTATTGATGCTGTCGAGCTGGCATCGTTCAACTTCCAACAAGCAGCAACATACGAATGTGCTCGATGGCCAGAGTCCACAATTTCCGTCAAATCAAATCGACGCCGTTGATGAAAGGCATGCGGCTTGTGTTGTCCTATTGAAGGTGGAGCTTTAGAAGCACTGCACCTATAAGTCATGGTGACCAAACGCTCTTTTTACTTGCAGCGAGAGATTTAAGATCCCGGTTTCCTAGTCTCTTTGCACATTGGTATCCTATCAGCAGTCACAATCACTGACAGGTGATCAAATAGGACTGACAGCTCTCAAAATTTCATTCTATACAAAGCAGACCATCCGCTGATGGAAAACTTGCCTCATACGTTCAAGTGCCAACATGCGTAGATGGCAATGCGGTCGGCATGTCAATTGTGGTTGCTCAGTTTGCATACCTCCGATTTGTTCCCGGAGGGTTGTTCATCGATGATCAATTTGCATTTTATGCTTTGCAGCTGCAAAATCCAACGTCAACCGGCATACCAAGCTTGGCTAACTCATCCAACATGGCTTTTGTGTGGATGAACCACGATGCATTTCAGGTGGAACGGGCTTCCTTCCCATCATTAGCAACGCCGTACATCGGAGGCCGAGAATATCATAACAACAACAATCAACACCAGCCAATCTGATGCAGAAGGCTCCAGTTGCTAAGAACATTGCCTGAAATATCTGCTCAACTGAACTTGAAGCCCAAAGTTCAACAAGAACGACAAGCAGCCTGTGGCATAAGCTTTCACTAAAGACCAAACAATGCTTGTTTTCGGGCCAAAGCACCAAGTACGTCCTATACCACGATTTTAAGCACATTTTAGCAAGTCAATTCTGTCACGAAAGTCTAATGTGAATATGATATAGTCTCGTCATTTATAGTAGGCCTGTTTCAACGAATGGTAGTCTTCCTATTTCCCTGTCCTCATCTAAAGCCAAGGTCCGCAATTACTGTCAAAGAGTTGAAACTTCGACGCGGGCATGTGGGGAGGCAGCCACTTCCCCGAGCTCCACAACGCGACATCCTAGAAGTCGATTATACCTCGGACAAAAGCCCAGGGGCATTTGCCTAGCATCACATTGACACCAGCGAACGTATCTAAATTTGTAGGTTATATCTGTGAATAGATCGTCCTCGGTGGCCTCGCTAGGCCTGTCTTCCCAAGAGGTAGAGCCAGTACACATATCCGACAGTGACATGAGTAAGTATCCTTGGCAAACCCGGGAAATTGTGTGATATGGATAATATGCCCTTGCCTTCCATGACCATCATGGGCAAACGAAAGTTTGTCGACTCTTGCGGAATGTTGGTGAGAGGCCATATCGCATACGGCTCCGGCTGCGTCTATTGTTAGATGTGGAATGCATTCGTAGGTCAAGCCGTGTAGTGCGACCGACCCATCAGAGTATAAAAAATTCGGTTCGGTACAGAAATAATAGTAGTGTAGGTCAAACGCGTCAAACCCCTCGCAATCATCTAGCAATATGTCGAGCTGCCATTGACCCCTCACGTCTAGGATGCGAGCCCAGAATGCAGGCGGAAAGCCGTTTCGAAGCTGCCTGCTAGTTCGCTTTCCGCCGGATGAGAATCTCCTAAAGACTGGCCGTCGGTGTTTGGGTTTCGGTACCGAACCGCTCTCACAGCGCTTCCCATAGACACTACAATTAAGTATGAATTGTTTCCATCGAGCGCGCATGGCAGGAAGGCTAGCCCCCAAGGTGGAATACATCGCAGAGCTTCTCTATTTACGACCTTAGTATCCTCGCACGCAGGTTGGTGCTTCACTACCTCGAGAATGGCAGCTGCCTAGGTAACATGCAACTGCCCCTGACCTGACCTGGAGACACTAAACACTTAAATGAAAGCAATGGATATTAACAAATTACTTCTAGAACCTTGTAGCTTCCAGATGAATGCAGTCCCAAGATGAACTCAGAAACTTATGACAAATTCATGGCATCTATGGGGTTCTTTTCCGCCGCTCGTGACTTACCAGCTCATTGCTGGCTGAAGATGGCAAACGAGTTGCACCGACTGAAACAACTGTGACAGTTTGGAGGCTGACTGGTCAGAAGATCGCGTCTGTTAGCACTTGTTAGCCGGGTCTGGATGATGGGAAAAGCAACATCCCGACCTGGGGTACCTTTAAATGCGAACAATCCGTCATAATTCACTATAACATTGCTTCAAACCACCACTATTACATCTTGCCGCCGGACTATCCCATCATGCCCCTCTCGAGCTCTCTACTACAAATTACAAAGTAAATGTTTCTTTGTTTAACCTCAATCATCTAGGACTTGAGAAGCCGGACAACTTGGGCCATTCCACCCCACAAAACATCCACCTGAGCCCCTGGCTTCTAAGGCTTGCTCTATCTAATACTAACAATTCTTCTCACCGTCACGGTCAAGCACCAACGACGGCCCCACTTTCGCCCTCCCGCTTTTCAACCCCATTCATCATTCGTCGCCTCCCCGATTGCGACAGCGTATCTGCCTGCAGCAAGGCCACACTTTAAAGGTGAGATAAGCACGTACTCTCCCCATCCCTTCCACCTGCTTGCGACTCGTCAGCTTAGAGTTGCTTCCACCACTTTGGCCCAGCTTTCCCCTCTCGACTCTCCGTCCCTGTCACCTGCGTCGTGACCACACATCTTCCACTTTACAACTGTTTATCCGCCCCAACCTCATTCCATCAAACATCATCCATCAAGCATCACCATTTCGAAGCTTGATATCACTTGAAGGAGCCTTGGTCATTCCTCATCCCGTTGTCGGGTCGAGTTACGACTGCCGATACGCTGCCTTGTAAGCTCCCCCAAACGATTACATCTGAACCGGCCTGTAGCAGCCAAATCCACCAACACAGCTAAAACACAAATTGCTTTACTTCATTGCGAACCTCACCACTACATCATCTTCTTGCTCTCCATCACCGACATTTGCAATCTTGCTGTTTGTTCAAGTATTCGAGTGTTTTACTGATATCACATCGATTCTAGTATTTTCGGCATCATGGCTTCATCGTCCAGTGTCACCCCCGATACCCTCATCACCTTGAAGGTGAACTTCGATGGCGTGACCCGCCGATTCAAGTTGCCATTGCGTGATCTCGGTGCCACTACGCTCGAGGACAAGGTATGCTCGTCCCCGCAACAATGCAATTGATGTACACAACAACCAATACCGCCAGTCAATGATTGAAGCACAATCGCCGCCGACAATCTATTCCTCAAATTTAGTAGTGCCTGCTACTAACTTCATTTGCCAGCTGCGTGCGTTCCTCCAGATTCCTGTCGATACCAAGACGATCTGTGAACGTTACTCGGACTCGGCGGCTGCGTACGTCGTCCTTGACGCCAGCAATACCTCCGTATACAAACAACTCTACCGAGCAGCAAAGGCCAAGCAGAAGTTGAAGTTGCGAGTCTGTACGCAAGCTCAAGAGGAGGAATCGGAGCCGCAAGAGACCAAGGGACCCAAACCTGTCACGGTTGAGGACGAACCGGAGCCCTCCCTAAACATATCGGAAAGCCATACCGAACCGGCTCGTCCCGCAACGTCGACGACTTCTTGTAATTCGGTTCCTCCGCCGTCTGAGTATCCTTCCTCAATTCCAACCCCGGCCCCCGCCGCTTCCGTTGACACAATCATTGCTCCTCAACTTCCCGACGAGTTCCCCGAGTTCATCAAGGAGTGGCGATCGCGAGGCATGCCTAGAATCCATCTTCGTCGCAATGGCGAAGGAGAGGAGGTCATTGACTTCCTTGGCGCGGCATCTCCGGCTGAGCCAATGGTTACTTTGGCACCACTCGATTCATCAGACAACAGGCTCCCCGCCGACCGACCTCAGTACCGCTTCTCACAAACCGCCTCCAAGCTTTCCTTTTCCGAGCTGATCCGTCAGGCTCACAACATGGAGCTTGGCAAGAAGGAGAAGTCAGTTGCGGCACCAACTCCAGTCCAGGAGAAGGTCGAATCACCCCGATGCGCAGCACTGAGCGGCCGCATGCGCCGACCCCTCACGGTATGCTGCAACAGCTGTGACAGAGCGGTTCCTGATGCCCACTTTCACTGTTCAACGTGTGACGACGATGATTTTGATCTCTGCCAGGACTGCGTCAGCCAAGGCATTGCGTGTTATGATGATAACCATTGGTTGATCAAGCGGACCATCAAGGACGGAGAGATCACCTATAGCACTACGCACGTGGCACCCAAGACGAGCCGTTCGACCCTCAACAGTCAGAAGACAGCACCCGTTCAGTCACCACCCCAGCCGCAGCCGCAGCTCAACTTACCGTTCAGACCAGCTTTTGAAAACTTCCGCATCGTGCCGACTCAGTCGGCTCAGCCGACCTGGAATACTGTTTACCAAGCCCGCACCTGCAACTGTTGCGTTCAAGAGTTCCCTGAGCAGGAATTCCTGCACTGTACCGAATGCGATGATTATGATCTTTGCAAACTCTGCTTCGCCAAGGACATTCACGGCCATCACCCTAAGCACGGCTTCACTCCGGCTGCCAAGGATACGGTGTTGGAGCAATCCATATCCGCACGCCTAAGCCCTGGTCGCAATGTTGTCCACAACGCCATCTGTGATGGCTGTGACAAGTACGTTCGAGGCGTCCGCCACAAGTGCTTGGATTGCCCTGACTGGGACTACTGTTCCGAGTGCGTGCAGAACGCTAGCTTTATTCACCCGAATCATCGTTTTGTCGCCGTGTATGAGCCCATTATCGACCGGACTTTCCGGTCTATTAACCGCTCTGTCCACACGGGCATCTGCTGCGATGGCCCCCTCTGCACCAGCACCAGCAAGCGAAGCGGTCCCAAGTACATCGTTGGTGAACGCTACAAGTGCGCGGTCTGCCACGACACTGACTTCTGCGAGAATTGTGAAGCCAGCCCTGCTAATACACACAACAAGACCCATCCTTTGATCAAGTTCAGAACTCCCGTGCGACACGTCAGTGTAACCACGACCGGCGAGCACGTGGATGGACAAGTTTTGCCGGCCATGGGCGACCGCAGTCCTCGCCAACGGACGAGCCATAGATCTACCGAAACTGAGTCCGTTCCTTCGCTTCGAGATACCATTGCCGTCAACTCAGTCCAGACTGTTGTTGACGTCAAGCCCGAGCCTCAACAGCCTGCTGACACAACCGAGGCCGAGCCTGAAGTGGAGAAGGAGGTCCTCAAGCCCACCGTCGAGGTACCCACTCCCGACTTGATTGCCATTTTCAAGCATGATACCGTCTTGGATGGTACCGTCATGCCCCCTAATCACACTTTTGAGCAAACATGGGTTCTGAAGAACGAAGGTCGTGCGGCCTGGCCAGCTGGTTGCAAAGTTAAGTTTGTCGGTGGTGATTGGATGGGCGCGGTTGACCCTACCCATCCTGCTGGACTCCACGAACTTGTTTCTGCATCCGAGTCAACCGTGTGCTACAACCAGCTCCAGCCTGGTCAAGAATTTCCTTTCACCGTTTTGATGCGAACACCTGATCACGAAGGCACTTTTATCTCTCATTGGCGTCTAACCACGAGCGATGGCGTCAAGTTCGGTCACAAGCTCTGGTGCGAGGTCAAGGTCCAGGCCGCCCCCAAGGTCAAGGAAGCGGCTATCCTCGATTCCAAAGTCCCCGACATGGGCAAAAGCCAGATGATCATTCCTAAGCTTGACCACGAGTCCCCTGCCGCCAGTATGTATGTACACAAGACTGAGCCCGAAGCTGAGTTGGAGACAACGGAGACAACGGAGACAACGGAGACGGATACTCTGGCACTCTCGAACCGGGACAACGAAGATGAGTATGAGGATTGTGCTGAAGACGATGCGTGGGCTGAGGAGTCTGACGATGGCTTCATGACGGACGAAGAATACGATATTCTCGACGCGTCGGACGAGGAATACCTCTCGGAGCTGCAGAACAAGGTCTCTAAGAAGTAGCGATTCTTTTAGACTTATTCTGCCGTCTCTTCAAGACGACGAATCTGCTGCAGCAGCTCCGTGATGGACTGTCTGGCTGGAATATTCCTTGGATTACTCCATTGGCCCAATTCTGTTGCAAGTGCAGACAACATCACTATGCATGGGCTGCAGCGTGTGCTATTATTTTTACCATTTGTATTTGGCTGGCGGAGTCCGGAATGAATTTCCTAAATGAATTTGCGTTGTCTTCCCATACCGACAGACGTGGATTACGTCCTTCCCCCAATCTCACCACGATACGCTCACTTGTCAAACACAACCAGATTGCTTTTCGATGTGCGGTAAGGCATACATTAGCCTAGTAGGGCTTGCGAGGTAGTTCAGGTACATGAAATCAAGTCGTTTCCGAATGGTCGTGGGAGCTGTGCACGGTGGTGTCCGCCGTTATGACTGTCTGTCTGTGTGTCTTCTGAGAGATATTGTATGACTGACATCTCGATTCGTAATTTTTCCTGCTGCCATTAACTACAGTGCCCATACTGTCTTGACAACATATTTCAGGCTATATTCCTCGTAACAGGCACCGAGGTGGACGAGAGAATGCCGGGCGTGATGGGGTAAAGCTACAGGCTAGCTGATACACTAGTATTATTATCCAAATGGGCACGCCGTTTATATTGTCATCCAGTTGACTGTACCCCCAGTGTAAAATGATCCGAGTGATTGCGGCTTGTAGGTGGAGCTTCAAGTGCGCTCTCGGAAGTCGTGGACAAGCCGGTCCAGTCCCCACTTCTCTGCATAGCGTTCTCCCATTCAGCCTCTTCATCGGGAACAGCCCCACGAATCAGATTTGACACCCTGAACAGGGGTAGCATTGAGCGTACGAATTTCTGGCAAGTTGTCCTCTAGGCCGGGTGAGGATTTGGATTCCGACCGACCGGCGAAGGGTCATTAATCAATTCAACTCTTCATTTGCTGCCACAGTGGACTGATGGGTCAATCTACCGATTCTCTTTCGCACGCGTGTATCGCTTCTTTCTAATTGTTTATTCGACGACTCCTGGTGAATTTGTACGACCAGGGAAACCAATGCGATAGCCGGCCACGCGACCAATCGTCTAGGGTGCCTGCAGTTGTTCGTCCCGGGAACCTTTACGTCGCAATACTTGCGCCGAGCGAGTTCGATTCATAGTTGAGCTGAGGATTTGTTTGTGTGCGAACCGGTCTGGAGGGAATTACAGGTCCAGAACGAGTGCCTGGGATTGCGACCCTACGAAAGGGATTCAGAGGAAACGGAGGCCCTTTAATAGCGCCGAACCTCAGCAGACCCATCCAACATGATGAGCGGTTACGAGAAGAGCGGCTTTGGCGACGAGCCAGAGCCCGGCAGCTTTGTCAAAGCCTTTGATGCATTCCGTAAGAAGCTTGATCGCCAACCCTTGCACGTCTTGCACGTCTTGCACTGTAGCAGAGCAGCTGACCAATTCCTCATCGCAGCCAAATCCAAACCGCAATACGTGACACACACATCCGGCGGCGGCAAGTGGACAGTCACCATGATATTCGTCTCCCTCGTGCTGCTCTGGTTCGAACTAGGGCGCTGGTGGCAGGGGTCGGAAAACCACACGTTCGCCGTCGAGAAGGGCGTCGGACACGACATGCAGATCAACCTCGACATCGTCCTGCGCATGAAGTGCGCAGATCTGCACGTCAATGTGCAAGACGCCGCTGGCGACCGAATTCTCGCAGCGTCCAAGCTGCAGGAAGACCCGACCAACTGGTCGCAGTGGGTAGACAACAAGGGCATGCACAAGCTGGGCAGGGACAGCCATGGCAAGGCCGTCACTGGTGCTGGCTGGCACGACGAGGGGTTCGGCGAGGAACACGTCCATGACATTGTTGCCCTAGGCAAGAAGAGGGCGAGGTGGGGCAAGACGCCGCGCATATGGGGACGAGGAGGCGGAGACAGCTGCCGCATTTACGGAAGCCTGGATCTGAACAAGGTACAGGGTGACTTCCACATCACCGCCATAGGCCACGGGTATACGTGGATGGGTGACCACTTGGATCATACTGGTAAGTTGTCATTTCCAAAAGCCTATGCATGCGGCGGGAAGAAATTAGCTAACCAGCGCACCAGCTTTCAACTTCTCCCACATCACCAACGAGTTCTCTTTCGGCCCCTTCTACCCGTCGCTCGTCAACCCGCTCGACCGCACCGTCAACATCGCCACAAACAACTTCCACAAGTTTCAGTACTTCATGAGCGTGGTACCAACCGTGTACACCGTCGGACACGCCCAGAATTCCCGCCAAACCATCTTCACCAACCAGTACGCCGTTACGGAGCAGAGCCACGAGGTCAACGAGCGCATGGTCCCGGGCATCTTCTTCAAGTACGACATCGAGCCCATCATGCTGACCATCGAGGAGAACCGCGACGGGTACCTCACTTTCCTCATCAAGATCATCAACGTGCTGAGCGGCGTGCTGGTGGCTGGCCATTGGGGGTTTACGCTGAGTGACTGGGTTAAGGAGGTGGTGGGGAAGAGAAGGAGGCAGCAGAGTCAGGGTATGATTGGAGTGGGGAAGAAGGGATACGAGGATTAGATATGCTTGTACATTATAAAACATGGCAGGTTAGCACAGGTTGGGGGGGTATCTCTGACCAGCGGTCATCTTGGGTTCGGCTCTGAAAGATAGGAGGCCGATGGAGTTGCGGTTAAATATCTGTTAAACATGAGCATTTTCTTCCTACTCCATCTTCCCAAGCATCGTTGTGTAAGAGAGTTGCGAATCCATGAACAAACTGGAAAACACCACTAGGTACACAAATTAAGACTTTACACGGTAACAGATATCGTGGTTTGAGTGCTAGATTGAGCCGTGGTTCGTAACATGACCACACTAACCTAGGTTCTTAAGATCACTTGACTCCATGTCTTCGAGACAACTCCCGCTCCAGGCCAAGCTGTCAACTTTGACGGAGACTTCTATGTCTTCTGACTTAGCAGACTCGTCGATTTAGATCGACTGCGGGCAAAGAGCAATTGTTGGTCCACGACGTAGGGGGGTGATATGCTTGTCTGTTGATGTTGAGGAACCATTGACCAGAACTGCATGTTCCCCTCCTACATACACACTACATTATGCATTGCACCCTTAGGCCACAGCTCCGACCTCTACAAGGCTTTTTGTATTTGGCGCAAGCACATGTTAGGTCAGCCGCAAGAAGTTGACCTCAGGTTTTTAAGTTGCTCCAGCTACGGACTGGCGACTAAGCTATGTGGATTAAGCACATACGGCTGTAACCTGCAGAGAATTCGGGATCCCGGCCGCTTTCCCTTGGACAAGCTGCCTAGGGCTAGATTAGTAGTTGTCTCGGCGACGAGCAGCGAATTCCTGGCATTGTATGTTTTGCTCGGTGGCCTTGTACGATGGTTTTCTGTATGAGAAGAACTGTAATTACGAAAGTTCTTTTGCAGCGTGGGTTTCTTTATTTTGTATCGTCTTGATACTTTGGGTAGATGGCTGGGGCAAAAGCATTGGAAGCGTTCGCCTAGTGCGACGTCTGTAGTTGCTGGTCACCCTGTAGTCCCTGGTATAATTCAACCTAAGAGCATGAACAGACTGCTGTCAAGGGCCCGATCTATAGGGCATATGTTATGAGGAGGAGCTGGTCCTCCTTACTCCAGATCAAGACGGGCAAATTTGAGTGGGTGGTACAATAAACGGCGCAAAAGATGGCACAATATTGGGTTGGTTCTGATGTTCCCGTCTATTCAACTGACATAATGTGGTTGTTCCACCTGGGTATGCCGTTTGTTTTATCGTCCACTTGATGGACGAACTACACAGATGTATAGTGGTCACAGACTCTAAGTAACGGAGATGGCCAGGTTAGTAGCCCGGTTTGTACAGCTGATTTACATATGTTACAGCAAGAGTCGAATACTACATGCAACAAGCCAACTATTCAACCCTTGCGTTCCTCCTGTTGGAGTCTCTCGATGAGCTTCTGTGTCAAGAAATCGCCCAGACCCAATCTGCATTAGAATGTTAGTCAGTCATCACCAACATCAATGTGGCAGTTTAACAGGGCGACGACTTACATGCCATCATTGGTAACAATCCGATATGTCCCACTCGGCTGGAACTCGCCCACAATGTGTCCCTGCTCGTTGACTTCCACACTCCCAAGCATATCCTCGGGCTCACATATCCTCCCAAAGTCGGGCACTTTCCGCAAATCCGACACATGCATGAAATGTCCCCCGCGACCTCCACCTCCTCCGCCAGCTCCTTTGTCAGTGCCCAACCCACTCTTCTGTCTTGGTCGTCGCTGCTGGTGGGAAAAGCCGGCGCCGGCGGAGGAGACGAAGGCTTGAGCTCGGCTTTGGACTGACGGGTCTTGCGACACCCATTTCGCAAGGACTTCGTTGAGTATAGGGTAGATTTCGCAGTTCTCGGTGAAGGATCGCGGGGTGGGAGGAAGTTCCGTCGTGGTTCCAATGATAAGTCGAGGCGGGGTGGGAGTGTCTAGGTATGCGAGGACGTGGCTGCCGTCTAAGGCCGCATTGGGGAAGACTTTCTACAATATCGTGAGCAATTGGCCAAGCAACAGAGAGTGACTTGGTGGTGAAGTGGAGGTTGACACTGACTATGTAGCGGTTGCTGTCCAGTGTCGAGATAAAACGGCGCGCATGGAAGCCTCGTAGCACGGGGGCAGCACGTGCCCGTGTTAACAGCATTATTGACAAGCCGTGGTGGAAGAAGTGGTGGTGCTGGAAGATTCAATGCAAATCATACAGCTTCGAGAGCTTTGAGAGCGGTTACCCGGGAGCTCTGGCCAGAAACTTGACGTAGACAAACGAAGAAGATGATGTACGCTAGTCGCGGGGATGCCATGCATCCATCAATCGCGACCCCTGTCTTCAATTTACGCGTCTTTCGAACGCGTCTTGCTGGTAAAGTACTTGGAGTATCACGAGTACTCAAACTGCTTGCCTGCAGGGTGTGCATACTTGGTTCAGAGACAATAAGTGCCTTGGATACGTGCGGCATTCAGAGTCGACAGGATGCAGACAAATAGACCCCAGGCAGCATCGATATTTGCGGCCAAAACTCCCCAGGTCTCGAACCCGATCCCTTCCTCGTCGCCCGCCTTTGGCACTCCCGCCCATACACTCAAGCCTTTCTCCGTTGCACCCACCAAGGCCACCATTCTCCCCATTCTCCTTCCACCTGCCACGCTACGACCTTTGGCTTTCAGGACTTTCACAAAGAAACACAGCCTGACCCTCACATCTCCAGCGCTTCAAGAACTCGCGACCTTTATCGGGAGACACTGTGGTTCAGGATGGCGCGAAGAAGGCCTGGCAGAGAAAGTGTTAGAAGATGTCGCGAGGGGGTGGAAGAACCGCAATGGAGGCGTCATCGTTAATGGAGACAGCACCGAGCTGAAGGATATCCTTAAGGCGCTTGAGGGGAACATGAGTGGCGGAAGGATTGTCACTGGCCGGGAACTGAGTCGGCAGAACAGTCTGGCAATGGAGTCTTTGCAAGAGGCAGACATGACGACTACTCGACTAGGACTACGACCAGCCATGTTAACAAGGGATGACAGCCAAACAAGTTTCGGCATGTCGAGTCTAGGTGTGGACGAGGACGATGCGGCCGACGAAGACGGGTTGAACGATCCTCGGAAGTGGCTGAAAGTTGTTAATGCCTACGACCAACCGCGTATGCTATACAATGTGGAAAAGAAACACTTCGAGAGAGACCCGTCCAAACCTTCGTTGATGCCTTCGGCCTCTCACAAAACGACGCTTTTCCAAAACAGATACAAGGTTATCCACCAGAGACTACTCCGGAATGAGTCTTTCCAAAGCTCAGCCGTCAACCAAGCCAAAGGGCCTCCCTCCCTACGCCACTCCACCTCGTCCGCCCTCACCGCTCAACAGACACACAAAATCACTCCAATATCCAATCTGCTGGGCCGACATGGCAGTCATCACATGTTACTTGGGCTTCTCTCCATCTCGCCAACCGGCACCTTGACCATCAGCGATCTCACAGGAACAATATCTTTGGATATATCCCACGCAGCATGTATACCTGAAAACTCGGCCTGGTTCACGCCTGGCATGATCGTACTGGTCGACGGAGTCTACGAAGAAGAGGAAGAATCCCACGGCAAAGGTCTTGGAGCAAGTAACGGCATTGGAGGCATTATTGGGGGCCGGTTCCAGGCCTTTTTCATTGGCCAGCCGCCCTGTGAGAAACGAAAAGCAACCCTTGGCGTTAGCGGACCAGACGGCAGCAGTCAGGATCATACTATAGGAGGCGGCTTTGGTTGGATCGACTTCCTGGGCGTGGGCAGCGAGCGAGCCGTCGGCTCCAAAATGCGGAAACTGGAGCATCGGATCCTTCGCCCGGCAACACAGGAGCCCGATACTCCCAGCAGGGGCAGAGCCATCATCCTCGGAGAATTGAATCTCGACCAGCCCCGTGCTCTGCAAGCGCTCCACAAGATATTAACCACGTACTTGGCCGAGCCCGAAGGCTCGTCGCCAATGATGTTTATCCTCGTGGGCAACTTCACCCAACACGCCGTCATGGCCGGCGGCGGTGCAAGCGGCGGCAGTGTTGAATACAAGGAGTACTTCGACTCCCTGGCATCAGTACTCTCAGACTTCCCCGCTCTACTGCAATCCTCAACCTTCATCTTCGTGCCCGGAGACAACGACGGCTGGGCGTCCTCCTTTTCAGCAGGCGCTGCGGTACCGCTGCCACGGAAACCGGTCCCGGACATGTTCACCTCGCGCGTCCGGAGGGCATTCGCCACTGCCAATGCCGAGCCGGGCGTCAAAAACGGTGGCGAAGCAATATGGACTTCCAACCCGTCCCGCCTATCCATATTCGGCCCTGCAAACGAGATTGTGCTGTTCAGGGACGACATGTCGGCCAGACTGCGGCGCACAGCCGTGCGTCTGAAGTCACCCAAACCCGACTCGTCAGATCAAGAAAACGAGGCACCGGCCAACCCGGACGATGTCGACATGACTGGCGTCTCGAATGACCAAGATGCCATGGATGTCGACGCCGCAGCCAGCAAAACCGCGGCCACAGACCCCGAGATTCCGCACGATGTGCAGACGGCACGGAAACTGGTTAAAACACTGCTGGATCAGGGATACCTGTCGCCGTTCCGACAGGCGATCCGGCCCGTTCATTGGGACTATGCTTCGGCGCTGCATCTGTACCCCTTACCCACCTCGATGGTGCTCGTGGACTCGACGGCGCCACCGTTCTGCGTCACGTACGAGGGCTGCCATGTAATGAATCCAGGCACGGTACTCGTCGCTGGGCGGCGAGGCGTGGGCAGGTGGATAGAGTACGAATTAGGAGGTGTGGGTAAAGTCAAGGAGTGTCTGTTCTGAGAGGGAGAGCAGGTGTATTCTAAACGAATGGATGACAATTTCTGCATGGGCACGAAGCGATTCCTAACGAAGGTCATGATACTGGTACTATGAATATGACATTGTCGATGAGTTTGACAAAAAAGACTGTGCAACTGTACCTGGATATCCATTTCATCAGACAGGCATAGAAAGTCAATAGAATCTCCTCAGGAAGGCAAATACCAACGACAATTTGAGTTTCGAATGTTGTGTAAGTACGCTGGTTTGGTTGGATGGCAAATAGTGAAACTAATGATTTAGGTATGATTCCTACAGACTTCATAAAGGTGGTTTGAGGTTGAGTAACACGTAATATCTTCGGGAAAGGCTGAAAACTGGTAACCGAGATAACCTAGATGTTGACAGGGTACGATGTTGTATTTTTGAGGCAGCTGAGATAGTAAAGCAACTTTCTTTCAAGACTCGACCAAAGGCTATCCGGCAAGTAAGGATAACAAAGATATGTCATTCGGATGACATATTTCTTGTGTGGAAAAGCAGTTGCCGAAGGACCAAAGACGCGCCAAGGGGACGATGCCGTCAACGATTGTGGGTTACTGAACAGCAAAACAAGTGGTCATCTTGTCAAATCTTCATCTCATTTTAACTCTTACGTCTATATACCTGGAATCCATTTCAGTCCCGCTCGGTGCAAATCAAAATCATGTAATAACCCCAAATTCTCTAGACTCTTAGATAAGTTGCTGGAACGCTCTGTTGATGGGCGAGCGGATGTTGGGAACGTCCTTCCAAAACTCAACGGTGGCAACTGCCCTCTTCGCAATTCCTTCTGGAGTGAACTCGAACTTCTATAGAGTGTGTTAGCAAGGTGTTAGCATAAAATGGTTTCAGGCATTGGACTCGCCTTGTAGACATCCTTGTAGGCACCGGAAGCACCGAATCGGTTGATGCCGAACTGCTCATGAGTGTATCTCTCCCAGCCCATGGTGCTCATGACCTCAACGGACAAAGAGGGGATACCATCGGGTAGGACACTGAGTCTGTACTCCTTGGACTGTGCGTCGAACACCTCGAAGCAAGGAATGGAGACAACGCGGGCCTTGAGGTTGTGCTTCTCAGCAAGATACTGGACAGTATCAACGCAGATGCACACCTCCGAGCCGGTCGAAACAAGGGTGATATCAGCACCCTCCTGCTCGTGCAATACATATCCACCCTTGATCGCCCTATCGATAGTAGAACCCTCGAGTTGCGGCAGGTTCTGGCGGGACAGAGCAATGATGCTGGGAGTGTGCTTGGAGGTGAGCATGACGTAGTACGCAGCGCTAGTCTCGTTACCGTCAGCTGGGCGCCACACCATGCAGTTGGGCAGAGCACGGAAGTGAGCCAACGTCTCGATAGGCTGATGGGTAGGACCATCTTCACCTAGACCGATGGAGTCGTGCGTAGCAACCCAGATCAGGCGGACCTGAGACAGGGCGGACAAGCGCACAGCTCCAGCAGCGTACGAAACGAAGTTCAGGAAGGTACCGCCGTAAGGAATCAGAGTACCATAGGCAGCGATACCGTTGAAAATGGCACCCATGCCATGCTCACGAACACCAAAGCGGATGTATCGTCCAGCGTAGGTACCAAGACCAGTGGAAGGGGCTTGGAAGTCAACTGCATCCTTCCATCTGGTCAGGTTGGAGCCAGTCAAATCTGCGGAACCACCAATGAGTTCGGGAAGAACGCCCTCAATCTTGGTCAGAACCGTCTCGGAAAGCTTTCGCGATGCGATGGCGGGATCGGAAGGCGTGTAAGTTGGGAGGCTCTTCTCCCATCCGGCAGGCAGCTCGCCCTTGAGTCGGCGAACGAGCTCCTCGTGCTCGCTCTTGTACTTGCTGCCGTAGCTCTCGAGGAGCTTGTTCCACTCCTCCTGAGCAGCTGCACCCTTGGCAGCTTGCTTGTTGCACAAGTCGTAGACCTCCTGGGGAACAACAAAGCTCTCCTCAGGATTGAAGCCAAATCGCTCCTTGAGCTGCTTGATGTCGTCGGCCTTCAAGGGTGAGCCATGGACACCGTGGGTTCCCTGCTGCTTGGAGCCGAAACCAATGGTGGTCCTCAGCTTGATGATGGAAGGCTTGTTCTTAACCTCCTGGCACTGCTTAATAGCAGCCTCGATAGCATCGAGATCGTTATCACCATCGTCAACGGTCACAACGTGCCAGCCGTATGACTCGTATCGCTTGACAACATCCTCCGTGAAGGCGACGTTGGTGTCACCGTCAATGGAGATGTGGTTGTCGTCGTAAATGGCAATCAGGTTACCGAGCTGCAAGTGACCAGCCAAAGACGAGGCTTCGGCAGAGACACCCTCCATCAAGCAACCGTCACCCAAGAAGGTGTATGTGTAGTTATCCACAATGCGGTGGCCATCCTTGTTGAAGGTGGCAGCAGTGTGGGCTTCGGCGATGGCAAGACCAACAGCGTTCGAAATACCTTGTCCGAGAGGTCCAGTAGTAACCTCAATGCCGGGCGTGTCGTGAGCCTCGGGATGACCGGGGGTGATGCTGTCAACAGTCTGAAGGTATACGTCAGTAACTGGGGTTTATCCATCATGGTTCGTTGTGGTCTTACTCGGAAAGCCTTGATATCGTCCATGGAGACGGCGTAGCCGTACAGGTGGAGAAGGGCATACTGAAGCATGCATCCGTGGCCGTTGCTGTGAGCAAATACAGGTTACTCGAGCTCTGTAGATGATGTATTGCCTGGAGAAACTTACGAGAGCACGAATCGATCACGGTTCAGCCACTTAGGGTCCTTAGGGTTGAACTTCATGAACTTGTTCCACAGGACGTGGGCGACCGGCGCCATGCCCCTGCAACGGCGTTAGCATTGCATCGTCTTGAAGCCAGTATTATCATTGTCGGCCAATTGAACTTACATAGGCGCACCGGGGTGGCCGGAGTTGGACTTGAACGTGGCATCGGCCTACAAATGTCGCGGTCAGTTAGCATGAGATTCCTTCAACCGTTGAGGCAGAAAATGTTGGCGATGGAGGGGCATTGCGGGGGCGGGGTGTTTGGAGAGCTTAGGAAAACGGCAGCTCACAGCAAGAATGCGGATCGTGTTGATCGCAAGCCAGTCTTCCTTTGTGTAACCCATGATTGCGGTGTTGAGGTATAGTCAATCTCTATGTTATGGGCGGTATGAATGGGTGATGTTGTGACAGGTTTGGCGTGGGAAGAGAGAGGGAGAAGTAGGAGGGAGAAGAATGACGATGATCAGGACCCGGTATTTAGCAAGCACCGGAAGGCAAAAGTGTTGCAGGAGAGTGGGGTTGACTATCATTGCAGGCAGTTGCGACCATTGCTGCAGGTTTATGAAACGCAGGACATATGCAGAGGGACAACAACTCTAGAAATGCCAAGGACCTTCCTATTCTACACTATTGCGCCTGAACTACATCATCCACCGGCTTTCACTGTCTGTAGACTGGTGATATCTACATCGTTGGCTCCGTCCTTCACTACCTTAGTGGCCGCTAGAGCTTGGAAGCCTCGATTCACATCCAAGGCTCTTGAACATTGGGAAGGGACTTCACACGTCGGGAGCAACGCCTTTCTTCGATTCTTCACTGTGGCAACCGCCTTGGCCGACCTATCATGTCATACTTGCTGATTTCAGCAGATTTGCCTTCAAGGACGTAGATGAGGCAACTTGTGTGATGAATGGTTAGGCTCAGTCAGCAACCTATACAGCACTTTCTAAATTCTGCCATCCGGGTGGGTGTCCTCCAGCCTTGTAAATGAAAAAAAAACCCCAAAAGAACATACCCCCACCAACGCCTCCCCTCCCTGGCTTAGCTTGATTCACGATGCCAAATGGTTCCATGATGGACTAAATAAAGTGGTGCGGGTTTTCTTCTGGTTGAGAGCCGATCCCCCATCCTGTCCAGCTGTACAGCCAAGATTTGCAACTATAATATCAAGGCAACATATTCGGCTGGTAAGGAGAAAATTGAAATATATTCATTCCTTTGAATTGCGTACTCGACACGGAGGCTTATTGGTCGGGATTAAAGCAAATACTCGAAGGTCGCTCGATTTCAGGCCGAGGCCGGCAAGAGCTCCATACCGCAGTTCAAGGATGCCTCAATACCTCAGTGGGGGTCACTTTCTTTCAGCGCAGTCCGGATCTAAGGAAAAGTTGAACAGCTGCTCCACCAGTATCTGTCGGACGGCAGTCGTCCGGACTGGGCATCGTGAGGAAATTAGCTTTTGCCCTCTCGCATAATTCATACATTCCCAATCCTCACTGACAAGTGTTGTGGCAACTTGTGAGCTCACATATTACACTCGTAGTCGCAGCTTGATCCTAAGTTTCCATCGTGCTTGGAGGTCATGGCAGTAAGTTGTGGCTACGCAAATCCAAGTCTCAGAAACAGTGCCCCACCAACAAAGATTCGCTTTCAGGCCAGACCCGTCATCTGTATGAGTGATTCAACTTCTGCGGTTATTGAATATTGTCGTAGGCAGCCTATCTCCTTTTTTTGTGACCACCCTCAATATAAACAACGTAGATTAATTCCGGATGATTATTTCGACGCTTGGGAGCCAAGCCAAATCAACGATCCATCCGTCTTAGCCCGCCCGGGAATAATTGATTGTGGTCAAGAAGTCAATCAATTCCGCGACGACCGACGCAAATCAACGCATTTGTGAGAGTCGTTCACATACCTCCAACTGCTTATCTACAAACGCATCATGAACAAATGTAGAATACTGTTGAATGGGTGGACTAGTTTGTCAAGTACCCGCAGCAGACTGCTCTCGTTATCATTAAATACCTGGCTGAGCTGTCTTCGGGAATTGCGTGTCATCTTCTGAGCCTTCATCAGCGCTGTTGAGGCGTATGTGAAGGAGGACAAACAGACGAACCTGGTTTTCTGTGCTTCTCTGTCCCGTTGCGGCCTTCACCCAATACCCACCCGATAGTCATGACTGTGGTATTTATCGCAGAATCTTTGGTCCGTCTTCGGTTCTCGGATGGTATGCCCTCAGTCTCCAGCAGTAAATTCGTCCCTTTGGCTTGCCTCAGCCCACTTCGCCTGTACTTCTCTTCCTACCCTCTCGAGTCGGGCAGCGGCTCGTCGGCTCTCCAGCGTATGCTCCGCCGTGGGTGCTAAGACAGTACTTAACAACATGGGGGGCGCATTGCTGTTGCCCTCTATAGCCCCGGGCTCGTCTTGTTGTCGAGGTGTCGTACTCGTGCTAGCTTCTCCCCGGAGAGTCGGTTCATCTTCCCCAGCCGTCTGACCTTGGATGCCCTTCTCCGTTGCCAAATCCCCCTGACCATTCGCCAAAAGTTGGCAAGGAGACGTAGGTATTAGAAAGGAGTGTAGTAGTACCGGCCCGTTCGATGCATACTCCACCATGATGCGCTGTGGGTTGCCAAGTCCCAGACGCAATGCCGATTCATGCGCAACGAGCGCCGTATGCGACAAGGACGAGAGGGATTGTAGTTTATGCGACGAGCGTGAAGACGTGATGAGTGGAGTCAGAGCTCGGTCGGTCAGGTGTACAGAGAGATTTGGATGTTGTGACGGAAGGTTCGCCATTCGGGAGAGCTGTTTGGTACAATCAGCAATAAGATGTGTCGATCGAAGAAAGAGGTGTGGAGAGAGCTCCTGATGGCATCTCAGTGATCAATTTTGGGTTTTCAGGCAATGTCGCAAACTGAACCACAAGACCTGCGGTTTGACAAGTCGAAGCTCACCTGATCTCGTTCGAGGTTACAAGGTTGGACGTTGCTCGATGTAATTTTAGTTCAGGGTAGGGGTAGCTATGACGGTATCCCGTTATGTGACCTGTGACCAGGCGCGCAGCGCGCTATGGCTAAAATGCACGATGACGCACTAGCACTGCGTAAAAACTGGTGGTTGGGTCTTTCCCCCCAGTAGCTCACCAGCAGCTCGGGCACCTTCTCATTGGTCGATATGGGACCTGTGGACGGCAGTGATCACACATCTTCGTCAAAGCTCACAACACCCACAGTTTGGCTGCCGTCTTCGAGAAGTTCAGGAGTGCTCGGAAACCACTTGTTATATACCTCTGTACATCTACCTGTACACCTTCGATCAAGAACCTCAAAATATAACCCTCAAATTGAATAGCGGATACCTTCTTTGTGCGCACTCCTAGATACGATCAAGCTTTCTATATTTTGAACTCCATGTCGGTTTTCACCTCTACTCGTTAAATCATGCCAATGCTCCACGCACCCCGTGTTCAGAAAAGTCGGCCATGACACCTTTGGCGAGCCGCCAAACCACAATCGGTGGTGGAGATGGATCCTTGAGCTCCTCAGGTTCTTTGCCGCCGCGACGAGCTTGTCCACCGGCGCGAAGTGTGGGTGTTTTTTTATCACAGTTCTCGTTGTCTTCCGGTACTTCCGTCTCTGCCTCCGTTTTCTGGAGCTGCGGCACTGTCAGCAGAGGTTCCTTGGCTAACCGCAATGACCGGACGGCAGAAGCTACGGAATGGCACGTGGATCATTCCTGGAACTGGCGAGCGCTCACAGCGGCAGTTCACTCTTCGAGCCCCGAACCTCGATGGCCCCGGCGATGGCGATGGCATGCGCTCCCTTCTCGAGCAGGAGACGATGGGTGAGAAGCTCCGAGTCTTGACACATAATGCCAGGGTTGGCGCATATGATGCATGGGTATGGTTGAAGTCTGAGAAAGGGAAGGGAACACTCAAGTGTTCTGTTGCATATCTGTTTGCTAGCCTGTGGACCTTCTACCCGCCGTTCGCGAGGTTCCTGGGCCCCATGGACGGCAAGCACATCGTTGCCACCATTACGGTATACTTCCACCCGTGGAGGACGACGGGATCCCAAATCGAAGCAGTGGCGATAGCTGTCGTGGCAGTACTGTACGCTATGCTTGTTGGGACCTTGTCCATGCTCACCTCTGTCGTCGTTGGATCTTCCTGGCACCAGGTTAAGCTCTCTTATGCCCTGATTCTCCTGATTTTCATCGGTGGTGGCTTGGGGTTCATCGGATGGGTCAAGCAGAAGCTGAACAACCCGCTTGTTAGCGTCGGGGTTAGTATCGCGTCCATCGGTATCATCACTATCGTGACCAAGGAGAACTCTGTTCACAGTGGCGTCTTCAGCAACCAGAAGATCGTCCAGTCCCTCAAAATTTTGCTAATAGCCACGACCATTACTACTATCGTCAATCTGCTCCTTTGGCCGGTATCAGCGAGGATTGCGCTGCGAAACACCATGCGTAAGGCTTCCGTGTCACTTGGTGATATGCTGTCCACGGTTGCTAGAGGCTTCCTTAGCGGCGCTGAGGACAACCTGGGCTGTGGGGGTTTCGCTAAGTCAGCCGCTGCTTACAACGTTATTATGACGACCATGAATAAGAACTTGCGGGAATCAAAATACGAGTATTACTTTGTTGGGCGCGAGGAGGTGTACAAGAACGATAAGGCTTTGGTGAGATCCATGGAGCGCCTTGCACAATCTCTCGGCGGCCTAAGAAGTGCGGCGAATACTAAGTTCGAGTTATTGGAAGAGAAGACGAACGGCGGAACATTCAGTGGGAATATGTCTCCCACCAAGATCAATTCTCCAACTTTGGGTCGTTCTACGTCAGGTCCATTGAAAAGCGGAAGTAAAATCGACTTACTTTCATCCATCGATGAAGCTCCAGATGAGCGCAGCGATGTTGAGGATGACCCTTTGCCAACTCTTTTCCGTGAAGCACCTCCCTCGCTAGCTTCAGGAGGTCTGCCTCCAGATGCTCTTAGGACACCATCCGAGATATTTGAATTATTCATCACTCGTCTTGGGCCTTCAATGAAGTCGCTTGTTCATACATTGTCGCAAATACTTCAAGACCCACCATTTGGCGCTCCAGGATCCCCCATCACCGTCAACGAGCAGTACAAGCAAAGTGTGGAAGAGGCACTCAGTTTGTTCAATTCAGCAAGAGCAAAGGCACTTGAAGAGCTTTACAGAATCATAGAGCTCGATAGATCAAGACCAGAGAATGTCCAGGCAGATTACGAGGAAGTTGCGGCTGCTTGTGGTCACTTTTCGTTCACCCTACTCAGCCTGGGGGATGAAATGCAGAGATACTTGGACTCTCTGGATGACTTGGAATACGCCACAGAACAGAATCGTCGCAGCTGGAACTTCTTGAAGTTCTGGAATTATATCCAATTGCGAAACAAGCAGGCTATTCAAGATCCCGAGCAGGATCCCTTCATCAAGCCAGTGAAATCTCTCCGGAGGTCAGCTCTTCCGAAAGGCATACCTGACGACATGATGAAACGGCGAGACTCATTTAGCTGGGACGCTGCACCTCAAGCAAGCCAGTTCTTACGAAATACGTCTCAAAGGCTGTTGAAACTTGGCCGATTCCTAGCCACAGATGACAGTATGTGACGTCCTTAATTTTCTTCAGCATAGGCTAACACATCACCCAGTACGCTTCGGTCTGAAGGTCGGCATTGGTGCCATACTCTATGCCATGTTTGCCTTCATCCCACAAACGCGGCCAATTTACCAACACTGGCGTGGCGAATGGGGCCTCCTCTCGTTCATGATCGTCTGCAGTATGACAGTGGGCGCCGCGAATACGACGGGCTTCTCGCGATGGTTTGGTACACTTGTTGGTGCTGCTTTTGTTCTTCTGAACTGGTGGATCTCGGGCGGCGATGCCATCCCACTCGCGATACTCGGATGGCTCGTTTCCTTTGGATCCTTTTACCTCATGGTAGACCGAGGCAATGCACCACTGTGCCGCTTCATTCTTCTGAGTTACAATGTATCTTCGTTATACGCGTACTCACTATCCCAGCAAGTCGAGGATGACGATGATGACGAAGGTGGAATTCATCCCATCATCAAGACCATTGCCTGGCACAGAGTTGTTGCCGTCTCTATGGGAATCCTCTGGGGTCTTATCATCTGCCGCGTTATTTGGCCTCTATCGGCCCGCCGCAAGTTCAAAGAAGGTCTCTGCGTCCTTTACCTCCAAATGGGCCTCATCTGGAAGCGCGGTCCTCTTGCCATTCTCCTCCGCAATGACTCAACCGGTACATATATGAAGGTGGGCGAGCAAGAGGCCATGCAGCGCTACGCCAACCAACTACAAACCCTCCGCAGCGCTGCCACTAGCGAGTATGAGCTACGGGGACCCTTCCCGGCTGAAGCTTATGGCCGTATCCAAGCATCCACTCAGCGACTGCTAGACGCCTTTCATGCCATGAGCTTGGTCACTCAGAAGCATGGTCGCCTAAGCACGGGTGAGAAGGCACTGCTCTATCACACAGCTGAGGAGCGTTCACAGCTTTGCGCACGGACATGCCACGTCTTCCAGGTGTTGGCAAGCAGTATTATGCTCGAGTATCCGCTGACGGATGCCATTCCCAGCGTCGAAGGAACACGTGACAAGTTGCTGGGTAAAATATTTCGATTCAGGAAGGGGTATGATGATGGAGGGGAAGAATCGACCGGAGAGCCGAACGGCAACGGGAACGGAAAAAGTGCTATGATGGGCACTGTGACCAAAGTGCCCAATTTGGGGACCGTCACAATTGAGGAAACCGACTATGCGCTATTGTACGCATATGCGCTGGTTACTGGCCAGGTGGCCAAGGAACTCAAGAACGTTGAAAAGGAGATCGAGGGACTGTTTGGGAGACTGGACGAGGATGCCCTTTTGTTGCAGTAATAACTTGAAGGCGTCTGGATGTACTTGGACGCAACCGTTGCTCTAGGTCTGTGTGTCTCTGGCAGGCTAGGTTTTTCATGATGGATGGTATCGTTCCTACGATATTGGCAGGAGTTTATACATAGCTTGGAATTTTTTGAGGCGATCAAGGGTCGGCCCCTAGGCTGGAATGCCTCTGTTACTGCGCGAGCAAGAGCGTTTTGTCCCTGATTCCACTTTATGCTTTACGCACATGTCATTCAGTCAAGATCACAAATACCCCTGTTTCCGTTTATTGAATTGAGTACTAGTCTTTTAAGCTCTATACAGAACCCAGACTTTTTCACATATCTACGTGATTAATCGAGTTTTCGAGTAATCCATGGGGAAGTGCGCAGAAAACCAGAGTCTGGAGCGACAACATGGCTTCGCCCGACTTCAACAATACTGGATCACAGCCTAATCCGGGAGAGAACCAAGGCATTGCTAATTATGCCAGTACTGTGGGAAGCTGTGGCCTCAGATATGGAGGGGTACAACGCAAACAGGCACGGATTGTAATATCTAGGGACCCCTCGGGGTCAAGTTGGGATTGGTTCCTCACGCACCTTTATAGTACCAATACAGCCCCCGGTAGTTGGAATCCGAAAATTTCCAGGGAACGGAGTAGTTTCCTCTCACTACCAGAAGTTCCCATTCTCAACTTTGCTCTCGCTGACAGTGTAAGCAGGCAAGATTCTGGGTTATGTGGTTGACTAAGCGGGAGCATGTAGACTCCCAACTGCCCCATCGGAAGAACAAGTATCGCTAAATACTGAAATACGAACTTATGTTTCAATCTTCAAATTCTCTACTCTGGACATTCTCTTAATATTCAGAAAAACTCAAGAGTCCATCATTTATCTGTGCGTCTGAATCCCAACTGAAACCAACATGCTTCGATTACGCATGAGAACCATGCTGCGTAGCACATAACTCTCTACACTCACTCGATTCTGTAGCAAGAAGCAAAATCTCTATGTGTTCGCTCGGTCATTCAGCACGAGATTTACCGGCCAGTGGCAAATATGGCATTAGAAGCACCCTTCGCACTACATTATGGTCGGTTGGCGTATCCATGGAATCTATACCGCTGACTTGATAATGCTTTTACAGTGAGCTCGAAGAAGCTATTGAATACACAGTGTTATATGACAGATCATCGAACAGCAACAAGGAATTTTGGTATCGGCTGGAAAGCAAAGCCAGCTCGCTGGAGAACAAAGCGAGATCATTCGAGGACACGGTAGACTCCCGTCAGCGGTTAGAAAGTCAGAATATGAGGGGTATTTCAGACTTTGAGCACCGGCGAAGGAGGATCATATCCAATACTGCGGAAAGGTGTATTCTGGCACAACATATTACTAACGTGCTATTGGCAAAGGGTCAGTGGATTTGGAGCAGGCACGTTGAATAAACTCTACTCTTCAACCGTTGAGGCCACTATCGTCGAACTGGTTTTATACAACATAATACTGGCCCCCAAATTTTCATCCTTCAATATAGCAGGATCACTTGTATGTCTGCTTAGAGTTGACCTAGTGGCATTCAGTGACCTTTGATGGAATTTGGCGTGCATGGAGCTAGAGATGCAAGACTGATGCACAACTGGGCATCTAGATGCTGCAAAGCTGCGACATGGCAAACTCTATAATTGCTTTTGCAGCTCCTGGAAGCCATTGCCGCGGGAGACGACGTAGCTTCCCATCTAGATTTAGAAACATGCGCAACTGCCCAATGGAGAAATGAGCTCATTGCGGTTGATTTAGGTGATGGTGATGTCCCATGTGTTTCTGGCTAGTGTAACCCCGCCACTCCTGCCGCCCGCCGGGCACTGCAGATGGCACAGATCACGACCCCTTGAGAATTCCAGTGCATCTCTATATGTTGACTTTAGCGACATCCCAGAATGAGTGAATTTGTATTTTATTCATCTTACTTCATTGGCCTATGTTGGGAAGGTCTACATCAGATGTCTGGGCATGTTCGGAGAGGTCTGGCACGTGGTTAACCAATTGCTTCGAAGCTTTGTGTCTGTGTCTGGGGCACGGTGGCAGAAATCGTTGTCTGTTACAATACCTGACCTCGAAGACTTATTATACTTAGCATCCGGCATGGTCACACCTCTTCTTAAGGAAGGCACAGAGTGAACATAATCATAGTTGGGCGAATTAATCAGCCAACACAGGTGTTAGGGTGCCTGCCTCTGGTCATTTATTGGAATGCCCTGAACTATTCCACTGGATGTACCGTTTAGCATTCCGTCATCCGCTTTGGGGCAATGGCGATTTGACCCCAGAGCCCCAGACTTGTTCGATTTCGGGGGTAAACTTGCTAGTGGAGTCTGATGCACTGTTTCCCTGCTCCAACGGGGTTCGTCTTTCCACACCGTTCGTTACTTTAGTACCTTCCCTGTTCGACCTCGGGTTCATGATGTTCTGGCCCACATCTTTGATCGGGGCCTTGTCTTCTGATTGGGAAATCTCACTTTGTGCAACTTCTCATCTCTCTCACACTTGTCGTTGAGACCTTCAAGCTGCACCTTCCAGGTCAGGTCGACTCGTTCGTATCTGATCAGACTGATCTTGGGTGCTACACGGGTAACAGCTCCGCAGTTAAAACCGGCCAATCGTTGAGGTTCCTCCCCACCAACATATTCCCAGGAGCCAGATTCAAGGTCCTTGCCAGCCCTGCTCCTTCCCTCAATTGTCCTCGTGCGTTGTTGGTGCGCATACGATCCAAGACACCTTCTTCAACTTTCTCATAGACTCGCACCGGTGGCCCTTGGACATTAGGCCAGAGGCTGACGCCGTACCACCAAGAAGCATCTCGCGTTGGAAGTTGGCGGCAACAGCCATTCTTCTTACATTAAAGTAACATATTTGTGCGTTGGGAGAGTTTTGGGCCTGAGCTGTCAGTGGCCTAGCTGCTTCAGACGGTACGTCACTCGTGGTAGCGCTTCCGACAGCTTTGGCCAGAGAGACCCTGTCAACTGCCAGTCCACCCCGTCACCATCAATCAGGTTGCCGTGAACGCCCCTCGCTACGGCTACAGGATCTGATGCCAACTTCAAACCCATCCGACCAGCCAAGCCCGCCATCACGATTGTCGTCCACCCGCCGAGTGCGCTTCCACGACATGGCACCCAAAGCATACGACGAAGAGGAGCTCTCCATCTCCCTGTCGCCCTCGCAGATTCGGAGACAGACCCCCGGCGGCCGCGTACCAGAGATTAATGTCACGTCGCATCCAGCACCCGAATCCTCGCACAGTGGCGGTCGTCACGGCACCTTCTTGCCTAACCAGCCGGGCACCCAGGCTCGAGATAAGATCAAGACGGAGCAGCGCGTTGGCGCATACAACATCCTGAAGACATTGGGCGAAGGGTCCTTCGGCAAAGTCAAGCTGGCCGTCCACAGGAGCACCGGCCAATATGTCGCACTCAAGATTATCGCGCGCAAGAAGCTTATTAGTCGTGATATGGTCGGTCGCGTCGAGCGCGAGATCGAGTACCTTCAGCTGCTGAGGCATCCTCACATCATCAAGCTGTACACTGTGATTAAGACCCATAATGAAATCATCATGGTGCTGGAGTATGCTGGCGGCGAACTGTTCGACTATATCGTATCCAACGGCCGCATGGACGAGGACAAGGCGAGACGATTCTTCCAGCAGATGCTATGTGCGGTGGAATACTGCCACAGACATAAGGTCGTGCATCGAGATCTCAAGCCCGAGAATTTGCTGCTGGACGACCAGCTCAATGTCAAGATCGCCGACTTTGGTCTGAGCAACATCATGACGGATGGGAACTTCCTCAAGACGAGCTGTGGAAGCCCCAATTATGCCGCACCCGAAGTCATCAGCGGCAAGTTGTATGCTGGGCCTGAGGTGGATGTCTGGAGTTGCGGCGTGATCCTCTATGTTCTGCTCATAGGACGGTTGCCCTTTGACGATGACCACATTCCTAGTTTGTTTGCAAAAATCCAGCGGGGTGTCTTCACGATTCCTGGGTGGTGTCCCGAGGAAGCGCAGAAGATGATCAGAAAGATGCTGGTGGTCAATCCGATGCAACGCGCAACCATCGATGAGATCAAACAGGAGCCCTGGTTCCTGAAGGACTTACCCTCATATCTTGCCCCTCCGGTCGAAGAGTTTCTCAATACAGGCGTGGACCCTAATAAGGCCATTAAACCAAGTGATATTGCCCCTCATGCCCCTCAACGGGTTCAGGAGAAGCTGCATAACGAGGTTACTGAGAAGATCAGCAAGACTATGGGGTACGGAAAGAAGGATGTTGAGGACGCCCTGGGCGCAGACGAGCCATCTGCTATCAAGGATGCGTACATGATAGTCCGAGAGAACAGGCTGATGCAAGTAAATCGTGAGTCGACTCCCACCGAACCCCTCGTTGCATTTCTGTACACCCGTTCGCAGCTTGTCCAAGCAGGACCAGACTCGCCAGACCTTCACCCAAGCCCCTCCCTTGGCCTTTATTCCATTCTTACTGCTCGTCCACAATCTGGAGCTGTTAACATCTGTTCATTGGCTGCATGGCATAATAAGCTAATAATATGGATTCCGCAGCTGCCTACGGTACCGGCAACGACAACCCGTATTTTGCGGCCTCGCCGCCCACTGCCAGTCACGAAGAGAGCATGGCAAGCGTCAACACCGCTTTGAACGAGTTATCTCTCAACAGGGAACACGAGCTTCACGAGTCACAGGCCAGTCCCCTAGCGGATTCAGCCAGATCTACGACCTCGACCATTACTAGCACTTCGCCCCGTGGCTACGTCAGCAAGGTTGGCATCCTCCCAACGAGTTTGCCAGCTCTATACAAGGAGTACCTAGAACGCCAGAATGCGGGTGTCGAAGAGCCACTGAACAGCCAGCCGGTTCCTGATATCCCCTTGCAGCCTCGGACTCCTGCCGAGCAACAAGAGGCAGTTCGCCGCCTCAAGCCACACTCCAAGAGCGCAGTCAGACTTGATGATAGCAATACACGACCGCAGACCATGACACCGGTCGCGCCCAAGAAGCCGAGGCCGGTTCGCTGGCAATTCGGTATTCGCTCACGCAACGCCCCCTGGGAAGCCTTGCTTTGCATTTATAAGGCATTATCAAAGCTGAAGGCGACCTGGGTCGTTGATGAGGATTATGAAAAGGTCCATGAAGAGTATGTTTTTGCCAGTTGCTGCGTATCATTAGATTTACTGACTTGATCAGGGATGGCAGTCGCGGTCACGCTCGCAAGAATTCATCTCATAATCCGTATGAAGGGAAGGCCCCAGAGGACATTGATCTCGCAACTTTCGACCCCCTCAAGTACTACCGCCTCCCTGCGGACCCTTGGCACATTATCTGCCGCTGGACCAAAGAGGGTGAGTTTGATATCTGGTGGGACTAATCTGGCAGTGCTAAGAAAGTATAGATATCCGCAGATCCTCGGTCTCTTCGGGCACCACCACTGCTGAAGCAGCGTCTGAAGACAATACCTACGTATACTCCGTGGTTGACAAGCGCCAGCAGGACTTTGTCAACATGCGTATGGAGATCCAAATATACGAGATGGAGTATGGCGTCTACCTTGTGGACTTCAAGTGTGCCGGCTACGAACGACCCGACGGAACGATGCTTGAAGAGAAGGACGTGATGAGCCCATTCCCATTCCTGGACATGGCAGCTAAGCTCATCATGCAACTGGCAGAGGCGGATTGAGGCGGAGTTTTCTTCAAGTACTCTCCAAGAGTCAGTATCTGCACGGGTCATTTCACATTGTTACCGTGCTTTATTCGGATCATAGACATCCTTGTGGATTTACCCCTGGAATCCTGTAACCACACAGGTGTCATTCGAGCCATGAAAGATAACCTTTTCTGGTTTCCGACGTTTTCAGGGAAATCACCACTCTTCATTTGGTTCAGCATCGACGGTGTCGCAAAAGACCTGCATTAGACCCCGAGATGGCTGCGAAACTCTTGCACACAAGCGCAACTTGGGCGGCAGGACAATCCGCTCATTGGTATGGAATTTTGAGGACACGAATGTATGGATTATGGAACATCTGCGATGGAGTTTTAGGGATGCAAGTAAAGGAAAACGCGAGGTGGAGTCTGCTATACCCCCAGAGGAGGATCGATTTGTTGATTTGGATTGGCGAGGCTCTCTCAATTTCCCCAAAGCCATGGTATGAAGGATGGGTTGTGTGTTCTTGCATGGATAGGTAATGGTCAACAAGACATCAAAGTCTCGCATAGTTTATGGCATGGCACACAGCATTGTTGTTGTTGTTGCTGCTTTCGGACAATCCAGCAGCAGTTTCGCTGGCGGTGTAACGAGCCGGTGGAGATCACGAATCATATCTGTTGAGGACAATCTCATTACGTACAGTCAGTCCCTTGAATTGGCGCCCAGATGATAAGCTTGGATCCGTTGTCCAAATCCGGCCAAGAGTCCCGGGCTCCCGTTAAAGAAGGTTCACGCGGCTTATGTGCTTGAGTCAGATGCATGAGGCCGGAAACCATTCCGGCCTCCTCAGCCGGTCAAGGCCGGCTTGAAGAGGTATTACCAAGCAACGCCCTAACCTCCACTGCCATTCGGCGCGATGCACCGGGCGGTCGCAGTCCTTACACGGATTCCGTCAACTGAAGACGGTTCAATTAGGCCACAATGCGGAGCGACAGCACCGGGATCGATGGATATGTTCGGCCGTCAATGTATAATGACTTTCTAGGTGCATCCGGCTGAAGAAAATAAAGTTGTCACGGACGGGTAGGTGCACTCTGGCACTGCGGTATCGACACCACTGAGAACGCCGGGAAACATCGCGATGGCTGTCGTGAACAGGCGAATGGAGTTGGACACTGAGCTGGGTTGGAGTCTGACGTGGGTCTGTTCGGCAATGAAAGCGAGGGCAACACACAGCTCCTGATGCAATGACGACAGGCTCAAATTTCCTATCGGAAAGCTCAAGGCTCGAAGTCACGCGGGGAAACGTGGAGGTGAGGCCGGAAGACTTCCGGCCTCAATGTATATCTACAGGATTTGTGGCGGTTTAGCGTTTTGGACAATTCTCTTCCTTATTCCATCAGAGTTCACCACTCTCCCCCGAGTTCCTACATGCAAGTGCCCAAGTGAACCCAGCTATTCTCAAGTCAATTTGTTACCATATCAACCTTCTCGTCGTCTTTTCTTTTACACATCAAGACACTCACACGAACACTCCCAACAAGATGGCATCCCCACCACTCTCCCCCTCCCTCCCCTTCGAGGTCCTCGACGACACCAAGCCCGCCGACAACTCCCTCCCAGCCTTCATGGTGTCAACGACGCGCGGCTTCCTACCCCGGATGGATCCCATCGTGTCCCTCCCCGCCGAGTTCGACATGGTCGAGTCCATCCTCGCGCGCATGCCCGTGAAGACGCTCACGGGCGAGCCGGGCTTGCTGTTCTACGGCACCATGGGCGACGTCGTGCTCGATGAGCTGCCTGACTTGACGGATGCCGTCGAGAAGTACAAGGATGACTTGCCGATGCAGAATGCGCTGTATAGAGATTATTCGTTTTTGGCGTCGGCGTATTTGTTAGAGCCGTGTCATATTCGCTTCATGAATAAGCAACCGTATGGGCTGGGGAGGGATAGGTTGCCAGTGCAGTTGGCAAGGCCAATTGCTAGGTGTGCTGAGCTGTGAGTATTTGGTTTTGATCTGTCGCTTGCTTAACTTTGCTTCTATTTTCGTCTTTATTTGGTTTTCTTGGTCGTGTGCTGTCAGGTGTCAAGTATCCAATGGCTTCATCCATGTTATGTCGTCATTTTCTTGAAATATATCTCATCACTACCGGTTGATACATCGGCATGATGGCCTACCCAGACCCTTTGGCCTATTTTGTCTCTTTTCTTCTTGTATATACACTATCGTCTTGTCATACCCCGACACCCCTTACCCTCTGGAACCCCCTCTAATACATCTAATGTCCTTCAAGTGTCACTCACCATCCTCACCTTAAGCAAGAGTCATCTCCGTTCTATTCAAGACACGTTAATCTTTCAAACTTACCAAACGAGAATAACTTGCTAACCAACCCCACAACGTAGTTGCGGCTTCAAACCATTCATGGAGTATGCAGGCTCCTACGCCTTGTTCAACTATAAGCTCGTCGATCCCGTCCAGGGCCTAGCCTACGACAACCTCCGCCTCATCCGCGCTTTCGAGCATGGATTAGACCCAACATCTTCGGAAGCCGGGTTCGTACTCATTCACGTCTCCATGGTGAAGCACTCTGGCCCCCTAGTCGCCGGCGTAATGTCCTGTCTCGACGCATGCGCGCCAACCGCCAACCACTCATTTCCCCTGTCCCAACGCAAAGCTTTCAACGGCGGCCTAACTTCCATGCTCTCGGCCATGGAGAAAGTAAACGGCGTCATGGAACAGATGTGGAAGAAATCCAAGCCCACCTCCTACACGTCGTTCCGGACTTTCATCTTCGGCATCACGTCGCAGTCCATGTTCCCTAATGGCGTCGTCTACGAGGGCATCAACGACGACAAGCCCCTCGAGTTCCGCGGCGAGAGTGGCGCCAATGACTCCATGGTCCCGCTTCTGGACAACTTCCTGCAGATCGGCATGCCCGACACCCCACTCACCGAGATCCTCAAGGACTTCCGCAGCTACCGCCCCGGTGACCACAAGCGGTTCCTTGAGTGGGTGGCCGGAGAGTCGGCACGGCGGGGAATCCGCAAGTTCGCGCTAGGATTGGGCGAGTCCGAGGACGGCGAACAAGGAGACTTGCTGCGCGAGTCGAGGGCGCTCTGGATCAAGCTCATGAATCAGGTCCGCGACTTCAGATGGCGGCATTGGTGTTTTGCGCGTGAGTATATCCTTAAGCAGACGAGTCATCCAACTGCCACGGGTGGAAGTCCCATTGTGACGTGGCTGCCGAACCAGTTGTCGGCGGTTATGGAGGATATGGCCGAGGTATATACCCAGGTGGGAGGTAGTGGTGGTGGGCTGGGCAAGGATTGTATAGAGATTATGGAGTTGGTTGAGAGGCAGAGTGATGGGCTGAAGAAGGAGGTTAGCAAGTACTGTGCAGAGCGGGGGGTCAAGGCCGCTGGGTACGCTTAAGGGTTGGAGAGATAGGGGCTTTCTGAGTACTGGAGACATGTTTTGGGAGTCAAGGATACGGAGGCAGGTTGGTTCGGTTTAGGTCGGAGATAATATACACGATTTAACTCGTAATTCAGTTCTATGATATGTATTCATATGGAAAAGTAATATATCCCTTGCCAATTTCTTTGTCTTGAAGTCCGCAGTCCCGGACTGACATGAAGGCTATCACTTGAGAAAAAGGCTCGATTTAACATTGTCTACATCAAGAACGTGTCATCTCCTATGAGAACCAGATTTGGTGGAGCGGGAATAGTTTGGCAATATCGACCGAGATACTTCAAATAAAACTGACTGGGAATTTGAACAAGCCAACCTTACGATAGCACCAGCACAGCACACGCCCATGGTTACTAGTTCGTTGTAACAACACGATAGTCGCGACATACTGGTGGCATCTCTTAGTGCTTGTCTGGGCCATTGAAATACACCATACCATCGCATCGATATATACAGAGGCCAACCGTCTCTGGCTCGCCTGCGGTCCAGTCCTGTGTGATACGGTGAGTCAACACCCTTTAAAAGATCCCGAGATATGGGACAAGGCGGCACTTCTTGCTTGTATATTCTTATGAGTAGTGTGAGACTCTGGGCTGTCTCGGCTCTGGAGGAAGCTGCCTCATACTCATACTACTAGGCCCAGCTCTTTGAGCATCGAGGCAGATAGGTCTGCCGGCTGGCCCGGTCTCTTGGGTGTCATACTCTGAATTTGTGTTACCATTGCTGTTCCCTGGATACCGGCTGGAGGGCAACATAGGTAAACGTGGGTCATGAAGCTGGCATCGAATGGATAGAGACAGTCTCAATCACGACCGTGGGAGTAGTACAGCTGACTTCCCAGTCTTGGAATACCAATTCATTTCCGGCTACTCTATCTCCAGCCACTCCGTAGGATTGACTATTTCGTGCTCGTCACAAAGACAAGCCGTCCCAAAGACGAAACCAAGTGCTAGTCGTACAAAAGAAATCAAGGCATTACAGGTCATCTTTCTTTCTGTCTCTGTCCATCGAGCGCCAAATATTAAAGGTATCTCTCAAAAAAGAAGCGCACCAACGGTACAACTTCCCATACTAAGGAAAAAAATAAACTCAACGGTTGGTGCCGACAGCTTTGTACGAACGGTTAGTACCCTAGTTACTACCTGGGGGGTGCTGACGGAAGTAAATACCCAAGCCGACACCAAGAGCGATCGCGATGATGATGAGCACCACAAGGAGAAGACAATACCATTTCCACTTGCGGGCATTGCGCGCGCTCTTGATGCCCTTGCCCACGTGAACATTGCCCTCTTCGGTCCACTTGGTCGTGTTCTCGGCGTTTTGCTCGGCTGTCTGCACGGGCGTTTCCTGCTGCTCTACCAGAACAGCTATATCCTGGAACATGGATGCCAGCTCGATCAAAGTCTGCTCAATTTTCTGCAGCTCGTTGTGACGTGCCCGCACATTGCCCAAGACGGATGTGGCCTGACCGGTACGGTTGGTACGCAGCTGGGGAAATTCGTAAGTATAGCAGTCGCAAGGAAACATGGGTGGATGGCACATACAGCAGTTTGAAACACGCCCTCGTTACCCCAGTCGGCCTCGGTTGCCTGGCGGACTTCGTCATCGCTCGCCTCTGGGTTCACAATGCGGTATTGCCGCGCAATCTGGTCGCGGTAGCGTTGGCGGTACGAGCTCTCCTCTTTTTGGTAGTTCTTGAGCTCGCATTCGAAATCGTTCTTGATGGTGTTGACCTGGCGGTTCTTGAGCGCCTCGCTGCCGTCTGTTGTCCGACTGGCGTCGGTGGCGAGGAACTTGAGCTGGTCGCGAATGCCCCGGTTGAGCGCTTGCGTCTCGCTCACTAATCGCTCGAGCTGCTGGGCCGAGAGGCCATTATCCGACTCGGCGAGAGCGCGCTGGTGCAGTGATGCGATTGCTTGGACGTTCTTGGTTAGGGTGCCGATTTCGTCCCGGAGGAGGCCGATGCGCTGGAGGAAGTCTTGCTGCGAGAGGGATCCGACGGGGTTCGAGTCCTGAGGATATGGTTGCATCTCGTGGCCCTGGAATCCATCGCGTTAGCCTTCTCTGCGCCGTCTGCAGTTGGCGGAAGCGATGGGATTGCCGTCCTGCTGTCCGCGACGATTTGTTTATTGTTTCGCTTACCTGATTCTGGTCGTAGCCATATCCCTGCTCGGCCTCCGGGCCTTGCGAGTAGGGATTGTTTTGGTACTGGCCATAAGACATTGTGTCGTTTGAAGCGTTGAAGGCGACTGTTGCCTACTGTAGCGAAATGCTGTCAATTGATGTGGAAATCCAACGTAACACCGAGAAACACTGATGCGAAATGTCTGCGAAGAAATGAGGTGAAGAGGGTAATTGAGATTGATGAAGATGCCGGTTTTCAGCCCAGTAGCTCAACGTTGGTTAACGTTACGATGGCTAACGTTACGATGGCACTTGCCCTGAGCGCAAGCTGGCCGGGGTGATCCTCTTTGAGAAATCGAAATCCTCTTTGAAAAATGACGTCCCAGCACGTAGAGTTGTGCGAACGGCGCTTGTTCCTTCTAGTTAAGTGAAACAAGCTGGGGGAAGGGACAGGGGTTAGAGAAACAACGGTGTATAAAGGCAGATGAAGATGGACAAGAATATATGGGTTCCAACCAGAATTTTAGATGGAATGGAAACTTTCGAATCACTCACCTGGAAAGGTTTTGTCGTCTACTTAAGGTACTTCAACGGTCGTCCCAACTGAGCCTGACTGGGCGTAGTGCTGACGAAGGGCTGTACAACTCGACAACCAAATTGAGCTTGAATGTATGGAGTATGCGCCCCTTTGCTGCTTGACGAGGCTTGCTGCCGTAGGCGATCTTTCAGCCGCGGAATATGCTCTTCTTGGTACCGTCTAGCAGAGCGCGATTTGCGGGTGAGCTGGGATCGTCAATTGAAGTTGCTTCACGAGCTTGTGGACTGGATGAAGAAGACGGTTTGCAACAGGCAGACACTTTTGGTCGTTTGGCATGCGAGACTTTGGTCAAACCAGGCAAGCGTGGGAGAGGTTCACAGCCGCCCTCAGCAATTCTAAAAACAAGCACAGCCTGCCTGGATGCGCGCAGGCAAATGGCGAATGCACCTTGGTAGCGTCATCCTTTGGTGGCTGTGAGCCTCTGATGCCGGCACTACAGATAAACTACGTTGCTGCAGACATTTTGTCGTATTCTCCTACAAGTCCGACTTATTTCTGGTCTTTTGGCTTGTCCCGATGAATATAATATCCCGCCTTGCCGATTCTGTGCATGAAGTTCGTATAGGCCTGCATCAACTGTTGTATTAGACTTTAATGTTGTTATTCTACCAAGTATATCCGATTGGCCAATATTCTGCTGCCTGAGATAATCAATTGCACAATTATTTTATGTGGATGGGGGGACTAGGTAGCACAATATTGAGAGCTTCCCAATTGGCATTGATTTTCTCTCGGACCTGCATCAACATGTGAGGCTGTCAAACGGTATCACCATGTTCTAGAAACAGCACGTTTTGGCTCGAAACATCACCACAATACTTTGCCCGGGACACTCTTTGACAGCCACCCATGCAAGACTTATGATGCTGAATTCTATAGACTACTTTCTTTGGCCAATGTGTCTCGGTCTCGCTCTCGCGGATCAGTTCGTGTTGTGGTCCTACATTCAAGCCGTGCCTGTCAACACAGAACCCATGTAGGTCTCCCGAGTGTCAATTAAGTGAAAGAATGGCTTTGAAGCCCCAACCCAATCTTCGATATCAGAGGATTCAGATGGAAGGCCAGCCAGGCCATCTGCAATACTGGCGGTTATTGAGAACGATTCTGTTGGCGATCTCAAAACAAACTCTTTTCCAAGCCTGAATTATGGCTTCTCAACAGCACTCGCGACTGGCACAATGGATACTTTGCCATTATCGTCACCAATATCATTGGTGACAGTTGAACTCGTTCGGATCCTGGGCGAGCGCAGCCTGAGTCCCCATGTCGAAACCACCATTCAAAGCTGCTACGCCGTAGTATGGAGATTCATGTGGATTCGCGACCAGTTCCAGCAGTCTCCAATCCGTCATGTGTTCCTATAAGGTTGGAACATGTATCGTGGTTGGCGGTATTCGTTGCGCATCGATCTTGGTATTTTCACAAATAGTCCTTCTTTCTGCTCGTCCTGGTATAATTGTTCAAGTGCCACTCGACGTCGCCGTTCTTGTCTTCTAACGTGCCACTTCGAATCTCGAAGACCTTCATCGTCATCCGAGGTCCAACTTCAGATAGTTCGACGCTTTGATGGCCCGTCCTTACGAAGACATGATGACGGACCTCAATACTATCATCAATATTTTTGAATGTCACCACGCGGCTCCCGAGTTTCGCCTTGCTTGTCGCAGGCTCCCGCGGCGGAAAGATGTGTTTGAGGATCTTAACAACCCGTTGACCGAGTCTACTTGAGAAGCCATCAAAGATCAAGTGTGGGTAGGATTCAGAGACGGTTCCTTTTATGCTGTTCGGGATGTCGAGACGCAATACCACATTGTGCAGAGAGAAGGATATGGTCGGCCCATGGGGGAAATGTGACAGAGTCAATGCAGTTGGCACACCACGATGTTCATGGAGCAATATGAGGTCGGAGAGCCCAGCCGCTTGGGCAGATCGGGTAAGTTCGGGGAGGATGAGGTTGCCACGGTTCAATCGTATGGCGGTAGGCAAGAGCAGACGAATCTCTTTCGCGAAGGCGGCGAGTCGAGCTGAGGGATCACGACTCGTGGTGACAAGGACGCGCGGGTCGACAATTCCAGACAGTTGAGAGTATTCATCGTCCAAGTCGAGGTCCTCATTCGCAGTTCTGTCTGGGCGAGATTCGTCGTAGGCGAAATCCTTCCTGAGCGTCTTGTCGTTTGCTATCGATGGATCCAATGGTCTTCCTGAGGCGAGCGAGCTTCTCAACTTCGCTCTCTTCTCGCTAATTTCGGCATCGCGGAGGAGCATAGCGCGGCGATAGAGATAATCTCTACGCTGCCGAGCTTGTTTGCGAATCATGGTTGCTACTTATTGGTTCCTAGGGCCCAGATATGGTTTGGAGAAAGAAAAATATGTCGAATACCGAAGCTCGAACATGTGGTGAGCACGAGAATGGATGTTGGACTGGTACTAAGGTACCGTGAGTATGCAGAAGTGAAAGAGATGCGCCCCTCCATGAAGTTTTCCGAAGTTCTCGTCGAGCTAGCATTCACGGCAACATGACTTTTTTAGGCCATATCGGGCCGTGCACTGCCTTATCGGTTCGATAAGGCTGTGTGCACCACAGCCAGCATCACCCTGAAAGCCTGACCCAACCTTCAAAAGCAGATCGCGAAAAAAAGAATTGAGACACTTGTACCTGGCAGACGAAGCGATTTTGTTTGTCGCATAAGAGCCTTCTGGTTGCTGTCGCTTCTTACACACCAGAACAGGTCAATAATGTGATCGCTTCTCTCTTTTCCCCCAATCTTGACTTACTCAAGCCGAACCAAGGCTTCAAGAACCAAAACGTCCATTCATCACCAACGAGCGAGGTATGCGACTCTATCCCTTCGAGCCAATTTTTCTTTCCCTGCACTACAACCTGCATGCTTTCTGGGATTGTGAGACAACTCCATCATATTTCATGGCTGACCGCAATTCGCAGAACCAAAGACTGTCCCGCCGCAATCGAGCCCTAAGGTCCGTCATGGAGGGGGCATTCGCCCATGTGGGCAACCACTTGGTGTCCGATTCTGCCGCTGCTATCAACGCCGGAGAAGACGATCTGTCCACACTCAATCCGGATGGGGGCTTACTCTACGGAAATTACAGAGGTGGCGGTGGTCTAGGAGATGCCAGACGCCGAAACGATGACGACGACAACGACGCAGAAGCTTTTGACGACGATGATGCTGAGAGCATGGCTAGTGTCCCTGTCGCGGCCCTGAACAATCTCAACCTCGTCAGAAACACGCCCGAGGAGGAGAAGAAACTTCCGGCACATGCTTGCGCGTACGTAAACCGTCGTTTGGCCCTGGACGATGCTGACCGAATGTAGGTACTGCGGGATTCACTCGCCTGGCTCCGTCGTGAAGTGCCTCGCCTGTAGCAAATGGTTTTGCAGCGCTCGTGGAAATTCCAGCTCTTCTCACATTGTCAACCATTTGGTCCGAGCACGGCACAAAGAGGTCCAGCTTCATCCTCAGTCGACTCTCGGTGACACGATCCTCGAATGCTACAACTGTGGCACCAAGAACGTCTTCCTTCTTGGCTTCATCCCCGCCAAATCTGACACCGTCGTGGTACTTCTCTGTCGCCAGCCGTGTGCTGCGACCCCGTCTTCCAAGGACATGAGCTGGGATATCTCCAGATGGCAGCCCCTGATCGAGGACCGTGGATTTTTGCCGTGGCTCGTATCTGCTCCAAGTGACGCCGAACAGCTGCGCGCTCGACACCTGACTCCGCCCATGATCGCCAAGCTCGAGGAGATGTGGAAGGATAACGCCAGCGCCACTGTTGCGGACTTGGAGAAGGCAGCTAGCGTCGACGACGACCCTCATCCGGTTCTTTTGAAGTATGAGGACCCGTTCCAGTATCAGAACATATTTGGGCCCTTGGTCAAAATGGAGTCGGACTATGACAAGAAACTCAAGGAGGCCCAGTCTGAGGATGGTCTGGTAGTTCGCTGGGATTTCGGGTTGAACAACAAGCATCTTGCTAGTTTCACCTTCCCAAAGCTTGAGTCTGGCGATGTTAAACTTGCTGTGGGCGACGAGATGCGCCTGAAATACAAGGGCGAGCTTCGTCCACACTGGGAAGGAGTGGGCTACGTGGTTAAGATCCCAAACAATCAGTCCGATGAGGTCACTCTGGAATTGCGTAAGACTGGTAACGACAAGTCTGTGCCGACCAATTGCACCCATAACTTCTCAGCCGATTATGTCTGGAAAGCCACGTCATACGACCGCATGCAAGCCGCCATGAAGACTTTCGCCGTCGATGAAATGAGCGTCTCCGGCTACATCTTCCACAAGCTGCTCGGCCATGAAGTTGCCGTGGCTCCCATGAAGACCAACCTACCTAAGAAGTTCAGCGTCCCCGGTCTTCCCGAGCTCAACGGCAGCCAGGTCAGCGCCATCAAGAACGTTCTCTCCACCCCCTTGAGTCTGATTCAAGGACCGCCCGGTACCGGAAAGACGGTCACTTCGGCCACCATCATTTTTCACTTGGCCAAGATGAACAATGGCCAAGTTCTCGTGTGCGCTCCATCCAACGTTGCGGTCGATCAGCTGTGCGAGCGGATCAACCTCACGGGACTTAAAGTCGTGCGACTCACAGCCAAGTCCCGTGAGGATGTTGAGTCGTCCGTCAGCTTCCTCGCCCTCCACGAGCAAGTCCGCATGCTTGATACGAATCCGGAGTTGATGAAGCTCACTCAATTGAAGAGCGAGCTGGGTGAGCTGTCCAGTCAGGACGAGAAGAAGTTCAAGCAGCTGACCCGTGCTGCCGAACGCGAGATTCTGAGCAACGCCGACGTCGTTTGCTGCACTTGCGTCGGTGCCGGAGATCCCCGTCTCGCTAAGATCAAGTTCCGCAACGTTCTCATCGACGAGTCTACCCAATCTGCTGAACCCGAATGCATGATTCCTCTTGTTCTGGGCTGCAAGCAAGTCGTTCTTGTTGGAGACCACAAGCAGCTTGGCCCGGTTATTATGAATAAGAAGGCTGCCAAGGCTGGGCTAAACCAGTCTCTTTTCGAGCGACTCGTCCGACTAGGCTTCACACCCATCCGCCTCAATATTCAATACCGAATGCATCCTTGCCTTTCCGAGTTCCCATCAAACATGTTCTACGAAGGTTCCCTGCAGAATGGCGTATCTGCGCCCAACCGGCTTCGAAAAGATGTGGACTTCCCGTGGCCCGTCGCTGAGATGCCCATGATGTTCTGGTCTAATCTTGGCAACGAAGAAATTTCCGCCTCTGGAACGTCTTACCTCAACCGAACAGAAGCGTCCAATGTAGAGAAGATCGTCACCCGCTTCTTCAAAGCGGGTGTGCGTCCCGGCGATATTGGCGTTATTACCCCATACGAAGGCCAGCGCAGCTACATCGTTACCACGATGCAGAACACCGGCACGTTCAAGAAGGAGGCTTACAAGGAAGTCGAGGTCGCATCCGTGGACGCATTCCAGGGTCGTGAGAAGGACTTCATCGTCCTGTCTTGCGTCCGATCGAACGATAATCAGGGCATAGGTTTCCTGTCTGATCCTCGACGTCTCAATGTCGCTCTCACCCGTGCCAAGTACGGTCTCGTCATCATTGGAAACCCAAAGGTCCTTTCGAAGCACGACCTGTGGCACCATCTTCTCGTCCACTACAAGGAGCAGAAGTGCTTGGTCGAAGGCCCTCTGACCAACCTACAGACCTCGCTGCTTCAGTTTAGCCGACCCAAGAACCACTTCCGCCAGCGCCCACAGCCGTCTTACGGCACAGCCCCGGGGAGCTATGCCAATGGCCGCTCTGGTGGCTTCAACGGCGCAGCGTCAACCCAGGACTTCGATTCCGGTTCCATTATGTCGTACATTCCTGACGATGCCTCGAGCATTCACAGCTCGGCTCTTGGCGGTGCTGGACTAGCTAATACCGCATTCCCCCAGATGTTCTCCAGCTTCAACCCGGAGCAATGGCCTGGTCTTCCTGGCTTCAACGCCAACTCCAGTCGCATTGGCGGCAAGCGAGGCGGCCGTGGAACTGAAAGCGTTGCCGGTGAGAGCGTCGCGACTTCTGAGTACACCGATGCCAGTGCCAGTGTCATCGGCGCCAAGGGGGTTGGTCAAGGAGGTGTCAGTCTGGGTGCCGGTCTTCAAGATGCGCTTCGCTCTCGGCCTACCTCGTATACTCATTCCGATCGACTTAAGCAGTACGTGGAGAGCTCTGGCCGCCCCGCTTATTCCAACGGCTATGGGCGCCGCTACGATGACGACGAAAAAAGCGTCAGCACCGCTTTCGCCAGTCAGATTGGCGGTGGATTCGATTGATCTCACCCATTAGTGGCACGGGAACGAAAGAAAAGCTTGTCTTTTGATTCTGCACACAACCATACAGGCGATGAACCTATAGGACATCTGCATCAACCATGTCAACGCGTCCGTTGAGGTTTCAGCTACAGCTTCCCCAGGGAAAAGAGCCTCGGCCTAGCATGACAGCTAATGCTTGATCCCTTGAATCCCCCAAGGTTCCCGCGGTCTAACCCCCCTGAGCCGCCGCAGAGAGACAGGGCGCTGCCAGGTCTCATCTGCCCCTCGCGCCAATCTCCCGGTACGATTTGCATGCGTTACCGCGGTTGGCTGGTTGGTTGCCCGCGAGTGATGGACCGCAAGCTAGGAAGGACGACGATGGTGTTTATTATGAACCGGTAGTTGATTACGCATGAAATCCGGCAACTGGCAGGATCGTGGAGGCAACAGAGAATAGACTGTAGGCTTTATTGTCGCCGATAGAAAGACAAGACAGCGAAAAGCACAGATACACATACATGCATGCATCTTGGGCAAATCTCGCACCAAGACTGAGCTTCTCGCTTCCCGCTTTCTTCATACACCCCGTGGTAGAAAGGCGACGATAGCTAGCCCTGCGGCCATTCGTGGTTCTGCGACAGTCATGGCAACAGCGGGTAAGTTTTTCTGTCCGCTGTTGCTCTTGCACTGGAACTGGCTCAGATAGATGGATGGGATGCCTTAAAAAAAGCAATGGTCGTCAGAGTCGCTCGTTAATACACGCTCATTTTACCTGTATTTTTGTTAAATCAGCCTTGAGGACCAAACCCCCTAGAGATATTGGAGCATCGACACATATGCATACATGCTATTGACAACATATCTATGTTGTTGGAATCTTTGACATATCCCCTGAAAACTCAAGTTCTATACTTGGTACACTACTATTTGCGTTATGTAACAACTAACCTTAGTATGTAGACTGTTTTTATCAATTTTGCTCTTTTCTGTCTATCTGACTATCGATCTACCCAGTGCCCTGCAGCTATCTGTAAATGCACTTTGCGCCCATCTCTAGTAATCTACACGACAACCCCTTCTCTAGAGAGCGAGACAGTCCGTCCAGTCCTGACGCGTAATGGCTTTTTCACTGCGCATGATCAATCATCCTAGCATGAGCGTACTAACGCTACCTAGGTATTCGAGTGGGTTGAGAAACTGCCCCCTGTAACTTTGCTCAGATTGCTGACTAGTGACTTCTGGACGAAGTCGTGGCAGTACTTTGTTTGCTTGCTCAAGAACGCCTTTCCCAGTGTTTACTGAAGTATTTAGACCGTCAGACGGACCTCTAATTCTGTTTGGACTCGACTGGCGGTCTTGACACCTCGTCTTCCCTTGCTCACGAGCAGTACACAGTCAAATCCATCTAGCCGATCCACCTACGAGCCGACTTGAACATCCGGACCCACGGACCAAACTCGCCCCATTCCTCGAGGGTTTCGGCGGGGGGAAGGTAGCTACCCACATCAGCCATAATTGTACGTTCGGGATGAGGCATCATAGCCAACACGCGGCCATCCTTGCTCGAAACACCCGCAACAGCACTATATCATATGTTAGATTCTGTTATGTATACGCATGAAAGCAGGTTTACAATAAAATGAAAGAGAAAACGGGATGAACATATGCGGGAGACTTACCCAGGACTGCCGTTAGGATTGAATGGGTATTTCTCCGTCGTGTTAAGGTGGTTATCAACGTAACGAATGGGGATCATGTTCGACTCGGACAGTTCCTGGAGCGAGTTGGGCGAGGAGAACTCAGCCCGGCCTTCTCCATGAGAGACAACGATAGGAAGGCTGGAACCGTCCATTCCGTGGAGGAACACGGATGGATTGGCCGGGTTGTCCTGGATCTTCACCATGGAATACCTGGCTTCGAACTGCCTCGAGGTATTCTCGACAAAAGCGGGCCAGTGTTGCGTTCCGGGAATCAGCTCTGAGAGCCTGGAAAGCATTTGGCAGCCGTTGCAGACGCCAAGAGTGAATGTGTTTGGGCGCTTGAAGAACTCGGCGAACTCGTGACGCGCGTTCTGATGCATTAGGATCGACTTGGCCCAGCCCTGGCCCGCACCCAAAACGTCACCAAACGAGAATCCTCCGCAGGCTGCTAGGCCAGAAAATTCTGCGAGCGAGCGGCCTGCGATGATATCGGTCATATGGACATCGACGGGGTCGAAGCCAGCAGCCTTGAAAGCGAATGCCATTTCCTTGGCGCTGTTGACACCTTGTTCCCTGAGAATGGCAATCCGGGGAACTTTACCAAAGAAGCCAGTTATCGATGCTGACATGGGAAGGATATTCTCAGATGGGGAGAAGGTGAGATTGAATGAAAGACCGGGGTCATTTGAGTCAGAGATTGTGGCGTACTCAGACTCGGCACTCGCAGGGTTATCCCTCAACTTTTGCATCTCGAACGAAGTCTTGGTCCACCACTGCTGCATCTCAGCCCGGTCTAGGTTGACGAAAGGTGTGGCTCCGTAACGGATCGTCAGCGTCTGTTTAGACCTCGACTTGACGACTCCGAACTTTCGGATGAGGCCAGGAGGTGGACCGCAGGTCGAGAAACACCTCTTGAAGTTGACCTCATCCGAGGCGCGTACTTGGAAGACGGCACCCAGCTCCTCGTTGAAGAGGGCTTCTGTCATGTCAGCCAGGTTGCTCGACTTGGAGATGCCGTCGAGCATCACATCGACACCGCATCTGCCGGCAAACATCATTTCAGCCAGTGTCGTGATCAAGCCACCATCCGATCTGTCGTGGTAGGCTAGCACAATACCGCTTTCATGAAGCTGCGAGAGCGCGTCAAAGTAATCCGTGATGAGGCTGACGGACCTGACATCGGGTGCCTCGTGGCCGATTTGACCGAAGGATTGGGCCAGTGCAGAACCTCCCATGGCTTTTCGGCCGGCAGCCAGGTCAACCCACAAGAGAATTGTTTCCCCAACATCAAGTCGGAGTTGGGGTGTCCACGTGCTCCTGACGTCCCTGACCACGGTAAAGGCTGATATAACAACGGACACGGGAGCAGTCACACTCTTAGCTCCGTCATCATCCTTCCAAGACGCCTTCATCGAGGTCGAATCTTTGCCAACAGGCACGCTGATCTCGAGTTCCGGCAACATTCCAATCCCAATGGCTTTCACAGCCTCATATAGAGCCACACCTTCTTGGCCATGGTTCACAGCCGCCATCCAGTTTGCGGAGAGCTTGACACGGCGCAGATCTCCCAGAATATCCGCAGCGCCGAGGTTCAGTAAACTCTCTGCAACTGCCATCCTGGCTGAAGCCGCGGCATCAATAAGGGCCAGCGTCGGTTTCTCTCCCATGGCCATGGCTTCACCCGTCTTGGCTCTGCCTCCTACGTTGAACGACGTCGCCGTCACAGCAACATCGGCAACTGGCGTTTGCCATGGACCAACCATTTGGTCTCTGACAGTGAGACCTCCAACAGAGCGGTCTCCAATCGTGATCAAAAATGATTTGGATCCTACGGCAGGCATAGAGAAAACTCGCTGCACAGCTTTCTTGAACACGTCTGAATCGCCCATCTGGTCCCCAAATGCGGTTCGGAGGCTGGCCGCAGTGTCGAATGGGGCCAAGTTCGGCTTCTTCGAGCTGACGTTGTGTTCTAGTGTGCGTTTTGGGGGGAACAGGGTATCCATGGGGAGGTCTATGGGGCGAGGGTGCTCCTTCGAAATGTTGTCTGTGACGATGAGCTTGTATGCTCCATCGGCATCCTTTGTGGTCACGGTTCCAACGTTTGAGTATCCACATCGTTCCCTCTCGCAAATTCTGGCGAATCGATTCAAGCCGCCGTGATTGATCAATAGCACGTACCGTTCTTGGGCTTCATTGCACCAGATTTCGAGAGGGCTCATGCGCTTATCGGAGCTTTCAACTTGGCGTAGCTCGAATTTCCCACCATACCCAGCGTCTATCCAACAGTCAGCAATAAGTTTTTAAGAGGCCTAGATAATTTTGGAGGAAAGCGGCCAAAGGAGACAACAGCTTTATGAACGGCTTGTCGAGTGCTAACCTTTGACCAGTTCTGGCAAAGCGTTTGACAATCCTCCGGCTCCGACATCATGAATCATGGCGATGGGGTTTTCGTCACCCAGTGCCACACAGGTGTCGATGACCATCTGCGCTCTTCTTTCCTGTTCGGGATTTCCTCTCTGCACCGAATCGAAATCCAAGTCAGCATTCCCTTCCCCTGAGGCGTTGCTTGATGCTGCTCCGCCGCCCAGACCAATCAACATGGCTGGGCCGCCGAGCACGATGACATGAGCACCTTCACCGACGACTCTGGGTTCTTTAATCGCATGCTGCGGTCTGACGGTTCCAACCCCACCGGCAATCATAATCGGCTTATGATAGCCACGCCATTTACCCACAGCCGACTCTTCATTGGTTTCCGGCGTGAGAAGTGTCCTGAAGCATCCGGAGAGACAAGGGCGCCCAAACTCGTTGTTAAAACGAGCACTCCCTATCGGACCCTCCAACATTATATCAAGACTACTTGCATAATGTGCTGGTCGGCCAACGTCCAATTCCCATGGCTCCTTGTTGCCCGGAATCAGCAAATCTGAGACGAAGAAGCCGCACAAGCCGGCCTTAGTCGATGAGCCCCTTCCAACGGCGCCTTCGTCACGGATTTCCCCGCCCGCTCCCGTTGCGGCTCCCGGAAATGGTGATATGGCGGTTGGGTGGTTGTGGGTCTCAACTTTTCCTGTGATATGAACTGTCTCCTTCTGCAACCGATACGACCCTGTAGAATAGTCCGGAGACCAGAAATTGCCCACTTCACCCTGAAAAACTGCCGCGTTGTCGCTGTATGCCGAAACCGTGTAGTCTGGTGTCTTTTCGTGGGTATTTTTGATCATCTCGAAAAGACTCCTGTTCTGGCGTACACCATCGATTGTCCACTGCGAGTTGAATACCTTATGCCGGCAATGTTCCGAGTTCACTTGCGCGAACATGAACAGCTCGATGTCGTGGGGCGATCGGCCCAATTTGGTGTACTCCTCCACCAGGAACTGCATCTCCGACTTGTCCAGACCCAGCCCCTTGCTCTGATTGTATTCCTGCAGGACGGTGACGGGATCGCGTTTCTCGGGGTCGGCGAATATATCCACAACGATGAGTGGAGCGGGTGACCCTTCACTGAATATCGTCTCTAAGTGCGGCGGGTCGGAGCTGAAGGTTTCAGTCATGCGGTCGTGGAGCATGTCGCGGAACGAGAGATCTTGCTCTCCTTCCTCCTCGAATTCGAGAGTGACAAGTCGTCCACGTTCGATGCGGAGGACATGGTCTTGTAATCCGCAGACGTGCGCAATGCTCGTCGCCTTGGAGCTCCAAGGGCTTATATATCGAGGTGTGATGTAGATATTGATGGAGTTGCTAGCGTTCTCTGGGGGGTTCGCTAAAACCACTACGTCAATCAGGTCCTTAACCTGGTCGAGGCCATCCTTGTTTGAGGTCTTGAGGTCGACATAGTATATCCACTGGCCCGATATTTGCTTGGCTTTGGCTCCGGTGTTTTGTTTGTTCACGCGTTCTATGAGCTCCTGAGTCTGAGATCGAGTGTAGCATGAGCTACCTAGCAACGTCTCATGAGGCATGGCGTCGATATGGGTGGGCCAATTGGTGGTAGGTGAGTGCCGGTCAACACAATACGTTGAAAGGATGACCTCCAAAAAAAATTGTCACCATTTCACCCCGCCATCCGTCCTATCGATAGCGGGGTAAACTGTATATCATAGTAACTTAGAGATTAAACTAGTGGTACGTGCATGCTCCACCTGTACCATAACCCTTCAGTTGTTATTAATAACGGCTAATAGAATTGCGCATTGTCATTCTTCTGTTACCTTTAGTCGCCTGCGTGGCGCGGGTTTTGAAGCCCGCGCATGGCGTCGGTAATCATCGGGGCGTTAATACTACCACTTGTATGCCAATGGAAATATCCTTGTCATCACCAAAGAGATAATACAGCGAGCTTATACTGTTTCCAAACACGGCAGACGACAGACTTTTTCTTCTTTCTTTTGTTCTTCTTTAAATATTATGTAGGTTAGTGGTACTCTGTCGAAACATAAGTGGCAAGAAGGCAAATCGGGTTCTTTTCGATCTCATCTACTACCAGACTATTAATGTTCTTCAACTACCCTTAGTCTTATTTTCCTATTTCTCATATTGAAGGAAAAGGTATCATTGGCTGCTACAACATACCGGCTAAATCACCAATATTCATCGTATTAGGGTCGACACAGTAACAAGCTAGATTCACAGCAACTGTCTTTTCTATATCACCAACCGCACTCTGTGGCCGCAGCGTCATGAATTGCTTCAACCCACAGATTAAACACCGCCGGCCATCAGCTTACGTGTCATAAAGTAATACCTCTACTGTACCTTAGTAGCAGCCTTCGCATCCATGCTCATCCTACTCATCTGACTGGCCATGCTCAACCCTGTACCCTTTCTCGTCTTAAGTGCCTTCTCCCACCTCTTTGCATCCTGAATCGGCCGCCCCTCACCATCCAATCCCAGAACCTCCATAAGCTCCGGGATCTCGCAATGGTCCCTTGTCGTACGCATGCGATGACACCAAGTGACCTTCTTCTCCTCGGTCTTCTCGGCATGGTGTGTATTGGCCGCATCGTCAAGGTCCAGCGTCTTGGGCTCGTCCATAGGCGTGGGGAGCGGGGTCTCGAGGCTGTTCGACGCAGGCTCGAAGAGGAACTCGCCGCCGACTTGGCGCGAGTCGCCCATCTTCAGCGCCAGGCCAGATTTGACTTGCTTGAGGCCCTGGACCACTCCCGACACGATGGTGTGCGTAATGGATTTGTTCTGCATGTAAGCTGGCCGGCTTCCCATGTAGAGTGTCCGCACCATGCCTAGTTCCGTGTACAGACGTCGGGTGGGATCGGCGTATACGGGGAACGGGCAGCTCGTCTCGTTGATGTAAGTGTTGATCAGCTCCGGGGCGCCGCACCCGACGACGGCGATGAACGTGGACAAGGGCAACCCTAGGAGGGCTTCGGGGGTTATCGAGTTGGCGAGCGTGCGCAGGTATTCTTGGCAGTTCTATCATTTTGTTAACTCTCCCTCCCGATATCTGTGGATGGTGGGACCAGCAGTGATCATGACTTACGCCACAGAAGAAATGGCGTATAAAAATGATGAGTACGCGGCGGGCGACATTGTGACCGGTGTATAAACTCTTGAAGGGAACCGACTTGCCATCGGCGTCGAGCACTGTGTGATCTTCTAGCTTGCGCAAAGTCTCTCGCGATGGCAGATTATTGTTTGTTTCGACTTCGCCCGCAAAGTCCTGTGGGTTGACGTCATAATCCTTGGTGGTGGGAGCAGGCGTGGACGATGTGGACGAGGCGGCATTTGTGGTGCCGTTGGCATCTTTGGTGGTCGTCGTGGATGCTTCGGGTGTAGTAGCGGTTGTTGGAGTCGGGGCCGTAGTCCTGGTGGCAGGTGCGCTTGTCGCTTGGGTTGGTGAAACCAGAGTCTTTGTCTTGGCCTCGCCATTGCTATTGCCCGTGTCGATCTTGAGGCCTGCTGGTGCTGACTCGTCCACCATCAACGCCGTCGTAGGCTCTTCCGTTTTCGTTACCACCGGCGGCTGCCCCAGTGCCGCAGCTTCAACGGTGGGGATCGACCCCGTAGCGGGCGGATCTGACGATGCGTCCATTGAGGTGTGAATCTACAATGTAGATGTTCAATTCGGGAAAGTTCCAATATGGTACGATTGTGGCTGCGAATAAGGTGCTTAAGTAGTTAAGTGTGATGTAACGCCCAGCAAACGTCTGTTATAATATGGGCAGACTGGGAAAGTATCCAAATGGAAGACAAAGTTAAGTGAGTTTGAAACAGAAGAGGGAGAGGAGATTGGCAACAGCTGTGGCGAGAAGGGTACAGCCCAATAGGGATATATTGGTGAAAAGACTAGTTGCTGTAGGGGGCCAACTTGCAGACGATGATATTTGTCCGCAGGAAATGAGGAGACACTATTGGAAAGAAAATACGATATGAACTGGAGATGATAGTACCGGGTCTTTGTTAAGTGGTTCGTTGGCTAGCTGGTTGGCTACCTCTGGTTGGTCTATGGTTCAATGCACGACAAGCTCGCCCAAGAGCTGAGATTTCTTAGCCTACGCACAGAGCATCAAACAAGTAGACTGACACCTTGGAGACAGGGATGCCTCTCTAATAAACTGGTCCAGAAAGACGGAGCCGAGATTTCAAGCAGATCTTAAACCAGAGCTTTTGAAGTACCACCACTCTTGGCAATGCGTTTTCATCCTTTCTCTTTCCAAGTACGAAACGGAGGCAAATGTTCTAATTTGTACTCCGTAATCGAGCTGTTTTAGCCTTGGCTTGGCGTTTGCCCGTTGGGAGTTTCATTGGCATTTGAGGACATCCGACTCCAATAAAACCAGACAAAGATGGCCGAACACACATATCCTAGATACATTTCATTGTGAAATAGTTCCAACTGCTTGTGCTATGTGATTGTAAGGCGTACTATGCGCTTTATAGGTAGCGAAAATGCAGTCAAGGCTATATCAGAACGAGATGGTTCGCCATTCGCCGCCAAGAGAGCTAGTTACTAGCGGCCTGGGTTTGGCAGATCAACGGGTCCAGCCGCTTTCAGGGCCGGCGTTCCGATGGTCGTCTGGAGTACTTATATATATATAACAAGAGACCTCTACTCCGACGTAGTTTCATCTATCGTTCGCTGGGGATACTCGACCCCAATTCCTGCTGTTGTTATACCTACTCAAGCGGGACTCCGACCGGTCGTATGGCGGATGAAACTTCAAGTGGTACGTACCAGGAAGCATACACTTATACTCACGTAGACTCATTATCGCATTCGCATAATCTACGTCCATGTACCGAGGGGAGGGAGGTATTACGGTATGTACAATACAGGCCACATCGCAATGCGGTGCGGCTTCACTCCAACCAATGCTCCAATGTCAAATCGTCACCATCGGGCGTCTGTCTTTCCAGGCTGTGCGAACCCCTAGCCTATAAAACTAAGGTGTCCCGCTCCAGTCAGAAAAAGCCTCGTTCAGTCATGCCAACCCTGCTTCCGTAGTGGAGGCCCAGGTTTGGTCAAAACAGCACACGGCTTGGGCAGTCCCATGCCTTCACATTCAAACGTACACGGCCCGCCTGGTCAATCCCGGCCAAGGCTTCCCAGCACTACAAACACACGCAAGGGGAGTTGTGGCTCTAAATCACGTTTGCTGGTGCTAACTAGTATGGGTAGGGAGGCTTAACGGGAGCCGGGAAATCCGCCGCCGCCGGAAGCAGCACCGGTCCCCATTCCCGACAGTTTTGCAGCTAGCTGTGGGTACTTCTCCTGGACTTCGAGCTGCGTACGCGTAGCCTCCGCATAAGAGAGCGCATTGACAATCTCACCTGGCGTTCTTGCCAATTCGGCTGCCCGCTCGAAGTACTTCAGGGCATCCACGACCTTGCCTTGTTGGAGCAACAGCTGGGCCATGGTAGCGACCGCGATGTCACACTCGGGATCGACTGCGATAATATCAGCATCTAGTTTGCCGGAGTAGGTGAGCGGAAGAGAGGGAAAGAGAGAGAGAGAGACTTACTAATCAAGGCCTTCTCGCAAAGCTTCTCGGCCTCAGTGAATTCTTGTTTCTGCTGGAAGAGGGCAAGAGCCTTGTTGATGAGCGGCAGTACATTCATGGCCATCGGCTTGGTCTGCTTCTCCATCTCCATGGCGGTGTCGAACTTGGCGACTGCCTCCTCGTACTTGCCCTGATCGAGGAGCAATTCACCGTAGTAGTTGTAGACGTCAGGGACCTTGTCAAAGTTCTTGACGCATCTTCGGAACGTTGCCATCGAAGACGCTATGGAGCCCATCTTGTACTGCGTTACACCAAGCTGAATATGAGAGAAGATGAATTTGGGGTCGAGGTCGATGGACCTTTGGTAGTCCTTGGCAGCTTCCTGGAACTCGCCGTGGATGAAGTGCAACTGCGCACGATGGTAGTAAATGTCCGGGTCCTGCTCGTTCTGCGCTACTGCCCTCTCCAGGTCCGCTGCCGCCTTATCACGCGCCCCTCTCTCAAGGTGCATACTGGCTCGCTTGACGAAGCTCTGCGTCATAGACGGATCGAGTTCAATACTTGTGTCCATGTCCGCCAACGCCTCGTCCTGAAGCCCACGCAGACACCTGAAAGTACCACGCATGTTGTATGCAAGAGCCTCATATTCGCCGAGTTCACCCAGCTCCAGGGCCTTCTCAAAGGCAATGGCCGCCTCCTCGTAGCCTTCGTGGGTCTTCCTGTCCATGGCACTCAGACCGATTTGCAGCTGCCCCTTGCCACTTTCGGCCGGCTGCTCATCCGAATCCTCCAAACCGGCCGGTCTGTCCTTGACACGGAAGCTTTGAATGTAGTTGGAGACGAAGGTAGGACTTGGAAGCTTGTTGGGGTTCTTGGAGGCCAAGATACTCTCGGCTTTCTGCTCGGCCACCTTCTTCAATAACCGCTCCACTGCGTTAGCACTCGACTCGTTCTTAAACTCGTCAATGATACAGCTGGCAGTGAAGTCCAGCAGCGCCTCACTGAATTGGCTGAGGTGTTCGTAGGCATTGGCTCGTCGGTTCAGGGCCTTGACATATGTGGGGTCCAGGTTAATCGCTGCGGTTGTGTCGTCGACAACCTTGTCCCAGACACTGAGGGCATTGTAGCATGCGGCGCGGTTGGAGTAGAATATCGGGTCTGGCTTGCATAGGATGGCCTGCGAGTACAGATCGATGGCTTGGTTATAGTCCTTGCCACCGTAGGCCTTGTTGCCCGAATTCTTTAGCTGCAAGGCATAGTCCTTCCGCTGATCTTCATTGAGGGTGGCGACAAGTTCTTCTGTAATTTCGGGAATCTCTCGAGCTGCCTCTGCCGGCGTAGCTGCTTGCTGTTTCTGGGAGCTCTGGGGTGGTGACGTAGCAGTTTTATCCTTGCCAGCCTCGGCCTGGCGCTCAGCTTCTTTGCGTTTCCTTCGTTCCTTCTTGCTAAGTTTGGGTTGTGAGCTGGCCTTAGGTTTCTGTGATTGTGCGCAGTGAAGCGCGCGTCAGTTCCAGATCGAAGAAATTTCATACACCGACCAATGGTGTGATGGGATCAACCAGCTCGATACCCATCACTTAAAGACGACCAACGTACCGAATCGTCGTTGAGATAGTAAACAACGCCAGCAGCTGTTACGACGAGAGTGACTCCTGCAATGGTGTAGACGACGGCCTTGTTCTCCGACGCCCAGCTGGTGATGCGATCCCATACGGACGACTCGACAGGAACTGCGACGGGGGTGCCGGGAGGCATTGGCGTCGGGGCGGCTGAAGCACCAGACATTGTTGATTAGTTGGATGGTGAGGACGAGGGCGCCGATGAGGTGTGGGACGGGGGAAGAAAACAATGCTCTTGAGGTCGAGGCTACCGGCGATAAGGATTCCAAAGGTTCCAAGCTCAAGTGCTTGATGATGCCGTTTTGCAGGAGCTCGAGCATCCACCTTTGCACGCGAAAAAATTATTAGCGCGACAACGACCAATGCCGCAGGCTGGGCTGCTATTTTGGCGCGCGGAAAACTGGACTAGCGGAGAGTTGCAGGGGCCTCGGAAACAAAGCACGGTTCTTCCGGAGTGTCGTCACAATGGATCTGGCTGGCTTGTGCACACAGCAAGTTGAACACAAAATACGACGTACCTTACAAAGTACTCTTGGGCATCTAAATACTTGAACAAGTAAATAGTGGGGTCTGCCGACGAAAGCCTCAGAACTGGTTATCAAGGTCCTTATCATTAAGCATGACATTCTTATACGTTTATTAAGGTGATTTCCTACCTCAACCAGGTTTACTTAAGTAGTCAACAAGTTAGAACTGGCCTTTGGGTCTATCCAGTCTTTAGAAGGGGATCCCACTGAGCCATAATCCATTTGTACGTATACTTCGTCTCATTTTTGGGTTCACTTCATCTAGGCCACCAACTATGAAAATATGGTTTGCAGACGAGCTCAGAACCATGGATTTAACAGCAATCGATACTCAAGTACCGGTGCCGCAGAACGAACATGACATTTGCTTTAGAACTGGCTGTTGTGCCAAGGGCATGATCAACTAATTGAGTTCAAGGCTGTTCGAACCGCGGCCGCGATTGAGTCCACTATAGCAGCAACGTCTACACCATGGATGGAATGCGGCTCTTTACCTCTTTACGATATGATCCAGAGCTTATTGCCATCCCGGTCAAAGGCTTCATCGGCACTGGCTGGAATCAAAAGCCGTCTGCTTACTACATGCTGGACTTCCACCGAGATCGCATGCTTAGGGCGACCAAATACTGGGGCTGGGCACCTGCCGTTGAGGCCATTGCCGGTGACGAAGGGCTGAAGAGACTCGAGCAGTTCCTACAAACACGTATCGACGATCGAGTCAGCGGTGGTCCAGTTTACGTCAAGGTTATTCTCGATCGGGAAGGCAAGCTGGATTGCGAAATGCGTTCAATCCCAAAGGTCGATCCAAGGAATCTATTCCCTACAGTCTTGCCGGAGCCGGCATGTGAAGAACCAACAGCAGACAATGAAACGAAGCAAGTGCCTTCGAAAGTTCCCGAGTATGAGATCCTCGTCGATTCTAAGGACACTACCGGATCCGAATACACCCATTACAAAACAACCAACCGGGCCATGTACGAAAGCGCAAGGTCTCGGGCTGGCCTCAGTCCGGCGGATAAAAAAGAGGTTCTGATCATTAACGGCGCCGACGAAGCCGTGATGGAAGGTAGCATTACGACGCCTTACTTTTGGAGGGGTGGTAGGTGGGTGACTCCTCCAGTGTCCGAGACGTATAGTCCAGGACAGGTTGGTGGTGGGAATAGCGGCACGACTCGGCGATATGCTTTAGAAAGGTATGTTTGCGAGCACTCTGAAGTCCTTGGCACTAGAAGCTAAGCTACGGAGAAATCTCGTGGTGGAAGAGGTCGTTCCGGTTCGGTCTCTGAAGGATGGAGAGGAGTGTTGGATAAGCAATGGGGTCCGTGGCTTCATTTTTGGAAGAATCAAGTTCCCCTTGAACTCTAGAGGGTGAACGGACGTGCTCCAATCACAGGCTCGGACGGTTGCATCGCCCCATTTCAATACCACATTCGCACTATGAATGACTTGGAGCCCCAGTGCTTAGATCGCTAGTGTTAACATCACACCTGCATCACTTACAGGATATACCCTGTCGATGTTTGGGACGCAATGAGACGGTTCAGAATTCGACTTACATTCGTCTATGTTCACAGTAAACACACTCCGAAGATCTGCGTAGATTTCGACTGAAGTAAAAGGTCAACTCTGCGAAAGCGACCCGGATGCGATTCCGTTCATCGTGAACAGTACAATCCGCAGCTGAGGGCCGGAAAGGTTGTCACGTTTCCCGACATTGCATAGAGACTCTGAACAGCGTGTGAACGGTGTAAGTGGGCTTTGAACCACCCCTCAAATGTGATTGGCCTCTAACTGGCTGCGGGAACCCGCCCGTCATCCAAAGTATCGGGTCCGATATTCCTATCTTTTGGCCTAGTGCAGCGATAAGATGCGGGCGGGGTAGGTAGAGGAAGTCAGTCTCGTTTGCAAAACAAGTTCATAGCAGATAAGAATAAGTGAATACTGGGTAGGATCGCGACCCGTTGCAGCTTTTTGGCCTGAAGGGCGTTCGGAACTTCGCATCTGCCAGAGTCAAAGGGTTCTAGTTGGGGACTATTACCAACTTTGTGAACTATGGCACCCGTAGCACTCAGAGATACATATTCAGGCGTTGAGGCGGCTGTCAAGTCTAAGGTGGCTCAGTCAACAACCAAAGATGCCGCTCAGACGGCTCTCTTAGCAGCTGCCACGCGCTTTGAAGACGCCAACCCCAAATCCAAGGCCCAGCACGAAATTGCAGCCGGCATCCTACCGGGTGGTAACACCCGCACGTTACTTCATACCACGCCATTCCCGTTGTCGATGAAGTGTGGAAAGGGGTCTTCCGTCTGGGACGAAGATGACCATAAGTTCGTTTCTCTTCCTATCATTTCTCCCTGTGAAGAACAAGTTCTAACAGTGAAACAGATATACCGACTTCGTCGGCGAACTCACAGCCGGCATATTTGGCCATAATCACCCAGTGATTAGGGAAGCCATTGTGTCGGCTTTCGATAATGTCGGTGTGTCCCTTGGCTCAACCACTATCCAAGAGCAGAAGCATGCCTCGCTAATCTGCGAGCGTTTTGGGCTGGAGCGCCTCCGCTTTACCAATACGGGCACTGAAGCTAACTTACACGCGCTTAATGGTGCCAAACGCTTCACTGGGAGACGCAAGGTGCTCGTGTTTTCAGGTGGGTACCACGGTGCCGTGCTGTCATTTGGCGACGGCAAGGTGGCGGAGAATAATGTGGATCGGGAGGAGTGGGTGATCGGGAGATATAACGATGTTGATGGTGCTAAGCGGCTGATTGAAGAGACGCCGGAGCTGGCAGCTGTCTTAGTTGAGGGTATGCAAGGCGCTGGAGGGTGCATAAGGGGCACGAAGGAGTTTTTGCATACCATCCAGGAGACAACGAAGAAGGTGGGCGCTGTCTTCATCCTGGACGAGGTTATGACTTCCCGTATCGCTCCGGGTGGTATTCAGCGGTTGATGGGCTTGAAGCCCGATATAACCTCCTTTGGCAAATACTTGGGCGGCGGATTCCCGATAGGTGCGTTTGGTGGAAGTGAGAAAATCATGCGAGTGTACGATCCGAGGGTCCCCGGGGCGCTGTCCCACTCTGGTACATTCAATAACAACACCATGACGATGCATGCTGGTTATGCTGGGCTGTTCCAGGTGTACACCGACGAGGTGAACCTTGCCTTCAACGCAAAAGGTGACGCATTGCTCGAGAAGTTGCAACATGTCAGCAAGGGAACAAAGGTCTTCTTCACAGGTATGGGAGCTATATTGGCTGCCCATTTTTCAGATGGTGGCTCTCAGGAGGTTACGTGTATCGAAGATTTCGAAGAAAGGGGTGACCTGAGGGATCTCTTTTGGTACGAAATGTTGGAAGATGGCTTCTGGATCACGAGGAGGGGATTTATGGCGCTGATATTGGGTACGCCCGACGAAGAAATGGACCGGTTTGTTGAGTGCGTTGGCAAGTTTTTGCAGAGGCACAAGGATATTTTGATGCCCGAGTAGAGTTTGCGTTCATGCACATTTTTGTATCAAATTAATTTGGGTTTTATAAGCCAAGATCACCAAATGGGCCCATGTAGTTGAAACCCGAGTTTCCCCAGTATAGATGGCTTGAATCTGAATTCCCACTCGTCACCCTAGGCTGCATCTACACCGAGATAGTTTGGGAATACACGTTGACGTTGGTCCAGGTAGAATCATAAAGACTGAATTCCGAGAGGGCCCCAAAGAAATCACCTTCTGGTCTACAATCAGGGGATATGTAGCGGGACGTTCATGCCGACGGTCAACATAACCATTGTGGGAAACTAGTATGATACGCAGAGAGACCTTCCTTGTGCCGATCTTGATCCTCTCTTCGGTGCGGAGATCGCGGTTCCCCGCTGCAGTAATGTTGATGGCCTCGAAGCCGGTCAGTCCGAGTAAGCAGGATGACATAGCATACCGCACGGCACCGAGTTTTGCAGCGCCACCCACAGCCACGTAACCGCTGGGAAGCGTCACATTGAATTTCGAAGGGATGTTTGTACGTCCACATTGGCTCGTGTTTGACTAGCTGTCATGTCTGGATGATAACACTTAAGATCATGATGACTATGAAGAGCATCTTGAATCTGCAGAATGGTCAGTGCTTGCTTCTCAGGGGCGTTAATGAAGAGATTGTCCATTTTATAATCTCTACTCAAAAGTTAAATGACGTTCCTATACTCGGGAGAAAATTTTATCCCAAACACGTACTCGAGACGACTAAGCTGACGGACGGGAAGCATGTTAGCAAAAGCATGATTAGAAGGAAACAGAACACAAATGCGGCCGCCGACACCCCTGTATAAAATCTCAAAGTGGCATGAGGATAACCTGCTTCCGCGAGAAGCTAAGGCGGGTAGCGAAACTGGAACATGTGCGTGATGGCAACGATCTCGGCCGACCTGAGCACGATGTAGGAGAACCAGTGGTATTATTGGCCTCCAATTCGAATGGCATGACCTTATGTAGCTCAGATAACGCAATCTAACGTGCAGCATATCCAAGGGACTTGTCGAGGAAGTGTCGCGGAAACTCAATGGTCGGACCTTTCACTGAAAACACCGCCGCCATCTCTCCCAGGCAAGCTGCGCAGGACCAGAGGACTGTACCAGCGAGGATCTAGGCGATAGTCGCCAAGCCTGGTCCCACAAGTTAGACAACTGTTCCTGTCTGGAGAAATAGCCCAATGCCAATGCATCACAAGAGGGACATCATGTTCACATGTAGTTCCGACAGCATTCGTCTGATAACTTGTCAATACGAAAAAATCAGTTGTTGGCGGCTTTGACAGTTTTTTACATACGGCAGTTGATTTTACGGCACTTTGGGTGTGCCCATCACTTCCCTCATCTCCAGGACGGCGAGGCTTTCCGCGGCGCCTCGTGCTTCTCGAGGTTGACTTCTGCTCAATTCTCGATTTTTTTCACGAAGCTTGTGTATTCTGGCTCAGTAGCTGGGAAACTGAAGGGGTCCAGAAAATTACGGGATTCTCCCATTATAGCGCTGTGTTGCCCAACGATACGATTAGGTAGACTACTCACATGCCCAGGCTCTAAAGAGCATGTAAACGACCCTGCGATCCGGAAAACGACGTCCTATAACCTATTTTATAGATCCCACTCTAGGTCGAACTAAATCACATGCAGAGTTTTGACAAAGGTCGACAACGAGCTCAATAGAAGTTCTGTCAGGGCGGCATACTGAATACCAAATTACACATTTGAACTACAGAGATGCAGGTGGCCCTCGGAGCTTAGTATTAGTTTGATATGGCAAAAGAAAAGAAGAAAAGTCCAAATAGTGGCTTGTTCAAATCTGCTACTTTCAAACTTGTCATAATAACCTAGCTCGGGTAGCTCCTAACAAAGAGGGTCTGTAACGCTTTTCAACTTGACCAACATATATTTTCTTCCTGCTTTGCCACCTATCTAAATGTACCCAACCAGTGTGTATGCTTTGCTATCCAATGTGCTGACCATTTTGCAATCACACCAGACTTATCATCCAATTGGGACATCTCCAGCCTCCCGAGATCACCTTCAATCAACTTGCCAAACTTAACAAACTCACGTTCGGCTCACCGATCTGTGATTCAGGCCATCCCGAAGCTCACAAAATATAAATATTGGGCATCAAACCTCCGATCTTTCCGCTATCTTGTCCTTAAATCATTCCTCAAGCCATTGCGCCTTTCTTTCCATTGTAGATATGTCCCCAACTCCCATCTACTCCTGGCAACGCTTCCACTAGCAGTGCGTCTCCCAGCAAATCAGCTTCCGGCAGCATGTCTTCAGACAGTGCAACTTTAGTCAATACGCCTCCCGCTAGCACGGCTCCTGGAACCGCAATGGGTAGTGTAGCGCCTCCCGCCAACGCGCCTTCTGGAACCGCAATCCCTAGTAATACAGCTTCCGCAACGGGTAGTCTTGCGCCTCCCGCGTGCACTCCGGGCTCCATACCACCCGCCAACGTGCCTTCTGGAACCGCAATTCCTAGTAATACAGCTTCCGCAATGGGTATTCTTGCGCCTCCCGCGTGCGCTCCGGGCTCCATACCTCCCGCCAACGTGCCTTCTGGAACCTCAATTCCTGGTAATCCAGCTTCCGCAATGGGTAGTCTTGCGCCTCCCGCGTGCGCTCCGGGCTCCATACCTCCCGCCAACTTGCCTTCTGGAACCGCAATTCCTGGTAATCCAGCTTCCGCAATGGGTAACGCTGTGCCTCCCGCGCTAGCTCTCAGCCCTACAGCTCCCATTTCAACCGTAGCAGGTACGACTGGAGCTGGAACTGGAGCTGCAGCTGCTACTATAGCACCTGTCGCCAGCGTTGGTGCCAGTCACCCAGTCAGCATTGGTGCGCCACAAACAGGTCCTAGTGGTGCTCAGATCAATATCCAGGGGCCACACCAACAGGCTGGATCAGCTGGTCACCCTAATCAGCCGCCGAGCCTTCCCAATGCACCTCCTGCAATCGCCCACAACGGACCCGATACTAGCGCCAATCACCCTGGGGTCACTGTAATCTACCAGCAGTATGTGAATAGACCGCTCTACTTATGAAACCCCTACTGACATGAATACTGCAGACCCATACCACCGCCCATCGTGCTGGGCCAGCCAGCATTTCCAATGGCCCACGCCGCCGTTCCCGTCAGTCAGGGACCGTACCTCCTAATGAACCCTCAGCCTACGCCACCAATGGTTCCTCCTCCACCTCCCGGTGCTCTGAGTTGCTGTACGTGAACTTGCAACATGTTTTGAAATGGGACATCGCTGACGTTTAGCAGGCCAGCCAATCCGTTCTCCGTTCTATATTGGCACGTCGCATCACCTGACGAATCCCCCAATGCATGTTTGTTCGCATCCAATTGGAGGTTATCCTCAGGTGTATGTGATACCTGGAAGCTGCGTGGCTGTCCATCGCTGGTGAGACCGTGGCAAAACATCGACCATCCAGAAACATGGCCCAATGCCAAGGCAATTAGTAGGATAAGCAACAGCGAAATTGTATTGAAGACAACGGGGTCAAAGAAAACGTTCAGAGAATATCCTTCTATTGGCGAGAAGTATTTGGTACAGTTTTTGCAAGAATTCGACATGAAGATGCGATGAGCGCAGGTCCGGTTCTACTCGGCTGCTTTAAGGCGTTTGCTCTCAAGAAACCTAGATAGACAAAGGTTTAATATTATGCAGTTTCGACACTTGGTGCTATTTGCATCCTCTTCACTCGTGAAAGCATCTGACATGAAGTTAAATTTAAGGGAGACTTAGAAAGGTTGGCCTCAGTGGTTGCATTTTACCCCGTACCCACAAATGTAAGGCAGTAGTAGGCCCGCCTTCACCTAAAGAGGCGTCAACAAACCCCTCTACATTCAATGTTCAATATCAATTTTATAAGTTAAATGCTAAGGGCTCTAGACCTTTCATATACAGGAACCAAAAGCATGAATGGCATGAGGTGTTTGATATTCAGCTCAATAAATAAGACGCTGCTCATGCTAAGAGCGCGGATGGATACATGTCAAGGCAAGCAGCAAGGGCCGTGGCGCAGTTCGTTTGGTGATAGCGGCTTCTTCCTATTTTTTTTGGCAGCTTTTCATAATGGACGTGCAATCGTTTCTGATCTCATACGAAATCGTGCGCTGCAGAGTGGTCAATTATGACACAGACTTCAGTGGCCAGTTTGTGTCATCCGGTATATTTATAATTGAATATGGACAGGGATGGGGCAGTTCTCTCTGTGAGACCAATCAAACATCGGCAACTCAAGGATCACAATGCATGCGAATGCCCAAGTTTCGGGATATATCAACACTATAACGAAAATATTCCTTATGCAGGGCCAGGGGCTCATAATGATGTTCAGCTGTCAGGAATGAAGGTGCCGTGCTGCGAGCAGGAGAACACTAGGTCGACAAGTCGACACATATTTGGCCAACACATCAGCCTCACCCAGCTCCTTCACAGAAGGGCTCAAAACACCAATTGCTAGTTCCCAGAAAAGGAATATTAAGCCGGCTTTTAATTACAGAAACGCAGTGTCGCAACGTGCAGACATGGCCACTCTATTCCACAACGCCCGACAGCGCTTGCATGCAGGCAAAGGAGGCAGTAAAAACATCGACCAACAAGTTGAAGAGGCGTTACAATCAGACAACTATTTTGGTCATGAAAGCAAACCACCACCAATACAGTGAAACGGAAAACTCAAAGCACGACGGCGATATATCACCGCCCTTGCCGCCCCGTCCAAAACAGGCGGCACGAGCAGACGACAGCAAGTCCCACGACAACGACAACTCCAGTGACGATGAGGGAGAGCTTTGGGCTCCCTTGCCCCCGCGTCTAAGGCAGCCCATGGATGCTAGTATCGTCCAAGCCGGCCTAGCCATGATCGAGCAATCACGTCTCCTCCCCAACGCCCAACTAACGGGCCCATGGACACGGCGTCCAGCACGCCGCGCACCCTCGAACTCAAACCCAGTGGGCATACGATGGTGTCCATGACCCCAGCGGAGTGGCCGCTCCTGACCATCACCTTTGCGGCGCCCCCAGTCACAGGCAACGGCGAACGGCACCTGGAGTTGAAGGGGCAGACCATCAAGTGTAAGAGGAAGTCTGAGAGCACAGCAAGGCTGGATAAAGTGAAGTGGGAGAGGAAGGGGATGAAGGGGATGAAGCTCGTAGATAAGGATAAGGCCATTGTGGCTGAGTTTGGGACCGTGGGGAATGGAAATAGGAGTAGAGGGTGCAGGGCACTTAGATGTGCTCAACGAAGGGGTTACGGAGATGCAGTTGGAGGAGATTGTGGTTACATGTTTGGTAAAGAGATAGAGGATGAGGAGGGATGGAGAGTGGTTGGAGGATGGGACGTGGGAGGTGTTCATGAGTTCGTTGGGCTTGTCGGGTATACCGGAGCTTAAGCGATAAGGGGTACAGAAAAATGAAAAGGAAGGCTTGGTGAAATTCCTGTATAGTAGTACATGAGGATATGATTGAACTGAAATTTGATTTATACCCCTTGGTCAAATTGAATTGGCCACGCACGGGAGTCTCGTTGACATGACAAGAAGTGAACAGGCTCAAAATGATTCAATTAAACTTCGAAACTATCGTATTGTCGCTCTGACGTCGTTTCCTATAAGTCGTCTCAATCTGTTTCGGTGTTGTATGACGGTATATTTTGGGACTGTTCAGGGATATACTCGTCAAGCCTGACAGCGACTCTTGACCTCAAGTGTAGGAATAAGGTCGAAGACGTCGATTTTTACGGGCAGCTATTGTTCACTGAACAGTGCGTTGAAATGTCAAGTGCGTGGCTGACGAGTAGGTGTGGATATAAGCATAGACTGAAGCTGGGTAGGTGAACGGTGCAGATCTTGAAAGGCTCAAAACGGTAGATTCAAGTGTTTATACATATATTTCGATACAAAGGTGTCTATTGAATTGCTGATGCGCCAGGAGTTGGTTCACCCATCTTATCTTTATCTTGTTATGTCAACCGAATCATTTCTCTGAACACTGATTATACAAGATGCAATAGTAGAAGGCCACTGGTTAATACACATACATTGAATGAAAATTGGTTAAAGCATCGGGATAGAGTTTTACTCCAAGACTACTTGATGCGCCACGAAGGAAACTTAGCGACCTATCTCTTCGAGATGACTCGATAATTATAATACAAACTAACAATCTCGATGCATTTTTGGTAACAGGGCTCTACAAGAATCGATAAATTTCTACTATGTATAATAACCTTAATCTAGGTCGCATTATAATAGAATTTGTGGGAAGTCGTGGCCTCAGGTACGGAGGGGTACGAGGCAGGCAGGCAGGCAGGCGTTGTAGTATTTAGGGATCCCTCAGGGCCAACTCGGGATTGGTCCCTCACACACCCTCATAGTACCAATACAGCCCCTAATACTGAGATTCCGACAGAATAAAGTAAATCGTAATAACCAACATAATGTAGTAAATTAGTAAAGGCGGGATATTCCCTACTTTAGGAGAGTCTAACCCACTAGCTACACTAGCAACTCGCTTTCGGCCTAGAGCACAACTGTGGCGCTCAATCCCATAGTTATAGTATGCCAAAGTAGCTAATTCAGGTGTAAAATCGTACCGCTTGGACATAACTATACTGAAATTTTTAATATGTACCAAGATTATTACGCTACTTTGAAAAGGTGGTTCGCTCGGGTTAGGAGCTTGAGCTACCGAGTAGAACCATGGATACCCCGAATATTCTTCCCTGTATTAAAACTGGAGATCACTCCGGCACTAGACAACTAGAGCCCCTTTCCTGCCAGTTTCCCTTTACCCATCCAGGACTCAATCTCCGAAGCCAGGATATGTTCGAAGTTCATGGAATCCCGTATTCGGTGCTCAGGCGGGTACCGATCAATAGACTCCAACCAGAGTAGTTTTGCAGTCCCAGTTGCCGGGTTGGACCAATCCGGAGGGTCCAGTATTGCACAACATTGTCATACTCGATGTGTAAACAGGAAGAAAATTAAATCATCGGCGAAAGCATGGTAAGAACCGTCCTGCATGTAAAACCCCCCCTCGTTTTTGGCGTTTCTCCAATGTCATCACCATATATATCAGCCATGGCCAAATATCGATAGTAGTAAATTTGCGACGGTTCCAAAACTATAGCAGATTAATAAGACAATCCAACTGCGACACTCGCCTTCTAAACGATGGGGTGTGTTTCAATCAGGGAAAGACAAATCTTGTGGCATCAACTAGCACTGAACCTTCGAGTAAGTAACATCTGGCTGGAGCCGAAGCTCTCATAAATTTGACGTTCTGCAAATATTTACCAGACTGGCCAAGCGCTACTTGACCTGATCAGAACAGCTTGACTTGCACTTGTTGTTCCAGAGCTCAAGTGTGCCTGCGGATTCTCAATTCTCGATTATTACGTAGCTTTATTGCTCTTGTTTCATTAACTTCTTCTATACCTGATTCAGGCTGTGTCCAATGCCTGTTTTCATCAGATCATGGAACCAATGCTAATACTCATAATGCAGAAAACAGGGTATATCATCTCCTCTCCGCAATCCCCAAAAAACATTTGTATGGATATATATTATAGCCATGCCGTCCGTAATCATTCCTCGCAGGCTGTACATCTAATCACGCTCAACCTTCTCATCGTGCTCGGCGGCAACCTTGAAACCCATTTGAGAAGCAAAGGTCGTGGTTGGGACCCATTTGGCCGATGTGCGCGGGGTGGTCTCCTCGAGCATCTTGTCGACCTGTTCAAGAGTAAGACCCTTGGTTTCCGGGACGAGGAAGTAGGCGTAGACGAGGCAGCAGCAGCACAGGGAACCCCAGACCCAGAAGACCTTGGCACCGAGATTGGCCTTGTCGGGATTAACCATGTAGGGGGTAATAACAGCAATGATACAGTTCCATAGCCAGTTGCTGGCCGTGGACAATCCAACACCGCGGGAGCGGATGGGCAGACTGTAGATCTCGCCGATGAGAACCCAGGCGCCGGGACCCCAGGTGGAGGCGAAGAAGAAGATGTAGATGCAGATGAAGGCGATCATGGCCTTGGTTGCGGTGGCATCCCCAGGTTTGACGGTGCCGATGATGGCGACGATGAATTGGCAGACGACCATTCCCATGGCGCCATAGATAAGCAGAGCTCGGCGACCGAATCTCTCAATGGTCCAGAAGGAGATGGGAGTCGACAGCACGTTCACAAGGGTGGTGATCAAGGAGATCAAGAACGCGTTCTCAATGGTTCCAAGGTCCTGGAAGAACGTGGTACCGAAGTAGAAGACGAAGTTGACACCAGTCCACTGCTGCATCATCTGCAGCGACGTGCCAAGGATGGTACGGCGGAGGTTGGAGTTACCCTGGAACAGCGATCCACGGAAGCAGTTCATCCAGCTGTCGAAGTAGCCGCTCTGGGGGATGACCGACATCTCGTACTCGTGGTTGGCAATAATCTCGGCTAGCTCGTTCTGGATGTAATCAGATTCGATAGCCTGGCCACGCAGGCGCGAGAGCACACCGGCAGCCTTGTCGAGCGAACCCTTCTTGACGAAGAAACGGGGGGACTCGGGGAGGAAGAAGAGACCGGCTGCCAGAATACCGGCCCAGAGGATCTGGAGGGCAATGGGGATTCGGTAGGAGCCACTGTCGGTACGGTTTTGGGTGCCGTAGTCGACGCAGGAGGCCAGGAGAAGACCAATAGTGACACAAAATTGGTAGCCAGAAACAATAGCACCGCGAATCTTCTTGGGTGCAATCTCAGACATGTATCTGATAGTATATTAGTCGACTGTGCCCTTGCTTGGCTGGAGCGACAATAGAGGGGAGAAACTCACAAGATGAGAATGGCAGACACGAAACCGACACCGAAACCAGCGACAAGACGACCAGCAACGATGAGACCCAGACCAGCCGAGGCGGTCTGGAGAGCAACACCAATGAGGAAGATGAAGCATCCAGCAATGACTGTTGCGCGACGCCCAAACCAGTCGGCAAGGTCACCAGCGATAATGGCACCGAAGAATGTACCAGCAGAGAGGATGGAAGTGATCAAGGACTTCTTCCAGGCTTGTAGGGCGGTGGCTTCGGGGCCCTCGATCATCTGGATGAAGTACTGCATGCCCTGTAGAGAAATGTGATAAGTACAACCAACAAGACCTTGGTAGGGGCCATGGGGTTCAACTTACCATGACACCAGAGATGTAACCGGAATCATAACCGAAAAAGATACCACCAAAGGCGGCAAAGGCGCACATGAGGTAGGCCTTCAAGGTAACGGGGGCTTCGACGCGATTCACATCGTTGGTGGCGTGGATGGGAGGGGCCTTGACACTGGCCGGGGCCACACCCGTCTCAACATCGGGTACACCCATCTTGGCTGGGGAGTGGGTTGAAGGAAGCAAAGTATGCTTTTCGTAGTCTTGAAATGTTGCCAACTGGTGTTGACTGCAAATCGGCCGGGGAGACTCGGGCTCCAAATTGCAGTGAGGACGACTATGGACAAGTAGAACTGGACACAGAGTAGGACCAAGAGAAGGCGTGGTTGCACGGGACTGCAGGTGTCTTTATACCTCCCTACCTTACTCATGAATCTTGCAAGGTATGCCGCACTTCCAAGGACCCAAGCCAGAGAATCCCGGGCCACGATCCCGTCCGAAGCTCGCAGCCCATTTGCACCTGCTCCCGAGGTGGTGTCGAGCGTGTCCGGCTTCCCTAGCCGGTCCAGGTCGTGTCGTCGTCGTGTCGTGTGCTATGCTTGTGCGTAGCAATTCTGCATTCGGCTCTCTGTATCATTGAATTTGCCCCACAAATTGACACAGATCCACCTCCACGTCCCTTCCGTCCCCAGAGCACATGACTCTGCCCAGCTTCATCGGCCTCCAGATAATCCCCGGGGACCAAGGGTGGGCCAGGTCAAACATGGGGCGCATCTCCAGAAGGGGTGAATACCCCCATGCGTCGACCCCGAGACGAGCAAAAATGGGTCACGAGAAGTGCTGACCTCATGTTGAGTGTAGCATGATGGAGAAGATGGAGTTCGTAAACCGGAGAGCCATCTCGGTGCACTCGGCGCCATTGTGGAGCACCGGCATGACCGTCGGTCGTTTTTGAGGAGACTCGACCAGAGATAACAAGTCAGATTGGGGAAACCATATTTGCGGCTCCGCTGCAAGTGTTTTTGATTGGCGAATCGTCCATTAGCAGGCGTAAGATTGGGCAACTGTGATGGATTGAGGTTTCGAAAAACCACTATCCAGGCCCGCTTATAAGAGTTGGGGCATCGTTCTCCTGGGGGGTCTCTGGGGGGTCTCCAGGGCTGTCCAGGACCTGACAGAGCCTAGAAGAAGCCAAAACTCGCTAGAAGTTGCGGTGGGCTTCTGGGGAGATTTCTTGGAAAATTCTTTCCCCGGCCGGAAGCCGTTGCCTAGCCGAGCAACAGTCGCGCAATGATACAGTAGCAACATATCATGCGATTGACCAAGCTCTCGTCTGCGAACCATTGTGTCGCAAGCAGCCAGAAATCTCGGCCATGGTCACGATGCTATCGACAATTTCCAATTGCTCATTTTACGATGGTTCATCCTTGTCGGCCCCGGGGTTTGTCAGCGACGCCACGCCTAAACCAGGGTTACGCATGAACCGTTCCCTTTCGCTGGAATTCGTCTGTTGTTTTCAGACTCCATCTGGCAAGGAATATTCTGCTACATTTTCATAGGACTTATTGTGTTCGCGTCAACTTCGGAAGGGATATATTGTATACAGCCAAACAACTGCAAATCCCCAGTCAAATGCATTTATCACTGAAACAGAAATTGACGACGTGACGTCAAGCACATTGGCGTTCGGCCCTTTGTTTCCTGGCGGACTGCTGAAACAAGAAGTCGGGAGACTAGAAAGCTGGCTAGGTGGAGAGCCAGCAGCTTCATTCATGGTTTCCACCCAGACTGCGAGGTTTTTGGTTCAGATTGATGAACCACCAAAATGCAGCCCTACTTGGCCGCTGCAGTTTGAAAACAAACCCTTCTCCCTCCCTTCCCCCCAAACAAAGAAGCGATGGTGCACTGCTATTTTCAGCTATCAAGCTCTGATGAAAAGATGCGGCCGATTTTGGGTCGGCTAACGTCAATTTAAACGGATGACCGTTACGGGTCGGGTAGAGTTGATTTGATACTTGGTACCGTTATAATACCGTTCCCTGTCCAAAATGGCTTACCACGATCCCAGGTTCCAGCAAATGATTAAAGTTCACTGAAGCACTTCCCCGCAAATGGCACGACACAGTGACAACGTGTCAGTCGAATGTGGGATGGAAATGGAGATGTGAGAACCGGCGTACCGGCGATAAAAGTGTTGCCCCGACCATGCGGAGGACTGGCCGCGAGGTTAACAGTCCGCTAGGCCTTACTCCGGCGTTGCTCCCACCGCTGCGCGATTGAGCCCCAGCTATCAATGTTGGCGCTATCGCTTGTATGATGGAGACTCCCTATCACACGCCAAAGCGAATGACGACGCCCTACAAAAGCGAATGAAATCTATTCGAACGGGGCTGATCGGGGTCGAGAAGGAAGCCGCCTACGAGATGCGATGCTCTACAGAATGGGACAATAGACTGCATGCGGAGGCGAATAGCCCATCACCGGAGCTATTCAGAGGCGCCCCGCCCGACAAAAAGGACGCGAATCCTTGGCCCCGGGCCCTTTGGTAATCGGCCCTTTCCCCAATGACGGGGCTCACTTCCCACTTCTCGACCGGGTTATCCGGCACATTGCACTAACGCTAAGCGCCGACGCAAACTCCAGATTCTCCGCGAATTCCCAACTTCCCCAACTGCTATTTACATTCAAGATTGGGTTAGGTGGAACGCTTTGCGAATGCGGAGAAGGGCCGATGAGATAACGCGACCTTCAACCACATTGTTTGAAGGCGCTCAACGGTCGATAACAAGGTCTGGAGGGAATCCGGTGTTAAATTGTAAGCCGTGGCTGCATTTTGTCGCTGGCCGTTATGTATGCCTTCCTTCCAGTCGTTGGCCTGACCAGGATGTCAGTGGCATGTTGTTCACTGCGAATCTACCTGCGACGACAAGTTGTAAGTGTCGCCGGGGTTGACACCGAAATAACAGCGCTGCAAGTTCACACTCGATTTGGAAGCATCTCAAATGTGGAAGACGGCGTGGCATATTCATACAGGCTCTGGCTGGTTCCTCGGGTTTGTGTTGAGATACTGACTTGTCCGAATAGAAATCCAAGTTGATCTTCACACCCGGAAGTGGAAGACTATTGATTCTTGACATCGTTCCCTTCGGCGGTCCCTGTTATTTCAGGGGAAGAACAAAAGATAAGATGCACTTCGTGCTGGCCACCCTGCAGTCATTGAGCCATGCGAACTTGATCCGTCCTACTCCCATCGGACAAGTGTTCGTTTTTCACATCGTGGTATTTGCGAACACAATGAACGTGCCCAAGGCGAGTCTCACGGCATCCATACAGGGGCATGGACGCGGCAAGTCTCTGTTAAGTGGTATTCACATGGGCAACTCGTCCGTTGACATTGACCACTTCCGGCCACGTACTCAGTTTCCTAGGGAGTAGTAGCAGCGATGTTGGAGAAACAGTTTGACAGGCTATGTGAGAATTCCAACGTGGCCGGTAAGGATAGTGATGTGAAGAAACAACCTAACCTAGAGTTCTGTCATCTCTCTGCCTGGACAAAGTAGCACAGCGTGGTGGAGAGACAGAGACAGCATGGCATTCGTTCTGAAATGGGAACACACCATTGACATTCTATACACCAGGTACCCGTGCTATGCAAGCATAAGAAATTATGGAAAGAGATACGTCTACTTCTCCCACTCAGACTACAATGTGCGTGAACCTGAGCCACGGACACATCCCCTGTACACACCGTCATTCCTACAACATCTATACCGAAGGGGTCTTTTCTGCACTCTCGGACCCCTTCGGCGCCTCTGGCTTCTTGAAGGGAAGTGCTTCAAACTTCATGCAGCAGGCTGCAATGAAGCAGATGGCGCTGGCAGCGAGGGTGATATAAAAGCATCGCAATATGGTTTTGGTGATGGCATCGACAACCAGAACCAACACCTCGGGATGCCCACCCCTCAGTATGGGCGAGTCTGCTCCTGCCAGCAGCTCCCGGACGTCGTGGCTCGAGTACCCAAATCCGTCCAGGGCCGACTCGACAAGGATGTACCCGACGTTCTGGTATATGGTGCCGGCAATCGACAGCGCGATAGCAGTGCCTCCCAGCGCCGCCATGTTGACAAGCGCCATGGCGTCGAGCCGCTCGTGGGGCTCGAGGACCATGGTCGAGACGGGGGCCGCGAGCTGCCAAAGGAGACCCACGCCCGCACCGATAAGGGCTTCCAAGCCCAAGACCTTGGCCTCGGAGCTATGGGCGGTGATTGTCTGCTCTACCCCGGCACCGACGAGGATGAGGATCCCGCCTACCACGTAGAAGGGCATGTAGTATTTGACAGCTGGGAGCAGGCCGCCAGAGAAAAAGGTCATAACGATGAAGACGCAGACGAAGGGTAGCAGCCGCACAGCGGCGGCGAGGGGGCCGTAGCCGCGCGTGAAGGCGAAGTAGATGGGCGTGTAGTAGAGGTTTACGCCATAGCAGACGGCGTTGCAGGTTGAGCACACGAAGGTCAGTACCACGACGCGGCTCTTGCGCAGGATGGACACGGGGAAAATGCGCCGCTCGGGGGTGGTGAAAAGGCAGAGGGTCTGCTGTGCGACGTATGCGGCGAAGACGACACCTAGCAAAACCCAGACCGCGATAGTAGAACCTGAATTCCAGGCCCAGGTCGGCCCAGAGAAGATACAGCTCAGGCCGAGGAGGATGAAGGTGCCTATGTGCAGGACGCACCCGATCCAGTCGAATTCTTTCAGGTTGGTCAGGGCGGACTTGCGCGAGGGGACGCGGTAGGATGGGTAGAAAAATATGCAGAGTGAGACCAGGGCTGTCAGGGGCAGGACAATGTAAAATGCCTGCATCAGTTAATCAACCCTCCACGCTTTTCAACTCTTACATCCAGGACGGTCAACTTACCCATCTCCATGTTGTGTGCTCATTATCGGCGAAAGCGCCGCCGATGATGGGGCCTGTGATGAGACCGACTGCGAAAAAGGCACCCAAAACCGCCTGCGCCAAACCCTGAGAGACTCGGGGTTAGTCATTCCACTTTCACCATGGTGGAACCTCTGGGTAATGACCTTACCAGCTCGTGGGGGTATGCGAATACCACATTGTAAGTCAAAGCGCTAAATCGAGTATCAGCATTGCTGTTTTCACTAGCGAATAAGAAAACCCGAGATCTCACATTTGGTACATAGGTGCTCCGCCGAGTGCTAACAAAGCCCGGCCAACAATAACAGCTTGCACGTTAGGCGCTGCACCACTCAGGGCCGACCCCGCCATGACGAGGAGACAAGATACCAAACAGAGCGTCCTCAGCTCGCAGATACCCGTCAGTTTCCGCGCCAACGGGATGGTGGCCATGTTGACGACTGAGTATGCCAGGCTGATCCATGGGAGCAGCTCGATGTGGCCGAAGGCTTTGTAGATGAGAATTTGTACATTGGCGACGTTGCTAACGTCGTATCCTGAGATTCGGTACCAGTGTCAGCCAACTGTCATGCTGAGCGACAATAGTGAGAAAGGGACGACTTACCGTTTACCAGCGACATGATACCGTTTCCTAATATGATAATCTGCCATTGCCATTTTGGCATCCCTTCTCGCGGGTGTCGTGCTTCTTCTTGGCGTAGGACATCGGCGCCGATTCCGTGGATGGATGCAGTCTCTTCCGGGGACTTGGAGATGACGGACATGGAGGCACTCGATGGCTCTTTTGCGGGCTCCTCGAGATGCGCCATTGTGGTCGACATTGTGATTATCCGAGAAGGTGTTTCTTGTCTCTGGATTTACGGCCGTGCAAGCAGATTGGACGACCAGCTCGGGTGCTAGGCTTCTATAGAAACATTCCTCGACAGCAAATTTTCTTGTCCACATCTTTCCGTCTCTCGCATGTCGTTGACGACAAGGAAACCAGCATGTAATATATGCTCAGCGGCTTCCCGACTGAAGAGACGCAGCAAAAAGAAAACTCCAAAAGTTTCCACCAACTGTAGCAGTTCTAGCCTGGGCATCGTCCCAAATCGGCAATGATCAGGCGCCAACGCAAATAAATTGCTATTTTAATCCTGTCAATTTTAGTAGCCACCATGTCGGGATCTTGCGATGCACGCATTGGTTGGATTCACGCCTTATCACGGCAGGCAAGCTGTTTATTCCTAGCCCCTAACTCGTATGCAGTGGCCTGTTAACGTAGCACTTTCATGTTGTATCACTTCGACATTGGAAAGTATTTGTATTCTTGTAAAACTCGTTTAATCGTCCCACCCGCTTCCAAGTTGGATGTCGATGTTGATAGAGTGCGATATGTCCCTAATTGCCTGACAGCTTGGCTAACTTCGACACAGGGTTCCGCATGAGATCGAGCCAGAACAGCCTCCAACCTATATGATTCCCTCCTGTGACAGCCAATTCAGGCGTGGTTATTTCAAAGCTTATCTCTTGATGCGTGTCTTGCTCGCTTAGTAAAATGCCGTACACATATACACACTAGAGTGCTAGTGCCCAAGAGGCTCTATTCTCAAGGACAGATCGGCTGGTATTGTAATTTATTGGACGTCATCAGCCCTAAAATCTTACCACCTTATGACTCAGTTCAGAGAGCGTCCAACTCGGGCCTAATGCAATCGACGCAAACTACTGCCGATGAGAGTAAACTCAATCGACCAGGTAGAATCATGCGCGGGAAATCCCCAGAGTGTACGCGGGCTTTTCGGGGGATCCATTGTCTTCTCATATACAGTTGATCCTTTCTGCCCACGCGTTATAGCAAATCATGAAGTAACCCGGAGCGCAGACTTTCGGACAGAGCCTATAGGAAATAAATCTCCGATAAAATAAGGCATAGTAACAAGCACCATGTACGTAGTCGTTCAACTGTGAATAACTCCCAAAGTACGAAAAAACCAACATTTCGTTTTCTTATAGAGATCCCATCATGACCCAACTCCCCTTGAGGTTGGTCCTGAGCATGCGACCAGTGCCGTCCCAGGTTGACCAGTGTGGAACGCTGGAAAGGAGGACTCTTTCCCCCCTAAACAGCTTTCCACTTCAACACCCGTGACCCCTCCTCCTCACACCTTCATTCCCACTCTGAACTCCACCCAAATCCTTTCCTTTCTCCTTCTCATTATTATTCCCGCCCCTCATTCAACCAAGCCTGCAACCTCATAGCCCCCCTCAACGCATTACTACTAGCATGCCAATTCTCGATCCCCAAATTCAGCCCCGCAACGCTCAGCATAGACTTGACGAACCTGCCGTGAGGTGTATCTCTGGCCGGGGGGGTGATGGCCACCTCGATCCAGAGGAAAATTCCGAGCATGGACTTCCACGTGGCCAGGGGAACCCGCCACACAGTCTTCCAGAGCTCGTACAACTTTTGCAGGGAGCACGACTCGCTGAAGGGTTTGCGGGCGATGATGGCAGAGGTGTAGATAAGGGCTGCGAGACGGATGGACTGGTATAGGTAATCGGGCTGGGGACAATAAGGGGGTTTGTCGAAGCTATTCGGTTGGAAGTCAGAACGTGCTTGTTGGGTCGACTGGGTGCTGTTTTGAGATGTGTTGGAACTTGCAGATAAGTCAGGGGTTGACGAGGAGCTCGATCTAGTTGACTCGGGAGAATCAGGGGGCAAGGCTGCGATGCGGCCATGTATCCACTGCGCCGTGGATCGAAGCTTCTTGTTTTCTTGGGAAGAAACATCTTTCTGGAGTGCGACGATGGTGGCAATCAAGAAGCGTATATCGTCGAGTATAGAAGCGGTGGTTGGGTGCAGCTTGTAAGCATCCGCGCAACTTGCGAAAGTATCAATGGATGGAAGGAGCGGCGTATTGTGAGCAATCTTGAACGGCCCCGGATTTGTATCAGAGAATTCAAATTCCGCGCCATTATGAAGGTAAGGCGGTTCTTCGAATGTTATCGCGATGCAGAAATCGGTCATAATCACCATCTTACTGAGTAGCCCATTCAAGCCAAGGTTCCGAAATCCACCGCGGAGCTTGATCATCTGTCGCATTCCTTCCAGGTGCGCGCGTAAATCATGGGTGTCTCCCCAATACCACTCGTCTGCGATCAATTGGGCAACCCCTGCAATGGCCTCGTCGCCTGTTGCAAACCGTTCAGAGCGTAGGAGGTCATTCAGTAAGCGGATTGCCGAACCCTTGATCCACATGGTGATTGTTTTATCCAGATGATTTGTTTCACTCAGCAAACAGGCTGCAGTGTATATAGAAACGCGCGCCAGGAGTGGGCTTTGTAGACAAAAGGGCAGGTAGTATTTATGGAATGGTGCGTTGAAGTCAGGATCGCCATCTAGCGAAGACTTGAATCGAGATATAACTTTGACGTCTGTTAGATATCGGCTGAGTTAGCAGTGGGCTACAGACTTCCTAAGCTGGATGCTGGAACGAGAACCAAGTCCTGATGCCCTCCCGCCAAAGTAGCCACGAGCACGTATGCTTGCTGGCGTATCAACGGACCGATAATGGCATACAGAAAACACCACCACTTACATATCTGAAGTAGTTCGGAATTCAACGGCGTTGGCTCAAGCGGTAGAGTGTGTAAAAGCTCGAGGGGGCTAGCCAAGGCGTGCAAGTTGCTGCTAGCACCCACAGCCTCGTTCCAGTCGAAATCTACGTGGGTAATATTGGCGTCCCAAGACATGATATATCGGTTCAGTATATTGTTGGTATACTGGAACAGCGTGACTGCCTCATGGAGGGACTCCGAATGTGTCGTGCAGCCAGGCTCGCAATCGGGGAGGCTACTGTGATTTATCGTTCCCCAGTGGGCATTCGGTTTTCCTGAAGTCGCAGATCCCGGAAATTGTATGACTACATCGACGCCAGACCAGACAACTAGCCCACCGGCGTTTTCGTGGTATTTCGCCCATGCTGGGATTAAATCTGGAAGCGGTTGGAGTGGCTGATTGAGGCTCAGAACTTCCTGCTCGTCATGGTATGGCTGGTGACTTACGACGAATGTCGAGGGGTTAGGAATAGGTTCATCTTTGTGCCTTGCGGTTATCAGTATCAGCAGCACTACACAATCACTACACTATTGGGGATGTCACAACATACCTATTTTCCTTGTATTCACATGACGGTGGTGGAAATCGTCGAGCACAGTTGCTACACGGATGCCCTTTGTTACACTTGGGTTGATCAGTAAGAATAACGACAAGAGAAGCGAAAATGATGAAGCACTAAAGCAATTTAGAATATAGGATCGTATCAACTGTATACACTTCTACGCGTGCTGGTCGGCTGTTGGACAGGAGCCAGGTTGTCTTCTCTGGGATCAAATCAGAGACCTTCGCGATTGCAGCTGTTTCGTGCCAAAGTTGAGCGACGACGGGCCAATGGATCCTGTTGTACTTAGACCTTTTGAAGCATGTGGAGCCGTAACATACCTATTCAACTGCTGGTGTTAGTGGTCATCTCGTGCAAAGGGAAACAGCTAATGGCTTGAGGGGAAAGACCGCTCAATGGACAGTCCAGCGCCCCTGTAACATATCAAGACTGCGAGTTTCGAGGGGTACTTGCCTTTTGTTTACGTCTACGACATTCCGAGCACGATGTGGAAATTCTCTCCGCCCGAGAACGCTTCAGCAGATGTAGCGGTAGCGGTACCGGCAGCATTTTTCTTTTGGGGCTTTGATCGAAATTTTGGAATCGTGGCCCACAAGGATCGCCAGATTTAACAATGGTATACCATGTACTATATAGAGGAGCTGGATCATCCCGAGTCCCGGCTCAGTGGCTGGTTGCCTACGAAGGTACATATACATTGTCGGGAACCGACTGAATGGGGAAAGGCTGGACTATCGGTGAAAGGAAAGGACCGTTAGGCGGACATCTGAACGCCACGAAGCCCTCGTCGAGATTTGACTGCCCTGTACGGGTACGGCAACCAAACTAGTGTAACACGGGGAAGACAGCGGAGATTCCGAATGCGATCGATCGAACCACCTGGTTAGAGTGAACGTTTGTTTATATCAACAGACTGCGTCCTCCAAGGACTTGTCTATCTCGTTGACTTGAATCATATCTATTCCAGCACCTAAATATTCGGTTTATTCAAGAGAAGGTGGGGCGGTGCATTATTAGCTTTGAGGCACACAGGCAGCCTTGATGGTTGTTGCTAGGGAGATGCCCGCCATTAATAGCCCCAAGCAATCCTTAAGAGACGTTATATATGGCATGGCACCAACGCTCCAGTACGAACGCTGAAGTGCCCAGTATGGTACTGGTCGGGACAATAAATCGAAGCGTAGTTCCGCATGCCGTCTCCATACCCAATAACTCACCTCCGCTGCTCCAGAATTGCCGTGCCCCATATTCCCTATCCCACCCCCGTTGACCGAATTCCAACACTCAGTTGCCGAGCGTGGACACGATAACGGGTTCATCCGCACATGCCGACTCGCGATATGGTGGCTTGGATAGGTGCGCCCACGGACAAGAAAAGGGTGGACATGTAGACCTCAGCTCCAGGGCTGCGACAGCGGAACTTTCCAGCAGAAGAGGCAAAATGAACTGATGTGTCATTCGACGTGTGCCATGATTTGCTCACCGGGCGGATGCGTGCCTGTCGATTTCAGGCCGTCACAGTATGCCCCAGACTACACTCGCTCTTGCAAATGCAAGACAAGACCGGCAGGTAGCAGAAAGGCAGCGGGCATCGAATAAGCGCAAAAACCAAAAAGAAAAAAAAAGAAGAAAAAAACCAGACGATACCAACAATCGCAAGCTCCGATTCAACTACACCGTCCTTCTCCGCGTTTGCCACACCCACCATACAACTGAGTAGGGCTAAAGATTTCAAGACATCCATACGTGCATGCGTCTGCAGCAGCTCCGGTAAACACAAGTGTCTGGGACAGCAGGCCATGTAGGAGATCCGGTCACGTAGTAGTTAAAGGAGACGATTGTGAAGTGGTTCTGCCAAACTGGCGAGGTCGTTGGTATTTAATTTTGGCTACAAGTGATTGATTGGCGAGAAGACGCGCGATGACGTGAGATGGGTCCAGACTCGCCCCGTCGCACCAGGCGAAAGCCCAGTAGGCTTGGGAGTGCAACTGACCTCACTACTGAGGAGATCTACTGAAGTTCTAAATACGCTATTAGCGCTACTTCAGTATCGGAGCAGTGTTTTATTTTCATTATTTATTTATTTTCTTGTCTGCCCTTGTTTATAGATCCATCGTGTCGAATTGTGTAAACAAGGTGGTGGCTTGACCATGCTTTGGCCAAAGCTACCATGAAAAGACTTCAATATCACAGTATGAGACGTAGCACTGAAAATTCCAAGACACAACCAGCTGCGGAAAGCGGGTTCAGTGTGGCATTGAAATACGTCAATCGATTCTTCTCCCGTATTTGGTATCAACAGGCCGTTGTGCCTTCGTACAGAAAACACCAGCATCATAAACTCAAGTTGCGTGAATGGTATCCTCAAATGTCAAAACCCCCGTACGCCAGTGCCTTTTCCTTCGCACGAATTTCAATGATTGCCCTCTTTGGGAGATGGATCCTCGCAAATGAGTAGACCCTAATGTGCCCCTATCGTCCCCTAGGTTTCCCTGACCAATTGACCGCGGGGGGCGGCGCGTCGTCATCCAGCGGGTACGGGGGAGGCTGCGAGCCAGTCGTACCTGGACGGCGCCCAGCCTGGTTTTCAAGAAGAGGCGTCTTCGGCGGCAGTGGCGGTGGCTCTATCCTATGGATTCTTGGTTGCAGTTTTGCCGCTACCTGTTGGTTCTGTTTCCGGGGCAACTCATCCGAGCCTGTTATGAAGATTTTGTCTGCTCCCGATGCAGTGCGGTACTGCGCTGGGGTTGGGGCATTGACGACGAAACGGTCTGGCTCGTCAGGAAGAGGCTTCTCAGCAACTGAACTAAGAGGCGCTTGGGAAGAAGGCTTATGGAACAAGGGTTTGGCTGGTGGCGGGCCCGGAGATGCGCCGCCGGTTGCCGGGCGAGAGCGTTCACCGGAGCTGCGTGGCGATGGTGTATTTGGTCCTTGCCCAGCATTCGAGCCCGGTAGGGAAAGCCGGTCTGTGCCCGAATCGTACGACTGCCGGCTGGGCGGCGTGTTATGCATCGGGAACATGGGGGGGAAATCTCCCGGAAGCTCTACTGCGAGGGGAGAAGAGATGGAGTTCAACGGCGCCGATGAGACAATTTCGGGGACGTTGCTCATCTTGTCGTACCGCAGTTTCGCCCTGTGGATCTTGGCCAGCTTTGTAGATGACTCTTGGATCATCCTCTGTTCATCGGGTCTGGACATGTATCTCCGCGTGCCGGTGCTGATCTCGGAGAGTCGGTGCCACTCGTTCATACCAAATTCGCCGACACCCATCTCCACGTTCAACCGATAGTAGTTTTCGACGTTGACACCGCGCCTCATCAGATATTCTTTCTTCATCTCCTCATGGATCTTCTCGCATCCCTCGATCTTTAGGACAATTTTCTTCCTCCCTTCTTCCACGTGGTAGGGCATAAAATGTTTCATGATCTCCTCCTGCGAAGATGGGCCTGCACTTTTCGGTCGCTTTCCAGTTCCGATACTGATGAACACGCCGACTTCCCGGCCCGGCCATTCGTTCACCGTGGCTTCGTCGAGCGCTTCCGGCGCCGGGTTGAAAGACCCAGCTCCATCGTCAAGGAATAGTGACTGACCGATCTTGATGGGCTTGAAAGCTAGTTCAATAGCGGACGTTGCTCTACCCGCTTCCCAAACGGTGCAGTCGTATTCTGGTGCCGGCTCCTTCCTTGAATCGTACGAGCGCAACATGGCAGGCGGTGACAGTCCACGACCGGTCTTGCGGTCTACCGGGGTGCCTTTGTATACGGCTGTGACGGCCCTGCAACATTATCAGCAAGTGGTCGTTTGAGTGAGCGCAAGAGGGATTCCTCACGTTTTGGTCCTGTTCTCTCGCGAGTCGTATAGCTTCGCGTCCGGGTCTCCGTAGCCAGCGCGGAAAACCGGCCGCGCCATTTGGGCCGTTGGGCTTCGCGCACTGAAGCTCACCACACTGGCGTTGCTCTGATGCCGCCTAACACTCCCCGAGGCGCCTGATCTTGCGGTTGCCGATAGCGGGCTGACAACGCTTGACGGGCTGCCGTCGTTGCCTTCCTGCTCGTCGACAGTGTGTTCCCTAACAGCCTCCTTGATGGCCTGCTCCAACATCGAAGCCTTGAACAGGGTATGCCGGAACGGTATTCCGGCAAAGGTTTTGTCTGTCTCGAACACCATCCGCGTCATGCGAACGTACAGCTCCTTGCACTGCTCCAAATCCAGCCTCAGGCGCCCGAGCATCAGCGCGATCAAGCCGCCCGTGCCGGTGCCAACTATTAAATCGAAGTGGTCGCATGGCTTCGGAATTTCGGCGCGTCGCGGAGCTTTGCCTTCGATTTCTACATAAGTTCTGTGCATCAATTCCTGGAGGATGATGATCATCGAGTAGCCGCGAACGCCCCCACCATCTGTGCCCCGCCATACAGGTCAGTTCATAGTTCTGTCACCAGGGTCTGCGAGGTCTGTGACGAAAGTCTGCGACAATGGTCTGTGCCTGCGGATGCTCACCTAGCGATAGTATCCGGAGAGGTGGGCCTTTGGTCGTGTCCTTTCTCTTCAGGGTCCCGTCGTTTTCCATTTTGCGTAGGTTGGCCAAAGCTAGTGTTTGGCGAAAAAGAAGAAGACGAAGATAAATAAAGGTAGGTGGGAGGAAGATGACCTTCCAGAACCGGCGCAGATTAGAGTAATAGAAAGACTCCGCTTGTGACGAAGGTATCGGCAGCCAGCTGCTGGGTTCCTGACTTGCTGGGGTCTAGCGCACGGAGTTTACGAAAGACGTAACCGCTGGGCGCTGACAAGTTGCTGGTAAGAAACGCCACAAGTGGAGTTCGTCAAGTCGTCTCTCGCCGACTTTTCGGCCCGTCCGTGGAAGTGAATGGGCAATCAGAAAGAAACGCTGGTAAGATGACTGAGGTGATGAATGATGGGAATTAGTCCTCAGTGGCCGTATCGCGGCAACAGATCATTGAATAGGGTTGTTGCATGTTTGTTATTGTTCAAAGTTTCACCAGTCTCCCAGCATAATCCCGCCATTAAGCTTGAAGGATCCCCCATGAGTGACACGAACTCCAAACTGTAGCGTATACAACCCCTGTTGCACATGGTATTTGATGGTTTTTGCATCGCAGCTTGCTTGTTGCGGCTGTGTCTAGCAGTCACAGTTGCAATTCTGCAGCCTGGGGCAGCGAGTTTTAGGCTGAGGTATTCGGGTATGGAACTGAGAACGCCATTGTCGAGATTTTCTCACCACCCACTACACCTGTCAACTGATTCCGCCGAGCTACTTCAAGATGATCTCAAATGAAGAAACAAAAAGCTTCTAAAATTAATCAGACCATTATGCACTGAGATCGCCCTGGAAAAAGAGGCAGCCGATGTGTCCGTATCCGTACTCCGTATTAACCAGGGAGAATCTCGAAGAGCTTTCGAGTTGCATACTCTAGGTTTCCCAGCAATGCCACTGGCTCGGCGTCCTCGTTCTACTTCGCTGCTCAATTGCTTGATTGGGTAGCACGGATTGCTTTACGGACAAGATCGCTGCGGGCCGTTGTGGCTGTGCGTTGTTTTGGGACTTGGCAGGCCATAGAAACGATTGCAGCTGATGAACAAAACAGGGTCGCCACCTGTTCGAGTGGTAGGGCTCATAGTTTTCGTCCAATGACGACACGACAGCACGTTCCAATACAGGTAAGCACCAACTTTTCGACACGCTCCACACCACTACTGGCTGTGGCGTAGTCTGTCTGACATTGTTCAACAAATGACTCCATGAGCAGACCAAGGCAGAGGAATTACGGAGACAAGGGACGAGCTATTGCTGGAGGCCTGTAGCGCAGTGTACTTTATGCAAGGAAAGGAAATCTCGATGTTTTCTAGAACAAGTTAATTCGCCGACGGAGCCAATCGCAAAGACGTATTCGTATGTCCGAAGGTCCGTATTCGCCAACCTGGGCAATCGTTGCTTTGTGCTGCTCAGTGGAGTGTGCATTTACTAACGGCATGAGGATAACACCCATCCCCTGTATGGTGTAATTGAGTCAAATGTATCTGCTATGGTCATCTAGCGATACCTTGTTCTCGATATGTGAAAGAGTACTGGAAATGTTCAGTGTAGAATGCAGAGGCCGAGCGGCGCCTTCTTCGGCTGACATACTATCTCATCAATCTTCTACTATTTCTGCATTCTATAATATCAGTTCATCACATTCAATACTAATGCAAATAATACGACGGAAAGCCACGCTCGTCCACGTATACCGATTGGCCCTACTTGACTCGAGTGTTCAAACTCCATACGTACACCATCCATGTCCGCAAAACCTCCATATATAAACATGGCCGCCAGCAGATGGTACCTCGTTCTCTCTTGAATCCGTCAGTCGGCTTTGATACCTTGCCCCAGATGCATTGTAAAGTCCACATTTGCAGTGCTGTCGATATCCTGTCGTAGTGTATCAAGTCCGACTTGCCGCCATTGGATATTCTGAATCGCCGTGCCCTTGAAATATCCGGCCATACAATTATCAAATACATCTAGCGGCAGAGTTCGTTCTATCGATCAAGGCGAGGATGATTCCGCAACCCCCTCATACGTTTGCGTGATGAGGGGGCATATCCGTCATGGACAGCCCAAAACATGCCTCGCAGCTTCATGAACTTCTTCATCGGCCAAGTTCCCCATTTCTGTGCCATTATATTTTGCTATGCTCTTCACCGAGCGGTCAAATCGCATGGAATGTTCCCACCTCTATCGCTCTGCGGTCCTGTACCACACAGTTAACTAGATAGTAGATGATAAAACCAAGGCATGACATAAGCGGAATTTTACGGGGAATCATAGGATAACTGTAGGATAGCTGTGTAGTAGACGGGACATAGCCTGACTATTCCCGGTGCACGTGTAATTATCACCTGCTTATCATCAAATATGTGGTGGTGACTTGAACTCTGTGCCTCGTCTTGTTGCTCGTCAGACCTTATCGAACTTGCTCTCCACCTGTCGTGGTTTTAATCGCTATCTTGATCTGTTGATCGCACTCATATAGAATGCGTCCCATGGCCTACTGGTTCGTGATCCGAACTTACAATGATTTTACCCCTCTTCCTCCTTTGATCATGCACTATCCAACTCAATCTCCGTCGTCTCACATCTAATGTTGTGGATTAATTGAGTGTACGCTCTGCTTTGTTGTTTTTACACTTTACGTCTGATTAATTCGCCCGGTTGGACAAGTTCCTTCCTTGAGTTGGCTCCATAGCACAAGGCTGTTCTTATCTGTATCCCTCCAGCTACCTTCGATAGTATCTAGATCTCAATATATAACTTGATGGGAACGAGCGACTAAAATTTCGGGCAAGTTATAGAAGCTCACAACGCATACTCGGAAGGCGTGTCAGTAATCTGACGACAACGTTATTTTCATGTTACAGTACCGCACTGTCAAGACTGTAGAGACGGTCTAGCTCGAGGCTCTCACCTATCACCACTTATTTTGGTCCCACTGTTCGGATAATTAATAATAGCAAGACACCTAGTAACGAGAATAAGCTTCGGCAAAAGGTCTAATATATTATTAACGGCTTTTGCATGCTATTCCATAGTGCGTTTGCCGGTTAAGTAGAAGGAATAGTATGACAACTATCGAGCCTTCTGGCGAAAGTAACTGTATAGAGTCTCTCTATCCATTTATATTACTATTATACAGGATAGTCTACCTACACTCAATTCTACACTATTTACGTTTGATCCAAACCCCTTTATTCCCCAAGAAGGATAATATATTACAGCACATAATTTGCATATTGTTCAAGACATGCTATAATCTGTCCTTAGCTTGTCTAGCGGGAGTTCCAATTCGACTTTGATCGCCAGCTAGACAAATAAATCCATTTCGAGTTCGATTTCGACCCCGAAACGCCCATAATGTCCGAAGCCCCCTCATTACCCTTGGATTCCCCGGATCCGTTTTGGTGGAGCGGGCAGGCTTCTTCTGATATTAGCATCTGCGTGACATACAAGATGGTGGACCTTTAGAATCGTGTCCCTCACGAACTTCATCGTCGCCTTGAACCAATTCTCGTTTTGGAAGATTTACTTCCTCGATTGGCTTAGGGGCTCATCTACGCCCATGATTGTGAAATAAAAGCTATTGCAGCTTCTTGGAATGACAGCTGCAGCGACCTCAGATAATTGTCTCCACGAAGCATCTTTGAAACTCATTTCGGTAACATAGACGAATAATCAAGTATGCACATTGAAATTGTGCGCTAACAACGCGATACTCCTGATAAGTGTGAAGTGCCGTATATGCCGCCACCCACTTTTCCTCTAACCCCTGAACCACTTATTATCCACATCTAAGTGCTTAAGTATTCGGTACCATAATCCGATCAACGTCCGGTCCATACGTCCCATCCCCCAACCCAGCAATAGTAATCGTATTCCCCGTACCTGCTAACAAATCGCAATGCAGGGTGCTACTCCCAGGCGTCTGCCCATTTGCCGTTGGCAGGAACGCCACGACTTGGCTGACGCCATTAACGATGACATTCGCGTGGCGCTGAGCCGTGTCCCCGTTCTCATACTTGATTCTGACGGTGCTCCTCGTGGCGGCGGAGCTGCTCAACCCGCTAAAGGTCACTTCCCCGTCCATGGAGCCGCCGATGTTACCAACGGACTCGGCTCCGCTACAGCCTGAACAGGAAATTGTAGCGGCGCCGCTAGACAGGGCCGCAGACTCGGCCTCAGGTTGAGACTCGGATGGTCCTGCGGACCACGTACCGGCGCTGACATTGGGGACCCAGTTGACGCGGTCGGGCATGGTGATACTGGTGCCCGAGATAGTTAAGGGGAGCCAGACGTAGGTGCTGCGCATGAGGTTCGTTGAGACCCAGCGGTCGCCCATGTAGATTGCACCGTCGCCGAAGGGGAGAAGGTAAGTTGTTTGGCTGGTGTAGGTCTTGGAGCCGACGGTGGCGAAGGTAGCCCAGTTTGACCAAGGGCCCGAGAGGGATGTCGCGTAGCTGTAGACCTATAGGAAAAAGGGATGAGCAAGACTTTCTTCCGGATATTGAACAGTAATATATTCACATTGTCATTGGGATCCCAGCCAGTCAGGTAAGACCCGAACATGAAGTAGTAGTCACCCTTCTTCAGAATTGAAGGTGCTTCAATTGAAATGTCCCATAGATAAACAGCCTCTGTAACGTTGAGATAGTCGTCTGTAAGGGCATCAATACGCAACCCGTTTTCCCTCTGATATTTTCGTCTCGTTAGCAACAGCGACTATCATAACGAGGCATCGCAACTGAAAGGGGTCGAAAACACGACAACTCACATCCTCGGTCAACAAATAAGCCGCCCCATCATCATCCTGGAACAACCCCAAGTCTCTACTTTGGAATCCCAACGGCTGCCAGCTGCCCAGGTACGTGTAATCGCCACAAACCGAGTCGCTCGTGGCCACGCCGACCTTGGCCTCTTTGTACGAGCTGTCGTCGATGTGCATATACAAGACGTACTGTTCGTTGGCCTCGTTGTAGATGACCTTGGGTCGTTCGACTACCCGACTGGGGCCCAAGTCTCCGCTGGCCGTTTGCGATAGTAGAGCGCCAACGTATGTCCATTCCACCAGGTTGTCCGACGAGTAGCAGTTAATGTTCTGGAAGGCCGAGCCGTTGGTCTTGTCCTCGCCGATCATGTAGTAGGTCGAGCCCACTTTGGTGATGCCGTTCCCGTGGGCTTGGATGTGGTTGCCCGTGTTGGTCTGACTGTGGTCAGTTGGATTTGTTCTTCAAGATCCGAATGGGACGAGGACCCTACAGCAGTCCATGTTGCACCGGGTACGATTTGAAGAGAAGCCTGTGCTACTGCTGCACCAAGTGACAGCAGGCCAGCTTGGATGAGCCCCATGGTGGATTGTACGTATATTAGACTGAGGTACCAGGATGAAATAGCTAGTTGGCAGAGACTGTGCGAGACTCAGCCTGATGAACTCAAGCTGGCTACTTCCTGTTCATAACTGCGAATTGCCTCAACTTATAAGCTGGAAACTTGCTCGAGCCGCATTCCATCTTCGTCCGAGACCCAGACTTTCTAGCCCGCATTCCGTCAAATCACGAGATCAAATTGCTCTAGCTCGCAGCATCATCATGTCATTCGTGGAGGATTATATTTTCACGGATGCCAACGCAGCATCAAAGGTGGACCAGTGCGAATAAGCTCGCGTGGCACCAATGTTTAACCAATAGCCTCGCAGACCGCTCTCCAACCACCAGTGCAAGAAGGAAAAAGCAATAACAGCACGCAGCTGAGGGGCAGGAGGGCCGACTTGCTAGTGCTGTAGAATACCAAGAGAGCGGGTTGCACGGAGCCGAGTACTCATGGGCAACGGTGGGCAGCGGTGGGGTATATAGACCGCGGTATATCAAATTCAGCATATTGACGCAATGCCAAAGTCTACATGAGCGGCGGTTGGAACCATCTCGGGAAGGTCCCAATCATCTGTGCGGAGCACGTGGATCGGCACTGGGGTTCCAGTGTGGGGTACGGGGCAAATCCGGGGTCATCTTCCCCCGACTCGTTACATCTTTCCTGTCCCCTCGGCTGACCAACACAGGTTCGCCTCCTCCTCCCATTTCCAGGCAACCAGATCTCTTAAATCTTTACTTACTCCGTAGTTGTGTAACGGCGCATAACGAATAAGCCAGTCCCTATCAGCTGTTTATTGTCTAGCCAGAGAACTATAGACAATATGCCTGTAGAAACTGAACGTGAAAAGTGGTATATAGTCGTACAGCTCATTCATATGAGGCTTCGCAACAGAAGAGACCGTCGAGATCAATGTCGCAGTCATAATTCCAACGCCGGAGGAAAGGGAATTCGTTCAATGCATCAATAAGCCACCTCCTCGTTTTCTTGCCCAACGAGGCTCCAGGACATTCTAGTCCGTCCGTGTACTCCAACGCAGGCTTCGTTTATTGAAGATAGTTGCCGGTACCGGCTTGGAAAGGAACCAAGCCCACCAGTTCCCCGGTGTCATCCGTCCACATCCATCTTATCCGGAATCACTGTGCTTGCGGCAACAATCGTCCTTTCCTCGTCCGGTTGGTCCCGGCCATTCCCATCCGAATAATTACCCGCACTGTTGTTGCCGCCTGTGTCTTTTTCCGCACTTGTTCCAGTCCCGGTGCAAAGTCGATATTCGCCATCTTCTTTCCTTTCGATGATGCCCTCATCCAGCGCCCACTTGGCGAGAAGGCGGTCGACCCCGAGCCTATTGGCCTCCCCTTTCTCCATGTGCCTGCCGACGTGCTCAGTCCATTCGTCCCAGGATGTCGGTCCTTCAAACACACTGGCGCAATCAGGCTTGGGGCATGCTGAGCGCTGCGGTGGTTGCCGCCGCGTCACCAAACAGGACGTCTGCATCTCCTTGACGTGAGTTTCCCATTCCACTTGCAATTTGCTGTCTCCCTTGGCGATGGCTTTTTTGATTGCAAATGGAGCATGCATACGTCGAAGATGTTGTGTAAACAGATCCTTCCGGTTGAACTCGTTGCCCTTGCCCTCGACGGTGCTTTGAGAACAGGAGGAACACCGATAGTATTGCAAACACAAATGCTGTGAAGCGATGTGTCTTTTCCACTCGTTTTTAGAGCCGAAGGTACTCGAGCAACCGGCGAATGCAAATGCACACGGGAACGGGCGGGTATGGGCTGCTGCGATGTGCTTGCGTAGAGACGAGGAATCTTTGAAAGGTGCATGGCTGCAAAGGTTGCATCGTGTTTCTTGTTTCGGTGTTGCTTTTTGAAGCGAGCGACGCGGTTTGGCCTTTGCAGATGGTGTGTTGAGCTCAGCGTTATTATGAGTGCCATCTACGCCGGACTCGTCTTCCTCATGAGACGAGGCATCATCACGCTTGGCATCCGGGTTGTCAACGAGTGATTGACCGCGTGTAGCTGTAGTGGTAGCTACTTCGTCGCTCATATGCCGAACGTGACTCAACGCCTTGAGCTGCTCGGCTGCTTCTTGCATCTCAGCTGACTCTTCTACGTCGTCCGGCTTGGCCGCATCTGTCCGTGGTGTCAAGTTGGCAAACGGCAGACCAACCGAGACCGAGGACTGGGGCAAACTGGCCGGTTCAGCCCGGCCGACAACATCTGAACGGACGGGCGTTTCCGGGAGGTTCGGGACATGGTTGGGATCTCGGTGAGGCAACTCATGTCGCTTAATGATGGGGGTCGTCGCAGCAGCCTGGCGTACTTCGAGAAGTATCCGCCCATCCTCAACATCTACGGCTGACGCCTTGGGCCGAGTCGTGGACCCGACGAGGCGGCTGTAGAGGTGCGTCATATTATGCGAGTTGATGTAGCCCAAGAAGCAGCAGACCTTGTCATGCTGTACAACGGCCCAGACTGAACTAGGCATTGATATGAGCAGCATCGTAGGCGGGCCTAGGAACATGCCTTCCACGGCGATTTTGGAAGCCATTGCTGGAGTATTGTGAAGCCATTGGTTGAATGACGACATGTCGGGACTGGCCTCCCCAACGAACGTCGTGCAAACCAAGACTCGCGGTTCCTCAAATGTCAGATCAGCCACAGCATTAGGATGTATGATTTGGTCCTGCCATGCGGCTCTCGTTTGCTGTACGTCACCCTCAGCCAACGGGCTCGCCCCATTCGCAGGGCCAGGGGGCAGAGGCGACAAGGACAAGCTCTGGCCAGTTCCAGTGCTTAACGTATAAAGAACAGGTAATTTGTTCGTAAATGGCATGCTTTTGGTAGCGCCATTCGTCAGCCCAGAGCTCTGTGCCAATTCATGATGCCTCTGCGCGACAATCTCGTGATATAGGTTTTCAGCGGTAAAGGGTCGTCCGACATCTAGTCGTGTAAAAGCATCGGTGAGATGAGCTGTGAAAGAGCGGCCGCCGGTCTCACGGCTTCCGGTTTCGGGTCCATTTGCGGCAAGGACTTGCTTGACGCTGCTCCCAGCGCAGGCGATTGGCGCATCCCTCGTAGCACATGTGTCGAGCAGCAGAAGCATATCTGATGGTGCTTCATCAAATAAGCAGCGGAAACCGTTCCACTTGAGCTTTGCTGCATCTTCTTTCGTGTTGCTTTGCCCCTGTTAGCAATAACCCCCCCTTTTCGAGCGGTGGGGGGCTTACCTTGCCCAGAAGACTTGGCCATCGCTATCAACATAACCACAGCCAGCATAATATACTATAAGAAGATGATCCGAGGCTGCATTTTCAAGAAAAGACGCCGTCCGAACGCCTAACTTGATGCTCGGATTGGGCACGGTGGGTATGCTCCATCGATCGGTGCGATAATTATATCGTTCGCGGAGGACCTGCTCGAGAGCCACGAGGTCTTGTTCGACGTGATCATCATCTTCCCATCGTAATAATAAAACTGAAACACTCGAATAGGGCGATCTTTGGGTTTGTCGGTATATAAGCATCGCAGCATCTTGCAGATGTCTCGCAAACGACTCGAACTCATGTCTCTCTGAAGCCGGCGGGGCTGAAACCGCATCCTGAACCGGATAATGTTGCGCTGGTGGTGCCTATGACGATCAGCATGTCAAGATTGACTTCTCTTGGACCCATTGGACACACATACAGGCTCATGGGCGAAGACAGGCTGAGGCTGGGCCTCGACTTTAGGAGCTAACCTGCGTTTCTTGGTTGCTGGCTCCATGACCGCAACCTTGGGGGCGAGGATTCGACAATTGGCGTGGAGGAGTCAAAGAAAGTGGGAATTGGAGGAGGTTCGCAACGGCTCAAGGGCCCGTAGGTGTCTTGATGAAGAGCATTCGCGATGTTTTGGGTGTTGTGGCGAAGGGTGAGTGGTTTGGTGGGAGACACAATAGCCTTCCGTAAAGGCTTGGGCAATGAACGAGGCAGACGGGCGAGGCTGTAAGGGTGTCGTTCAAGCCCGATCCAACTCTCCCTCGTTACCGCCAGAAACGATCGTCGTGGTACCGATAGGCCTCTACCGGGGTTTGTTGTGCTGGCAAGTGGACCCTTGGCGTAACGCCCTAACAGATCCTGCGACTATCCGCCAGCCCCGCTGCAGATAATCGCTCGATTCGCTTACTGCTTAGATGGCATGAAATTGCATATCCCCGCGGCAGCTTACTACTTCCTTGTACCCTGGCCGAGAACCTTCGGATACTTGAGACGTGCAAGTTGACGGGTCAGGGACCCTGGGCAATTCCAACTGGCAATCTCAAACATGTTTATATTTCGAAGTACAATGAACTGAGATAGTAGGCTTCCACTTGATTCCGTCTTGACGTTCGAGAACCAGGCCGATCTGGTTTGTCCAACCTCAACTCCGGGTGGCGTAACTAAGATTCACGTACCCCAAAATAGAGCACCCAGACACAGCTGTGCAACGAATTGTGCCCAGCGCCAGAAGATTTGATAACCCCATCCCCATGGTTTCCATTGATTGGTGATTACTAGTCCAATCAGCACTCAGCAAAAGACCCGGTTTCATGCAATACGACATATGTGTTTTGTCTACCGGTATTTCCATAAAGTACATGGTGAACAGTGCTAACAAGTCTACAGTAGCAGCCAACTCTCCTAATTTCCAGGCTGTGCGGCAGTATCAGGTAACGAAGTAAGCAGATGAAGTAAGACGACAGGACACGGGGCTCGTTATGCTGCTGCTGAGACTCTTGAGGCGTCAGACTAAGAACATTGACTACTCGCTTGAGCACACTACTCAAGCAAGGATCCCCACTATCCTTTGCTAAATCCGTGAACGGCAACTCTAGCACATTGACCATTATACATTAGGACTTACGGTCAACTCGAAACGCCTCGGCCTACAGAGACTACTTGCTGAGAAAAAGAGTATACAATATTGCTCTTCAGACTCATACGGCCATTAGTGCAGATATACCCGGACAATGCGAACACTTTCGTAGCATCCGCTTCACGTGAGATTGGAGCAACCCTTTGGCCCTTTGGGATCTGATTTTGTCAGACATCAGACAGGAACACCCAGTTGTTCATCTCACGTAAATGATTAGCTTACTAAGACATGGGAGCAAGAGAAGTGATTTGATAAGTAATGAATTGTACTGAAGTTGGGTATAATTTGCATGCACACTAATCAATTAATCATCAATCCCTATGTTCATTCCAAACAACATGATGTGCATTCGTCTGCCTGCTTCTCGGCGCCGGTGATCAAAATGATTACATGCAGTATCAGTCCGTATCATCTCGACCCGGCCCAAGCAACCGCCTTCTTCCCCGGCATGGCAGCACGACAGACACAAGCAAGTCTGCTTGATTTGCTCAGACCCTCTAAGCCTTATGCTCAGTCGACACGTTGTTGTCACCGAACCCGCCGAGCTTCTCCTCCTCGGTGAGTTGATTGCGTTCGGCACGCACGATCTGCTGGCGCGTGTTCTTAGTTTTCCAAGCAGGCTGACCCAAGAACCGAATAGCGCCGGGCTGGGTATCGTCAAAAATGCCCGCGATCTCTTCTAGTGTCTTTCCGCTCGTCTCCGGGAAAATAAAGAAGACGTGCCAAAACATGGCGAAGCAGAAGACGGCGAACACGACGTAGACTCTCCATGTTATTTGTGCGAACGCGGGTGGGACAAACCAAGCTAGGGCGAAGTTGAAGGCCCAGTTGGCCGAGGTGGCCAGAGAAACGGCCTTGCCACGGTGTCGGAGCGAGTATAGCTCAGGGGGGTAAGTCCATGATACAGGACCCCAGGTAGGCGCGTAGGAAGCAACGAATAGGTAAGTCATGGCGATAATGGCCTTGGACGGGGCGCCAGTGACTGCCATGGATTCTGATTCGGACGTGAAGTTGTCCTCCGGACGCGGCACTCTGGAGTAGACGGCGAAGAGGCCGGCATTGACGCAGAGGAAGAGACACATCAGGAAGGCACCGACCAAAAGTGTCGGGCGGCGGCCCCATCGATCCATGAATAACAGAGCTGGGACCGTCATGACCACGTTGATGATGAACTGGATACCGGAAGGAAGCAAGATATCAGAACCCAAACCTGCCATCGTGAAAACGTACGTGATGTAGTACATCATCACATTCATGCCTAGAATTCTGTTAACAATCAAGCTCATGGGTAGCCCGTAGGTCTAGGGGCAATCTTTCACCTGTGAGTTGTGACCAGATCTGCGTGAATATACCGATGTGTGTCCGGTTAATGTACTGGGGCTTGATTAGCTCCCAGTACGTGACATCAGAGTTTTGGCGCTCAAATTCGACCATCTCTCTGATTTCAGCCATCTCCTTGGCGACCCAAGGCGAGTTTGCGTCACCGTGGCCGTGGACCAGGGTGAGAACAGCCAGGGACTCGTCCCAGCGATCCTTCTTCGCCAACCAGCGAGGCGATTCGGGCAAAAATAGAAGTCCCAAAAAAAGCAAGAGGCCAGGAATCATCTGGATACCCCATGGCAATCGGAAGGCGGCGGTGCCCTTGAGGAAACTGGAACCGTAGCAGATGAAGAACAGTATAGCAATACCCCACGTAATCGCTGCGTTGGGACACGTGACGTTAACAAATGCTGGCCGTACCTGAAAGGATAAAGATAAAGATATATGCCTTAGGGGGTGGGACGCTGGTTTGTGGAGCGTTTAAACCCTGAAACATGGAAATAAAAACAGAAAACTAAGAATCTTAGAGTTACTCACCCCATTGTTGCAAGCCGACGAGACGACCACGCTTTGAAGGAGGTGCAAGCTCGGAAATGTAAACAGGCACCTGAGCGGAGCAGATGCCTACACTGAGGCCGTTGATGATACGGCCGACGATCAACATGGGAATGTTGACGGAAGCGCAGACGATGATGGAGCCAATGATCCTACAGAGTAGATATCGGTTAGACACTAAACTGGGCGCCGACAAAAAGTCATTCTACGTTACTTACCAGATTATAGAGCCAACTTGAATAGACGTCTTTCGCCCAAATCTGTCAGACACGAAACCGCTGACAAGTGCTCCCAGCCAACTGCCCGCAGGCATTGCTGCTGTAATGCCGCCTTGGGTATTGGAACTCGGACCTCTGCATTCACCGTTCTCGTTCATACCAAGGGAGTTAAATTGGCATAGGTAGGGCTGAGTGGAAATGATGGCACTCATGGAAGAGATATCGAATCCAAAGAGCGCACCGCCTGAGGGCACGGTTAGTTGGTTACTTCCTGTGAGTGATTGACGTCTCTGTACTGAGTAGTTATTAACTCACCAATAACGGCGATGGCCGCAATGAAATACACATTGCCTATTTTCCACATTGTGTCCGAGACCCCTCGTGGTCAAGGGATATTACGACTCTAGGTTATTTAGGTTGATAGTAAGAGAATCGGAGAAAAGATACAGGTACAAGGGGAAATACTGATCTTTTTATATAGAAGTCGAGGGCCAAACCAGGATGCGGTACTATGAAGACGGAAGCGAACGTTGCGAGGTCAAGCCGATCCTCAAACCCAAGCTCTTTAGTTCCGAGCCCCGTCTGTGGCCCCTGCCTCCTTGCCTAGGGAGGACCGAGGAGGTGGAAAACATGGGAAGTCTACCCTGGCTCGCTGACTGCAACCGTGGGAAAGAACACCCACCGCAGCTTGAAAAGCTTCGTTGCCAATGGTGCTCTAGTCGGGCTGATGGTGGCTTCAGTCGAGACTGTTTCCGGCTTCCAGGGGAGCGGTGAAAATCTCTTTTGTGGCACATGCTCAAGGCAGTCGCGAGGCACTCGAATCAGCAACATGCAATATGCAAAACACTATGAGCTCGTGGCGTATTTCCATCGACCTCAACACGAATCATACGTTTGGGGGCCGGTTCGGCTCTCCACATCTTTGGGTCATACGCATGGGTCGACCTTGATGGAAATACCCAGTACCCGAGATACACGACCGATGTTTCGTCAAAGCAAAGTTAATACCCCGCGGAGAGAATAATACAGTACAGAGAATTCCACCATAGAAACGCCGTGGCCAATTGGAAATAGAGTCCAAATGCTGATCAGATGCAGTGGCAAGCTTTGTCATCTGGCGTTTGACCAACGACATTTCGAGTACTTTTTGCGAGCTGGTGCCAGCTCGAGGTTCCCTGTACTAAGTACAATAGAGGCAATCAATCTTCGCGAATAGGCCAAGGCTTTCCAGCAGAGATCATCCTGGAGAATGCGACCAGATCTTCCAAGTCTGCGAACCTGGGGTTTAGTCTTCTGGAATCTATTTCCAGAGAGAGAGAAACATTGCACCCATCACACGTTGTTTGACAGTGTCGTCGAAGACAAATTCGCAGATGAGCGTGGCGGGCATTCATTCCCTTACCTGCGCCTCCTTCGGCACGTTCCTGCAAGCCCTAGCATAATAAAGCGAAAAGACGTCAGCGGCGTTGTCATCCATCTGGACAGAAATGTCCAGGTACATAGTAAGTCATGGAGAAGGTGGGGAAGTGGCGTGCTAAGACGACGGGCCGATTAAGCACCCCATGGGCTGCCCAGGCCCCATGGGCAAGAGGCTTGCTGCTCGCGTCAATTTGCAACGTTTGTTGACCCACACGGAATTTCAGAGCGACCGCCGAATTCTCGACCTTGCAAGCGTCAATTTCTGCGGAGCCGTTCATGAGCACTATTTGTCCCGACGTTGGGGAGCAGATATCAACTAGTCAAGCCGAGTTCCTGTTGTAGTTCGCAACATTCGAGAATCTGGAGATTTGACCATGCCTAGGCATGCCCCGATGAATTTATCCATGTGCCCATTTCCTAAGGAAACGGCACTCAATCAGAGTTGCTGATGCAAGTTACTCGAATGTCAAAACGCCGATCAGTGCGCCGGCCTGTGCTGCAAGTGCTCCCTTGCAACGAGTCTCGTGGTTTTATGCACAGCTAGTGTTCGTACGGATACGGCTCGCTTGGAGGCGAAAGCTGCCACTGGTTGACCGGGTTGCCAAGGCAGGGCGAGAGCAAGCCAAGGAAGCTCCCTCGGTCGCCAAGATGCCGCCGGGTCGCTACGTACCTATGGATCAAACTGGTTGTTTGCGGTAGTTCGGCGGCAAGCATTGGTCGGGGGAATGCTGAAGCCCCGAAATAAGGATTTGAGCTCGAAAGCAGCCGCGCATTACCGTAACTCCTTCTACGTATCGTCGTTTTGTGAACAATTTGAGGCGAAGACAACCTGCGGCACGTCACGTGTGACCGCTGACAACGGCCTCAGCAGAACAGGACCTGAATTTCTTCGCCTACTATTCTCTTTGATCTGCTGATTGATCAATATTTTCAACCAACGAAACCCGTCGCCACAAATTCAGTGTAGCAAGCGTCCACAGGAATTTTACTACGCAGAGTCCCCTACTTCTTTATCAGTAACAGTCGATAAGAACTCTTAAACGTAACGTCTCATAGTACGGTAGGTTTCTATACTCGTACGTTAGCTAGGCCACTTCTAGTGACATAGGAACATATCTATACTACACATAGGGGTATTAGGATTTTACATGCTGAAATATAAAGGCTTTCTCGCTACCGTACTAGTATAGAAAGCTACCGTGCTATTAGAGGTTACACTTTCAAGGTCCTGGTTCCTAAGGTCCTTGTCAGGCTCTTAAAGTGGGCCCCCGGTTCCACGTCTCATCCCTTGTCAGCTTACTTTTAACACCACTCATGTCTATTTCCCCATGGTCAGATTCTGCGGAGCAATTCAGCGGCGCCTAACCCGACTTCCCCGAGCTCAAGAATGTCGAAACGAGTCGTCTCCTCTGAGGACGCTTTGGAAATATTACGAGGTCTGCTGATGGTGATCTACACAGTACGAAATACTGACCATCGTTTCATAACAGTACATGAACGGGCTTGCATTCTCCCATTATGCAAATCATCGGAAAGTAAAAACATGTGAATCTCATGTATTACACATCTACTGTTAGATCTGTTCGCCCCGGGGCTGCGCGCATCAGGTGTACCAAGTCAAGAATCTCTCGGAAAATGCGGAAATTGACTGTCTTACACGTTTACCAGCTCGTGACATTGTACGAGGGGTGAAGAAAAGTCGAAAAGTGTCACGGACACATCATGCTGTGCCAAAAGCCGGGGCAGTCCGCGGAGGTACTTCCATGTTTGCCATCCAGGGATTGCATCAACATCGTACCACAATTTTACTCGGGAATGATGCTGATAATTACGAAGAAGATCAAGAAGCAAGGGATTTGAAAGAACCAAACATTTGTTTTTGTGGTTCCCGCGAATAAGCTTCCGATTTTTCATTGGCCCCTAACACTTGAGTTCAGATGGGATGTTGTCGCTTGCATATCTCAACACTCACAGGACGGAGGATAGGGGCGTAACTCGGGGTCCTCGTAAAGTGGACAGCGCACAACATTAGGTTCTTGGACAACCCATTTCAACTAAGTTATGCTGAGTCGCTTTGTTTGAGCTCGCTCGTAGTAGATACATGAGAATATTTGTTGAAGGCAGGTTGCTAATCAAACTGCGTAATGCCCTTGTCTTGAAACAAAGATGTACACCTACCTAGGTATGCTACTCGTTCTCCTGTTTCTCTTCACAGGACAGGATGGCCCAGTCTCCTGGTTTTCTAGCAATATACTAGTTCCTATACGTATACCTATTGTCATGCCTTGTGCCCTAAGGAAACATCCCATTGTACAAAACATCGGTATAATTCACATGAATTATTAATCTACGAGACCTCTACCGTAAAAGCACCAGTCAAGGGCTTATCAACAACTACTGTCGTAGAGTATTTATTCACAACCGCCTCAGCCCTCTTCCCCATGACCTTGAACCTCTTCTCCACCCCATGCTCCTGAGACAGTCCCAAGAATGTCACCTTCGCAATCTTGATATCCGTATCGTATTCGAACTGGCCCGACGCGGTCAGAACCCCCTTCTTATAAGAAAAACTAATCAGCGTGGTGCCCTTCTGCTCGAGGCTGACACCGTCGTCCAGGTACAGCTCCCCGCTGGCGTTTCCGTCGGCACCCAGCGGAACGAGGATTTCGAAGTCTTGCCTTCGCAACTCTGTTGTCGTCATCGCGGACTTGGTTCTCAGGGGAATTACGATGCCCCCTTTGATGTAGAGCGGGATGTCGGACCAGCCCTGATCTGTGACAGTGATATGCACACCATTGCCCTCCACCTTTTCATAAGTGTAGAAGTCATAGAAAACATCGTTTGGCAAGTAGACGTCGACGCTGGTTGCATTCTCATCCGTCACTGGCGCGACTAGCAGTCCCGGGCCGAGGAAATACTGCAGTTCCAAATCCCAAGTCGTCTCGTCTTCCGGATAAAGATAAAACATTGGGTTGACCGAGGGAGTTCCGTCCACGCTCTGGTGGTGGAGAGCGGTGTACATGTAGTCAATAAGACGGTACCGAATATCGATAACCTTCTTTGCAACCTCTGTGACAGACTTCCAGCGGTAGAACTCCTGCGGGATGCTACTAAGATCATTATGGTTACGGTAGAAGGGAGAAAAAGCGCCTAGGGCGGTCCATCGAGCGCAAAGCTGCTCCGTCGTGTCTGAACTGAAGCCGCACACGTCCGCACCAACCATGGGAATCTGATAGATGGCCGCGAACGACATCATGCTCCGGATTACCAGACGGTAGTGCCACCAAGTCGACAGATTGTCGCCGAGCCAATGGCCTACTTTTGCCCCGGCACCGGCGAAAGTCGATCGGGTGATGACCATGGGTCGCAACGATGGTCGCCGCGCGAGCATGGCTTCCCGAGATGCTGTAGACATCATCGAACCGTAAAGATTGTGAGTATCGTATTGGGAAAGCCCATTGTGCTGAATCAAATCGGTGTTCACCGTCTTGTTGCTTATGCCACCTTCTTCTGCATTCCAGTCATCTTGGTAGGCGGCTGTAGTCGCTAGGGTCAGCGATTGCGATAAGGAGGGTCTTTGCTAAATAGGGAGGTTCAAGTCTTGGTTCGAAAGCAACCTTCCAGAACGGGTCGAACTGGAAGTTCTTGTTCCTATGACAGGCAATATGGGAAACAGGTAACACTAGTAAAAACTAACCCTTATTATGAATAGCATATTTGGGGAAGAGTAAGTCGCGACCAGGCAAGCCGAGCTGTTGACCTTCGTCTTGGCGCTCGGTCATGACTAGATGGTCATAACGTGATTCCGGGATACCGTCACGGATTGCAAGTGATATTGTTTCCTCCGACCGCTTGCATTCGGTGCCTGCCGGTTGAAAATCGCATGGCCAACCGGGCAGAGGCCTTGGCGGTGTCCGAACTGCAGGTGGTTCCGGCGGGAACCCGATCGCTGCAGCGTCGGGGTTGGCGCAGGGAAAGTAGCATGGAAAGTTGGATGGCTATAATCAATTATCAGTTACAGTTAATATCAAGAGTTTAGTTTAGGTTATGTCCAAGATCGATGAGAGTAGCCAAGGACAGCCTCTCAACTCTTCAAAGGAGCTCAAACTAGGCATCTCATTCAATGACGTGTGACCACCCTCGAAGCCATGATGGTTGTCCCAGACGATTTCTCGGAGTATATTCCATCCTCTGATAAGATAAGCTGTCCATGGTTATAGTTTACCTCGTTCATGTCGATCCACAAGGCGTCAATATCTACACCATCAGATTCGGAGAAGAACATGGCAAACTCATTGTTCCAATAATCTGTACAGACTCGACATCAATAATGGTTTCTCACCACATAACACGATTTACCGAGTTTCTTGATACTGCGCCGGCAAACGAGCTCCAAAGCAAAGAACGAAGAAAAGATGGACACATACTAGTGATATTGTGACTAAACCAATCAGGGAAGACAGCAACTCCAGGCCACACGACACCTCTCCACACGGAACCATTCTCTCGAAGAATAAAAATGTCGTCTTCTACACCTCGTTGAAAGGCTCCTGGGAAATCTTGGTAAGCCACCGCAGGGTCGACCATGACGACATAATGTTGGTCATGTGCGTGCAGGTGATCGACCAATTCCCGCATTTTCGCTAAAGGAAACCTGTCAGGATCTAAGGAAAATACCTATTCGGTGTCAGTGAATAATATATGGAGACGAACGGCTGGATCACTAACCCGGCGACGGTACATGTAATCGATGTCTGTCCACATCGTCTCGAGGGGTATCTCGGCCTGGCTGTAGTTAAAGACAGCTTCGGCGACATCGAAAGCATCCTGATACCCATAACGGCAATTGTGAAAACCATATCCCCAATACGGCTGCATTGCCGGTAGACCGACTATTTCAGCGTATTGCTGAGCAACCTCGGCTGGAGATGGGCCTCCAATGAAATAAAAATCAAGCACACCGCCCAGAGTGTGGTATTCGAGATACTGGCCAGATTCTTCAGTGCTATTGACCACTGGAAGTGTGAGAGTCAGTGGCTGCTCCTCGAGTTATGTTTTGGAGTACTAAGTTCTTTTTATCAGGGGCTTAAATAGATATGTTGACTTATCAAATGATGAACAAGTAATGCGATCAAATCTCACGACTACTTACTGATATCCATGCCGTTTGAGTTGAGCAGAAAGACTCCATGCGTACCCGAAGACCGGTGCTCGTAATACACAGGATGGTTACCATAAAGGTTGGAACCTTCGGGTACTGCGTATGAATCCTGAGACCAGATAGTACGGATGTAGTCGGTGGTGTTCAGTCTGAACGGATCCGAGTGTTCTCCGAGACCATACAGGTAGGGATCCTCTGGAAGCTTGGTTCTTAGGCGTAGATATTGAGACTCGAAGACTAGACTGGCAGCAGAAGAATCAAAGAGTACCTCTCCAGACTCTGCCCTCGAGACAGTGAAAGTGAATGGCTCTTCGGTGTAGTTGAAGGCCAACGTAGACTCAGCCGCAGTGCTTCCTCCGACTTCTGGTCGAGGGAATACAGATACTGGGACTTGGTAGACACTGTTGGCAGCATCTTGGATCTTAACATGGATCCTGTTTGCTTACGAATTCTCAGTCAAATTCGTTCAGTGCCTTGAGAAGTTAACTCACCCGTGTCGTAAGACACTTCCAAAGTAAGGTCTATCAAGTCGGTGCCATAGGCGTCACATGAATCCCCCGCGAGAGTGAGGTCTGCCGTCAATCCCGACGAAGAAGTTTGCACATTCAATGCTTTGTAGCCCGGGCATGTTGCGAGAGGGTCACCACTCGGGTAATCTCTCTTCACAATAGCTGCCGCTGAGACGGCCACAGCTATGAACAGGAGACTAGCCATATTGAAGAGAAGAAAATATGTGACTAGGAGAACGCCACCAGAGCCAGCTCACCATGGATGGGAACGTTCCCGGCGCTCTTATTTAAGGTCACATCATGTTCTGCAACATGCTACGGGGAACCGTGACCCCGCATACTACTACCCTGGGCTCCATCGGCTACATCGATTGCATCTCCACCAGTTTATTCGGGTCGTTGACCAATTGACGATCCCCGCTATACCGTGTTGGGGATTTCGGCTCTGCCTCGGTGACGTATTGCCCTCAACCTCTACGGATTCGCTGCTGTACTGTACAATACCTGCTGTTCGATATGCGCCTTGAAAGACACAGGTTAGTTGCCGTGTTATCCATGGCCATTCCTCGGGGCTCTGTACAATGGTTTCGGACGATTTGGACCCAAGGGCGGAAAGAAATTTAGGTCATGGGTCTCTTTCAAGACAAAAGGGGTAAATGCTTATATTTTAACAGCTAATAATAAATTAAGTTCGGTTTCTTGTTATTAGTGTCTTTAGTTATTGGTTAAACACGAAAGGTGCAAACCCTAATTAGTTAGAAACCGTATATACTAGTTCTTTGATGGCAGATGGATGATTATCTGGTTTTATAGAAGCTGACGGTCATTTTTCAGTGAGAACAACTCAAAAATACATACAAAGGAGACCGTTCAGCGGACTTTAAGTTCCCCACAGGGTAGGTAGCTACCCCGCAGTATAACACCACATCTGGGGACGGTACAGGGTTGGCACAGACAGAAGAGAAGGGCTGCTGCCTAAACATCTGACTATTTCGTCTGAACGCGCCTGCCATCTGAAGTCCTCGCATGAAGCTTGAGGCGCCCGCACACCGTTGCATGCGACGAGAACGAAACCTGGGGAACAAGATGCATCCGAAGTCTGCAGGTGTAGAAGGAGCCTGAGAGATTGGCCACGAATGATGAGACACCCCGCTAGTCTATTTCTATTATTCAATAGGATTCTCGGGCAAGGATAAAAATCTGACTTAGATGTAACATATGATGATGATATGACGGGGTCAAGATTTGAAATGTGACGATCCAAGTGTTGTAGTGCAACACTTACACATAGTATTACATTTGTGTTCGCACATAGCTTAGGTTAATCTCCAGTTGAGTAGATGCAAGTCCAAGGGTTCCGCAACGACAAAATTCTCGCAAATTTCTATTTGTCGAACAATGACAATATATTCACACTATTGGTCTGATACCTCAGTCGTAAGGTTTGGCGAGAGACTGACCATCACAGATAGCCACAAAAGGAGCCATTATTTCGCCGACAAAAAGTCTCTAGTGAGACATGGACGCACAATGATGATTATGAGTAGTATGCAAAGTGATGAGAACACAGTTTGCTTACATTGATTGATTATATCTGAAAGCATACCACGAGATGTTATTGAAGGGATTCATATTCAGTTGCAGCGCAGGAAAACCTAATTGGTTGTATATGCGGCTCATGTTGCAAGGAATATTGCTGTGACTCGAGATCGCCTTACACCCATTTCTAGAACTTCGGGGCATTACTCAGACAAGAACCAGAATGTCCGAAATCGACGTCTGGTGACTCAAGCGGTCCCTCCAAGTTCTCGAAATTGCCCCAGGACAAAGGGAGAAAAGCATGATTACCTTTGTCATCCCAGCGAACGGCTCCATCACCAAAGCCTTCAAGATCCTGACAACGGAATAAAGCGCAGCATCCAAAATCAAGAGCCCCATCGAGCGTCTCTCCGTCAAGAGCGCGATTCGCACCGCCCAAGCCAAGGTCAAGATGGCTGACCCCCGCTTGGTAACTTTGTCTCAGGATCTTGACGTCAACGAAGCGCGAGGTGAATTCCTTCTGACATAATGGATGGCGCAGCATCATCATGATTTCGGCTCAAAGCTGGTGCTTGTCAAAAAGGTCTCGGGCGAGGGCAACACATTTGTTGATGGGTTTTGTGGTGTCGGTGCATTGCTGTGATGGGCCGTCGATCTTCAACATCTCGACGAGTACGGCGAGAATGAGCAATGGCAGACTAAGTGCGATCCGCATGACTGAGCAGTTGGATGCAGCATCTGCAATGCTTTCAACCATTTCTAATACATACTCATTGTCTCCTAGTCTAGATTCCATGAGAGCCTGGATTTCACATTGAAACAACAACGATGTTCTCTAATCCATAGTTTGCAGGTTACCACATCAGAAATATATTCCCCTGGCCAAATTTCTGCTTTATTTTGACCTATACCTAAGGAGTGACTCCGTCAGCCCCCGACCGAAATGTGATTTTAGAACTGGCCCAAGGATGTACAGAAACAAGGGGAATAATGACATATCTGTTAGTGTCTAGCTACAGAAGGAAATCGCGTAGATGATGAACTGTACGTCTCAAACTCTCAAGCTTGATCTGAGCAATGCCAACCTACTGCCACGTTTGACATCTCATACCGGCGGCGGAGTTGCACCATCTTACAACCCCTTTGCAGTTTTCGCTATCCAGTCCTCTATCTTGGCAGCTATATCGTCACTGTTCGTTTCCATGAACATCATGTGGCCATTGCCGAATATTCCTTCATCTTCAAGTCTCAAGTGCTCTACCTTCTTGATTCCAGCTTGACGCAGGTACTCGACGGTTATCCAGTCGTACTGCGCATGGTAAGAAGCTGGTGCTGTACTGCCGGTGTCAGTTAGTGAATTGCCCCTCCTGGAATCGGGCAAATCTCGACTGGGACTTACACCACTAGCACAGGAATATCTACCAAGTTGATCAACTTGCGCAACGAGGAATCATCCTGCAATGTACCATCAATCAATCCTGGAGATATGGCTTTCTTCACCTTCTTCTTCAAATCCTTGGTAGGATCCTGGACTGGTGGCTCATAGGTTACGGGAGCGTGGCATATGCCATATGGAGATCCCAGTGTGGTCACGACGGTGACTTTGAAGAAAGGGGGTCCAGTCGGTCTAATTGTGGAATATTCAGTGTCTATCCCAAGTAAGATCGGTTGCCTTCATTCTTACTCGAGCCCAACAATCATTTTGACTAAATGCGGCCGAATGTCCGCAACGAGCCAGGGTATTGATCCGCCAGCTGAGTGTCCCACAAGGACCACCGGCTTATTGATACGATCAAGAAGAGCTGCAAATGCTGTCTGCGATGCCGTTTCCTGGATCAAAGGGCTGTTGATTTGTTGAATAGTGGAGGCGTAGAGTTTGTCGAACAGTGGATCGCCCATCATGCCAGTGCCGGGCCATTGAGTATGTAGCTTTGCTTGCGGCCATAATTCGTACTGCTTGCATGCAGTGAACATTTTCTGTATCTGTTCCGCCGGATATGCCACTATCTGGTCGTTACCCGGGCACCACTAGAAGTCAAGACAAGTCAAAAATACCCACTCCAAGAACATACCACAAGCGATGAAGAGAAAAGTCGTGATACACAGATCTAAAGTTGACCGGAAAAGGGGGCTGAAAACTACAAAGACTCACTGGGCTTCTACCCCTGAAGGGCAAGTCTACGATGTACAAATCGTACCCGCGGGACAAGAAAAAAGAGGCCCAGCCCGGGTCTCCGTCTGGTTTAGTGAGCCAATCCTATTATTCGTTGCAGTTAGCATTAAGCCATGCAGAGGCCAGTGATTACAGCGAGGTGACAGCTGGTCACGTCAAACCCTTCAATCCCGGTAGCTCAATTGCTAAACTGAGAAGAACACCCACATTTCCTGTGCGAGTTCCTCCATGTATGAAGATGATGGACAAGGGTTTGATAACGCCATTTGGCCGGAGATGCTCGACGTACATCTGGCCTTGGAAGGTATGATTTCCGTTGTCGTCTTGCACGTAACTGCCGCCTACGTAAAATGTTTCACGCTTTTGAGGAGTTCCACTGGCAGTCGCCATAGTGGTAGGTGTCGTTAAATTTAACCGATGTCAGAGGGAAATCCAAGGTCGAGGTGAAGTGCTTAGGTTTGAAACTGGATCTGACGCCTTATCGATCCACCAATTGCATAATAACTCATACAGACCTACGAATAACCTCCAAAGTATCAACAAAAAAGCATACCCAAGCAGAAGCAGCAGGTATGCCCGTGTAATAGATTCGTGTGGTCCTTTACGGTCTATGCACAGCGCACAGAATTGAGATTGACGAAAGCACTTAGATCAAGCCCGGGAAGGATTTATGCAGACGGCTAAACATTTGGGTGCATGTCGTTGCACTTCGTACTCTAGAGAGGCAAAGGGAACCAACCCAATTTTTCCCGTAGGTACTACTGTGAAAGATAGTCTTCTAGAGATGGCACCACAACTCCAAGCTCACTTACTCTATCGAGAAGATTTGACTTCATTGACTCCATTACAAGCGCCTGTACCTAGGGAACACCACAAAATGGCGTAAGCCACTTCAAAACCAGGTTGTCGCTGTTCGCGGAGGCCCGAGATCGACATGCGAATTGTCAAGAATCCCATTGTCTCGGGTGGAGTAAATGACGTCTTCCTATGTAAGCTAAGCTATTTACAGCCTTAGTATGAGTAGTGTGGTTTAGCGTGCCTGTTCCTGACTAGCGTTATCTGCCTTATCGGTCGAGCAGGAGAAATATTTACTTTGACGTCAAGGGAGCCCTGAAGAGAAGTCTCCTTGTGTCAACTACATCAAAGAACAGCAAAACCGTGCATTCGCAGCGATTCTATCCTCCTTATGTTTTCTGCTCTCCGACTATCACGTCCATCACTTCTGCGCAGTATTCTCACATCAGCAGCCATGCAGGAATCTAGGAAAGCAGCGAGGCCGAAGCGCTTCACAGACAACAGAGCCAAGAAGAGAACCATGGCAACGCAGGGCGCTGCCGAGCAGTCTCCTGGTGCAGCATCTTCATTCTCGACACCGCAGCCCATCGCCAGCACGGCTCCCCCGTTGACCATTCCCATTCCTGATGACACGCCCAAATTCTCGGATTTGGCCAAAGACAACCTCATTCACCCTACCTTGCTGCAGACCATCGCACAAGACATGAAGTTCGAACACATGACGCCTGTCCAGGCGGCCACTATACACCATCTTCTAAGAGACAGACAAGACATGTTGGCACAAGCAAAGACAGGCACCGGAAAGACAATGGCATTCTTGCTCCCGTCTATCCAAACTCTCATTACCAGAGGGCGGAAACCTGGTGCTGACATATCACTACTTGTCATCTCTCCAACTAGAGAACTTGCCATGCAGATTGCCAATGAAGCACGAGTCTTGTTGCAACGTCTGCCCCAGTACAAAGTATGTGTTGCCATCGGTGGTACTAACAAGGACTCGGAAGAGAGACGCATTCGGAGTGGCTGCGACCTGTTGATTGGCACGCCTGGGCGCCTTCTGGACCATTTCGAGGGTGGCAGTGACGTCCGTGATAAGCTGCGAAACGTCGACACCCTCGTTCTCGATGAAGCAGATAGACTTCTGGACATGGGCTTCCTCCCCGCGCTCAAGTCTATCATCCGATGCTTGCCTGATAAGGAAAAGTCGAAGAGACAGGGCATGCTCTTCTCGGCAACGATTGCGGATCATGTTGAGAAGGTAGCTCATCTAGCTCTTGCAAAAGATTACAAGTTCATCTCTACAATCCCCAAGGGAGAAGTGAATACACATGAGCGTGTCCCACAGCATCTCGTCGTTGTCCCTACTTTCTCAGACATGGCTACTGGCCTCGTTGGGGTCCTGCGCCAAGAGCTTGCCCACGTCGGCCGCGATGGCTTCAAGGCCATTGTGTTCGCGCCAACAGCAGCTCAGGTAGATTTTTACGCAGGCATTATTGAACAGTGCTCGGATTTGCCCAAACCTACAGCCTTGCATTCCCGCTTGTCCCAGAGCAAACGTACCAATACTTCCAATGCCTTCCGCGAAGCTAAGAATGGTATTCTCGTCGCCACGGACGTTATCGCACGTGGCATGGACTTCCCATCCGTCACGAACGTCATTCAAGCAGGTATGCCTGCTGACAAGGAATCTTACATCCATCGCCTGGGACGTACTGCCCGCGCAGGCGCGGAGGGGCGTGGTACCTTCATCATCACATCTCATGAGACATTCTTCTCAAAATTCACCTTGAAAGACATCAAGTTCGAGGAGACCACAGCGGATCTCAGCGCGCAGAGGGACATTCTGTCCATTGCCGAGAGAATGGACCCGGAGATGCATCGGAAAACGTACCAAGCGTGGCTCGGCTTCTACAAGTCGTATATGAAGCAGCTGCGCTGGGACTCGGAGACGCTGGTCCACGAGGCCAACACGCTCGCACTGAAAGGCTTGGGTTCCCCGGAGGTACCAACCATGCCGAAGAGCATCATCGGTAAGATGGGCTTGAAGGGTGTGAAGGGCTTGAACATTGGGCCGGACCCCCCGAAGCAGGGCCGTGGAGGAGGTGGTCGCGGAGGAGACCAGTCGGGCGGCTGGGGTGGAGCATCGACTGGCAATGGTGGCGGACCGCGTAACAAGCGGCCGCGCAAGCAGTCTGATGCTTGGTAGGTACCTCCTGTCTTGATGACGCTGGCGAAGGATAGGAGATTTTGGGTCTTGGTTGCTGGGAGTCCGGCTCGATGTATGAATAATAGACTACTGGGTATACGACGCTTGCAATGTCGATCAGATCCTAATGAATCAACTTTTGGGGCTTTGCCCTTGTCTTTCAGTCTATGCTGCGCCGCGAGTGGGATTCCCACGTGGCTTACGAGTAATCTGGGATACTGATGGCCAAATAGAACAAGTATGTCAATGAATATCCAGGGACCACCAAGACGTAACGGTCATGTCAACGTGCCCTACCTGTAAAGGTTTGGGTCTGAAGCCCGTTGCGAGCATATCTGACATTGCTTGCTTTTTTCGCTCGCCCTTTGCTCCCAGAACTGATGTGGAGAAGGAGCGTAAGCTCCCCTCGCAAGTGGTGGGCCGCCTTTTCGTTTTCTTGTTCTCCTTATTAGTTTCACTACAATTTACATTACACCAGTTATGGAAGCTGATGATCCTACATTGCAGCAAATATTGAAAGCATCGTAATCTATATAGTGAATAGACGATATATCCTGTCAACTTGACGCTGAAGTACTCTGGGTAGGAGATGGACTGTGCGGTCCATTAACACAGTTTCCCAATACCAGGCATATTCGAGAGTTATTGGGTTTGAACGGATGAAATACCAGCTTCCGTGCCCAGTGTCAAAAATTTCAAAGCCCTCATGATTTTTCAGCCCTGCTGAACGCTCACTGCTTCCGACTTAGCTGCTGCCCCGAATGCGTCCACTTCATGATCGGAACAACCGGGCCCTCTTGCCGTACTGCAAGCATCTCTAGGTAAAGAATAACACGATTCCTGGATTTTCTGTAAAAAGTGCCGCAAGCTTTTGCATCTGATAAAAAAGAAGATGTTTGCTCTGAGCATCAGTACAGGGACTTCAGGCAAACATGGCCTGATCCTGCTGTCCCTGCCCTGCCCTGCCTGGGCTATACACGTATTGTTTGCCTCGCTTCGAAAACAGAAAATCAAGTTTGCAATGTCCCTTTGCCCATCTGCAGGGTTAAGCATGTCGATATGGCTCTGAACTCTGTGCTTACCGCCGATTTTCTCTCCACCTTTGCGAAAGCAACACGGCCAACATTATGTTGGTATGTACGGAATTGTCTGGGCGCCTATTTTTTTAGCTCATCAGCCCTCATACGAGTCCCACATTAGATTACCTAGTAGATGCTCAGGCGATAGATGTGCCTTGCGTTGGCAACTGGCACATGTCATTTGCTCGCGAAGATTTGAATTTCGCCGACGGTAATATACACAGATACGCCCTTGCGACATGGATGTGATTGCATTTTATATAGTTGAAAGAGTCTGGCTGAGAAATCTCAACATGTTGTTCTCTCAAGTGACTCGAAGGTCCGAAGTCAATTTTTATCCTTAACAATGCCCTCGTTGGCAGGCATTGCCACACAAGACAAAGGACCAGCCATTCTCATTATAATAATAATAGCTACATCCTTAAGCACAGCTTTCGCCGCTGCTCGCTTGTTCGTCAGAGGCAAGCTACTGGGCAGACTTCACTTGGATGAATACCTAATTGCTGTATCAGTGGTGAGTGTGGCCACAGCCCTCACTACTACTTCAAACCATATCTAACAGACTTTGGTGCAGATTGTCAGTTGGGTTGCTGTTGCGTTCCAAATTTTGGCGATACAAAACGGAAACGGGAAGCACATACAAGTCTTGACTTACGAACAACAAAAGGCCATCCGCAAATGGACAATGCTTGGGTTCACACCCTTTCTGTTGTCTTTCACCATACCGAAGCTGGCAACAGTTACATTGCTGACGCAATTGCTGGCCCCGACCAGAACTCACCGGATCTTCCTGTGGTTCTTGAGTATATTCTGTATTATCAACATGATACCAACCGTTGTTACTCTTTTCCTTGAATGTCCACACGATATACCGAAAAATATGGATCTGAAATGCATTCCCATATCGAGCAAGATGTACTACGACATATATTCGGGCGGTGAGTCTGCGGCAAAAATGTGCTGGACGGGACTAATAATAGTCAGGCTTCTCCGCCTTTGTTGATCTCTACCTCGCGTTATATCCAGCGATCATCCTATCCAAGATCCGCCTGAGTTTATACAAGAAGATTTCTTTGAGTGCTGCTCTCGGATTCGGGTTCATGTAAGACACATCACTGGCCAGTGCATCTTGCCTCCATGCTGACGACGTGAATCAGCTCCGCCATAGTGGCAACATATAAGTGCACTCGATTGACATTGATGGAATCCCCCGACTTTACTTGTGAGAGACAAACTGCAGTCATATCTAGAAGATAACGCACTCATATGTTACAGACGATCTATCAGATGTGGTCATTTGGACATCAGTAGAGGGCAACACAATTATCATTGCAGCCTGCATTCCAGTCCTGAAACCTCTGGTCGATCTCTTCCGTGGAAAGTTTGATCCGTCGTTGAACTCCCGGCGCCACAACTACCGAGGCTTTTATTCACGATCAAGAAGCACGCCCAAGGTCAATGTCAATCTGGGCCGGATCAATGTAAAGAAACAGCAACCTCCAACCCTATCGTTTGATGGAAATATTGCCATCACAAGAGCAGAGAGTAGAGAGACAATGTTGGGCCTTTCAGAGCATCGATTGCAAGAACCAAAACTTGGCCAAATCAGAAGGACTGATGTCGTTGTCGTCGAAGATGAAGATGAATATGAAGATGAAGATGAACAGGGCCACAAATTTGAGGCCTAGCCAAGTTGATACGATGGGTATTTTATATTTTATTTCCGTGCATGTGTTATGAGCAGGATGGAACTGGCTTTCACTATTCATCAGTATATTGAATGGAATGTCACACGGCATACCTATTCGTGCGCTTGGTTTTATGAAACATCGAAGAGTGAATATAGTATTTGCTGGGAAGCTCGAGGGGTTCATGTATTTTGACAAATAATTCGAACTATTCATTGTTGATCCCTTTACTGGAGGCGTTTCAGGGGGTCACTATAGGGTAGGCTTGCCGCCATTTGCCCCACTTGATGCGGCACAGATCGCTGAGGGGTCTGACCATGGTGTTCATGACTTGCCGTCTCTTCATAACTGTGCTTCGTACTTCATCTTTCAGAACCATGACAGCTGCAAATCATGAAGTCACGAACTTCGAGAAACACTCAATCAAAGCATTACAGTTGTCATTTTTATCCATCATTAACTCATTGTGTACCAACTACTGTGTTGCCCATGTTGCGGATATCCCTGGCATTGACCCGTCACTCTTGTAGGCGATCATAATTGCCATCCTTGAATCTATGTTTTAGCTCCAGAGGAGAAGAGTCTTCATGGCAAACTCTTTGTTACTAGGAATTTGAGCCTGATAGACTGCGGAATGGCTCCTTCGGTATGCATCTGGTGTCCCCCAAAAAGCTGCGATGGAGAACTGACGGCTCAACTCAGACACCAACACCACATCGCTTTCTGGTCCCAAAGCGGTCCGCCAGGCCAAGGAGTGAGACACCGAAACCTCTTCAAGCTGGATCGCAGCAGTTTCAAGCCACACCTCGATTCTCTCTTCATTCTACGCCGCGCGCAACGGGCCCGGTGCAGTCGTCATCAACACCAGCTCCTCCAACTGCCTTTCAGCGTCAACGCAATATTGACAGCATCAGTGATGACCTTGGCAGCTCTCCACCTTCCCCAAGGCATTCTCATGGCTTAAACGACTCAATAGAGTTTGATTCCGTACCTGTGTCATCCCAAATCGAATTTCCCGTTGAGAATAGTGACGATGAGGAGCCAGATGCTCCGTCACCGAAGAGGCGTCGCTTATCCGTCCTCGATGATCCAGATAGAGAGGTGTCATTGTCGCCAGTCCAAAGGCTCATAAAAAGTGACCAACGTGAATTAGAGTTGACCCATGCGGCCGAAGTCGACCCAACCGAGCTAGCGCAGCTTCAGTCAGCCCAGCAGCCGACTTTCCGGAAAGCACCGCGCTTCAAGCAAGTCGAGTTGGCCGCGGAGCAACAGCATGAACCCCTTCCAGACGCATTTTCACCTCACAGAAGAGGCGCCAAATACGTACCCGGTGGTCTTGCGGCCGAGTTACGAGATTGGCTCATGGACATTGAGGCTACTACTGGGTCCAAGCGGGATGGCGAGTGGCTTGCGAAAATACTCGTCAGCGAGGCACGGACTAGTCCTGGCATGATCCTAGCTAGAGGCAAACGTGTACATGATGATGAAGATCAAGGGCCAGCAGAAGATCCCGGCACCTTGAACATTATCCTTGCTGGAGAGGGCCGTCTAATTGGCTTGGCTAGAAGGAATGAAGTCGCTCCCGGCTCAGTAATCGGCATCGCAAAACCAGTTTGGGAGGTGGACATTCAAATGGAGGGCCGATGGGCAGTCGCTTGTGACTGGGTAGTACTCTAAGACGAGTGTATGTTTCAGCACCGTCGGTGAAACCAGTTTGACACCTCGGCGGTCCAGCTCAGCCTGCCTCCTAAGATGTCCGACGGAGATAACAGTCAAATTATATTGCCACACTACGAGTTCTGCGTTTTGTGGTCTACATCGATCTTCAGCAACACTCTTGATCATGGCAAACGACGAAGCCACTACACGGCAAAGTGAATCGTCGAGATAAAAATGTCATTGGTGGCAGTGCCGACAAAACGGCTAGCCTGATTTCGAACTCGGGACTCCGGTTGTCTCATAAGGTACCCCATGCCTTGGATTTGTTAGCAGCATCAATGAACTGAACGTGCACATATATTCTCATCCGTATCGCGCCGTCACGTATAGCGATCCGAGTCCCACTGTTTGCAGCTTCCATATCACACATCTCCAGATCCTCAGGGCCCCCCTATTTGGCGAATCTCCACCCCTGACGACATCCCGTGCATTTACGGAGTTATCTGTATCTTCGGAGGTCAGGTAGCTTTGTACTACCAAGGGGTTGTAGTGCTTGGGGGCGTTGGCAACGAGCGTACGTGATTTTCCATGCGTACTATTTACGGTGCTACGCAAGCCCGAGCTTATATCCCCTGAGGCGGATGAGAGGCTGCAGGACCGGAAAGCAGCTGGTCGACAGGCCAATATGGCCTCCAAGATCAGTACACGCGGCAACTCAGTCCATTTTGAATACTTTGTCGGAGGTGAAGTCAGTTTTTACATCTGTTTCGGGCGGCTGGTAAGCTGATGCGTCGTATTCCATTGCGTAAGGAGACGCCGGCGTTGCTGAAGAGGACATGCAGCTTCTGCTCCCTGCAGAGAAACTCGTTTGCAGACTCCCTGACTTTGACGATATCAGAGAGGTCGAGAGGGAGGAAGATAAGCTCTCCAGTGGACTTCGGGACGGACATCTTGATGTCGTCCATGGCCCTCGTGGTTTTCTCCTCGGAGCGAGCCATCATGTAGACCTTTGCATTCTTGCTCAGAGGATCTGTGCCACTTCTTTTCCGACACCAGTGTTGGAGCCGGTGACGATGATGACCTTATTGGTTAAATCGTGGACATTCTTATCGGTGTACTTTGCCTTTCCTGGGAAGGATTGTTGCATGAAACTGACGATGCCCGGCATATTGAGTTGCTCTTAGTACGACTGTCTTGGTGTGTGTAATGATGTGTTATTCAGATGAATTGGCTAGAAGATGAAGAGGAGAACAACTTGGTAAGGATTGGTATGTGTTGTTGATCTGTGAATTCCTCGCAGATCTCTGATTCTGTTCTGGTGTACAAGAGTCCTCAAGAAGTTGGTGGTTGTCGTCTCGTACAACGCGGACCGAGAAAGGCCGCACTTCAGAGCCACATCGTAAGCACCAACAACTCGCGGATTCAAAGTGAATACATCGGGATTTATGTGAGACAAGTCCTGCGTAGACTATCCTAATCCCAACAGGTTTGAGCCCCGCGGATTTCAACTTTTTTCTACCAACGAACATTGAAACCCTTCCAAGGTCCGAATAGGTAATCCATGTTAATGCTTATTATCCCAAACGGGTTGGAGTTCTGAGAGCTGATAGAGCGGACTAAGAGTTGGACTAGCCCTGGATCATCGTGAACTGGATCGCTGACAGACACGCTGGATACTCATAGTCTGAGAATGCCAAAAAGCTGGGATCAGGGCCGCATGAAAACGGGTAGATTCCCATGATTATTTCTCAATTATCTTTGTTGGATGCTAACACCGTGATTAAATCCTCTGGGCAAATGCCGGTCTTGGAGCCGCTAGTGTGCCGCTCTTCTGGAAAACCTTCCACACTGGCAACTGCACCGTCCACCGGACGGATATCGACTCGCTTTGCAACAATTACAATGTCAAGTTGAAAGATCACACTCAGTACCACACTGATTCTATGATCCTCTGCACAGGATTCGATAAGTCCTTTCACGTCTTCAGTCAGCAATTGCAGCAGGAATGTGGTTGCCTGCCAAATCCAGCTGCGCATGTCAAATGAGCCAGCTTGACTCAGCCGCCGAGGAGACCGTCGATGAGCTACTGCCAGCTCTCAAAACTTCCCCCTTCGGCCAGTCAAAGAAGTTCGACCGCGAGGAGACAGTCGGCGGGCGCAAGCTACTCCACGGTCCAGGCCGACATTACCGCAGGCTTATTGTTCCCTCGCTCGCTGCCCAGGGTGATCGATCCGTTTTCTTCCCTGGATTTATCCACGCAATTTATACGCCCATGGTCTCCGAGGTGCAGGCTTTATAGGGCGTTGGCTTCCTGTTGGGCTTACATGACCCGCCTGCCCCCGGGGGGAGGGGTAGGGGATGGATGGAACAAGAAGTGGCCGAATAGAATGCCTGGTCGCGCAAACAATACGTGGCGCAGGGCACGAAGCATGCCTACGCTATTTATGACTTTCTTCCCGTAAGTTATCAGCATTCACACGAGCAAAAATGAAGCATGCGAGCTTCCGCTGACGATACACTCTTCCATAGTATATCGATACACTATTCAAGGACATTGGTGTGAACCCCAACCGCAAGAAATTCTCCTTGACCAGCCTTTTTACGCCGGTCTACCCCAGAGAGTATAAGGGCATAGCCAATGAGTTCTGCAAGGCGGTAGCCAAGAGACATGGTCTGAATTCAACGGCTGCCAGCATACCTGGAGCTGCGGCACCAGGATCCAACGGAAAGGGCGAGGATTCAGGGGTCTTCAATGGGTTTAGCACAGCTACCGTTGCTATCAATGGTTATGCAACTGGCATATCACTTGATGGAGGCCATAAATCATCTCTGAAACCATTCAACAGTACGGAAATACCATGACGGAATCACCTAGGAGGCGTGATACTAGCTATGATACATACCCATGACTTAACGCTAGTTCAGTGCTCATATCTTTTGCGTTGCAAGGGATACCTAAGTTATTGGTCACCGCAGGATCAGGTATGGGAGACATTGAAATCGCGGTGAAGTCTTCTAGACAGTGGTTGATGTCAAAAGGTAGTGAGATGGCATTGGAGTACCCAGTGGACGCCCTCCACGAAGAGATTAAAGAGAAAAGGGACTGTTGAGTGGGATGAATGTCAGAATATGTGAATTGGGATGGATTTCAGCCAGTTTTAAAAGTCTTATTGGTGATTACCAAATGCTTGACGTTACATGGATGGTGCATTACTAACTTACAGTTGCTTGTTCGCGGACATTCCTGAGTTATTTGCGAACTCTATTAACCTCCTCAATTGACAGACAGTATTGAGCTATTTCTTGAACTCCTCTATTTTCCCCTGGCAATAGATGATTCTCCTCGTTATGGTTATGGCGGCTTTGTAAGACAAAGTATTCCGTGCCCTAGGCACACCGCCTATGTGTTGGGTGCAGCGCTTGGGCTGACTGCCTATACATAGCCCTTTCGTAGCTACAGCCTTCAGGGGTTATTACTATCATCATGACCAATAAAACCATCTTGCCTGTGTAACCCACGCAAAGAAAGCATGAAACTCTCCAAGAAGTGGCTTTTGCATAGCGTGTAAACGCTTACAGACTTTCGGGTTCATGTCACATCCATCTTTCACATCTAAATTAAGATGGACAGGTAGAGCAGCCTTCTTGAAGACTGCTACATCCAACTAATGCGGCAATGTTTCTTAATCCTGCGTGTCTATTGAGTCCTTCTTGCGTGGCTTGAAGCATTTAATGTGGCGATGAGTCTTAATCCTGCACGTCTATTGAATCTCTCCGGCGTGTTCGAAGACAACTTGATTGGCTTAGACATGGTTAGCGATAGCGCCTCCTGCCCGTGCTACGATACACGGGGTGCCTAAATATCTTGTCTACGAATTGTATCCGGGTTCCGATATGCTGACGGCGCGGTGATGCCCATTGTATTCTACACCGGCCGATTTGGGACACATCTGACGGAGAAGGCTGTCTAGCCTATTCGAAGGGCAAGGCGCTTCTACTCGGTCCGCTTCCCCAATCAATGTTATTCACGCCAAGTAATCCCGCTAGTCTCTTCCTGTAGATGATCTTCGATCTGATCCTCTTTTTCTATCATTTCCCTATCCACTACCAATCTAGAATGGGCGGCTCTGTGCCACTCAAAAGACCCTCGTCTGCTCAAGGCGACCCGATTCGTAGGATCAACACTAAGGATCTGCAAACAACAGCTACCCTTACCCATACTTCCAATGATACAAGCAACCCATCACTAAAGTGACTCGCCTGCGATGCCTGTCGTAATAGGAAGGTTAAGTGTCATAGAGACCACCCAACATGTAGCCGTTGCGCGAAGGTTGACAATACATGCCGTTCCTCGACGCGCGCGAAACCGTCGCATACAAAGATGGACCTCTCGCGCTTCCACCTGACATTAAACAGTCGACTCTATAAGTTTCTCAGCTGGAGTATTACCAGCAGGTTTGCATCCGAGTTTATTGGTTTGTTTTCAATCATTGGCTGCTCTAACGCGGCTGCAACGAAGAGATGTGAAAGATCCACTTACATCATCCTTTTTCGCTTTTCGAAATTGACCCCTTGCGTACCCGGATGCTACGACAGCTACGATATCAGGTCCCGTGTGGCAAGAGGAAGTACGCATACCAACGTGCTGGTCAAAGAAAACCACAATCTCACATAAGAGTTTACGACCTGATATCTTTGCACACTCACATCAGCAATATCGTCAGTAAATCTAGGCGCACATTTTGTCGGCCGTTATCAACTTTTGTTTCGGTCAAATCCTTCTCCTAAATCTTGGGCGACACACAGCCTCATCAACCCGCTCTATGTAGTGTGAGATCTCAGCTCGGAAGGGGTCGAGGATGCACTGAAGCCCTTACGGCGGGAGTAGAGACGTAAGCTGGCAACAATGGATGAGACGTCACTCCCAATGATACCAAGCCGTGCCATGGAAGCTAATCCTTTAGCTCGGAGCCCCCAATCAGATGTCTTGAAGTACCAACCTAGACATACCAAAATAGTATAACGAATTATCCGTGATGTTGTCTTGCAAAGGTTGCGCCTCATCGCTGGGCACGGGAAATTCATGTCCGCCTTACTATCAAATTTGAATGAGCTGCCCGAAATGTTCTCGTGGTCAGCTGCGTAGGCTGAAAAGTCTTACGGGAAGACTTGGTCGCTACGGAGAGTTCTTGTTAATATAAGGACGATGGCACTTTCAAAGTATAAAGATGTTGATAAGTTCTCTTTCCACGACTGCTTTTGGCTCGTCGCCACAGTCTCATTTTCATCAGTCTCCCCATCCAGGACTTGGAAAATTAAACAACAATGTCTGTTCGAAAGCTTGTCTCTCTCGGATTGACCACCATGGCCGCTTCCATGGTTGTTTCTCCTCATAATGCCGGGGAGTTGGTTTCGCGCTCGCATGATTCCCGCAGAGTGCTTCCCGGAGATGCAGCCTGGCCAAAGGCAGCAGATTGGGCGAGCCTCAACAAGACTATTAACGGACACTTGATTGCTTCGGTTCCCCTTCCGAGTGTCTGTCACAGCGCCCCTTTCAACAACACTACAATGCAGACATGTGTGCCACTATCCAAACGACGTGGAACAAGACTACGTTGTTACATTACGTTTCTCCTACCAATTTTGACCAGAGTTCATCTGATAAACAGCTAACGCCGAGCGCAGCATTAACCAGCCGGCTGAATTCTTAAACATGTACTTCAACAATTATACCTGTGATTCGTTTACGCCGAAGTCAAAGCCCTGCGAGCTGGGTAACTATGTTAGCTACGTGGTCAATGTTACGGGTGCTGCGGATGTTCAGGCCGCCATTGCTTTCGCCAAAAAGAACAACGTTCGGCTTGTGATTAAGAATACTGGACAGGAGTGAGCGATCTCCCGAACCCGATATTGAGTTGAAACTACCTGGAAAGGGACTAATTTTAATACCTGCAGCTTACTAGGCAAGTCTACCGGCAAGGGTGGCCTTTCTCTATGGACACACAACCTGAAGTCGACCCGATTCATCCCCCACTACTCAGAATCGTATTACAAGGGCCCGGCCATCAAACTTGGAGCCGGTATCAAAGGATTTGAAGCCTACGCTGCCGCAAACGCCGCGGGCCATAGCATAATCGGTGGCTCCTGTCCCACCGTCGGTATCGCAGGAGGGTACAGCCAGGGTGGTGGTCACTCGATTCTATCTAGCATGTATGGCCTGGGCGCAGACAACGTATTGGAGTGGGAGTTGGTGACAATGGACAGACGGCACTTGGTGAGACCCCTGAGCAGAATTCGGACCTCTATTGGGCCATGAGCGGTGGCGGTACTTACGCTGTCGCGCTCTCTATGACCAGCCGTCTCCACCCAGACGATATCTTTGGTGGCGCCTCAGTCACCTTCAACGACTCCAAGGTCGGCAACGACGCTTTCTGGGAGGCTGTTGGCGCTTTCCACAGCCTACTTCCGGCCTTTGTTGATGCTGGCAACTCGTACACGTACACACTGACCAACAACGTGTTCCTCTCCTGGGGTGTTACCATGCCGGGTGCCGATCTGAACAAAGTCAACGCTTTGATGCAGCCCTTCCTCGACGATCTTGTTGCTCGCGGAATCGAGTACCAGTACACTCCCCATGCGGCGGCCAGTTACTACGAGCATTTCAACTACTACCTAGGCCCTTTACCTGAGGGTATCGCTGACTACGCACCTTTCACCGGCAACCGCATTCTCCCCTGCGCCATGTTCGTCGATCCAGAAAAGAGGCCCGGCGTCATGGACGCCGTTCGCAATGCTTCGTTGGCTGAGGGCTATGGCCCGCTACCCTGTCAGGCCCTCAACGTGTCCGACCAAGCTCACCCTTCCAATGCCGTGCTACCCGCCTGGCGGGACGCTCTATCTGTCTGCCTGACTCCCAGCTACTGGGACGCCGCCACGCCCGGTGGCGGTGTGTATCTCAACGAGGTCAACTACCAGAAGCAGAACTGGCAGAAAGAGTTCTATGGTTCTAACTACCCGAAACCTCTGTCTGTCAAGAACAAGTACGACCCGGAGGCGCTGTTGTATGCCCACACCGCGGTTGGCAGTGAGAAATGGACTGAGGATGGTTCGATGAGGCTGTGCCGGACCTAGACTAAAGGTGGGCTTAGGATGAATGTCTTGTAAGGCGACGTTCATCCTAAGCCCGACATGTAATAACAGTAATATTCAAGACCTGCAGGTTTCTGGCTCCCTAAACCAAGATTGGCTGATACAAATGAATGACTGCCTGAAACTTTTTTCCTATCAGAATTAGTAAGGTCATTGCTTGCACAGCAGTCTATTATACCTAGAATATAATGGAATACAATATATAAAATGTGAGATTTATAGCCATGTGGCATGGTGATGACCAACAATTAAGAAAGACGGTCACGACGCACCGGGCTTTGAGGATCACTGCTATGTTGACTTTAATTAATCACAAGACTGGGCACAGGATGGTCTGGTAGAACAAGTGATGTTATCTGTCACACAAGACAGCGTGTAAACCCTACCAGGCCAAGGGGTTTGCGACTTACAAGTTTGGCGATTTCGAGTAACAGGGCACATACATGTCAGAAGTTAGGAGTCAAAAAGACAGTAGGCAGCCCCGCTCCAGTTCACTTGGACTGCTCTCATAGTCCCGTATTCTATATGATAATATGTACTCAGCTATCTTGTACGGGCCATTTTGTTCGTACTGGTAGGCATCCGCTCCTAACGAAACCCTAATCATTGCTCATACTTCTAAACTGGCGGATCGTATTACGATGATGAAGCCGAACAAAGTTTCTACCACGATCAGATGTAAGTCGAAATACTGACTCCTGCGGCTGGTATCACACAAAAGGATCCACTGTTGCTCATCCATGGTTATGTTCTAACGAAAACGGTGAATAGCTTCAACTGGAGCATGAAATCAATTTTTCAGACACATGGCTTACATCTGGTTGTCGATGCACATTGTTTTCCTGACAAGCCCGATGGAGGCCCTGGCTGGACCTCCTTATTTCCGAACCATAGCTATGAGATATACCTCGTTGATATGCCACTGCGTGGGCGCTCATCGTGGAATTATGCAAATGGCACAGTAACTCCTGTCTCGACAGAGCTCATTATGCAACTTCAACGGGGTTTTAGGGCATACACGGAGGGAGCAATATCTACCATAGGCTTACGTTAAACAAGTACCGTGGAATAAACTTGATAATATGATAGAAAGGTGGTACCGCCAACACTTCGTGTTGTTGACCAGGAATAGTGGCAAAATGGAAAACGGGAAACATTATCTGCGCGTAATAATTTCAAACTTGGCCAATACCAAGCTGATTCACAACCCGGTGTTGCTTGTTCCACTGAACTAAATATATATTTGTACGTCCAGAACTGCTCGGAAGCCTTGCACTTCCAACTCAGGATTGAAACCACCCAGTTGAGTTTCACCTACGACAGTGAATTTGTGCCGCCCCAGTTCCACTTGCACCGACTCAGTCCCCTTCAGAATCAAGTAAAGCGCGAGCTGCCTGCCTTTATCATCTAACACGTAGGCGTTCACTAGCCTTAAATAACTGGTATCAAGCATCCCCTGAACATACCAATGCGATTAAGCTTAGCGAAATCGCCTCGTATGAACTAGGAATAACTAGAAACATATCTATTAGTCTTCTTATACAAATCATATAGCCTCTATTGGACCTAGCATGGAGGGAATGTTATTCGTGCCCTCTAGGTCATGCAGTGATAAATCTCGCCCTGGAGATTGGTATCAGAGGCACTTGTAGTAGGATCGGATAATCAAGAAGAGTAGAACAAAGAACATAAAGCATATTGGGGAACGCATGTATACTGACTTTGCTCACTATACCAAATTTGAATGCACCATTATCATAGCTCCTCATCATGATATTGTCTCCCGCCAGGCACCTGCCAATCCTCGAGAATCGACGGCTGCTTTAAACCCCAGCAAGACCTCCCCCTCGGACGAAGCACCAGAAATGAGTATACTCTATAGGAAGCTTCCTCTTTCATCCAAAGATGCTCAAACGACAAGCAATGAATGAATTTCCCACGTATCCGCGCGGATGCCGCGTCTGTTTTGCCTGCGAGGCTCTAGTCGAGGAACCGGGCCAGGTGTGCGGACTTTGCTAAGTTTGGCAGTCACCATGAACGCAGCCGGATTAGAAGAATCGACCTATGGGTATCATCCAGAGAAAGACGAGAATCGAGAGGAGAAAGATTGTGTTGCAAACATGGACGCGTGGTTGGAATAAAGAGTTGGAAGTGGCTTCAGCGTGGGAATGATCCTGTCGACTGTGGGGGACCAAGATATGACTCTGGCATTGTTGATCGTTGCCAGTCACATTGCCCACGTTCTACAAGGACAGTTAGACTGTATAGGTATTAATTGGAAACTCGCCGGTCACGTAATTACCATTTCTTAAGCACACCTTGTCATCATGCAAGCGAACCTCATTACTCAATCATGTAAAGCAACAACCTACACAACCGGTCTAGACGCCTATGCCAACACACCCCAAACGACCTGATTCCCAGCGTTGTTACCCATATCCTTCCTTCATCATATGTGTTGCGTTGAGTGAGTCGTCTACTCAAACGACCCCCTCCCAAACAGACCCCCTACAACCTTACTCCGTCCCTCAACTCCCTTCCATTTCTTCGCCTCCCTTCTTTGTTCCGACTCGCGAATCTTCTCCCTCCTCTCATTCTCCCGCGCAAAGTAATTGATCCCACTTCGCTTCCCTGCATTCTTCTTTAGTTTGGCCTCGTCGCCAAACCCGCCAGCCCCCTTTCCGGCTGTATTTGTTGTACTTCCTCCCACTGGAGTCGTTGATGAAGTGTTCGAGATGAGCGACGAATTAGTGGTGGCACGACGAAGAAGAGCGGGGACTTTGAATATGCCCGCTCCTGAGGTAGAGGTAGTCGGCGCGGCGAAGGCGAGACGCGAAGTGTCGGCAACGTTGCTCCCGGTGCTTAGGTTGGAAGAGCCAGATCGCTTGAGGCTGATGCGGTCTACAACCGCCACGGAGCCGGGACGGCGGTTCTCCTTATTAGATGAGGCGTTAGACTCGGACTCGTCCTCGCTATCGGATTCGAGCTGCGTAGCCGGAATGATAGAGCTGCTCGAGTCGTCCAGGAGACTAGATAGAGATCGGCGGACATCAACCAATGAGGCAGGCTTCGTACCATCCTTTGTCCGGCGAAGATGAGGAGCCGGACGGACAGCAGGCTCGACATCTGTTCGCATGCGTTTTCGACCCACATTCACCGCCGTGGCACGGGGCTGGCTGTCAGGGATAGCTTCGTCTTCCTGCTGAGCCTCTTGACCCGTACTCTGGCTTTCTTCCTGTGATGTCTCCTTCTCTTCGAAGTTGTCTGCAAAGTCCCATTCGTCGTCACTGTTCCTGTCCTCAATACTCTTCAGGAAGGCGGCGTTGCGCGGGTTCTCGGCAATCTTGCCGATCCTCTCATCGGCAAAGAGTGCCTTCTGCATCTTGGCAAATTGTTTCCGCTTCATTCTGCGACGGGCTTCACCGCCGTCGTCTGAGTCGGAGAGGTCGAAGTCATTATTACCGCCGCCATTCCGCCGGCGCTTGCGCAGCATTCCCGTGGTAATATCGCGGAAAAGCTTATCAACATTTGCGGCATCGGCAGCACGCTCACGATCACTGAGAAATGCGTATTAGCGATGGTGACCGGGGGGGTTTAAGGGCAGTTGACTCACGCAAAGAAAGCAGCGAGCTTGTCCTCGTTCAGATCGTTTCTCGCGGCATCATCAATCATCTGTTTGTGAAGCTCTTCATCCTCATCACTCGAGTCCTCGCCGTCTACGCCACCAAGGCCGGCATACTCGTCCTCAGACTCCTCCGCCTCACCTTCGACCAGCTCCTTCGCCTTGCTCTTATTTGCGTCGAACTTCTTCTGCCTTCTAACTGCTCTCTTGGCTGCTTTCTGCATCAACTTGAACGCCGAGACGCCACCCGCATCCTCTATGGCTTGCGTCTCCTCAATGTTTTCTGTGGCAGTAGCGGTAAGACTGGCTCCGCGATTAGCAGCGACAGGGGTCGCGGTCGGGGGTAAGCTCGCTGATGAATCTTCTTCATTCAGCACCGAAAGGCCAGCCCGTCGCATCAACCTGCCTCTCTTCCTCACAAGCGGCGAGGTTTGCGAATCTGCTTCCGCTGCCTCGTCGGGGCTTCGTGAAAGAATGACAGTATCGACAGTGCCAGACGGTGGTTCAACAAACCGCTGTTTCAGTGGCGAGTAATCGGCAAAGCCACCGTCCTGCGTAGGTTCCAGGTCCAGTATGTCTGACATCTGTGAGCCGTCCATCTGCAGCAGCGAGTCGAACCCGAACGCCTGGCTCTGCTCGAAGCGGAGCTGTATACCCTGCGTCTGGGTCTCTCGTGCAGTCTTCTGCATCTCCGTTTGGCTGTCGAGTACCATATTGTCGGCATTCTGGGAGGCACCCGCGGTGGCAGAAAACTGCGAGTCGGGGAAGTTGTCAAAGCTGGGCATGAATTCCAGAGACGAACCGCTGGCCGGGGCCTCTTGGCTGTTCTCGTCATCCATAGTCCCAGCGAAGATCTGGGTGAGACCTAGACCGGCTGGACCAGCAGCTGGGACGGGTAGACCGGGGATGAAGGTCTTGGTCGCCGAACGGAGGACTGAGGTAGGTATCTTGGGAGACTTCGTGTTTGGCGCCGCGGGAGATTTGGGATGCGATGTTTTGGGTCGCGGAGTAGCCTGTACGACACCCTCTTCCTCTTCTTCTTCCTCATCGTCGGAGATGATCTGAACGTTTTTTGCTCTGCGAGATCTACACCTGGAGGTTGGAAGGACGTCGTCCATGTCCTCATCTGAGACGATGCTAGCCGTAGCTTGCGGGGTGTTCTCATCCTCAGATGCAGCATCTTCCTCTGCGTCCTCATCAAACATGGGTCTGATAGTCGGCTCATCTTCCTTCTCTTCGTCGTCTTCGGATATGTCGTCCATCATCTCGTCTTCTACTTCCTCTTCCGAGCCAGAGAGTATGACTTCCTCCGGCTCCACCTCCTCTTCACTGCCGTCATAGCTGTCGTCATCGCTGTCATCCCAACCCAGCGGGTCCTCCTCGCCGTTCTTCCGACTCTCCTTCTTTGCTTTCTTGGCGTCCTCGCGCTCCCTGGCCATGATCTCTTCAGCCTCCTTCATCGCCTTGGCAACAATGTCGTCGATTTGGTCCCTCTCTCGCTCGCGTTCCTCTGCGCTCTGTACAACATGGCCCTTGGCCCTCAGCTCTTCGATCTTTTCCTCACGTCTCAGCTTCGCTTGGGCGCGGGCCAGTTGCTGAAGGCTGAGCTGCAGTTCGCCAACTGTCATGGCCGGCTTCTGATTCCGTTTGCGGTAATCTTTGGGAGGGGACGACAGATGGGCTAATTGGCGGAGAGCATGCATGCCGCGGGATTCTTGTGCCTTCTTGGCAGGCAAGCGTTGGAGGATAACGTCGAGTATGTTCTGCTTGCCACCGGTGATCTGGAGCTCGTCTTCCGAGTCGATCATGACGTGATTGGCTTGTACCGGGGGCATCTTCACGCGGTATTGGCGCTTAGGCTTCACTGGTGCTGCTTTCTGTTTCTTTCCAGGGGAAAGATCTGCCAGCGTGGCTTTGCCCTTGCCCTCGTCGATTTTCTTGACTTGTGTCAAGGCGGTTTGAAGATCAGGGAGTTCTCCGTCCACGCCCTCTCCTATGGCACTGTCAACCGGAGCATCTTCTGCATTTTCGAGGCTCGCATTCGCAATCTTCTTGACAACACTAGGTGGCGAGCTAGGCGGACTTGCAGCCTCGCCCATATCGATATCAGTCTGAGCTGCCGAGATAGGTGTGGATGGCCGGCTTGAGCTCGCCAGCTTGTCACTCGCGACAGTGGCCGCTCCAGCACTCGATCCCTGAGGCTTGTAATGAAACCTCTCAAATAGAGAAGCCTTCGATATTTTCTTTTTGGTCTTCGCCTCGTGTGTAAGTTGTAGACTGCGACTCATCCGCTGTGTTTCGCGGTTCATCTCCTCCAGTGCTTTCTTGCTCGCCTTGCGCGAAGGGCGTGAAACCTCCTGGGTAAGCTTGCGGCCGCCATCATCGTCTGTGATATCTGACACATCGTCGTCGTCCACATCCGAGTCGGCAGGAACCTGCTCCACCATGCGCTTGGCACGTTCATGACGTTTGCGCTCTTCTTCTGCCTCTTTTGCTTGGCGTTCCTCACGCTTGCGGGCCACTAGAGCTTGGAAACGCGCGCTCTTGCCGAGCTCAGAAGGTAATTCATCATCTGTGTCATTATCGGAACCAGCGGCTGATCGGCGTGATATGGTAGACTTCTGGGGCGATGGATCCGGCGAGACAAATAGGCCTGGCGACGCGGGTGACCTCGAATCTTGTATCTGAAGTGTACTCTCAGGTGTTGAATTGCGAGCTGCTCGTGCTCGCCGTCTTCTATGCGCAGGGTTGAGTTCCTCATCGTCGTCATTCCCAGCATCTCCGTGGTTGCTTCCTTCTTGCGCTGCATGTCGCTGGAAGGATTTCCTCGGACTTTTTTGGACGGTGCCTGGTGAATTCGAGGAACGTGATGGTCGTGACCTTGCAGCTCCTAACATACGCGCTGCAAGTCTGCCTCTGGGCCTGATGATGTCGTCTTCGTCTTCCTCCTCTTCGTCGCCGCCGTCGTTCTTCTGTGTGGGCGACGAGGTTTTTATGCTCTTTATGGTCTCTTCCACCCTTTGAAATAATATCTTCGGGTCAATCGGTCTGGCATCTTCTTCATCCGAGTTCACGTCCACGGCATCCATCATTGCTTTGATCTTGGACCGTGGTGTTAGTTGGGGCGAAGTCGGTGGGGACGCGCCGTTTGCCGGCGAAGATGAGCGTGTTGAAGCCATCGTGGCTATTGATGCTCTGTAATTAGTAGAATAGGCAATTTTTAGAGTCAAGAAAGCATGCTCAACACTAAAAGTGCAATTGGGTGTACATATGTGTGAAAGTGAAAGTGAAGGTGGGATTGGGATGTGGAATACAGCACCCATGTCAGTCCAACGCGCTTTCATGTAAGTCGCGGTGCAGAGCGCGTTCCAAATTATGGGGCCTCGCGTCACCGCTATAGAGCTTGGAGCTTGGACCGCTGAAGCTCGCAACACACTGGCACAAGCAAATATTTAAGCGTCCAATGAGTGGTTCTGTTTCCACCTGAACTTGTCCAATCATCCAGAAATGAAAAACTGAACTCGAAAGACATGAAGTTAAGTCTTCTGGTACTGAGTAGTTTGGACGTCGAAAATTTGCGATCGGATAACAGCAGTTGGTTTGAATTGGGACCTCAAATCAAAACCTCATGATTCCAGCTAATTCCCCTATGTTAGTAGATCATTCAGTGTGACTAATACGCTATCAACTCTGTCCATTGCTTCGAGTTTGATATTTCGGGGATTAGATGGTGGGTTGCTAAGAAGGTGCCAGCCAAAATTTCGTCCAGTCCTGTTGCCAGCAACGATTTCAAATTGTACCATAGGGGAATTCATGGAGTTCGCAGACCGGGCTCTGAAGATTGTATACAATTCATTTCGACTAGTCGACTATGCAACGACTTGAAGCTCAATATAATTCCTGCTGAATGGTGCTTTCTGGGTATCGCTGAAGGAATACATACACGCGCCCCCTTAGCCCAGCGACGCCAAAAATACCGGTTTTGCCTGCCACCTTGGCCTCTCCGAGTTCGCTTACGCTCGGACGGGCGAAATGCCACCCATATGAACAAAGACGCCATACAATACCAATGCCAATGCAGTCGAGAATAGGAGGCCTTCTTGTAAATCCGGTAAAAAAAACCCTTCAGCTCTTTTTTCCACATCCCCTCCCTCTCCCACCGTTTCCCACCATTGTCGACATCCTCGTAACCGGAATGGGAGAGATCCTCTCGCAGATGTAGACTGTCCCTAAACCTGATGGGGCCGGGCTCCTTCTCTCCCGTCATATACATAGCAGAAGTGACCTCCCTCGCGGCTATATAAGCTTTCTCTCGAGTACAGCCGTGGTCCGTGATCGTCGTACCCAAGTACGCCACTCTTCGCTCACTTTCGCTGTGAGCTGAGCCCGCCAGCACCGGCCTACCGTCCTCTTTCTTTCTACGAGGCGACTGCAAGACAAGAGTCGAGGACACTGTCGATCGCCTGCATGTCTGTGTCTTCCGCGCCTTCCCAGCCCCATAGCTCGTCGACGTCGATATCCATTGGTTCTGCATGAGTGACTCCATTCGTGAGAGAACTGGAGCTCGCACCGTTTATGTCACTTCCCATTTCAACAGCATTCGACTCGGCTGGGTTTCTTCCCTCAATCCAGGTGTAGTCGTTGTAGTGTTCCAGCTCGCCTTCCCGGTAGTTGTACATGATGGATTTGGCCACGATGGGGAAGGAACCAAGGCCACAGTCGCCTATCTCTAGGGCCAGGCGCAAGTCGGCCATCCCCAAAGGAGCTCTTTCGTTTGCTGCTTTAGATTCCACTGGTAACAAGCCACTCTTATCTCGCGCCATCTCGCCGCGCATCAATGCTGCTTCCTCGCGTCGAAGGTGACGCCGGTACTTGTGAGTTTGGACCCAACTGGACCCTGAGCCAAACCCGGCACTGCCAGAGTCCCCAGGGCCATTACTTCTCGTCCTCGCCAGGACTGAAGACAAAAACTCCTTCACCATGTTCTCGGTTGCGACTGTCATGAGCTGCGCCGCATCTGAGACGTGGCCATTGACAAGGCCTGCCTCGTAACACATGGGCATCATCCTTGATTCAATACTGGCAACATCTGGAAACTCTCCAGACTCGATAGCCAATGGTTGCGCATACCTTTTACGAATCTCTAAGTCAAAGTCTGGGCCTGTTAGCAACTCGGCCTCATCCATCGAAGGACCTCACTTACTCATCTTATTGAGACCGCCACTGGCACTTGGAGGTACGTCTGGGGCTTTCGCAGATCTTCCACGGTGAAGGTCTGAAAACATGCTGGTCATGGATTCGTACGGATCGAACTTCCCAGCTTGTTAGTGAATAATAACAGGGACATTCAGTTAATTCCACTTACATCATTTAATGCCAACTCCTTGATGCGCCTTCGATCCCTACTTGGAAGTTGCATTACTTCACCTTTCAACCTCCTTTCAGCTGCATCTCCAGTAATCGGCTTTGCGCCGACTCCAGCTGTCGGTTTGTCATTCGCAGAAACCCAGGGGGCCAAGCCCAAATCGGGCATTTCCCTTGTAAGGTTGCCATATATCGCGGCTAGTAGTTGATTGTGCAAATGATCTCTTTCGCCATTTGGCGAAGCAAGGATGGGATCGATGCGCTCCGAGTACTCGGCCTGATTTAGTCGCCCTAAGGTATTATAGCATCCATCAGCAATCGTAATCCACCAAAGGTTGCAAGTGTTCTCGGAGCTCACCCAAAATGAACTGGGTCGTAGATTCCTTGTAAATAGTCCATTGTTCGCTGCCAATGGCCGACTTGAGTGCAGTGTACAGCGGCTCCAAATCGATACGGGTAGGTATTATCTGAGAGGTCTTTGTGACTTTTTGGGAGGAGGGCGCCGAGACGGTTATCGATTTAAGGATGGGTGTCGAGAGGTTGACTGATGGACGGCTCAGAGCCGCAGGGTCCAGGGCATTGCTTATATCGGGCATTTTGGATGGAAATAAGTATCGCTATGTCGTCGGATTAGATAAATTCGGGATCGCGAAACCCCCTCAAGGTCGGAGACGATGGTTCGTCGCGTGGGTGCAGCAGCGCGTTGCATTCGAGAGCCCAACGCAACGGGCAAGAAAGGCTCATGACACCATGCAGCTTGTGCGTCGTATGAAGGCGATCACATTTCTAGCATTTTCAAGTACTGATATGATGGAAGAGCGAAGGTATTTGATGGGCAATTCAATCTCTGTTGCTTTATGAATGAGGTGTAGTTGAATTCGGCGTTGCGTGACGAACTTTGGTGGATTGCCGCGCTCAGTGGTGGCTGGTGGGTAGTGGGTACTTCTTTCAGGCATGATAACGTTACAGAAACCGTGGTTGGCTTTGTATTGAGTACAAAGAGCGCCCCGGGCGTGGAGGGGCACTTGTGAACATCACTTGGGCATTTAATTGAAAGTTCCTACATGACCCCCAATGCAAGCAGCAAAGAAAATTGGCATTGCGCAATGCGAATTGCATATTGTAACTCGGCAATTGTTCCAGATATATAACCAATCAGGTCTATTTCTTGAGATTCCACTGTGCCTAATCTCAGGCTTGGCGTGGTTGCGATCGTACTTCTCCCCTACATTGTTGAATTACATGTTGCTTCAAACCCAGCACAACCCCATGCGAAGCGAACCCCAGGTCGCGAGTCACGTACTCCCCCGCGCCTGTTCTGGTTCTATGCAGTAACAACAATGTCTGCCTCTTCGTCCCAAGACCGAGAGCGGCGCATTAATCTCAGCATTAACCGTCTGATAACTCAAACTGTGCCATCTGACGACGCAGTCTCCGATGAAGAGGTGCAAGGCAGACACGACTGGTACGCAGAGGAAATCAAGGCCGCCTTCAAAGAGTATGGCATATTCAGTAACACAAACGCAAGCTCATAGTCTACGTGGTTCACTGACAATTCGCCAGGAAGCCGACTCCCGCAATTGCGTCCGACGTAAATCATGCCTCGGACCTCATCAAGCGGAAGCTCATCCAAACGAACCCGAGCCAGGCCTTGCGCTTCACGAATCTGTACTCAAGGCTGCTGGCGTTGCCGGTCCTAAATCAAAAATGGGCTATGCTCTACCTGCTCTACCAGCTTGCCGATTCGCACGATCCCAACGTGGACGACCGAGACGCCTACGAGGAGTACATCAAGGAGGAGCGCAAGCTGAGGGAGCAGCGGCGGAGACCGGTTAGTCGTGCAGGAGCGCCATCGTCACCTGAGTCGCCGCGACCGCGCAGTCACCGGGGAATCGCTCAAGAAGCTGTTGACAATGAGCTCTATCCTACGGCTGCCGGTCTCAAAACAGTGCCACCGCCGAGTAGAACGCGGTCAATCAGGGCCGAGTCCGTTGGTGAATACTCGGAATACCCAGAAACCATGGCCGAGTCGAAGGAATTCAAACGACCCTATACGGCGGACAAGGAGCCATTACAACCTACGAAACGAGGTGTGGCTATCAAATCCAAGATGCTGGCTGAGAACTATGCCGACATCGATCCCTCCGAGCCGGCGTTACTAAGAGACCTTCCCTACACTTTACAGGGGCTTTCTTCGTCGACGCTACCATTCGGGAAACCCTATTCGCTCAAACTACCGCGTACGCTCCCGACACCTTTGATATCACTGTTAAATACCTTGGCAGAACCATCCTTGCTTTACCGCACACTGGAAGACTTCATCCAGACACCCGCAACTGGCTTGTTGAACCAAAGTCTGCGCGCCGCTATCAACAGCGAACTGCGTGCGTATCTTACCCTTGTGGCGACATTAGAAGGCCAAATCAGGCTAGCCTTGTCTACCATCGATGAGAATGCCCCTCGCAGTGGGATTGGCAAGGCAGGCGTGACATTAAAGCGTTGTGTTGTATGGACACATGAAGCGACCATGGGTCTCCGCCTTATGAGCTTGATTGCAGAGGAATCCAGGAGCAAGAAGGGAGGCCAACTGATCTCTCTAATCCATTCTTTCTCTTCGACACATGGCGATCCCATAGTCGGCGCATTTGCCGAGCGCCTCCTAACTCCTGTAACTCGTCCCTTCTATGATATCCTGCGACATTGGATATACGATGGTGAGTTATCAGATCCGTACCTCGAGTTCTTTGTGCAGGAGCAGACTGGAGAGGACGTGCCGAAGGGCAAGTCGGGATCCACAAACGTCTGGGAAGACAAGTACAAGGTGATGGCACCCATGATTCCTACCATCATAACTCCTGACTTCGCCGAGAAAATCTATTTGATTGGAAAATCATTGAACTTCATCCGTCACTCCTGCAGCGACTCGGAATGGGTTGAATCATACTCCAAAGAATCGTCCAAGGAGCTCCGCTACGGTGACACGGCAACCCTGGAGGCGTGGATCGACGAGGCATACAAAACCACCATGCGTCGCTTGTTGTACCTTATGACAGCCAAATTTCACCTCTTCGAGCACCTACAGGCCCTTAAGTCATACATTCTTCTCGGTCAAGGTGACTTCATTGCCCTTCTCATGGAATCGCTCGCTGCGAACCTCGACCGGCCGGCCGGTGCACAGTACAGACACACTTTGACGGCGCAGCTAGAGCACGCCATCCGCGGCTCGAATGCGCAGTACGACAGCCCCGAAGTTCTACGCCGGCTGGACGCAAGAATGCTGCAGCTGAGTCATGGCGACATAGGTTGGGACTGCTTCACGCTCGAATACAAGATTGACGCTCCTGTCGACGTTGTGGTTTCTGACTGGGGTAACCGACAATACCTCAAAGTATTCAACTTTCTTTGGCGCATAAAGCGCGTCGAGTTCGCTCTCTCGTCGACCTGGCGCAAGGTAACAACTGGCTCCCGCGGGGTTCTCCAAACGCGCCACGCAACAGTACAACAGACGTGGAAGACAACGCGGGGTGTCTTGGCCGAAATGGTGCATTTCGTCGGGCAGCTACAATACTATATCCTCTTTGAAGTCATCGAGTCCAGCTGGACCGAGCTGCAAACCAAACTTAACACGCCCGACATCACACTGGACGATATGATCCGGGCGCACACGAACTACCTCAACTCCATCACACATAAGGGCCTCCTGGGTGCCCGCCGCCGCCGTTTCGCTGGCACGAGTGCGAACGAGGAGGACGAGAACAGCTACATGGTCCAGCTGGCCGAGTTGCTGCGCTCCATGCTCTCGTACCGCGACTGCGTCGACGGGCTTTACAGCTGGTCGGTGTCTGACTTCACCCAACGCCAGGAGTTCGACTTGTTGTCGACGCAGAAGAACCAGCCATCGCCATCACAACCAGACGACGAGGAAATACCCGGAGGTCCGCAGTCCGAGTTTCCTGCGCTTCAGGAAAGGCTGAAACATATAGGTGATCGCTTCCGGACGAAATTGCAAATACTACTTGGGGATTTGGCGTACCAGGCCGACGTAGACCTGAGGTTCTTAGGCGTTGCCATGAATTTTAATGATGTCTATCAGCCGGTGCGACGGAAGGCGAAGAGCACGCCTGCGCATTCTACTGCTGGCACAGTTGTAGAGAAGAGCGTCAAAGGTTGAGGTCTCCGTTTCACAACTTGAGATCAGGACTGGCACAGCCCAGAGCAAATGGATATGTTCATCATAGCGGAATAAAAAGGAAATAACAAGAGACATATTGGCACATAATGGCGAGGTATACTGGTCAATTGACAAACTTTGCGAATCGCTTTTTCAATCTCACGAGTAAGCTCTACTTTGGAAATAGGGGGTCCGTCCAGTTGATAAGCCTGTTGGCATGGTGTAAATGAGGTGGGTCTTTCAAGTTACAGAAAAAGACTCAGATTTTGATCAGTACTTCCAACGTTTGGTGGTATGTACGCCAGATTGGGCGCAGATGTGGCTGTGCATTTGACCCCGGGCCTTCCGCTTGCTTGCTGGCATTGATCGAAGGTCCGCCAACAAAACACGGAACGGTACAAGCTCGCGCTGTCGCTGTATTTGTACGCTGCGCTGTGCTAGGCCAACTAAACCAACCCAAACCCATTCGACGTGGTCGTGTTTTACTTTCATTCCAACGCAATTTCGGCCGCCGCTTTGCATCGCAAGAGTTGACGACATTCCACTTGACCACACGTACCGTCTCCGTTACAAGTCACGACGGATAAACGCCTGTTCTACTCGATCCTATCGAATTCATCATCGCTAACTTGCACGATCGCATACGACAATCTGCGCAAATGGCTGATTCTCCAGGCGTCGGGCATACCGACTCTATCGATTCGCACGACTCCAGCAAGGGCAACGAGAAGAAGAAGAGCAAGCGCCCCGCAAGTGAGTGAGCCTTATTGTGCGATGGACCGAGGAAGGGACCTTGGGGGACAGGCCGACGAGCGACATTTGGGATCGCGTAACGCTCTGGTCATAGGCTGACAGCAGTGGCCTGGAACAGATACAGCATTTCGTCAACAGCGTTTGAAGGCATGGCAGTGAGTATACCACCCGAGAGCCGACCTAGGAGATCACTCGTAATAAAGGTAGGGGACGACTAACGCATCTGGCCAGACCGATCCTGACACCTAAGACTGTACTGCCACTATTCTTCGCCATCGGCGTCATTTTCGCACCTATTGGTGGGCTTCTTCTCTATGCCAGCTCCCAGGTAGGAGGCCAACGACCCTATTTGTCGGCGACGACGGGTCTGACATGATGGTTGCAGGTACAAGAGCTGAGGCTCGATTACTCCGACTGCGTCAAAAACGCGCCCACCGACAGCTTTGCGCTCATGGAGTCGAAGGATGTAACGGCATCGTTCAAATCGACCAACGGCTCCATCGATGCACAATGGAAACGCCGAGACAACGTCAGCCATATCTACGTTGCCGACCACGCAATCAATGTGACGAGATGCACTCTTCAGTTCAACATACCTTCGGACATGCAACCTCCGGTGCTATTCTACTACCACCTGACCAACTTCTACCAAAACCACCGCAAATATGTTAACTCATTCTACGACAAACAGCTCAAGGGCGATGACGTGACGGCCGCAAGCGTAAAGGATTCCAGTTGCTCACCCCTTGCCGCCCAGACCTTCCCAAACAACGATACCGTGATCCCCTACTATCCCTGTGGATTAATTGCCAACTCGATGTTCAACGACACGTTCGACCCTCCATTGGCCCTGAATGTGGCTGGCAGCTCGAATGCAAACGAGACGTACAGCATGTCGGAAACGGGCATTGCCTGGTCTACGGACAAGGATCTCTTCGGCAATATCAATTCCAATACGGATCTAGACAGTATCCAGCCCCCGCCGAATTGGCAGATTCGATATCCCAACAACAAATACTCGGAAGATGCCCCACCACCCAACTTGGGCACCGACGAGCATTTCATGGTGTGGATGCGGACTGCCGGTCTACCCTCCTTCAGTAAACTGTATATGCGGAACGACACCGCCGCCATGAAGCAAGGCACCTATCAGATCGACATCATCTCCAGTACGTTCCCCCCGAAGTGCTTACTCTAGATTGTGAACCGCCCAAGCTAATTGATAGACTTCCCCACCGATGTGTATCAGGGTAGAAAATCCATTATCATCACGACCAAGACCGTCATGGGCGGCAAGAATATCTTCCTGGGAATCGCCTACATTGTCGTTGGAGGTATTTGCATCATTCTGGGTGCCATCTTCACTGTAACCCACATGGTCAAGCCAAGGAAGCTCGGCGACCACACGTACCTCTCCTGGAACAACACCACAGGACCCGCAAAGGCACCTGCTGGCCCGAGTGTCGGCATGTCCACCGGAAGGGACCTCGAGTAGGATGACGGGGACCAAGCGAAAGGTCGCTGATCTCGGCATGAGGAAACTCGGATGGCCGACCTCAAGAGCAAGGGCGAGTTGTCTATGGCTCAGGCATCTGGCAGCCCGGGCGCCGACGGCCAGTGGGAACGAAACAGGCGGGTGCTTTTTGGCGTTTGATGGGCAAGGCAAAGCCCTTTTTGCAGCGAGTGGCTTCGCAATAGGAATATGAGTTTGGCGTATGCGGCGTTGTTGTTCATCAGTGTTTGTGGTAGTGGAATCGCTTAGTTACATTGTTACTCTACTGAACTGAGTTCTGTCATGAACTGCTTGAGCATAAGCGTAGAGTTCAGGACACGGCTTATAACCAAAATTACTCCTGATGAAAGCCGACGAGATTACATGTCAACCCAGCCATCTAGCGGGCATTGACCAAGATAGACTAACACTATGCGGTAATTTGATAATAACAAATCTAGCGGTATCGACTGCACAATCAAATCGGGTCAAAATATAACTCTCCGCAATCAACCACGTTTGTACTTTCAATGCGTCGTAGGAGCTGCCTTCGGGCGCTGGACCCAAAGTGTCAATTAGTCACTGCCACAGTCCGACGTGATCGGAGTCGACGAGATTATTCAGGTTGGCCTCACTGAAGTTATACCGTCCATTTGCCGGTCGCACTAAGTCTTGCATCCTTTGTCATCTATCCTGATCCTGGTTATCTTCGCAAAACGTTGAAGTTCGCCGTTATTGTAGTCCAAGACTGCGACTTGGCTCCCGCGATTATCTTCAAAGGCCGGGTTTTCTTTCAGCTCTTAATTCTGCTGTTAGCAGACGAGATACTGAGGACTAACCCATCTATAAGGACCAACAATGGATGTTCTGTCTGTGAAAGTGCATCTGCAAGCACATTTGCGAAGCCTCTGGACCAAGGTGGTCATTGTCACTGAATGCATTATTCGATCTGCTGTCGTCAACAAAGTACAATGACGCAGAATCCAACGACGCCGTTGATGGTATCCCTAATATGCGCGAAGCCTGCCTTGTGTTGACAGACGGATCTGCCTCTACCAGACTTCGAGGCGATGGTCAAGATGATTCGCCATTTCCCTCTCGAATGGCCCCAGCAGCAGACACATGGGACATTGAACACGCATGTCTCATCCTCGGACATGTTTTCGAGTTCCTGCTCATCGAGATCTTGGTGTTGTGGGTTGGAGGTATTCTCTTAGCTACGCCGGCGATGTGAAATCGTCCAACTGTTGACTGAACAGCGCCATCTTCAGCGGTGGTTGAGCTCTTCATATTGCAGCCACTGCTCTCTTGTCGGATACAGGTTGTCGCTATTCAGATATTATTCGTAAGTTCGTACATAGATTTGAAGGTCATGGATCACATGCGCTCTGCTCGACTCGTTATTAACTAACGTCTTTCTTTCTCATTTGACTATGGAGGGTGGTTTGATCCATCACGCCTCCTCCACTGCGCCGGTGGATGTCTAAGAATGATTTGTAAGCCTTGGGAGACTTGCCACACCAATCAGATGCAAAGATTGATGGACGAGGAAGAGCGCGACATCTTGATACTCACTCTGCTCTTGTCTTTCGTGCATCTTCATGGGGCCATGTGGATCGAGAGACCGTGGGAACACGATACAATCTTCTTCCTCAAATCCGCTCTGCAAGACCCTATGGACCTGCACCACCCCTTTATAAGGAGTCACTGTCTTCAGCGCTGGGCCATGCGAGAGAAGGGGAATCTCTCTCGTACTGCCTTGGCCGCTTCCATGACCGCACCGCCGACCTGCGCGATTTGGCGTCTAGACACGGTGTTGTCCTTGGCTGTGGAGTCGCACTACTCTCAGAGAGAATGCCGAAGGAAACACCAGCGTTGAAATTATGGGAAGGACTGGTTATCAGTATCGACAGGCCTCGCGGGTTTTACACTTCAGAATCGCCGAGGACCGCAATAAACACCCTGATAGATTACATCCGTTCAATATAAAAACTCAGGAGACTGGGGCAAAGTACTACGACTCTTATGTATAGAACAGCATATTGTTCGTCTCAGGGCGTAATAGTCAATGGACAACGCAATGGACTTGGTTATATTGTAACCAGAAGCTGTTCCTATCTTATCCCCAGAAGCCAAGCCAAGTTCGCTCTTCTACAAAATGTAGGCGCAAAAGTCATACTACTTCTGCGACTCATGGTGAATTGTGAGGATCTGATCATCAACACAGTGCGTTGGAGATAATTGCTATACTGAAGCTACTGTTGTTCATGCTATGAACAGTAGGAAACTTGGTATAGTCTAGCGTTGGTTCCCCGCGTTTCAGGGCCAAAAGTAGTTAAAACAGGGTCAGTATACCAAGAAAACTTGAATAATTGCTGCATGACTAAGTATGTACACGAAAATCTACACCTTGCCACGTCATCCATCCATAAGCCTATTTCAGTCCAAGCCTTAGTGCGTAATCTCCAACGTCCCGTTCAACCTCAGATCCCTACTACTCGCGCCCACATAAACCTTATACTCCCCCTCCTGTAACCTCCACTGCTGCACCACCACATCCCAGACGCTCAAATCCCGTCTTGTCAGCCGGAAAAGCACACTCTGGCTCTCTCCCGGCCTGACAGGAAGGCGCTGAAACCCGCGCAGTTGCCTCACCGGTGTCTCGAACTCGTCACTGCTCGGAATTCCCACATACAACTGCGCGACCTCGTGTCCCGCCACATCGCCCGTGTTCGTTACACTCGCCGTCACCGTCGCGACAACCTCCCAAAGGTCTGGGTGGCCGCCCTGCACAATGGGCGTATCCGGGTCCGGGAGCGCGGTTGTGTTAACTCCCGGTTCGGGAGTGACGACCAGATCTGCGTACGCGAAGGTGGTGTAGCTCAGGCCGTAGCCGAACTCGTACCGTGGCTCGATGTTGTTCTTATCGAAGGCGCGGTAGTCAATGTACAAGCCCTCGGTGAAGTTATCCTGAGGGAAGGCGTCGAAGGATACGGTGCTGTTAAGCACGTTGCCGTAGTCCGACTCGTTCTTGGCGACGGTGTAGGGCAGTCTGCCGCTCGGGTTGATAGACCCCCACAAAATGTCCACGATGCTATTTCCCGACTCTTGGCCTGGCACGCCTGCGAATAGGACGGCCGTCACGTTGGGGTTATCGATCCAGGCGTCCACGGTGCGAATGCCCGTTGAGTGGATCACCACAATGGTGTTAACGCACTGCGCAGCCGTGTTGGCCACCAGGCGATCGCTGAAGTCATCAGTGAGGGAGACTCGGTCGAAACTCTCGGATGCGTAGGCGTTGATGAAGACCAGACAAGCGTCAGCATTATCAAAAGCCATGGCAGGGTTTTCGTTGACAAAGTCCCACCGCACAATACCGTTGTCCTTGGTGATTCTCTCCTGGATCGCCTGGAAGGGGCTGATTACATAAGGGGGGGTACCGGAGCCGGAGCCACCTCCCATAATCAATGTGCCATTAAATGTATTCCAGCCGAAATTCACATCGTACCCGCCACCGAAACGACTGGACACCCACGGGGTCAGGGGCAGGGTGGCGTCGTAGCCGTACACGCAGAGGAAGGTCGGGCGCTGGAGGGGCAGCGTCTTGTTCACATTTTTGACTAGAACGGTGCCAGCGGCGCCGATCTCGCGGATGAGGTTGCGATGGCTGCCCTGGACGTCAATGGGCGCGTGTTTCATCGTGTTGGAGTAGATGCCCTTGGAGGGGTATCCGTTGTCCTGGCCCATGTAGTACCAGCTGGCCAGGATACGGGTCGCCATGTCAGTTACCCTTTCGGCGCTGACGGAGCCGTTGCCCACGGCATCAGTCAGATTCTTGCCCCAGAAGCCGCCGCTGGGCATGACGAGGTCGAGCCCTGAGTTGGCTGAGGCGACGCCGCCTTGCTGGCCTCCCCAGTCGCTGAGCACAAAACCCTCAAAGCCTAGTTCAGTTTTGAGGAGCCCGTTGAGGAGCTTGCTGTTTTGGCAGCTGTATGAATTGTTGATTCTTTGGTAGGAACACATGATGCAGACTGCGCCTTCTTTGAGTCCGTTCATGAAGGGGAACATGTATAGTTCACTTGGCGATATGTGTTAGTTCGCCTTGGAAGAGTACAGCAGATCAAGGGAATCGACTTACTGGATCGTCCTATCATCAACGTTGGAGCTAATGGACTCGCCCACCCCCCGAGTAGGCAACCGTCGGAACTCCTGCTCATTCAATAGAAAATGCTTAGGCGTCGCCATAACACCCTGGTCCTGTATCCCCCGCGTGACTTCTCCCATACCTTCCCCGGCAAGGTAGGGGTCGTTGCTCAACCCTTCCCAGTTGCGCCCTCCCCGAACCACACGACCAAGCGGCCCAGCAACGGGGCCAAGCGCTATGTTAAGGCCCTTGCCTTTATACTCGGCGCCGATAGCCTCGCCGTAGCGGTACATGAGTCCCCGATCCCAGGTTGCAGCCACGTGGATGCCGGCCGGGAAACTGGAGACGAATTCCTGGCCGCGGACGCCCAGAGGCGCGTCACCCATGCAGAGCGACGGGATGCCGAGGCGGGGCACGGCGCCGCTGTTACCGGTGCATTGGCCCGTGTAGCCGCGGGTAATGTTGGCCTTCTCCTCCAGTGTCATCTGGGAGGACATGGCCTTGGCTCGCTTGTGGGCGATGGCCCAGCGGGTGCTAGTTGTGCCATTGGCCTCGGCTGGATTTTTCATGAGTATAAAGAACAGACGACAGAACGATAGAATGGGAAGAGAGGTGTTGCTTACGCGTAGGGTAAACCGGTGGTGACAGCCCGTAGTATGGAACCTCGGACTCGTTGGTGTACAGCTGCCCCGTCACGGAGGCACTCTGGGCAAGCAGCCAGTAGACGAGTAAAGACCTCATCTTGGAAGCGAGTTGCGGGAGTACTGAGTGGCTATGAGAGTAGTAGATCCTTCTGCCATCCTATTTCCATGTTGCGTGGTCACCGACTTATAAGTACCCAAATACGCAGCCCCCGATCCCGATACGCGCTGCCGGCTCCAAGTCCGGGAAACTTGACTCGTCCCTTCTATCGGCCCTTCAGTATCACATGGCCTCTCCATCTCCTGTTCATTGCTGCTCCAAGGCGGAGATGGGCAACGGCATCCTCACCGTAACCTGCCTAGCGGCATCGGCTGCCAAGGCCAAGTTCCTGCGGTGTGTGATCACGAGAACTGATAATCAGGACGGCGAGTTCGCGGCAAACAATTAACATACAATTAAGCGGGGTATGGCACTTATACCACGTAACTTCTGCTTTGTTATCCCTGACTCCGCCGCCAATAGCGTAGTCCACCTTTGTTCCCCATATTTCTCCTCCACGCGGGGTAGAGAGAGGTTGGGAGTTGGGGACCCCATTATCATCTGATGACAGATGTTTGGATATGAACCAGAGGCGTGGTTGTGTTGAACAGAGCTTCGTGACTGTTGCAGACAAGAAGCGTCACCATGTAAAGCAAACATCCACCAACTGTAGTTCGTCAAGTGATTATTCATTCCATGTGATGCCCTACAATCGATCATGCCATTCATCACGAACCCTTCGTCACTTCTCAAATTCCATTATCCGACCTAGTGAGTAACTATTGGCGCCCAACTCCACCTCTATAGGAACGGTGTCGTCTATCAAGGCCGCGTAGGACCCGATCCCAGCCTCGCTATGTGGCAACGGATGCGGAGATACCCGAGCCTTTGACAGTTAAAAACAAGACAAGTGTGTGTATCAGCCCGGGCTCAGCCGCACTGCGGAAGAGACAGCCAGAATACCGAGCCAGGCGGAGAGCAGGCGCTATAAGAAACACGTTTAACCCACTGACCCCAGTCTTTATGCTTTGGTTATTAAATGGTGTCATCGGACGAATCGAAGTCCCCACAGTCACCTCCGCAACATGCGGACCCGGGGAAAACATTGTTTACTGCGTGGGAGATTTACGCCATGCTGAGATGCTTCATCCGCATCGTTGCGTGGTAGTAGTATAAGTGATTTGCCACAGTCACTGGCTAGCGTGGTTCAATATTGAACTGCTTCTTTATTTATGCTTTGCTTAACTCGAGAGGATTAGAAACATCACCACCCCTCCCACCGTTTGGCACCGTTAAACAACACCGTGATGCCCCCTCGCTACCCATACATGCAGCCATGACCTATTTCTACACCCCAACCCACATAGAGTTACAGCAAGATGTGAACAACGATCGACATAGGAAAGCTTGCACCGCAGACAATAGTTGTCTGGGTGACTTGAAGTTGCTCCAGAGATCCCTCCACCATGGGAACCCGGCCGGAACTTCCTTCCCCGTGATTGCTCCTCTACTTCCCAGCTTCCCTACGTCCATCTCTCCCCTGCGTGAAGGACGCACGTTAACCAAGCACACAAAAGCCCCCTCACCATGAAGAGAGCCGGCCGCAAATACACAAATACGGTTGATCCATAACTGCCACTACCACCACAACCTCCCTCAAGCATTCATCCACAAGAAGAAGATGTCAAATATCAAAGCACAAAACCCTGTTCAACCAACTTATCCACATCCCCACCCGCCGCGCGCACCGCCTTTAACGCCGCCTCGCTCAGCCTCCTCCTCCGCTCCATCGCCTCCTTCTCCCTCCTCGCCTTCGTCTTGGACGACCCGCTGGGCGCTACGCCCGTCATCAGTAAATTCTTATCGCTGGGTGTGAAATTGACGAAGTCAACTCCCCCACCACCCCCCGCAAGGGAGATCCCCCCGCCGCCGCTGCTACCGAAACTGATGGTATTGCCACTACTGGGGCCAACCCCGGGCGTGCGCGGCTGTTCCCGTCTTGACCACGACCGCTGTTTGCGCACTGACATGCTTAAGGATCTGCGGCGCGACGATGTCGGGGTCGGGGAGACGGATTCTTCGCGGTGGAAGAGCATGGGGCGGGAAGAGCTATGGTGTAAGCTGGGTTTGCGGGGCGAGGTCAGGCTACTACCGTAATGACGTGCGCCTGAGGACGGCGCCCGCGGGTGGGGACGTCGGTCGGTGTGACGGTGGTGTTGGGAGTTGGAGGGGTGCATTTGATGATGGGCTTGAGGGTTGGGTTGATGAGGATGTGATGATGAGTGAGGAGTGCTGGGGATACTGGAGATGCCGTCTGTCATGGTGGTTGAGAGCACGGCGGCTTGGGGTTGTCGGGGCTGCGGCATGTGGATCATGAGGCCCGAGAGCTCGGTTACATATTCGTATGGTAGGTTGTCTTGCTGCTGCTGGGTGTTATGCATGCCGTTTTGCGTTGGGGTGGCGTGGCCGTTGGTGGTGTTGTGAGTGGTATCCTCCCACCATTGGCCAGGGCTGTGTAAGTTGCCACTGTCCGGGACGTACGACCCGACAGTCCAGAATGGCGAGTCATCGGTGAGGATGCCCTCCATAGGCCACTCGGCCGAGCTTGTGCTGCGTTGCTTCGGCCGACGGAGCGACGTGTCGTTCGGGTCAATCGTATGCATGGAATTCTGACCGAAGGCATCGCCGTTCAGTATTGGTGTGTCCAAGGGCGTGCTCTGGCCGTGGGCCTGATGGGGAGGACACAGCATGCCGTCACGAGTAAATGGGTCGTCAAGGTGTCCCCTGACGAACCGCATGGTACTTGAAGGCTGGCCCGGGGCCGAGTTGGGTATCTTGCCGGTTAGGGGAGGAGACAAAGGCAGGCCGTTGCTATCCACTGGCTCAGCCCTGACTTCTAGTCTGTCGGCGGCATAAAGGTGAGGACCCGAATTATCTCTTGTCTCGGTCCTGTTGGGTCTCGAGCTCCTCTTAAACGCATCCATGAGGGCCGTCGACCCGTTCGACCGCGTGCCCCTTGGGCGAAAGACTGCCCTCCGGCAAGTAGAGTAAGCGGACTCGACAAAAGGACTGGGCTTTCTTGGGCTCAAAGATGACAAAGGCATCAAAGGCGGGCTCGAGGGCGCCGTGGCAATTTTCCGGGGCGAGCACAGGGAAATGCCTTCCAGACTAAGCAACTCCGAGTCCGAGATAGAGCCGCCTATGATTGAATCTGAGGGACCAAGAAGCGTGGGCACGCGATCGGTTTGCTGTGCTGACGTGCTCTTGGGTATATCCCTCGCCGCCCCCTCGGCACAAGGCTGCCCAGGCAGTATATCCTGGTCATGCGAAGATGAGTTCATCAGCCTATCGTCGAGGGAGTCGAGCAGGATCGAAGGGCTAGGCAGATCCTCGAGAAACTCGCTATTGAAAGCCGCTGGTTCGCTACCATCAAAGCTGATGAACTGATCAAAGAAATTGTCGTTTGCCACGTCCGGCCCCTCCTCATTGTCGGGCCAGTACGCGCTCTTCTCTTTGTCCATCGGGCACCGCACCGCTGTGAACGCCATAATTAACGGCTTAGGTTGACCGTATGTATTTTCTGTTCAAAGATCGATGTTGGGGGATTGCACAGGCGAATAATCCCCTTTGCCAGTAGAATGGTGCAAGGAACAGTCCGCCTAGGGCTGGAGATTCTACTGTTACCTCCTTTAGGCATATAAACCAACAAAGCATGTAGAAGCTGCCACGGCAACAGCAAGTATGAGAGAAACGTGAACCACTTAGAAGTGAAACTGATCGGCAATAACCATAGTAGAACGATTTGTTGTTATGCCAAGGAAACAACGCAGGAGAATCTGTACATAGGAATGTGTTGCTGTTGTGAGGAGAGAAACAAGCGCAGTAGTTTAGCTTCGAGCAGCCCATTCCTCGGGCCTGGCCTTCTTAAGAGAAGGGGACGCCCTCCAGTACCTCTCATCCAGTCTGCCGGAGGTTTGCCGAGTATACCCATTTTGGGACCCCCATCGTGTCCAGGTTGAGACGCCGGGCAAAAATAGACAAAGAAACTCGTCAAAGAACCGAATACCAACCGACGTCGAGCAGTAGGTGGTTATAGTGAGACCCCGGTACATTGCTCTGTTGGTCCCTGGGAGACGCCGGTCTAGACAAAGACCGACTGGAATGGTGGTTCATCTGGCGACTCGACCACATCAGCACAGACCTCGATATTGCGGCTTAGCCATCCCCAAGGGACCTTCCGCATCATTTTTGGAACTTCTGGAACTCGGGAGGAGCTCAGGGCGTCAACTTTAGAATGTCCAGCCGGCAGGCATGGCACGAAAGGGGGTTTTATACTCCTGTTGTCAACCTCGATTGCCACTATTTATACCGAGTTGCTGAATGTCGCCGGTTGACTGGATTTCGGCGCGTCCCGCGTCAGGATGGGTATGGGTATACCGCGTCGCAATGTGATGTCAAACACTTAGCACGGAGCGACGCCGCAGCATGCTCGGTAGATATTGTTAGCATTCTCGCAAGGGATATCTTTCTCCTCCAAGTACACACAATCATCACTGGCCGGCCAATGGAACAAAGAACATATCGTACACAAAATTGGTATTCCGGAAGAGGGGAATGAAACAAAGCTGTTGCCGGAACAGTTCGAAATGGGCGGTGCTGGACTAAATGTGTTGCGAGGTATCAAGCTGATGTATACTTGTTCGTTGACCGACACGGCTACGACACGACGCCACAGCACAGCATAATAGCCGAGAATGCATTTCACCAAGTTGACCGATTATCCCATCACAGTGTCAACGTGGGAGCGCTTTGTTCCCGCGCGACAACCAGAGAGGGGTAATCCGAAAGATGGCGGCTACGATTCTTGACTATTCCAATGCTGTTGGGCTGTCGACCGATGTCACCTGTGACATCTTCAATACCAACACCCCAATCCATTCTGTCAATAGGTTTCCCAGTCTCACTCAATTTGACCTCGCAGTCAGTCTCTGATCCACCAGTCTATTACGTCGTGACTTCCCTCACGCTCCAACATGTGCTCCGAAGGTCGTATTGACCTGGGACCTCTCCCCCGTCTCCCCGCCTCTTGAATCAACCAAAACTCCGCGTAAATGCTGCCAAACGGCACACGGCCGATCGGACCCGTTCCGTGGACCAAGTCATATGCAACGCCAACAAAACACCTTCCCTGGGGGTATATGCAACTTCTGAGCAACTCCTCACAACTCCTCGAGATATACGAATATACAGAATGAAAATTAAAGCCCGGCGAATCAAATCGACGATGATGCTGTCCTTGGTTCGGCTAATTCCGACGGAGATGGCACTTTCGGTCTCTTCCTCATCCTCGGGTTGCTTCTCCTCAAATTTACGTACTTGGTAACGTATGTGCCCGGCGGCTGTCCAGAGCGGCGATAAATAAGGGGGTGTTTCCTGATGCCTCCGGTCGTGCCGCCTTGCCGCAGCCTCGACAAATCGCCGTACAGATGCCTCTCGTCTTGTTCAGAATATTCCGTATCAACCTCCAATGGCATATCATAATCGACCATGGTCTCATCCTCATTTTCGTCCACCTCGAGTAGGCTGGCAAGGGCATTGAAGTCTGGGACGACGAATCGCGAAGTTGAAACTGACGAGGGCAACGAGCTCTGGGCGATTGAACTCGAGTCCGAGAATCCGGAAAACGAGGATCGAGACGTCGACACCGGTGAAGGCAAGGCGCTCTGCACGTTGCATTGCGAGCCGTTGGCGATCATGGTCTCCATGAGGTTTTGTATCGTACGCGTATTGGCCGGATTGTTGTTGAACTCGGTGTCACATTGCCGCCGTAACCTCTTCAAGTCTGGCTCGGGGAGATTGAAGGCATCTCCCATGGCGGTGTCGAGCCTGAGCGTCCCAATGTCTCGAGGTTGCACAGATGACGAACCTCCATCGTCCGCAGCAAGTATCGGCGACGGCGTTGAGGGTTGCGACGGCGGCAATGCGACTCCGTCGGCCGACGATGCCCTCGCGGTCCGCCGCGGTTCATCAGGTACTGTTTGCGTCGGGTTGATATCGGATTCGGGTTTTCCTTCTGATCTCAGAGTCTGCCTGCTGAACTTGTGGGAGAGGGCATCCATCGTCTCGGGTAGGCGATGCATGTTTGTGTTCGCATTTGCGACTTGTTGTGATAGCCAGTCTGCGAATCGAGATTCGTTCAACCGTGCATGAGTGTCGTCGCGAGACCGCATCGGCCCAGCATCTGGTTGAGCGTTGGGAGGGTGACGGGAGCCTTCTGCAATTGAAGGCAAAGTCGGGGTTGCAGCTTCAAGTTGCGTTGACGGCGACGCTAAGTAGCGGTAGTGGTAAATTTGGGCGCACACATCTCTAGGAGACAGAATCGGGTCACTGTCGTGTTTGGCGTTGGGATCTACCTTCTGGTCGAAGGTAAAGTCCTCAAACATTTTGTTCTAGGTGGAATAAAGGTTCGATGGTGAAAGGAAGACCGGTTGGTCCTTCTTCTGGGGAGGTGTCGGGAAATAAGAGATCTGGTAGCGCTGGAGCCACTGGAGCCACTGGATTTAAGAAGGTGTCGCGCTACGGTGAATGCCAAGGCGCCACTATCCTGTTTGGTACAACGGGCCGGTAGTAGCGACAACTTGGTCGGATAGATGCCAAGGATGCGGTAGACAGTATTGGCTTGAATGCTGTATAATGCTGGCAGTGGTGTCGAATGCGAAACACTGCGAATGATGCACCCTGCGACAGCAACGGCGATGAAGAATGCGTCGGTTAATGTATACTTCCACCAGACGATGGTGGCCCAAGGTCGGTCCCATTGCCAGACTCATGACGCCGAGAACAGGAGCTTGGCAGCTTGCCAAATCGCGTCCCCCAACTTACGACCCTTACCACGCCACGCAGCCAAAAGAGGAGTCTGTGTTCAACAGCTGCTGTGGCAAGGCATCTAGCGATTACAACCTTGCAACAACAGGCTAACATAACTACAGGCTCGCTTGGCTTGTCGCTGGTCTAGCAAGGCGTGTTTGCTCACACGAGTCAACCAAGTTGCACACAGCTAGCTCAAGCGACTTGCATAGCCTGGAATGGCTTGTTGCCGCCTACCGATTGGCAATACAGGTAAAAGCAAAACGCCGCCTTCTCGACTTGCGTCTTCCAATCGTTCCTGGGAATCATTTTTTCAGACACCAGTCCTTGGTCCCACCGCCCCGGACCCAGCCAGGTGGCCCAAACCTGCTGTGCCAATTTGAGCGGGGACGTTCTCAATTCTCGGGTTTGGGTGGAGCCAGGGGAGCCAGGAGTTGGGTGGAGAGCCAATGTGGATTGTGTCCTGATTTCATCCCATCCAATGACATTGTTTTATCACTGCCCAAAATTCCGTACTCTCGGAACACCTCCGCGAAGGACCACACTGCCGAGACGACTATTTTAAGGATTTAGTACCCTGGCACCTTGATGCAAGGCCGGCAGGTGTCGTCAGACTTTGCAACTGGAAGCTGGCATTGAAGCACTCCTATCCTCAAGTGACGTCTCATCCTTCCCATCCGCGGTTGTTCTGTGGTTAAGGCGATCGAGCAGCTAGCGATGATGTGCATTTTAGCGCTCTGGCGATTCCACTTCGTAGTGCGCCATGAGAAGCGAGCAAACAGACACTGGCGCTACTGTGATGGGGGGCTGGATATGCTTTGGGCCAACAGAAGGCAAAGCAGGAAGAAAAGCAATTCATGGTCAAGATCTCTGGAAGGTTCTACATGTATGGTTGGCACTGACCGACATCTGACTTGTGTTGGGGTTACTTGACATTGGTTTTTCCAGTTGCTCCCCGACGTCATACCCCCTGGCCTCGAGACCCAGGTTATCGGGACCGAGACAGCGCCGTTATGGTGGCAGCTGGATAAGCAACGTGGGAAACGAAGGTGGGAAACACTCGTGGCGGTGATTTGAGACGCCAAAATTGTGCGGAATGCTGGAGTTATCGTCAGTGACATCCCTTGTCTAATCAATGGCATTCACACCATCGATCGAATTTGACAGGTTTTGTTGCGGGCACTCACTAACTTACCAACCAGACATGTCCTGCCTTATTCTGTTGTCCACTTTGAATGGTACCCCAGTTCGGCCGAGTCAATAGGAGATCGAGGGCAAGTGACACCGCTTAGACCTGCTCTAACCAGATATAGCAGGAAACTGGCTCGGTACTCGGCTATGAGAATATCCCATCCCACTAACCTAGACCTTTCTACTGCATTGTACAAAGTATGCATCATATGAATGTGCATGATCTGAGATGACGGGTTGGCGTCGATGCGATCAAACACCGCACTGGCCACTGAAGGCATTCGGCTAAGCCCGACAGACGCTTTCACAGATCCAGCTTTCCAGGGCCGACCAAAAATGAAGGCATGCGGTTACCGTCGCCGTCGCCGTGAAACCAGACCATTGTAGCAATGCAACAGCACGTTTTCACTGCCCCAGAAAGGATTGGAGTTGAGTAACCACGTAACCAAGTCCAAGCCCGAGCAGGTACCAATCATATTGGGGCGTTGATATCAACCTTTACTCATAGAGTACGGAGACGGGGAATTCAAGCGGTGGGGTTGTCCCAACCCGCCCTGCACCGTATGATCCGGCTCCGAAACGAAGCAGAGTTCGCGCTTTCTCGCCATGTTTTCCCAGGTTCACAGCTTGCGTTTCAGTCGAAAATTTCTCGTGTGCCTAATTAAGGAGGTGCAGCTAGGCGGATAAGAGCTTGGCAGATGGAAATATCGTGTGATGCTCTCTTTGATCAGATATCCAGTATCATGCCATATATTCCAAATACCTGGCGGTTTCTAGCGCGGAGCTCGGAGTGACGGAGTGGAGCGGTTTGGTTCTGATGAGCCTGCAGAGGCATGCCATGTTGTGGTCACATGCGACAGCGAGACAACTTCGTATCCTGGCGTGTGGTCCTGATTCATCGTGATATACGAACAATAAGGACGCTTTCTAGGAGTGTTCATTCCCACTACCTTGTGTGTGAAACGCCCCAGTTATTTTGATGTGCGGGAACGAGCATCAAACATTTCTGTTCTACTCTTGTTGTCTATAACTTCGCTTTCCCGCACAATTGTCAGTCTAGCATATGTGTTGACTTACCAGGTGCCTGTAAAGGCAGCATCTAATTAGTCCAGGATGACGAAAGATTACCAACGAAAGCTGAAAATATCACAAGTTCCAGCAAATTCCGATCGAAGTGTATTCAACCCGTTCTGGCACGTCATGGAATCGCCTAGTTCTACTCATCGAAATGTGTCTGTCCTCGTGCCCACAGCTACAGATGCTCGAATGCATGAGCTTGACTATACTTACGGGGCCTACGTTAGCACCAGTGAGTACATGATGCACTTACTCTCGTCGCCCAGCAATGATTTAGTCCGAGGCGTGAACAAGCGTACGAACCTGGGTTTTGAAACAATAGGTTTGCAACGACGCTAAAACTCAGACTTTGATACGTATGAGAGTCTTTGAGGCCGAAGCTTTCGATACACATTTGGAATTCCAGCAATGGTCTCTTCTTTAATCTATCCCATTCAAAGAGGAGGTCGGATTTGGTCTGAAATTTGAGTCCTCCACCGTCGGTGGCTACGAGTGGTTGACTGGATGCATGACTAGGAGACGACTGCATGGTGCGAGAGAGGCCAACGGGATAAGCGATAAATCGAAGATATGTAGGACGAATGCAACACTGGCCGTTTGCATGGAGGTGCAAATGGAAATTATCATACTGATAAGCGGCTGACCCTTCAGTCTCCAACTGGTAAGTTCTACGTTGAGTTTCCGCCTCACTGTGAGTCTCACGGTACTTGTCACGTACATTCAAAAGATTAGAGTGAATCACAACCTGTACTTAGTGGATATAGGCTGTTTCAAATTACTAGTCATATCCATCGGGGCTATTCTATCCCTGATCATCCTTTGTAAGGCGTGTCTCTCGAGCGCTTGGGTCGATTGCCTATAGATAGCCCTTCCGTAGCTGCAGCCTTTGGGACTTAGTCCCATCATCATTATCATCATCACCAATACAACCCTCTTGCCTGTATTGCCAACATTTTGCGATGAATCATCGCGTAGTATGGCTTTGTAGGCTTCGGATGGCTTGGGTTCTGAGCGGTGCTTCTGTGGAGTTGTTGATATTTTCGGAATAAGGTCCTTGCTATCTCAGCTCCTTGGATCAGAGACTCATCGGATAGTCTCCGTAACTGTCTGAAGCAGAGGAAAGGACACTACGGAGTTGCCGAAAATATAGTTACGTATTATATCATGGGTGGGATTATAATAAGCGGCGGAAATTTAATATGTGCTGAAAGAAGACGTGCCCTGGTCCCCTTATAAGCACTTTTGATGGTCACAACCAAGCCAATCAAGTAATTAATCATGGCCTTGGCCACTAACAACATTCATCAATACGGATCCGCGAATGATTTAATGAACAAGGTCAATGACCTCGTGCTCCTTCTACATGGGTCCGACACCTATTGGCGAAAAGGAACATACATTAGCAAGTAACTTGGGACAAGTTACAGCACAGGGAAAGCCCTTCTCGCTGAAAGGTATGTCTTATACATCTTTGGCGATGTAACTTTGGGGGCTCTGACTGACCTATTTGAAAGCGACAGGATCCGTGTCATCCCCCCCTGACTTCCCAATAAGGTAGTTGGGCAAGCTGGAGGACACACTAAAGCTGCCATCATCTTCTACCTCCTTTCGCTGCACAGAGCTGATTTTGGTATCATCTGCGTCGTAGATGACGACGTTCAAGACGTACCTGGAGCGAGTGCCTAACTCAATTCGCTGATATTAATTCACGTGGATGGTGACTGTCGTTATATTAGCCCCCTTTGTTTCCAACATATTATGTGTGAACATGCCATGAAGGGGAGTAATTGAAACAAGCAAAGAAAAATTGAGAATAAAAAGGGAATTCGACTTACACCACTCAGCCCAAACCTGCCATTCTCCCAATATTCGACATTCCAAAAACGGACCCCAAATCCGCTTCAGGCAATACACACCTGTACTTACAGAGCTTGGTGCGAGCGATCTCGTGTAAATTTCACAGGTTGGCCGTCGGAGAGTCCCCCTGGCCGTCAATGATACTCTGCACGTCGATCGCCTCACCATCATTGAACCCGGCTATCTTGATGAGGGGTAATGCAGCGCATCATCGTTGCGGTTATGCCCGCCCGCTTGCGTAAAATTATGCCATCGCGGTGTTCAAGAGGACGTAGGAGCTCACTACGATACCTGCGATGGTTGCCGCCTTCCTAGAAGTGACGAAGTGCATATTCGTGATAAAAATACTGAAAACCGGGGTTATTGTTAAAATAAGCCGCAAAAGCCTCGATCAGGGTAATTTGCAGCCGGACTGGGACGTGAAGAATGATCATGGTGGAAAATGCTACTTTATTCATGGCAGCGACGTCAAGAGGCTTGTATACTCATCTCGAAGCACCGTCTTCACTGTCGTCATGTCCAAAACTCATTAGTATCAAGCCATCTTCCCGATCCTTAACAAATGCTAATCCACGAATTTCAACCGTATTCACAGCCATAGAATCTATTTAGGTCCGTCATCTCCACTTCGTTTCCCAAGATGAAGCCATTTCGAGCTCACAGCCGGCTGAATTCACGCCACCCATGGGAACATCTCTGGCATTGAGTGCATCCAGGGCGTGGTATGGAATCCTCCATCGTCGTAAAAATCCTCAAAATGGTCAGATTCAGTGATGCCGATAATGCCTACTGTTGCGGCTGGAAGCTTGAACATGTTCGGACTCTGGAAATGCAGAGGCGAGGCACGGCGCAGCAGCCCGATTGCAGATCCCCCAACCGACCCCCCAACTCATCATTGTGATGATGTATTGCTTAGACCCCCGTCCCATAGCGACTGCCCAATAACATTCGCAGTTACCGGGAAGCGCAACAACCCTCGCTTGTAGCTACTTCAAGTGGCACAGCCACTCGTTCTATATCCGCAGCGCCTGTCGCCATCGGGATGTGACAGGTGGGTTCCCCGCACAATACATCGGAAGGAAATCGTCCTCCTCGTCCTCATGTGATGCTGCTTGGCTCTGGGGTCTATCAGATCTCATTGCCTAACACCAAGATAAGGGGAATAGAGATTTTGTGAATACAGTGCTGGGAGCAAGATCATTATGGAAGGAAGTATGGCATCTGGATGTTCAGTCCTATGGTTGGGACATCACTGTGTGCCCCTCGTATTTTCCCACTCTGCGGTCTCCTTTTCTCACAGGTCATATGAATCACTCAGGTAGAGGCATCCAAGACACCCGCATTCAGCACCCCTGCATACTGTATTCACCTAGTGGAGTTGTATGGCCCTTTGCGACGCGGACAATCAAGTCCGCCAACGCCAGAATTACATTCTACCCCTTGTCATCCCAGGGTCGAAAAGCCTGCAGTTCTATGTGGTATTGTGAATAGACGCCGCCAGGGCTGATGCGCAGATTTGCATAGAAAGGTCACACGCATGAACGTCATTCTCTACTATATCGACCGGCGCCCAGACATGTGCGTCGTGCGTCATGATTTTACCAAATGATCCGCCGAATTACTTATATAGTTTCGTTATACTTGCGTGGGTGATGGCTTAATTTATTTAACCTATGAAAACTGAGGGATTCAATCCTCTATTGATGACTCTGCGTAGATCCTGTCTTGATTGATCTATCTATCTGCTCTGTTGTGTCTTCTGTGTAGCTATTTTATCTATGAGGAAGGGTTTTGACCCCACTAGTGCAATTGCCGCTACACCACCTTCGGCCTAGGGCATAACCGTGGCGCTCAATCCCACAGAAACCAGCAATGGCCATGGAACTTGCTCGTATTGGCAGCTGAAGTCGCGATAGCTTCTGTCGGCAACAATAACTTTGAATATATAACGTGAATGTACACCGAGCTGGCCACTTTCATGCGCTAACGTGACCGGCCAACTTAATCTTTGATTTTCTCAACAACCAATTATGGCAAAGTCATACAACGAAGCAGACTTAATGCTAGCCCTTCAAGCTCTCAAAAATGACAAAAACTTAGTCTCCGACAAGCGGCAAAAACGTACCAAGTCCCCCGAAGCACCCTCCAAACGCGTAAAAACGGCGTACCTTTCCGACGCGATATTTTGCCCAATTCACGAACTATGACAGAATTAGAAGAGGAGGTCATTATCAAGCATATACTGGACTTAGATGCACGAGCGTTTCCGCCCCGGATTGCTGATGTGGAAGCAATGGCAAATTCTATCCGCGCGACACGTAACGCAGGGCCCATTGGAACGCGCTGGGCCTCGAGGTTCGTCGCACGTCGCAGAGAGTTGAAAACTCGTTGGAACCGTCCTTACGATTACCAAAGGGCCCAATGCGAAGATCCAAAGCTTATTGCAGATTGGTTTCGGCTTGTTACGAATGTTATCGCGAAATACGGTATCGTTGTTGCGGGCCGATACCACCTCTCTTCTTGGTACGAAGACGACAACATTCCGAAAGATTGGAGAATTAGACCTAGTCCAAAAGGATGGACGACTAACGAGATCGGTATGGAATTTATTAAACACTTCGATAATTGTACGAAAGATGGAAAGTCCGGGATATATCGATTGTTAGTGTTGGACGGTCACGAGAGCCACGTTTCCGGCGATTTCGAGCTATATTGCAAAGAACACAAAATTGTAACTTTGTGTATGCCTCTGCACCCATCTCACATCCTCCAGGCACTTGACGTGGCCTGTTTCGGTCCATTAAAGCGGGTGTACGGCCAGATGGTAGAGAAATTGATACGCCGGTCATTAACACATATCGCGAAGGAGGACTTCTTTCCTATCTTCAAAGACGCCTTCTTTGCAGTTTTCGGCGAAAAAAAACGTTCAAGCTGGCTTTCGAAGGGCAGGACTTGTTCCATTCAATCCAGAAAGTGTGATTTCAAAGCTGGACGTACGATTACGGACCCCGACGCCTGTTGGCTCCCCAGAAATCGCAACCCGACCGCGAGTATCAAAGACGCCACAGAACCCGATAGAGGCTCATGCACAGTCTACTTTTTTGAAAAAGCGCATCTCCGAGCATCAGAATAGCTCTCCGACGAATATTTTCTCAGCTGTCAACCAGTTTGCGAAGGGAGCAGAAATGATAATGCACGAGCTCGCCCTCGTACGGGCCGAGTGCGCTGAGCTTCGAGAGGTAAATAAGATGCTAAGCCGGAACTGGTCGACAGCTGAGAAAATATTCATCGGAGAGCTATTCTGATGCTCGGAGATGCGCTTTTTCAAAAAAGTAGACTGCATGAGCCTCTATCGGGTTCTGTGGCGTCTTTGATACCCACGGTCGGGTTGCGATTTCTGGAGAGCCAACAGGCGTCGGGGTCCGTAATCGTACGTCCAGCTTTGAAATCACACTTTCTGGATTGAATGGAACAATTCCTGCCCTTCGAAAGCCAGCTTGAACGTTTTTTTCGCCGAAAACTGCAAAGAAGGCGTCTTTGAAGATAGGAAAGAAGTCCTCCTTCGCGATATGTGTTAATGACCGGCGTATCAATTTCTCTACCATCTGGCCGTACACCCGCTTTAATGGACCGAAACAGGCCACGTCAAGTGCCTGGAGGATGTGAGATGGGTGCAGAGGCATACACAAAGTTACAATTTTGTGTTCTTTGCAATATAGCTCGAAATCGCCGGAAACGTGGCTCTCGTGACCGTCCAACACTAACAATCGATATATCCCGGACTTTCCATCTTTCGTACAATTATCGAAGTGTTTAATAAATTCCATACCGATCTCGTTAGTCGTCCATCCTTTTGGACTAGGTCTAATTCTCCAATCTTTCGGAATGTTGTCGTCTTCGTACCAAGAAGAGAGGTGGTATCGGCCCGCAACAACGATACCGTATTTCGCGATAACATTCGCAACAAGCCGAAACCAATCTGCAATAAGCTTTGGATCTTCGCATTGGGCCCTTTGGTAATCGTAAGGACGGTTCCAACGAGTTTTCAACTCTCTGCGACGTGCGACGAACCTCGAGGCCCAGCTCTCCTTAGCAACATGTGAGCTCCTTGGGTGCATTATTTGGTTTGATGGTCCGATTTATCTTCTATACCCCTTGTATCCTCTATGAAGACCTTCATAGCATTCCGATTTTCGTGTAATTTCTACTGTATCGCAGGTACAAACAGCCTCATAACCCCATTCACATACCACCCAGGTAACTTCCACTCCTCCACCGCCTCCTTAATTCCTCTATTCATCCTCGACACATACTCTTTCTTCGGAACGCTCTCCCAAACCCTTTCAAAATCAACGTACGCCAGCACTTTTGCCTCCGTCCTCTCCTTCTCCCCCTTCCCCATCAAGTTCCTCAACGCGCCTCTCCCCTCAAGAACACTCACATCCACGAACACCTTCTGATAAGCGTACGGCACGCCCTCGCACATATCAAGAGTCCTCTCGTCTGCAGGATGGAGATCGTACAGAACCCCGTACACTCCTGGCTTCTCCGACAGTCCCTCCTCTTGCGTTCGGCTGTTTGCAACAGCAGACTGAGCCGACGCTTCTTGTCCCGGTGAGATAGCAGCACCCTTATCGGACAGCTTGACAATATTGGCATAACCCCTCTCATTAATGATCCACTTCCAACCCGGTAGATGACCGAGGCCGACCGGCAACGAGTCGGGGCAGCGCCGGTGCATTTGTGTGGAAGAGAGGTTGGAGCCGTAGGCGAAATAGAGAAAGAGTGGCGGGGTCTCTTTTGGGCTATTTCCGCTGCTGCTCTCTGCTTTTCTTTTGGCTTGCGCCGGGGCTGTGGGTTGTGCGCGTTCGAGCGTTTGTTCCATAGTGATGGGTTGCCCAGGCCAAAGAAATGTTGAAGAGAAGTATGAGCAACTTTTGGGATTTGTACGAAGATCCCAATATCCGGGTTGCCTGAGAATTGGCTCGGCTGGGATTCGAAGAACAGATAGGTAGAGGATACTACGATGTGTAAGTTTTGCAAACAACGGTGTGCGTCGATGTTGCTGTGATTTGTTACGTCAGAGGTTTTGAGAACTCAAGTATGCTGCTGGCTTAAGAATATGCAAGTGGCTTAATCAAGTACGGGTGAAGTTGGCAAATTGACCCCCCGACCAAGTTGCTTTTTGTTCTGAACATAGATAAGTGAGCCAGGACTAGTTGAAATTTTCTGGAGCTTGTTCAAGTACTACGGGTTGATGGACCATCTTGTCTTTGTTATGCAGATAAACACATAAAACCTGGTTTAGGCAACCGCACAAGCAAGATCAATGTCAAGATAGGCAATGACAAGACCACAAAGCGCCAATGGGCCGTGGACAGCCGATTAGATGATTGAATCCATTCACCCTGCACTTACAGTCTCGAGCTGTTCTTGTTTCTGGTATTTCATTACCTGGAGCTTGTCCAAACCGGCTCCATCTAGACTCTAGAAGCGCATTTTGTTTCAACAAGTCGCATACAAGAATAGATGACCGATGCAACTCGAGGTTATTGCTTAGCCAAGGAGTTAAGCCTTATGCTCACTGCCCTCTTGTGAGCATCAAGCTCCTCTACCTTCGCCAGTTGCATAACAGCACCGCCGACATTTTTCAATCCCTCAGCTGTCAAGTGGGCACTCGTGATGTGCTTAATGAAGGAACCGAGGTTGACCCCCGAGTACTGCTTCGCATATCCGTATGTTGCTGTAAACAATTAGCGACCACAGTTTCAGCCCGGAGGGCATGACTTACGGAGTGAGTGGTTAACACCAGCAGAGTAGTCGCCAACACTTTCCGGCGTCCACTTGCCGATGAACACGCTACCGGCATTCATAACCTTGTCCACAACTTTCTCAGCATCCTTGACCTGCAGGATCAAGTGCTCAGGAGCGTATTCGTTGCTGATTCTCATCGCCTCATCTATATCCTTGACCAGGATAGTCACCGAGTGGTCGATAGCCCCTCGGACGATGTCAACTCTCGGGAGAGCCATGGCCTGCTTGTGTAACTCATCCTCAATCGCTTGCAAGTGCTGTTCTGTTAGATCAACGGCAATGCAGACAACTTGACTATCGACACCGTGTTCGGCCTGGGACAGGAGATCCGACGCAACGAAGGCTGGATCGGCATCTCTATCGGCGACGACGAGAACTTCGGATGGACCAGCCGGCATATCAATGCTCACACCAGCATTTGTGTCGTTGCTGACGTACATTTTTCCGGCGGTAACGAACTGGTTGCCAGGTCCAAGGATCTTGTCAACTTTGGTCACACTCTCTGTGCCGTATGCCATGGCAGCAACAGCTTGCGCGCCTCCTGCCAGAACGATACTCTCCGCGCCAACCTTGTGAGCAACATATACAATCTCGGGTGTGATGCTACCGTCTGGTCTGGGTGGAGAGGCAAGAACAATCTTTTTGCAACCGGCCACCATAGCTGGAACTCCTAGCATGAGTGCTGTGCTGGGCAGAACGGCAGTGCCACCAGGAACATATAGACCGACGCGCTCAATGGGCCTCGAGAACCTGCTGCAGACAACGCCTGGCATGGTCTCCACTTGCAGCGGCTTCTCGTCCTGCTGCGCAGCGTGGAACTTTCGAATGTTCTCGTATGAGACATCAATCGCTTTAATGGTCTCCTCAGGCAGATTCATCAATGATTGAGGGTATGGTGCTTTGAGAACGGGGGATGTCAGAGAAGTGGCCTTCTCAAATTTGTGTGTGTAAGAGAGAAGAGCCTTGTCACCGTTCAGCCGAACGTCGTTGATAATGGGTGCGACGATGCCCATAATGGCCTCTGCTGATTTCTGAGATGGGCGCCTCAGAGTCTCTGAAACCTTCTCTTCACCGACCTCACTGGCATCTACCCGCTTCATGGTGATTTTCTTAATATCAGGTGCATTTTGAGCTGCATTCGCAGGGGCTGGTGTGAGCGGAGCAGTAGATTCCTTGGCAATCTCTTTGGCATTTTCAGCAGCACCGTTGGTAATCCCCTCCTTTTCTGCCCATTTACCCTTGGCATTTCCTGTTCTTCGCTTCACCTTCAAGCTCTTGGCATCCAAGTTGTGCTCAATATCAGACAAGCTGACCCCGGCGCTCACTGCTTTTGTGAGAGCAAAGTAGATTAGGTCTGCAGCTTCGAATGCTACCTCTTCTTTGGTCTGGGCCTCGCATAGCTCCTCAGCTTCCTCCATGATCTTCGCTCGAAGCAGTTTCTCGTCGGAGAAGAGGCGTGCCGTGTAAGAGCCCTCTGGTGCCGACTCCTTTCTAGACACGAGAGTCTGTTCCAGCTTTGAGATGCCGTTTAGGTCGCCGAAACATCCGAACTGGTCGAGGTGGCAGAATCTGCCCTTCTGCCTGACGATGAACTTTAAAGCATCGTTGTCACAGTCCAGGGATATGCGGACCAGTTCCTGCGTATCTCCAGAGGTTGCCCCCTTATACCAGAGACCGCGTTTTCGGCTTTGGTAGACGCCGGTCTGGGTTCTTAACGATTCGGCGACGCTCTCCTCACTGCTGTACACAAGCCCGAGAGCAATACCTCTCTCATCACACACCAAAGTGGGCAAAAGCTTATCGGCACGGTCGGATCTCCACGATCCCGAGAACAGCTTTGAAATAAGAAGCCTCGAGGAGTCATCCTTCTTGGTGGTCAAGCTCTTGGATGGCAAAATAGGGATAGCTGAGATCTGTACACAGATATCCACAAAGTGCTCATAGACCGTGCCAGTTAGGGGCTTGATGTAGAGGGGAGGGAGCTTCTCTAGGATAGCTCTACTCTTTTCGAGAAACTTTTCGACATCACATCTTGTTTGGTCAAAGTCCTTGAACAGCAATCCGAATTCCGTGCCCTCGGATAGTTGACTCGTCTTGCTCACAGCGGGAGCCACTCTACCACGGAACTCGGCGAACTCAGACAGTCTCTCTGGCTGGACAAACACCTTTCGTGCGCCGTGGTCCAGGATTGAGATAATGGCGTCTTTGGATTCCAAGCCGGTTGCATCAAAGAAAGTCTGGGACTCGCCACTGTGCTGGCGCAAGTAGTCAAGTTGCTCCTCTAGTCGGTCTTGAGTCACCTCGAAGAAGACGCAACCAAGGCATGCCACTTCATCCCGTGTCAATCCTTCGATTGAGGCCGCACTCGACGGAACGGAGACGTCGACCAAAAAAGGGAGCGGCAAGGTTGTCTCCATATCAACTGATTTTGGGGTAGAAGATGAATGAATGAATGAATGACAGTTTACTAAGCTCCAAGTTGTGACAGAAGCTCATAACCAAAGAATGACCCAAGGCCAAGTTCCTAGATCGGCAGATTCCTCGGATGTTTCCTTGGATAGTGGGGGTAAAGAACAAAAATCTACCCCTCCATCAAACTCGCCATTGCTGCAATTGACTCATTGAGCCAGTCTCGGACGATCGATTCGTCATTTATAATGTGGTCAGTGCACATTACCGCCTTCCGTAAGAGGATACAAATTATGGGCCTCGAAACTTCACGCGATCGTCTATATCGAAGCTCCAGGCATTGAAGCATTGCAGCATTGAAGCTTCAATTTCCAGCTTTCTATCTTTCATCACAATAGGAACAAACAACAATATACACGCGGCACCGGAACAAATCTTTAATTTTACTATCCGAATTCAGGCTTGAATACCCTTCCTCAAGTCACAAAGGTCTTCTCTTTCAACTGACCCGCTACATCTCGAGTAGTAGCACCCGATGGATTGAACCTCATCGGCAACTCTGTAGCACAGCGCCTCCCGCGCCTGACCTTCTGTTTCAACTTCTTGCGATCTCGGTACTATCGCATTCTGCGCTGCAGTTATCGGCTATAATACACAGCAGGCACCGCTTAGATGTCTCCACAATCGCAAACCAACGGCGTCGCGCCTGCATCCTCGGGACCGTCTCAATCGCAACCAGCCCAAACGCAATCATCAAGCACTACACTCCCCGCCTCACAGCCTGTGCCAGGCGCAGCAGCAGCACTTGGCCCTGTCTCGCCTGCGATCACCTCAGCCCCGCGCCCCCGCGACGCGCGCGTAATTGAGCTCCTCCTGACTTCCCAAGGCGTGACTTCCTTCGACAGCCGCGTGCCCCTCCTCCTCCTCGACTTCGCCTACCGACATACGTCCTCCATCCTCTCCGATGCCCTCCATCTAACGACCGACCCCTTCATCACCCACGCCGGCGCGAAGCCGAGCGCACAATCCGGCGCTGCGCCCTCAGCCCCCGCCGCGGCCGACGCACAAGTCTCCACCAATGCCGTGACGCTGGCCATCGCCTCGCGGCAGGCATACCAGTTCCGGGGTGGCAGCGGGGCCGGTGGAAGCGGTGGCGGCGGTGCATCGAAGGATTGGCTGCAGGAACTGGCCAAGGAACGAAACAAGGTCGCGCTGCCGCGTGTGCATGCGCACGAGTGGGGTGTTCGACTTCCGGGTGAGCGGTTTGTACTCAGCGGTCAAGGCTGGGGATTGCGGGACACGTGGGAGGAAGACGGGGATGACGGTAGTTTGGATGAGGATGAGGACGAAGAGGAGATGGAAGATGTGATGGATATCGACCCAGCCACCAAGATTGAGCCAGCTACGGAAGGCGAGGGCGGCGGGCTGGACGAGTTCCTTGGCGATGATATGGCAGATGAGGATATGGAGGGGATGGAGTAACCGAGGGCTTGGATATTGTCAGCACAGCATCGAAAGCAAGCCAAGAGACTTGCTGGCTTTGGGTTTAGGCGTTTGCGAGGTCATCCAAAACGGCCGGTTCGTAGGCTCGTTCCGGGGCTACATGAAAAGTGCGAACTACGCTACAAAGGGAGTTGACCAGGCTGAGAAGATGCCTGTACCTCCTTGATGCAGCTCCTCGACACAGGTCTTCGACAACAGCTGTCTGTGAGAGAGGGGTGGTCTCAGTAGGTAGAGACCGCCTAGGTTTAGGAGATGGCAGAGCATCTGAGGCGTTTTATTGAGATGCGACAGAAAGGTGCCAGAAATCGCTACGAAATTCCGATTTGCGTTGGAACTTCTGGTGAAGCTGCGGACTACAGTCAGGAAACCGTTGCATAGATCAAACGAGTCATACACCACGAGACCATCTAGGTCTGCAGTGCGTTTTTCCAAAGTCATTACTGTGCAGAATCAGAAGACATGATGCAGAAAATTCTCTAGTGAGATTAAGATTTCATTTGTTGTACAATGTACACCCCAGTCTACGACGAAAATGTAAACCCTCAACGCCAACGCTATGCGACAAAATGTGGTGTGTAACCACCCGATTCTCCTATGACACCAATCTGTCCAGCTCACTTGGTGTATGTTACTTTTAATCTTCCTTTGCAAATGCTAAACGAAATCTTCCTGTTACTCGACTACAATGTCGAATCCTCGCCGCGCCCAGATCACTCATACACCACTCGTCTCACCGAGATTCCAGTTCCTGGCCCTCAGTATTTTTCACTGGCTTCTCGATCCCAAGGTGACTGATGCCCGTGATCACCTCGGCGAAATTATCTTGCACGATAGGACTAGGAGTCCTCTTAGCTCCCTCAGCTTCCGGCGCATGCAGCTGCTGTTGGGTGTTCTCGACGACGTCATCTTCCTCTTCTAGTTCCTCATCATCCTCATCGTCCGCATCGTCATCTTCAATCATGCTTCCGATCATGTTCTGCTCGTCCTCGTGAATCCCGCTGCCGCTTAGGATGCTCTCTGGTGCATCATCGTCGTACACACGTGAAAGGTAGGAATCTCCCATGTTGCCCACATCTTCCTCTTCCTCATCCTCTGCAAAGCTCCGGGCATCATCCGCATCCTCGTCGTCTTCGCTCGCGGAGAACTGATCTAAATCCAGGGGTTGACTCCGCCAGTATGTAAAGTCGGTGTACTGCTCGCCCCCACCCTTTACGAGGGTGCTGACGGGTGGGAAGTAGTGATCGACGACGTCATTCATGTTGACGTAGGATAATTTCAGCTTGTTAAGGGCAAGGAGGTCGAGCGATACCTCGGAGTTGTAGTTGATGGTGAAGATGCGGCTGCGCGGCACGTCGACCGTGCGATACGAAATTTGGTCCGTCAGACGGTTACCAAACCCGGCATAGAAACAGTGTTTCTCGTGGCCATATAGGTTGCGGATATCACGGAGCGTAGCCATCTTGAAGACTTCCGGTTTCTTGATATACAGCTCCCGCCGCAAGGCCGCGACCGTCCGGTCCGGTGAAAGAATCGTAGGGCCGCGAGGCAGTTTGTAACCGTCTTGTACAATCCCATAAATATAAGTTCTTGTGCCATCAGCCAAACCGACGGATCGACTGGTAAGATACATAATGTTGTACCCGTTGGCAGCAATATCACTGTAAAGCTTTGCCACACCCGCATGGGTCCAATCACGGCCGATTCTAGGGAGCAGATGTCCTAGAGCATCCGATTTGGTAATGGTTCCGTCGATGTCTGAAATAACAACAGGAGCATCGTGCTGCCACAGGTACATGCTAGATGTACAAGTAGCCCGGTTGACGGTGAAGGAGAGCGAGTTCTCGCCATGCTTTAGATTCAGCTTTTTCAATTGATCACTAGTCAGGCGCAGTGTCTTGGCGTAGTTTCGATTAGGGTTGCCTGCAGAGCTTCCACCAGGCGTGGTTGGTGGTGTGCCAACACTCATGTGTCCAGCATCAGACTCGCTTCGTCGGTGCAATGGCTCAGGCATAGACGAGGCTGAGTCATCGCTTGCGTAGCCCGGATCCGACGATGCGTCGATGGCAAGAGGAGCAGGTGATTGCTTCAATGAAGCCATTGTCTTTTTCATTGCGCTCTCCTTGGCCTCCCCACTACTGTATATCCACAAGTTACCATCCTCGTCCATACCAAATAGGGCTCCGATGTCGTAGTCCCCTTCCAGCTCCTCGGCCAAAATCCTGCGGGCCACAACCTCAGCGCGAATGGCGTCTTCTTCGCTGCTCTTGAATCCGGTCATGTCCAGCATCAAGTCGCCCGTCTCGGTTACATGGCTCGGGATGTTAGCGGCCGAGAGTTCCTTCGACAATGTCATCGCACGCTGCACAGCCTCTCGGGGAGCAACGGGAGGGGGGCTGATGGATCTATGCGACGCGCGGGGACTCTCGTCCTGGATGGATGCATCTGGGGAGTCTTCAAGTTTCGCGTGAACTCGCGCGCTGGATGGGAGGATGTCATCGCTGTGGAATGGCATTTTATGCGATCCAGACCAGCCTCTCGATGGACGTCCTTGCGTTAAGTCTGGCGATGTGGACATGGCGGTCAACAAGCCTATTGAGTAAGTTAGTCGTCATCGATGATGGGCAGATACATTTCGCAGATTTGAGTGGCGGTACGAACCTGGACGTGGGATAGGGACGGGTCCTGGTCGGCTTCCTATTGTCGAGTATCGGGGCTTACCACTATCTCCATCGAGCTGTAGAAGGTCGGGCTCCGACATGACGCCTGCTGGATTCCGCTCAGGCTGGAGCGGTGGGCTGGATGCCGGCGACGCCAGAGGGGAGGTCTGGAGACTCTGCGGAATCGTATCGGTGGTCTCGAAGACGAAGAAAGCCTCGCCTCCTTCACCGAGTTTCATGGCATATTCTTGTTTGACGCCATTGACCTTGAACTCGACTCGCTTCTCGTAGGGGCGCAACACGGAGCCCTTCCCAAAGCGGACGTGGAATGGCGAGCAGGCCAAAGTGCCGTCCTCTTGCTCGACGACGATCACATCGATGGCACCACTGAAGGTAGCCGGGTTGATTGAGTTCCATGTCGTCGACACCGAATCACTGATGTTTCTGACGTACTGCATGTTTGCCCAATATGCTTTGTTCCAACCTCAACGACTGCAAACCGCGAGACGGCCAATGAAGGTGGGGTGAAACGAGCGAATGTGTTGCGTCCAAACGAGTCTCGGGTTTCGATTTCTGTTCTCAGGGACGGCCGCTTTCCCCACAAGTTGCTGCGCTGTTGGATGCGGTGTAAAATCGACCAACTACAAATTGTTTGTGACTCCGGGTTTTGGTAGCGAAGGTGGTCGGAGGAATGTGAAATCGTTTGATGGTATACCTGGTCGACAGGAAGAACGAACATAAAATGAGCCAGGTCTTGCAAGGTACGACAGTAGCTTATTCGCAATGTGACGTAGAGGCAGTGGATCAAGGAACAAGTCGCAAACTGGCGGGAAACTGCGCGTTCTGATGAACAGATCAAAGATCACTGGACACAAACGTAGGTCTGACTATTATCGGGACGAGCGAGTGAGCAGAAGAGTAGAAGCAGACGTCACGGAGGATATCGTGGAGATTTATGACAGGCCGCCGACTTTGTTCTTCGGGGGAGGACGACGTCAGGGCGCGGTTGAATTCAAATCAAAGAGCTCGCTCAACAGATGCGACCATGGGACCCCCAAGGCCCCGCCCCAAAGCACTTTACCATACTGAAGTAGTACATCAATTCCACGCTAGCGACGCCCGCCGCTGACTGTCGACCGGGGGCTTTGCCCTATTACACCTCGGGAATGCGGCGCTTGACGTCGCTATTGCATCCGGCAATCAATCCTGTAGCTGTCGGCAGCAGCGAATGGTCTTTATTTTGTGGTCATCATGTCAACAATAGCGGATGCAGGAGTTGACCCATTCATACACTCATTCCTCCTTTGTTTGACAACTGCGTGTGCATCATGACTAAACCCTGGGCTCATACCACACAGCGTGCCGCTTATTGCAGTCAGCGGAACAATTAATGTTCTCATAACGCTCGAGTCATTACTACGCGTGACCAGTAACCCCTTCGCTACGAAAAGGCGGGTTGCGTTTGGCAGGAATAGCGAGGAGTATAGTTGGGCTGCCTGGTCCAAAGAGTTTCAACGATATGCAGCTCTATGATTGAAACTACTTATGTGTATATGTATTCAGCATTACAATTTTGCGCTTCTAGCATGGCCTCAGCCCATCCAACTCACTAACCGCATTGACCACCTTTTTGCATGCATCCCCATTTTGCAGGGAATTTCTACGCCTCAACAACACGACGTCTCTCAATTTACCTCGCAATTGCTCCCTATCTACGTACAAAATGGCTAATCCAGTGGAGAATAGTCTGGACGATTTTGAGCAGCGAATCGAACGCGCTAAATAGCTTGTCCGTCAGGGCTCTTCCCAGGCCGTAGCAGCTCATCGGTACGGTATCAAGGGGACTACACTGTCCTACCGTATTCGTCACGGTAATTCGCATCGCGACGCCGCCTCCAGGCAACAAAAGTTGACTCCAGAGCAAGAGGAGGTTATCGTGAACTGGATCCTACACGAAGAAGTGTGTGGACGGGCTCCTAGCAAGCGTTATGTGGCCGACTTCGCTGCCGAAATCCTCCTTGCTCAAGGGGATAACAATACACTCGGCCAACACTGGGTGGATCACTTCGTTAGCCGCCATCCACAGATACGTACCAAAATTGGGCGCGTCGTAGATGCTAGCCGAGTTAGAGCGTCCGATTCGAACAAGATCCGAGACTTCTACACCCTCCTCGAACGCTTACGTACGAAGTATCATATCAAACCCGACAACGAGTATAATATGGATGAGACAGGTGTCCAAGAGGGGGAATCTGGGCATGGTACGGTTATTGGGACGTCTAATTCATGCCGGGTACGCGTATCAAAGTCGGACGCTTCGTCGTGGTGCTCCTGGTTAGAGTACATTTCGCATACCCAACGGGGTACACCTGTCTGCGTATTTTCCGGCAAGAGAGTCCAAGCACAGTGGTTCCCAGACCAAAATATCCCTGAGTGGGAATACACCGCGACGAGTAAGGGCTGGAGTAATAAAGTTATCGCAAATAGGAATAGGTGGTTAGATCAGGTTTTTCTCCGAGACGAAGCCTAGGGGTACCGAATGGCGACTCCTTATCCTCGACGGCCACCAGACACATATTCATGCCGAATTTATGTGGAAAGCCTACTAGAATAGAGTCGCCGTGCTGTATTTACCCTCACACTGCAGTGACGATCCCCAGCCGTGCGATGTCGGGCCGTTCTCACCTTTGAAGACCTACTACCGCCAAGAGCTTAGGGCTTACGCTTCCTACAAGGCTACAGCCCCAATTTACAAGCAACGTATGCTAGAAGCATATCTACGTGCCTCGGAGAGAGCCTTTACTACGGAAAATATTAAATCTGGCTGGCGGAAGACTGGTATATGGCCCCTAGGCTCCGAAGGACTAGTCGACGTATCTTGTGATCCTCCGGAGCCTCATACACCAGATCCCCCGCCTCATATATCACCACCTTTAGTTGCTTTTACTCCTCAGAAAGTGCAGCAACTATCTAGCCAACTACAGTCGATAGAGAAAGCCGAGGGCGGGTTATCTCGTAAGATTCGTACCCTAGTAGGCAAGGCGGGCAAGGCCCTTACACTCCAGGCCGCCGAGAATGCCAAATTACGTATCTAAAACGAGCAACTATATGAAGAACTCGATAAATAAGCTCCAGATATACGCCAGCCCGTCGAGCCAGACCCGAATAAGTATTCGTTAACTTATCAGCGATCCGAACAGCCCAGGACAAGCGAAATAAGCGAATACGGCCTATTTTACCGGATAAGCAGTTAGAAATTGATACTTTTCTCGAAGGAAGGGTCCCTCCTCTAAAGAGGGCTCGAAAGAATATATCTAAGTCTTCGGACACTTAAATTAAGTATGTTCTGTATATAAATGATATGGACGAAGTATTTAGGTTGATTCAGTTAGACCCTGCAAAATGGGGGTGCATGCAAAAAGGTGGTCAATGCGGTTAATGAGGGACGTAAGCCGTGGCTTCGTAATAGGTCCATGCGACTGGCCCAGACTTTCGACTCCAAGCGCCTGGAAGCTTTTGAGGAGTGTTGAACAACATATCTCAACATCAAGTCTCCAATCACAGGTTCCCGATAATCATGAATCTGCCCAAACGGCCGTTCCCACATGTGCTGTCATGTGGTCACATCTGCAGGACGAGTTTCCGCCCGCTATCAGCTCCAGAGAGAAACTTCGCCGACCCGCAAATATGAGCGGAAGAGCCCCAGAAAACTTCCGCGCCAGTGTCCAACGTGATACTGATTTCATAGCCGATCCAGCCGCCCGAAGACATGTGACGATCATCGTCTCTCGGCTTGTTGTGATAGTCGCGAGTGTTTTGCTGCTGATATCCCATCGCATCAGAAATGGCACGAAGTGAACGGACTTCAGGCGCTGCCCGTATAGAGCATGTAGTTACTCAACACTCTTACCAATACGCCGCCAGCTAGATTTGCCTCGTTGCCTAATGCAAGGGCAACATGCTGCTCTTAAGCCGCTCGGACCGGAAGGCATCAAAGTTGGGATGGAACACGCAGGGCGGTTTCTGGATCACCCAAGTGCACCCACCCAAGTGATGAGAGACGGTTTCCAACAATTTATGCTGGGGCATAGCGGTGAAGACGCTTACACGACTCCGCGAACTTAGAATAGTCGATCCCACACAGAGTTTCTGGAAGCGGAGAACTGTGTAATGTATATCCTCGGCGAACGCGTATTTCCCCATAGCATAGCTTAGAGCAGTTGTATGGCAGATAAAGCTTTCCGAGTTTGATAGCTGGCTCGGTCGAATATACAAGCCTCCTGGTTTTATAGATTAGGTAATACTCGTTGTAGCGGGTTGTCAAATCGTAAGTGTTGACGATTCCCATTCGACAATTAACGGATAATTTTAAACAGATCTTATACGTGTATTTCAGACCATCTGCAACGAGAAAACTATTCGTGATGATATATGCCTTTGCTAACGACTCGGTGTAAGCATAAGGCACGTACCTCTATCCTGAAGCGAAGCACGGAAGGATCTATCGCTTGAGTATGCAATCAGCCTGGCCAACTAGAGTCAAGCATACTTCTTTGCAGTAGCGTGCATCTTGTTACGACCACACGACACCCCCATTGTCGACTGCAATGCCGAGATCTTACGGTTCTTCTGTTTGCTGTATGAATTTGAGCCCCTCCCTGCGTGACCACTTGCATACCGTTTCTGTGTACGGCTTCATCTTGAATTGCTCGTCTTCCCATACCGTTGCAGGGCGTTGGCTGCAAGGCTTATGCATCTATGCGTGAGAAGTAGCAGGTTGCACGCATTGTTCGTGCCAGCGCATCATCGCAACTGGCCGTGCCATGCTCTTGACAGTTTGTGCTGCGCATTTCCCGACCCGACTGACTCTGACTTGTCAAGGGTTCTCCGCGAAAATCGCAAAAGCTGGCACGTAAACTAGCAGCTCAATTTCCCCATTTTTAGTCCAATCGTGAACTTTTGGCAGTTCCATCACATTGCCGGTAAACCCCCAATCCGCTAGTTTAATCCACATTTTGGAGAGGGGGCTCGTTCTCTGGCAGGAGGGAGGGACCTTGATTGCTTGAAACATTTTCATCATCTCTTCTTTGATTTTCCTCCTGCTCCCTCCCTCTCCTTTTCCTTCTGTTTTATTCGCGAACAAACTCCCAGTCCTTTCCGATTCACGACGATATGTCATGGACCCCATGGACGACGTCTGTTCCTACCATTCTCGTCGTCTGTGCCGTTCTCGCATGGTGGTTTACCGAGCCTAAAACGGCGCATCTCAACCTAATCGTGACCATAGGCTGCATCCTCTTCTTCTGGGCGGTTGCTCCCGATCTCGCTCAAGACTCTCCAGCCTGGGTGTACCAAGCGTCTATTAGCCTTGCGACTTTCCTGCACCTGGATATTCTGGTGTTGTACCATGCCAATATGCTCGTAACGGGAGCTGCTGTGCTTTGGTATGTTTATTTTCGAAACCTTCGCAGTGGTGCATTTAAGCTTTCCGAGTACCCGGCCCACCTAACGAGTTTGGTTTGACAGGCTGGCTCATCGAGCCTGGCAGACATTATGGAAGCCAGTCCCCGAACTTATCAGCATTCTCGGTGTCGACGTCCCCGATCCTCCTGACGTTTCCCTTGCCGGAATCCGTGCCGATGCCGCCACTCTTCACTGGACCCGTCCCCGACCCAATCGACCTGTCGGGAAATTTCTGATACAGGTGAACGGCGTGAATGGTGAGTGGGGATAATTATGAGGTGTGCGTGTGCGGACTCGTGGACTGACAACAAGCTTAGTGGGAGAGTCGGCACACCAGGAGACGGCCATCACGGTGACGGGGTTGAAGCCCAACCATTTTTACAACGTACGTGTCATTGCTGTGGGACACAATAACTTCCAGGCGGGAAGTCGCGTCATCCGACTGCGCACGTTCGCAAGAGATGGACGACCTCAATTAGGGGACGGGCGCCTCCCTTCCAACTTCGCTCCCGAAGAGCAGCAGCTGGCAATGCCTGGAGATCCTCACGATGAAGACGGGACGCCGAGAAGCCCGGCCGCTGGTGTGGAGACAGCTTCGTTCCCCGAGAGCAACCTTGCGCCGCCGACACGAGAAGCCAGTTCGTCCATCTCCATACCTAGGCGCAACACGTTGACTCGGAAACATTCCCCTTCCACGACGAGCATGGATCAATCGGTCAAGGATGCTCTACGCAGATTGCCAGAAGAGGAGTCCCTGCAGAAATTGGGTGAAAAGTTCGAGAGCATTCGGAAGGAAATGGAGGAAATACAAGCGCAGATAGCAAATGATGAGAAAGAGCACAAGGAGATGATGGATGAGTTGGCGGATGAGAAAAGGTCTAAGAGGCGCGTGCAGAAGGAGAAGGACGACACGACGGAGAAATTGAAGCGGGAAATGGGCTCTACCGACAGAGCCATGCGAAGCGCTCAACAACGCAAGACCCAGAAGGAGAAGCTGCTGAAAGAAAGGCAAAACGACCGCAAGAAGCTTCATGACGAAGTCGCCAAATGGGAGAAGGACATGGCCCAGATGCGCAAGAGACAGGCTGGTTTCGAGAAGGACAAGGCCAATATTCAGCAGGAAGGGGATGACCGAGCAAGCGAACTGCGCGAGGACCTGGAGGCTCTGCAGGCAAGTCTTGCGCAGGAAGAGGCGGAATTGAAAGAAAAGGGCAAGGAACTGAAGGAGGCCGAGGACCAGCGTAAAACACTTCCGGGAGGGGAGGAGAGTGAGGAATGGCGCGATACTGATCGTCAGATCAGACGGGACTGGGAAAACAAGTCTCGAGATCTTCAGAGGCGGCTATTCTATGCGAACCGCCGAGCCAAGGCGCTGGACGACTATGAGAATGTTTTGCGCAGTCAGCTCAGCGCTGCTCAACAGTCAGGACTTCCTTTCTCGTACAACCAGGCCAATTCGTCTGGCGTCGAATTCGACGTGGCAACTCAGAATCAACTCAAGCGACGGAGCCGCAACAGCAACTCTATGTCAAATGTGGTTATACCATCGCCCGCCGCATCCTACGCCGGTCCCGAGAGGGCCTATACATCTTCAAGCAGTTTTACCCTGTCCCGCCCACCGACAATGCCGCCAGGTTTTGCCCAAGGCCCTTTCATGGACCTCACTGCGGACATGTCGGCTCCATTCGATGAGGATGGCATCAAAGCCCTGACTGCGGGTGCGCCTCTCAGTCCCACAGCCGCATCACTCTTGCCTGCCGGCATGCTTGATATGGTGGACGATGAGCCCCCCAGTCCGGCATCCCGTCCGACTAGACATAATACGTTTGGCTCCAATATGTCTCCCGAAAATGATCCACAGTCTCCTGCATCTTCAGGACGATCGATCAGTATCATATCCAGTCCACGCGGCTCTTCCCAGAATCTACCCTTCTCACATTACACTGGCGAGAACAGTGAACGCCGGTCATTGAGGGGAGACTTTGGCACCGCCTCATCGCCAATTGCCCCGCCGACTTCTGCAAGCACCCGATTCTTCCCTTGGCTTCACCGCATGCACAAACCCACCGCTACCGATGCGGACGAGCCACCTGCCTTGGGGGCACTGAAACCAGCCCACAGTCAATCTTTTCCTCGCTCCGTTGAGGACTCGGATATTTCTACGAAGCGAAAGTTGAGTTTCTCAGCCGGTTGGGGTGTGTTTAATCGAAACTGCACGGGGCCTGGCATGCCGGACGCTGGCCACTCGAGCTCCGTGAGCATAGCTTCACGTCGGCTTGGGCTCTTCACCAACGGAAACAGCGGCAGCAACGTATTTGATCAAGACCCTAGCAGCCCGAGGCCTGTTTCGATTGCTTCATCTGATCTACCACGACCATCTACTGATAGCAGTTCAATTTGGGCAAAGCAGCCGCCGCAGAGCCGGCTTTGGTCGCCAGAGGCTGGTGATCCGTGGGCATCTCGGAGTGCGTCTAGGAGACCTTCCATCCATGGGTCCCCCTCTGCGCTGAAGACAACACTAGCTGATGCGGATGATGAAATACTGCACGACTCAGAGATTCATCAACCGCCATCACGAGTAGGCATTATTGGTCACAGGCCACCATCCAAGTCCCTTGCCGGACGTTTGAACCCCAATGCGCCAAGCTTCAATGCCCCCGGCAGTTTCATGACGCTGTTCCGCCCTAAGGAGAAGGATGGCAAGGAAAGCAAGGATAAGGACAAAGCGAAGGGTAAGGCGAAGAATAAAGACAAGGATTACGAACCCGTAAGGGAAAGAAAGCCGCGTCCATCTATAACGTCTGCGTCGGAAACCGACGAGTCGCCCAGCGAGTCGCGCAAGTCGCGCGATACCTTCTCGGTGCATACCCCTTCGGTCACCGAGTCTCGCGAGTCTCTGTCCTTGGATCAAGCACTCTCCAACGCTCACTCGGATCTCGCAGTAGGGCTGGGCTTCAAGGAGCACGAAAGCGGGATCAAAAAACTACTACGCAAAGGGAGTACATCCAAGTTCAGCTTGCATTCTATCTCTTCTATACGCGGCGTCGGCGGCAAGAAAGGTCCCAGCAGCGTGACCAATTCGGACAAGAATATGTCTATGGAACGCGCAAGCTTTGACGAGAACGCAGAAGAAGGTAGTACCGGAATAGCCCGCAGCTATGAGAGTCCGAGCAGCAGTCCATCGCTGGGACCTATGAGCGCTGGTAAAGCTCATGCGAAGGAGAAGAGTTGGCGGTTCTCGATGAAGAAGAAGCCAGGCAAGGAAAAGGAGAGCTTGGATCTGGACCATGAGGAGAACAAAACTTCGGCTGGAGAATCGTAGTTTTGTTGTCTATTGGTCACAAGGCGCCATCACTCCGCTTATTATAGTGACAACCAGTGATGCTGAAAATAATCTAAAGCGCTATTTGTACAAAGAGCTATTTATAAACTACCATACTCAGCAATTCATACATACCATCGCATGCTGTCTTTTCGCGTGTGCCGTATTCTCTACATTGACAGGATCTTTCAGGAAAGCTACCCAATAGCTCGTCCCTGAATATCCGATCGAGGAAGGTGGTATTACCTGGCAGAATATCCTCAACATGGTGCGATTAGGGAGCTCGGAAGCTCCGACCTCAACTGTTTTGTATTACGGGCAAGCGACCAACCCCAAGAATATGCATTCCACTCCGAGATCACGACTGTGAGCGGCGATTACAGATCACACACATGGCCCATTTATAGTTCTTGAAAGCCCATTCCCACTTTTCCGATTACCACCTGTTCAACACATAATAGGCAGGGGTTTTTACATGGCCGCCGCCGCAATGGCCACCCAGCAACCGCCGTCTGCCGGCGGAAGCAGCTCGAGCAGTTCCGGGGAGTTGCCCATACCGAGTCGAAATCCCCTCCCGTTATCCGCCAGCCAGGAGGCGCAGGTGCGCGAGGTGTTTAATGAACGGGTGAGGAAGCATTGCGGGGATGATATTAAGGGTTTGTCTTCCCCTTCGTCCCCCTCTATTATTGCACCTGCCAAGAACAGGTAACTAACGTACACATTTCTACAACAAACAGCTTTCGCGGACTGCGCCCGCAACCGTACCTTCAGCATCCCCTTCGTATGCCGCACACTCTCTCACCAAATGAACAAATGCATGCTGGCGCACGCGACGCAAGCGGAGCACGACCGCGCGCGCGAGGAGTGGTTCGGTAAGCGCATGGAGCGGGCCCGCGAGAGAGAGCACAAAGAGCGTCGCAAGATGGAGCAGGAGAGATTCCATCGCGAGTGGTGGGGGTTGCCGGAGCGGGACCCTGAGGAGTTGCGGAGGGAGGAGGAGAAGTTGAGTAGAGGGGAAAGGATTGGCGGTGGGTATGGAAGAAAAGGAGGGGGAGGGGGCGATCAGGATCAGACAAAACGTTGAAGGGGAGGAAAGAACATAAGGAACGAAAAAGAAAGCGGTTTGGACTTCTTTGGTCGGTGGTGATGGCGTGCATATATGGCGTTTGGGTTCGAGGCATTTGCTGGGCTACGCTGCTCTGTACAGATTCAGGTCTCCTGTGTAGATGAGGATTTGACCCGATCTTTTCAAGGGTCGTTGGAGAATATACCATATGAGAAGCACGAGACGCACAGGAGAGAGATGACGGCGCCGGCTCGAACTCGACTCTGAGGAGCGACATGATGTGAAGAAAAGACAGCACGTATGTATCAGGTCTATACTTCCCGAGGCCTTTGTTGGCGTCTTTTCTTATATTTGACGTATGGTCTGTCCCCAGGCATCGGCTATCTCGGCTATCTCAGCTAAGGCATCTATTTCCCTCTACGTGATGGGTATCCGAACGCCAAACATATCCCTTTTCAAAATCATAACAATTTCCTCATGCTTCCAACGCCTCCTTGGGGAGGGTTGCCACCTTCTCCTTGAACAGCTTCTCGGCACCAGCCCAGACTGGGTCGTTTTGCCAGTCGTTCAGCTTGAGCAGGTACGGCAGCAGATCGCCACTAAAGGCTTCTGACGACTCTCTGGGCAGGAGACTCGGCAGGTGGTCGATGCTGATGACACTCACAGGGGGGTCTGACAAACCCTCGACGGGGACTGTGGGCTCTTTGAAAGTGGTGGCTATGGTGTAGATGGGGACTGATATCCAGATTAGAAGTGACGAGACAGAAAAGAAGGGCGGGCCATGACTCACTCGGATTGTTCGGGTTAGTAGTGTCAGCCGAGACATCGCAAACAACGCTCAGTTTTCTGCCAGGCGTGTTCAAGCTTTCGAGGTCGACAAAGTGAGGGATCTTGGAGCTCAAATATATGCAGTTGACAAAGATATCGCTCTCGGTAATCTCCTTAAATGGCCCACCCTTGGCCGTTTCGGCCATGTCCCACTTGAGGATGTGGTCCTCAGGCACACCCGCCTTGAGTGCCATGTCGACGGCGCCTCGTCCACATCGTCCCAGAGCTCCAATCACGATGATTCTCGGTAACCGGCCCACTTTGGCCTGGCCTGCGGCAAGGTCCTTCTTGATGTCGGCGATGAGCTCGTCTTCGTTGGGGTAGCTCTCGACGCCAGGCAGGGGCTTGCCTGGGTTCGTCAATTGCCAGGCCCAGTTCTTGAGCGCCAGAGCACTGCCGCTGAAGCCAGCGCTGTATCCGAAGGCGGCTACGCGGCGACCTGACGACGGATCTTGCAGAAACTCGAGATCGAGGAGCGTACCACCGCCGCGGGGAAAGCGGGCGAGGACCGTCTCCCAGCCCGCCTGACCCTTGTAGCAGTGACTGAACTGGACGTGGACGTGCTTAAGGGGAACTACCAGATCGTGAGTCAGTATGTGTGCTTTTGTATTTTTATGTTGAACGCAAACGGCCAGAAAAGTGACTCACAGGTCTCCTCGGGAAGCTCCTTCAGTCCAACAATGATATGGCTCTTGTCTGCCTCGCGCCAGCTGCCCGTGGGAACCAAGGTGGCGCCAATTTTCTCGAACTCGGCATCGTTGAAGATGCGGACGGGACTTTTCTCGACATTGACTGTGTAACCGGCGTCAATGAGCGCCTTGGCCGTCGTGGGTGTCAGCGCGCTGCGGTGCTCGAGCGGCTTGTCTTCAGAGCGCAGGTGGAGGACGGTCGGTGCCATTGTGAAGGTGAATCGTATGGGAGCGGCGTCAAATAGGGATCGTGAGGTCGATTGGGGCCAATTGAGTCGGTTGGAAGGTGTGAATGATTTGCTATGTTTTATTACATGGACAGAAACAACTCGACAGATGGGGGCTCCCCGCCAGACATTGTGAATCATGCCCATACCCACCAATAATTCCCCGCGCCGTTGACGTAAATTTTTAAGAGACGCCCCGCCGATCTCGCTACTTTACCAGCAATATGCACCATTGGGCAAAGCTAACATGCCCGAGCATTGCCCAGTCTGCAAGGCACAGCAGCGCCCGTAACCTTCCTAAAGAAGCTTCCTTAATCATCATTGGACGGTTTCTGCCATCAAACCCAACGGCCAAGACTTTGCAGGCTTTTCTTTACAATTCAGGTGAAGCAGGGAAGTACAAATGGGGGGGCCGAGCCGCACAAGGGCACTAAAGTATCTCAGGTGTACCTCACCATGAAGAATTGTTGTACAAAAAGACTACGTTGGCGGACGCTGAGGATTCTTTTTTATTTTTTTTGTTTGGTTTCTCGTGTTTCGCGTCGATTACCCTACAGTTGCAAATGCATCCGGAAACCACTAGAGTAAGACGCGACAGATCGAAGCATCTTCGAGCATCTAAGAATCAACGTCGTCGTGGTTTAATGCCTACTATATCTTCCTCCTATGGTATATTTCTCTCGTTCGTCGGCAGACGTGAATCAATATTCGGTCTTCGATCTCTTTGAGCTCAAGCAGATTAAGATAAGGATAACGATACCGACAATATACACGAAGTAGAAATTATTCTTAATTACTAGCTAAACCACGCTATGATTAAATATCAAGGGTAGAGCTACGACTAGAATATATAGCGCAGGATACACGGGGACAAAATGCCCTCACACAATGGCCATTTCTGTTTTGAGACGTGAGTTACGCTAGGGTGTAACGTGAGCTGTTAGTAAGTAACTCGAGCTATGGCTGAGTACTCATGAGCTCGCCCTGAGCTCACGTGAGCCGGCGTGAGCTAGCGTGATCGTGCTTCATTTATGGCTGAGCCTCTCTGATTATGCCTGATTCTGTCTCTGAGCAGCATGAAGAGGGTCTGAAATTAGGCCCTATACGGGACTTAGCCGCTATCAAACCAGGCGTAGGCGCTGGGGTTGTTAGCGGGTATACGGCCCAAGCAGCGGACAATAGGTAAGGAGGATTTCTATAAGTACTAGATAGATCTCACACCAGAGGGGGCTTCTCTCCCTCGTGGTTATTGACCAGTCTCGTTTCTAGAGTTCTACTATCCCTCCTGCCTTCATACGCAACCACCGTCCTCCACAAGCACAAACCCTGGTAACGCACCCACGATAGAGATACTAACTTGGCAGTATGGACAGCTAACGCTAGCGGGTCTTCAGAGTATGATCTAATAATGGAATAATTGCGTCTTCTGCGCAAGCTGAATGGATACAAGACGCCTGGTACCCCTGGTCAAATCTACCCCAAGCATACACCCGACTAAGCTAGTCAATCTTGGTAAGTTACATTTGCAAAGGTTCATGCGGCTCAACTTCGGCTCGATCTGAATCAAGCCTACTCAGGCTTGCTCGGGGCTCGCTCATGATCGAAATCATTCCTTGGCCTGATTCCAGTCCCCCAACTACTTGCTGTAAGCCCTAAACTGGGACTCATCCTGCACCCAGTAAATCTCTCTAGCCGATCTTCTTATTTAACGATTTCCAACGTGCCTAAATCTTCCCTCCGTGTGAAGACTCCTGTTAAGCCATTTTCTCTTCCGTTCACCTAGTGTCGACCTCATGTGGAAAAGGTGAACTTTCAATTGCAAAAGTTCTGAACTTAATGTTGATCGCCATGGCTCCGGTGTTCAAGTTATCGCAATCGCTGATCAATGTGCTGGCAAAGATTGAACAATGAGGATTCGACGTGCCATTAGCCAAGAACATGTCATTGGTGAAGATTCCCACCAACGGATAGAACTTGGTGCAGACCGTGGCAGAGGATAGATAAAGGGAAATGCTGGCTTGGAGTGATCAATTTTAGGGCCTTAAAAGTTGACAGATACCAGGCTAAGGAAGCCAGCCGAGGACTGATACCAGACGCTGAGAGGAGGCCCGAAGCTCTAACGCAAAACGAGAGCTAAAAGAAAGTGCCTTCTTCCATCGGCTCTGGCTCCGGATCTTGATTACGGGAATAGTTGAACTGAAGCCATGACTGGACGCTGGCCACACTTGGATCGCTCTGAGCACTGATGTAGCCAGCAGCATTTAGGTCGTTGAGGATCGTGTAACTATCATCCAGGACCGTTAGCAGGATATCTTAAAAGAAAAGAAGAAGAAAAAAGGGAAGACTTACACCCAATATCGGCATCCTTTTCCACTACGGCTGAGGTTGAACCCTCTGCGGCGGCTCACGTATGCTAAGACATGTCCTACGGTGAGTTATGTGCTAGGCGTAAGATCCCATGATCTAAGTGTACTTCTTGACACCTGATAACTATGCGTTTTGACCTCAAGAGTGCCGTGGGTATGATGGGCTTGAGCCTTTTTCATATTGATGTGCACAGAACCACCAGTGACTAGGAGGTAGATGGACGCATGGTTCCCACTGCGTGTATCCCCTTCGAAGAATTTGCCTGTAGTATGTATGACGACTCGGATTGCAGTGACAGGGTAGAGGTTAACATCTGGTGACTGTGAGGACATCTTGAACAGACTGAAGAAAGAAGGGCAGAATTTGAAATGATGCTGCTGTAGACTGACAAAGAAAGGCTGAAACTCTGGAAGCAATGGAGGTAGTAGCAGATGCTTCTCTCTTGGAGAAGACATAACCCTTACTTATATACTCGAGGGTCCATGTGCTTGTCAAGCAACCCACTGTTAAGATGCACGATCAAGGCGATTTCCTGTTGATGACAGACAAACATTTATTCCCGGTTATCGTTACGGGGCCCCCGTCTCACAACAGGGCAAACGAGTCGGAACTGTTGGTTGACTGGGTTCGGGACCCGCTCGTTAACTCTCGCCTATCTGAGGCTTCGGGTCAATTTGTGTAGCAGCCTGATGTTGGGCGCTTGTTCGCGCCTCGGCCGCATTCGAGGTCGGCGCCTAAAGTCATTGAATGGCCGAGAAAAGGGTACGTTTTGATGGGGTTTCTCGCAAATCGATCGCTGTTTGGACGTACGAGAGGATTTCAGCGCAGAGCCTCTAATTCATGCTCCGGTTACGATATTGTTGGATCTCTGGATATAAATTTTCTTGGCAGTTGGGCGGGGCTTTTCCGTGCATATCTTGACACCTGATGCGTTTCCGTCTTTCTTCACTCAAGACTTTACACATGTTCTCAGGTTCGCAGCTAAGTCTAGGAAAAGTCAGTTCCTTCAGGTGTTTATTTACGATAAGCGCCGTAGTAAGCTCAACACCTGTTGCTGGCTTGCTGTCGTCTACACTCGGCTGACTTAAACACCAGCCGCTTAGCGAACGTCAACCGCGCCACGTCCTTCACCTGTCTTGCTGGCGCGTATGAATTACACTGTCACCAGAAGCTCCAAAGCCTCTCGTCTGAATACGACGTCCCTTCAGCAGCTCGCACAATTCAACCATTACGCTCCTGAACTTACCTTCAACAAACCCCGGAAATCTACTGTTACGCTATCATGACTTTCAATATCGATACTGATATCGATACAGTGAGCGACGAGTGGCTGGAAGGATTCATCCGTCGCATGGAAAAGGAGAATGGGATTTTGGCCGGCTTGGACGAAGGAAATCGAATAATCAAGCTATCTCCCACCATGGTCGTCAAATGTGGATATGGAGTGACTGCGCAAGAAGCAGCCGCTCAAACGTTCGCGCATCAACACTTCGACTCCTCCATTGTCCAAATTCCACGAGTTCATCGATTCTTTCATAGCAGCCCTTGTGCATTTGGTTCCTGTGGATATCTTTTCATGGACTATATTGAGGGTTGGAGCCTCGAAAACCTCGATCTTCAGGTACATACAGATCTCATACCGCAGATCGCGACCATCATTGCCCATATGGAGAGCATGGCTAGCGAAATCCCCGGTCCGCCCGGGGGTGGGAGACCAGAAGGCTATCTCTGGTCTGATGAAGGCGCTAGAACTGAGTTTCATTCTGTGGAAGAGCTGAACACATGGCTGAATGCGAGACTTGCGACGCAGGACAAGTCAATCGATATTACGTCTGAGAAATTAGTGTTCTGCCATATGGATCTCTGCCGAAGAAACATGATCATGTTGCCGAATAGGACCATCTGCCTATTGGATTTTGGGTTTGCAGGCTTCTACCCGAGGTGTTTCGAAGTGGTGACGTTGGATTTTTTAACCACTGAAAGCGTGGAATATACTCGTCAACTACAGAGAAGACTGATGGAAGAGTTAAGATTTACCGGCAATGAGAAGGAATACCTGGCTTTATTGCATCGGGTCAGAGCTATCCAAGCACGCTTTCCGTCAGCATTGTAAGGATCGCTCTTCCACAGCTTCAACCATTTATGCTAACATGCTTGTCGCCGTAGTGGTGAGAAAGTCGAGAATCTCTTAGATTTACCTGAGCTTGTAGCACGATTGCCATCTACTTCACTGCTACCATCCCAGATTGTTCCGCCGCCAAAGATAGAGCCGTTGTCTCCGGAGGATGTCGCTGCAGCGCTGGCAGCACTATCAGCTCCTAAGCCAAAAGCTTACCATGAAACGCATCCAACGCTGGGCCGGCCTCCCTCGCCACCGCCACCTCTGTCGTAGTCAGTTTTGCAACCATGACTAAAGTTCCATCGGTTGGGCTTTTGCTCTTGGCCGAAGGAAAGGTGGGAGACACCTATACTTGTAGCAGCTGTCCAATACATAGCTGCCGTAAGGGCGACGGGGACGGCGTATCAATCAACCAATCAATCAATCAATCAGCCTGGCGCTTCTCTCCCTAGAGCTCTTCTCTCCCTAGAGCTCTTCTCTCCCTAGAGCTCTTCTCTCCCCGAAGCTCTTCTCTCCCCGAAGCATGGTTCTCCTCCGAGAGCTCTTAGACAAAAGTACGATTTCAAGACTTCAAAATGCCGTAATGGACCCCATGGAGCAACTGAGGCTGTGATACCCCACAAAATCTTCTCAACCATAATCAGGTTGGTTCATGCTGGCTCACGCTTGCTCAAGGCCAGCTCAACAGTGCTCGGCTGCAGCCCAAGCTGCTTACTTATACTCACGTTATACCCCGGTGTAACTCATGTTCAAATCTGGAAAGAGTTTTGTGTGAGGGTAGATTTCATACAATTGTTATGCGCTATAACAGGTTGCTCATCCGTGCCAGCATATCCAGGCGCTTGATGAGACTGAAGACTGCATCCGCGTGGCACAGTTACTGCCTAGAAAACATGACTAGGTAGCTGTACATTCATGCGAGCATGCTGTGCTTGAGCCTGGATACAGCGACTACCACCGTTGCCGCGGTAGAGTTACGATGGCGACAAACAGTTCGCGGTCTTGGCATTCAAAGGGGCCCGAAACTGGGACCCGCCTCCACGATGTAAAAAATCCGTGTTCCTTCAATAATGCGGTCAAATCAAATCAAAGTCTTGATATCCATAGAACAACACATACGCTGGGACTAGCCAGATTGCACAAATGCATGAGTAAACTGCCGGAGGAAGTAAGCCAACTGAATGAGTAGCATAGAGATGTAAGTTGAAGCTGACCAGGCTCTCCCCGGAGCTATCCTCTCCTCGAAGAGTCTCTCCACAGAGATATTCTCTCCTTGAAGATCATCTCTCCTTGGAGAGGTTTCTCCACGGAGAGAGTCTCTCCATGAGGCCTCTCTCTCCTCGGCTGTTCTCTCCATGGAGAGAGTCTCTCCTTAAAGAATCTCTCCGCAGAGCGCTTCTCTCCACGGAGAAGTCTCTCCACGGAGAGGGTCCCTTTCTATTCATCTCCGGTCAGTTTCGCTTATGCATAATGGGAGCGGGCGCTTCCGCCTTTGCAGGACGCCATTGGGCGAAGGATGCACGCCCGCCGCCTTACGCGCTGCCAAGACTGCTCATCCTTTTGGCACAGGAGCCGAATCCCAACCACCCTCTCGACCACCCTCAACCAAGAGACAGATTATAACCGCCATGGTCCCACAGGCCCGGCCGAGTCCTTTACTATATGCCTACGTCGCAAGTCTCCCATCAACGTAAGCGCGGGTATTCTCCGGGCGACACATCGGCCTCCTGAGATGCACCGTCTCCTCGCAAAAGTCGCAGGCCACATCGGCTCTTCCTGTTGGTTAAGCAGTCATCCCATGGATATGAGACAATAGGGGGAGCTGGGTCCACATTGTTGGATTATTGAGAAGGACAAAGTATTGGTGGTTGCAGGGAGAGCAATAACAACGTATCATTTTGCATGGCGCAGGCCCCGGCAGTGAAGCATTAAGGCCGCAGCTTCCTCGTCTCAGCCAGCCATGAGAGTCCTGTATATTACCTTCCTGACAGCTGAGAGCGCTTCTCCAAGGGCATATACACTAAATTACCATCCAAGAATGGGTTATAATCCGAGATCGGTACCGCACAAACACCAGCTTTCACAGCAGGAGCAGTATAAATTATCAGGCTGTACTGGTCCGTTGGATGATATGAGAAGTATATACTACATAATAATAATAGTCAACTGAGTGAGGATGCAAGCCCCAGTTAAAACTTAAGTGCTGAAAGCGTTGTACAGCTTAAATCCAGTGTATCTCCACTACGCTCTAGCCGAATCTCTATCCATCTTACTGGGCTGAGATAGGACCTCCTGATCTACAAAATAAAGTTATGCCAGCTCCAGCATAAGGATGAACTGTACAAGTGAAATAGAAAGGCATCCAGGCTGATAATCTACTTACTCCGACCTTAGCGTATACTATATCACTAGCTAGCGTAGTGATAAATAGTTCCATGCATGCAGGTGATATAGGATGGGCTATACATCAATGCGATGAGACGGGCTGGGAGGTGGAATCCGCAGGTCATCCAGTCGTATACCCTACCCGAAGCAGCTCAACTATAAGCCAGTCAGCCGAGCTGCCTCCTTTTATTTCGTCTGTGTATGCATATATATATCACAGTGCAATACTCCACCTCTCTCTCCAAAGGAATCGGGATCAACATTATATAAAGAGGTCAGAATTTCCTCGATGGTATAGTTAAGACTGGTCCAGAAACGTACTTGATGAGTGAAACTTGTATTAATAGGCAGGCACGGAGAATAACTGTATCAAGGCAGGTAAGGTAAAGGAAAGCTGTTATACAGCTGCCTGATCGTAAGAGAGATACAAAGGGAGAAAGGAGGAGCAATCACCTTATGGATAGATAGGCAACTCTGGTTAGGAAGCGAGCAAGGCAGAAACACTGACGAGGCGGATACTATAGAGCAGAGGACGGAGGGAGGACCAATGATAAAAATACCCCAAGGACGAAGGAGATGAGACAGGAGCCTGTGCAGCGCAGAGCTGAGAGCGAGAAAGGAGGAGGTATAGAGAAGGTTTTAAGGGAAGGGTTGGGGAGGGGAAGGGCGTATTTATGGACGGAAATGGGGTTGATATCAGAGGGCGGTCAAGGGCAGACTTACCCGATCGGGGTACCATTTTTCTCATCGCATACTGCGTGGCTGCTCAGATGACGAGGGGTCCAGAACCGGGACCGCGAGTGTAAGACTGAGCGACAGCATGAGCAGCCTGAGGTAATTAGATTCGAGCGTGAGCGATCATGATTGTGTTTGAGGTGGCCGTGAGCAAGCGTGAGTTGAGGCGGTGTAATCGTGAGCGTATTGAGCCGAGTAAGATTTTGCTGAGTTAATGTGGCTGTATCGACGACCCGAATTGGGACGTGGGTGCGGGCACTTTGTCCCCGGTAATAGCGGACTAAATCGTAATTTAGGGACCCCAAGAGCTAATCGATAATATTAGTAGCGTTAGGTATGTAGGTAATAAATAGTGAAACGGGGTCGGGCGGTCAACGGGATATACCCACCATCCAACACACTGTCAGACGGCTCCAGTACATACGGGTTCTCTCTGATAAAAGAGTGCTCGCTGCACTGGTTGCGGAGGCGAAGCTTCTGTTCGCCTCGTGACTCTGGGCGAGCAGGTTGGTCGGCCGAGACCGTCTAGTATAGTCGGGACAATAAAGTAAAACGAAGGTTTAACAAGCACCAAGTTGGAGACCAAGGCAAACTCCAGTGGTTATTTTGGCATGGGCAAGGACGAGAAATTGATTTGAGAAATGTGCTCTATGAAATCTGATGATGAATCTCAAAAAGAATTGAATCCGCTCCTCCTCATCTGCTTGTTTTTCATTGTTACACTATTTCACTGATGCCCGGCCTTGCCCTACTACATTAGAGAACTTGGTAACTACTAGTAGAAGACCCGGAACGACGTAGATGGCTTCGTAAGTTTGATAACGAGCCACAGACTCCCCTAAAGCACTCATATACATAAGAACGGCCAGGTCTAAAAGTCAGCTTCAAGTATTCGAAACTCAGATTAAGTGCCCCTGCTTCGGTGCTTCGGGGACTTGGTGGGAAGACTCGGAATAGGAATCATCCGTACGAGGTAACCAGGCTCATGAAGTTCATTGTACTAGCCTGTAGCCTCTCGGGAGCCATAACTGCCCGACTCGGTCTCGGCCGTGAACCTTTTAACTCTGGTGACTGCTTCAATACAATAGCCTTTGCCAGGAGGATAGTAGCTAGTCCAGCGACGACGAGGTTTAGCACGAGCCCTTGTTAATCTTGGATGCAGCTTTGCAGGTATGCGGATTGCTGCGACGTGTCGATTAGCCCGTAGTTGCGCTCTGGTAATGTAACTCCTAGCCGAAAGCGCGGGTGGTCGCGGAATCGGCTACTGACTCTGCAATGCGTCAGCGGTGCGCGGGCTTCTATACCCAAGAGACAGACCTGCCGGGATATTTGAAGGTACAACCGCTGGAGGAAGAAGAGAACAATGCCAATAAAGGGGATGCTTGCTCCGAAGTCATCGGAGGATACAGCAATAATAAGTACCTTCACGATACAGGAGGACGCCGCTACGAGTCACAGATTAGTAAATTGCTCCTAGATAAGAGAGTAAGCTGGATGGAAACCACTCACGTGAAGTGCAGTAAACCATAGTTGCGGTCAAATCCATATCTATAAGCTCCATATCCTAAGAGAAACTGAACACGACCCAGTTAGTCTTCTTTTTCCTGTGTTATGCCCTTACTTCGAGCAGAGTCCCGAGGCAAACACTTATCAATTCAAAAGCTCCCCATTGTCCGGAATAGAAAAGAAACGGAACGGGCCCCTGTTTATGTAGCTGTCAGTAAGGCGTACATCATACGCGTTATCAACAAAAAGGGGCTAAACGTACTTAACGGTTGCCTCGAGCAGATCAGAATGAGGTTGCCGAGCCGTTTTCGACATGACAGACATGTAAGCAAACCTAAAACCCGTCTCATCCAGTAGGTCAATTTCAAGCTGCAGTTTCGTGAGACTCATCAGGCAGTAATACCCATACTAAGAGTGCCGGTTACTCCTAGCATCGCATAGGCGCCAATATACATCGCAACATCCTTGTTTCGCTCTACCGTGTTTGCCTCGGGCCACCACTGTAACCAGATGATTGGCACTCTCATCAGTCTTGGGTTGATTTGTTTTCAACTTGAAACTGCAGCCAACTTACAAGAAAACTCCACACAGAGTATCCAGAGGATCATAGAGCGCGTGTAAAGGCTGCCAGCGACTCAGCCAGACCTTGCGATGTCTGATGTCACCGAACACATTATCTATTCCGTTAGGTTGGCGGTCGAACTCAAGTGACGTTTCGCGGGCGAGTCGGAGATATTCAGTGTCCAGAATCTCGTCTATAGTCTATCTCTGCCATCCTCTAACGCGACCGCGTCTGCTAGTTTCATGATTTTATCTACGTTTTTGGAGAGCCAACATAATTTGTTTCACTACGGGGAAATCGCTTTGGACACACACAGCTATGAGTAGTTAAAACGATGTTTGATTGGTGCTTGCGAAGGAGCCCCTCGCGTCCAAACAGACGAGATGATAACACGGAAGTATGGACATTCATGCCCCTGAACATATCGTCGAGAAGGATGATACTCAGCTTTGAATATACAGCTCGCGCCAAAGCCTTGATGCGGTCAAGATGGGTTACTATCGGCTAAGCAAAGAACTTGAATGAAGTCGATTACAACTTTGCAACATTTATAATGCGCTGTTTCTGACCACCGCTAAGATTGACCCCCTTGCTCTCGACCGAAATATGGTCTCCTTTTCCAGCTGTCTTATATCGGCGTCGAGGCCGCAAGCATATATGGATACGGAAACCTATTAAGTGGGCGCTAGATAGGCTGTGCCGTCATGGTAAATGAGGGCTCGGAAAGGTTGCATTGAATCATCCACTCACTGCTGGGCCCAGTATAAGAGGGACCACTCGCCAATCTAGCCTTTCCCAAAACTGCTACCAGGATCCTTCTGACCTATGAAATCGGTAGTGTTCACAAGAAACGGCTGTGCATAGGTTAATGCAAACACGGGAGAATTGCTTGTTCAGCTGCCCTTTTCTCATCGACGGTGATGATGCCCTTCTCTAAGGCTGTGAGCTTCGCTCCAACAACGGAAAGTAAAACGTTGCCTACCATCTGAATTTTCATCGTAACCGTAGACCCAGCTCTTAGTGAAGTGTGCGAACCTCGCCTAGTATTATGCGTGTAAGACTAAGGAATCCAAACAAGCTATAAACAAACTGACAGCCCTAAATACGTGTACTATACTGCCCCAAGCTATTATGATAAGTATATTTACTGTAACTTTTCCTAGAATCGGCGAGATTCTATGGTAGAATAGGTATTTACATGCTCACTAAGCTGATAGAGGACTGTGTCTAGCTTACTAGTGCTGGTTGTATTTAATACAGGCTAATTAGTAGCAGACCATTCTCCGTAACGTCCTACGACGGCGGACAAGTGCTAGTAAGCTACGAAAAGGCTTCGAGCTAGGGAAGCTAACAGACTAAAAGGCAAATATTAGGATATTCAATGTATAAATAATTATTGGGGCACACAGAGAATTAGATGTAGTGTGTTTTGGATAGGAAATGTAGGCTAGTGATGGTGGACTGGAACCAAGAAGTGGTGACTCTCCCTTTTTTATCGACTTTGACACCTATCGTCTCGATGTCTGCTGGAAGTCGAGAACTGGACATTTCCTTGCGGTTCCCTCCTTGTCATCGTTCTAGTTAGCATACAAGTTCTTCGGGGGCATCGGCTATTTCTATGCCAAAGCGACGGCAATGGGAGACTGGCTATGGGGATTCTCGTGGATTTTGATGAATGCTTAGGTACTTTGGTTTGCATGTAACATGCTATGAGATTAATGATCCTACTCATTTGGGACAAGCGCCAGCAACGTTAGAACTAACATTTCAATCCCTGAAGGTGGTGTTGTAATATTGTTCTTCGTATCTTGGCACCCCGCATTACGTTAAGAAAATTCCCCACTGTGCTCTGTCTTCTCGCCCCGCTGCACTAATAGCCTTGTGGATGCAGACAGGCTCATCGTCGATTGTAGGCTTCAACCAAATGTAATCAATCTGTCTCCCCTGACGAATTCTTCAACCTTGCGCTGAACAGTGTCGAATCGAGCGTATCCACAACTTTCACTCTCAAAATGATTCATAACACCTGCCAAGCTAGTGAACTCTTTGCCACATCGGTTACGATTCGGGCAATGGTAGAGAGCTTGTTGATCTGATGGAAGCGACGTGTTAATCAGTACTCGACCAACTACAGTCGCAAGGACCAAAACTTACGAACAGGGGAATTCAAGTGCTGATTCAGTCCTGTTAGAGACGAGAAAACCCGGTGGCAGAAGTAGCACTCATAGCCTCTTCCATTCCAAGTATTGCCATGGGCTTCGTAGGAAGGAGAGCCGTGCCAGCCGATGAGCTTCTTTGAGATCACTCCGTTAGGATCCTTCGATCGCACGAGCTTATAGACCTCATCGCGGTTTAGAAATGGAGCGTTGGGACAGCCGCCGTTCTCGAGATGATGACACAATCCAGTAGCAGTGGCGTAGCTAGACTTGCAGAAGGGGCAATTGATATTCGTCCCACGGTGGGTGCGAGAGTTCAGGTGCTGAGGTAGACGTGAGTCATGTACTAGTGCTGCACCGAGTTCATTTGGCTTACCATTCGGACGTCATTAGCATTCTTGAAAAACCGGTCGCAGTCCGCGCAGTACCTATGATACTCAACCTCGTGATCCAGACGGTCTTTCTCGTCTCGGAAAGTCTCGTGGCAACAGCGACACTTGTACGTGTAGTCCCAGTGACCGGTGTCGTCCATGTGTTGTTCAACTGCGCGCTTGGTCCGGAAGAACTTTTCGCAAGTGTCGCATTCAAATTCTGGAATCGAGTGATTCAGGGCATGGAGATGCTGCTGACGAGAATGGAAGCTGTAGAACCATCTGTCGCAGGTCCCGCACATACAGAAGGACATCGTGAGAGAGGTGCTGCTGCGCCGAGCTCAGACTGAGATCTAGAACTCGAGCAACGCTGCGGAAGCAATCAACATAGATCAGACACCCTCCAGAGTACGGAATATTATCCGTACTTCCAAAGGACTGTCGCCAGACTTGGGTGAAGCTTCAAGATGTGGGCTTTGATGGTGCCCTATGTGTTAGATAGGCCACAAAGACTTGAAGTTGGGGAGTTTGGGCTGTGAACTCTACATGATCATGCACTTAACTACATAGTAGATGAACTTGTTTGGAAATGTGGAGACGTCTGAAGTTTAACAAAGCTCCACTCCAAGATTTGGTTAGTGACGCGTCGTTTGCAACAGGGGCGTTGGAGATAGTTTTCTCGGCAATAACACACAGGCCAGGATGAACAATTTGCCGCAGACGTTCTAACTACAATTTAGGTAACGTGATCGCGAAGACTACCCTTAGCATCACATGCCCATCACATGCCCATCACGATAGAATGTCGATGAGCTTTTTACTTCATTCTTCTTGTAGACTATTAGCAACTACTCCCAAAATCTCCCAAGCTGCAGCGCTCTACTCCTCGCCACCTTCGGCCGGGCACATTGTAATCTTCTGCGAGGTGTTGCACGCTAGCTCGGGTTGTTGCAGGAGGGCCCTTCTCTCGTCAATACTTCTTCTATTCACCGTCCAGTCATTCAACTCGTCCATTCGATCAACCATGTTTTTAAACTTGGCATCCAATCCATAATTTATTCCAAATGGCCACTTGCACGCCGCCCATCGACTGTGGGGTCGCCATGACAAATGGTGAAGGACGTTATGCGCTGGTGTTTAGATTGAGAACAATCTGCTAGTAGCCGCAGTGTCCAAAGAATACTACGTTACGAACTGGGTAGTCCCTCGCGCCTCGATTGCCAGATTTCCTTGTGAGTGCGGTAGACCATGTCGGCTGCACCTGGGAAAGAGATCGGATTCGAAAAGCCGAAGAGCTTCCTGGGTTCCGAGGTCGATCTCGCCGCCTTGGCAGTACTTCAGAGTCAGGTGTTGCCAAACTCGATTGTGGAGTGCCGGGCGTTGCGGGAAAGGAATGAAGAATAGGAGAGAATGGAAAAATAATACACTTTTGCATGAGCATAAGTATTACCTGTTTGGCTGGTTGGAGTGACAAATGGGAGGCGATGTCGAGCTGAAATGTCGTCCTGCTTCCTCCGAGGGTTCAGCGAATTATTGCGCATGCCTCACTTGTAGTCGACCGTAATCAGAGTGCCATGTGCAACGACGAATCCACCGTCAAAGGCTCATCTACTTCTTAGGTGATTATCACTCTGGATTCGAAGGGTATCTCGTTTTTTGTTAGACCCCTGTTCGTCTTCAAATCTAGCCACATATTACCAGGGATGTTTTCGGTCATGGAACCTATAGCCTTCAAATTGTTGAAATCAGGCTTTGGGGGACTAATTGAATAGTACGAGAGCTCTGTCACCGCGACCTGCTGTTTCGCCGAGGCAAGCTTGCTAGCAACAAGGGAAAAGTTGATTCCTTTTATGTCCATTCTTAAGATGAAACAAATTCCGCTTTAGACTCGGGCTTGCCAAAGTACATAGCCCGGCGGCAATTGGTTCTCATTGAGATGGGATTTTTTTCGCCTCAGGACAGAACCTTTACTTTCGATTTGCGAATCCAACTTGTATATACAGGGTGGTATATCGTTTGAAGGCCCCAGATAGCTTCTCAGATGAGTCGAGAACTTCTGTCGGATCAGTCTAGCGTATAGTCTTTCAGTATTTGTAACTTGCGATCTTCATAAGTTCGTTGTCTTCTCAATAATACGTCGTCTTTAGATCAGCCTTATACAACTAAAAGATACATGTCCATGGTAAATATTTTGTCGAAAAATTTAATCCCTATAGAGCGCTGGTAACCTAAATCGTGCGGCTACGAGTTGAGCGCACTGGTTTGGTGGTTCAATGGTTTCTCCAGCATCTTCATGCATGGCCACCTCTTCATCTTCTTCAACTTTTGATTCCAGATCGAGGAAACAAGTTAATCATCGATATCAGCACAGGCCATATTCTGTGCTTTACACTCTAGATGTGTATAAGCCGCTTCATCGCGGTCAGGATCCTTATTTTCGACTGGTTGAGCCACGATATTCCTATTTGTATTAACCGCTTGTTGGGGCCTTGTCTGACCTTGTGGCAGCGCTTTGGCTGGATTCGCTCATCCACTTCAGCCTTAAGGAAAGCGATTTTAGCGGGTTATAGAGCTACTAGCTTAGCTGTTGGCCGGACTGCGGAGCGCTCTTCGGAATAATTGGCTAGGGGGGCTAATAACAGTGCCACAATCATTGCCAGGACGCGGTTATTCTGCTAAGGGCGTATTATGAGGCTTAATCAGTGCCTTTGCCGTAATTTGGACTTCAGCGACCTTATTATGCTCGGTTGATAGCGTTTTATGGAGGGGTTTGGGACAAATATAAGCCTAATGGAATCAAGCCTTGATATTTGAGGATCTTAGTCCAATTTCGCGTGCTTTTGATAGAAACTTGAGGGAATTGAGCTTCCCCTAAGCTTTCCGGTAGGCGAAGAATCGCTCTATTTAGCTGTATGGCTGGTTTCGGTGCGATATACCGCTTTTATAGCTGGCAAGGCTGTTGGAGATGAGGGATAGCATGGAAAGGCCGTGTTTTCACTAACATCACTACATACAAAATTTGCAGCGAAGCAGATACACTGTGCGAAAAGTCTAAATGTCGGCACTTTGGAATATCTATATAAAATCACCGAAGTTTGCCTGGTCATTGGGGGTATGCAGTTTAATTAAGCTTCAAAACGCTACATATTAATACCACCGACGTATAAATCACCCTGCCTGAATCTGTATGCGAGCCTGCACCAAACGCCCCTGAGACGGCAGAGCACGTAATCCTCTTTTGCGGGCTGTTGGAAGGACCGAGGGAACGATTACGTGCCGCTATCGCACCACGGCCACTATACTCTCGCAGAGACCTCGCAACGGCAACAGGAGAACCAGTAGTTAGTGGGACTATTGTAAGGTGGCTGCTAGGGACGGGTCGGACAGCTTCAAGGCCCAGATAGCATCGATCTTCTCAGGGGGGACTTTGTTGGTAGGTTGAGAACCAACGTAGTATGGTAGTGAACGCAACGCAGTCGCCAATAGGGCGAACCGACGACGCAGCGTATGTATTTAGTCCAGCCATTAAGGCACGGTTTGACATACGGGAGTACTAGCAGAGGTACCGGGGGCTTCGAGCCTACGGCGTATTTGATAATAATAATAATAATATAAATCACCCAATAATTGACTACATAGCGTATAAGTGAAGTTGATGGCTTTGTGTGGAAAAAGTGTGCAGAAGGTATACGACAGATGTTATTTGTTACTTTGGAAACCTCAATCTTGCGAGTCACTCAGGCGTGCCACTGGATATACGAAGGAAATATCGTGGATATTTTAAGTCATGAGTTAGAGTTGGTTTACCACACAAGTGAAATCTTTTCCACATGAACTCGGGAAATATGCTATCGTTTATCCTGAGTTCCGTGACTGATGCGACTAATGATAATAAATGGACTAGTTCTTTCTGTGTATGTTCAGTTCTGGCTGAAGGGAGTCGAGCCTCAATGTATAGCTCAGTCTTCGTGTACGTACTCGTCCTGCTTAGGAAGTCTTACAAACAGAAGAATTACAACCATAGTGGCACAAAAAATCGCCAGCGCGTAGTATGGCATGCCGATCCATCCACCTCCTAGCTTCATGCCAAGCGAGAAAAGCCCTGCTAACATCGGTCTGGAATAGAATGCCCCGACGACTTCAATCATACCGACCACACTGAAAAGCCGAGATCGATGTTCTGGGTCGATGTACAGAGTCATCAAACTCCGAGTTAGACTAAGCACGAGATCAGTGTTAGTAATTACTAAATTGCAGCCTGTCTCAAGGGGTTCACATCACAGCCCCGGGGAGGAGAAACTGCTCTTTGCAGAGTTTACCATCCCAGCCGTAAGACATGATGATAGACAAAGGGTCACAATCGCCACTGACCTATTATACGCGGAGCCCACGGCGAGTACTATTAATCCAAATACGAACAAGCCAAGACTGGGGGCCACGCCGAGGATAAGGGCACCCACGGCAATAATGCCGAATGACCAGCGTGCGAGTGTCAGGTCTCTTATGTGTTCGTTTGTCATATGAAACGGTGAAAGCGTCGAGTCTTTCAAGAGCCAGCGTGAGATCCACGGAATGACCACAAGGGCTTGAAGGGTCTGGGCGACGCCATATATAGTTTGGATATAGCCCGTGTATTTGATTGCAATGTTGTACCTCTTGGAAACGAACTGCACCATAAATTGGAGCACGGCTTGTGTGATAGGGAATGAGCCCAAGGCAGTGAGTAAGAGCAGAATCAACGATGGATTCTTCAGGATTGACAGAGACTCTTTCAGATGGCTGAAGCTGTGCTGCAGGTGGACTTTGAAGCTGGCAGGCTGGTCTAGTCCCTCATCGGTGTGAGAGTCCTCGTACTTACTGGTCTCCGGGATGAAGAGAAACGCAATAGCGGCTGAAAGCAGACAGACCACTGCGACCATTAACGTTGGCCACGGACCAGTTATTTGCATCATGAGTGACGCGAGAGTTGGAGACATTAGGTTGCCAACCAAAGATGCAACATGTGTACGTAGGAAAGCCACAGCTCTGGGAAACTGTCAGGGCCAAAAGACAGTGCATAGAAGCTCAAAAACTTACCTCTTCTCTTCAGGTACCACGTCACTCACCATAGTCAACAACACTGCTGGGAGAACAGCGTTGCCACCCCCAAGAAGCAGGCATACAGAACCTAGCCACACTACCGGAGAAGAGTCAGCGATTGCAGCTACTTCATGATTTCGACCAGAGTCAAGCGTTCTGCATTGCCGCACATCCCAAGCTCCAAGATGTCTACATATCCTGGTGCAGTTGAAGACTGATTAAAGGACTCACTCAACTGAACGGGGAATATCTTATCAAACCAGAGCACCAGAACCGCCCATATCAGATTCAGGGTCAATCCAATGAGCCCAAGGGCAAATACTGGCTTACGACCAAATCTGTCTAGAGTTAGCTTTCGCGCCCATATAATTCAGAAAAGTAAACAGACCTGTCCGCTGCAATTCCCCATGGAAAGGCAGCAAAAAACTCAACAACAGAATCAAGCATCCCAGCGATGGCAAAGATAAAAGCCATCTTTGACTGAATGCTTTCAGTCTTGCAGAATTTCTCGTCAATTGGCCCTCCATCGACGTTCACCTGGTCGTAGTACTGGCGGCAGAGGATGTGCTCTACGATCCTCGTAAACGGGATGCTGGCGAACCCGCTAGAAGTTGACGCCACTAAAATGATGCCACATAGAAGGAACACGATAGTGTCACTGCTGTGGACCTTGGGAACCCTGATAATCTTGATCGAGGCGACCGACAAAGCCGACAATGTCGGCCGATGTTCAGGTCGGCGAGGTTCGTCACTGGTTAACAACGGAATCTGCGGGTCATCCATTTTGCTTTGAGTGGATAGTGCAGGTGAAGCTTGGTTTCTTCGGTCCCACGATTATGTTCGTGAGGCAAATGGGTAGAATAACGAGCAAATACGGATTTTCAAAATCATTGACAAAATAATCATCATGATCACATTCTGAAAGCGGAATCTCACTATCAGATGGGTATCTGCCAGATAGCAGCTGGAAAAAGAGGAAAGTGGGACAGAGAAGCATCCCTGCAATTCTGGTTCTCACCTATGAAATGTCGCACCTGCCCCAGATGTTCTGGATGACGGCTAAGTTAGCGTGTCTACCACACCTGCCTGAGATAGAGCTATCAATTGGTGCCGATCATCAATCTCTGCAGCCGAAACAAGTTTTTGAGGTCCTTTAAAAGCCGATGTCATCGCCTTCTAAGTGCTAGACCGGATGCCTGATGATCATTCCACACCTTCACTGCGTCCTTGTGGTATTTTGTGCACATATTAAGTCGACATGTCAGATCATGTGGATACCCGCTTGCATGGTCCACTCGTTTGTCTCCAAAGTTGCCAGAGTACCACATCTCTGGTTGCGACCGCATGATATGTGGCCATCGATCTGCGATCGTCTGCTATCGTCCGCTGCGACCTAAGTCCAGAAGCTGTGAAGCCGCCGTTTCTACAGAGGAGGGCCGTCGAGCAAATGATCAAAAGCAACACAACAATCGCGCTTGACTCGTGGCCCTCAGAAGGCCTGGCGCCGTGTTATATCTAACGGGAGAGGGACGGGTCCCACGCTCTGACTGCTCTTGATCCTCTCGATCATTCATAGGTGCCCAGGACTCGATTTCCATAGACCACCGGGCAACCACCCGTACGTCGATACTACAGATTTGATGAAATGAAGGGTTGCCGAACGATACCCGATCACATCGGCGCGCCGCGCCAACGATCAGAGTTGGCCTGACGACACTAGCCAGTACATCTCCTCGCTGGTGTCATGTCCCATAGCCACGGATCAGGCCGTCTCAGATTGAGATTATCTATGAATAGACAACGAATTCATTTCCCACAATGGTAGGTGATAGCTGGATGGCATCTTGTCATTTTTATGCGTTACGAATTATGACGCGGCTGCGCTTCATTGGGGTTGTAGATGCAACAATCATCATGGCGAAGCGGTAGGCGTGGCTAAGCGCTGTGAAGGCGAAGTATTACTAATAAGCCGAGGTATGTTGGCTCACAGTTGGAAAGCTGATCTCTGCAGAAACTGCATCGCGCAAATGATCAAGTGAGGAACTGTCGAACCCCAACCCCTCTCGTCTCGTCAACGAAGATCGTATGGGCAGTGTAATCTCATCGTATCCCGAAAAGTTGTTTGTGCAATAGAAACGCCAAAAAGCAACCTCTTGACACTCGGCTGCGGTTTACATGGTTCGCCCTAGCCTCCAGGCGCATATCTGCCCACACCGAGAGCCGCAACGCAAATGAGACAGCGCCCAATAGCCTGGTCTTGGTGCAGGCTCGCATACAGATTCAAGCAGCTGTCCTTCGCGCGTCTGGCGCCAGGCGCCCTCACCTACAGCCCAGAAAGGCTGATATTAGTTGGCCAGACCCAAGGAACTGGAACAATACTGTAATGATCCATGAGATGACGATGTAGCGAAAGTACAACGTGCATGTCAAGTTGTCGTAAGGCCAGGGTCAGCCTCGAACGCCCTTGATCGATGCGATGTACGAAATCACTCGGAGAAATGACTGCTCACAAGCCTTCGGTTTCATCGTTGGAGATGCACAGATGCAGAATGGACGATCCATGATCCGTGATCTCTTCGACAAACCAACCACTGCAGCGTTTCAGTCAGGTCAACCCATCACTTCTTTTTGTCATTTAACAGGCTTTAGTTAAAGGTCGTCTGCCTCACTTTGCGAGAACCTACTTATGTTCTCTGTTTCTTCACAGGTCTTCTCCCATACAGGTGAGGCGGGTAGACTTAAGGCAGTTTCCATCACACTGTCAGCTACAATCTACTTGCCAAACAACCAAATATACTATCGCCAACTCTTATGCTGAATTGTTGCTTATTGCTCCTAATCACTATTCCTCATTGTTGGAACTCATCGCTTATCCCAGCAGGAAAACGACTTTGTCGGCTACCACTACTACAATGGCCGTCGCGGTTCCAACCATTCAACCTATTTGCCATGGAGGTACGAGCGCAACATCCCGAGGACGACAGCTTATGCAGAAGCCACATCCATCTGTTACTCATTCGCAAGCATTTCAACAAGCCGTGCAGGCTCGCATTCGCCAACAACTCGGCCCAAACACCTGGAATCCAGGCGTTGCTTCTCTTGGCGGGATCGCTCGAAACCCCCGGCATCAATACATCATCGACCAAATATGTCGGTATACCGATTATCAAACGCTTATACACATCCGTCGGGCGAACAAGGCACTCAGAAACGCTATCAACCCCCAACTGGCGCCGTACGAGAGCAAGCGTGCGTTCGTCCTGCGCGCTTGTAAGGACTTTCCACAAAACTACAAGGATACTATCCGATGGGCCTGCTACTCGTGCTTTCTCTGTCGAGAGACAGACAAGTTTGCGGCAAACCAAGCCCGACAGGCAATACGAGGCCTTCCCCCGAACCAAGAGCTCGTCAATCTGCCCAACTTTTGCATCGATTGTGGTGTTAGACATGGACTGCACAGGCCCGGCGAGAAGATGACACCGATTACTGGGAAGCCTAAATGGTTGTGTGGCTGTCCCTTGAGACCGGGGCGACCTGTCGACGACATCCTGCATATTTTGGGCAAGGACACGCGGTGTGATTATTGTGATACGAACGCTCCACTCAGTGGCGGAGGGGCAAGAGATTTTAATTGAAACGCGTTGGACTGCTGGACATAGTATGCATGAAGTGATAAGGTGTCATGCAAACTTGGGAGTCTAGGTGTTTACTTCAAAGAGCGTGTGGACGATTTTCTATGCTATTGTCACTCCTTTGCCTCGACCATGCAAGTCGTGGGTAGAGGATTTGATCCTTTAGCGTTGGGTCTGTTTTCTTTCAGAGGTGCAGTTTAGTTCCGAAGGACGACTTTACTTACTATCAATGAATCTTCAAAAGCCTACTACGTTGGAAGGTCTCGGATCCACATATACGCAGTCAGTTTGACTACGACACTGAGGACGACTTGGGAGTCTCTCAATGCTTGAGTAGCTATGAACTTGCATAGAAATTGACTAGCACTCGGTGACTCTTTGCCAGCAGCAGGGTGATGCGTCAAGCAGAGTCGCCAGACTCACGCATGTAGACATGTTCCTTGACCCAGATTGGTTGGTAGCTTGGCAGGTGGGTTGGTGGGTTCAGATAGGCCAAAACTTAACAATGACTAAACTATATCCTTGGTAACGATTCGCCTTCAATAGAGTATCGATTAAACAGTGCTTTTGTGGACGATGGCGTGTTCTAATGACTTGAGGATAAATTGAGATGAACAAATGTGGCTACTAGGAGAGAGTACTTCGAAGGATTTTCTGAAAAAGGGTCTCAATGATTGGTCTCCGACTGACAGATCTATTCAAGGGGCAGAGCTCATGCACAATTCTGATCGACGGATCTCGCTGTAAAGGGGCGTGAGGTAGAGTTTTGACTGACGGGGTTTCAGCTGACAGATTTTTTGATGAATATTCTTTCCTAAAGGGTTTCTGAAGGCGATAACAGGATGTCCGGACTGCGAATGTATAGCCCATCCATATGCCAAAAACAACCTCCCGCCAAGCTCGAGATGTGGGTCGCCACAGTTCCCCAGCTGAGTCCTCGACGCTCATCTCTGAACTCGTGTCTGATTGAGTCATTTCGGTCGTGAGATCCACACTCGTGATGAATATTGGATCGCCAAATGGGGCGTGCCAGTATGTGAATGAGCGATGCCATGGCCGCTCGCTTCTTGGAAAGTCGTACAGTCCCAACAATATGCCCCGTTGCTCATTTAACGTACTGCTCTCCTCCCAGTGTTTCAATATGGAGGGTTTTGAAGGGGTGAGAGAGTTGATCATGTAGTCGATACAATACATCTCGACAGAGTGGTCGAAGCCGCCCTTGCGACTTACCGCGTTCAGCGAGCGGCGAATAAGCGTTTTTTTCATCTCGCATGAGAAGAAAAATGGCCTCTTCCAGTGCCCGACGGGGCCTGTTGGTTGATAGGTGTGCAGCTCTTCATTTCTTCCTGTAATCACAATCCATTAGTCATCCTGTCCAGTCTCGTCACGTATCAGTGAGAATAACTGCTCTCTTCCAGGAACCTCATCTGCGTCACACTGTTTAACTTGAGAGTTTCTAGCTTGGAGTGCTCTTTGCGCAGGCTTTTGAGTTGGTACTTCGAAAGAAGTTCGAAAGAGGACCAAGGGGGGGATATGTGGTCCTTCATTCGAAGATAAACAGCGATCTCGAGAATGTATCGGAGAACAGTCGTCTCGCTGACCTTGAAGGAGTTGGACTAGAAGGAGAACCTTCATGGATTGAACACTGCTCGTCATTTGCGTGCTGCGATCCGTGTGGTCGGATAGTGGCGGGGGTTTTGATGTGATGAAGTGTCAGAGTCGTCGGTTCAACATGGTTGGGCAGCACATGGCTTTGTTGCCCTTGGTGCCTCAGATCTTGTGTTCGTGGTCTCCCCGATTTGAGTGCATCAGAGCCTCTAGGTGCCCTCTTGCCTTTGGGTGGGCGACCCATTTTCTCTTCGAACTTTCGTATTCCATGATGACGGCTGAAATTCCTGGATTTTCCGGTGTATTAAAGCAATCCAACAACGAATTCAAGTTTTTGAATATAGGTTTGCGATAACAAGGCACGTCGGAAGGGGCCAAACCTCCAAAAACGAAAAGCATGAGTATCGACCTACAGTTCTCTATTTCTAGTTAAATTGTATGTCACCATAAGAACGTGTCGATTAATTACACTGGAAGTCATCGATTATTTACGAAATTTTCCCCATAAAATCCTATCGTGTACGTTGAGGGCGGCAGTTGGAGCCCCTGAATACCATGATATGCTTCGCCTGAACAGAAGGGAGTTGCGTAGAAAAGACTTAGATATCAGAGTAATTAGCCCACAATATCGAGTTTGGGAGCCCCAACAAGGTCGTGTCATGTTTTCAAATAAGCCTAGCTGCCTGACTTCGACGTGATCTGACCTCGGTTTGAATATTACAGTGGCAACCTTACATCCACTTGGCAAATGTGAATAGTTAATCTGGTGGGTTGTTTTAGAGAGGTTTATGAATTTGAGTAAACAACGAAGACTTGCATTCAATGAGGATGGAACTTTCCCTGGTCATGCTGCGCCCACAAAAGACCCAGCGACACATCAATAATGATACGAGTCATCCACGTCTATCATGATAGCCCGTAGGTTAGAGTGTAGAAGTATATTTCGTTTTGAGCCTCTGACAATTTGGTTTTGCAATGTCAGCCCCACGAAATGCTTCCTAGATTATTATCTCGGTATCTCATCAGACCGCAAATTAGAGAAGAAGAACATGCCATAGGGATATTCTATCCCGACTGAAAGGATTGTGTTTATCACTATGTCCTTGAAGCACTCTTCAACAAGGCACCCGAAATACGCCCAGCGATACACTAATGCCTTTCATATCGCACGATGTAAGTGCTTACTCAGGTACGAAACCGTCAAGCAGTTGCAAGTTGGATACTGCTGGCCGTGGTCGAGCTCTTATCAGGTATGGGCTACTTGGGCACACTTGTATCTCTCGAAGAAAACGATACAAATGAGCCCTGCACATATCTACTTGAATGACATAGAAAGAGATGGATATTGCAATGTGCGTTGATAAGTGGGTTTTGGCTCGGGAGATGACTTATAACAAAATTCCCAATCTCCCTTCTCTTTCCAATGTCCGCATTAAGTACGAATACGTAGAAGTGGAGAGAACGAGGCTATTCTGGTGATTCAAGCTTACTGATGCTCCGACTTATGATCAACTGATTAACTATGAGAAGCACTGATGTGCAACGTGGATATTCTCAACCTTCGAACTATGTATGGTGAGATCTGAGGCGGTGAAGTTGCAGGGTGTTTGCGTCGTATTGAAGCCAACACTCCATGTCTAACAGTTTCTAATTGCTGAGTTGTCTGCATCATGCTGTCGAGCTGGGTATTTTCGCAGATGTGATGACATTAAGCCGCCATGTCCACACATGGTCCTGCCGTAGTTTGTATGATAATAAAACAGATACGTTGTAGCAGCCACATGATGATCATATTCGTCAGATAGCAACAATCCAGCCAGCCAACGATCCACAAGCATGACCACGGAAAGAAGTCATGGCATGGTGATTGGATAAGAGAATGTGATTGTCCAATACCGGAAACGTTGGAGCATCACACGGCTGCATAACGAAGCCGAATGTTCAAGGGTACCGTGACACGGCTTGGTCCGCATTATGTGGCCAGGACCGGGGAAGTATGGAGAAAGACACCCATAGTGGCGCGCCTTTCGGATGGGCAAGAGGCCAATATTGGTCCATATCTTTCAAGATATAAGGTAGTCTAGGTTCACCGCTTACTCTCAAGTTGCGTCACCCAAGACCGGAGCCACTACAGACACTGTCAATCGAAATCAAAGAGGGAGGAGGCCCACCCAAAGTACGAAGAAAAAACAGAAGCATGAAAAGAATCAATTTCCAGGCTTTGATGATACGTCACACAACCCACCGCGGCTTGCTGGGTTCACATAGTAGTTAATGTGGCTTCCGCCGAACCGACATTGGCTGTTACGGGACAGGTCCTAGTAACGCCGAGCTTTCCGGAAATCTGTTGGTCAGCCTGCAACGGCCAATAGACACCATCGCCTATCAAGGAGTTGTACATATCGGGGGGCGCGCCCGTTCGCGTTGCTAGTCGAATGAGATTTCGCCGTTTCAGTCATCGGATGATTCGGGTGGCCCATGATTGCTGTAGTGCGACAAATGTCACATCCGCTGCCAGAGTGACGGGTTCCCAGCGCCATGGTAAAGGCTAAATGGCACACAGGTTATGTTCCTGTTCGTTGGTAGGTGAGACATTTGCTAACGCAAGGCGCTGGTAAGACGACATATCTCTTGGCCCTGGACATAGTAGTAGAGCTGTCCCAACCACGATTGACCCCATGATTGAATTAGTGACATGCAACGCAGGCTTCTCAAGCGATAGCCAAAGAACATCGAACACGCAGCAATCTTAGGTGTGGGTGGATTTCAATAAGCGATTCATAATAATTCCGCGAGAACAGAAATGGTCGACCGGGGTGTTGCAAATGAACCGGCCCAATGGGATTTCGATTCCAATTGAAAGGATGCGGAAGGTGAACCGCCGACAGGGAGTTGAAGCTTATTTTTTCATTGGTCGATTAGAATTATTTTGCAGGGGAGAGTATGTAACTATCTGAAGCATCCTGTTCTCGGCCGATGAACCTGGACGCGGCAGGAAGCCAAGGCACATCTTCCAAAGCGACACTCGCGAGTTGTTGGTTGACAACACGCTCATGATGCGTGGCTTGCAGCCAACATGATCGGCATGCTCTGCATGCCGACTAAAGCGTCGTTCGATGACTCGATGCCCTTCGTCAAGCGAACAACCCAACAGTCATTCTGATTCCCAAATGGAGACGACGAAATTTCTTCAGTGGCGGTCCTGCATACAAGTGGCTACTATCGGGCACAGGGTGGTGCTTTCATATCCGAAATGCTGCAGGCAGCTTGTGACGGGACGCATCCGGAGCAGCGTCGCAGGGTGCATCGCAGGGTGGTCGCATGGCGTGGAGTGGCAAGGTGGTGGTGCCGAGTGTGACATCGAGCGCGGCATTTTGCGCTTACCAGTGGAGCATTTCCGAAAGCACAGAGGTGTAGCTGAAGGCCACTAGGGAGTTCGGATCAATGTTTTATATGCCGCACAGGCAGCTTACTTCTGAATGCACGCCGACTTACTTCCGGGACCATCGGATTGTTTCTGTAATCGGCTAGTTCCTTGATTCTGGTTCGTTACCAACTAACCGGTTCGCCTGCGAGACATAACGTTTTCCCCCCCGGCTTGCACATGGTTCGGTGCGCATGTCCATTCTTAGCCACAGCGGGAGTACGGGTAATCATGCAAGCAGACGAACTCTCTGAGCGAACTTTCGACTCAAAGTCTATTCAATGTGCCATCCTGGATTACTGTGCCACTCTGGCGGAAACTTCAAGTTGACAGGTTTCGTTTTCTGTTGTACGAAGTACGCACTACTGTTCATATTCGGGTAGCCACGTCTGCCATGAAATGTCAATATGTCGTGACCCGGAGCCGGCACCATGATCCTGGGTTGTGGCACGTTTTTGTGCCTAAGTAGGCTTGGCTTGCATATAGAGGTATGCGTCACTCCCCACATTGCATGGCACTCCACGCTTAACTTGCTTCGCTACTTCCGTCATTTGAGGGCTTTCCAGCCGAACGAAGCAGTCGATACCATTTGCTTCAGTCTCGACGCCTGCCTCCTCTTCTGTTGTTATCGGAGGTCATCCGAGCAGATATCAATGCCTTTCGCATTTGAAAACAAACCTCAAGCCCTTCCCGCACCCCTCTTGTCCACCACAAGCCTCACCGCTCAACTAGCTTGGCGGAACCGACGACACTAGACCATGGTCAAGTAAAGCACCCACCAGTTCCACGCGCAGACGTCCATGGCGCATCAAATGCTTGGCTGCCACCGTAACGACCTACCAACTTTGGCCATCCATCCTTGACTGATCATTCTCGGCGACGAGCTAGCGGTTGGCCAATGGTCCATTTTTCCATGCATAATGGGTCGCATTGTCATGCCGTTCCGCACATTTTGCCGAGCAGACGCGAGGAACATATACCTACCCCTCGACTCCCCAATTTAAAATTCTCCGAAGCCAACCCACCTTTGCCAACTGGCCGATGTCCTTTGCATATTCACCTGCCGGGCCGGGGTTGGCGCCCTTTTCTACTCGATTAGTAAGACGTCTATGATGTCTATTTACATGGTGTCCTTTCATCGGCAATCTTCGACTGCCACCAGGTGACTTCTTGGCCGGCTTCCAAGCTTCTACATGGCACGCCAACACGCCAACACGCCACAACCGCGACTAGTTAGGCGACAGTCCAAAGCCGATCGGCACCGGCCTCACGAGGTTGTTTGTCACAGATAGGAACGGTTTTCCTGATTGGAGTTCACCGTTCGTGCCTTGGCTCCCCGGCGGCAGAGACAAGAGACATGCATATAAGATCTCGGCTTATGCTCCCATTCGGCAAACCCCACGGACTGCTTGGAGGCTGCTGACGCGAATAGGCGGGTCGTTCTTGAGCCACAGCCCATGTCTTTACTAAGTAATCCATCCTCATCCCCGGAAGCCCAATAGGGACCTTCGACGCTATTCCCGGCGCTCCCGCTCCTATTCCAACGCCCTGCCCTGGCTCGATTTGCCGGGTCGGGTGGGTTCTGCGGGGACTGCACCAAATAAATTGCGACTACTCTTGTCCGCATCTAGGAACATGCCCGCTAGGAACTCCCGGAACTAAGCATTAATCGCAAGGGATAACACTACGACCATATTCTGGATTCACCCGTCGACTCCTGTTGTTTCGATCCTCACCAATGGTTTCTGTACTCATCCAACCATCGCCGACTTATACGCCCCTATCCTTATTGGTGCCCAGAGTCTGTGTTGGTCTCATCGTCAATCAACCGCGTGATCCCAAGGAGCCCTGATTTTGCATCGTTGCATCAGATCTGGGTGCTCAGAAGTCGCAACTTGATTTGCGTGGTCCGGCAGCCATCCCTTTCGCTTCTCTGCCTTGGAATCTTTGGTTGCTGCACTGGAGGCAAACAATGAGGAGTGCCCCTCGATACATTCACTGGTTTGAACGACAATTACGCAATGACCGTGGTGAACAGCCAGCCACCCTCTTCATAACTCCTTAAAAGCCTCACAGATCCTTACCTGATGTGAGAACGTGGCATGTCCAAGATTCCCAGTCCAAGCAAGTTGAGAAACATGGCTTGTAACGAAGCGGCTACGGAAGTGCAACCACCTTCGAAGCAACCTGCCAGTTGCTCAATATCATCTTCGCAATATGCTGGAAGTCTTGGTGTCATCGCCAATGAGCTGGCCGGCTTGAGCACCAGGCTACAGAGCATGCTCCGGGATAACGATAGGAGCGGCCCCATGGGCCTGAGACTTTCATCGAATACCAAAGTCTTCATCCGGGGCGAATCGCAATACGATGATTATGACGAGCAAACATCATCGCTGGAGAGTCCTTTCACTGATCCGGATTTCTCCATATCTAAAAAACCTTCAAGCTCGAGTAACGCAACCGGAACCCACCATCGGTCGCAGAAAGGGGCATGTACCCACCAGCTTCCAACAAGTTCCCGCCTGAGTGCGAAACCTGACTTCGACGTCATCGCGAGTCAAGTTGTTGATATTGGCAAGTTCAATCCCTCAGCGCCACTCAATAGCAGACAACATGCTCAGCAACAAGATGAACCATCACCTACGGACAGGCTTTCGCCTTCGCAGCCATCTTCGAAAGAGGATGTGATGCCCATTGCCGTCGTTGGTATGAGCTGCCGGTTTCCAGGAGATGCCACCAGTCCGGAACGCCTATGGCAACTGTGTGCAGCCGCTCGTGAAGCCTGGTCAGACTGGCCAGCGGATCGGTTTAACCATAAGGCCTTCTATCATCCCAATCCCGAGAGAGGCGGAACCGTAAGTCTTCATATTGCTGTTATTAGATCAATGCTGAAGAAATTAGTTTAATGCCCAAGGAGGCCATTTCTTGAAACAAGACATGGGAGCCTTCGATGCTTCGTTCTTCAACATAACACCGACAGAGGCCAAGGTGAGCGGCTCTCTCACGCACGTAAATCTCATCCTGTAATGACCCTTTTACCAGGCACTCGACCCCCAACAAAGGTTGCAGCTTGAAAGCACGTACGAGGCACTTGAGAACGGTACGTTAACAGCCCGAGACACACAGGCATTTAATACTTTTGGCCCGACACTAAGCCTTCATAGCCGGTATCCCTCTCGAGACGTTGTTTGGAAGCGATACAGGAGTTTTCATTGGCACATCCAACCATGACTACGAGCACATGTTATGGAAGGACCCCGATAGCCTGCCCCTTTATCACGCTGTGGGGGTCAGCTCTTCTATTATGGCCAACAGAATATCTCACTTCTTTGATCTTCAAGGTCCGAGTGTCACCATCGATACAGCTTGCTCGTCATCACTTGTTGCGCTACACCAGGCTTGTCAGAGTCTACGCTTGGGTGAGACGCAAACGGCCATTGTCGGTGGCACCAACTTAATACTGGAGCCTGGCATGCTTATACCGATGAGTTCCCTGAAGTACGTCGTTTGCTTTTCTAGTTTTGAAATTATAGGTCTAACAGACTGACAGTTTCTTCTCTCCCGAGGGCAAGTGCTATACTTATGACCACCGCGCTTCGGGCTACGGTCGCGGAGAAGGGGCCGGAACGGTTGTGTTAAAGCCGCTTGACGTGGCCATTAGAGATGGCGATAACATCCGTTGTGTGATACGTTCCACCGGTGTGAACTCAGATGGCCGTACTGCCGGGTTGATGCTTCCAAACGGAGATGCGCAAGAAGCTTTGATCCGTTCCACATATGCGGCAGCTGGGCTTGATCCTGGTGTCACCCGATATGTCGAAAGCCATGGAACAGGGACTAAGGCTGGCGATCCCATTGAGTCGGCGGCTATTGGCCGTGTCTTTGGTCACATCAGCGAAAGCATCAGCGTTCCGAATGTGCGAGTAGGCTCAATCAAGACAAACATTGGGCATCTCGAGAATGCGAGTGGAATCGCCGGCTTGATCAAGACTATCCTGTCTGTGGAAAAGGGGATGATACTCCCCAACAGCAATTTCGAAAAAGCTGGAGATAGGGTCTTTTTGGACGAGTATCACCTTACAGTAAGTCGGACTCTTGGAGAGAATGACATGGTTACATCGTCGTTATTGACAATAATTTTAGGTGCCAACACACTTGGAGCCATGGCCACTGGCAGGACTGCGACGAGCGTCTGTTAACTCTTTTGGCTTTGGTGGTAAGTCTTTTACTCTTCAGAGAATTGCTGCTGAAATCAACGCTAATTTTCGGTTCAGGCACAAACGCGCATTGTGTAATAGACGATGCCGAGAACCATCTGAGATCAAAGCATCTATCCGGCCATTTCCACACAGTGCTTGAGAGTCCCCCTGCACAGGCCAATGACGAAAACAAGAATGCCAACATCACCCCTCGAATGTTTGTACTCAGTGCAAACGATGAGCATAGTCTCAAGTCTCTTATAACATCCTACGCGGTACATGTTGGATCTCTGTCACAGAAAACTACAGCAGTATATTTAGATCAACTATCGTACACCCTGGCATCGCGACGGTCTTTGCTTCCGTGGAGGGAGGCATTTGTTGCATCTAGCCTGTCTGAACTTTCAGAAAAGCTATGTGCGGGGGATGGCACGCTTCTGAGGTCATCAGAGCCTTCAGGATTAGGTTTTGTGTTTACTGGCCAAGGCGCACAGTGGTGCAGGATGGGGGCTGAACTCATGGAGGGATACCCAGTCTTCAGTAACACCATGATGGCAGCAGAAAAACACTTGCGCTCCTTGGGATCACGCTGGTCTCTCACCGGTAAGCTAAACAAAACAAAACAAACATTCGACTTTTTTGTTGGATGTACCAGAGGAGGACTGATATCTATACAGAGGAGCTTTCCCGAGACAAAGAGTCTAGCCGGCTGGATGAGGGATCACTCAGTCAGCCGGTCTGCACAGCAGTACAATTGGCACTTGTAGATCTACTCTTCAGCTGGGGCGTGAAACCTCGAGCGGTAATAGGTCACTCAAGTGGCGAGATCGCCGCTGCCTACGCAGTGGGTGCGCTGACGTTGGAGTTAGCCATGTCAGTGGCATACTACCGCGGCGTGGCTGTGACACAACTCAAAGATGTTGCACCATACCTCCGAGGTGCCATGCTCGCGGTGGGCTTGCCTGCAATCGAAGCTCAAGAAGTTTTTGCAGATATCACCTCGGGCGAGGTGGCCATTGCTTGTATCAACTCGCCGTCATCTGTTACAGTTAGTGGCGATGAAGAAGCAATCGACGAGTTGGCTCAATTATTTACCAAGCGCAACGTCTTTGCCCGCAAACTCAAGGTAGATGTGGCATACCACTCACAACATATGTTCCATGTGTCCAACGACTACTTAGCGCATCTCCTCCAAGGTCCCCCACTGCCAGGAAAGTCTGCAAATGATACTGATGTCATATTTGCGTCGTCTCTGGACGCTCGTTTGGTTGATCCAAGTGAGCTTGGAGTGGCTTATTGGGTCCGCAATATGGTCAGTGCGGTTCAATTTTCAGATGGACTGGCATCTATGGTTACTGGAACCCCCATCGACACTCTAATTGAAATAGGGCCACACTCAACCCTCTCTGGACCTATCAATCAAACTCTAGCTAGTCTCAAGCTCAGCTCACAGATTCGATATCTGCCTACTCTCGTTCGCAAGGAGGATGCTCGGTCATCCCTGTTGCTCACAGCCGGCCAACTTTGGAAGCAAGGCTATTCAGTGAATGTCAACACGGCCAACTGCCTCGAACATCCAGAGCTGAAGTACGGGCCCCTGGCAGACCTCCCCCCCTACCCGTTCAATCACACTGTTCAGCATTGGCATGAAAGCCGGATAAGCAAAGATTATCGTTTTCGAAAATTTGGGCGCCATGACTTGCTGGGTGCTCTCGTTCCCGAGAGCAACTCGATTGAGCCCAGGTGGCGGAACATTCTGAGGCTCGCGGATGTGCCTTGGTTGAAAGATCATATCGTGCAATCGACTGTTGTCTTTCCGGCAGCGGGATACATTACAATGGCCATTGAAGCCCAAAGGCAAAAGCTTTCTGTAACCCAGGGCACTCTTACTAAGATCGAAACGGTTCGCCTTAGACACGTATGTTTGTCGGCAGCACTCGTCATACCATCTGGCGACAGTGGGGTTGAAATCTCGCTCTCTCTGCGCCCTTCGCCAGAAAGCGACACAGAGTCATCAGCTGTCTGGTCCGAGTTCAGGGTATTGTCGCATTCTGAGGCTCAAGGATGGACTGAGCACTGTCGCGGGAGCATTGCGATGGATTTGGATAACGACGTGTTTGATCTTGAAGTGGAAGAGGATGCGTATTGGCCTAAGAAGATATCGTGTGAGTTCTCAGACTGTGTCAATTCCTTGCCAGCCTCGGATCTCTATAGTGCCTTCGACAACATGGGCCTCCAATTCGGACCAACATTCCGAAACCTAGACGAGGTCTTCTTGGGATCCATGGACAATTCAAGGAGTGTCATTACTGTCCCTGACACACGGTCAACGATGCCACATCAGACCGAACTTTTCAACTTGATACATCCAGCTGTGCTGGACTCGTGCTTTCAATCCGCCTTCCCGTCGGTGATTCACCCGGCCAAGCTGAGAGATCCGATGGTCCCAACTTTCATCGACAAATTGGTCATAAGCTCCTCCGTCTCGCGGAAGGTGGGATCAAAGCTAATAGCATATGCGAGTGCCGAGCCGTTCATACTTCGCAATCGCAAATCACATATTGCGGTGTTTGACACTGCTGTGCCCATTGGCGAACCCATAATTACCATCAGTGGCCTGAAGACAACATCATTATCCTGGGGATCAGAACGTGCGCAGCTAGCCGACACTACAAGGAAAATGTGCTACACCATGTCTTGGCAACCCGATGTTGATCTAATAGATGCATCGTGGTTGTTCTCTGCTCCCGATGGAGCTCGAAGACTGGAGACTGCCGAATCCCTTACGCTGCTGGAATACCTCAGTTTTCAATACTTAAGAGAAGCTCTTGAGCAGATCAGCGACGAGGATCGGGAAACACTGTCTAAACATCACAAACGGTTCTACCAGTGGGCATTGTCGCAGGAGCCTCCGGTAATGACTACAATACTAGAGGACAAATGCATGCCTATATCGCATCCGCTTCTAAGTCAGCATGACGGTCCTGACAAGAAGCAAGCCTTAGAAGAGATGGCCGAATGCCTTGGCGCGGAAGGAGAGATTGTTTTACGCATTGGCAAGAATATAACCTCTATATTGAAGGGCGAACTGGATCCTCTGGCATTGATGATCCAAGGCGATCTTTTGACCCAAGTATACGCCCAAGATCGAAGTATGCTTCGCTGTTACGATATGCTCCAGGAATACGCATCGGCCCTGTCATTCAAAGATCCCAACATGCGAATTCTTGAAATCGGCGCCGGGACAGGAGGGGCCTCGCAGCCGTTCCTCGAGTCTCTGGGCGGTGGAAACACGAGTTCCTACCCACGCTTCTCACATTATACATACACGGATATATCCTCGGCATTCTTTGAGAAAGCGCGCACGCGGCTGGCAGCCTGGGAAGGGATGCTCGAGTACCGCACGTTGGATATCGAGCGCGACACGGCAGCACAGGGGTTCGGAGAGGCTAGCTACGACTTGATAATAGCGGCCAACGTCCTGCACGCAACCCGCGACATGGATATCACGCTGTCAAATGTCCGGAGGATGTTGAGGCCAGGCGGCAGACTCATCATGATCGAGATCACGCATCCGCGGTTGCGTATTGCCTTACCGTTCGGCATGCTGCCCGGTTGGTGGCTTGGAGAAGATGGGCGCGAGTCAGGGCCCTTGTTGCAGCCCAGCCAGTGGGATGCCGCGCTGAAGCGCAACGGGTTTGAGGGGACCAACATATGCGAGGCAGATTACCCTGGCCCACATGCAATGTCCAGCTTGATCGTCAGTCACGCGTCGGAGGAGCAGGGTGAATCCCCACGCTTGGAAGTTCAAGTTTTCTCCCCAGTCGTGGGGGATTCTCTGTCGGCGGAACTATACCAGAAGCTTAACGAAGGCAAGAGCTGGCGACCCGAGCTCTGTAGTTGGTCTGATGTAAAAACCAAGAGTGCTGGCACATACATCATTCTAGACACGCATGGCGACTCGTTGCTGGGCTCTCTCTGCCAAAACAAATTCGAGGCCTTGAAAAGTCTTCTGTGCGGCGCTAGAGAGGTTCTGTGGGTAACCTCTGGTGGACAGGACCGCAATCCTAACGCTGCCCTCGTTGCTGGACTAGCCCGTACCCTGAGGAATGAATTTGCCGGACTTAAGTTGGTCACTCTGGACCTTCAATCAGCCGGGGCACAATATATTTCGGGGGCAGTGGAGGCAGTTTTACGAGTCTTTAGCTTGCGGTTCTCCGCTGTTAGCAACTCCAAAGATATGGAACTGATGGAGAGAAACGGTCAAATTGAGATCCCAAGGCTTCTCGAGTACACAGAACTCAATGAGATGCTGGCCAATGACCTAGCAGATGCCAATAAGACCCCTGATCTGCAACCTTTTCATCAGGCAGACCAACCCCTGAGACTCCGGGTCGGCACCCCCGGTCTTCTCGACTCACTCCAGTTCGTGGGCATATCCGACCGAGAAGAGCCACTCGAGGATGACGGGGTTGAATTTAAGGTCAAAGCCATAGGCCTGAACTTCCGCGATGTTCTTACCGCACTCGGTCAAATCGAAAATCCCTACCCACTGGGTTATGACTCCAGCGGCGTAGTAACAGCTGTCGGCAAATCCGTCAAAGGCTTTCAAAAAGGAGACAAAGTTGTCGCTCTCGCTGTAGGCTCCTTCACCAGCCTCCACAGAGTCAAAGCGCACAACGTGTTCCACTTGCCATCTGGACTCAGCTTCGAGCAAGGAGCCACCATCCCACTGGCGTATGCGACAGCTCACTATGCCCTAGTTGACGTGGCCAAAATCTCGAAAGGTCACAAGATACTTATCCACAGCGCAGCAGGAGGCGTTGGCCAAGCAGCCGTGCAACTAGCTCAATTATACGAAGCTGAAGTCTTCGTCACCGTCGGCAGCGAGGACAAGCGCCAGCTCATGTTGGATGAATACCACATCCCATCCACGCACATATTCTCGAGTCGCAATGCGGGCTTCGCGCAGAAGATCATGCGCATGACGGACAACCAAGGCGTCGATATGGTGCTGAACTCGCTGGCAGGTGAGCTTCTAAAAGAGAGCTGGGCTTGTGTCGGTATGTTCGGGCACTTTCTTGACATCACCAAGAAGGACATCTACACCAACTCACGGCTGGAGATGCGGCCTTTTGACAAACACGTCACGTTTTCTGGAATCGATCTTTCGGCTATCTTCACGCATCGTCCCCAATGGGGCGCCCGCATTCTGCGAGATTGTTTCAAGCTATTTGACGAGGGCAAGATTCGGGTCCCCATGAAGCCCATTGTCGCTTTTCCTATTGATGAAATTCAGTCAGCTTTCCGTTTCATGCAGGGCGGGAGGCATAGTGGCAAGATTGTTGTTACCGTGCCTGATTACGTTCGGGTCCCCGTGGTGCCCCGAGAGGTCAAGTTCTTGGGGGCCGACGCAACCTACGTCATTGCTGGAGGAGCTGGCGGACTCGGTAGAGAAATATGCCGCTGGATGGTGGATAATGGAGCTCGGCATATTGTGCTGCTTTCGCGAAGTGGTACCAGCAGCAACCCGAAGGTGGCGCGGCTGCTGGAGGAATGCGCGGCCAAAGGCGCAGCCGTCAAAGCGTGCAAATGCGATACTACGAGCTCTGAAGACGTCGCAAATACCTTCCGCCAAGCTCGAGAAGAATTCAGCTTCCCCCCTATTCGAGGTGTCATCAACGGCGCCATGGTTCTCGACGATAGCCTGTTTGAGACCATGTCGTTCGACAGCTGGAGAAGAGTCATCGATACCAAAACATCCTCATCCTGGAACTTACACAATCAACTCCTAACCGTTCCCCATGACTTCTTCATCCTCCTCTCATCCGCCTCGGGTATATCGGGCAACCGCGGCCAGTCCAACTATGCCGCCTCCTCTACGTTCCAAGACGCCCTCGCCCACCACCGACGCGCTCTCGGCCTGCCGGCCGCAACCTTGGATCTGGGAATGATCGAGTCCGCCGGCTTCGTCGCCGAGAACAAGGACTCGGTCGCGTACCTCCGCTCCCACGGGTACGGCATGATCAAGCTGGAAGAGCTCTTTGGAATGCTTCGCCACGCTATCATCACGGGGGAGTCGTGTGATCAGGAACATTGCCAGGTCGTATCCGGCTACGACGCCACGACAGCCGAGCACGCTGCTGCTGATTCGTCATCTGCCGTTAGCTTGGGCATTGGACTAACTGATCTCAAATTCAGCCACTTACCGCGAATTCATCGCTCTGCCGACAGTGCACATGCCAAATCCTCAACGAAAAATGCAAAATCGGTTTCACTGCGCCAAAAGCTCCCATCGGCTGGAGCAGATACGCGGCATGCCATTATAACGGAAGCCATCGTAGACAGGTTGGCCAGCCTGCTTGGCCGGCAACCGGCAGACATCAGTGAAAATAAGAGCGTGGCCTCCCTCGGTGTTGACAGTCTGGTCGCCGTGGAGTTGAGAAATTGGATCGCGGCCGAGACAGGGGTCAGTCTGCCTGTGTTTGAAATTTTGGGGACGAGAAGTCTGGGGGAGCTGGCGGGGAGGATTGAGGTGGGGTGTACGTTTTTGAGAGATGGTGAGGGTCAAGGGCAGGAGTGAGAGAGTTATATTGGGGAAGTGTGTGATGTTCGGTAAGAAAGTTGATGTTGTCACGCTGCGTATTGGACTTCCACTCATCTTGGATCCCACTTTTTGGTTAGATGACAGGCGGAATATCTGCCTGTATGCGCATTGTGCGAATCGTGCTGTGGCTTCTATTGGCGCTGGGGCATCATATAGGGGGTTATTTGTTCATACATTAGATTTGGCATGGTTTATTTAATACCATAATGATTCGACTCTGTATGAGTTTGTTGTATTGAGTGAATATCTCATCTCCTGGCCACTATTGTATGGTTTTGTCCCGACTTATCGCCTCTTTATTCGGTCAGCTTCAATACAGCTCGAAACATAGTCATCGTGCCATTTACTTGTATGAGAGATCCCATCCTTTACACTTAACATATAAAGTTGCGACTATATTGACATTGGTAGGACGACAGGACGAGGCTGTTGGGACTCATGAGTTCTGATGTTGCCAAAAGTAAAAGGCAATTTTGGTATAGCCATAGGTTGGTATTTTTGTTTAGTTCGCTTAGGCCCAGGTTTACGGTTGATGGGGTATAGATAAGATGGACTACAAACTCCGTTTGCGAGTCGCCACTATTCAGACGCCACCGGCCGATAGGGCCAGGTGAACACTTTGTCTGGTGATCTGATTTCTATGATTGCAGCACGGTAATAGAGTTGTCAAGCAGTCTGATATATTTGTGGACGATAGTTGGCTTGTCACTCTGACCCCACATGAACCATCGTCTACTGACATGGAAAAACTCCTCGCATACTGCTTCCCAGATCTTGCAATGATCTTTAACCCGGCCAAATTTTGCAGCCAGCAAGGCGACACTTGAACGAAGTCAATATAATCATAGGGGGTTTCAAACGCCCATCACAAACTCTTGCTAGTTTTGAATTCCGAGTTTTGCTAAACAGAGTAGACGACACAGCAATAGCACGATGACGACTCGGTCTTCCTGGTCGAGAATCGCCCTAATTCATTACTACAAGATATATTATCTACAAATGCGAATCCAATGTCACAGAGAAGCCTTGATCTTAACCTCGTCAATCCACCCATGCTCATCTTTAAGATACTTGTGCGCCCTCAAATCACCAGACCTCGCATGCCCCTCAAAATTCTCGGCCCGAGAACATCGACCGCAAAGACGCCCGATCTCACCAGATGCCTTCTCATCTACTACCTCCTGATATGTCTGTGTCTTGAGGTATTTGCCTACCCAAAGACCACCTGTGTATCGTCCAGCCTTCCGAGTGGGTAGTACGTGGTTCGTACCGATGCACTAAAGTGATAGTCAGTGAACCTTGCTTTCCAACAGACCATCCCTTAGCAAACGTGGATTTCGCACCTTGTCGCCATAGGACACACATGTCTTCTCTCCCAAAAATAGCGCCCCATAATTCCTCATCTTCTCCAATGCCTCCCTCGGTCTCTGCGTTAGGATCTGGACATGCTCGCTCGAGTACACATTGGCAAGCTCGTAGGCCTCGTCCAAGCTGTCCACCACGATCACCTCGCCATAGTCCCTCCACGACGTCCCCGCCAGCTCGGCTGTTGGCATCTTCTTCAAGATCTCGCCGGCATAGCGTATCGTCTCCCGGCCCACCTCTTCCGACGTCGTAATGAGGACAGCCGGGGAGTCTGGTCCGTGTTCGGCCTGTGACAGCAGGTCCGTTGCAACGGTGAAAGAGTCCGCGCGCTCGTCGGCAATGATAAGCACTTCTGTGGGTCCAGCGAGCAGGTCGATGCCTATCTCGCCGAACAGTTGCTTCTTGGCTTCCGCAACAAAGGCGTTACCTGGTCCCGCGATGAAGTCGACTTTCGCCATGGTCTCTGTGCCGAGGGCCATGGCTGCAATAGCTTGTGTCCCACCCAGCAGGAATATCTCATCGGCGCCCGCGAAGTGGGCTGCTGCGATGGTAGCATGGGGAATTTGCCCGGCGATAGGGGGGGTGCATGCGATCACATGCTTGACCCCGGCCACCTTTGCAGTGAGAATGGTCATGTGGGCTGAAGCTAGTAGAGGATAGCGGCCACCGGGGATGTATCTATGTCACATCAGTATTGTGGACCAAATATGACACCGAGTACTTACGCCCCGGCCCTGTTGATTGGGTTGTTGCGTTGTCCCAAGAATACCCCTGGTTGGATCTCAACTTCGAAATCCTTGATGCTGGCCCTTTGAGCTTCGGCAAAGGTTCGGATATTCTTCTGTGCTTCCTTGATATCTGCTATTGTTTGAGCAGAGACTTTAGAGATGATGTCCTGGATTTGGCTGTCGGACAGCTTAAAGGATTCCGGTGACCACTTGTCAAACTTCTCAGAATAAGAGCGAACAGCCTTGTCCCCATTTACCTTGACGTCTTCGATAACACCCTTAACGATGTCAGAGACTTTCTGATTTGTCGTCGTGTTGGCCGTCAGGGCAGCAGTCTTGATGTGCCTGGCCCCCATGATGACTAGCGAGCTTGCTTGGTAATGAACTACTACGCAGCCGACTCGGGCACAGGTTTGACAATGTGCTGCGATCCTTTATATGGACAAGAGACACGGAAAGTTGTCAGAATAAAATAAACTCAGTTGGGGCACCTTTCCGTTCTAATAGAGGTGTGTGTCAGTCTATGGCTATGGTGGAGGTTCCACCAGTGCCGAGTATACTTGACGGTAAGTGGGGTTAATAGCCGACATGAGAATATGAGCGGGGAAACGTCCACCATCCCGAACGATGATCAGGAGCAACCCTATTCGTGTTCACTTTAGGATATACAGTTCATCTCGATGGAGCTGTGGAACCGCTCAAGTTGAACGCTCCCGATTGCGTCATTGAAGCTTTGAAGAGACACTAAAACCGCCCGGATTTCTTCCTGAAGTCGATTGCAACTCCGTACAAGCATACCGGCCGCATAGAGGATAGTAGATACTGTCGAAAGTATCCAGCACAAACACCGCATCCGCTTTAACCAGTAGCCTCGATCTGGATTCAAGTATGTTGCGTCTTTCTGAACTCTGAATTGACACGATGGGCCGCTGAAATTACACCGTTGGTTGCCGCGTGCCGCAGAACATTCTGCATATATGTGTTTGATGCTCACAACCGAGTCCAACGAGACAATCATGACCAGTAAGCCTTGGGGCAGTGATCTGCTCGGATGATTGATTCGTCACATGGTTAGCCGCGACTAAAAAGCAACAGAAGGATAATGGGGGCAGGACCGGACGGTGGTGGGTGTGCTCATCCGACCACAGGAAGGAGTTCTGATGCGAGGAACAAGCACGCCAAAATTTAACAATCACTACCGGAGGCTGGGAATACGAGAGAAGAGTTGATGGTGAAGGTACTCTTTGGCAGAGATTGGTTTTGTCGACAGAAACTGAACAGTAACTGATATGATCTTGACCAATGAGACATGGTCTGCATCAGGAATTTGGTGCAGCTCTTTCGGGCGGCAGCGGTAAAATGTTAAGCCGCTTAGCGCCACAAACGGCCAAGGCAAGCGCCCTGACCAGAAGCTTTTCCCGAAGCCGCGCCTATGAGACAAATCCGGGTTTGGTAGAGAGTGGAATACCATCGTCCGTTCGGTCTACCTTCGTCATCCTCTATTGCCATTCAGATCCTAATACCTCCCACCTGTCTCACGTGTACCCAAGTTATACCCGTGGGTATGATGCTGCCCTCATCGGTGCGGCGGGTCGTTTCCGTTGCACCTCAATCCTCCTCTCTGCTTTCTGGCTTTGCGCCCGCAACAGCTGCTCGTGCGACTGCAGCTGCCGCCTTCAGTTCCACGCGCAACCCCAGGTGTCAGCAGCGGAGGCGTTACTCTTCCTCGAAGCCCTCAAACCCCAGTGACTCGCCTAAAGGGCTCCCAGATGGTCAGATCACTACTGCACCCGCGCAGTCTGCGAAAACAAGCGGGGAGAAACGCGGCAGACGCAAGGCCAAGGATGCAGCAGCCACTGGGCTAGGTGATCTGCCCAGCGTCCCCAGCACCCAACATGTGCCGATGAAAGGTTCGCTGGACTTCCCAGAGAGTTCGGAGTAGAAGACGCCGGGCTTACAATCTTCTAACTGCAGCTGTCGCCTTATCATCCTTCTTCTCGCTACACCGACCCATGTCGGTCACCCAAGACTGCCCTAAAACTGTGTCCGACGATGCATTCGCCCAGATCTTTGCCTCGCGCACGAAAGGGAACAAGCCAAGCGATGTCATGGCCACCATCTCGAGGACCATCGACGATCTCGAACAACCCCAGAATGACTTCAACCAGCCGACCCAAAACGAGGCCAACGACGCCAACATGCATAAGATCGACGTCAGGAATGCGGATGGCTCCGAGTCCAGCATGTACGTGCAACTGAACGCCATGTCCGGCCAGTTTCTCCCCTTCCGACCGCCGCCTCTGCCGCAACCCGAGTCGGCTGTGCCGTCCGTCGAGACGGGAGCCCCAGAAGCAGTGGAAGAGGCGGCGCCCCAACATCGCGTCTACAAGGCCATCTTCACCCTCGAGGAAACCACCGACACGAACGGTGAGGTGCGGATACTAGCCCATAGTCCAACTTTGATTGAGGAGGAAGATTTCACGCCTCGCACTTTCCTCGAGCGCATGGCCCTGCGCCAGGCCCGCCGTGAGGAACGGAATGGACGGCCCGAAGGCATGGTCGCCATCAGCGTCAAGAGACAACGAAAGCTCAAGATGAAGAAGAAGAAGTACAAGAAGCTGATGAAGCGTACGCGAAACGATCGCCGGAAGCTGGATAGGATTTAAGGGGGCATTTCACATGAGCTGTCTCCTGTGTATACAAGCAGCAATTGTCTCTTCGCGCGTTGAGGGGATTGCATCCACAGGATTCTCATAATACGGTGTTCGGAAGGGTCGAGAGTTACAAGTCTCCTTTGTCTAGGGATCAGCATCACGCTCTCAGCCTTGACGAGCTAGCAATAGACTATATTGGGAATGATATAAATCTTCGTTCATACGTGGTGTTGCGATTGTGCCACCGCGAGCTTGGTTACTTCTAAGAACCATGTTCATTGTCATCAGCTAGTGATTTGACCGGATTCTGCACCATGAGCTCCAGCAACGAATAGGCGACCTCGGCCGCTACCAGCACCGTTGTCTCGCCCGGATTGTCGTACACGGGCGCCACTTCCACAACATCGGCGCCGACAACTCGGAGGCCTCGAAGCCCATTCAGAATAGTCAAGAGCTCCCGGCTCGTCCACCCGCCGGGCTCGGCAGTTCCTGTAGCTACGATGATGAAAAACGTATTAGCATCTGCAACCACATAGACTCCTGTAGGTGAGAGCGGACCAAACAAAAGCAAAAGGCTGACCATACCAGGGGCAAAAGCCGGATCTAGCACATCGATGTCGACACTGATGTATACTTTGGACTCACCCACCCGTTTCATGATTAGCGAGATGACGCCTTCGGCCCCCAGCTTATCCAAGTCGCGTGCTTTGATGGTCTGGAAGCCGCAGCGGAGGTCGTTCCTGACATCGCCCTCCTTTCGAATTAGGGGTGCGCGGATGCCGGCGTGGATGGAGGTGTTGAGGATGAGGTGCTCCTCGTGGGCGACGTGGAGGAAGGTGCCGTGGTTTAGGCCACTGAATGGGGACTGGTGATCAGTGAGGTCTTCAAGGACCAATGATGGGCAGTTGAGACTTACGCGTAGTCTGAGATACCACCGCCGATCACTGCTGGGTCCCAGGTGTCTGATCTACTTCAGTCTTCGTGATTTCAAAGATTTGAGCACAGAACTTACCAATATGGCTATCGAAGTGAATCACCGAGACCGGCCCCCAGCGCTCGTATGTCGACCTCAACGCGGACAGCGTCGTCGTGTGGTCACCACCGAGCGTGATGATGCGTGGGGTGACTGAGTAGCTCCCATTCGCCGCTTTGCGGCCAGACACGACCTTCATAGACGTCATCAGTATATTGTCTCCATCATGGATGCAAGTCTCGTCTCATCTCCATTAAGAAATGGTCCACTGACCTTATGAGCCTTGTCCAGCTGCTTCAATGCCACATTATTATCGAGCCAAGTCAACGGCACATCCCCACAGTCCACGATCGTGGCCCATGACTTGAGGGGATTGGTTTCTGAGGCATAATCAGCTCTGTTGTTTCTCATTAACTTGCTCTTTTCTGAAACGTACCAGTATACACGCTCCATCCGCCCTCCGCCCCCTTCCGCTGACTCCCGATCCGGATGCCGCCGGGTCCGTACCGAGCTCCGGGACGAGCGGTGACTGTCTACCCATAACGCTTTGCATCAGCTCATTGAGACCTCGCGAATTACACATAAAAGTCGGCAAGTGCATATGGAGACTTGTGTAAGACGAACAGTATCAAAAGGCGCCCCCAAGAAAGCAATGTCGTATTGCTTCCCCTCGGCTCCGGCTTCCGCATCCGAGAAGCAGTTGAGATACGGCAAATTCGCGTACGTCTTTAGGCCGTTGAACTGGCTCCCGCTCACAATGTCGACATCTGCGTCGGGGCCGAGATACATGGGCCTCTGGCCGGGGCTGAAGGTTGGTGGATGGGGGAATTCCCAGGCTGATGCAAATTGGGATGCGTAGACTCCAAGGAAGAGTAGATTACAGAAGTTCATGTTGTAAAGTTTGTATTACGGGCGCAGAAAGTTGAGAGTTGATTTATTAGATATATCAGCAATTTATATATTTAGTCGACCGCAGTATGTCTTTGGTTGTATGAGCAGAAAGTGGGGTCCGAAGATAAGACGGTGCTTTCCGTTTGTGAAATCAATGAGGAATGTACCAGGACTCAAGTATGCAACCTAACGATCATTCAAGATACCCATGAAATCCTGCTAGTGGTTATTTGTCTAACTAGTTGAGATACTCAGTAATCCTCATTAAGAATGGAAGCTTAGAGGAACAATAAGGTCACGTTGTCAGATTGGAATGAACATGAAAGTTACCTAATGCGCCGTTAGATACATCAGCTAGAGCAATCCTCATGATCATAGACGAATGATATGACTATGAAACAGTTATACTTCAGTATGCTTAGTGTAAGAAGGTATTCTGAGCAGCTTCCCTAGACCCTTTGAAATTAGTCGAGAGGATCGCATTCTGTGGCCGTCATCCTTACATTTACGGAGATCATGAGTTAGACCTAGTTTGGAAGAAAATATTTTGCTTCATTTGCAGAGCCTCTGTTGACATTTTCTGGAAACTATAGAAAGCTCCATAGGTAATTCCCGCCGCAACAACCGCACACCTGCAGGCCCACACCTCCAATCGATGCAAAGTCAGTGTCCTTCCAGTATCCACACTGGTAGCCTCTGATCGAGAAGACGACCAGCATAATTCACTCCACTTCACCCGAGTTAGTAAAATGCTGATCAGACTCGAACCAGAACCATATTGGCACCCTGAGAAGACACCCTTATTTCGTCTTCAACCGTGCCGCCTCACTCTTGACAACCTCCGGTATCTCATCCTTCAAGCTCTTCCCCTTCGGCTCCCAATCCAGATACTTCTTGGCCCTCGCCGCCACACCCTTCGAGTTCCAGCCCCAGGTCTTACACGCAGCCTGACTATGCGGCACCGTTTTCGTCTCCGCCTTCTCGATTAAACCCTGCTTTGCCGCCTCGTCCGCAATCCACTTCGCCACGTCGGCCCAGAGGTGGGTGCCATGTTCGAGGAAATAGTATGCCCTGGGCCCGAATATCTCCGGGTTCTTACTCTTCTCGGGGTTTAGCGCTGCATCGACGGCTAGCACGAAGAATGCACCTAGGTCGTGTATGTGTACATTGTCCCATTCTGTCTTGCCCGGCTCCACGATGGGTGCAAATCCACCCTCGAGCGTTTGCTTCGCCAAGTTGTACACCTGCATGCTACGCTGGTTGACTGGGCCACGTCCTCGTCCATAGATGGTAGGTGGACCAACAATGAGGGTGCGCACCCCGCCAGTTTGGTTGGCTTGCAGGACGACTTCGTCGACGTCGCGGTGCTCCGCTTGGTGGGGTAGTGTTAGTACCCGGTCGATGTCGTCGATGTCGTGGTATTTCTGCTCTGGTAGGGGGGGCTGGCCAGTTCGATTGAACTCCTGGTCGTACCACTGTAGGATGCCGGTTCCACAGACGTGAATCCAGTAGCCAGGTTTCTCGTCCGTGTGCCCGGCTGATATGCCTTTGGCGATGGCTCGGGCTGAGGGGATGTTGTCTGCGGAATTGGCAGTATCTTAATACTAATTAGCACGTTGAAACCGAGATGATTGAGAGTTTTGACAACGTACGGACTACAATGTCTGCTGCGGCGGCCTCCTTCTCGATGACATCGGCACTGTCCAGCGTGCCGTACACCAGCCGCACTTTGGGGTATTTCTCGGCGACCGGTTTACCTCGCTCTTCATTGCGTACGAGAAGTGTATACTCGTAGTCAGAGTGAGCCTCATACAGCGAATAGAATGCTTCCCCGCCGATGTAGCCTGAAGTCTTATTAGTATGCGCGGCCATTGAGGTCGGTCCTTTCCCTACCGGTCACTCCAGTCCTGTCTAGCAGTCAGCTTTGTCATACAACCGACGTCATGGTCACATTGCCTACAAGAATATTTTTGGTGCCATGTTCACAGTGGCTAATGGCTAGCGGATTGATCTGCTTCTGCGGGTATCGTTGAGGTGTGGCGATAATACGCTTGAGTATCAAACTGGAGGCTTCAATGTCAAGGCAAGGAGTAGCAGGCAATAAGACGAACTTAGATGCAGCACTTCTGGTGTCATTTTAATAGAGGGGAAGCAAAGTGGGGTCGACACCCGACACTAGGCGGGTGACGTCCAAGTCTAATGCATCACTTACACCAGAGTAAATAACTCACTCGTGGGATCGCGTATGCTGAGATATGACATCATACGGCACGATGCAACGAGCAATTCAGCAATTTTGCCTTTTCATGTGGTAAAGTTACCCAACTCGAGCTAAGGAAGCCATTGGATAATTACTTGGATATAAACCGCATATATCCGAGCGCTGATGAAAACACAGCTGAAGCACGCGACTTCTTCTCGCGTGAGAACTTCTACTGCGGACTTAATTCGTCCTACTGTGGGGACTGGTCGAACGAAATTGGAAGCTTGAAATCACTCTGCGGTTGCTTACAATCGGCTGAGGAATCGAGATTCTCAGCAACTACCATCGAAAGCAATGTATATAGCCATCTCTATATTAAGTATATCATAGGCTTCCTAAGAGTTAACTAGGAGGTGCACATGCGGGACGAAGTTGAAATACTCTGACCTAGCATACTTGTAAGTAAATTCAAGGACGAGCAACTTTCCCGTTAGGCGTAAGATATACCACGAGAAAACAGTGACTTATCTGAAGAGGTAAATCTCTAGAAACAGAAAAGTATAAACATCTAAAAGCTTTTTTTTTTGAGGCGAGGTTCGACCGTTCGAGGGATTGAGCCATTGCCCTGGCGGTACAAGAAAGGGTAGATAATTGGACCTCGGGAACGGCACCATGCCATCGTTCCCCGCGTGATTTCACTACGATCGAAACCCTTTTAGAAGATTTGAGGTACTTGCCGAATCGAACTTGTCGCCTCGGTGTGGGTTAATATTGCAGTGAAGTAGTTGCTGCCTATATAATGTAAAGCAACATCTGACGGATCGTTGATTGGTCCATCGGAGTTGCGTACTACGGGCCCCACTAAGACTTAAGTCCGGTGTCCTTCCGCAACGCAATTCAATTTTCTTGAGCCTTGTCAATCCACTCTGCCGCCCGCCAACTACAGCAGCAGCAACCTCGACATCGAAATCGATCCCAGCCAACAAACCCTTCATTTCGCCTCCGGCAGCGATATTACAAGATGTCTTCGATGCGAAATGCAGTCCACCGGCGCAACCACAAAGAGCGCGCCCAACCCAAAGAGCGTCAAAAGCTTGGCCTCCTAGAAAAACACAAGGTACGTTACCCATCACCATCTTCAGCGGTATGAATAAACACACCCCCAGCTAACCGAATCGACCTCACCAGGACTACTCCCTCCGCGCCGCCGACTTCAATAAGAAGAAAAAGCAACTCAAGAACCTACGCGAGAAAGCCGCAAACCGCAACGAAGATGAGTTTTTCTTTGGCATGCTCAGCCGGTCCGGAGTCGGAAAATGGAACTCGAAGGGGCGACGGTGGACGGGAACGGTGGATGGAGACCGGGGCAACCGCGCGTTGGACCAGGACGTCGTCCGGTTGATGAAGACGCAGGATATCAACTATGTGCGGACGGTGCGCAACGTGGCGACCAAGGAGGTCAAGGGGCTTGAGGAGAGGGTTGTAAATCTAGGTGGAAGTTTGGATGGCGGCGGGCTGCAGAATGAGGAAGAGGACGATGAGTGGGAGGACGACGACATGCCCGCGAAGAAGAAGCCGAAAAAGATTGTGTTCGCAGAGGCGGTTTCGGAGAGGGAGGAGAGGATACAGACGGAGTTGGATAGGGAAATTGAAGACGAGGACACGGCGAACAAGGAGGCGGAGCAGAATCCAGAGGCCCTGAGGGCAGAGCAACGGCAGCGGCTGCTCATGAAGCTGCAACGGCGGCTGCAGCTTGCGCGGAAAAAAGTGACGACGCTCTCGACGGCCGAGAACGAACTCGAGTTACAGCGAGCGAAGATGGCTAAGACGGCTACGGTGGGGGTTGTCACCAAGACGGGCAAGAAGTTCAAGGTGCGCGAGCGGAAGCGATGATACAGATGTTGTGTATTTTTCAAACCCAAGAAAAGTTCTTCTTTTGCTCATTGCTGCCCGGCGTCGGAGGGCCAGGGCCGCTACGGCCATGCGATACCCAAGAAATAGAGACATCTGCTGTGTACATACATGGATATCGGAGAGCGCGTACACAAGATTCACGTGTGTGCCCGTGGAGGGCTATCCAAGACCTCGCTCGTCATTGTTCATTATATCCCCCAAACCCCGATCCCAGCACAAAAAAAGTATGAGCGAGCCATGTACAAGGGGAAAAAAATTTGCCACCCAACACGAAGATGAGCGTAGGTATCCTAATCCAGTCAAAACATTCCTCTAGCTTTCGCCTTTCATGACTAATAAAAGTATCACAGCTTTTCCGAGGTCAAACACTTGGTCAGCCCCACTACGACAGCCATGAGCGCCTTGAACACCAGCGTCAGCGCCCAAATGAAGCATTTAAACGCAAAGCTCAACAACTTGAGGACGGTGCGCGCCGTTCCCGGCAACTTGTCCTTATCCTTGGTGCTGATGTCGAGTTTGCCGCCGAGGCTGCTCGTCTGGCTCTCGAGGTCCATCTCAAGCTCCTCAAGCTTGCGGTGCTTCCTGTTCTTCTTGCCCTTCTTCTTGTCGCCGCCGCTGATTATGTTGCTGATATTGCTGATACGACTACTACTCCGGCTCCTACTGCCGCTGCGCAGATGCGCCGGCTGCGGGGCCAGCACGGGAGGGGGCTCGAACTGCTCAACGAGGCTGTTCTTCTCGTCGGCGTTTGCGACGATGAGGAGGGCGCACACGGCCACGTCAAGGATGTAGTGGCTCTCGATGCGGCCGGCGATGAGGGTGTCCAGCTCCATCCAGCCCTCGCCCGTGCCGTCGCGCGTCAGCTTGGCCAGGTGCTGCGGTGACTCGATGTGCTCGAGCGTGTATTCCGTCCGGCTCCAGCCGTGGTTTCGCTCCACCGTGATGCAGAAGGGTGTGGCGAGGGCCGGGTGCACAAGGAAGTAGTTCTGGCTGTCTTCGTCCCAGACGAGGCGGGCGCATTCACGTTCGGCAGTCATGACGGCCTGCATGTCGTCGGGCCTTTCGAGGGCCATCTTCGTCGCGGCGCAGGGATACAACAGGGCTACCAGGCCGTCGTTGGGCGGCAGGCGTCGTGACGGTTCTTCTAACGTGGTACTGATGGATTCCTGCCATGACTTGTTCTTTTCCGCTTCCCGCAGAGCGGCGAGAATGCCACCTGGGGATTTGGCAGCGTCTGCGGCTGGATCCCTTTCTTTGTAGGGTTTACTTGGATCATGGCGGCTTAACGTTACGTAGGCAGAGGCGGAGGTGGGGTTGAAGCGAAGGTGGTAAAATGTTTGCGCAGTGGACGTGAGGTTGTATATTGGGGTATCCTTCTCGGGGACCAACTTCATACAAAAGGTCCGTCCCTCTGACGAAGAGGCCTTCCACCCGTTTGCTGCCTTCCAGTAATTGCGGAGCTCTTCAGTCGTGCTCACTGGTGGAATCACGGGCGGTTCGTGGTGTCGTCTTGGCCATCGTTGAGCAGAGCCGGCACTGAGTGGACTTCTTACGGGACTTCGCACCGGCGGACTGCGGTTGTCGGACTCCTGCGGAACATGTGATTGTCTACTGATAACCGTTCTCGGAATGTGCCGCGGACTGGTCTGAGTCGGGAAGTAATCTTGGCGATCGAAAGGTAGATTATGGTCGTACTGAGGAAACATGGAGCGCACTCCCGCCTCGGCCGCTGGCAAGGAGGATGGGGCCTCGTCAAGAGGTCTTTTGGCGATGGAACTCCTGGATCGGTTGCTGTTGCTGCGTACAAGAGTGCTTGCTCCCGAAAACGCCGTGTCGGTCCGGGGCGGTGCATCTGCCAGTGGAACAGGTTGCGAGACGAAGGCTCCTTCATGGAACTCTTCAGGCCGATGAGAAGGCCCAGCTGCTGTCTGTGGTGATCCATCAATGACGAACTGTGCCATATCATCTGGAGTCTGCCTGCCATTCCGTGGAGGCGTCATCTCAAAGGATACGCCGTGGTCCAGCTCCAAAGATTGAGGAGTAGTAATGCGAGGTCTCGTATTCGTCTTCTTGGGAGGTGTTTTCGTCGCGTTGGTATTGGGGAATAGTGAAAACCCCCCAGAGGGCGCGTTCGACGACGGCATGTTCGCCGACTTATTACTATCCTTCCTTCTGTGTCAAACAGGTGGAATGACGGGGGTTCCTGAGCCTCCCGAACGGAAACGACTTGATCCGATGCCAGCAACAGCGCAAAGTAACGTCTCGACGGGCGTATGGGCCTGCTAGCGGGACATGGTCTCTCGAGAACCAGATTGAAAATTCGCAATCAGGGTGTATGTAACAACGGGAGACCGACCGCTGATCGTCAACGTATACAATTCGAACAACAGAGAGGCAAACCGAAATAATAATAGACACGGAAAACCTTCTTTCCACTCGAGTACTTTAGGCAAAACGAAGAGAGGTAGGGAATATGTATATACCTACCGTAACCAGCGAGAGCGCCGTAAAACGCACACACGCACCTGCATACTCGCACACACGGCTTGCATACTTTGAACCTCTGGCGCGCGCTGACTGGCCCAATAATTCTCACGCCTTGCCATTCTCTACTCCGGGGCCAAGCCCATAAGCCCAATTCCTACGCGCTCATGACCATAACAGCTGGTTGGTGGGGTCTCGTAGGGCCATGTTCTTCAACCGCCTAATTCCTCCCGGCGTGCATTAGGCGGGGAGAGCAACAAAAGAGGGAGAGGGGTGGTGCGAGCTACTGTTGTTCGCGGTCCGTATCATTCGTTCCAGAGCAGGAGAAAGGGGACCGAAATAGAACTGCCCGTCCACATTGGAACCTGGTCGCGCTTGTTTGAGTGAAGGAGGACGGGCGGCTAGCTGTTGGGTGATATCGCATTTGATTCGCTTGCCCGGTATGCACCAGGAGGGGTTGGGCGGTCCGGGATCCAGGCCCCATTGGTCGTTTTGGCAGCGGCAACCGAGATTGTGCGGCGATCTTTTTTTAATGCGTCCTCACCGTCTCGTTGGCCTTGCTGACCTGCAAGATTTATCAATTCCAGCCGTTAGCCTGACGAGCGCCTCGTGGGGTAAGTCGACAGGCATTTCTGCATTTCTGCAAGCGATTTGGGGTCGCCAGTTCTGGCTAGAATTGCCGATCTACCAAGGTTTTTTATCGTTTTATCGCCGACATCTGCGGATAGGTAAGAGGTGATCGCGTAGAATGCCGAGGTTGGAAACAAGCTTAAGCATTATTCCATGGGTTGGCGTCTCGTCGATAGTCCCGGAAGAAGTAATGACGCCGACTGCTTCGGTTTCTTCGTCTCGTTGGATCGCTTCGGCTACCTCGGTCTTCAGAAGTCCAACGAGCTACAGACAACTAGGCTCCAGAATGTTACATTCTTGTCAAATACTACGACTTGACCAAGCAGGTGCCACTCGCCACTCGTGCCTACTCCTAAGTAATCCATATACAGCACCACGTGTAGTATCGCGTAATGCTACTACTCCTTGGCCGGCCGCCTTCTGCGTTAGCTATGAAGAGGTATGATCAAAGGTCTGGGCATTGGATATCCTAACTGTGTTTAGGCTGGATAGATTGACACTTCCCAGCAGAGAATAAGATGGGACCCTCGATTGAGAATGCCACTACAGGTGCTGACCAACTCAAGACTTGATCATACGATTCTGCCCCAAATATACATAGGGCCAAGACCGTTGACATCTTAATTGGGATAAGCTTACCTTTGATCGTAGCAGGTCTTGGACTGCTGCTTCGGCAACTCTGCTGGCATGAAGTTTGTCCTCAGGTTGTATATTCAGCCAACTGTTTCTCAAATGGGACGCAAACATGCTCGAGTCATTCCAGAATGAGCCGCCCCTGCGTGCCATCGATTCGATTTTGACTCGAGCCCCAGAATATTGATATTTGCGGATAATATCCTGTGTAACCCCGATTATGGCCGGTCGCCTATTCTTCGGTGACGGCAATGTATCCGGCTCTCGGACCCCACACAAGTTCCGATACTCGGACCACCGCCGCTTCCGACTCGGTCACTCTGATTTGTCTCTACGCATCATCGTCGAAAGCTCAGTGATGTGGAGCTATGTGAACCGTTCTAGTCGAATTAAGTAGCAGTGATTTCATTTCCATGCTTTGAGCTTGGTATGAGCTCATCTACTATCTACTTGATCCATACTTCAGGTGCCGACAGCCTAGATCGTAGGTCCGAAGTACAAACCCCAACGGAAGTTTGAACGTATACATATCTCACGATAACTCCGGGATAGCTCGGCAGCATTCGTAATTCGCACTTCTGAACGAACGAATTGTTATACCCTCTCTCCCGCCAAGATGCCTCACGCCGTAGTATTAGGGTAACCTTTCCCTTACCCCATATCCCAACTCAACCCTCCGTCTCAAACTAACCACCTTCCACAGTGCTGGCGTCATCGGCCTCAGCACCGCCCTCCACCTCCAATCCCAATCCCCGTACTCCATCACCCTGCTAGCCCGTGACTTTCCCTTGCCCTCAGAAACCATAGATGCGGTCTCCCAAATCAATTTCACCTCCCCCTGGGGCGGAGCGCACAACCGTCTCGTGCCCCCCACGAACCCAACCGAAGAGCGAGAACACGCCATGTCCCTGCGGACATTCACCCACATGAAAACCCTCCACTCCCAAAACCCTGGGGAGGCGGGGATCACGTTCATGAAAGGGGTGGAGTACCTCGAGGCGCCTGGTCCCGCCTACAAAGAACTGAACGACGAAAAGGCGAAGAGTTTGGGGATGGAAGGGTTTAGATTGTTGAGGAAGGAGGAGTACCCGGATGAGAGAGTGACGTGGGGCTGTGAGTATGATACTTGGTGTGTGAACCCGATGGTGTTTTGCAGTTTTTTGTTAAGGAGGTTCGTATACCTCGGGGGGAAGGTGGTAAGGAGGGAGGTGAGGGATCCGGTGGAGATATTTGGCATGAGAGATCTTGGGGAGGTTGACGTCGTGGTTAATTGTTCGGGCAATGGGTTTGGGGATGAGAAGGTGTTCATCACTAGGGGTAAGTTATCTGTTCTCGTGTCTCCTTTTCGGAATAGGCCCGCTAACGGAGTGATTTAGGCCAGACCTGTCTCGTGGCTAATGCATGCCCTGTCACTGTCACTCGCCAAAATGCCGATGGATCATGGACTTTCTGCGTGCCGCGGAATTTCCAAGGCGGCACTATCATCGGCGGGACGAAGGAGCCAAATAACTGGGATCCGAATCCATCGCCAGAGGTGCGAGCGGGTTTGTTGAAGAAGTTTGCGGCAACGTATCCTTGTATACTCGATAGTCACGGTGGGGGCTTCCAGGTGATCAAAGACATCGTTGGTAGGCGGCCCACCCGCAAAGGTGGCATGAGACTGGAGAGAGAACAACTAAGCAACGGTAAATCCATTGTACATGCCTATGGTCTGGGTGGGAGAGGGTATGAGCTGAGCTGGGGAGTGGCGGAGGGTGTTGCAGAGTTGCTTCCGAAGCCCACTACCCGAACCTCGAAGTTGTGATACCACAGAAGGCAAAACAAAGATTCTGTGTGTTCTCACTTGTACTCCAGGGATTGATCATGTCCTAGAACTTTTGGTATACATCAAAGGACTGAATGCTAGTATAGACTTTCTTAGGTTGTCTTCGTTCTAGTGGTGTCATGGCATCACTTGAAAAGGGGCGTATCGTGTCGGACCATGCGGTCTGTTCAATTCCGCCTAATATGTCTGGCAGTGATTTAGAATATGTACTCGTCTCTCGCGTCGTCCGTAAATAGGGCCATCTAATGCCAATGCAATGGAGAAAGCATGCAGTTGTTCCAAGATCCATATCTATGTCCACTGTTGCAGTCAAACTTAATTTTTGCTGATTGCCTTTACGAAAGATTATGTTGATGACGGCAAATAGTGTCGCAACTGTCATTTCTGAATGTGGTCCCACATAGTCATCATGCCTTGCGGTTCCGGGAACCTAGTAAAGTGGACGAGATCTACCGCCTGGAAGCGAACGTCGAACCTCTCGCTCATGGAAGTCGATTTTGTTCAGGGTATTCTTGCGGTCACTGGGACACTCGACCGATCGAGCAGCCGTATTGTTGTACGGGCAGATCAGACCCAGGCTCGACTCGTACCTGATGACCTGGTCTACAAAAGTTAGGTTAGAATATCTGTATGTAGAGAAGTATGGATAGCTTGACAGTAATCTTACCCGTCCTGAGCGAGGTGTGAACAGCAGTCTTGTTGACTCGACAATCGCACTCCAGCAGACCATAATGCGCAGCATCTTTCTTGTCGACACCAAAGGAACAATGGCCACACGTGTTGTTGAACAAGCCATGGCTTGAACAGGAATATCGTCAGTAGAATACCAAGTTGTGGAGAAGTATAACGGGGGACACACCTGTTGTAAGCCGGAATGAGGGTACCATAGGCATTGGCGAAGCAGTGGATAATGTCGAAATCGAGGCACTGGGTGGCATTCTCGAGGCTCTCCCCACACTGCGCCTGGATCCAGAAGGCGCTGCCGGTCTCATTACGCCAGTCGATCAAGTTGCAGTTCTTGAGGTAGGGCGAGGCGAGGGTGCCTGTCAGGGTAATGAGGACCAGCAAGATGGAAGTGAGGAACTTCATGATGGTCGTGATGATTAAGGAGCGGGCGGTGAACAAATAAGACCGGGTGATTCCTCCTGTAAGGAATGACGAAATGAAAGAATGGATGTCGAAGTCGAAAAAGTCGACGTGTTTGTGGTGAGCTGCAGACAGAATCAGGGCAACGAGTCCTGGATGGATTGATGTATTCAAGAAGGCGGCCCCAGAGTGAATTCACCGGCTTGCTGTTATCTTACCTAAGGCACTGCAAAAAGAAGCCGCTACTTGAAACGATGGAGTTGCGGGTTTTCCTGGCAGTCACTAGCAAACGCGTTCCTGCAGATTCATTTGGAGGAGACCCTGGGGACAAGCACTTAGAGTCCTTGCCTCTGATAGATACTACAGTTACACAAGGAAGGAGCGAGACGAGGCTTGCACTACTACATGGAACAGCAGGCAAATACCTCTACTATTAGCCTATCGCTAACGGTTTGCACCGAGCTTCTACAGTTTCTTCAAGCAGGGAAGGTAGTCGTGTACACCGTCTGCTCTCACCAAGCAGTTATAGGCACGTCACCATTGACCCAGAAAGGCCCCAGCTGATTTGACAAATTGATTGACACCATGAGAGGAACTACCTAACATACGAAAGGTGCCCCTTGTACACGACAGACGTCCAAGAATGCTTCCTTGCTGATAACTACGAGCTCACCGAGGTTGACCAAGGGTGCTGCTGTACCAGGCTATGCTGAGGCATGGCAGTATCGAAAACCAGTGGTTGCGAACAAGAACACACTACTAACAGATGAAAGTTCTTTATGGTACAACTAAAAGTGCGGCGGTATCAGTTACACTCTATGACCGTGTGGTTTTTCCTCTCCCACCAAGACGTAAGCCACCCTTCCTTCACGCTCGTCAATAACCTAGAAGTTTCGGCTCATGTCGTTTCTAATTCTTTGGTAGTCAAGTAAGCCCTCAATACTGCCAACAGCGCTGATGGCAACGTCTTGATCCCAAAGCTTCCGGTTTGCGAACTCCATTACATCCTTCTCTGTGACTGCATCGATGACGCGCTCGATCTCGCCAGGGTTCATCCGACGGCCAGTGGTAACAAGTTGACGACCGATATCCTCGGCAACTGCGGAGGTGCTGTCAAGGGACAAGAGGATGGAGGCTTTCAGTTGTGCCTTGGCGCGCTCAACCTCGGATTCAGTGACGTTGCTAGACAGTCTGGACCATTCCCGCAGAGCGAAGTGGACAAGGTCGTCAAGACGGGTGACTTGGTCAGACACTAAGTAAATACCCCACAGACTATATATCTTGTTAATATATTTGCAACACATACGGCCAGCAGTGGACTTACCCAGTGTCACTGTAGCTGGTAGAGAAGCTCATAAAGCTGTTGGCGAGGCCATTCTCGTGAATAAAGCCGCTGAGCTTGTTGCCTTGGTGAGGTGCGCTGCCCATAGCCTTGTCGTAATTGCCAACAATAGCTTGAGTAACCAAAGCGGTGAAGTAGTCGTCATCGTTCCAGCTTACACCCTCAACTGCCAGGGCAATGTGTGCAGCAGGGATGGTGTCATCACGAACACGGATATCGGAGCCAATGAAATTCGGCTTTCTCTTCGACAGCAAGTAGGCGGAGTTGTGAGGCGAAGTCGTAGGAAGACCCGAGAAGTTCTTCTCTGCCAACTCAACCAGCTGCTCGTGGGCGATGCCACCGGCGCCCACAAGGACCATACGATCAGCCGTGTAGTTGGTCTTGATGTAGTTGGTGAGCTCAGTACGGGTGATATCGCGGATGTTTTCACGGGGTCCTAGGATGGTGCGGCCCAAGGGCTGGTGTTGGTAGGCGGTGGCGTGCAGGTGGTCGAAAACAACCTCGTCCAGCTGCTTCTCAACCTCCTCAGACTCGCGCAGAATGACGTCCCGCTCACGCTCGATGGAGCCGTGCTCGAGCTTGGAGTTTTGGAGGATATCGGCAAGGATATCGACGCATTGGGGCACGTCCGAGTTGAATGCTCTCGAGAAGTATACTGTGTTTTCACGCTGTCCAGATTGTCAGTAGGCGGGTTCTTCGAGACGCCTGGTTGTCGGTTCAGATATTTCACGCACCGATGTGTAGGCATTCAAGTGGCCGCCCATGTTCTCGATCTCGAGCTCTAATTGCTGTTGCGTTCGCTTCTGGGTACCCTGATTCGGCCGTCAGTATGATGACACATCGCTCTGCTGGATACAGCATATATACCTTGAAGGCAAGGTGCTCCAGGAAGTGTGCGGTGCCATTTGTCTCGTCCGTCTCGGATCTGGAGCCGGCATCAATCCATACGCCCACTGTGCTTGTCTGCGCCCATGGCGAGTACTCGGTGGCGACCTGGCATTATTCGCAGTCAGTAACAGCGCCTTCGGATGATGATGGGACCAATTGGTCATCGGGGCGCTCACAGTCAGGCCATTCTTGAGTGTTGTAGTCTGTGTCTTCGCGCCAACAGGAGACGACACTGGTGTAGCAAAACCTCGCTTCAACGATCGCAGGGCGGGGGATGCAGCTCGACTGCGAATCCCCTGTGCGAGGTTTAGTGCTAGTCTCCTGGAGGCCATCGGATCGATGATGATGGGGGTGGTGAGAAGGAGCGGGTTCGGGTTGAGTGGTTTGATGCGGAGCGAAATCTTTCGAGGTTCCGTCCGTCAGAATCTCGGCTTCAGAGGCAAGGCAAGCAGCTCAAATTTGGTATGTCCAGCTGTCATTGGCCCGTTCCTGCTCCTCCCACCCCAGGAGTCCGAGCTCCCGAGGGTTTTTGAGCCACAGTTTCCGCACCGCCACTGGGCTCCAAGGTCAGATGATTCCTGCTGGCAGTGATTGGTGGGTTTGGTTTCGTCAAATCAACTTGTTTCAGTGACGAACAGTGAACCAGTACTTTACAACCGTAACATCAAAGATATGCATAATATCATGGTTGGCCAAGGCTTGCTGTCTTCAATTCATTTCAAATATAGCAGTATCCCATAGTCATCTTGTGCGAAGAGTGCCGTTTCAAAGCAACTTTCCATGTTCTGAGAATTTCTGATCCGGTTGTGGTGGAGTATGGACATGTCATTCAAGGTTGAGAGCTACTCACTGTGTTAGGCCAGGCACTGCACGCACTGGATAGCTTGGTTCATGTCGGAGCCACGTCAGGTCTGCAGGTAGACCAGCGTCGCAGCTTGAACAACCAACACATACGTCGATAATCTTCATCTCAACTTCCCAGATTCCAAAGTCTTGCTTGTTCATTTTTCATTTGGTAGCATTCCGCACACGGCACTATGGGTGACGAGGAGTACGACTTCGGTGCTGAGTTTCAAGCCGTCTTCATCCCGAAGCAGAAACCACCTCCTTCCAACCTCGATGAGATGGGTGCTACAGTATCAAGCTACCCGCCTCTGGGACAAGTGACCCAAGTCAAGGGTGGAAACGTCCCTTTCACGATTCTTCTCGAGGCCGATGAGAAAGAAGCCAAAGATCCCTGGGAAGTCGTTCTCTGGCATTCTGAGGGCGGCGAATGGGTGGAAACGGTGCTGGATCCAGTGGGAAACGGGCCATCGCCAACTTCACTACAGAATGCCGAGGCGGAGAAGGCACGACTGTACTTCAAGTCATCCGTTTCCGTCTCATCCACGTTGAACTTCACCCTCAAGTTCCGCAGTCAGCCGGACCAACCCTGGAAATGGGCAAGGGATGAGCAGAGTATGGGAGACGGGGTTATTATCGTCAACTCTGACAGGAGTCAGACCTCGGCCAAATTCTCCGATGTCATCCCAGACCTCAACTCTGACCTGAAGGCCAAAACTGCAGCTAGCCAGTCCCCTGGCACAGAAGTTTGGACAATCGAAGCATCGGTCGGTCCAGCAAGTGGCGACAATTCCACATTCGCAGATACAAAACTTGGACTTCCCTTTGGTGGATTCTTGCGATGGTTCGCCCTGGTCCGTATTTGGAGTCCGTGGCTGGCCCCCAGACACGGCAAGGAGTCCTTCGAGCTTGACAAGGACGCCGTGATGGCGTCTTTCCTTAGCCCCAAAGGCAAACACCTGGTACTTCTTGCAGTCAGTGGTGTCAACGATGTGACGACAGTTTTCCGCCATTCTGAGGATGGGAAGGTATTGCTACATTTGAGGAACGACGCAGAAAGCTCGTCATCTAGCACAATCATCGCAGCCATCGGGGACAACTTCGACAGTGCCATGGCCGCAACCATGTACCATGCTAGGAATATTGTTATGTCCGCGAAGAAAGTTGATCAGGAGCTCGACAAGGAGTTGCAGGCCTTGCGAGACGGCGTAAAACCCGAGTGGATGGAGAACTGGTATGACGGTTTAGGATACTGCACTTGGAATGCTCTCGGCCAAGACCTCACAGATGAGAAGGTGTACAAGGCAGTCGACACCCTTGCCGAGAACAACATCAATGTAACCAGTCTGATCATTGACGATAATTGGCAAGATATTGACTATACTGACCCAAGCCAATTCCAAAGAGGATGGAACAGTTTCGAAGCCGAACCCAAGACGTTCCCCAAGGGTCTGAAGGAGACCGTCAGTCGGATTCGCTCGAAACACCCCAACATCCAACATATCGCTGTATGGCACGCTTTACTCGGGTACTGGGGTGGCATAACTCCAGGCAGCAAGCTCGCCAATGACTACAAGACTGTAGTAGTCGACCGTGGCGATTCGAAACGGAGGAACCTACCCTTAGGGGGCCCTATGACAGTCATCGCCAAGGAAGACGTCGGCAAATTCTACGATGACTTCTACCGATTCCTGTCTGACTGCGGTATCGACGGAGTCAAGACAGATGCTCAATTCATGGTTGACGAATGGGTATCAGCCAAGCATCGTCGCGAACTCACAACCACCTACCTCGACGCATGGATGATATCATCCCTGCGACACTTCAGTATCAAGGCCATTTCCTGCATGTCGCAGACGCCACAGATCCTCTTCTACTCTCAACTCCCACGCAATCGACCAGCAGTGCTCGTCCGAAACTCAGACGACTTCTTTCCGGCGATCCCCAAATCGCATCCCTGGCACATCTGGACCAACGCCCACAACACGCTGCTTACGCAGCATCTCAACGTTCTTCCCGACTGGGATATGTTCCAAACCGTTCATGATTACTCCGGTTTCCATGCTGCTGCCAGGTGTCTGAGTGGTGGACCCATCTACATAACCGACACGCCAGGTGACCACAACATGGACCTCATCGGGCAGATGACAGGCCCAACGCCCCGAGGAAAGACAGTGATTTTCCGACCAAGTGTTCTCGGGCGCACTATCGATCAGTACAATGGTTACGACGATGATGCAATCCTGAAAGTGGGCGCCTACAACGGCTTCGCCGTCACTGGCACGCCCATGCTGGGCGTCTTCAACATCTCGGCGCGGCCGCTAACGGAACTCATTTCATTGTCGCGCTTCCCGGGTGTGCTACCATCGATGAAGTATGTTGTGCGTGCACACAACAGCGGGCTCGTCACTTCGGTCGTGCAGCCGGACTCGCGGGCGGCGCTTCTGCCTGTCTCGCTCGACGTCAGAGGCTACGATATCTTTGCCGCGTTCCCTGTGGAGCAGTTCTACAGCGATGCAAGGGGCCAGGTCTATGTTGCGAGCCTGGGGTTGCTTGGCAAGATGACGGGTGCTGCAGCCATTACTATGAACAAGTACGATCTGTTGCGGAACGGAAGGGCGTTTGTAGACACGCGCCTCAAGGCTCTTGGAGTACTCGGTAAGCGGCCCATGTTTTAACCGGGCCTCTCTGATAGGATGCTTGACTGACAATTAATCAGGCTTGTATATCTCTGTACTGTCCGACCTATCGGTCGAGGACGATTTCATGGTTACCATCCAGGGTCAGCCCATCCCTCCACACACCGTCTCCGTGAATCCGGCAGACACTCATGTGCTGCAAATCGATGTTGAGGCAGCGTGGGAGGAGATGAGTCTCAAGCCTGGCTGGAACAACGAGGTTGAGGTGAAGGTCTACATCACCATCGACACTGATGAACCCGGGTCTGACCCCGAGGATTATATTATATCGGTCTAGGTTACTTTCCCATGGGCAGTGTGTATTGTTGAGGCATAAAACTTGGTCGAGGCACATGAGAATGGACGATTACATGACACGGGAAGTTGCAAAAGAAAAAGGATTGGCACCAGAAATTGCAAAACTGGGGGATTATATAGCTTAGTAGTGTTTTGATGTGGTTTTAAGATCCTTAAGCTAAAGCTTATGTTCTCAGCTCTTGGTCTTGTCGCGTATATGATTTCTGCCCTCTGAAGATACGTTTGTCTGCTGGTTTCGGCTGTGACGCACGCCTTTTCTTCTTCCAAGAACCCAAGCATAAGCGGCCATCGCAAGCGCAAGATCAGAAGCAAGAGAATCAGAACATAGCTTATAATTAAAGTAATTGTTGCAGCGCCTGTCAAACATGGTGGCTCGTATCTGGGCTCTTTGATTGTTATCGCCTGATTCCAAATCATTTGTAGCTTACAGGCTTGGGGGGAGTAGGCTTTTGTGCTGGCGTCGTAACTATATCCATGGTCCCTCATTCGTGGAAATCGTTGTTGATCAGTAGTCCTATTCCCGGCAACTACAAAGCCGTTAAGCCAAATCGGTAGCGGTTAGCATAATACATAAGCTTTACGTTACTGGGGGGTGTCATAGTGAAATCCATCCTGAATCGACTTACATAGCAGCTCCGTATCTTCGAAATCCTTCAAAGCATCAACGGGTGCCTCTGCAACATTGTACGGCGAATGTACATTCCCTAAGTTCAACCCCGACACGCCGTAATTCGCTTTCATTTGGTCCCAGGTTTTGGAGGCCTGTTGAACGAACGGAAATTATCCTGAAAATAGTGATTACCTGACTCCTCATCAACGTTCTAGAAGATAAAGCAGTGAACCTATCGTCCCCCAATGATAAACCACTCGTGGGACTCCAAGTATCATAGAAGTATCTTGTGACCTTCAATTTCATAATTATGAACTATTGCCGAAAGCAGAATAACACGGTTGTAATTCCATGATTTCCTCCTCTTTGCTTATGTATGGCATTGCCTTCAGGGTTAGATGACATGTGAACTCGTGGTTCGGCGGTAGCACTGCATATATACATATAGAGCTACCTCAAATCAATCAATCAAGTCCAATGGCAGTCAGACCATCTCCTCCTAGTCTCCATCAGGCTCGCGGTGGGCCAACTGAACGCTAGGTTGTACTGCCACTTAAAGACCTTCTACTTCGGCGAAAGTACTCATAGTAGACTTGTGGTTCGTTGACGGTGTGGTGGATAAACATATTAGCTGATCATTTCGATGGCCAGGAGACTGCAGATTGACCCGATAATCTCATTCTTTGCGTACAAGCCACACTTGTTGAAGTCTTTATCACCCTTACGGGTTGCCAAGGCATGTTGTAGCTCGTCAAGGTATACACGTCTAGTGGAACAAAGTACCATCGCCACAATCCGTAGTCCATATTCGTGCGGGTTCTTCGGATCGCCCGCTTCGGCTATGCGTTTCAGGGTTGCATTGTGGACTCCAGAAATGTCTGGCATAGTTTGTCGAGGCCTTCCTCTATGTCTCGAAGGCTCGGTCTTACCCCAATGATCTCAAGATGCCAAAGAGACAGGAGGAGTCTGCTCAAGTCGTTAGAGGAAAGGATGAAGTATAGACGTAGACAACTTACATTCCTTTAGCATTGCGAGTTAATGTCTCCACAATCTTCTTCTTTTGCTTCGACTTGAACGTCACATACTTCAAAATCATGCTTCCTCTCGTAGGACATGCGGACGTGCGGCTTAGAGGCCACAAGCATCCTGCATCTATCTTGACCCTCCCGTGTAATATACTAAAAGTCTTCAGATATGGCAATGGGATATATTGAGCAACTTTGGTCTTCGTCGTCGTTGGAGTACCCCAGGCCGCCCAGTACTGTGAAGCAGCGTTTGAGCTGTTTCACAAGTGATTTAAGAAGCTTGACACGTTCGTGGGCAGGGAGACCGCTTTCATCAGTCTTGTATTTCATCCAGGCATCGCACACGTCCTTTGGAATAGGTTGACGAGGATCAATATAGCCCGCGAGCTGTAAAATGACGCTGCATAGCGAAGCCTGGCGGGGTTGGTCTTTCCTACGGTCATAACCGCAATTGAGTTGGACCGCCGGAGCCGAATTTGTTAGATACTGAACACTCTGTGCACTGTTTTCTCTGTCAGCAATACAAACCATGTCATGATAAAATCACATACATCATGATGCTTTTCACAGTACCAGTTACTGTCATATCAGTCTCTCAGGCCCCACAGGTCGAAACAGAGGCACTCGCGCTTTCTGTGAAACCGAAGTATCGGTGGTATGCCTGTTTGGTCTGCTTCGAGGTTTTGGATGAAGCCCCAGGATCTGGATTCTTGTCGATCGAAGATCGACCCACCTGTATCAGCATGATGCCGATAGAGTAGCCCGTTGTGACGATGAATCTGGGGCTTTTTATTACTCGAATTGCGTTGGCTGAAAAGCCCTTCGATTGTCTCACTAATGTAAACCCCGCGAGGGGGTCTGTCACAGCTACGCTGGTTAGTTCTGTTGTATTCTGAAAGCAGCATCTGGAGGTGAAGTGATAGTGAACCAACCTATATTCTAACGACAGTCACTTCAGGTCTTCTATCTGTAACGCGTTCAGTCCCTCAACTACAATTGGTAAAACTCTCATCTTCCGCATCCTGGGAAATTGAGCCGATGTTTGCCTGGACCGCAATGCAGCCGTTCTATCTTCCAACGATCGGCCCTCTAGCGATAGATCCTTGACATCTTCCAGGAGTCGATGTGATGGATCATACGTACTTTTTGTCACTGCTTGATAATCTCTTGGCCGTTCTCAATGATCTGGGGATGTTCTTCCATAAGACGCTGGAAGTCAGCCCCAGATGCTTCTTCGAATTTGTTGATATCAAAATGATCACAACCTCGTGAAATTATCTTGGTTGAGTTGACTTCATCAAGGCAACCCGAACATTCGCACGATATGAAACCATTTATTGAAAACAAATTAGCGAAGACATCTTGCGAGCATAACAAGCGTCTCGTATCTGCGCCATCCCCATTGTTGTCTCCAGCACAGTCTTCTCGTATACTGATAGAACTGGTGGTTTGTTGCAGCCTGGATGATCCACAAAGGTTAGAGACAGCATTGGTAGATAGGAATGCTGCTGAAAACCCGGCATATTGCTTCACGTGAATTTTTCATGCTCGTTAGACTTTCATCGCTTGAGGACTTGGAAGAGAAACAATTTCTGAAATGATGTTGAAAACGGTTCGAAGAGCAGTGACTGGGGTCATCTACAGAATAAATCATGGTTTGAAGGGTTGGTAACTCAATTCGACGATGGGAGTAGCTCCAGAGAATAAGAAGGAAAGACCAACGGAGGTCGTACTTTTCACTTATCCGAGCACTTGATAATGTAAGATGAAAGCGTATTCAACAATCCAAATTATCGGCGCAGAAGGTTGAGACCATACCTGATGATGATGATGATGATGCCATTGCTCTAATGTTGTGAAACCCGGCTTATGTTGAACCAACTGGAACAACAATGGTTTGGTCACTATGCGCTGCAAAGGCTCTATGGAACTCTTCCTCAACTGCCATCTGACTTCAGGCTTGCGCAGAGTCCCGTCTTTTCATTTGTGAAGTAGATGGAAGCAATAAAACAACACATCCATAGGTTACTACACATGAAAATATCCAATATCCTTGCGCCTGGACGAGCTGATAGGACTAGATGAATTGCTACGTACCTTAACACACTACGGAACTTTCGAGTCAACAGTAACCCGGATTGTCAAAGTCGCCAAGCCGAGGCAGGCTACAGGGGTTTCACGCCCCTGAACATTGTGGGGGTGGGGCTTTTTTGAGGGTATCACATGCGCTTCTCACCATCTTCTTTGCGCAGTAGCCCCAGTCGCGCTTGCATCTCGAACTTTTCCAAACACTTGCTTGCTTGCTGCAGGTTCGTACCCTGGACAGTTATACTAAACTGCATCGCTTATCCCAGGCCAACGTGAGAGTGCGCGCCGCGACGCGACACTCGAGAATGAATCCCCGCTACCCCTCTGCCCCCATTTGGTGAGATTTCACGTAGGGTAGCGCAGGCACCATCACCATCACGAACATCCATCCATCCGTCCAATGGCAGACAAGTCGTCGCACTCGCCCAGCTCGGGCGGCGCGAATGGTGACGACAAGCCGAGGTTGACGGAAGAAGAGAAGAAGGCGAACCATATCCAATCTGGTCGGTTTGCCCGGTTCAATACATTATTTGGGTTTGTTGAAGATAAGGCAGCTGATCTAATTGCGTAGAGCAAAAACGTCGCCAGGCGATCCGCGACGGCTTCGATCGGCTGTGCGAGCTCGTTCCCGGACTGGAGGGACAAGGACGCTCCGAGGGTCTTGTGCTCAAGCGTAGCGTCGAGTATATGCGCGAGCAACTGGAGCGGCGCCGCGAATTAGTGCTGGCTATGGAGGCGCGAGGTGAGCCGGTTATGGAGAAGTATAGAGAGTTCGTGCCGCTTGAGCATCTTCTCAAGGGAATTGCGGTGGTGCTAATGAGAGTCATAGGCCGGTCAAGATCCTTGAACGACTGGAGGAATTAGAGAGGAAGCGGGGGCCAATTAAGGACGAGGATGAGAATGACTCTTAACGAGTGAGACATGCTGGAGAAGCGGGGACGATTAGGCGCGGCGCATCGGAATTGAGTTTGTGTGGAGGACGACCATTATGTCGTACCATATACTAACAGCTGTGCAAATCGAGGAGATTTGCGCGGATAGCACAAAACGTTAACAGCGTCAGGAACACCGTTGACATGTACAAAGCTATACACGATGAGTGAATAGCTCGAAAGCCAACCGCAACTACTCCCATGAGAACGAAGCGGACAAGTTATGACAGGGCTTCGAATGGCCTGTCCAATACATTACAAGCTCGGGGGATCAAGCCACTAATATACAATTTGTACGTACAGCGTCGTTCGATTTATGCATACGCATCAACTTTAGCCTTCAATAAAGTGAGAAGCTCCTGCGGGGTCATCTCCTTCTGCTTGTGTATGTCTCCTGGGGTCCCGTCGGAGAATCGGGACAGATCGACCGTGACAGTCTTTTTAGGCAATTGCCTTGGCCCAATCGTGACGATGACTCCATAGCCCTTGGCTTTAGCCTCGCGGACCTTGGCTCCTATGCTGATCTTCCTGTTGTCCACATCTACAGACAGTTGAGAGGCATTGACCACCGGGCCCTGCTCGGCAGCGGTTGGGTCCTCCACTCCTAAGAGCATCTCTTGCACGGACTTTGCCAAGTCGAGAACGGGTGGGCTATCATTGATCACGAGAATGATGACCTGCCTTGGATTGAGCCAAAAGGGCCACTTGCCATTGTAATGCTCAATCAGTAGCGCCATCAGTCTCTCGACAGAGCCCAGCACGGCTCGGTGGATGAGCACCGGATGAACTGGCCCGAACTCTGATAGCTTCTCTGCGTCGGTCGTCGTCTCTCCCTTCTGTTCGAGCTCCGGCGCAGGTGCCTGATATTCCAGTTCGAATCGCTTTGGCAGCTGGAAATCTAACTGGATGGTGGCCGTCTGATGCTCCTTCCCATCCGAGTCTCGCAAAATGATATCGATCTTCGGTCCATAGAATGCTCCATCGCCCTCATTGATGGTCCATTTCTGTCCCGATGACTCGAGGGCTCGCTTCAAGGCGCTTTCCGCCCGGTCCCAATCGTCTGCTGTTCCAATATACTGATCAGCCGGTCGCGTCGACAAGGCCAACCGGTACGGGCCCAATTTGAAGACATTGTACGCAACGCGCACGAAGTCGAGTGTCTTGCGAATCTCCTCCTCTACCTGAGACGGCCGGCAGAATATGTGTCCATCATCTTGGTGAAATCGGCGCACACGTGTCAACCCGCTGAGAGCTCCTGACACCTCATTTCTGTGTAGCGGGGAGAAGTCGGCGTATCGGATTGGCAGATCGCGGTAGCTTCGTCGTTGAGCGGCGAAGATTAGGCAGTGGCCAGGACAGTTCATGGGCTTAAGACCATATTCATCTTCTTCGGTGCTTTCTGTGGCATCGTTGCGTGATGGCGATGTGCTGGTCACCGTGAACATATCATCGCTGTAGTTTTCCAGATGTCCCGATTTCGCCCAGAGCGCCTTCTTGTAGATGGTGGGGGTGATGACTTCTTGGAAGCCATAGCGGACGTATTGGTTTCGCAAGAAGTCGACGAGGCGGTTGAATATTCGTGCGCCGTTGGGGAGGAGGAGAGGGGAGCCAGGGCTGTATACTGAGGTCGCAAATAACTCTTGCTGTACACCGAGCTGTCGGTGATCTGCTGGGGGTTTTGGTGGCGTGTCGCTGGTAGCGTGGCTGCCACAGGCTCTACGAAAGACGGTAGGAACTAGAACATGGGGCGTGGTACATGAAGTACGAGTCACACTACGAGGACATAGCCTCGCGGCTCTCCTTAACAGCATCCCGATGTTCTATCATCGACTGAGCTCTGGTCCATCTCTCTCAGCCAGAAACCGAATCGTAGAACGAAATTTGGGACCGACGTTGAAGCGCCCCATCTTTTCCCACAGCTCGTTGCCATAACAGGACTAGTCTGCCATGCAAAACCGCCAGGGTATGGCAGATGCAAGGGCCAACCATCAAGTCACGGCGAAGACGAGCGAGACCATGTGACAGGGATGCTGGACTCCGAAGTCATCCGCACCTTTGTGTTACACTTCATCTTATCTCCATCGACGCGGCGGATTTCCTTCGATTTGAACCTCGATACAACATCATATCAAAGAGGAGACTGTGCATATTGTGCCTATTCTGTGCGATCCGTTATTCAGTCACTTTGTATGCTCTTCTCGTGAGTCATCGCTCTTGGAGTACAAGTCTTGGCACCTGAGGACCACATTGTTCAAGTGGTTGCCTAGTCATAGCTATAAAACTGGCGTATCCGCCTCATCGCGATCAAGGAATTTCGCCACTTCAGCGCGCAACACGCAACGCGACTTTCCACGGTGCGACTTTGCTACGTCTGCTGTATCTTTGGCTCAAACATCTGGATCTGTCGCAACGTCACCTGTTGACTTGGAACTGAGCTGGGTGCGCTTTGGAGGCGAGGACAACGCGTGCCTCAAGCAATGAGACCCAAATAAATTGGACCATCCCCCAACTATGGCACGCAAACAGACCAGACAGACAAAAATGGCCGTGGAAGATTCCTGGCGTATGGTAGAAGAGGGCGAGAATGACAGTTTCGACACCTCCATTGTCCAGGGCCCTTATGAAGATGACCTCATTCCCTCCAGCGGCCCTTCACAACTTTCCTCTTCGCAAGGCTACAACACAGCCTCTCAAGATAGCATCCACGACTTTGTCAACAACGCAGATGATGACCAGGTTATCTTAAGGGCACCTTTTCATCCTTCCCTCGTTTCTACCCGACACGCCTCTGTGGACAAAGAACTCACGCCTGTACCTGAGTTCTTCATGCCAAGGGTTGAGGTTAACAGTCCACCACGCAGCAACCGGTCATCAAGAAAAACGATCCGCCCAGAAATGGACGAATCTCATGTGGTAAGACGGCGAGGTTTTCGCCAACAAGCTAATAATCCAAGCCCTCAAAAACACCAATGCCGCAATGGTGGAAGGACAGGAAGCGACGACCTGGATGGCTCGGCCAGGAGACATGAACCTACATTGGGGGAACGTTTCTCTGGTTCGGTCCCTACCTTCTTGTTTGACATAGCTGCCTGGTGCATTTCAGTGGTGGGGATGGCGCTGCGTTACGCGAAGTGGCCCATCGCCATCATGCTTGCCATATACATGACTATCGGCGCTGGCATGATTGCGAAGAACATGATTACCGAATCAATTTCAGCATCAATGTCGCCATTATGTCGCATCCCCGGTGCATCGTTTCTCGATCTCCCCTTTTGCCCAGACATGCCAGCGATGCCGGGAGCCAAGAATGGGACACATCCGGTTGAGTTCGATGAGCTCATGAGCGTGCAAGCGCAGTTTGAGAAAGTCCTCGAAGACTCTGCACAAGGCGTATCCCTACCAATGGAGATGAAGCGTGCAGAAGCTTCTGTTCGAGATCTCCGCACGTTGGTCAAATTTAGCGACCTCCCAGCCCGCGAGGAGCTTGTCTACGAATTCGACGGCTACATCGACACCGTACGAACCATCGCCACCGATCTTCAGAGATTTAATACTCACGTCGGAAGTGTGGTAGACAGCGTGATCGCCATCAACCGCTTTACAACGCGCTATATCGACTCCATTGCACTTACGCGCGAAGCAAACGACAACGTCGTCTCCCGCTGGAGCAACTGGATATTCTCTCCCTTCCAGCCCGCTGTCTTCGACGAGAGAATGCTCCTCGACATGTACGTGGAAAACACAGCCCAAGTATCCGACAAGATCGGCAGCTTGATCCTCGAAGCTCAAGCAGCGCTACGTCTTCTGGATCTGGCAGAGAACCACCTGCAGGCCATCAACGAAAATGTCGTTCGCAGCGGTAAAGTGGTCAAAGACGAGCAACACGAGGTGTTCTGGACGCTGTGGACACTTGTTGGGGCTAATGCGCGCCGACTGCACAATCTGAAGGCGCAGCTCGGGCTTCTGCGACAGGTCGACAAACAACGAAGCACTGCCGTGATGCAACTGGTTGGATTGGTACACGACTTGGGCGACATCCAGACGAAGCTGAGTGATCTGAGGACAGAGTCTCAGCCCCGGAGCTGTTGGTGGATCAAGCCAATATTCCGCTCAGCGTGCACGTCGAGACCATCAACGCAGGTATTGAAAGGCTTGAGGGTGCCAGGATGCGCATCAAAGCTGAGGAGAACGAGCGGATACAACAGGCGCTGAAGAGGGCCAGGCCTGACGATGATCGGTTGATTGATGGTTGAGCAGGCGTAAGATTGGGCGAGCACCTATTTGGTCAAGAGAAATATCTGTGTACATGGAATGGCGCATCCGGAGAAGGGGAATAGTGACTTACACATTTACTAGCACCTTAAATTTGTCAATGAACACTTGGTATATTCCGAGGCGGTACGGAAGACGCCGATGTTAGTTGTTAAACAGCTTGGGCATAGCAATCGTGCGCAACTGGTCACCATACAGAGCAGCTGAAACCAGTGCTTTGAGGACGTGGGCTCATGCTACCGCTTAAGGTGAGAAGTCACTGCGTTAGCCCCACCCCCCCTCCCTCCCCCGGACACTTCAATTTAAGGAGTTGCGGATGAAGCTGTAAGATGGGATCAAATGGTACTTGAAGTAAACCTACAATATACTGAATAGTTGCCAAGATCTAACCTGGAAAGACCGTTCTATATGCTACGCTTTCCCCGAAAGAGAAACTACCGAGATCAATTCGCGGGAGCGATAAGCTTAATAGAAATAGATTTTAGTGACGTACCTGCATCAGCTCCACCCATTGCTACCACAACGTCGAACAGAGCCTCAACTCCCTTCTACATAGTATAAGACCTTGGCACCATCACTTGCACAACATCTGCGAAGCCAATTCTCTCAATCATTGCCGCTATCCACATCTACTCAAATAAAAACACAATGGACGAGAAAACCCCCCTTGTATCCGAAAAGGAGACACCTCCCAACTACCCACCGCTAGACTATATCACCGCCGCCCGCGAACACGGCCTCCCCATCCGCCAATCCGGGCCGATCCGCAAAGGCCCGCAACCGATTGAGTTACCCATCCTCGCGTACATGAAATCGCACCGCGTGATCCTCGCCTCCGCTTCACCCCGCCGCAAAGCGCTCCTCGCCCAAGTCGGCCTCACCAACCTCGAAATCCTGCCCTCGACGAAGCCCGAGAATCTCCCCAAAACGGACTTCGGAGACCCCTTCGAATACGTGCGAGCCACAGCGCGGCAAAAGTGTCTCGATATTTATGCTCAGGCCATCAAGGAAAACGAAAATGACAAGAGCAAGGGCGACCCGGACGTGGTCATCGCGGCCGACACCGTCATCGTAACGCGCGCCGGGCAGATCCTGGAGAAGCCCCGCAGCGAGACGGATCATATCCGCATGCTGAAGCTACTAAGGGACACGCGGGTGCACCGCGTACTAACGGCGGTGTGCTGCATGGCGCCCAAGGCGGACGCGTCGCACCCGGGCTATGAGATCGATTCGTTGGTCGAGGAAACTAAGGTTTTCTTTGCGCAGGAAACGGATGGGCTGCCCGATGATGTGATTACGAGCTATGTGCGGACGCGGGAGGGCGTCGACAAGGCTGGCGGGTATGCGGTCCAGGGGATTGCGGGATTGGTCATGGTGGAGAAGGTGGATGGGAGCGTGGATAATGTTGTGGGGTTGCCCGTGAGGAAGTGCTTGCAATTGTGCGAGAAGGTGGTGTTTAGGCAGGGGCAGGAGAGTGGCGGGGAGAGTGAGGGAGAGGAGGAGTTTTGAGAGGGGACTGTGGTAAATGGAATTCCTTATCGCGTGTGGAAGTGGTAGGCTGTGGCCCTTGAAAAAAATACTGGGCTTTGTCACTGTGTTGCCAGCTCGGGGCCCTGGGTCTGCCGGAAGATTACTTCTCAACATGGTGCACCAGTTTTAGAGATCCAATAGCGACTTTGGAGTGCACCAACGGCAGTTCTGGTGGGTCACTCACCTTACACGGCGTTTGTGGTATTCCAACAGGGCCCGACTTGATTGTAAAGCTCCCATCTATTTACGCAGCTGCCAAGATGATCTCGAACGGTCTTGAGAAGCGGCCTTCGTTGCAGAGGCGATCTTGACAGAGAGCCCAAGAAATCGGGAGTTAGCCGTGGGATTGAACTTCTGATACCAATCTATTCACGAGAGGTTGCAATGGCTGTCATTGAAAGACCTTGGTACATCAACACTGCAGAGATGATGGCTGGTGTTTGTATAGGCCCATAGGGTACATATAGAAGTAGCTGTGAAGACAGGTAACAAACAGGTCTCTTGAAGTATCTACTCACGTATCCCACCAGTGCCTCCGGACTCAGTAATTATATATTTAGTAAACCGGATATCCATACATGCAGTCATATATAATTGGGAGGGCCAGAGTAGGGGGTCAACCGGCCCGGCGGCTTGCAAAGATTAGAAAAGAAGGAAATAACGGTAAGTTAGCTGTCGATATCCGACAACATCGACACTCCTCATTACGAGGGCGTCACACCCATCATACAGCTTGTCGCTCGGTGGGATACACGCATCTCATGTCATTCGTCAAGAGTCCGGGACTTCAATAAATGCTTCTCAACGCAGTGCCGTGCCAGCACGCAAGGCCACGATATGATTTTCGCCGAAACGGGCGATCGATGGTGTTATGTTGTAACCAGGCTGGACGTAATAGCCGTTGCGGTGTCATGAGGAATGGAGAGAATATGGATCGTACGAAGAATGGGCACATAAGTACATCTCTTTCAAGCAACGTAATGAGGAGTGAGGAGATTCGAATAAATCGGCAGAGTTGGTTTCAAAGGAACTGCAAGAAAAGGTGCCAAGTCTGCATAATTCGAAGGTCGAAGGTGAGATTAGCAACAATGTCGGGTCTCGAGGGGTCACCATGGTACGTATGCCTTGAGAGGAGGCACTGCTTCTTTATTGAACTAACTTTCGATGATAGTATTACAGGTTTTGCGTAGGTAAAGCAATACACGGCTGAAACTCGAGCGTCGTTCGAGAAGGAGAAGAAAATGGTCAGGAGTCTCAAAGACCACGATGGTATTGTCCAGTACGTTGGATGGTACCAGACTTGTGATTCAGCCAACAACGGTTCCACTTGCGAGCACTTCAACATTGTTCTGGAATTGGTTGAAATGGACCTCTAAGCGCCATCAGAAAAAATTCACCTGCACTATTGCCTCCCGAGATTTTGGGGTTTTGGGAAACCATGTTGCACATATCTTGTGCTTTGAAAGATATCCATAACCTGATGCTGGAGAACGTTTCTTACGACATGTATGAGCATTTCCCCCTCGCCCCCTTATCGAATTGTGAAGTTGGTGTACTAATCTCTTCAGGTGCCATGGAGATATGAAGCCCGAAAATATCCTGTTTGTTAACGGCCAGTTCAAGCTCCGAGATCCTGCTGAAGCTTGTATCGAAGTGTCCACATCCACGCATGATCCCCAGTCAATGATGAAAGGGGGAACCACTACTTATGGTACGTACCACATTTCTTTGCGAGAACTCGTGGCCCAGTTGCATTTTTCCATTGAATCAATGAATGCTTAGCTTCGCCAGAGAAGAGTCGTTACATGGAGGGGACCACGAGCGCACCTGGGCCACGAACGACCTTGAAAAGCGGCGTATGGTCACTGGGTTGTGTATTCTCTGTGGCAGCGACATATGTTATCCTTGGGTGTCAGGGAGTTATACAGTACGATCGGCTCCGCCTCAACGCCCAAAATCGCAATGTAGTCCTGAGTGATCCTTTTCATGACGGATGCATCGTTCTTCGAGAGGTCACTCTGTGGCACGAGTTCTTATGGAAGGCTGTGTGAGGGACTGAGGTACTCACTTCTGCCATCCTGGACCTGTTAGACAAGGAGATTCTTGTTGCCAATGTCGACATGAGGACCGACGCAGGCGGTGTCGTCAAAATATTGGATGACAAGATTTATTGGAAACGGGCAGTCAACGACGAAATATCTGCGGAAGTCGAAGAATTCCTACAATATCTAGACGAGGAACAAACTTCGTCCCAAGTTCCGATACGGACCAACTTCAAGAGTACAGAGCAGCTTATCTCACAGCCCGTCGCTCCCACTGTCCAACGATCTCGGCAACGTCTGCCTCGCACTTCGGGCTCCAGATCGCAGTCTCTGAGACACGATATCACTCGACTTACAACGACACAAACCCAACAGGACCCTGACCACTGGCTACAGAGGTTTTCCATTATTGGCGATATTTTGCCCACTGAGCATCGTGGTGTTATTGACATGTGGATGGTAGAGGCTGAGTTGAACGAACTTGACAAATCTCCTCGAGTTTCCAGGCTTTCCCCAGACTAGGTTGACGAAACAAGTCCGTAAAGAATAAAAAGAAGCAAAACAAGAGGGATGAGCTTGAAGACTTCTTTCAAGGCAGAGACATTGTAAGTTGGTCATTATGCCCTTACTCGGTGCTCCTACTGATAGGCAATAAGGTCTACCTGGTCGACAATGGACCGAGCATGGCTCAGCACTAGTCACACGCAAGCTACTTGATTCTAATCCTTGTCTGGCGAGCCCTGGGATACGATGAAGACGGCATGGAAGTATATTTCACTGACGCAGCCGACAATCTCCCTGTTAAAAAGAACAGAGATCAAGATGTGGAAGACTTCCAGTCCGCCATGAAGCGTGGCCGGCCAAGGCCCGGCGCACTAAACTTCAAAACTGGCATTATCGCATCACTGCAGAGCATAATGGAAAGCTACAACTGAGCCCCCAAACTCAAGCCAAAGACGATCATCATCCTGAACGATGCCATCTGGGCTGGCTTGAGTGATGAGCACGAAGTCGATACGGCTATCAAGAGGCAAATGCCCATCTTGGGCTGGAAGGATCCTGACTGCAATGATGAGTTGTCCTTATCTCGGCCAATAACCTTCCAGTTCATCCGGTTTGGAGACGACTAGATGGGAATGGAAAGGATACGCCGCCTTGATGATGACTTGAAGGTTGAAGATTACCCGTGAGTCGTCACTCGTCCCATCATCCGTGGTATATATAGCATTGACTTTGTGGTACAGTGACCTCGTTGATACCGAACCTACCGTCGGGGATAGCTACAAGATGTTTCTAGGCAGCTTATCCCGCGAGTTCGATGAGACCATCAATGTTGTCAACAGCCCCTCGCGCTCATCGCAATTCTTCAGCTCAACGCTATGACACGCATTTGGCGGGCCCTGTAGCGAATACTTATTCAGTACTCATACCGATGGAAACGCGATTCATGCTTTTGGAGGCTTGCCATTTCACATGACACTTTTTCGCGTGGGTAATCTGGAGTCTGGCATGTTAATCAAGCGAGATGCGTCCTTGTTCAGTTTCACTTTCGTTCTGCAAATCTCTCTCAGTCGTAACGAGACAGCTCTGGATTTATGAGATAGAGGTTTGGAATGAAAGAGAGACGGGACACCCAATGACTGAATGGATGGTCTCTTAGATTTATTTTTATTAACATGTTCTGTCCCAGAATTACACTAGAAGAGGCACGGTGCCACTCCTAGCACTCATAGACTGGCGGAAGGGTCATTGTAGAGACTGTCACAGCTAACCTTCTTATGCTCTGCTCTCTCCTTCTATTTAGCTGTACGGCAATATGGCGTCCTGACTTTCAAATCGGCCAACCGCCCCATTGTCTCACCGAGCTGTATAGATTAGAGACACTGTTAAGTCGACTTGTAGAGTGACATGGTTTAAGGCGCTTTGCAACGAAATATTCGATTCCTAGTTGGCGTTATAATGTAGAAACGTTTACTTTATGGTATTCGAAGTAGAAACCTACCCTCGTAAGGTAATTACATGCTTGATCGAAGTACCAGCTGTATCCAACGTGTCTGGGAGCTTCACCTTGTAGATCCTTTTCAGCTCTTCCAGGAGTCAGAGATGGCCATTTTCATAACACGTTCCAAAGTGAGTGAGACATCGTACTGAAATGTGACAAGGTACAGAGGTGATACCATGTACTTGGAAGATACTGGGAGCTGCGGATAGACCGACGTATTGGCGTATTGTTTGTTCACGACCTGGTGGATGATCAGGCTCACATGTATCTCCAATTAGGATTGCAGAAATAGGATGAGCACAACGTGCCAATGCTAGAGAGCCTCTGTTCCGCGAAGAAACATGTCAGGTTGGATTTCGGGGCTTTATTTTGCAACCGACTCCGGAAAAGAGGCCTCAACATCTGCTAAAGTCCCAGGGTCTCACCGTGATAACTTGATGATCTGCGTCTTGTTTCGTTCCGCAATACCTTCAGAACTTGGGCGACCCCTGTAGCGAAAGAAGCCCAGATCCGAGCCACGAGGCGGTGTGCCGCAAAATGCGACAGTAAGTACGTAAGGACTCAGCTCTCATCTATGTGGTTCAACTGCTGCTTCAGATATACATACTGCATTCTTGGTAACCCTTTTTCGGGCCTTCGCCCTAGGCGTGTTTTGACTACATAAGTAGTGTCAGCAAGGAGTCCACAATCCCAGTAGTGGTGCGGCGCCTCGAATGTAACACCTCCAATGGGATAGGTATAGGTACCTGGCCACTGCTAAATATTCGTGGTAGGACATCGAAATTTTGGCCAGCCCACAGTGAGTTCAAGTCACCTTCGCACCGTCACCTTTTGTGCAATTATCAAGTCAGGTAGGGAAGGGTTCCGTGGGATAACCCCACCTAATAATCAAATATATTATATACTGCATAACTCGTGCCTCGAGATCCACTGCCTGGTGGTCATCGTCTCTGGGACAGCATGCACTCGAGGCTGCATAATCATGTCCCTGCGAGAAGGGGATTCGTATCCCGTTCCGAGTGCCGTGGCACATTCCTTTATGTACTCGAGCCTCTCTGTCTTCACCGCTCAGCTTTACTGCTCGGCTTACCACGCCTTGAAATAAATATTGGTAAATCGATGCTCCATGACACTGACTTTGATGTCCTACTGATTGATGCCCAACCCCCTTTCAAGGCCGCTTGAACGGATGGGCCTCCGTGTTGAGCACATAGTCATCTAAATTGATCAATTCAGGCGACGAGAAAATCAAGTAGAAATACTTGAGAGTTTCAGACATCCAAAAACTCTCCATTGAATCCAACTTCTCTGTTTCACCCGTCTCTGTGACGGCGGCTATCGCAGAGAAAGCTAAGTCGGTCTCGGTGGAGTTCTTGATGGACTGAAACATCTTCCACGCAATTTCCTGGTACTCCTGATTGCCCGTCATGCGGTACATCAGAAATATGCTCTCGATGGCTTCCGGCCGCAGCAGATAGCGCTGGTCTCGCGCATGTGTGAAGCCTTTCGTCAGAGTACGGTCACCTTCCACCTTCCAGATCTCGTCCTCCCACGGACACGGGTCAAGAGTTGGGCAAGAGATCAAGCCGAAGATCTCTGGGCCGATTCCTGTAGGGAATGAATCATATGCCCAGGCGCAGCCTCGCGCAAGCTTCTCTCCAATTTCGAGATGCTCAGGGATGTTAAACAACTTGCTTCCGAGCCCAAACATTCCCCCAACGAAACACGCCAGATGCTGTCCTTCGGAGTTGAGCTGAGGTCCTGAAGTTGACGAGACGTAAGAGGACCCGGAAAAAAGGATATCGTCTTGATCTGGCAGCATAGGTCGGAATAGAATGTTCTTGATAACCGTGTCCATGGCCTCGCGATACATTTTCTCGTAAACAGGTTCCAGCCCACCCAGCAAGGCGTGCATCTTGGGCAAATATTCGTATAGTGAGTCTGCCAGCGCTCCAAGGGTGAAGTCAGCGATTCCATCAAAGTTGCCCGTTTGCATGTCCAAAAAGGTCGGCCACATGCCCGGCAACTGGGTCGAGCTCTGCGTCCTGTCCAGCAGTCGCGTCACTCGGTCAATGGCATCATAGTATTTGTCTTCCCCCGTCAGCTGGGCTAATCGCGTGAATTCCAGGGACGATGAAGCAACCGAGGCAGAAGGGTCGTGGACCCCGGGCTGCAATGTGCCTTCTTTTGCGTGTTCAAAGTCTAGCCAGAATGGCGGCATACGGTTCGGAGTATCGAACGCCGAATACAGCATATCGCCGAGTTCGATAGCCTTTTGTAACACTGCCCTTTCCTTGCTCAGGTCATAGGCGCTGAGTAGGCCCCCGAGATGCCGAATTGTCGTCTCGAAGAAGTTGCAAGCCGTCTCGTCCGTCTTGGACCAGTCAATAGTCATCGCAGCAGCGGTGGCTTCATAGAATTCGTCCTTTAGACCCATTATCCATAGTGTGTCCAATGAGTCGACGAGGGAGGCTGCCCAGCCTGGAGTATTCCAAGTCAGCAATTGATGAAATATGTAACGTCAGGCGGTTATGGGACTGTGCCACAAGCTTTCTCGACGCGTACAAGGGGTACTTGCCTCCAAATCCATCTTTGGCTTGCCCTGTCACGGGCGTAAGCTCGTCCCACATCCAAGCATGGCGCTTGTAACTGTTCCAGCTCTTTGAGAATGCATCTTTCACTTCCAATCGGCGCTCGTTCAGAACCTCGGTTCTCTCGCTGCTTGGCTTCGGATCGGAGCTGAAATCGTGCTGGACCTTGGGTAGCTTGTTCACCAAACCCTTGGGCAAGGGTGTCAGTTGTTTGACCGGGTGTCTTTGGGGTAAAGTTGACCAGTCAAAGCTGCTCTTGACATATTGAAAGCTGTATAAGGAGGTATCTTGATGTTTGGGGACGAATATTATGAGGATGTATACGAAAGCTACTCCAGCTACTATCGAGAAGAGGCGCATCGGTCGACGTAGGATGGCAGCCATGACTGTAAGGTTTTGGAGAATCGAGCTTTCGACATTTTCCCAAATCATGGAGAGTAGACCGTGATCAATGTGTTTGTAGGACAGGGCCCGCAAGGAAATGATCTACTTAGTACACGTAGAAGCCACGAGGATTGAGCGAATGACGGTTAGCATGCAAGCCACCTGCACTGCGGGATGCAAGTTAGCCGTGTTTTGAAACGCGCTGCTTGCGCTACCATGACGCTAATTTTTAAGCCTAATTTATTTACGATGGCCCGCTCGCCGGGGCAATGATCCGTCTCACAGCAGTGGTCCACCATACAAAGCTTCTCGGGATCCCGAGATCTTGTCAAATTTAGAAGCCGACAAAGCGAAGTACTACGAAGTACAAAAAGTAAAGCACTATTGGCGAAGTTCCTCAACATAGATCCTCACCAACTTTTGTAAGTATCTGATTCAGTGCAAGCACATCTACCTGCAGTAGCATGCTACTAACTTCCAGCATCGGTGGAACGGACACCTTTGGTCGTGCATTAACGGATGCAGTGGCCAACTTCCCCCTTGGTATACCTAGGGTGCCCTGAGGCCACGGGTACACCTTACTTCACGTAATAGGCATAGGAACCAACCCGACATCCCAACGCGCTCTCGAATAGTGAGCAGATACTTTCCCGGGTATGATCTCTTTTCTGGGGCCGAATGTGGGTAGACGACAAAGACGCACGGGACGGCTCGATTGTTCTCGGCGGGTGTGATGAGGACTAGGTGACGGGCCAATCCTATAGTCAACCTTTGGACTATAGTGATATAACAGGCTGATGGACTAGCATGAGAGCAAGCCTTACCAAAGTAAACCTCGGTTTCCTCGATGGAGAAAGCGTCGAGTACGATAGATGTATGCCTGATTCCACATGCCGCTCGGGGGCTCTCCATCGGTCATGGCCAACCCTGAAGAAGCAGCATGTCGCAGACCCGGAATTCGGTTGGGTTGCACCGACATACTCCCTTGTACGACCCTGCTGGCGCATAAGTATAATCGGGTTGCAGCTCTGGAAGACTAGAACAGTTGACCGGTTATTATTTTTAACGGCGACCTGACTTTTGAATTCTCAATCGGTCTGCAATCCGAATCTAAAACCGTCAATCCTTAGTCCCATCTGTCGCCATCGATTACAGTGGCGGCCGAGTTTTCAACACTAGCGCGAGGTGCTCGTCAACAGTTTCGGGGAACAATCTGCAAACTTGGGCCGCTACTTCTTTACCGTCGCTTATCCAATGGTAGACTTGGATGAAGGCATGTACGCCTTGCGGAAGGTCGAGGCTACGGCTGAAAGTACACTCGTCCCTGTTATGGGAAAGACCGCCCAGGCACGTTGCGAGGGAGACACCGATAGCAGTGGGACCACCTCCTCAGGACTCGGGAGGGACCGAAACGTCAGCCGGAGCTCAGGTTTCATCTGAGTGCACCAGGCGAATATCTAGGGGTGCTCTTGCAGGTATCGTTGTCGGAGCAATCTCAGAAACTGGTCTCGGCGGCTTTGGTGCTTTTTAATGTCGTCACTCGAGGAAGCAATCAACTTCAACGAATGCCACCAGTCCAGGCGGGACATATACGGACCGATATATGCCAATCAACCTGCCGAAAAGCATTCGTCTGGTAGTGATCCGTCCTCAACGCCCATGCTTGAATTACGTTGCTCATTGCCAGATCATTTTGAGTTGTGCGGACGGGATGCTATAGTGTACGAAATGAATGACAGCCCCATCGCGGGACGTGACAGTTTTACCTCCTCTCCTTCCCTGTTCTTGCCATTCTTCATTGCCGTGGACAACTTTTTATGTTGTTTTTGGAACAAAGGGGCGGCATAGTAGGAATTAGCTTCGCAAACACAGATTATTGACGGTAAGAGTAGTCACCCTATTTCAGGTTATCGACTTGCACCTCTGAGCTGCGAACTTGAGAACTTGGCAAGAATTGGCTCCGTATCCTAGTTCCGAAGTATCGTAATACTTCTCATTCGGATCCAATCTATGCTGCCACAGGTTACGGCACATCGGTATGATGTGATCCAGTATCTGCTACCGATTGTCGAGATAACTGTAGGTAATGTCCATCGAACTGGCATGTATATGAAGGCATTTTCAAAGAATAGAACAAAAACGAAAAGGAGAAGAGGCGTTGTCTCTCCTCACATGAGCACAAAGGAGGGTGCTCAGAGAAACGTGACAAACTTTCAGAGAAGACTAGGCGACCCGCAGCCTGATGTCCACGATATTCCTGTTTTGGGGTGAGCTCAGGATTACGCAGTGCTGAAGCGTCGCGGTTAATCAGCCCATACTACACAAGAAAGCAACAAGAGTGCTCTGTTGTTGGAAACCCGCGGCTGTGGCTCCAGTTAAAACACACTACCTAGGTCATTAGAAAACAGAAGAGGCGAGACTTCCTTCATACCATGCAAGGGATTTCGGCTGAATGGAACAGGAACATTAGTCCATGCATGAGAGACATGACATGCCTCATGGTTGATGATGTCGGAACCCATGCTTCGTGCCACCAAAAACGGGTCAACCGCAACCAACCTTTTGCCAGCATGATCGAAGTGGTGGAATATTACATAAGCTGCAATGAGTCGACAACATATATTGGTCAGATTGCAAGCGTAAGTCTAACGATTAGTACCGGGTACTTTATCTACTAAAGGGCTAGCTACTCAATACAGGTATTGATGGACTCACAGGAGAAGCAAGGCCACTTTCTAATACGAGCCTCTTATCTCTGTATCAGTTTGGCCTCCAAACTGCCAGACAGGCGGCTTTCGCCAGGCACTGGGGATGTGCTGTTATGCTTTTGCGCCTTATAGTGACGTAACTCGGTGGCAGTACTCTTCTATAGCTTTTCTCTCTGGTAAATATAGTGATAAAGTTCCTCATACAATAACCATATGTAGTTCATGAAATGGAGGCGAGAGGCGTTTACATCGATGGACTGAGAGTCCAGAACTGAACATCTTCCTCCACTGATCGTCGAAAATGGCACGAGAGCAAGTCAACACCGAGAAGTGAAACCAAAATTCCGAACTTGCTACCCGGACGTGTGTAGCCCGCAGAACCCACTGCTAGAGGTGGGGTGGGACATGTCCGAAAGCAACGATGAGCACATCTTTTTGCATTTCATCATGACATGGCTTATCTTGGTCTTACCGACATCCACCGCGTGCTTTTGATACTGCAGTAGCACTCTGCTGCAGAATGCTTGATTGGTACCATTGAGCACGAAATTATCCATTCAGAAACCTGGTCTTTAGTATACAAACTGCTAGCACCTACATTAGGTTCGACTCCACCACTCCACCAGGAGATACACCGAATCATCTTCAGAGTCGAGCCCATGTGAACAGGCGGTTATTGATTTTCACACTGATCATGCCCAGGATTATCTAAACTCCGCATTCTTACCCTGTCTTTAATATACCGGTTGGATAGTAGACTCCGATAGTCTGGACCGCTTGGGAGCTGATGGGACATTGCTAGATGCGGAGCTGCGCTGATCATGAGTAATGAGATCATTGAATCCGAAATGTGTCACAAACTCTAATCTTTGACGTAGCAGCTTGGCTTTTGCATGTTGGGATGAAGGCTTGCACTGCACTTCCCATGCTTCCAGACATCGGTAGTACAAGAAGGAAGTTCCTCTCTTGGATATTGCTCTTGGATATCACTCTTGTACATTGCTGCAGAATTCACAGCTGCTGCAGCTGAGGGTCGTATCGCATCTGCCCATTTTCGCGTGTGCCTTTGACCTGCCGACACGCATTCCGGAGCTCCGAGCGCACGAGTCAAATAATACGACGGCAAATCCAGCCTCATTTCAACTTGAGCACTTGCGGCGAGGATCATCCGATCTCGGGGTTTCAGGCGACAAGATGTGAGGGAACTTATTGACAAGTTCAGATCAGCAAGGCGATCCTGACTCGCGGCAGTCTGCTTCCGCAACGTCTGCAACGCAGGGTGCGTTTGTCTTGGACGAGAAAAGATGTATGTAAGCAACCGTAGGACGTAAGACGTTTACAACACGACGATTCGAACAAGGAGTTGCGCGTGACAGACGAATCAATCGATGTTGCGAGCTATCGTCGTTTGCGTACCAGACCCAGTCCTGTCGATATGGGTTCGACCATGCGTCAGAACCCGATCGACCCGTTTCGTATCCGACAGCGCTCATTAAGCGGTGGAGCCTACTTCAACCCAACCGGGCGGTCGACAAGAGCTCGAAATGAATGTGGCACATTCATGGAAGCGGTGACGAAAACGATTCGCTGAGGGGCGGGAATGTGTATGCAAGTGCATCCAAGGACGTGGGAGACAAGCTTCGACGAGCAAGACAAGCTTTTCGGGGGGGCGTGTGGGCGCCGTAAGCGAGACACCAAGAGGATGGATCGTCAAATACGTAGCGCCGGCTCCCAACCATCGTGAGACCCGACTCGTCAGGTCTGCCGGTGGCAGGACTTTCCTTAACTACTGTGGGCAAGACCCTTGCAGGAGATAGATGTGTTGGTCTAGAACTGTTCAATTATAAGTTTGCTGTGTGGAGCAATGTTATGAATCTTGTGCGACCAGCGAGCAGCAAGGTTCTCAAGGGCTGACAGGGAGCAAAATGGGTAGGCAATAGAGTCTCTCGCTCCATGTGCGAAGCGGGTCCTGGCGACACACTGGGTCAGCCATGCCTTAACTGGGGACTCTCCATTGTGCCACTTGAAGGGCCTCGCACCTTGCTCGCACCACATCTTTGGTCTGATCCTCTCGCCCACCTACCCGGCCATCTGTCTTTTCTCTTGGCAATGCATACTTTCCCCGGGGCTGCTCAGCTCTATCCAGCTTTCTCATCCGTCCCCAGTCCCCCTCACGGTAATCGCGCATCTTCTCGGAAACATCAATTTTAAACTTATTGCCTGCAGCCTGGCAGACATTCACCATCCGCTAGGCGTTGGTCGAATCAAGGCTGCGAAAGCGTCCTTCAGATCTCTCAACATGGTTTTTGAACATGTGTATGTCTTGGCCTGCCCCGTCTCTTTGGATTTCTTCCCCGCGTCATTCCAAAAACCCCATTGACATTGGCAAAATCTTGGCGCCAATGCTCCTGTCTTGGCAACGGTAACTGACGTCTCACAGCGCTCAACGATGTCCGGAATGTCGTGTAGGTCATTGCCAGATCTGAATTTTTGTCAGCTTGGGTTCTTGTGACATTGCTGTCGACCTTGGTGGATTGGCGTCTGCTGGTCTGCATCCGGGGTTTGGAGATTGTGGTGATGCAGCGTCAATCCAGGTGGCGTCTGCGTCTTGGTTCTGCTGCAGCTGCAGCCTCAACGTCTACATCACAGCCAAGACTAGCAGGCTTTCCACTCGACGCTGCTCGACAAGGCATTGCGTCTCGATGTTTGATGACGTTTTGCTTGCGAAACAGTTACTAACCTCAGTGCAGGCTATTGTTCAGCAATCCGTACTCAGGAGGAAGCACGAGTAGCACTATTATCAAGAACATCACCTCCCTATCCGTAAGTGCCGGCCCCCACCGCCAGTTCCCATCGTTGTTCTCGTAGTCGTCATTGCGTACTCATCCCTCCTCTCTTTTAGAGCCAGTTAGCATACTCCGAACGCATAGTAGAGAATATCACTACGCTCTCGGCCAACTATGCCCAGACTACGGATGGCGTCATTCAGGGCTTGCTCTACGTCCCCGACCTCCATTCGGGAGATCTTTGCAACGCCTTTCTTGATGAATACATCCCTAGCAATGCCACTCGACAAGCAAACTTACCTCCAACGAGCTACAATCTCATAGCTGTTGCACCGTGGGTCAGTCGGACCTGCACGAAGCGTCTCCTCGATGCTGCGAGGTCAGATCCAGTTCGTGGCTTCATTTTCTACCTTCCGGACACGGGTGCAACTCCACCACCTCCCGCCAGCGACCCAGTGTGGGATCTTGGTGACGATGGCAAATGGAAGACAGAGCACAAACACCCCATTTATGCCATCTCTGGCGCTAGTGGGGCTGAGATGATGCGCCAACTCAGCTTTTACTCGGGCAATCTAACGACCATTCCCTATGGTGCCGATATCACGTCGATATACGATGCAGATCCTGATGACTACGTACGAGTATGGACCGAACTGAGGGTGTCAAGTCCATCTACACTTGCTCTTTGGATGTACGTGCTGATAATCGTTGCCTTGCTTCTCTTCGTCGTTGGTACCACATCAACAGCCATGCACTGTGTTCAGAATCGTCGACGGGCATCACTCCGCCGCCGTGTCATGCGAGGTGAGATTGACCTGGAAGCACTCGGTATAAAACGAGTCACCGTGCCTATGGAACACATTCAGCGGTTTCCACTTTTCACTTACAACTACGACCCGCCTTTGCCGCCATCAAACGTCCCAACTTCACCTCAATCGCCCCAGGATTCGATATGGAAGGCGTCGGATACCGTGTCCAGGGCCACTCAAGCGGCTGATCTGTCTGCTAATTACCAGCCCCTTTGTCACATTTGCGTAGAGGACTTTGAGTCCAAAGCTACCATTATCCGCGAGTTGCCGTGTGGTCATATTTTCCACCCCGACTGCGTCGACGAGTTTCTCAACGAAATCAGCTCGTTATGTCCAATCTGCAGCAAGTCGATGCTACCACGAGGCTACTGCCCACGGATTACGAATGGCATGGTCCGCCGTGAGAAAGCAACCCGGAAGCTCAGGCCGGTGGTTGTGGATCGGGACCTGGAAGGTCCGCGTCCCAAGATACAGTCATGGAGCAGTGGTGCCAAGAAGCGGACCCGCAGTACTCCGTCCTCTCCGGTACCACCTGCGGACTCCATTGAACTACCCGAGCGACTAAGGGTAGTCTCCGAGAACAACATTCAAGACAATGGCGCGTCTCGCCAGCAGCGAATGCGAGAACTTGCTGCTCCCATGAATGATGGGAATAGTGACGATGGCTAACCTCCATGTAAGAGATATCTCTACACTATCATTGAACCAGAGATACTAACCATGTCGTAGGGAAAATCGCGATCAGTAAAATATTTCCAGGCTTCACTTGATTTGATTTACCCGGTTTCATACGGAAAGAGGTTTATTGATGTTGGCGTTAAGGGCGTGGGCAATGAAACAACGTCTGCATTGAATTGGCGTTTCGTTCGGTCGAACATGGACAGGCTCGTCTTTAATCGGGCATTTATGACGAAACGAAAATTCCGATGATTCTTGAATATAAAGTAATAGCCTGTCGCCGGGCTTTGGGGCCGTGGCCGGACTCGAGTTTCAGGTACCGGCAGAAAACATGGGTGTTTTCTTGGATAGAATTATACCCTGTCGCATTGGTTAAGTTGATAAGAAGAGAATTTCAGTTATCATAAGGCGGTTTTTACATAGTTCTGTTTGGTCTCCAAACGTATGGGCAGATAGTTCGTCAAGTCACAAGCTCAGTTTGCCTAGGAGGCAGAGGCTGACACAGTAGTATACGAGACTGGATGAGACGAGAACAGACCTCGACCGACTCTATGAAAGAGGAGGCAAGTTGTGGATATCGGCTCAGTCGGAATTTTGCATGCGCCACAATTGCGTCTACCACAGGAGAAGGTACTAGATCGATTCCCGGATTTGAGTAACGTATGTGCATATCGAACGAAGAGCAATGTCGAGAACAGGCGTCTCGCCGTGGTCATATGTTGTATTTGCTTTTCGGCAGAGCGATAGACTCAAGCGAAGGGGTGTATGCTCTTTCTAACATGTCTCCTGATAAAGGTGGCGTAGCTCTGACGTTACAATCCGAGTGCCCACAGGTTTAATGTTGCTGGCTAACTTTCTCTTCAGACGCTGTCGCAAGAAGAGGTATCCTAAAGAGAACGTAGATGCAAACCTACAGAAACTATCTGAGTTGACGGACAACAATTCGTTGCGATATCTAATGAGGCATACATCGTAATTTTGGGGATTCGCCGCAGCTCCCGTAAAGCACAACAATCTGTAGTGTCGATGTGTTCCCGCTCAACAAATACTGAACACTTGCTCCTGCAGCAAATCATTCTCATAAAACGCATCAAGTACATCTTGATCCACCAGGCCAGAGACATAAGCACATCCCACAATTCGATCGTGTTCAACATATGGTCGAAGAATTAAAGGGGCCTTCATGCCGAAGATGAAAGTCACTACGTCGCCCTCGCTAATATCGACAACCCCAACACCTGGGTATCCCGAATCGGTGACGAAGAAGGTACGGTTGAATAATTTACCCGAAAATATTGTCATCAACCGACTGGTTACCAGCTTCCTCCGGGTTTCACCAGCCGGCGACGCCAGGTCCGCCGGCAGGGTGTTCAGCCGTCCCATGATGATATTCCACACCTCCTCGTCAGTATACCCGGGTATACAATAATCACCCTCTAAGAGCGGACTTTTTGTGAGAAGTTCCAGTAACGTCTCCCCGGATTTCAGCTCGTCCGGTGGGTAGTCTCGCTGTGCTCGCTTGCTTCCCAGCACGAATTTGGCGAATAAGTCTTCAAGGATGTGTAGATGGTGGCGTAGTGCTGAAATTGTGGAGAATGAATCCGGGACGGTATGTACGACGTCCACTCTGTCGAACCGAATTCCTCGCAGGCCCAAATTCTCTCCGTTGTCTAGGAAACGCACGTCGACTGCCTCCTCCCTCCAGCTGCGATCTGCTGCGAGGGCACGATGATCCCGCCAGCCACGACGACTCTGTCGCTGGAAATCTGGCGTCCATGAAGGATACCCATTGTCCTCTCCATGAAAATGGAGCGACATGATCATGTTCTTCAGCATATCATCCGCATGTTGTGTCCAGAGTAACCGGCCGACAGATTGATAAAGCTCCATGGGGTTAATCGTATAATCGACCCGTATCCGGTGCTGGTCATATTTATTGAGCAGTCCAAGAAATCCGTAGATATAATCGTGGGGATCCGTAGCCGTGGCGTTTCTGGAAAGATAGCCGAATGTGTCGGACAACGGAATACGCCCTTCCTCTCTAACAAGGCTCCGCAGGCTATTAAGCGAGGCAAGATGGATACCCGCAATTCGATACCGCTCCCCTGTCGAGGGCTCTATGATATCTTTTCTGACTTCTTCCCATTTTCCAGCCAGCTGCGGATAATCCCAAGCCCTCGGGACAGTCAAGAAAGACAGGAGTAGCAATGACCACACGACAGACTTCTGTCCACACAGGAAGACGGGTTCACCGTCCGCAAGCAGGAACTCTTGGCGCACCCAGAGGCGTCTCCACCACTCCCGCTCGCAGATATCCTGCTTGAGAACGACTTCGACTCTGATATCGTCCATACTTGGATGGCCGCAGGGTTTCACTTGAAAGCCAGTGTCGAGCCCGTACTTCAAGCCGTTCATCCGGTCTATAGCAAAGTCCGTGTGCTTCGTTCCATCTCCAAGCCAAATGAGCACTTGAAATGCCTTTGAGTAGATACCGTTCATGAGTTGAACCTGCTCTGCCCTCTCTGCCGTGTCGTCTTGGTTGATGCACACCGCATCTGCCCAGAGTGCCTGTCGGCTGCCTGATTCGTCTGAGGTTAGGGTTGTGTGATAGTTTCGTATGTGCTTCAATGCAAGTTCTAAACTTCGCGTGACATTGAGAATCCTTCCATTGATGGTCACAGGGGCAGTGATGGTAGCATCGCCCCAGACATAGGAAAGCGCGTTGAAGGTGGGGTTGTCGTCCAGCGATACTTTCTCCAATGTGCAGACAACTTTATCATCGCCGCTACCATCGTGAAGATGGAGGACTCGTATCTCTTCGCGTGCACAAATAAGAGGTAATCCATCATATATAGTCGAGTTGGGTGCTGTCATGTCATAGGATAGTCTTGAGTAAGTAACTATACTCGAAGATGTTAAAAGTTAAAAGCAGGGTTGAGGGGATCTAAAGTACTAGGGATCGTGGAAGGGGCAAGGCAGGCAAGGTAACTTATGTTGTTATTGGTCGTGATACGACACATCACTATAAGTCTATACGATGTGTCTAGAGGTAAAACTGGTTTATTTGTGGGTTTCTCACTGTTCATTCGCGCGCAAGGTTGCAGAAGGTGAACTGAGTATGGTGGACCAGTTGCCAAGTCGAGTACCCTAACCTCCGATGAACGGCTGCTAACAGACGAGAAAGTCCTATGAGGTAGACGCTTAAGAAAATGAAACATAAAAAAGGTCAATTCTCAACGGGATGTCTGAGGTTAGAAACAGTTCTTGCTTGGATTGATTTTCTGTTGAACGTACGAAATGAGGAGCAAACTGGTACATGATGAACATTTGAAGAGTCCTACACAGAGAAATGGAATACCGTAGAGTCCAGGTCGAACGCATGTTGACTGCAGCTCAGATAAGATGAGAAACCCCGCGTCACACTAGATACGATAAATTTCGGCATAATCCTTCATGCAAGGCTGACTTGGCCGAGCCTTCAATAACATGGTTGCCTAAAAGCTGGTGGTTTCTGCCACACAGTCTAAAAGAAATTACCTATAAGGCTGCCGCAGCTGCCAATTGGACCAACAACATTTATAAATGTGCAAACATTGAAAGTCCGCCCACAAGGACCTATTGGCATGTTGGTCAACATATAGAGTCCAACCTGGTGCTGTATCGACAGCATCAGGTGTCACAACAGCATGCCGCCCCTCGCCCAGGAACCGCGGCACCTGCTGGTGGTACTGAATGCGCCGCGCCGGAAAGCGCTTTACAACCTGGTGCTGCAGATCACAGCGTACATGCGTACGCTGCTGGAGCTCCATGACAGTCCCGAAAGCTCCCCGCCTCCGTTTCCTTCAAGAACATCGAGTGCGACATCATCGCAGCTCAGTCCGCCCTCCTACTCCGAGAGGGACGCGCCGCTGTTCGTGCCCCGCTCCAACAGCGTTGCTGAAGCGGACGAGTCACCCGCGCCGCCTCAGCCTCCCAGGCGCGTGCCGCTAAGTCTAGCACTGATCCGACTTCGAAAAGCTGCATTGCTGCATTTCGACTCATGGAGGGCTGAGGTGCTCGGCAAGCTCAAAGAGGTCGTCGTTAGTCCCGATGATCAGAAGGTGATCGATGCCCGGCGCAAGCGGGCAGAGCTGCTCGCCAAGAAGAAGTCGTCGACGCCCGATGAAGGAGAAGATCTGATGAGTTTCGGGGATGAGGTGGCAAGCTCGCGAATCAAGGTCGCTGTGGTCAAGGGACCGATCACGAGTTTGGAGTCATTCCAGCATCTGTACCACCCCATCCCAACTCGACTCACTACCATCGCCTTGGATGACCGTAAGGAGGTGCTGAGTGGCGTTATGATACTCCTGTTGGCGATTGGGAACTACTCGGCCCACTCGAGGGCAATGATCTGCTACCTCGCATCAGCCTTGGAATTATCTCCCCGGTTCCTCGATAGCGAGGAGACGCAGATTGCGACGACTATGGTCGAGACTGCGCAAAAAGCGGATGCCGAGAAGAGCAATGAAATGTCTGCTGAAGCCGAAGCCCAGAAGCGCAAGGAGCAGAACCAAACCAGTCGATTTTGGAAGGTCGGGTTGGCGTCGGTTGCTGGCGCGGCAATCATTGGCGTCACCGGTGGATTGGCTGCGCCTGTTGTAGCTGGTGCCATCGGTGGTCTCATGGGATCCGTCGGCCTTGGAAGTCTTGCCTCTTTCTTGGGAATCTTCTGGATGAATGGTGCGCTTGTCGGAACAATATTTGGCGCCTTCGGAGCCAAGATGACGGGGGAGATGATCGACCAGTACGCTAAGGAGGTGGAGGATTTCCGCTTCCTTCCTCTGAAAGATGAGTGGGGCGATGAGTGGAAGAAAGATGGCCCAGAAGTGCGGCGACTGCGTGTAACCATTGGTATTAACGGCTGGCTAGCCGAGGAAGGAGATGTTACCAAACCATGGCGAGCCCTCGGGGACGAGACTGAGGTCTTTGCTTTGAGATACGAGCTGAAGGCCCTGCTTTCCCTGGGTAACTCGTTAAGAGAGCTCGTATCGTCTTATGCATGGAACGCCATTAAAGTCGAAATCCTCTCCAGGACAGTTCTCGCTACGTTGTGGGCGGCATTGTGGCCTATTCACCTGCTGGCTATGGCGTCTAATATCGACAACCCGTTCAGCTTAGCCCGGAACCGATCAGAGAAAGCCGGCAAAATCCTCGCTGACGCGCTGATTAACAAGGTGCAGGGCGAACGCCCCGTTACTCTCATAGGCTACTCTTTGGGGCAAGGGTCATTTACTCCTGCCTCAGACAATTGGCTGAGCGACGGGCATTTGGGCTAGTGGATACGGTGGTTCTTATAGGAGCACCGGTACCATCCAATCCAGGACACTGGCAGATGATGCGAACGGTAGTCTCGGGCAAGCTATTCAACGTCTACTCTAGCAACGACTACATCCTTGCCTTCCTCTACAGAGCCACGAGCGCCCAGCTAGGCATCACTGGCTTGCAAGCCATCAGCGACGATGTCGACGGTGTGGAAAACATCGATCTCAGCGCCGAAGTGACGGGCCATTTGCGATACCCCGAGCTGATCCCCAAGATTCTAACGCGGTGCGGCTTCTCTAACATCAATGGCGGCGAGGGTGAAATCGAGAAGGAAGATGACATCCAACTGCGTAACGAAGAAGTGGAGCTGGGTAATTTGATTGATATCGATGAGCCACCAAAGAAGATATTAGGCCCGTCGAAACACAGGCTGCAGGAAATGGAAAACGAGAAGTTCGACGCTAGGGTAAAGAACGTCCAAGAGCTCAAGAGCGACATCTTTGTTAAGGATGACAGGCTGATGGGTAGTAAGGTCGCGGAAGATCATAAGGCGCGGGCTGTTAGTTCCGTCGCGCCTACGCCATTGGCAAGCCCGCTACCGGAGGCGAATGATCCCTTGACTACGAGTGGTTCAAGGTCGACATTGGGGGCGGCTAGGGGAAGGGCTGTGAATGAAAGACTACCGCCATATTCTGGATTAAATACTACAGCACAGGAATACCATGCCGGTGGGGACAGCAGTGACGAGGAAGGGGGTATAACGATGATTAATAATGATAGTGACATGGACGACATGGTGGAGTATATGGAACCTTTGAGAGTCGATGATGAATTGGACAGGGTAGCGTCCTGAGGAATTTGTCGTCCATGATTGCAAAATGTTAGTTTACTGAAATATAAGTCACCAGTACCAATATATTGACACCACTAAGGGTGTTATTTCAACGAGGAGGATATGAGCGAAACGCTCACGCTTTGGTCATCTTAGCTCTCAGCACTGTATTGACACCTACGTACGCTCAGTAGATGATCTGTGAGGCAATATGCAAGGGCTGGTCCTGTCTAGGATTTACTGAGAAATATAGAAATGGCTTCGAAGTGACTAGAAATGCTGAGCGAAGAAAGTGATGTTATGATGCACCTCTCTAGGCAATGTGTGAAAACGAGAGAAATATACGGCCCATGACGTACACGCGTCGGTTGTGGCCCACGTATTCTGCCTTACACAAGTAATCATCCGCGGTGAGAGGTCCTTAATACGGTGTGCCAAGCTCTGTCAGCATGAAGCTCAGGATAGAGAACCGATGCTGTAATTCGTGAGTCGACACGGGTGGGGTACGGGTTTTAACAATGGGTAAAGTAAATACGAAGGCGCTCTAGTATTTCCAGAACGATACATAGGTGAGTAACTATTTCCCAGGGCGGGTATGGATATGGGACGTTATGGTAGAGCGTCGTCTGCAGTAAACAGAGCGAAACCAGGTACCGGACATGACTCTTAACACGCACGTATGCACTTGGCGTATGCTTATACAACGAACGCGAGGGTAGTAGTGCCGATTTCCCACACGCCTTGACTTCTTATCGCAGGTATATAGGGCCTTTTAGTATACAGCTTTATTCGATAAACATAAAAATAAACTCATATTACCCTTCGGATTGCAGAGAGCCCGTGGCGACTTGATAAGTCCATCCTTTCGAACGTGATATCTGTAGCCAGGCCAGTAAGAGCATATATGCGATCTCGGCCATCCGCACAGAAAATCTGGGAGAAAACCTCGAGAAGATCTACTGTGCCATACTCGTACCCAAACCCATGTCTTTCCAATGGTAGCACGTGATGCAAGTGAGCTTGATGGTTCCTCAGAGATCGGAATCAAGACAATTATCTTGAGAATTCGCATTCATGGATTGGAATAATTTCCGCAAAACAGAATAGCGTTCGGGTTTAATAACACCTCTTGTAAACCCCAGCGTGGACTGAACCAAGGAAGGGACATCAGGCCCTCCAGAGCCTGCTCTGTGGCTATGGCAGCTTCCTTCCAAGGAGATTTCTGGCGTGTCAGAAGTGCAATCTGTCTCATGTGCGAAGCACCATGGAGCGAAGTCTCCAACCAAACCAGTACCGAGGCGCAGCCACGGTAGTCCTGGGCCATCAGGGGTATGTGCTTTGAGTTCTCGTCGTCATCCTTCTGTTCGATGCACAGAGCATCAACCCAGAAACTTCGCACCTTCATGGGACGTTGCAAGCGAAACAGTGCTTCCTACGGGTTGATGGTGATCTTGAGAGAATGGGTTCCGTGGACGACGATTTTGTCCGGAAATATTGGCTCTCCCAAGGTGTACGACACAGACTTCGAGGAAAGGGTCAGTCTCCAGGATTTAAGTCGCTAAAGATACCGTGTATAGGTGCAACAGGGTCCAATGAGGCTTGAAGATCCAAAACGCGAGTGTGCGTGTCGTCGGAGAGGGACTTGTACTGGTCGGACGGCAGTGATGTACTCTCGATCTCAACAGAGGAAGAGGAAGAAGAATTGGCAGATGACGGGGATGCTGAGGTGTTTCCCTGCCGTTTACCATGGTGGGTTTTGTTTTGGTGCCCAAAGTTTCATTGTGTGTGTGTCGTAAGATCAATTCGGCTATGTGACAACCTGCATTCTTTACATTTTTATATATTCGCCTTTTCCCCAGCCGTATAGCCAATAGCGATTTTCCGTGCTTACCTTATCAGAACTGTTGATAATCGAACTCTCTAAATGTAGTTAAGAGAACGCCCCGCTGCTAACGAATGTTCCATTGGTTACATGTACCAGATCAGAACTTGCTGTAGAGGACATAACACTATTCAACGAAAGACAGGTTTGAGGAGGCAATTTGGTCTCCGACTTAATCTCTAATCTAGATCTCCCGCTCTTATAGTTATCCTGCTGAGGCGCCTCAGAGCTCTGAGTGATAGCTTTCACGGATGCACACGGTAGGTAGTATTCTAAATCCATTTAAAAGGGTCTCGAATAATAATCGTATTGGTGAAAGAGTTGGCTTTTTGACCGCCTCGATTATTGAAACATAATGAAGCAACGAGGGAGTTTAGTCAGGAAGGAAGAGAGAAGGGGCAGGTTGGAGACTTGAGACCAAGGAGATATATACTATCGGATTCCCACCTCAAGCGTAACCAGTCAATAGCTCCATGGGAAGAACGAGTCACACAATCCACCTCGTTCTCATCCATTGTCGAATCAACTGGCTTGTTGATGCCGACGAAATAAGTCGGTCGTTTGACCCTCTCGATTGAGACCCTGAAAATACCCTACCAGTTGGCGAACTCACTTGAAGTCAACGACAACGGCAACAACGGGGCACTGCACATGCCGCCAGCTAATCATGCAGAGAAGGTCTAAGATGACTGGGTATGAATGCTTGAGGTGTCGAATCAGGGTCCAAAATGAGATCGACCGGCTCGATCGATAGTTCTGTAGTGGATAAAGTACATTTGCGGGGTGGTGCGCATTCGACGCCAAACAACTAGGTTCTGGTGAGTTTTCAACATGGCTTGAAGGGAGTGGGGTCTGAGTATATTATGCGGTTGTTGAAGCAAGTGAAATCGAGACGGGGCTCGTTTCGAGGGGAAATACTCAAAATAATTTGACCCACTAAGCTACAAGCAATGACAGGCAGCCAAGGAGGTAAACTGCAGTATTTAACGCTCGCATAGCGCTGCAAAGCCCACGATAACGGCGAGCTCAAAATCCTCCTAGAGCAACATCGTGAAATCAAGGACAGCATATAGTGTTACTGTTGCCGAGTCTGAGTCAAGTAAGTCTCTTGTTCACGTAGCCGTGAAGTCGCTGGTCATGTTGAAAACAGTGATAATGCCCTGCAGACTAGCACTGGGACACAGAGCTTCGGATTAAGATTGCTGGATTCCCGAATGCACTGCCGATAACTCAACAAATGGACCTTACTGCATACGCGAGCAGACGTACCGATTTTACAACCAGTTAATGCTGGCGATGTGCTTCGTGTTTGTTGATCCTGGGCTTAGGCTGAGGAAATTATCCTTGGCTCTCGGGCTGTACTGGCGATGTTCAGACTGACCACAGCCCATGATTCCTCCACTATCAGCTGATGGGGCCCCTAAAACATGTGATGGTCAAACCTCTGATGGTTTCCCCATTTCGACACCTGTTGGGGGAGCTCTGGTGTCGCTGATAATTGTGCCGCTATTTTCACTTCCTCGGGATCACATACGGAGCCATCGAGTTCATCAGGCATGTCCTGCTTCCTGAAATATTGCTGCCGCGACATAGTTTAGATACCCCCTGTTGCTTTCCGGGGCTCAGAAGATGCTAGCGCTGTCCGCACGAACTCTTGTATCGCAACAGACACTCATGTTCTGGAGGGATCGGGGCCATGGTGCTCGACATTCTGGGCCGTCTCATCATGAATCTGCCCGGGAAGTCGTCTCCATTGCTCTATTGGTGCCGAATCCGATGTCATTGGATTTGGCTTGCTCGGCTACACGCTCCAACTCAGCAACAATATCCATTGAAGTTGGAGTGATCTTACTTGCGATAACGCCGAAAAAGAAGTTGCAGACATTGGAATCGTGGACAGCTTGCCTCGTGAAGTCATCGCAAGTCGATATACTGGCGCGCTCAAATGTTCTGGTTGCTCCTGCCCGTGTAACGGAGTTTCGGGGTTCCTGCCCGCCAAGACATCTCGGATCCTCGGGAGTGGCTTCCTGCCCCATAAGATTCCACAAAATACAGCTTTACTTTCGCGGAACAGAGTTGTTCCATCGAGCGGCAGTTATCGTAGTGAATCCTTGTCGGTGCAGATGTAGCGCGAGGCCGCGTCTTGGTTCGAGCTGTAGCCATAAGTTAGGGCTGGTGATAACATCAAACGCTGCCTTGAACGAACAACCCAAATCCATCGTGTAGGACATTCTCAGGTAGCTCGTTTCCTCATGTTCTAACCTGCCTCACGCCTCCAAGATGCCTCCTGCACCCAGCACCAAGGGGACAGGTAAGAAAGGCGCTGGAGCCAAGGTCCAACGGAGCCGCAACACAACGCCCATTACAGGCCCCCCGCCTGGGACGACCACCAGCATCCCGCCCGTCGAGACCATCGATGCCGAGTTCCTGGAAATCAAACTTGAATCCATCCGCAGCATCACGTATGAAGACTTAGCCGATTCGAACGCCTCCAATGCCGTCATACCGGATTCCAAGAGCCTCGACGGCCTCATAACGCGATTGGGCAGGCTCCATGAAATAATCGAGAACCGGGGCTCAAATTGTGATAAGGGAATGCGCCTGGTGGCAGGGCTGAGAAAAGCACACTTTGATGAGATGGCAGCTAGTAGTAGAAGAGATGACGAGAAGATGCGGGATGATGAGGATAGAGACAAACGAGCCAACAAGAAAAAGAGAAAAGCAAATGACAGTCTTGCGCCTCAGGAAACCAACACTGGTGAGTTTATCTGCCGTTTGCAATACACGTTGTTTAATCGCATCAATGATTGTTCTGTTTTTTATTACTTTATCTTGCGAAGTCGCGACACATGGGTTTCCTCGGATGGCTCTACTGTTCCCTGCCCAGCTGCGCACTCCAGTCTTTTGGCGAGTTCGTTGATTGATTTTGGTGGATACACGCGACTCACCCGCTGTTCGGGGCACTTTCGATTTTCTTGGTAGCAACCACAGGATACAACAATCTGGTCCCGGCCATTGAAATGATCATTCCTAACGAAACATACCCTAGATCGTTCGTCGCCATTACGAGAGTCGAGTAGCAAGCCACGCAAGCTTTCTCGTGATTCCACGAGCTCCTCTCTCTCACCTGTCGCCAAAGAAACCCCCAGCGCCATGGAGGTAGACGAGAAGGCGAAGCTTGAAGACAAAGACGATGACGAGTCGAGCTCAGAGGATGAGGGCGCGCCTCCCCGTCGCGAAGCACCGCAATTCCAGACGTTCGGTGAGGACCCGTCCACCTTTCCCGACCCTACAGTCTACGAAATCCGACCGACGAACTCGAGCATGACGACGGACGAGCTGAAAGAGATCTTCTCGGTCGCCGTGTACCCCGAAACAGACCTTGCAGACCAGATTGCTGGCGACCCTCCCGACAAAGACTTCAGCAATGGCAAGGCTTCTAATCAAATCAACTTCAGCTCCTTCACGACCTACGTCGATCCATATTTTCGGCCTTTCGCTGAGGAAGATCTCGCCTTTCTTAGAGAGCGAGGCGATCGGTTCATACCGTTTGTCATGCCTAAGAGGGGCAAGCGGCACTATTCCGAAATCTGGGCCGAAGAAGACGGCGCCATGTCTATTGACTCGAGTCCGCAGGGCAGGGATAAGTTGCCTCCCAACCAGGCTCGGGGCAGCATCGACAATATTGACGACGACGTTGCAGAAACCGACAAGCTATCTGTGGGGCCAATTCTTTCACGGCTGCTCATGGCTATGCGCCCAGAGGCTAGGGCTCCTCCAGCCGAGGACAAGGTGATGACGAATGGTGTCAATGGCGACGCTGAAACTAAGGATGAAGCTGCTGGCGAACCTAGTGGGCCCACGAATGGCGAGGAAAATAAGAGTCTTCCTCCCGCCTCGTTCATGCCCGAGTCATCGAGTGAAGCGTGGAAGAAAGCCACCCATCCCAAGCTTGACTACAACCAAGTGGACGAACGCATTAAGCAGGAGCTGCGCCACATTGGTTTCTTGCCCCAGGAAGGCTTCGAGGGCGACTACGACGGCCATTATGACGATGAGGTGGCAGCCCGTCTACGACTGTTACAAGAGCGCCTCAAAGATCAAATGCTCATCAACGGTGCGCGCAAGGCACGACTTACTGAGCTGGTCAAGGAGCGCATGGCCCACCAAGAATATCAAACAATTCTTGAAGATCTTGACACACAGGTGCAGGGGGCATACCTCAAGCGCACGCGGACCATGGGCAAATCTAAGAAGGCGAAACGCCCTGGCGGTGCAGGCGGTGGCAGTCATCCAGCTGGTAGTGCCGCGGCGGGTATGGCCCGACCGGGCATCGGCGACGTAACCAAGACACTAATGGAACGTCGGCGGCGGTGGATCGAGAACATCGGCACTGTGTTTGACGACGAGAACCTGGGCAAGGTGCCGCGGGCGACGGATCCCGATAGCACTATCTTCAAGCCGGCGATGATGGCGGAACTCATGAAGGCCGAACGTCAAGCTTGGGATGAGGAAGTCGAGGAGGAATGAGTCTTATTTATGATAGAGCACTTGATTACGGTAATGACAAAAGGGTAGTGTCATCAGGATTAGGTAACGATACCATGGATCGGCGTTGGGAGTTCACATGGAGGGGATACAGCACAACTCTACAGTTTTTATATTCGGAAGACCGCCGCAGCTTTTGATAGCTGTCCTTGGGTGTCAAGCATTGCAAATAATCAACAAGATGAATCATTGATTCATCTGTATACCCAATTGCGCTATCATGAACTGGAATGCAGGTATACCATCGAGACACCTCCCTACATCCATGCGAGAGCAGAACATGACTTCGGACTTATTATCGCCGATATCATTCTCCCTACGTCGTTGGGCTCTTGGACCCCATTCTATACGAGTAGTGTTATCAGACTTCCCAAGAGCCATGCGGGGTAAAATCGATTGAGTCTGGACGCCAGACAGGTCTCGGGATCGGCTCACATCATGCTTTTCCACCCAATATCTTCGGCTCCTTATCAACCTGCAGCATTGCGGGGTATTCGGTAGCTTCGCAACTATGGCTGCTCAACCCCACAGCCGACGGAACTCGCAGCTGACAGACGGCAGGAGGAGACCCGTCTCACAACTTAGATTCGTAGATCCGTGTAATCTTGCAGAGTAAAAGTGACAATTTCGTGATATAACGACCGCCTATACCGAGTTCAAATACCCACTGGAGTGTGATATCTGCCCAAGATGCATCTCGTCCCGAAAGAGGTTAGTCTGTGTGTTTCCGTCCCTAGATACTCGTCGGCCCAGAGGGTGTTACCCTTACGTTATGAAGTGCTATTTTGGAACTTTTGGATGCATGGTTTTTGTCAACTCGCAGTGGATCTTGCTAACATGTTACAATTGCACCATAGCTCGACAAGCTTGTCATCTCGCAACTGGGCTTCTTGGCGCAGAAGCGACTGGCTAGGGGTGTTAAGCTGAATCATACGGAAGCTACGGTAAGCTGCTTTATTTACCACACTCACTTGTACATCGAGCACACCCTTCCCTCCTGACATTGTTTTCCAATGTATATCGTACAAGCCTCTGAACACCCTGGCTAATAACTCCCACGGGCTCTCATTGCCTCCAACCTCCAGGAGCTCATCCGCGATGGCCAGCACACAGTCGCAGACCTCATGACCATCGGGTCGACGATGCTCGGCCGGCGGCACGTGCTCCCCTGCGTGCCATCGACCCTGCATGAGATCCAGGTCGAGGGCACTTTCCCCGTAGGTACCTACCTAGTCACCGTGCACAACCCTATCGCCACCGACGACGGCGATCTCGCCAAGGCTCTCTACGGCAGCTTCCTGCCTATCCCCTCACCTGACCTCTTCCCCTACGCTGCGGCTACGGATTATGAGGCAACCAAGATGCCGGGCGCTGTGGTGGCCATGAAGGGGCAGAGGGTCGTACTGAACGAAGGGAGGAGAAGGGTCAGGGTGAGGGTTACGAGTAAAGGGGATCGGCCGATCCAGGTGGGGAGTCATTATCATTTCGTGGAGACGAACCCGCTGCTTGAGTTTGATCGGAAGCAGGCGTATGGGTTCCGGCTGGACATCGCGGCGGGGACTTCGGTCCGGTTCGAGCCGGGGGACGCAAAGACAGTGACGCTGGTTGAAATTGGCGGCAACAAGGTCATCCGGGGCGGAAATCATCTGGCCAGCGGTCCCGTGGACTTTTCGCGTGCTGATGAGATTATTCAGAAATTGCAGCAGGCGGGCTTTGCGCACGCGGCTGAGGAGCCGTTGGGGGACATGGCGGTGATCGAACCTTATGCCTTGGAGAGGTCGGCTTATTTGACCATGTTTGGGCCGACGACGGGGGATTTGGTTAAGCTGGGGAGTACGGACTTGTGGATTAAGGTCGAGCGGGATTTGACCAAGTACGGGGACGAGTGTAAGTTTGGGGGCGGCAAGACGCTGCGAGAGGGGATGGGTCAGGCGACGGGGAGGTCGGACGCGGAGACGCTGGACTTGGTGGTGGTGAATGCGCTGATTGTGGACTGGTCGGGCATCTACAAGGCGGATATAGGGGTCAAGGACGGCTTCATCGTGGGGATTGGCAAGGCGGGCAATCCGGACGTCATGGATGGGGTTACTGAGGGGATGGTCGTGGGCAGTTGCACGGATGTCATTGCAGGCGAGGGCAAGATCATCACGGCTGGTGGGTTGGACACGCATATCCATTTCATCTGTCCGCAGCAGGCGAACGAGGCGATTGCTTCGGGTATTACTACCATGCTGGGAGGCGGTACGGGACCAAGGTATGCGACGGGCCCCCATTTTCTTTTACCCCTAATGTGTGAGTGAGTGTCTGACCACATACAGTGCCGGTACAAGCGCTACAACCTGCACTCCCGGTGCGAACTACATGAGAGAAATGCTCCAAGCCTGCGACAGCCTGCCTGTCAATTTCGGCATCACAGGAAAAGGCAATGACAGCGACCCCAAGGCCCTCCGCGAACAAGTCTTCGCCGGTGCCTGCGGCCTCAAACTGCACGAAGACTGGGGCACCACCCCCGCCGCCATCGACTCATGCCTGTCCGTCTGCGACGAGCTCGACGTGCAGTGTCTGATCCATACCGACACCCTCAACGAATCGGGCTATGTGGAATCTACCATCGCGGCCTTCAAGGACCGGGTAATCCACACGTACCACACCGAAGGCGCGGGCGGGGGTCACGCCCCAGACATCATCAGCGTCGTTGAGCACCCCAACGTGCTGCCCAGCTCCACGAACCCCACGAGACCCTACACGCGCAACACGCTCGACGAGCACCTCGACATGCTCATGGTCTGCCACCACCTCTCCAAGAACATCCCCGAGGACGTCGCCTTTGCTGAGTCACGCATCCGCGCCGAGACCATTGCTGCTGAAGACGTTCTGCATGATCTGGGGGCCATCAGCATGATGTCTTCCGACTCGCAGGCTATGGGGCGGTGTGGGGAGGTCATTCTTAGGACGTGGAATACGGCGCATAAGAATAAGGTGCAAAGGGGCACGTTGAAGGAGGATGAGGGGACGGGCGCGGATAATTTTAGGGTTAAGAGGTATGTGAGTAAGTATACGGTCAACCCGGCCGTGGCACAAGGGATGGGGCATTTGGTTGGGAGTGTTGAGGTGGGCAAGTTGGCCGATTTGGTGGTTTGGGATCCGGCTTGGTTTGGGTCCAAGCCGAGTTTGGTAGTCAAGAGTGGGTTGATTGCTTATGCGCAGATGGTGAGTTTCGAACTATCCTCTCTCTCATCCACTCTCCCACCCCCTCCTCCCTTTTTCTCTTTATCTTCCCTCTACATCATCCACACCCACCACCAACATACAACGTACAGACTACTGACAATAACCCAGGGTGACCCGAACGCCTCCATCCCTACCGTCCAACCCATCATCGCCCGCCCCATGTTCGCCCCCTTCGTACCCCCAACCAGCGTCCTCTTCGTATCGCAAGTCAGCATCGACAGCGGCGCCGTCGCCAAGTATGGCCTGCGCAAGCGTGTCGAGGCCGTCCATGGGTGCAGGACTATCAGCAAACGGGACATGAAGTTCAACGACGTCATGCCCAAGATGCGTGTCGACCCGGAGAGGTACACCGTCGAGGCCGATGATGTCGTGTGCACGGCTGAGCCGGCGGATGAGCTGCCGTTGACGCAGGCGTGGTTTGTTTATTAAGTGGGAGTAGATTAAGGGGGGAGATATGAGGCAGGGTGCTGAAAATATTAGTCGCCAGGTTGAGTTGGATAATTTGAGATATTCATACTTGGGGCACAGGATTTAGTTACGTTAGTAATTACCGAATTTGAAGAAACGTCTGTTCCTCTTAAGAAAAGCATAGACTCGAGCCATAGCTGCTTTCATTAATGAACGAATCTTGCGAGGCGTTGGTTATCTAAGTGCCAAACTCGAAAACTGAATAACAGAAAGTAACATTACATTACCCTTATAGACATCGTAAAGCCGAATCGGCTTTCTGCTAGAGTATAGTCGGCTAGATCCAGTATTTAATTCTTTATCACATATACTGTCAGCCTTACAATAGGCCTACTTGTTTGATCCACGAGTCTTACCATATTCAATTTGGCTCTTAATACCTCGACCCATTCACGGGACTTCTGCGGGATCAATGCTGTCATACGAGAGCAGAATAGCTTCATTACAATATTGAATAATCGAAGTAATGCGTCAACTCAAGGGGCCAAAGCAAGTACGGTCATCATGTTTTAATTTATACGAAAACTCTACATACACTACGTCTTAAAGAAACGCTCTGCGACGAGGACTCCTAGATCTCCCCTATGTCCGGACCACGCCGTCCCCTTTCCTTCCCACCCTTTAGTGAACAGTATCGTAGCTCATGCAATTCCAAAAATAACCAAACGCGGGAATCAGCGAACTCGCCAACATGAGTTCATTGCCCACATATCATGTAGGGGCCAACGCCTTAGAAAAGCAGTACAAGGCCGTGGGTTTCAAAGACACGAAACAGGAAGAGGTATCACCGAAAGGCAACATAATAGAACAAGAAACAACCAGGCAATCAGGATACGAATCTCGTTTAGGCGCTCTTCTTCTTGCGACCGGACTTCTTAGGCTCCTCGGGCACAGGTTCCGCAGCTCCCTTGGACTGTCGCTTGCGCTTCTTTTCGGGACTGGCAACAGGCGTCGCGGTCTTAACAGCGCTCGCCTCTCCTTCCTCAACTTCCACAGCAGCAGTGCTCTTGCGCTTGCGAGTGGCCTTGGGCTTGGGGGTCTTAACAGCTTCCTCAGGGCTTGCAGGGGCAGAAACAGGAGCAGCCAGCTGTAGTTGCTCGGCAATGGCGTCATGATCATTGGGCAACGCAGCATCCTCTACACCGGATACAGTTGGGTGAGGGATCGCGTTGCCGTCGGCATATGTGAGGGCGTCTTGGTCAGACATCTCTCTGGCCAAGGCATTGCCAGCCTTGTAGGAGTGGACACGGGCGTTATACAGGCGCAGGTTGAACTGGTAAGCGTTGTTCCAAGCCTGGAGCTCCAGTTAGCAATTGACACATGTCTGCCAGCACGACGAGCGCGACTTACCATCTTCTCCTGGGGAGTCATAGAAGCCCAGCGGCGCTGACCTTCCTCTTGAACGGCACCCTTGGGAGCCTCTTCGCCGAGATCATTGGCGATGATTGGGCGGGCAGTTTGCATGTAGAGGAAGTAAGGAGTCAAGGGCCTTTTGGGAGCATTGGGATCATGGACGCGCTTCTTGCGCTCCTTCTTCTCCTCAGCTGCAGGAGCAACGGCTTCAGCAGCCAGCGGCGCAAACCCAAAGGCAGCATGGTCCAAACTAGCGAGCGCATGCAAAGACGGAACGTTGTCTAGTGAGGTGGGTTCTCCCAGAAGGAGGTTGCTCTGGCGAACGTAGTCTGCAGCAAACGATCTCAACAGGTCCTGTATCGTGGAGAGTCGTGCATAGACCTTGAGTAGTGTTAGCGTCTTGTTTCCAGCGCATGTATAGCGTGATAACGTTAAAGATAAGAGCTTTGATGGAGCTCAAGGTGTGGTGGGCTGAGCTGTCGCGGTGTGGGGTCGGTTGGGTCCAAGCTCCCGCGAATGCGGGGTTCGCAACATCTCACAATGTAAACATGATGGATGGAGACGCCCTTCAACGCGTTTTTCGCTCGTGCGAGGTGCTCTTGAGATGGCAGTGCGGACACGTGGTCTTCGACATCGCCGAGAAGGAAACTACATGGGCGCATTGTGTTGAGTGGGGACAACGTGTGTAAGAGACATGTTGCTGCCAGGCTGTTATGCAATTGCTGCGTGGTCGAATACATCATGGCAAATATTGTGGTTGAATGTGACGTGGCAGAGGATTGTGGGTAGAGCAGATGTCAAACAATGTGGGAAGAGACGCGAGTCCAGTAGGAATAGTGGACATATAGTCGGGTGCAAGGTTTCAGGCTTCGCAACTGAGGTCATGACAACGATGATATTGCAAGATGTGTGAAAAGCGAACTTACCGAGTCGCGAACGCGGACGTATTCTGCGCGGTTGATCACAAGCGTCGCCGCATTGTTATCAGGCAGAGCTTGAAGGATGGGCAGAGGTGCAGGCTGCGGCATGGCTGGGATGGGTGCTGGAGCGGCGGCGACTGGCACCTGAGCCGGTGCAGCTGGGGCGGCCGCTGCGTTCTTCTTGGGGCGGGCCATTATTAGTGATGGCTGTCTTGTAAGGGTTTGCGGTTGTGTTAACCGTGTTGTGGTGTTGCAATTTGTCGGGGCGCAAATTTGGGCTTTCAGGCTCTCCAAGTCACAGGTGCTGGAAAATTGAGAGTGGTGAATTTTAGGGAGGGAAAAGAAGTCGTACTTGCTCGGGCCTGGAGTTGGGGGGGGGGTGTCAAGATTTTATGCGGGCGGCTCCAGCGCAGAATCAGCCCGCCCAAAAATTCTCTGCTGGAGCTCGAGCTGCCAAAAAAAAAAACCCACCCACACCTCTGGGCTAGGTCGCAGACACTGGGCTACACCACCTCTACCACCTAACCGCGCTCACTGAGCGAGGTACCTGTAACTCCAAGAGCAGGATTTCTCCATAACAACTTGAAACCAAAAAGCCTTTGTTATTCATATGCAATTAATTTCATAGTAAAATACGCATCACATTTGGTCATTACTCTCATTTTTTTGTCCTGGAATGAGACGATTTCCCAGCGCAATTCGCGATGGCGATGCCTTAAACATAGCGACGCGGAAGGCACGGGTACTTATACTTAAACACAGCCCATCCACTGATCCCATTCCAATTTTGGAGATCAGTAAAAACAGCGGCGAAGCACCTGGGCACTGATCCAGGGTCCCGAGGTCCCTGCGATGGGGTACTTTGCCAAATCGCTTGCACAAGTCAACTTGTAATACCTTCAGTTCAATCAAGTGCATGCGGACTTTTGCAACAGGGGCGAATGGGCGATGAATTATGCTGAAAATTTAATTGTAGCTTTTCTGCATTCAATCTCGAATTTTTTGCACCTGCGTGGTGTACTGGGAGCTCTGCGGCTTGGGTGGGATTATTCGCGATGTTTAGGAGGATGCTGGCCCGTAAGGGCTCTCAAGTAACTCGTTCATGGTGTTGCGATGCAAGTTTGCGTCGCTGAATAGCCTGTACCACTGATCGCAGCAGATGACTGGCCAGCCTGGCAGTATTGACGAGCTGCGACTGTCCAGTTTTAAAGCGGCCAGAACTCAAGGCAGACCTGTCCCCAAGCAGCGACACCATCGGCCAACCCCCTCTGCAGTTCGCCCAGAAAATTAATCCCATCAAGCAAGCAAGGCAGTGTACTCCAGTGCTCAAGTGGGTGATTGCCCATCTGCGCGCACCGCCAGCACCACAACTTGGGCACTGAACGACGCCTGACTGTGGTATGAGCAGTGGCTTCCAGCTTTGGGACGAGCCGATCGAGACCTAACCTCAATTGCTGGAGAGAGCCCCTCAATTGACCTCTACCTGGAGCTCCTGTCTGAAGTCGCTCCCGTAGACCACCCCCCAATTCCCCCAATTCAACCGCCTAGACCCGAACTCGGCAGCTTTTCTTTCATCCTCAGCTGCTTCTGCTTCCGCTCCCCCGCTGGCCATCCTCTCCCGAGGTCGCCAATTTGCGTTCGTCACTGAAAACCGAAGCAACGAAGCAAGTGAAGCTGAGGCCGCTCAACTCGTGCTAGTGGCCACCTAGGCACTCAAATCCGACATGGAAGTTACACGCCTGGAAGTCGTCACTTCTGTCACCTCTGGAAGTGAATACCGTCCAGGGCCCATTGCCGTGAATACTTGAATACTCCCATCTTCTTCGCTTTTCCCACTCTAGTCCAGAAGTCTGAGGTGCCCCACTGGTGTTGCTGTACCTGTTCTGACCGGTCTGAGAGTTGTTCCCCCCACGGTCGGATCGGAGTCGCACTCTAGTTCTCAACCTCGCAAGACCCCAATCCTTCTACTACACCAGTGACCGAACCCCAACTGCTTCCCCAAGACTTTCATTCAACACCCTCCAAGCACGGTCTTGTTCGCCTCTCCGCGATACTATTCGTAATCACTGAACACTGCAATTGATCACTGCAGCCATGTCCATATGCCAGCTATCAGCCATTTCAGCAGTATCCACACATGCTGAAAGATCTAACCTAGATGAAATGCTGCTGAAATATTGATCACATTAAGCAATCGCTGATATGATCTCGGAAAGCACAACACCATAGATACGTGCTGCTTGCTCAGCCCTATTATGGAAGCGCCGTCACCACGGATGCTATTGTATACCGGGCGGGATGTGATGCGTACTCAGAAAACTTGTTTGATATCTTACTCATCTAGGCATGCTACCGAGAAGGGAGTTGGTATCGGCAGCACCGGTAGAAACTCCACACATAAGACTTTGTGGTCTTGATACTAATAGTATGTACATACACTATATTACTCCAGCTAGGTATAGTCCACAACTATGTCGCCATGCTACCTCAACAACGCTAGAATATTTTGTCTATGGCAATTATAGCAAACGGCTAGCGATTTTCACCGCCTTGTCAAGGTTACACTGTGAGGAGGATGGCTTGACACAGGAAGCCCAATATTAGTAGACAGAATATTTGACAGCTGTCAGCACTACTTGTTATCAGATCACCACTACTGTGAAGGGTATACCACGCTAATTTGAAGCTCTCGCAAAGCGGCTCAACTAAACGCAGCATCACGAGTGTTTTATCAGATGATATTGCGCAAGCTCTTCAAGCTCGTATGCCTTACCCCCCACCCCACTGTGAGAGCTCTTGGCATTGTTTCGGATCCCTGCTCGAGGCCTCACCCCTCCAGCAAATGGAGATAGAATTGCCAATCGGTTTGTGTTTTGCATGAAGTCTTGGCATTTATTGATGTCACCGGCGGTCAGTTCTGAAATCGAGCCACTTCACAGCCCGTCCAGGGCTAGCTTTTGATAGCTTGATCCTGGTCTTGCCCGGCGGCTGCCCCTCTACCCCTCCGCTGCGAACCAAGAACTAAGGCACATCACGTCTGGACTATTTCAACCCAAGAAGGCTCTTTTCCTAAATCCCCTTCTTTCCCTTTGAGCTCATCACGACGTTTCACCCACGTCTTTCTTTACTTGTATTTTTCAGTAAGAAACACATTCCTCGACCCTTCATACGAGAACATTTGGAGCAGGCACCATGTTCACGTTGAAGCCCTACCCCGCCTTCTTGGCGCTGGTAGTACTGCTGGTCTTCGCACGGCCAGCTCTCGCCTTTGGTGCTGGCAATATCGCCAGTATCTCCAAGGTTGAGGGTCAAAACTGTAGGTCATCCGGTTGAAAGCTGGTAAATTCTCAAACAGCGCTCTGATATCGAATCCTGCTAGGGCGCCATGGCGACATCGAAGACACGCTGCTTTCCCTTCTCATGGCCCGAGCTGTCGGCGGCAAGAAGTTCGACAAGCTGGCCGTCTCCCGAGTTTACTTCGGCAATTGGCTCCGAGATTACTCCCAGGCTATCGATGTCGGTACTGTCAAGTCGGTGTCTGCAGAAGCCATCCGCCTTCTCCTCTGTATTCTTGGCTTCATGAGCTTCGGCTTTGGCTCCAAGGAATTCGAGGTGACTGCGGACCGTCTTGGCTGCTACCGCCCGGAAGACCACATCGACAACCCCAAGAACTATGCCGACAATGTCGACGCACGCCAGTACGATCGCAGACTCCGTGGTCCTATCGACGAGGGCGTCGAGCTCGCCGTTGATGAGGAGACCGGCATGAAGAACTACATTGCCAATGAGCGCGTCGACATCATGACCTCGGCCCTCCATGTGAGAAGACTATTCAGCCGCTGCATCGAGCTTGGACGCAATTACCAGCGTAACCAGAACAAGGCAGACTTCCACGAAGCTCTGCGACTCATGGGCACCGGACTGCACTGCCTTGAAGGTACGCGTGTCTCTAATAACAATTAGCGCCCTTAACGTTTGTTAACAACTTACTCATCCGTCTTCCAGACTTCCTTGCCCACAGCAACTACACCGAGCTAGCTCTCATTGAGATGGGCGAGCGCGATATCTTCCCCCACGTCGGCCGTGATACACGTATGCGACTCCAGGGCGCGCGTGAGGAAGTCTACCCACTTGTGACTGGAACTTTCGGCGGTGTGGACTTTTTGCACTCTGTCACTGGTGAAGGTAAAGTCTTGCAATTTTAAGCTGCGTGTTTACCTACTAATGAACTGGACAGTCTCGGACAAGTTAACTCAGAATGAGATCGACGAACTCGAGGGCGTGCTCCAGAACAACTCTCGCAATGATACCAGTATCATCGAGGGGCTTCTGGATAAGATCCCAGATGGCATGTTCGGTGACACCGGTGACAAGAAGCAAAAAATGGGGGAGATTCAGCAGAATGCCCAGAGTGCTCAGATGGAGAACATGTCGGTCTCTCCCCGAGAGCCTGAGGAGTACACTCGCTACGTCCAGCAAGTCTTCCAGCAGATCATGCCCGCGATCGAGTTCCACGATGATCTCATGAAGGGCATCAGCGAGGCAATTGAGAAGATCCCCGTTTTGCCCAAGATCGTCGAGCAGTTGGAAGAACAGATGTCCGTCTGGGTCTTTTCCATTATGGCACCTTTCGTAGTCCCTGTCATTCAACAAGTCAAGAATGAGCTGCGTACTGGATCCTCGGAGATTATTGAGAGCAGCAAGAACGAGCAGCACATCGTCTTCAACGATGATAACTGCACTGACCCCACTCACTCCATGCTGTCCAAGGATCACTTCTCCAACGTTGGTAGCCCTTGCTTTAACGGCAACTCGATGAGATGCTAACTGCTTATAGATTCTGAATGAAGCCGCTGGCAAGACTGCAAGCAAGGTTGTCGCTTGGGTCGTACCTCAACTGATGGAGGCGTGGGATGATGATGGTGTCGACGTCGATCGCCTCATGAACCGTATTATCTATGGCGTTATGCATCACCCAGCCCAACGCGACATGGGCGAGGATGGTGCTCAAGACGGTCGAAATATCATGTTCCGAAGCATTGAGGAGTGGTGGCGCCAGATGGACGACGGCGAGAAGGACGAATACCGGCGCAAACTTTCTCGGGACGGTGTTGAGAATGGCGAGAATCACAAGGAAGGGGTTGCTGATTCTGGTCACGGCTGCGGTGGACATCTAGGAATGCACAAGAACTTTGCCAAGGGAGGTACGATGGAGGACCGAATCGCAGGAGCTGCTGCCGATGCCATCGTTGGTGGAATTACCGGCAGCATCTCGGACATCGTTCAATCTCAAACTGGAGTCCACCTACCTTCAACAGAGGGAGGCTATGGCGGTCGCCAGGAACAATCATCAGAGGGAGGTGGAGGTGGAGGTGGCTTAGGTGGCTTCCTCAGTTCAGTCGGGGGTTCACTTCTTAGCGGAGCATTCAAAGACGAGAATAAGACGTCTTATAGCGAGAGTCGCCAGGATAACAAGTCGTATACCGAGAGTCGCACTGAGTACGGCCACTCTGGAAATCGTTACGAACAAGCAGAGGTTACGGAAACGCAATACTCGAGCGGACGCGAAACTCGCGATTACCAACGCTATGAACAGGACGAAGACAGCCGTGGTAACACCAGGGGCTACGGCTACGAGGAGCGGACCGAGGAGTATGGTGGAGGACGACGTGAGGAGGGCGGGTATGGTGGTGGCCGAGAGGAGTACGGTGGAGGACGACGTGAAGAGGGTGGATATGGTGGTGGCCGAGAGGAGTACGGTGGTGGACGACGTGAAGAGGGCGGATATGGTGGTGGCCGAGAGGAGTACGGTGGAGGACGACGTGATGACGAGGGTGGATACGGTGGCGGTCGCGAGGACCGACGGGAGGACCGCGGAGGAGGCGATTTTCTTGGAGGCATCCTGGATAGCGTTGACCGGGCCAACGATGGAGAGCGGCGTGGTGGTGGCTGGGGCTTCTAGTAGAAATTACGGGATCAGCCAGGATTTTCTGCGAATAGATATTACGGTGGAGTCAAGTTGTGAAGATTGTTGGGAGTGGTTGCATTGGACAGAAACACTAAAATGGGCTGAGTAGCGATTAGTTTCGCTACACGATGATTACGACGAAGTATGAATTTCTCAAATTAAAACCTGTCAAAGAGTAACAAAAGTGATTCGCGGAGTCGCAAGAAAAGAGGACGGTCCGGAAGTTAGCGATGTGGTTCTTCGAAGGCTGTGTGACGTCAAAGGATCAACCAATCGGTTCCCGATTAATACTCGGAACTGACTTATATACCCACGGCACAATACAACAATGCAATATATATATACTGGGGTGATGTGCTCATACTTGCTGCCCCGAAGTGCGGGGGAGCCAAGCAGGTATGGCCAACAACAGCCGTCTCTAATATATGATGGGTTCGGCGCGGTATCCCCGCCGGTTGTTCCCCCAGCTTCTTCCAGACGGTGGCCTCTATTTTGCCTGGCTTAGTCTTTTTTTTTCATAGGCACCTTTTCCTTGGTTATCATGTGCTTTCAGCGAGTTTTAGCTAATTGACGCATAGTGAAGTCCCAGGTCCCTGAAATGGTATTGGTCAGAAGCTGGAAATCAGGGGGGCGCGATGATGTCGGACGTGCTATATGTCCCGTGTTGGCGGAATATACAGCCCGGTAGCTGTCTTCTGTGGGCCAGCACAGCTCGAAATTAAAGACCTGTGGTTTTCACTTGGTCTTTTCGAGGCCTCTTCTGCTTCTGTTCTTGTCATGTCTCATCACCTAAGCTAGGTATACATACTTCTCGGGTCATATAACTTAGTCCACTGGAGACAAAATGCAACTCCTAACCGCCATCGCCCTCCTAGCCGTAGGTGCCCCCTTCCCCACTACCCTTGCCCAAGGCTCCTCGGGCACTGGCCAGACAACCCGCTACTGGGACTGCTGTAAGCCATCTTGCGGCTGGAGCGCCAAGACGAACTCGGGCAAGTTCATCGGCACCTGCGACCGCAGCGACAACCCCTTGGGCGGAGCCGACACGCCGTCTGGGTGTGATAACGGCGGGAGTGCATTCATGTGTTCCAACCAGAGCCCCTGGGCCGTCAACGAGACGACGAGCTACGGCTGGGCGGCTGTCAAGCTTGCGGGGAGCACTGAGACGACGTGGTGTTGTGCTTGTTACGAGTTGACGTTTACGAGTGGGTCTATTAGTGGAAAGAAGATTGTGGTGCAGGCTTCGAATACGGGTGGGGATTTGGGGCAGAATCATTTTGATTTAGCGGTTAGTTTCTGTTTTGTTTTTCCTTCGACATTTGGCTATATGCATATCTCCTCCTTCTTTTCATTTCCCCTATTTCCCTCCTTCCTTGCTCGACCCTTTACTTAATAGTGAGCAGAAGACTAACATCATCGCCACCTCCACAGATGCCTGGCGGCGGCGTAGGTCTCTTCAATGCCTGTACCAACCAATATGGCGCCCCGCCCCAGGGCTGGGGTCAACAGTATGGAGGCGTGTCGTCACGATCGGACTGCGACGGGTTCCCAGAGAAGCTCAAGGCTGGGTGCTACTGGCGCTTCGACTGGTTCGAGGGCGCAGACAATCCAAGTGTGAGCTTTAAGCAGGTGGCCTGCCCTGCGGCGCTGACGGCGAAGAGTGGGTGCTCTCGCAATAATGATGCTATTGACGAGACGCCTACGGGACCGAGTAGCGTGAGTACTTGGACGCAGAGTGAGACGGCGACGGCAACTGCTACGGCGACGGCCTAGTCGCTGATGGAGATGAGCCGGAAGGGGGTGATGAAAAGGGGGAGAAATGGGGTATCTATATAGGATTGTGGTGGCTTGGATGAGCCGGCTGGCATTGTATACAAGTTAAATGCCGTCTCTTTTTATATACACTGCTTCAAGTTGGACATTAAATATCAAATAGGCGCATCGTACTACGAAACCATGACTACGAAAAAAGCCACGTTCAATTCAGCGTAAGGAGTACTTTCCATTGCTACTTACTATGTGATCGCTTCATCTGCATCGGATTCTCTGCAGGCCTACAACTCTTAGACAGTATCTCCGCCTCCGTTAGTCTGACTTGGCTTGCCTTTATCCCGCCCGAAACATGATGTCCCGCCATTTAAATAATCAAGTAACGAAACAAAGAGCCATCGCTTGGGTCCTAGCGGAGTCGGAAGATGGAGGCCATGCACTCACTCTTATGGAGCTCTTGCGGGAAGCGACTTGGAATACGTGACCGATTTGTTCTTGGTCTAGGTAAAGAACCTTTGAATGAGATCTTTCTCAGAGGCTACAATGGACTCGCTGGGCCGTTCGAAGGCATGAACGCCGTCCATCAACTCCACGATGCTTGTGGGATCGAAATTAGCACCGAAACCCCCATCAAGTTTACGCACGCCGATATAGTTCCGCTGAACATCATATTGTCACCTGTACCGGATACGAAAGTTGTTGCTATCATTGACTGCGGTCAGGCTGGGTGGTATCCGGACTACTGGGAATATTGCAAGGCTCAGCGGGTGACCTTAGACCCGAAGGATTTTGACGAAGCGTCCCAGAGAGATTGGAGTGAGACATATTTGCCACTAATTATGGATCCGGTCGATCTGGATGCGCATTATCACCCATGGCTCGAGTTCGTGCTCTCGAAAGGATTTTGATATGCAAGTCCAGTGTTTTATTTGCATTACGTCTCAAAAGAAAAGAGGGACGATACACTAAATGCGTTGACATCACGGAAGGCGAAGAAAGTAAAGAGGGAGGCTAAGGTTGGTTCACATATATCTTCTCCGGCGGCTGGGTCCTTTCTATCGATCCATCTTTGTTAGACATTTGAGGCAGAAAACTTAATATTCGAGGACACGGCCAGGATTTTCTGTTGTGATTTGAGGGGACGCAGGTTCAATACCTAGATCCTATAATCCTTTCAAAGATGTGTCAACATGAATACCAAGTTTGTTGCAGGATCCTACTACGACTCCATCTACCTCTTAAGTCTTCACCTTTAGGTGGCTAGGTGGGTAACTCTTCCTCTGCCTGCGACTGCCGTAGCCACCAGCCCCAAGAGGTATCGCAAGGCCAGTCGGACACGGGAGCCGAGCCGAATCCCGGCATATACCGTGACTTTATTGCCCTTGCGTACGGCGAAACTGGCGTGCCATGTCGTACCTTCAATATCAATGGAAATGGTGGTGTTGCCTCTGTATAAATGAGAGCTTCGGAGTGAGCTATAGAGACGACTCGGGCGCGTGTTCACAGGGCACCGCCTTGGACAGCACCAGGCTCGGCTAAATCGAAAATGTTGCAAGCGCCGATCGTCTACGAGGATTGCCAAACAGGAATACAAGTATAGCACATATCGTAGTGTACGGCGATCAGAGCGGATCGAGAAGCGGAAGGTTATGCTGTGGTCAGTGAGGATAGTCACGAAATGAGAGGTGCCAGAGTCAGCAGTAGGCAGAATATCGGTGGGTTCAAGCGTGAGAGTCACTGTCGGGTTCCCACTAAGATCTCTGAGGGTAGTGGTGTAAGGCTGGACCAGCATTGAAGATGCGAGGGTCAAGGTCGGTACGCCCTTTAGTCCAATAACAAACTCGGCTATAGTCACTGTAGGATGACCTTCAGAATCCGATAATGTCGTCATAAAGTTGAGGGAGAGGCCGCTACTAAACACAGTTAAAGTGGGCACACCAGAAGTAATCCTCGCGGATGGGACTCCAGAAGGCGGTCCTGGCAAGACTACTACTATACTACCGCTTTGATCGGCAGGTAATGGTACAGTAAACGTAACTCTACCTTTAGTAGCATCAGTTGAAGTGGCACTGCTTCCTTCCTCTGTTGATGTCTCCGACACACCTTTGACAGTCGGAATGGGCAACTGTCTTCATCTAGGGACTGTAACCATCATAGAAACGCTGGTTACTAATATTGGGCGACCGAGACTGTGTTTGTGACGCGCAGTCTGATCCTTCTATCCCCAATCATCAAGTTACCCCCAACTGAAACAGGTGGTGGTGTCCGCGCGAGTCGTTTAGCGCCCTTCTTCCTAGCGACGACATGATACGCTTGAGGAATGACTGTAAATTTCGTATTATAAGTACATAACAGTGCATGCGGCTGAGCGACACGACATAATTGAAAGGTTAAGATATGAGCGCTATCGTCTTCACTAGGTTCTTTAGGTTTTCATTATTAAGTGGCTGAGCCGAGGAGGATCAAGGGGCGCAGCTTACGGCTGTCAGTCTCGTGTAGTATAGGTTGGATTGTCCTAATACCGAGATTCCCCTTCGAGTCAAGAACGTAAAATTCATACATAGATCAAAATTACTATGTACAGCTGACGGTAGGGCCTAATAGTTCAGCGAATCATTAGCAGATACTGCTAAGATGCATGCCAAGGCACTTCCAGACATCCTGGTACTATACACAGAAAGAGTCCCTCTAGAGCCTCCAAATAATTATAGCCTAGTTGCATCGCGAATTATATAATAATAATAATATTAAATACGCCGTAGGTGTTAACCCTCGGTACCTCTACAAGTACTCCCTTAAGGGGCTATAGATGATATAGCGGGCCCTTAAGCCGCGTCGGGCGGTTATACAGGTAAACTTGTAGCCAAACGACTACTAAACCTCCTGTCCCTCCCTAAGTCTGTGCTACAACCCTTGCCTGAACTACCGATAAGTGTGGTAATGTGGCACTTAAATTCGTCCTCAGGGGTGGGATGCTGCTGATGTGCAGAAGATGCTCGACTATTTTTTTGTCGCGACAAGTCGTAGTATCTGCTAATTGGGGTTCTCGTCGAGCGTATACATCTCAACCATACGCTCAAGTGGATAGACCGTAACGTGGTCTAGACGCTCGCATGAATCGCGGCGAGTGGGCGTGCTGCGCGCCTTCTATCGTGAGGGGACGGGTTCGCCGACGAGCGTTATCGGATAGGAGAGGTCCGATAAGGGGTCGGATTAACGATCCGAATTCTGGACCGGCTGTCGAGTTATATTCCGCCGACGTAGTGCTTGACGGTCGACTGGCTAGGATGCTCGTAATCCTAAACTGCACCAATCTCCCTATTATCGCTAGGTAGGCGAAGTCAACAAGGTGGGCAGCGCGCCGTAAGGGTTGACTAAACCCCCTTATGTGTCAGCTGCGGGATTCGAACCCGCGACTCGTCACCGACCCAAGTGGGCGAGGCTCAAATCGGGACTTGTCTACCAGCGAAGTGACCAACTACACCAGCCGACCGGAGTGTAATTAATCCACTGGGACGGCTATGATGGTATGAGTAGCAGGTCTTAACATAAGGCTTCACCTAAAATGCTCATATCAGTCCATGGTATGATTTCATAAAAGGGTAATGAGTGGCATCTCCAGGTTTTATTGAAGGCGTGGAGTTACAGTATCTACATATTTCCTGGCTGCGGAGGGGCTCCGTAGGCTGAGACAGCCCGCCTGGAGGCTTTCTTGCCATTTTTATCAACAGTGCATTATTCATGCGCGATCATATGTCGAGCCGCCCCGCAGCTTTATGGAGATGATGATTTCGGTAGGAAAATTTGACAGTTGTTGACAGACTTGATGGGGGCAAGTGGAAGCGAATACAAGACCACGGGTTGGTACCCGGAGAGAGCGGAAGACTATCCGAGTGCAAGAGTGGGTGGAACTAGGAATTGCCACCGTTATACATCAGTAGAACATATCCTGTGACTGGCCAATGCGCTCGCGAATCCAACAGAAGCAACTGCCGCAAGAAAGTACAGAGAACCTACGGTTGGTGGTCTCACCAGTAGCAATGGCCAGTGCTGGGATCAGCAGCAGTACTTTAACAGGTGAACGAGCCCCCCAAAAAGAGTCATATACAGAGCAAAATCAACGGTCTCGGATAGGTGCGTTAGGGGCCTCTAGGTAGCCTCATGTATTAATGCATACACACATCTCAATTCCTTACATACCGTGGACGCTCGAGACGGTAGTGAGGTCGCAAGCCAGCTGAGAAAAGGCGTTTACGTTCCATATCCAGGTCTACCTATACCCGCAGTCACTTTAACCACGTGTTCCAATGAATCGATTACCAGATAAGATTTTACTTCTTCCGGAGACTACATGTTTCGAAGCCCTCAATTAGTAAATCTGGAGCTCGAGAAATAGGTAACGAACATTTATTCATCGACTCAAATCCGACTCATATTCCCTACTCCGAGCTTGGACGATCAAGTGGCCCGAAAAAGGTTTTAGCCGCGGCAAACCATATTTCGTCAAGAGGTGGTATTACTTCGGCAAACCCCCCGGACCGAGCGGCAGAAGATTCACTTTTGGCGTGAGAGTGATTAGATGCTGGAAACGTTCAAACGTTTCAATCTTCATTCGAGGTAGTGAATGATTTTAGGAAAGTCTACGTTCGTTGTACCACGACAGAGTCATCAAGGTCAGGTAGTGACTCTAGGCCGTTTTCGCACAGCCGCACTGGAGCATGACGAATGAGGACTGACAGGGGGCTTCGCACGTACAAATAAATTCAGGAGGCCATAATGTTAGCACAATCGAGCCCGGCCTGCGAATTTGACGCTTACATGGAGTTGTGGTCGATAGAGATAACAAGACATTCCTATACTGTAATAACGCTAATATGAAATCGGATACGTCTCTAGGTTTACGACTAGTTAGAGTCTTACTTACTTTCATCGAGAAGAACAAACAGAGTTGGACAGGGACTCTGTTTAACAGGGTACGTAGCGGAAATTGCTCCTCTGAAATACTTACTTTCTCGCTAGGTACGGCAGTTAGACCTATACATCGCTAAAATACATAAAGCTAGCATTCTTTAGGGAGATATGAAGCTAGAAAATATTCTGGTCGACGAGGTTGACAGTATCTAGGCCATCGACTTTGTAGGCAGCTAAACCACCGAGTAGGTTAACAAGGAGAAGGGCGAAATACTGGAAGGGGATTTGTAAGGAGTCACGACAATCAGAGGCTTCCTTGGCGACTATTCCGAGGAGACAAAACTCGCCAGAAATTAACCGAAGCACACTTCTGCCGCAGAGGTGAATGTCGGCGTTTGACTCATCCTGGCTCGACGTTCCAGAATGTACAGTAACAGGATCATGCACGGCACTCTGAGCATTTCTGATCCGGCTTCTGTTGCAGATCGCATTTAAATTCTTAGGAACTACTCCTTGAACTCGGACGCAAGCGTAAGCCTTGTGAAGACCAATAATTCCCAGGTCTTCCTGTTTTATTCGGTGATTCTCTGAATATTAACGACATTAGACACCGCTATATGGTAATAGCCACTGCCTACCCCTGCCTTTTAATACTGCTCCCACATCAGCCAATCTATACGCTTCCGCAATCTCTGTTGGAGATAAACCGAATTATGCCCTCTGAGAGGATCAGCGTGCTGTGCACAGTCCGCTCCAGGTTTCGGGCGCTAGGAACGGGCCGCGTTGATTGCCGTGCTGAGAGCTATGTTTCTCCCATGCGGCACGGTTTCGGTCCGATCGCGCAGCATCGTTCGTAAGACTCGGTTAGCACACTTTCAAAATATTATTCTATCACCGAAACTCTAGGAGTAGTTCTATGGTTTCTGGGCATTAGCACGCCGCACGTAATTCTGACACGATCCCCCGTGCTTCATTGGGGAAAGAGTGACGACTGGGGTTGGGGTCGTGGCATCATAATAGTGAACGCTCATACTATTGGTTACATAGTGTAGGTGGTAGGATGATGGATGGTGTTTAGTAAGAGAGGAGACCTAGTAGCACTTAGCGGCAGGAGGAGAACGAGGTAATGCAAGCAGAACTAGGAAAGACCCAAGGCCCCAGGCCCCAGAGAGGTCGAGCTGGCTTTGGGCCTCGGGGCAGGCGAGCGTAGATTCCATCGCCAGCCCTGGAGGTAACAGTCCGATCACCGTTCCTCTCACTGTCTCTGTAACCCCTGCTCCTTCTTCATAGGCCGGCCAGGGGACGGGGAGGGGTTTGTACGACAGCGAAGAACATGAAGGTATTCAGGAGCCAGGGCCAGGTCCGGTGGTGGGGACGGCGGCATGGCGGCCAAAGGGGGCAGGCCTGGGTGGAGCGAACGGGGTACAAGGCAGAAGAAGCGATGGATGTAGCGACGAGCGACGAGTGACAGGGAAGATGGTGGAAGGGAAACGGGCCTGGGGGAAAAACTGAAAATTGCAGTCTGGCCATAAACATTCCATCGGCGGCGAAAAGGAGGAGCACCAACATGGCGGCCGAGGGTTCATGCGTGGGGCACCAACAACGGCGGCGCGGTGTCTAGGCTCCACCCTTAATCCAAATCTACAGTTTGCAGCTTTTATCTATGGGAGAGTGAACGGGATCCCGAGTTCTCTTCAACCTGTGATCGTGAAACGCTATTTCTAGGGGTTACATATGGAATCGTGGTGGAGCTCTGATACGACAGCACCCGAGTGTCTCACGGCTTAGCTATGGTACCCCTCTCACTACGGCCTTTCAGACCTTATAGACTCTGCGAGTCCTCCAACTTCCGGATAATTAGCGCAAGATCCGATAACAGAGCATGTGTCGGCCTGATGGGAGTGGCATACTGCATTGCGGCTTTCCTCGTAACATTGTAGTGCTATTTTATAATTTTCCAATTTTCTCATTATTGTTATACATCGCGGGATTTCGGTAAGGTTGGAGACCAAATGATTGGCAAGATCAACAGGCTGCTTGAAAATGGCCATATTCGAGGTCGAAGGGAGCAAGATGTTGTGGTCCTATTCGTTAAAAGCAGATATGTAGTACAGTCTTGAGGGACTATCTGCCTAGATACGAAGTGCTGTGCTTCGAGGGCCAGTAAGTCATTGTTCACTTCAGTTCAAACCCGTCTTGTATGTTTCAAATGAAGCCTATAATGATTCTATTCGCAATTCACACGGTCATTTTTAGGTCATAGCATGATTCTCGAGGATTTTACCGTCATGGATAGTCACAAACAAAATATGCCGTGATTTGCCTACCTCGGACGCGAAAGTTCGCCGCAACGACTACAGCTCTCTTTTAAGTTGGGGTTTTTGCATTCAGTTCGGGGTTTCAATGCGGCCGAGGAGTCCGAATTCCAAGACGAAGATCTTGGACTGATATGTGATGGATACAAATTGGAGACTTTGATCAGCAAGGGCACGTATGCGGATGTCGACTGAGTGACATGAAAACCCCTAGGCGACAGCATGTGCGATAAATCTCTGGGGCAAAAGTGTACCAAACAATATCACCTGAAAGAAAGAGCTATCTAGTCCACGTGGGAGCATGCCACGCCTCGGAATCCGACTAGTTTACGAGACCGCTTACCAAGCTAGACCAGTTTCTAATATATCACACAAGCGAACTTGATCAAGATCCTGGGACAGCTACGCTAAATTTCCTGGAGCTACCAAGTTATTATTCAATAGGGAACATACGCGCCGATGAAACAAGGATAAACAACTCCTTGGTAATGGTTCGACTTTCTCGACATCAGCGCGCCATGGAAAGCGAACCCCGAGACTAGTTCTGCATTGTGTGCCACTCATGTGTCTCCTGTCCAACACCCTCGGAGAACAGCAGTAGTCCGAATTTTTTTCACGCAACGTAACAAGGAAAAGGATAAAAGAGGCGAGGCCGAAATCACACAGCGGAATTGAAGAAGCTATGGGGATTGCTTGGCTCGCCGCAGCCTGGAATCACGCTTCGTTGATCCGAAAGATACGGGGAAACTAATAGAAAGGAAATCTAAGAATACTCCAGATGATAGTGCGATGGGTTGGTGCTTTGGCCTATGGAAACTGGAAGGGGAAGGAGTCCCGTATTCTTCTATCCGCATCGCTTCCGCCATGAGTTCTGATACCGGCTACTCGGACGTCCGTACAGCGCCGTCCGCGAAAATGAATGTAGGTGGCGAGGTAGACAACAACTCTTAGCTGGGTTTTACTCAGCCATTAGATATTACGATTTTTCTCGCCGTCGCAACACTCTTCGCGGACAAGCAAGCGCGAATCGAAGCACTTGCAGCGAAGAAATGGAAAATGAGCACTATGTTAGCAAAGAAACAGCTACGGTGTTGCGTACTGTCTACCCAGCAGAGGGAGCAATCATGCCTAGATGGCAGCGGCTTGCCGCCGATCTCCACGAACCTGGCCGAGTTCAGAGGTGCATGGTTCGGCAAGGACTATCCGCTGGCGAGAATGAAAACGAAGCATCACCGCTACGGCTCCGCTCCAACGAGGCAGAAAAGGCCCGCGATAGGTGGCTGGCGGTGTATTGCTACAAGAATCTGCGTCAGCTGTGTTGTACCTTGGCCCGGTCTGAATTTCTCTCTTGGAATGTCGAACATACGAAAGCTTATATAGACAAGTGCGAATGCAGGCTTGAGGCACTCGGTGTCAAGCCAGGTATCAACCTCAAGATGCTAGAAACCGAATTGTGGCAGGCGTACAGGGGGGGATCCCGACGATGCGCTGAAATTCACATGGATCTCAGTCGAAGGAGGATTTCGTCATAGCCGTTCAACCTATGTCATTCTTACAAATCACACACACTTCCCCTGATGGTGCTTCCGCTTTTTACCATGCACACATACCACCCCCACGTCGGTAAATACGCCACTAGCTTGATATATCATGGTTTGGTTTTGCCTTTATGTTAAATGGATTTAGGATAGCTTGCTGCATGGTAAGACTTCCAGTGAGGAGCCCACATAATTCTAGGGCATGCTTTCCCTGACTCACTCCCGAGCCAGAGATATCAAAGGCGACCTCGAGTACACTGAGTGTGTCCTTGCACCTGGGTGGGTTCTCCTTCATCGAGAATATTTCGAGAATATTACCAGAAAGCGACCATTGTCTCTTGTCTTCTCTCTTGACCCGTCGCTGATCTACCAGCTTTTTCCTGATTAAGGTAGAGATGAAGTATTCTCTATCACCCAGTTTTGATGATAATAAGATCGAGAAGCATACAACCTGCGAAGGAGGCTTTCTATAACCAAATGCACAGCGTTCTGCACGCCTCGCTGGAGATAGACCCTAAGTCATAATTGGTTGCAGGGCCCAGTTCCGTCCGTGAGGATTCAGTCACTAGTTCAACTATGATACCAAAACAAGCCAAATTCCATGATGCTCAGCTTCCACCTGCCTCGGCGGCTTGCTCTTTCTCCTTGGCACGCTGCTCCTCCTCTGGGGTCATGGTCCGCAGTTGGAGCGCATGGACGCCGCCTTCCTGGGCCATCTCATCCTTCAGTAACGAGTAAATCATGCGGTGCCTGGCTGGCTGCATTCGGGACTTGAAGGCTTCCGAGGTGATGATCATCCTGAAATGCGTTTCCTTCGACGTGCTGCCTGCCATGGCTTTGTGATGGGAGTGCAGGTGCGAGTCATTGAAGATTTCCAGCCGTGATGGGTTGAGGGACGCTGTGACCTGGAAGTTTGGTAAGCTAAGCATGATGAAGAATGGCTTGGCGAGATGGTACGATGCGGATGAGGGTGAGTCGATATGAGAGTGAGGTCACCGGCGAGTGAATGCATGAGCCTGAGGTCACGCGGAGTGAGGTTAGAGCCAAGTGAACACAACATACCTTAGACCGTATGGTATCTTCCATGGGAGTATTCGATGACGCCATTGTTGACAGTTGCCGGAGTGGCCTCGCAATGGCTACGGTGCGTCGGGCGAACATCAATAACCTCGAATTATTGGTGATGTCGGAAATGACAAATCCCGATGATTAAGATATCGCACGATTCAGTCTGGGAAGGATTAATTGGCTTGCTCGAATGGCTGAGGCTGAAGTGGGCCGCGCCGAGCTGCTATGACGGTCAGATACAGATTGGCCAATAAAAAGGGCCCTCCAGGGCTATCTCCGATGCTGGTGGTGGAGGTGGCAGGCACGAGCCGGGTGAGCTTGTCAAATCTTAATCTTTCTTCCCACAGCTTCAGGTCCTCAGAGTGGAAGGTCACGGCTTCTAGCAACATTGACCAAATACCATTCCAAATTCAACTCGCAACGCTGACATCATGCTTCCAAATCCCACCTGCCTTCTATAATTCACGATATCCATCACGCAGTTGCGAGCGTTACCTTGGAGATGCACGTTGAATGGAGCTGCCCGTTTACGACGGCATTGGACGATCATCAGCATCCCAGCAACCCAGCACCCCTGCCGCCGACTATTACACATACTGCCCCTCTAATTTCTCGGCGGCGCCTTACCTGCTCACTGCAGTGGTTTTTCTCTCTGTCTCCCGAACCGTCTTTCCCGAGTGGGACGACTTCGCTTCTTGATATATTCCCGGGATGTGGATTGTTGGGAATGGTGCTTCTTGCTCTTGTCGGATTCCTGAACTCACTTTTAAAGCTGCCCGATTAGTCGCACCTCCATCTCTGGTACAAGTACGTTCGTATGCCCGCACTGCTCCTTGCTCCAAGCGAACCCCCAAGTTTCCTTTGAGCTCCTTCCCCAGACTTGTACCTCGACGTTATACTACTATGACATCCACGCTCCCCAGTTTGCCCCTCTTCGAGGCCATATCGCGGCATGATCCCAACTCCATTGCCGTCGTCCATTGCTTGTCCGGCCGCACCTTTACGTATGGCGAGCTTCTGCCAGACGTTGCCCGCACGCGCGATCGATTGCATGAAGCCGCAGGCAAACCGGACATCCGGGGCGAACGCATAGCTTTCCTGGTCGAGAACAGCTACGACTATGTCGGTAAGCGCCATCATAATAGAACTACTCTACTAAGCACGAATGGAGTGCAATTGCTAACCCCCGGACCAGTTACACTGCTAGCGATCCTCGCTGCTCGCGCCATTGCGCTGCCACTCTCACCACCCTTCCCTCCCGCCGAGCTGCAATACATCTTGTCTCACTCCGAGGCGCTCCTCCTCCTCCACTCGCCCAGATATGCCTCCAAAGCGAAAGAGGTCATCGTGACGCCCAATCCTCCCTCCAACCCCGAGCCGCACCCTCACCCCAAGGTTCTCGAGCTCCCCAAGCACCTTGGCGGGGAGGCAGGATCCCCACGGGAAACCGTTACTCTCTCGGGGGATACCGACTCCGAAGGTGCCGGTATGATGCTCTACACATCGGGCACAACGAACCGACCAAAGGGAGTACTCCTCCCTGAAACTGCGCTGACGGCGCAATGCCACTCGCTCATTGATGCTTGGAAATATACCCCCGAGGATCGCCTGCTCCACGTCCTGCCGCTCCATCATATTCACGGTACCGTCAATGCATTGCTCACGCCGCTCTTTGCTGGTAGCTCCATCGAGTTCACCTTCCCTTTCAATGCCGATAGCTTGTGGTGGCGTTTTGCGACGCCTTTCCTTGCGAAACCTCTGATGAATGGCACATTGAACCATGTACCCAACGGCGATCTCGAGCCATCGAGCCCGAGAGCGGAAGAAAAGTACAAGCACATGTCGACGGCGCCCATCACATTCTTCACCGTTGTACCGACCGTATACACGCGCCTTCTTTTGACCCACCAATCCCTTCCCGCCGATCTGGCCAAGGCCTCACGCATTGCTATTTCCCCGAAACACATGCGCGTCTCGATTTCGGGCTCCGCGGCCCTTCCCACCCCTGTTAAACGGGCGTGGAAGGACCTCTCTCACGGCAATGTGCTCCTAGAGCGCTACGGTATGACCGAAGTCGGCATGGCCTTGTCATGCGGCCTGGATTACACCGATCGCGTTGATGGATCCGTCGGCTGGCCGCTACCAGGCGTCGAGGCTCGCCTCGTGGACCCAGAGACGAATCAGATCATCGCCGAAGGACAAGAGACCGATGAAAACGGACGCGAGAGGCAGGGCGAGATCCAACTGCGCGGCAAAAATGTATTTCGGGAATACTGGCGCAACCCCGATGCGACGGCCAAGGAGTTTGTTTCTGACAACAAGACCGAAGGGAAGTGGTTCAAGACTGGCGACGTCGCCGTGCGACGCCCAGTCGATAGCGCTGGTCACGGCGTATCGGGTGATTGGGCAAAGGGGCCTATGTATTTCATCCTGGGCCGCCAATCCGCGGATATCATAAAATCGGGTGGTGAAAAGGTGTCCGCGCTGGAAGTCGAGCGTGAAATCCTCTCCTTGCCTCAAGTGGCGGAAGCAGCCGTGCTCGCAGTCCCGTCAGGGAAATGGGGCCAAAAGGTCGGCGCCGTGATCGTGCTGAGCGAGCTTTACAAGGACAACGGCTGGAAGCCCATGGAGATGCGCAGGGCGCTGCGGGACAAATTGGCCAACTACAAGATACCCCAGGTGTTACGGGTCGTCCAGAGCATCCCACGGAATGCCATGGGCAAAGTCAACAAGAAGACGTTGGTTCAAGCGGTGTTCAAGGACGACTTCAGTGGAGACGAGATGTAAGATTCTGTTCCAATTTCCGGGTGGTACATATTGCTAGGGGTATGGATACCTAGATGACATAGATGGTCTGAAGCGAAGACAGACCGATCTCTCATTTGGTCATATAGAGCACAGTTTAGAGACTACCAAATCCGTTTAGGGCATAATGGACATGTCACTTCCTTGCCTTCGCGAAGTGGAAAACAAAAGGCGCATCATATCACGAGATGATGAGTCGCATGTGGACGGCCTTGTCACAAACCATGTAGCAGCCAGGGCAACATCTTCAGTGACTATATATATATATAGAAGGATCCGCTATCACGCATGGATGATCATATAAGTAAAGCTTTGCAGAATTATGTAATCCATTGCTGAATCTACATACCGCATCTTGGTATAAGGATGCACGAATCCTTGACTGATCGAAGACAGTCGGCAAGACATGATAGCGTCGTGTTAAGAACTCCCTCATGGAGACCCAGTCTAATCTTTTTGGTCATCATTTCGCAGATGTCTGTCCACTGGGTAATGCGCTCCTCCATTTGTTGATGGTGCAGAAAATATGCCTCCATGTTGCGTTGCCCGGCGTGTACCGTTGCTCAATCTGCAGACTGCCTGCTTAGACAGTGAACTTGGCCTTTGCACGAGTGCTGCCGCTATGCGCTGCGTCGGTATGGCCTGAGAATTCGACATACTCGGTGGCCGGCAGCTTCAAGATCTCCTTGAAGCGTTTGCCGATGTTCTCCAAGATCTGCTTGCCCTTCTCGGCCGGGCGGCCCTTGCCTCCGGCGACATCGCCGTCGCCACGGTTAGGAATACTCTTACCGATGGTGCGAGTCCAGACACCGACACGGAAGAAGGCCTTTCGTACGTTAACCACGACACCCATGACCTCACCATCGTTATCTTCCTCAAGTGTCTCGCCAATGGCAGCAAGCATTGTGTGCAGCCAGATGTCGTTGATGTCGATGTTGCGCTTCTCCTTGAAAGAGTACGACCATTTGCCACCGTGCTTGTTTTGCTGGTCCTCCCATTCTGGTCGCACACCCTCCTTGAACAGGTGGTAGTCGGACTTGAGTGCCAGCTCGGATACGGGTGCGATGTTATTCTACACGTTATGTCAGTAAATCCACACAGAGCTCATGTACCGGGGAACTTGGTGGGATTGTGGTGGGGCCTCACGTAGATACCCCAGAACTCCTCAACTGAGTTGAAGGTGATAACTTCCTTTAGCAGGTCGTTCCAGTTATCGCCCTGTAGAAAATGGTGGTCAGCACACGATATGAGTACAGATTGTAAATGGTAACGAGCTTTCAACCTACCTTGCCGCTTGATGGCTTTGTAAACCACAGGGTCCACTTGTTTTGAAGAGGGTGCTTGACATTGAAGTTATCTTTGTCGTGGAACACAGTCACTAGCTTGCTATCGATATCGGCGGCCGCGGTACTGCTCTCGTTCTCGCCCCTATCCCCATCTGGTGAGATGGGGATTGTGGTCAGATCGACTTGCTCGGACATGTTGGTGTTTGGGTTGTGCGGTAGTTTGGCGGGGTCGTCGGGAAATGCGTTTTCACTCCAGTTGAGGTGGAAACGTTGGTGTTGTTACGGGCGAGCCGGTGTGGAATGCCAGCTCAGGTCCTTTAGATGGAAGGAGCCTTGAGGCAATTGAACCCGTTCAGGCTTCCGGCGCAAAACGAGGAAGGTGCGGTCTGGTCTGGGTGTTGACGCCGGGAGGAACCCTGGTCTTGCGATCGGGAAAAAGTCTGGCGTTTGTCGTAAGAAACGAATGCAGAAAACGAGTCGAGGAACTTTGCGTCAGGATCAGTTCTCGTGTGGTATTATTGTCTGGCTGAGAACAATCGGAATCTGCGACTTTGCGCCAGGCAGAGCCACCTAATTATCGTCAAAGGGTCTTGGGTCTGAGGGACTCAAAGTTCGCAATGCGAAGTTTGAAACGATTGACGTCCATTGTGGGGCTCAAATCACCAAAATGCCAAATACGCACGGCCCACTTCATGTTTCTTCTATGAGCAGCTCAGCCTGCGGTTCTTATTTACTAGCTTGGGGTTCACGCACTTTACTTAGTACGTGAGCGACCAAAGTTGGGCAGTTAGGTTGCTAGTCTCTTACCTTTCCTCTCTTTCTCGTCAAGTATCATCGGGCATGAGGTTAAGTCGCATCTTTTTGCATTATGGGTCGAGGGCAATCGAACAGGCAGCGTCGACGTGGCAACGTATCTACTCCATGAGCACCCGGCGCTGGCCGATTCGATTGCAACATAGATGTAGATTCTGGCAATATGAAACTTTCATAGGATATTATGAACTCAAGTCTGGAAGCATTTGGTCCTATTTCTATAATTTGGGGGTGTTCTTCGGTCCGCCTTAGTCCTCATATAAAGTAGAGGATCAAGGAGGATCATTGGAATTACTTCGAGATAGTCATTAGAATAATACTTAAGTAGTTATCAGGAAGTTGAAAGATGTCTTATACTTCAGTCTCTCTCAACGTCGCCGAGCAGTCACAAGTAGTATGTATATATATATCGGCTTAAGTATATAGTTCAGAGTGATAGAGGAAAAGTCCCCGATCCGGCATGTACCTATTGAGTTTAAGATACATTCACTCATACCTCCCTTGGGGGTATGACACCTCAACCGCAAGGGAACAAAGCAAGGGTATGGGTAAAAAAGGTAAGGACGCGGTCCCTGCAAAAGAGTTGCGTCGAACCGGGATTGAACCGGTGACTTCCAGATTTATTCTCCCAAAGTTTGGCTTCAGTCTGGCACTCTCCCAACTGAGTTATCAACGCCTGCGATGAAGGCTAGTGCTTGTAAGTCATGTTATAACTTCGTTAGTATAAGCCGATTAACATAGGTATAGTTAGGTCGGTGACGACAAAATCAAAGCTTCTAGTTTGGATAGCGTACGTAACCCGGAAGTTCCACTTGTTGTTTACCTCGTTCTCAGACTTCAGTTGTGGCAACGAGCCTGGGACATTGACCTCTGTAGAGGAAGTGGCAAGATACCATAGGACTGTGGCAGAAGACATTTCGGGGGTGTTGCTAGAACGGTTGACTGTAATTTAGTTCATTTTATAATTTCTACCTTAGCGAACTAGCTGCATCTTCCGCAAGTACATTTGATATTCTGGGAGAGATTGGAGTAAGACAGAGTAGAGTGACGACCTACGATGCAGATATCACAGATCCTTGGTACGCGAAGCAGGAAACAGTCATGAATAGTACTGATGATATGTGTTCCATAGAAGAGGAATCGTAACCAAGCAGCTTGGTTGATGGTGCCAATTACGAGCACTATACCCGGTAAAGTACCAACACGGACTGATCCATGATCGAAGCAAGGCAGTTAAAGTCGATTTCGATTCAGATCATCATTTCTGACAGTTGGCTGCAGCTTGAAGAAGTTAAATTTCTGCGGGGATACCTGTGTCTTGAAACGGAAGCCACCGTGATTCCTCCCAAAAATCGAGACACGTCAACTAGAGAAGTGTTGTCCTGCAATGAAGCACCCCTGATCTGGCGACCGATTGGCTAGAGCCCTCCGAGCAACAGAGTTATTGCCAATGGTGTTTTTCTCTCTTTGAAAGTTATCGCTGATAGTGTTGATGAATTCCAGTCACTATGAGCATAATCCATAGAGGCAACACCACGGCTTCCCCAGCCAGTGAAGTTGCGAAACAGAATCTGCCATATCGTCCCACCGTATAGACACTTGCTTTTCACAATGTACCAACGCCATTTCATGTATAAGCCTTGAATTCCAAGGAGTGGCAGTTGTCCATCTTACAAGGATTAACCAAACATAATATACCAATCCGCCCTCATTCTCTGTGGCTGGGGGTATCTATCGCATTCTTAGCAGCCAAGTCGTATCCATCAATCGAAATACAGATAACCTGAAATGAAGTGGAAGCCCTTAACCACATGAATGGGTTCAGGGGCAAGTATTTCGTTGTTTATTGCCTAGTATCTGCCCTGCTCCAAGGTTGGTGTACCAACTGGAGCCGAGCTGGCAATGCTTTCTCGCTCTTTCCTCTTACATTTTTTCAAGAACTTATCGAAACGCCTGGTACGCAACTCTGGGTTCGCTGCTACGCCATTGACTAATAGTTTGGCCTTGTTCCTAGACGGAGCAGAATCTTTGCTCGTGCTACTCGCTGCATCTGAGCCAAGGAAAGAGCCAATTGAAACCCGTTTCGAAGTTGAACTATTAAGTTCCTCCATGGCTGGACGTTTACGGGAGCTCGATCTTCCAGATATCGACCGTGTTAGCGAAGTATCCACCACTACTTTTTTCGGGCCAGTATTTGTAGCTTGTAGTGACACATTCGTAGGATCTCGTGGTCTGGGTAATGGAGGTAGCATTGGGGGTGATCCAACCTCAATTTCAGATATTGGTTCATAGGCCGTTTTTGCCGGCTCTCGAGTTGTTGATTCGACAGTCAAGTCCTCTAACATGCATGCTGTTACTGGCTGTTGAGGCCCCTTTCTGAAGCCTCTCGGTGGATCACTTCTTGAAGTTTCTGCGGCTTCCAACATTGGACTTGTTCCATGGCGGACGCCAAGCTCATTTCCAGCTGTAGAGCGGAGTCGGTCGGTGATCGGGATATGAGAAGTATGTGGGCTAACTGCCCCAACCATCTTATCCGAGCCGTTATCAACCTCAACGACCGGAAGCATCACGGAGCTGGCTTGGATGGGAGACAGTTGAGATCGAGGATGAGGGGAACAAGCTAGTTTGGCTTGTAGTCTTGTCGCAGTTTCTTGAGCAAGTTCTGTGGCCTGTTGTGCAGCTCTAAGCTTCTCGTGCGCTGACGCCAACTCAATAGGATAAAAATTAAGGATCGCCTTCAGGTTTTCTTTGGTGACAATGTTTTTGGAGAACTCAAGAGTGCCGTGATTTTCCATGTACCAGGGAACAGCACCCAAGGGCGCCTCGCAGCTTTTGGAGTACGGTACATAGTCTTGATACCACGCCCGGATAAAGTCATCATATTGGTAGCTGGCCAGTTCGCGTCTCCGTTGGATCCTGTTATGAATGTAGACACAGGTGACGAGAAAGCTGTCCAGACTCCCCGTGTAGCTGGGGTAAGATTCTGAATACAGGTAGAAAGGTGTCTGTGGCTGAGTAACGAGAGTTACTGGGGATGATGGTCTATACTCGGGCGATGTCAATTTCGTGGATTCCTCAATACCCAAGCTAGTTCTCTTGCGGCGTGGCGTTTCCCTTATGGGAACAAATGAAAGGGGCGGATGAGAATCTACCGGATTTTGCGTATGTTGTTCGTTGTTTGTCGAGGGAATAATATACAATGAATTTGGGATGATTGAGAGGTCAAGGGAAGTCACTGGTTGAGCAGGAACCCGCAATCCCCAGGGTGTTGCCCCAGTGGGTTGTGCCAACCGGGGCTTGACTAGTTCTTGAGAGCTCTCTATGTTGAGCGCCTTGTAGACCTTCTGCCGCGGCTTGTTCGGTTTCGACTGCATTGGCTGAGCTCCTACAGAGCTGTTGTGATCAATTGTGGAGGATACTTGCACCTGTGCTGAAGGTGGAGTTGGATCCATGCCACTCGCGAGTGGAGGCACTTTGTTCAGTGGTAGAACCTCTTTGGTGTAAGCCGCAGGAGCAACAACTTCCAGCTCATCTTCGACCCCTGGACTGCTCGACGGGAACTCATTGAATGTTGGCCGCTTTTGGATGTTTGAGGCATCCAAAGTCGGCTGAAGAGGGGGCTTTTCTGGTAGCTGCGAAAGAGAGGCTTGACTTATCGCACATGATGTTGTTGGCTTTTGAGTGCGCGGTGGTGTTGGGCTGGGAGACCATGATATTTGAGTTGCAGCTGTCTCTCCCGTCATCGATCGGACAGGGGATCTGACTGGTATTTGAGAACCAAAGGGTTGACTTGTCGAGAATGATGTCGTTGCCTTTTGAATGCGTGGTGGTGTTATTTGGCTGGAAGACCATGATAGCTGAGTGGCAACTGTTTCTTCCTCGTAACAATTATCCCCGCTGAGTCTCCCGGGTGGACGGTCCTGGTGTAAGCCATCTTGGGTCAGATGGCCTGCCCCTTCAGCTGCTGAAGATTGCCGGGCCTCGATATCTTTTGCTTTGGATGGCTCGAGACTCGTGTGGAGTTGTCTTAATTGTGCTATAACCTCGGGGGGAACATTTACAAAGGATTGGGCTTGTGCTTGGGAAACCCAGGAATCGTTTCGTTCAAGGAGGATTTTTTGGTTGCTTTGTATCTTGAGCTTGGCCATGGGAATCTGTGTGTCACCCAGTGTGTCTGATTGAAATGCTGATGGAGATGAGCTGGAATCTTGTGTGCTAACCGCCATGGTTCCCGCCCAAATGATGAGCTTGATTGTGACGCTTTGATGGAGCAAAGTCACCAAGCAGTGAAAATTAGACAATTCTGCTAGGTTGAATATGTCACAGCCCTCAAGTGGACTGTGGTCAAGATCGACATTAAGTGAAGGCAAGGAGCTACTGCACTGGGTTTATGGTGGAAATAACAATAACGTGTTTGAACGACGCGTTGCGGGGTCTGATTCTTTCATGCTTTCACGTGGCAGCCTCGTTCGTTCCACTTACGGTGGTTTTTGGATAAGCAACCTTGCTTGTTATGGAGCACTTCAAAGAGTTACGTGCTGTATTCACAGCCAACAGCCCCAAAGTTATTATACCTTGAGCAGGTTTACATATCAATTTTTAAAAGCACAAATCTGAGGATATAATTACCGGAATTACTTTTCCGCTGCATCATTAGAAATGATCTAACTAAGGTATGAGCTATGGATTCCATGTACACATTCACGATACGGGGGTATGTTACCGTTTACTTAGCTGCCCAGTAACAAACGGGTTTGTTCAACGTTTCGGGGGCTGTATCAACTTTAGAACTCTAAATTGACGCCCGCAACTCGTGGTTGCAGTTAAGGTGACCATGACCCCCTAGTTCAGCCGACCAACCCCCCAATTTAATTAAATATTTATGGGGCGCTCCTAATATTTCACCGACCATACTTATCCTTTTTAAATCCGTAGAGATTTTTCGTAGCAACTCTAGCGTAAATATAATAAAATTATTCTATAATTAATTCTAGATCAATTCTTAATCGAGTCTACAATATCAGCTTTAATATAGATAATACAGATATCTTCGCTATTATCTAAAATGCCCGCTCTATATTTAAAGGTAGAGAAATTGCAACCGAGCTAAGTGTCACAAATTATAAGTAGGATGGGCTAGAAGGTTGAGATCGGGCCATTCTGGATAGGCGGGCGAAATCATGGCGATCCGATGGCGTTTCGGGAAAACCTTCTGGGCCCCTCAAATAGTGCTCGAGGCACCATGGAAACTTGGAGGGGAGGGCAAGTTTCCTTCTTTGTGTCTAATTACTACTGGCGTTAGGAATTGACGATTGTGCCTGGCCTCCCCTTACATAGTACCTGCTGTTACACTAAGGAAGAGGTTACTATTTACGATCGCGCCCATAGAGCTACCCGGTTGCATAATACGGAGGTTAGGATAACTAAATCAATTCGGAACTACTTTCAAATCGATTCTAAAGCGAAATAATATTAGCCTAGTCCTCCGCGTATTGAAACGGGGTCAGGCGGTCGGTAGGATGTACCTATTACCTAACACACTGAACAGACGGCTCCAGTACCAATAGATCACATCTGTTGGTCTGATCAGACGAAGATCATGGTGCTGGCCGTAAGAGCGAAGCTCTTATAAGTCTTGTGCGCAAGTTGGTCGGATGTGCCTCTGAGACTCGTGTCGGGATAATTCTCAGAATAGGACGTACGTCTGGCTCCTAGTGAAACGGGGTCAGGCGGTCAGTAGGATATACCTACCACCTAACACACTGAACAGATGGCTCCAGTGCCAACAGATCCCATCTGTTGGTGTGATCAGACGAAGATCATGGTACTGGTTGTAAGAGCTTCGCTCTTACACGTCTGGTGCGCGAGTTGGTTGAAAGTGCCTCTGAGACTCTCGTCGGAATGATACTCAGAACAAGACGTCTGGCTCTGGAAGTCGAATTGAAGCTTTCACTAGCACTAGATTTCTCTGATCAGAGCAAGATACAATCCTCTGTCATTGTCAAGGCTAGGATGAGGGCAGAATAATAGGATTTCGAAAGTAGTGTCTAAATGCATATAGAAAAGAACCGCATGATTGAAGATCTCGCTAACTAGAATCGAAAACAAAAGTCAAGTTGATTGAATAAGATGATGAAAAAAAGATGAGGATGATGATGCGTGAAGATGGAAGACTCGTGTCCTACTCTGCCTCTGTGCCTCTTAAAGAAGAGAAAATAAACTTTCTCCTAGCCCCGTAACCTATTTCCCTGATGTCCGGCCTTACCCCGTTACACTAGGAGTCGAATTGAAGCTGTCTCTAGTACTGGGTTGCTCTGATCAGAGCAAGACCCAATGTCTCATAGTTGTCAAGGCTAAAATGGAAAGGATAGATGGATTCTTAGAAGCTATCTCCTGAACGTGTAAGTGAATCATGAACTGAAGCTTCTGAATTGCATGCATTGAAAAGAGTGCGATGATGGCTAACTATTGCTTGTCGAATCGAAAAGATGAAGAAGTCATTAAAAAGGGTCCGTCCTCGAAAAGAAAGTTGCAGCCACAAGCCTCCTTCATCAAAGCAAAAGATCCTCCCCATTCCGATACGAAGGTGAAGAAGGGAAGTACAGGTGGGGGGGTTCAAGCCGCACAAAGGCACTTAAGCATCTTGCCCGTATCCCACGTGACCTTAGGCCACCAATTCCACATATACTTACTATATCCTTATATAACGGTGTCGGCTGGTGTAGTTGGTCACTTCGCTGGTAGATAAGTCCCGACTTGAGCCTCGCCCACTTGGGTCGGTGACGAGTCGCGGGTTCGAATCCCGCAGCTGACACACAAGGGGGTTTAGTCAACCCTTACGGCGCGCTGCCCACCTTGTTGACTTCGCCTACCTAGCGATAATAGGGAGATTGGTGCAGTTTAGGATTACGAGCATCCTAGCCAGTCGACCGTCAAGCACTACGTCGGCGGAATATAACTCGACAGCCGGTCCAGAATTCGAATCGTTAATCCGGCCCCTTATCGGACCTCGCCTATCCGATAACGCTCGTCGGCGAACCCGTCCCCTCACGATAGAAGGCGCGCAGCACGCCCCCTCGCCGCGATTCTTGCGAGCGTCTAGACCACGTTACGGTCTATCCACTTGAGCGTATGGTTGAGATGTATACGCTCGACGAGAACCCCAATTAGCAGATACTACGACTTGTCGCGACAAAAAATAGTCGAGCATCTTCTGCACATCAGCAGCATCCCACCCCTGAGGACGAATTTAAGTGCCACATTACCACACTTATCGGTAGTTCAGGCAGGGGTTGTAGCACAGACTTAGGGAGGGACAGGAGGTTTAGTAGTCGTTTGGCTACAAGTTTACCTGTATAACCGCCCGACGCGGCTTAAGGGCTGTCACGACCTGGGTTGCATCGCATTGGTATAGACCTCGATTAGGTGCTATCGACGAAGATTCTACTTTAAGGAGCGAAGGAAAGAAGATGACAACTTAGGTTTGAGGGAGCGCGACTAAGTCATCCACGCTTGGCGGGGCTCCTACAAGGGTTATGATTGGCTTCCCATCCGACACTGCCACGGCAGGTGTTCCAGCTGTAAGTCACCTGGTTGTAGTGAGTCTGCGAGGGTTGACCGTCACAAGGGCCCGCTATATCATCTATAGCCCCTTAAGGGAGTACTTGTAGAGGTACCGAGGGTTAACACCTACGGCGTATTTAATATTATTTTTTATATAACGGTATCGTTACGTTACGTAGAACGATTAGCTGAATTACGAGGAAAAAGTAGCGGATAACGGGTTCTTACTAGGGAAAGTAGAATAGAAACGAAATCAGAATTCAAATTCGATTCAAATTCGATTCTATGGTTAGCTGAACCTAATTTTCAGATATTTTCTATCCAATGAGAATGGAGGGATTCTCTACCCCACTATGGTCACCTGGACCCAGTTCTTTAACATCACGTGAGGTCATGGTCTGTTCAACTGGGTGGGTCTATGGTCACCTTAACTATAGTCTCCGCAATCCCGCCCGCCCTCAGTTAGATCGGTTATCGGTGGACTCGAAGCAAGCTATGTCAACTGGTCGGGCTGTACCTCTATTTCTACTCGCTCAAGGCAGGCAGTCGCGACTTGGAGCGATCAACGAACAAAACCTGCCTGACGAACGCCACGATGTTGGTCTACGAGATTAAGCTCGTTTTGTCTGCCGGTATGGTTCTTTCATGAATTTGATGGTTTCTTTTCTGTGGATGATCGCGTCCCCTCCTCCGCACCGGGTTCGGGAGTGCAGCGTTGGTCGCGTCAGAACCAACCACTGACGTCTGCCTATCCTTGCCGACGAGATCACTACAATCGGAGACGCTCAAGACTGCCCAGCAATATCGCATTCCCACCATGGGCTTCCTATGATTGAAGGGTCGCTGCAAAGAAACTTGTCCGTATATATCACTGTCATTAGGACATCATCAACACGACCTTCATCGATGAATCTACGTCGACCGCTAGTACTGCAACTATGTCAGGCAAGAATCCACCACAGCAGTTGTCGCCCATGACGCTGCCCTCTCCTATTGCGATCAAGTCCCGTCGTGACTCTCTTGCTTCGGCTTCAGTAGCCTCTTCTCAACCCGATAAAGTCCAACTAGCGCAAGCCCTCGACAAGATACACACTTCCGCAGCTCAGTGTGATGTCCTAACAACCTTCAACGACCTCGCGCCGCCGCCGGATGCGACAGCATCTCCCGAGAACAAAGTATTTGGCGGGGACTTGGTACAGAATGGCTTCAGTGGCCTTTATTCTCGATTCAAAGAGGCTGTTGGTGCTGTGGGTAAAGAGAAGTCATCGGTCCAAGAGGAGGTGGACAACCAGGACGCTGCGTCCAAGAGGAGCTCTAGTACAGTTGCCACGGCATCAAAAGTCTCAGTTGGCTCTTTCCCACGGGCTGATACCGGCATGACAAGCTCCACAATCCATTCCACGTTCTCCGATCCTATACTATCCACGGCTCCTTCGTCTGGAGCCTTGACGAGCGAGGGTCAGTCGTTGCAACAATATCAGTCAACCAAAGCGTCGTCTGTAACCAATTTTACGGCGACTTCGACTGCTAAGTCTGCATCTTCAAGTCGGCAGAGTATTCCAAACATGACGAAGGCAACCGCATCCGTCGCGCCCGTAACTGTGAGTGCATTCAAGGAGCCACGCAGCCTGCCAAGCAGAGCCGAGGACGCGTCTGGTCGAACATCGGTTGTGAGGAAGAGCATCACCAGTAGGCCAAGTGATGGGCCATCTGTGGGGTCAAACTCTGATGGATCCAGCATGTTTGATGCGGCTGGCTTGAAAAGCACTGCTGCCCTGGAGAAAATCGTGGTCCCCAGTAGGTCTAGATGGGACGAAGCACTGAGCAATGATGGCAACATCGATTCCCCCACGAGCCCTGTCAAAATTTCCAGGCCATCCGTCGCCGTTCCCACTCAGTCTTTCCCGCAGGATCCCAATCTGCTGTCTCCGACGAGTCGCCTTTCTGGTAGGGATGTAGCCAGGCGACCGGCTGTCATTGATCGAATCAGCCGGCCGCAGTTTTCACGAAGTCATTCAAGATCGTCCTCGCTCTCTCAAGGGGCTGCTGAACCCAGCGTTATTAGTACGTCAGCCCACAACAGTGTTTATCACGAGTCCTTTGGTCGGGAGGACCGGCCCCAACGGATGAGGTCAGGTGGCTACAAGATACCTGGCACGACTACAGATGAAGGCGCCCCAGAAGTGGTCAGCGCGACCTTGGAGCACATGCGAAAGCAAGTCTTAAGCAAGGACTTCTGGATGGCAGATGAGACTTGCAAAGAATGCTTCTTGTGCAATGCACCGTTTTCCGCGTTTCGTCGCAAACACCATTGCCGTACTTGCGGTTGTATCTTCGATAGCAGGTGTACGTCAATCATCTCGGGCCAAAGGTTTGGTGTACAAGGTACTTTGCGTGTCTGCAAGCCGTGTCTGAATATCATCAGTCAGCGACAAGAGCAAGATGGGAACGGGTCAGATGACTCTGCCGATGACTCATTTCTTCCACAAACACTGAATATTTTCCGCCCTATTTCCAAGTCGGTGACTCTTTCAGTTCCGCAAGACGAGGACGACGTGAGCATCTCTGAAAAGGCGGACGAGGCGGACGATGATATCAGAACGGCACAAACTCCTATGATGGCCATCCCAGCCACCCGAAGAATAGGAGAGTCCTCGAACCGCCACTCTGCTATATTGGAGATTGATGCGCCTCAACTTAGTCGGCCTAGCTCTTCAAGGTCCTTGAAGTCCCTCGCGGGGAGACCACAATCCTCCGGTCACCGCCGCCATCACTCAAAACATAATTTTCTCAGCCGCTTCAAGGGCAGCCCGGCACCAGATGATAGAGCGCCATTCCGAAGATCTGCAAATGAAGAAGTGGCAAAGAAGTCTGGCCTTCCTGCTTTCCACGATGACAATGTCATCGATCCTGATCTGGCCCCCTTTATGTCGGACGAGTCTAGCGGCGACGAGCAAATGAGCATCTTCCAGACCATGACAAGCAACGAGCCGAACCCATCCAGCTTCGATCAAGATAAATCCAATTTCGGCCCGTACCTTGGCGGTGGTAGGAGGAATCGTCTCCGAAATCAGGTTGACAAGAGTATCAGTGGTTTCAGTTTTACTGGCCGAGTTTTCGACGATGGCAGTGGAGCGCATTCCAGGCCATCCAGGCGGCGGAATCTCAGCACCGCTAGCGCAAGCGTGCATCATCTCCGTTCCCCTCGACCAAAGAGCTCGCATCTTATGAAAGGCCCGTCAGCCTCGACTGAGACCCTGCCCAACTATGACAGCCCTGGTCCAAGCGACTCGTCAAGACTGACTCGAAGTTCGTCTATGAAGGGAGACAAGGAGCCGCGGCTCGAACTCAATCCCGCAAGTCTATTACATGTTCGTAAACTTCTACGACAACTCTTGGCCGACTCGGACGTACCGAATGCTCCCGCTTGGGAGAAGGCCCTGGTGCCCGTGCTCCTCAAATGTACAACTTCGGTCGATCCTGATGTCGAAAGGGGCGATGACATTGATATCCGGCACTATGTCAAACTCAAGAAAATAACCGGTGGTAGACCAGGTGACACTAGTTATGTCTCTGGTGTTATTTTCACCAAGAAGCTGGCATTAAAGAGCATGGCCCGACGATTAACAAACCCTCGCGTTGTCATTGTCTCCTTCCCAGTCGAATACAGACGACATCAGCAGCATTTTATGAGCTTGCAGCCGGTCATCGACGAGGAGAAAGAGTTCCTCAAGGTTATCGTCAATAGGCTTGTCGCTCTTCGGCCTCAGTTGCTCCTGGCCGAAAAGTCTGTTTCAGGTCTAGCACTGCAGTATTTGTCTGAAGCCGGAGTCGCAGTCGCGTACAACGTCAAACCTTCGGTCTTGTCAGCAGTTTCTCGGTGTCTGGACACCCAAATTATCTCATCCATAGACATGTTGAGTCTCCCAACTGAACGATTCCGTATTGGCAAGAGTGTTGGCTTTGAGGTCAAAACCTATGTAAACGAGGAACTACCGGGAAGGAAGAAGACATACATGTTTCTTTCAAGCAGTCAGGAACAGCTCGGCTGCACGATAGCACTGCGAGGCGCCCCTACGTGCGTCCTGGAGAAAGTCAAACGCATCACCGAATTCATGGTTTACGTGGTTTACAACCTGAAACTTGAGTCCTGCCTGATGCGAGACTCATACATTCGATTGCCGACAAGCGAGGAACTGCCTTCTAATGCCAATCAAATTATCGACGAGAGCCTTCTATCCCTCAACAATATGAACAGCGTGTATGATGCCCGTCAGAGAACTATGTCAACGATGACCTTGGAGAGTTCGCCGCCTACTAAAGAGTCGACCGAGAGCAATGGCGGTGGGTCTGAGAGGACTGGTCTCGTTACGACCGACTCCATCCTATCACAGTCACTCCACCACAACAACAAGCTGATATCCCTACATGAGGCCCATGTCTCCCATGACAGCCTCGTGCCAGAAGATGCTCCAATGCCAATCTACTACAGTGAAATGGTTGCCAAGTACCAAACCAAAATTCTGTCAGCGTCGCCGTTCGTTAAGTTTTCGCAGCCTTATCTCCTCATGAAAGCCCGAGAACAAGAGAGAAGGCTGGTACATCTGAAGAAGCTGCGGGATCAAGATATTGTCGAAGAACGAGGCGATGGCGAGAAACCAAAGCCGCAAAAGTTCCAGCTGATCAAGCCGCACATGGTGCTCGAAACGGCTCACAAAGCCCCTCGACAGATAAAGGAAGTTCTCCACGCGGTCCACGATGCGGAGTACGACAAAGCCTTATACAACTACCAGACGCAAACCCGGCAATGGGAGAATTACATTCAGGGAAACCTTGACCTATTCGAGCCATACGCGCACCAGAACATCGTCGTTCTTCATTCAGTCGTCTGCACAGAAACCAAAGTACCTTGCGTGGAACCCGGCCTCATTGTTATCGCCTTCTACGATGAACATGCCGAGAGTGATCCCAGTCTCGACCCAGATTGTACGTTGGGCCAGTATATAGAGGATGTTTGCTACAGCGCGGACTCCACTTGTACGTCTAACAACTGCGATCGCAAGATGCATGATCACCATCGAACATACGTGCACGGTGAAGCTCGCATTACCGTCTTCATCGAGCAGGGAAAGTTGCGCAGGGATAACATCATGATGTGGAGCTACTGCAAGATCTGTAAGCACGAAACGGCTGAAATGGAGATGTCAAAGGGGACATGGAAATACTCGTTTGGCAAATATTTGGAACTTTCGTTCTGGAGCAGAGGCACGCGGCTCGTCAAAGGCGAAGAAGGGGGCGCCTGGGAATGTCATCATGACCATCATCGTGACCATATACGTTATTTCGGGTTACAGGATAAGGTCATACGCATCCACTATGATCCAATTGATCTCTTGGAGATCATTGTGCCTCGAGCTCGAATCACTTGGAAGGTTGAACATGATCTCAATCTAAAAAATGAAATCTTCACACAATCGCAGGACAGATGGACACGATTCACGTCTTCTGTCAAGTCTAGACTCAAAGCGATCAAATTGGACAACATACCCTCCGACAAGGCTGAAGCTTGCAAAGTGGAGATGGAGAGAATGACGAAGAAAGTCCAAGACGACCACGTTTCTCTGATACGAAAGCTTCAAGACGCATACATGAACTCAAAATATTACGAAGTCATACCACTCAATGTGATTCTTCGCGAGATGCTCGAGAAGGTTACTGAGTGGGATGGTCTGTTTGCCAAATTTGAGGCCGACTTCCTACCGAGCGAGAAAGATATTCGAAGATTGACCATGATCCAGCTTCGAAAGATGTTCACAGATGAGTCCAAGGAGTCGCTCTCTAGCACCGACACAGCTACAGAGTCAACTGAAGCAGGTGAAGGGACAGAAAAGGCGTCACAAGCTACAGTATCTGATGGCGACGCGCAGATTGAATCTCAGCCCACGGAGGCTGATCTGTCCCAGCCAGGCATGAACGCAGAAACCAGTCCGCAGGATGCGGTAGATGAAAAGCCCCCTCTTCCCTCGCCGGAGGCTACCCTGGAAAGAGTTGATCCTTTAGACCTTGCTACGCCCAGGTCACCAGGGTCCACCGTGCTCAACTTCAGTCAGCCTGAATCACTCATCACGAGTCCGCAGCATCCAGCATCGCGAGAGCTCTCTTCACCTTCTCCCTCAGAGCCATCAATCCCAAAGCCCAGTACGCCTACTAATACTGCTCCGTCGACATCAGCGACGTTGGAGGCACTCCGGCGCCGCCAACACGCAGTAGTATTAGAAGCAGCGAGCGGATCCAACAACGCGAGTAGCGAATCAAGCAGAGGAACACAGGAGCTACTGAAAGTGGCGATTCCAGATCGCGTTTCGTCCCGTAGGGTGGGACTTAACGCGTCGCCCCCCATGGTTCGTGCGCTGTCGCAACCCGCAACAAGCATATCGACCTTGCCTCGAACGCAATCCGCAGTGGGAAAGAAGATTTTCAGCACAGGCAAAGATAAGGACAAAGCTCTTGTCGCAGAAGATTCACCTGGTACGGAGATGCGCAAGGTCCTTACGAACGACTCTGCGAAAAGTGAAAAGAAAATATTCAGTCTCCGGTCCCGAAACGGAGGAAAGTCATCTATTCCCCGGTTCGTCGGCAAGAAAAAAGACTCGAGGGTTTCTACTCTTGCTAGGCACTTTGAGCAGCTCAGTCGCGAGTTTGAGAAGGAGCGGATTAAAGACCGAAAGCAACGTGCGGCTAAGATGACACATTCGAGAGCATTTCTCCAACGGTCTTCTACCAAAGCTATAGTTGAGGTGTATGAAGATCCGGATGAGGCCGTGCATGAACCTGGCCCATCTGTGGAGGACTTATTGATGAACAAAGATCCCAGCGATCCTGATCCCGGGATCAACCAGACGCACGAGACTGGTGGAAGGCCTGCATCAGGCCCTGTCCAAGTGCCGCCCCAGACTCCTTCTCCGCAGTCACCGGCTGAGACCGGCCGACCTACTGACGAAACTGCTACCGAAGCGGAAACAGATGATCTGACCCACGACACTAGCCAAGCTCCCTCGGAAGATGAGCAAGGTGACACAGATGGAGAACATTCTCTTCTCGAAGGCACTACCCTTGAAGAAATCGCACAGTCTATCGATTCCACCACCGAAATACCTCTCGAGCTCCCCAAGCAAGACAAGATGAACTTCATGAAAGTGTTGACCAATTTCTGGGCTGAGCGGTCTGCAAGCGAATGGCCGCCCCTTGACTATCCTCTTAATGCTACCGATCACATCTTCATCGACTCGGATATCATTGTTCGTGAAGATGAGCCCAGTTCGCTCATTGCCTTTGCACTCAGTTGTGAGGACTACCGGGCTAAAGCAGGCAAATTCCATGGAAGAAGGCCAGTAGAAGTGTCTGGGAATGGGAAAGATACTGAGGATGAGTTCAATGCCGGGGTTATGGCTGCAGAAACAAACAACATGGTGACCGACGATGCTCTAGAGGCCAGTTTCGTACGTGAAACCAGCAGCCATCTTAAATATCAGTTCAATGAGGGATCGGCAAAAATGCTGGTCAAGATCTTCTACGCTGAGCAATTCGATGCCTTGCGACGAAAGTGTGGTGCCGCCGACCGGATCGTTGAGTCCCTTTCTCGTTGTTTGAAATTTGACTCCAAGGGCGGGAAGACAAAGTCGGTGTTCTTGAAGACCCAGGACGATCGTCTGATGATGAAGGTATGCACCCCCCACCCCCCCCCTCTTTTGAAGTGTCTTTTCTTATCATTTCTAATCATGTAGTCGCTCTCCCCAATCGAAACATCAGCATTTCTGAGATTCGCGCCATCGTATTTCGGCATAATGGCTGAAGCGCTGTTCCACGATCTTCCCTCAGTTATCGCCAAGATGTTGGGCTTCTTCCAGGTCATTATCAAGAATCCCGTGACCAACACAGAAATCAAGCTCGACTTGCTCCTAATGGAGAACTTGTTCTATGATCGAGCACCTACCCGGATTTTTGACCTCAAGGGTTCCATGCGAAACCGCAAGATTCAATCGACAGGGGAACAGAATGAAGTCCTTCTTGACGAGAACATGGTGGAGTACATCTACGAATCTCCATTATTCGCCCGAGAACATTCGAAAAAGCTTCTACGAGCGTCCGTGTGGAACGACACGCTCTTCCTTGCTCGGCAGAATGTTATGGACTACTCTCTCATGATCGCGGTAGATGAGGTGAGGAAGGAGCTAGTTGTCGGCATCATCGACTGCATCCGCACCTACACATGGGACAAGACACTTGAAAGTTGGATCAAGGGACGTGGGTTTGCCGGAGGCGGCCGCAATAGACCGACAGTGACCAGTCCGAAAGAGTACAAATCGAGATTTCGAGAGGCTATGGCCAGGTACGTCGAGAGTATTCTTCACTTCGAATGGGAACCCCTCTGACTTTCAGACAGATACATTCTCCAGGCTCCAAACTGCTGGCATCAGTTCAATGCGCCCCTCATGGCGGCCAGGTCGCATGCTGAGTTCAACATAGCAGGTGACGAGCCATCCGTCCTTGATATTGCTATATAAGGCAGCGATGGCTATGTCGACCAACTTGTTAGTGGTGGTATCTCAGAGCCTTCTTTGGGTTTTCTTTTCATCCTAATACAATATTGCATGGCGTTTGGAGGCAGGCAGCAACTATGGGAGTACCAAAATGGACACACGGGGAAAGTAAACATTTATGACTGCATGTTGGAAGTTAGTGGCATAGCGTATGAACTTAGCTATTGGGGGGCTCGAGGCGATTGATTTGTTGTATGCCCACATTGTGAAATATGACTGACGAGCATGAAACGAAGTGTTCCTACATGTGAATTGAAATCATTGTGTTTTGCATATCGAAGTTGAATCTCAAATCCAACATAAGAATTATCCCCAGGTGTTCCTGTATGCGTAGAGTGGGTGCTGGCCTGTCTCATATTCCGCATGGAATTGTCAACGAGGTATACAGATACGCAAACTAGCCATCCAGAGGTCAGGTCGTTGAAAAAATTAGGGTCGGGGTGGCGGTCAACGGTCAACTCAGACCGAGCTACCGAATGTATCATGGGCATAGTATTCGTCTCTTAATGTGTTGCAGGTTTCGCTATTTAATATTTCTTAGCCAGTTTTTGTTTTGAGGCTTTCCCATCAAGTTTCGTCCATGTTAGTATGCCCAGCCGTAAGGCTTTTGTTACCCGGTAACGCGTCCACTAGCACGAACTGCCACTTCAGCCAGGCGGAACCCACTAATATTTACCACAAATGGAACTTGCAGTCACAACAACGACAACTCATGCACGATCTTTCATGAAAACCCTGGATCACGACAGCGCATGAGATGTGACAAATTCCCAATGAGAGTAGCACTATCAAAATGTCGATTGATCTCAATTGGGAGACGCTGACTGGAGGTACGGACGGAGCTGAGTTGTCGGAAAGCATCCGCGACTTTATCCACATCAAGTTCCAGGCGGTGCCGCTTCCACGCTTCATCAAATCCGTCACGGTGCACGAGTTCAAGTTTGGCAGCATTCCGCCTCAGGTGGTGCTCAAGGACATATGTGACCCACTGCCAGATTTCTACGAGGAAAATGCCGCGGCGGATGAGCAGGATGATGAAGAGGAAGGCAACGCAGTAGGAGCAGCGGACGCAACAGCTCCTGAGGACGGTGTACCAGATGCCATACGAGCCGCCGAGCGACATCGCAGGGCAGAAAAAGGCAGGCGAATGGGCGGCCACGGACCTTCTGCCTCCGGCAGCGCACCGACTATACCCGGTTTCTTCGGGATAGATCATCACCACCCTCACCACCCCAGCCTATCACCACACATCCACACCGCCGGCCTACGCAGCGCTCTGGGCACCCCCGACCTGGGTAGTCCTTTTTTGGGTCTAGGCGGTGTGTCGACACCTGGCATCCCCGGCGGCACGTCAAACATGCACTTCTTCCCCTCTGCCTTCGCGTCGGGCTGGTCGGGCGCACAGACGCCGCTCGCTGCTGCTGTTGCCGGGGCGCAGCATTTGAACGGCTGGTTAGACGCACACACACATGCACATGTGCAGGCGCGGAGCCCGCAGTCTGCGTCGTCGAGGTCGGATTCGAGGGGGCGGGTCACCACGCCTTCGCATGGACGGAATCACTCGCAGAGCTCTATCAGTGTCGGGGACCTACCTTCGTCGTTGGGGAAGGCCGCGGGACAGCAGCAGAACCAGTCGTTGAGGGAGAAACATAGCGTGTCGACTCTAGCGCCCACTTCTGCAGGGACGTCGCGGCCACCGACCAGGGATACGGCTGCTGGGTCTATTACCGCTGGTGGTGGACACCCGGGGGTGCTGACTGGATCGGCGATTGACGAGGAGTATGAAGAGGAAGGCATGGCGGATGAGGGTGGGGAAGACGACGAGTCATTGAGGAAGTACCGCGAGCCTAGGGTCGAAGATATGCAGGCCGTGTTCCGAATCAAGTATTCCGGGGACGTGAAGTTAATGCTCACGGCGGAGATTCTGCTGGATTATCCCATGCCGAGCTTTGTGGGGATCCCAGTCAAGTTGAATATTACAGGGTTGTCGTTTGATGGTGTTGGTGTCGTGGCCAATATTAGGAAGAGGGTACATTTTTGTTTTTTGAGCCCCGAGGATGCATTGGCTGCTGTTGGGAACGATGATGAGGCCGACAACGCGGTGGATAATGGTGGTAGTGAGGAGAAAAGAAGAGGGAGATTAGGAGGGCTGCTGCAGGAGATTAAGGTCGAGAGTGAGATTGGGCAGAGGGAGGGCAGCAAGCAGAGCTTGAAGAACGTGGGCAAGGTGGAGAGGTTTGTGTTGGAGCAGGTCAGGAGGATATTCGAGGAGGAGTTTGTATATCCGAGTTTCTGGACTTTCTTGGTCTAGAGAGGGGTTTGAAGGGAACCGTAAACTAGGGGAACGCAGGACTTTGCAGACACTTAGGGGTCACCAGAACAAAACGTGGAACGTGAGTCAATTTTCGTGATGTTCTAACTGTACTATATAATCCATATTGCTAATCAGAGACAAGGAACGGTATACCACCGCTCCCCTCTGCCTCAACACTTGATACGTGGTCTTGGGCGTTCCTGTAGCCTATCTAGAATGATAAGAAATTTAACATTTCACTCCTTTATCAAGCGTATGGCTGCCGTCTTGGCCGAGCGCTTTCATGTCTCTTAAAGGTTCACGGGCACAGGCAAACTTGCATTCGAGAGTAAGAAACATCTAGTGAAGAGTCAAATGAAGGACGTTCGATTGACCCTCATGGATCTGGAACAGCTTCCCTGGCCTACGGGTGGCGGTTCGAGGGCCTCCAACCTCGCATGTGTTCTCGCAGCTGTAGTCGTATTTGCGGTCCTCTTCAACACGGTACAGTCGTACGCGTACCTGAGACACATCCCGGGCCCGCGCCGCTCGTGGGTCGTCAGTGGTGATGCCCATCACGTCCACACGGATCTGCACCCGCGGTACGGCTCGGTGGTGCGCTTCGGACCCAATGCGGTGATAATTTCGGATGTCAACGCCATTGATAAGATCTATGGGTTTAAGATTCGGTTCGAGAAGGCTTGTTTTTTCATACATAAGTGCACTTATCCGTCTTTTATTGAGAAAAGACACAATCAGCTGACAGGTACATACGTAATCCGAGTTTTACGACTCCATCATGCCCACGGTGAAGGGCGGCAAGATCCCCGACGTCTTCGCCACCCGTGTTGAGGACGGCCTGTCGCCGACCTGTCCTAGAGCGATTCACCGTCACAACCGTTTGGGACGAAAGCCATGGAAAAGAGTTGGAGGACTTGGGAAGTCAATGTCAAAGGCGCCTGTCTGGTCATTCAAGCCCTTCTGCCTCTGTTGCTGAAAGTAACAGAGAAGACCATCGTCAATGTAATGTCCGCTGACTCCCTCGCGTTGATTTTGGGGGCAAGCTCGGAACCTCTATCCAACTTGGCCGTTTTGCGCTTATCTGAAAGTCTGGCGCTCGACTACGCACACAAGGGACTGGTGGCCTACTCGGTGCACCAAGGCCTGGATCTGGCGAAGGGAGCACCAGAAGCTGTGACCGATCAACCGGAGCTGACTAGCAACACTGTCGTGTATTTGACCAGGAAAAGACGTGAGTGGTTAGCTAGGAGACATATCAGTTGTTCATGGGATATGAGGGAGCTTATAGCCCAGAAAGACGAGATTGTTCGAAGCGATCTTCCCAAGTTCAATGTGTCTTTTAGCGTAGCGCTAGTATATCACAGAGCCAGAGGGCGGGTGCCTCGAAATAGTTACTAGACGTAACGAGGTTCTTTACATACATTCGATTTAGAATAAAGATATACATAGAGGAGCATAAGGTGATAATATATCGCCAACATAACGCACAAAATAGAAACAGTTAGTGAAGTACAAATATCTAAATCCGAACACCATTATGGTCTCGGTAGTTGATAGAGCAGGAACCTCTCTAAGAGATTTTGCATAGCACATATTGGTCCACCCAAATCGTACACATCCCTCTACGGACGTGAAGAATTCCGATGGTAGAAGCAACAAGCTTAAAATGGCAATGTTGGTGCCTCAGGGATGGAACACTGGCATGGAGATTATGTCAACCGCGTGGCGCGGAAGCCGCTACAAGTTACATGGATCTCTTGTCCCTTGATGAACAAGGGTACCGACGGACCCATGGATCAGGCCAAAGGAATGCTTATCAACCAGAGCTTAGCAAGAAGTATCCAGAAGTACCATGCCTACATAGACGGTGGGACAATGCTGACTTGCAGCAGTACTCACCGAGGACCCGACTTGCTGTCGCCGTGAAAGAATCAAATGCGAACCAAGCAATAGTAGTACTACAGTCAAGCTTTGCGGAGCCGCTAGTTCAAAAGAGAAATACAATATCTGATTGGTCTGTTTGCCCAACACCATTCTTGGCGGTGGTCAAAAGTGCGCGACTCACTTATAAACCACGTTATTTATATTACCACCATTAAGCCATAGAGACTTCAAAAATGTTTTGTAAACGTTCTATATATACTTGGAATATAAGCAAAAGCCAACAAAGACAGATACGTAGTAGAAGGGACGCTGTTTGCCCTTGTTTTACCTACGAGTTTGTGAGGAAGATCTTCAATGAGGTCCACATTTGCATAGCTTGGATCATATCCTCAATCACACAAATTCTTTGTTTCATTCCCTTTCCTATTAGTGCTGTTGCCTCCAAGTTCAAAATCGAATCCCTTCCAACCTTGGTCAATCACCATGTCAGGTACACTCAACTAAGGGGCTTCAGTTTCATGACTCTATTCAGGGTAAGGTGTAACGCAGTTTTCATATTTGTAAGAAAACGCTGTAATGGAGTATATCCCGTTGTTCAAGGTGCCATTCCTAGTCCCCGTCTACTTCTGTGACTCACTTTGCTGGTTCGACGAATCCGTGCCAGCGTCAGCAGCCAATGTAGCTCCTTCCCTGCGCTCTTTCTTCAGCCTTTTGTCTCGTGCCTCCTCCCTGTTTTTCTGTTGACTGTGCGGCATCGGTTCATCAGGACTCTCCTCGGTCTGCCTACTTGACTCGTCAATGCTGGTGGGCGACAGGCATTGATATTCGTCTCCCCAAATCTGTTCCGTCGCCGACGTCTTGTTGGACATTTGGGAGGAATGTGAATGTGTGCAATGTGATGGTAGTGATTTGAGGACGGGTTTACGCTGAGGTTAATGCTGCAAAGCATTACCAATATATATATTGGTAGCCTCCTTTGTCGTTGTGTTGTTATAGGCTTGAAAGAATCGATGGTCACATGGTGTAGACTAGACATTGCCTTTCTTAGTCTGTCACCCTGTACTTAGGATAAGCGATTCTCATGTGAGATGGTAAGTATCGCTCTTTGTCATATTCTTTGTTCGGCGTCTTGAATAACCAACCACGTACGAAACCAAATTAAACTAAACTTGTCAGTGATAAATCTAGGATAGCGGGCTAATCAATCGGTGGGCATATGCTACCATGATATATTCAATCGCAATACCTTAAGACAGCTGTCTATTATCGCGTTCACAGTGATAGACACTAACCACGTCTAGCGTATCTGTAGGCTCACCCGGAAGACGACGCGGTATTGCCTCTGATAACCAGGGGCACTCTAGCAACTGGACTAACAAGATTTTCTCCCAAAAATTGTGGATCAGTCTGACGTTGTAGGTAGATGGCCAGGGATCGAATTCTGAGGCGTTCAAGATATGAAATCCGCGCCAGGCCGTGCCGAGTCTTCTGGAGCTCGAAAGATTTAATATGTTCTGAGGCGCAACACTTAGTTGAAAAACCGATATTTTGAGCTGAAGGAGAATCGCACTGGAGCTGAGCAATTGCCAATAATTCCTGATATCCAGCAGTCAAATATAATACGAATAAGACAAACCTCTCTACATCCCTTGTATTAGCTAACTTTCGATTTTAAACAAAGCTGGTTCAAGGCGATTAATGCCAGCTTCAAGCTTTCCTTTCTGCACGAGATATCGAGCCCGGCCGCGGAAACCGCCCTGTTTCTGTTGACTTGGGATTTCAAAATCGATTTAGTAGTTTCTCGTCATTCGTGCAGTTGAAACTGGCCGGCCTTTCTCTGATTCTGAATAATCTGTAAGTAGTTGTCTGACATACCCCGCTTGAAGCATGAACAGGTGTTGGTGAAGATGATGGAGGTGGTATTTCAACAAGTCTACCGCTCTACAAACTTGGTGGAGAGAGTGTTAGCGTCTTCACCGGATTTGCCGTTCTCTTGAGACCTTAAAACGGCGCCTGCAACCAGTGCCGCAACAATGTCAATACACCGCAGATGTTAGCGACCTGAAAGAAGTTGTCATGCGAATAGGATTCGGAGCCTGTACCCCAATGGAGTAATGAACACGGTAGTTGAACACTAAACCAGACAGAAAAGTTGGCGCAGATGACAAGGAGGGAAAAAAAAAAGGGAAATCTGGTTCCAAAGAAGGATATATCTATATTAGAGGGCTATATCTGAGCATCCAATCTACTGCTTGCATCCTTCAGCCGCAAGTGCACATTGTAATAAACAGCGACAGGACTGCGGTTGCATTCATATATAGAAGCAGCGAACAGCTGATGGCAATGCACGGCCTAAAGAATATTCTTAAATCCTTGAAGGGCCGAATTGATGTCTAACTCCAGCTCTCGTTGTTGATGCTCGCTCAGCTCCTGCGTGGCCTTCATCTGATTCAAGGTGATGAGCCACTGTACGATCTTCCCCCGGTTTTCAAAATCTCGATCTGTGACCTTGTTTACACTCTGGATGACATCTGTCAAGAGAGGATGAAGCTGATCCTTTGCCAGCATACCGAGTCGCAACGCATCCAAGAATGTGATGAAATCCGTAGTTGCTTCCAGGATCAATGCTCCTGATTTGTTGCTTGTCGATGCCGCTGGGGCCGCAGCAGCGCCAGTAGACGCATTAACTGCTGTGGACGGCATGCCTACTTTCAGTCGCTCCGTGGCTCTTGGAACCTCGAGCTATGGAACATCAGTGACGATTTCCTACGAAAGGGGTCACAAATTCCATACATCCCACTCGGCTTTGAATTCTTCCAAGCCCACAAAAGTATTAGCGACCGTCTCGTCAGCCAGGATGGACTTGTACTGCTTGAGCGAGCGCTCGCAGATCTCGGTGTAGTCTGCTTCTGGAATTGCATCCTTGAGGAAGGCCTTCTCCAGCTCATCAAGCGTGACGATGATGGAGAAGATCTCGGCGAGCGAGTCTTGCAAATCTCGTTCGGCACGTGAGTCAGCTAGCTTGACCTCCTGGGTAATTATAAGTTAATTCTGCCACAATAAGGTGAGTGAGAGATATGCCTACCTCATCGAGGTTGATGGTGGCCGACATGGTGGTATTGGGGACATAGCTGTGAGGGGTGGGCGCATAGGCCTGCCGCGATATCATCTTGGCTTATTTGACGTCGCCGCTCGCGACCATATTTCACAAAATGATTGCAGTCAACCAATTCCGAAAATCGACAGCTGTGTTGCTGTCAAGACGTTTGACTAGGTATATTTGTTTGGATTCTGTAATGTTGTCGGTCCGCCGTGCCAGAACCTGGTGCTGCCAAGACCACTGGCTACTTTACGCCTACTATGTAGGTCAAGTGGCTGATAACGCAGTTAGTTTTGGTATCGATAAGCCCCACTTAAAAAATTCAAAGCCTGAAGAGCGATTGACGCCAATTTTTGGGTGCAACAGCCCGCGACCGCTGAACTAAATCTTTTCTCATTTTCCCCATTAACTGCCCAACAATCGATATTTCACCATGGCTGGGGCAAAGAAAAACTTCAAGGCGACAAAGAAGTTCGAGACGAAGCACTTGAAGGGTGTGCTGGACCAGCGAAAGGCATCGGCCAAGCTCAAGCAACGGCACCAGGTCAAGGAGAAGAAGCAGGCCAAGAAATCGAGAGATGACGAGTTTTACAAGGGGCCCGAGGATGGCGCGGCCGCATCCAAAGTCGTTGGAACCAAGAAGACGGCCAATGTCAGCGAGATGAGCGTCGACGATTTCTTTGGCGGCGGCTTCGAGATCCTCGACAAGCCGCAACCGGGCAAAAAGGCTTCCAAAAAGCTCGGCAAGCGGAAAAGGGACGAGCCCGCTGAGGACGATGATGTCCAAGAAGACGAAGCGAGCGGCTTGGATGAATCATCGGCGGAAGAACAGTCAAGCGGAAGTGACGACGAAGATCTTGATGACGGAGACGAAGATCTGGGCATGAGTAAAGAGGCCATGGATGCGCTCGCGAAAGACGATCCCGAATTCTACCAGTTCTTGAAAGAGAATGATCCCGAAGCATTGGAGTTCGACAATCCCGACCTCGCTGAACTCGACGAACTCAGCGCAGATGAGGCCGAGGAGCAACCGAAGAAGAAGCGGAAGAAGGACCAGAAGAAATCAAAGAAGGCCGACGAGTCAGACGACGAGGTGGAAGTTGAAGGGGACAGTAATGAGTTGACCCAAGCTATGGTGGCCCGATGGAAGGCATCCATGAATGAGAAGCACTCTCTCCGCGCTGCCAGACAGGTCGTCTTAGCATTCCGCTCGGCTGCTCATCTGAACGAGGAAGACGAAGACAGCGAGAAGACGCAACGATACAATATCGCAAGCCCCGAGGTATTTCATGACGTCCTCATGGTTGCCCTGAAAGATGTTCCCGAGGTTCTTCAACACCACGTTCCCGTCAAGGAATTGCCTTCCGGCAAAGTCCAGGTGCCTACAGACTCGAAGAAATTTAAGACTCTGTCGGTGCTTCTGAAAACGTACATTAGCGCGATCCTTCATCTCTTGGACACTCTTTCAGATGACGCTTCGCTGAAGTTGACCCTCTCAGCACTAACTCCTCTTGTCCCCTACCTCCTGAGCTTCCGTAAGCTATTGAAAAATCTGATCAAGACGGTTGTCAACTTTTGGTCGCTCTCGACTAGCAGCGAGCCTACTCGAATTACTGCCTTCTTGGTGCTGCGGAGGCTCGTAGTTGTCGGTGACAAGGGCATCCGGGAGACGGTGCTGAAAGCCACTTATCAAGGGTTGATTGCCGGTGCACGTGTAACCAACGTGAATACGATCCAGGGCATCAACCTGATGAAAAACTCGGCAGCCGACCTTTGGGGGATAGACCAGAACATTGGTTATACGACTGCCTTCACTTTCATCAGGCAACTCGCGATTCACCTGCGCAATAGCATCGTCCACAACCAGAAAGAGTCGTACAAGAATGTGTACAATTGGCAATATGTACACTCTTTGGACTTTTGGTCATACGTCCTGTCTGAGCATTGCAGTCCGCTCAAGGAAGCCGAGTCAGGGAAGGAATCACAGCTGAAACTGTTGATCTACCCATTAGTGCAAGTCACACTGGGCGCTATGCGACTCATTCCAACGGCAACATATTTTCCCCTCCGATTCCACTTGATTCGGTCTCTACTCCGTATATCGAGAGCGACTGGAACTTATATCCCGCTAGCTTCACCCCTGCTTGAGGTTTTGACCTCAGCAGAAATGAAGAAATCGCCAAAACCAGCGACACTGAAACCATTTGACTTCAGCGTCTCTTACAAGGCACCAAAATCCTATCTACGAACTCGCGTGTTGCAAGATGCCGTTGGAGATCAGGTCGTGGAGCTCTTCTCAGAGTACTTTGTTTTGTGGTCAACAAACATTGCCTTCCCCGAATTCGCTCTGCCCGTGGTCATCATGCTCAAGCGATGGCTCAAGCAGTCGAGAAAGAGGGTTGGTGGCAACAACAATGGCAAGCTCCGATCCGGATTGGTGCTCCTGGTGCAGAAGCTTGAAGCCAACGCAAAGTTCATCGAAGGCAAGCGAGCGAAAGTCGACTTTGCACCCAATGATAGGGCGCAGGTAGATGCGTTCCTGAAAGACTTTGACTGGGAGAAGACCCCTGTCGGTGCCTATGTCGTTGCCCAGCGCAAAGCAGGTGCCGAGAAGGCGCGGATGTTGGAAGAAGCCCGTCGCGAGGACGAGCGAAAGAGGAAAGAGGAGGAACAAGAGGCACTGGACCAGGATGTCGCTGAAGAAGTTGATGACGAGGAAGATGATGTTGAGGAGATGGGTGAAGACGACGAGTCTTCTGATGAGGAGTAATTTCGTGCGTAAAGGGTTGGCTATCAACGCGCAGCGAATGAGGTGTGCGGCAACGTTTAGCACTATTCAAGATTGGGGCGTGCATGACAATGCCCATTCGATTTTCTATGAAATCAGATCTCTCCATTATTTTGACATTCTACCTGCCAAGGTTATTGCAGAACTAGCCACATCCCCCTTGAAGCTCATCAACCCTGCGATCAGCTGCAATGCTCTCCTTGTCTGTCACTTTATTTCAGAAGAGTACTGGTTGGACATCATCCAGTGACTTCTGCGATCATAACATAAAGAATGAAGAGATACAAGCTGTCTTGAGAGCGCGGAATGTATCAGTTGGTCGATCCTGCAATCGTCGTATAGTTGAAAACCGCATTCTTGAAGAGCCTCACAGTCGACAGTTTCAGCCAAGACACTTCCCATGAGATATGACAGATTCTGTATAAAGTCTCTTGGAGGGAATAGACCATGTGACGTATGAGAGAATACGGATGTAACGGCGGTACCCGGGTATACACTCAGAACCCGCGATAAGAGCCGCTCGACCCTTGGTCGACCTGCTAAGATCAGGGCCAGTACCGTAGGGAACCCGATTGGTCACAACTGCGGGCATAAGTACCTGGTTGCTCCGTGGTCTCTAGAGGTACCTACTTATCTGGACTTATCGCAGCCAGCTGTACGTAGTAAACTAGCAGGTCCAACGAAAACCCACTTGGCAGACGTCTAGAGAATTAGCCGCAGTGGACCCCTCGACTTCAGGCTAAATGCACCTTAGACTAAGTCGACTACTCCGCAACAGCAGCAGCAGCAGTGCGTTGTGGGCTCGGCGAAATAATGGGGTCTTTGGTGTTGACAGTTGACGATACAGTGTGATAGGACGGGAAACAACGTGTGGTCTACTACAATATGTAGATCCCAGGATGTTGCCTGAAATCCCAATCAGCGTTGCATGTCTTCCGAAGTGAAATGCGCCATTCTACCACTGCTACTGGCCTGACATGGATGATTCCGGGAATGTCAGTCGATTGGGGGTCAGATAGTTGATGGTTTCAACTAGATCCGGCGTCGTGATTCGCGCGTTTAAACACGAAAGCTTACCCCAGGACTCCTCCCCTTTGGCCCCTTGCCTTGGTGATGATCTAACCGACTCGGATGATTATCATGCAAGGCGTGTGTATCTTGGGTCTCACGCCTGGAAGCAGGTGACGAGATGGACCCCTCAGTGGGTGTCAAGAGATAAATACGTTTGGGTTTTATCCCGCGTGATTTCTCAGGATCCCTTTGAGGCAGTACAAGCACGGAAAGCGGAGATGTATAAGAGCATTGTGCCTCCCGCCAACGGTCTGCGTCGTTGTATACCCTTTTCCACTCTACTCCATACTTCCTCTCGCACTTTCCCATCCGTCGTCAACGCTTCAGCGAGAACGACGTGGAATCGTCCTTTCAGATACCCAAATTGTACCCCGAGTTACGCTTCGCGATACTCCACCATGCCTACGCCAACCATCAAACTGAGCAGCGGCTATGAAATGCCCCAAGTGGGCTTTGGATTGTGGAAAGTCGCCAACGAGACGTGTGCTGACACCGTCTACAATGCCATCAAGGCTGGATACAGATTGCTCGATGGTGCTTGTGGTGAGTCCAGACATCGTGGAGCGCAAACATAAGCTGTTGTTCCTTTCCTGGAAGCTTTCAATCTAGCGACATGATGAGCGCCTCACAGTTCGATGTTGGGGAAGCTCCCACAAGTGACCCCTCATTCTTCAACCCCGCCATCTCTTAGACCTACGTACCCCTGTCGCCATGGCGGAGTAACGGGTTTACCCCCAATTGGCCCACTCTTCTTTCGTTCCTGAAATCCACTTCCGGGTAGCTCCGTTCGTTTGTTACACCGTCGCATTCACCTTTACTTACACACCTATTTCTCCCGCAGACTACGGCAACGAGAAGGAATGCGGCGAGGGCGTAGCCAAGGCCATAAAAGAAGGCATTGTAAAGCGCGAGGACCTCTTCATTGTATCCAAGCTATGGCCGACCTTCAACGACCCCGAGCAAGTGGCGCCCGTGGTCAAGAAGCAGCTGGGCGACTGGGGCATCGAATACTTCGACCTGTACCTGATGCACTTTCCCGGTGCGCTCAAGTACGTTGACCCGTCGGTCCGGTACCCACCGGGCTGGCACTACGATGGCAAATCCGAAATCGTGCGGTCCAAGACGACGATCCAGGACACGTGGCGGGCCATGGAAGGGCTCGTGGACGCCAAATTGGCCAAGAGCATCGGCATCTCCAACTTCCAGGCGCAGCTCATCTACGATATGTTGCGGTACGCGCGCATCCCGCCTGCGACCCTGCAGATCGAGCACCACCCGTACCTGGTGCAGCAGGAGCTGCTCAACCTGGCCAAGAACGAGGGCATTGTCGTCACGGCCTACAGCAGCTTCGGCCCGGCCTCGTTCCTCGAGTTCGACTTCAAGCACGCCAAGGCCCTCGTCCCTCTCATGAAGGACGACATCATCACGAGCATCGCCGCCAAGTACGGCAAACAGCCCAGCCAGATCCTGCTACGGTGGGCCACCCAGCGCGGGCTGGCCGTCATCCCCAAGACGAGCCGCGTCGAGGTCATGGCCCAGAATTTGGACTGCACCGGCTTTGACTTGGAGAAGGAGGACTTGGACAAGATCACGGCCAAGGATAGCGGCATTCGCTTCAACCAGCCTTCGAACGTGAGTCTCATGATGCTACCCTAGAACAAGAACATGCTTGGAGCACCGCGACTAACTGCTTTCTCATCCACAGTATTTCAAGACCGACATGATGTGGATCTTCGGCTGAAGGAAGGCATTGTTGCCTTTGGGCTCGGCGGGGCCATTTGGTCCGACAGGGCAATTACTCAAACATACCCATATTGTTCCCTGCGTTGGGCGGGATTGGTTCACCCACATCATCATCCATGCTGGGTTGGGAGCACATTTGATAGAATTATCTAGACTGGCTCATCCGTTCTTGTATCGTAGTCTGGTCATTGATGGCATTGCTTGATCCTAGTTATGAAACGCATATATGCCGGGGCGCAAACCCACAAACGTCTTCGTGTCCCTATGATGACCACCAAACATGAGCGCTGTTCTCTAGCTCAGGAGACTGACACCACTCTCTAAAACATTGCTGCATAACCCAAAGTGCGCTGAAGCTCCATCCACGACTGCGTGGTGTGTTGGTTCAAGTTTGATTCCTCCCCATATCCCCGAAACGCCTCGCTATGAGCTCCTCGACAAGCCGCCGAAAGCCTCAGACCGTGTCATAACTCATTGGACGTCGTTATCAAATTTATTATTGGTGTATCCTTTCATTCACTCACTCACTCACTCACTCACTACGGAAAAACACCTCATGTTGCCAACACAAAAGCTACGTCTTGTGTTAGTTGCCATTCAGCATTGTGGGTCGAATTGGGGTTCCATAACGTACTTGCATCGATCTGCTTCAACTGTGGTAGTGCTAAACGCACTTTGTTCCGGTATAATGCTGGTTGTCTCAACTGCAACGGGTTCCCTTCGAAGTAGACGGTTGTTAAGTCCTCCTTGTCGGCCAATTCATGTTCCACTTCGGCAAAATCGCCAATCTGATTGTGACTTGCCCAAAACTCCTCAAGTTGCTTCAACGGACCAAGGCCTTGCAAACTTTTGATCATGTTGTTTGATATGTCAACGACATTTAGCTTCGTGTTGGCCTCGAGCCCATCGAGACTCTCGAGCGCGTTGTGCGAAATGTACAACTCCTCCAGCTGCGGAACTTCGCGCAAGGGCGACAGATCTTTGATACGGTTCGACTGGATGCTGAGGAGCTTCAATTTGGGCAGGTTGGCCAGACCCTTTATTTCGGTGATTTTGTTCTTGGCAAGCCACAGTTGCTCCAGGTTCTGGAGAGAGTCGAGGTTTTTGATCTCCCTGATCCTATTCGACCCGAGTTCAAGTTGTCGCAAGTTGGTCAGGGTCGCCAGGCCATCGAGGGAACTGATCTTGTTGGATACGAGGAACAAATCGGTCAGTTTCGTCAGATGTTCGATATGCTTGATGTGCTTGATCTTGTTGTAGCTCAGATCGAGACAAGTGAGGTTGACCAGATCGTCCAAGCCTCTGACATGTGAAATGAGGTTGTCGTAGAGGTCCAACTCTTGCATGGTGGGGCCCAGACTCGACAACCCCTCGATATGCTGAATGACGTTCTGACGGAGGCACAGCCGCACGACATGCTTGAATCTGTCTAGCCGGAGTGCTGGAATATTCCCAATTCGCGAGTGTGTGAGCGAGATGTCTTCAGTTTCAGGGTCCTCGTCATCCAAGAGATCTGGAGCGTGGATGGGGAATGATTAGCCGCGGCCATGCAGGGCAACAAGGTAGCAAAGACAAAGCTTCTCCAGCTCCACATGCAACCGAACACAGTTAAAATGAGTAGGGAGACACACCTTCATCGGCCGAAATCTCGTCGCCGGGGAAGACATTCTCCTCGTCCGAATACTCTGGATCTGACAGGGCCGCGTGGTTCTGCAGGACGGCGTTGCGTTCGATGCGTAGCTTGCCATCCCAGCCTTTGCTGTCCGTCAAGGCAGGACTAGGTTCGCCGTTGGTGTTGTCTTTGCTGCGGTTCTCGTCATCTGCCAGTTCGATGTGGCGTGGGGACTCGCGGCTGGCGTCGTCGTTTGTCTGTTTGGTCATGATGAGGGCGTTGTCTTTCCTTGTTGTGATATGAGATTGAGCATGAGCATGGAACTCAACTTAACCGCTAGCAATGGAGACTGTTGGAAACGTTGAGAGGTGGTATGTTTTGCAGATGTAGGAGTTGGGTGCGCGCCTGCGCAGTGTAGTGCGGGGGCTTCCAGTCATAATTGCATTGTAACTGCACCGAAGCCGTTCCGCTAGCCCCACAAACCACAGCTGTAGCGGGGTCTATCCCAGTTGTCCCTCGCCGGTGGTTTCTTTTGAGGCGACTTGACTCTAGAGCTGAGCAGGATGGACTTCCAGGGTAATGTAGAGTCAAATTCGTACGTACCAATCCATTTGACACGTCATGGCGTTTCCGAATACTAAGAAAGATTGCTATAGCTATGATTAATTTATCTGGGAAAACAAAACTATTCATCTGCAGCATATCACTTCAAACTGGTGACGATGCCCCTCCCTGTCTTCCTCCACTTGTGACTCGGTGCGATTTAGTTGCAGGGTAGGTGCTTCGGTGTAATAACTACACTTCTACAACTACTGTATCCAGCAGCCTTAACACCTCACGTAGCACTGGCGCGAAGACTTGACCCTCACGTCGGCCTCGACACGGCCGTACATGCGGCTTGTTGAACAACACAACGTTGGCAACATTCAGGATAAGGTGCTCTCGATCATGTTCCCATCGCCATCCCAATGTTCCTCCTCTGCCGTAGTCCAATCGCGCTGTCCATTCGGCGTCTAAGAGGCATCGTCCCATCACCAGCCTCCACGCTTCCCTGCATCCTGAAATCACCCACGTTCCCATGCAGCCGCAGGTGCTTTCACGTCGAGGGAATCGCGCTGGCCCCCGTCGTCTTCGGTGGCCTGTTCGTGGCGTTGTGGACATGGAAATGCATGATGATGGTCGTCTTCCAGAACAAGATCATCTATATGCCCGGCTTGCCACCCAACGCCAGATGGGAGCGCATTGACGACTACAAGAGTCGATGCGGAGGTGTCGTGTGGCGGGAAGAGCGGATCCGCGCAGCCGATGGGACGGATCTGGCCCTTTGCGTCGCTGATGTCGATATTGGCCAACCGCGTCGACGGCGGCACGAAACCGGCCCGCTTGGGGAAGTCCCTCAGAGTACAGACGCGAGTTTCTATGTGCTATACTTTCAGGGTTCGCATTTCAATCGCCCAATCCTTCCCGGCTTTCTCTGTGGGGTTGTTGACCAGGATGCTTATTAGTGGCTGACAGGAAACGCTTCGTCCATTCCCCCACGCCTACCTGACCTGTCGTCAGCTCTCTGTATGCTGAAAAGGCAGATGCATGGAGTGCCGACGGATGTAAGGGTCACAGTCGCCTGTCTTAGCTACAGGGGGTATTGGACGTCAAGGGGCCGGCCAACCGAGAAGGGAATTCGGCTCGATGCTGCAGCCATCTTGAAGTGGGTTGCTCAGCACTATGATGAATCCCGTGCTGCTGTGTCTCAATCACCAAACTGTCAGTCTGCTCAGGTAATTCTCTGGGGTCAAAGTATCGGTTCTGGCGTTGCTACGAATTTGGCAGCTGAGCAGTCGATGCCTGAACGCTTGCATCTCAACTCGTTGATACTGGAGACACCATTCACTTCGATTCGCGCCATGCTCCAAGTCCTGTACCCTCAGAAGTGGCTTCCATACCAGTATCTATGGCCCTTCCTCCGTAATCAACTTGACAGTTGGAAGAATTTGGAGAACATTGCAGACAATTCCGGAGCTGAGAAGTCAGATCCGCATATTTTCATCCTCGAGGCAGCTAAAGATGAACTAGTACCTGCCGAGCTCAGCCAGAAGCTCTACGACAGATCCATCGAGGTCGGGCTTACTGTTAATAGGAAAGCTGTGAGTGGTGCTTTCCATAACGACGTCATGTTTAGGCCTGAAGGCAGGAAGGCAGTATCTGGATTCATTGCCCAGCGAATAGCAGCTCATAGCAGTTCATAGACTGGCATATCAATAAAGACACACTCAAGCCCACGCAGTCGTGGGTTCTACTCGCCAATTCCTTTACTAGCAAAACAAATTAGGATTAGAACACGATTGCGTGTTAACCCATCTTAACCTGTAATGCCAGCTTTAGTAACTCCTGCTGTCATTGCGGCGAACATGATCTTCGGGCAAATATTAAGGCGAACCATTGGAATGGTCGTAGCCGAGATTATTGAAGACCAGAACGACCGCAAGACACTTGACACTCTGAATGGTGTTGAGGAAATAGGATGCTACTTAGTACTCGTTATGCATGTTCAAATGGCTTAAGTTAACATCAAGATTGACGGTTGAGCTCTCAGTGGTTTTGACATCATGACCTTAGTTGATGCTAGATATATCTTAGAAACACCCATAGCAATGCCAAGTTGGCAAGCAGTAGCAGAGCAAAAGTTATGGTAAGCTCCCAGAACGTGAGGATAATCAAAGGGCTCACACACCCGTAAATTGATGGTTTCATCGACTTGGGACGCTAGAAGCAGCCTTGTGGCTGCTTGATCGTGTGTTTGCGCTGGATCCGTGGTGCTAAAGCTGATACGTCTGAGCCTGGCCCAACAGGATATACGAAATGGTCTTGTTTAGTTCATATCTTTGCTTGCCAAAGAAGTTGATCCTTTGCAACGCACCGTATTTGGGATGCCAAATCCCTGGCCAGTATCTACTGCCCAGAATTTCTTATCATGGAACAGATGGACGAGTGGCAGTCTTGTGCTTGATCTACATATAACGTCATCTGCGTTGCCTACCTAACAGACAGGTAAACAAGGTCCTGCTGTAACACGTAGTCACCGTGGAGGGCAGTGGTATGGTAGTATGAGCCGGCATTAAACCGTAAACCCAGTGGTCTTCTATATATCCTACGTATACTGCTAGCATTGTGTATAGACGGCGGTTGTACTTGCCGCGCCTGGCAAACAAAATAACGTCATAATCATCTGGTAAAACCTCTTGAACGGCCGATCATTTCACGTAGGGACAGCCTGGCACATGCAAAGAAACAGCCGTAAAGCCTACCGTGTCCTGTGCCTATTTCCGCCACCGGCTACATTCGTGGCTCGTGGTTCCAGTATTTTATCAACTAGTTATTTCTGCACCTTCCCGAGGGAATTTGCACCCTCCGGAATGAGGAGCGCCTGCATTCGAAAGCCCTAGAACATCATCAGTCACAACAGCATCATTAGCACCGGCTCCACTTAACTGACATCAAACATCGCCCTCACCCTCCTGACACCCTTGCCGCTTGTTCTGCAGGGCACAACAGACAAAGCGCCAACATCCCCGACCCATTCCAGATACTCTGACGGCATATGTTTTCCCGTCATGAGGGCCAGGGCCCTGAAACCACACTCGTCAAGTGCAGTGTAGAAGCCCCTTAGACATGCTTCGACAGCTAGGAATTTCTCAGACGTCTTTGAGGTATATCCAATCTCCACATCTTTGTCGTTTGCAAATACAAACCTCAAGCCCGTCACGTACTGCGTCCCAAAGAACTTCAGCATGGAGATATAGACCCCCTTCACGTCCTCACTGGGAAATTTCACCTCGGCCCGATGCACCACCCGCCTCGCTTCCTCAAAGTTTTCGTGGTGCCTCGTCTTGACCACCTTCCAAGGCGTTTCCACGACGCCATCTCCCTCGCCCCAGCGCCAACCCGGCCCACCCGCCAGCTTGCTCATGCTTCCAACCCTGCCCAGCGCCTCGGCCAAGGGCTTCACTGTTTGACCCCATATGCGCAGCCTGTTCCGCTCGCCCAGACACACGCGGTTGTACCTAAGTCTGAACTTCAACTCGCCGTACAACCTTGCGAAATCGGTGCCCCGCCTTACGCCTGGGGGAAGCAAAAATGCGTCGAAGAAGACGTTCATCTCGTGCCCGGGCCAGAACCGCGACATGAAGAATTGTTGCGTCAGGGGCGTTGTGGCGAATCCGCGGGAGGTGAGGCGCAGTTGGAGCACGTCGGCGGTGTCGCAGTAGCAGAGGAGTAACTCCCTCAGCTCGAGCGGGAGCTTCGCGAAGGGGTCGGCATCGCTGGCAGGATAGCCATCTATGTGAGCTGTCCTTTTTGCGTGGGTCTTAACCGTAGTCCTCTTAGTCGTCTCCTGCCCTCTCGTCTCAGCATACCCATCCCCCCGCCGCTCAATCCTTAATTCCGCGATCACTTTCTGCAGCTCCGGCACCTTGAAGGGATTCGAAAACGTGCTGGGAATCACCAAATTAGAATTCGGGCCCAAAAGGACAAAATGGTCCCCTTTCGCCTGATCCTTGACGGTCCCTGTATACAAGCCACCATAGCTATGTCCCCAATTCGGCAGCTCAGTCCCGCACGGCACCGAAAGCAAAACGCGCCACAGGGTCTGCACATCCACGGCATCGGGCTTGACCGCCTGCTGCAGCAGCGACCAGCAAGCATCATGGAACTGGAAACCCCAGGCGTAGGTAGCGCGTTCCTGCTCGGGCACCTCGGGCCCGGGGGGCTTGATATCACGGATTTGGATCATGGTGAGGGGGGTCAGTCCATTGTCGTCGTACCGTTGATGCGACTCGGGCGGGAGGTAGTTGTCTGTGCTGTTGTAGTCGTGGTGGCCGATGCCCGAGAGGCGCGGTTGCGATGCCTCAGGGCCCGTGCAGTATACGGCCCGGTAGTAGGGCGCCCAGGCATCACCCGCGTTGAAGTTGGGGCTGACGAAGCCGCAGAAGCCGCACGTCAGCCGGCTGACGAACGTGGCCATTTCGTTGCGAGCCGGAGCTGCGTTTAGGTGGGAAGAAGCCTTTTCGATGAATCAGTTGCGCTTTCTCGGAAGTGGCTTTGTCACGGTAACTCTCTTGTAGCGTTGCATAGCAAATTTGCGACGTCGATCCGCCGGGAAAGCCCGTTGCTTGTCGTTGCCTTCCGGGAACCCACACTCGGCATTTTCGGCACGGCCCCCACTCGTCCAATACTTTGAACATTATTCATGAACACCGACTGAGGTAAGCAGTGTCGTCGGTCTCGTCTCAACTTTTACTTCCTTGGTTCAATTATTGCATGATCTTAATTTGAAACATGAGCTTGACTGTCCCATAAGACACTAGTAACATCACCGGGCATGAGTAAGCGCTGCACGTCTGGTAACGAGATCACGGTCTATTTACCTGTACCTCTGATCTTCATCCGTCCAAAGTAAAGGCGTGGCTGCCTCAAGCTGAAGTTGAATAATGCACTCTACAACGTGCTCGGTAAGCGGCCAAGAAGGTCCTTACTCAAATAGCGAAGCTGAATCAATGAAGTTCAAAGCTTATCAGGCCGCACAGATTGGGACATGTAAATGGTGTGAGACACCATCAGACTATCATACTCATGGTCGACTGGGACGAGCGCCGAATACGCACGACTTACTTAGAGACGCCCGGCCTGGCGGAAGTCAAAATTTTGGCTAACCAAGCGACCTGTATCGTTCACATTTCAAACCGTCCAACCAACTAACATGATGGTCAAAATGAGGTAGCCCACGGACGAGGGGGATGGCATCGATGTAGTGAACAGGCGCCACTCCGAAAACCTATCCAGCCCTCAAGCTGGCTGAAACGGCAACACTTACTTCCTGCACTCCGAAGGAATTCCCTTAGAAATCGAGAACGGCGCAATACTAAGCATTCAGCTAAGTACACATAGCGTTACACGTCCTCCATCGTCTTGACTCTCATCCATCCATCCCATCTCTGACATCCCATCCGACTTACTCATCCGTCAACAATCCGCCTGAACATTAACAGCCAAACCATATCGTCTGATCACCATCCGCATGAAAACTTATGATGACTGAGAGTTCTCCTGTCCATCTCTCCTTGCTTGGATCAATACGTAATTCGAAACCTGAAGGAACATACGACGGCGGTCGCGCAGACCAGGCCCACGCCGGCCACTCCCTCTCATGAGCTGCGACAGCTGTCGTTACACATCGACGGCTCTTCCTAAGCGAGTAGCCATGTGGCGATCATCTATTATTGACCATTCATAAGTAGTGGTTTGTTTATCAGATGGCGGGCTGGTTGCGGTGGTCAGCTGCTAATACCCGACTGTAACCCAAATGATTAGCTAGTCCCGGTTTGTGCTATCACTATTTTACTCCTTTTGCGGCCCATTTTCAATCAGGGCGAGGTGAATGAGGGGGGGGGGGAGGCGAGTCACTTCAGAGAGTCATATAGTCAGAATTCATGTGTACTCAGGAATGGGATAATGCTTCTTAAGACCAGGTAGGTAAGTTGTCCTATATCAAAGATTGTATGCAACTCCACCGAAATGCTACCCCCGAACAACAATTCTTGCTCGAATCCGCCTCTTGAAGGCCCCCCCACGCACTGGTTGGTTGCCCATTAAAAGTTGGGTCATATATGTTGGAGAAACTGGATTGGAAGTACATGCCAAAACATGGCCGCTGTAATGCATCTCGAGACATGTGGCGTCCTCTCTTCTGCCTCTCTCTCTCCGACTTCCCCACTGTGTAGTGTAGGATGAATTGGTACCACGTTTCGCACAAGTGAATTTGCAAAGCTTTTTCGTTCTTTCTTTTTCTTTTAGAAATGTTCCTTCCAGAAGCGGAACTTGACCTCTCTTACGGTGGCCGCATCGGCTGCCTTCTTGATGTCACGCGCTGTGAAGTTTGGTTAGCATTCGTGGTGAAAGAAGGTAACGGAGTCGGAGTAACTTACCAGCTGCGGTAGGACCACAGAAATACACACCCACCGTGGTCTGCATGCTACCCTCCAATCCGTTCAAGTATGTCCGGTCAATAATACCGTCACGCATAGTCTCGAACATGCGGGTGAAATCAGGTCGGCCAAAGTTGGTTCGAGCCTTAAGCTCAGTGAGCGGATCCATGTCTGCACCGACAGAGTTGAGCACAATGTTTTGGGTGGTATCCATGTCTAGCTTCTGGGTCAGGTAGGTGTGGATCTTCAAGAACTCAACGCCGTCGCTGCCAGGAACGCGGGCAGCCTCGGCACTTTGTTGCTCGAGAGAGGAGAGAAGAGTCTGGAACCATTCGAACGAGCCAGTATCTTTACACACCCAGATGAACTCGACACGGCGAAGTCGGGATGGAGGGTTGGGGCTGTTGCGCAAATGCCAGATGTTCTTCAGAATGGCGGCCCATGGCGTGACTCCAATACCGGTACCGACCAGTACGGCGATTTCGTTATCGAAGACATCCTCGGCGGGAGCACCGTAAGGTCCGTCGATTCGAAGTAGTGGCATCTGCTGTCCGTTCTGCAGAGCGACCTCATACATTCCCATGGGGTCAACTCCGTCGTACAACTTGGATTGAGCAGCACCAGCACCTACAGCATCACCCAGAGCGCGCGTGAAGTCACCGACTTGACGCACGTGCACCGACACGTAGGGATCGTAGGGGCACGACGTGATGGTGAAAGGATGCCACTGGTAGTTGGAGACGGAAGGGACCTGCAGGAAGAGCCACTGTCCCGCCTTGTACCTGAAGGACGGCTTGCTGAACTGGATTTCCACGACATCTGCATTTCCGATTAGCATCTTTTTCGCGTTTTGGAGTCTGGTGTCCCGTCTTACCGTATGGGTGACGGACAACTCGAGTAATCTTGGTGGTTCTCTTGGCACGAATCTCACGGTAGAGTCGCTCGATAAAGTAGAATCCGCCAGCGAACAACTCCCATCGCCAACCTTCGTAACCAAGACAGTGGTCCCAAAATTGATCGGCGAAAGGCGAGAGCGGCAGTGCCGTGTCACGGACGAAGCATCCGGTGGTGTGCGTGTAGAGACCCAACAGGAATGGAATAAAGAGATGATGGGTGTACCAGAACGTCTCGAACGATTGCTGTCTGATACGGTGGTGCGCAGTTGTATACATAAGCAGCATGCACAGAAGCATGATGTGCCCAGTGACACCACCGGCATCGGCGTAGTGAATCTGGACGGCCAGGACGGGTCGAATCTGCGTTTTCTCGACGTTGAAGAAGCTAGGTAAGAAAGTCAGTCACCTGTCCGGCCCGTATTAGTACCGGATTGCGGCTATACATACTTGACGTAATGACCCGCGGCGTGAATGACGGTAAACAGCAACATGGCATAAGCTACTTGTCGATGAAACCATATGTTCTCGTCCAGCGGCAAGAACTTGACCTTGGGTCGAATCCATCTCATAATCGTCCGGCATACTGGTAATAAGATCAGGGTGCCGTCAATCGAGAGAACCAAACCGGCACCTCGTGATATCCAGACGGAGTATTGTAATGTGTTGAGACCGGCCAGTTTCGGATCGTTTTCCTGCTTATGCCTGGGAAGTTATTAGCGGGCGTCGATTGCGAGAGATGGGATTGGTTCAACGGGACACAACGTACCAGCCAAAGGCGAAGAAGCCCCAGTGCATGGTCCAAAACAATACATGGAATATTATTTTGGGACCAGTAAACTGCTTCTTGAGAGTGTTGACGAACCCCATCTTGGCGGTTGATTGTTCCTCTTCTCGTCCAACACAAGAACCCAATTAAATGTCGAACCTGCGACAGCACCAGCGTGATGCGAGTTGGATATCCCACAACGGGCGACCGTTGATGATGTTTGTTGACGGCGTTGAACCAGAGCGAGTGACGACGATGAGCCCGAAGCCGAATTTTCTCCCTTCGTCTTCTTTTTCTCCTCCTTCGGTGAAAGCAATTCCCTCCCAAGCAATTAAAAGAACCTATTAACCACGACGGAACCCCTAAGCCAATGGTCGAAAAAGAGTGATCTGAGCCAGCAGCGGAATGAAAGGAACGGTGGAGTAGAAAAAAGGCTCGAAAGAAAGTCGCGTTTCTTCTACGTCCTGATCGCCGAAGGAGAGGAGTAGGAAAGGGGGAAATATTAGATGCGGCGGGTGGGGGAGAAAGTCATAAAGGATCGTAGGCAATGGCGAACGGTGGATCCAAGCTGTCAAGATACAATAGCGCCAGTGAGCTAATGGGTACTTCTAGATCCGGTTCCTCGAGAGCAACGGTGCCAATACGAGAGGAGAATAGAGCACCGAATTGTTCGGATGCCAGCTGCCCATGTAAGGCCCCTGGTCCGTTTTGTGGTAATTGCCAGCCACGGTTTGAAGTACCTCTTAAGCTCGTAGATACTATAGTACTGTGCTATTGAGGCGACAATCGTATGTTTAGAACCCCTAAAAAACAGTGGCTAAGCCCAAATGCGAAGGGCGACGCCGGGCGGCCAGGCGAGGGCAGATCAGCGAGAATGGAGGTTCAGGACTAGCCAAGAAGAGCGTGGCGCCTCCAGGACAACAGGGGTGCACCGGCAAAGGCTTGGTAGATCAGACGTAGCAGAGAGTTTCGCCGGGCGCTGGTGCGGTATCAGATGGATCCGGAATAAGAGAGATTCTAGACGACCAAGTAACGGAGGGTCTAGTTGCGTGGGGGAGTTGAGACGAGCGGCGTTTGAGGAGGGGTCTCGCCGAGCCTCTTTGGTGTTTCGGCAGGGGCGGGTGGGGGAGAGAGAAGAGACGCTGCAGAATGGACGAGGAGGGCAGAAAGCGAGAAACCAGGTTACTTTCACCTGAGCCGCCGCGTCGGGATGGGGAGACGGCTGCTAGATATGTAGGTAGAATGCAGACGCTGAGATTAGCATCGTGGTCTTGGGAGACATTTGACAAAGGGCCCAAATCCGATGGCATCGTGCAGCGACTTGCTGCTGCCAATCGACGTACCTTCAGAATAGGTTGGCATTCGATAATTTTAGGAACTGTGCCCCGGTGGGAACGTGACAGGTCGCCGGGCGCTTGTACTGCGGCACGGATTCGCTGCGAGGGGCAGTGGGTTCTAAAATGGTATCTTGCAGGCACCCAATCACGACAGGCCAATTCGTTGTGCCCAGGCCGCCTGCACGATTCAACCTGTCGGCCAAGGAGCGGCGCGAACCCAATGGTAACCCGTTAGAGGTTGGCGTCCGCGTAGCGAGTCAATGTCGTGCACGACCCATTCCCGCCCAGCCGGAGCTGCATGCGAGGTTGCGCTTGGTGTCTCTTTCCATGGATTGCACATCTGTGAAGCTACACGCATGCCGCTGTCTGTGGTCGTGGGGAAGCCCATGTTGCGACGCAAAAGCTGCACATCACGCACCCGCACGCTCGCGGCAGGCCCCAGGTTGATCTGGCCGGCAGTCTGAGAGATATCGTAGCCAACCAGCAACGTGCCTTCGTAGCCTGCCCACCACCGATCAGCCTTGTCGGCGTTTCTGTATCGTGGCACCCTAACTTGCTGGCATGGAAGTGAGGACCTGCGCTATGAATCAAGAACCGCCTCATGGGGACCCGGGGACGCACTTGGCGTTGCAGGGTAGCGGGCCGAAACAGGTTCCAAAGTGGCTCACAACAACGGGGATCGTCGAAACTCTGCTGTTGTGCAATCAGGTCAGCCCAACAATGAACAGACGACAGCCAAATAAGCTCATAAACAATCGTACGACTTTTCCGTCATGCCACCAGCGAGTTGGAATCAGTTCGGAGGACATTCGACATTTGTTTGTGATCCTCGTAGATACCATGCTGCCAACCTTAATCCTGGGACCCGATATCTTGGCACCCATATAGTATTTAGAGACGGGAAGTCCCCCCCCCCACGACAGCATCATTCGTTCAATCTCCAGATCAAGAAGTCAAGGGTCAAGTCAATTGATGCCGCCATACCGCACTGTCGCACCCACTTCGCTCGCTTGGATCTTGTGCGAGATGGCCCCCCCCACTCCTCTTCACAAGACGTCTTGTAACGGTCAAGACTCGTTTGACTTGGACGCCCACCTAGCTCCCGGAGCCTCATGACGTCGGGCATGGTTACGGCAGATGATTACAATGAAGCAACGCCTACAAGCCGCGACGAGACAGATCTCTCCAGTTCCACTTGGCTGGCTGCTCCCGGTCTGATCGGAGCTCTGGCTTCGTCGGGAGTTTGACGAAAGCGTAATGATGAACTAAGTGAGACGCCACGAAACAGAAGATGCGGGTTTTCAATCGTTACGACTCCATCCAAGTCGCAGTGGATCCTGAGAGCCAATTTCCAGTGCCGCAGTCCGTGTTGACTGCCACGAAAACGACGACGGCAACGACCGATCCGTTCGATGGAGCACCACTTTTACGGCTGGTCGCCATGGGCTCGAGTTGAGAATGAAACATCCAACCTGTGGACCCGCGTTAACGCATGAATTATCCTCATCATAAGCTTCTGCAATGTCGTTGCGAAACTGATTTTTGCTGGTAACCTCCACCGTTTTTACTCCGTGTCTAGCACTTTATCTGCCATGATCCATCAAGAAGGTCCCGGCGGTCCAGGGGGTTAGGTCCACTTGACACTATTAAACCTTCTAGCCAAGCTTTTTTCTGTGGCGATCAATCAATCAAGCATATATGTAAAGAGGACAATTATACAATCCATCAGGGTAGCGGTTGTTAGTGCCGCGCCGGGCTTAAACCTATTTTGCGCAAGATTTTGATGAAGCAATAGCCCCTGAACAGAATTGATGTGATCAACAGTCATGCTCCCATAGAAAACTGCCCACACGATACTGAGTAACATATCTCGATGCCTGGCGCTACGCTAGCAACCTTTACCCTGGGGTGATGTAGTGCCGGCGCTATTGCTTCAGATGGTTGCGAGTCTCGTGCTTATGGTCCCATAATTTGTATCAGCTCACGTCTGTTGCCAAACCTGTCAAGAGCCTCCTTTGAAATTACACCGTCACGAATGGAGCGGAACAGACCAGACGACATACTGCCACCGAACGAGTTCACGAGCCCTTCGGATAATCCCAGATGTTGGGACTCTTCGTGTTCTCAAGTCTACATGGTTGCATAATACGTTTGGACGTCTGGGCATGTGTGGGCCAGGGGATTTTCCACGAACTCATGTCGCCCTCCGTCAAGAGAGTCCTAGATCCTGGGCTGTGATTCAGCTTACATGCTCCTATACTCTATCTCCTGGTCTCCTGGTAGGTTGCAACCTGCCATATCCGCCATCTTCTAACGCGTGGTTCAAATTTTGTCTAGTCTGCGACTTGTGTAGAACTGGCGACAATATATCTTTTCCGCATGATGATTTACATAATGAAGACTCGTATGATACATCGCTCTGACGGCAAGGCGCACATGCTTTAATTTGCCAAATGTTATTTCCTGGTCTCTTCTCTTATTGTCCGGTAGATGCTGAGAGTGTTCAGGCAACACATGTGTCCAAAACACTTTAGTATACACTTGCTCCAAGTGGTGCTGTACACATAGGTACATGCTACCTATTCAACGTGATTAAGAAACCTCCGTAGAGCGGTACCCGTTCTGCTTCCCAGATGACACTAGGAACTCAGGAGTCGTCTGATTCCCGAGAATCAATCGTGAACCAATCATGTGAGATACGTTCCGAGACTGACTGTTGCCCAGCTGAGTCAGATGCGCTCCCAGAAGGCACAGGAGCGGTGAAGTCAAAGTTCACCCCAAAGCTCGTCCATTCGCTTCCCGCAAGTCCCTGTCCTAGCTCGGTGAAGTTATTGAAAGAGAACGGGGTGGCTGATAAAGCAGCTAGTAAGACTTCATTTCCTGAGGATTCATTGTGGGGTTGGGACCTGGCCCCGGGATTGAAAGGGGCCGGTTGTTGGATTGGGGTTGCTCATTGCATGCTCAGGAACATAGATGGCTAGCTCGTTAGAGGCACCGAAGGATAGCTGAAAGCTTCGGAACAATTGAGCATCCACGGACAGCAGCCGACGGCAGATCTTTTCCAGTAGTTCTGACTCAATAGTTGACGCGAGCTCCCTCCTCTACTGCGGAGGGAGCTCGCGCCTTATAAATTGGCAATAATCTTCTAGGCTGTCCGGCCCAGGCTGCGGATCAGTATCGACGTTGTTTTGGTCGTGATCTTGGGGTATGAGTTAGCCACTGCATCATCTGGGAAGATGGTTCGATACATGGTGTGCCACTTTTCCTCCTCCGTTTTCTTCGGTTCCTTCTTGCTGGATCTGAGCTTTGCGACCATATCCTCATCAACACCGTCCTGAACCTCCTCTTCGTGGAGTTCACATTAGCGGCTGCTTCTCTGATGGGACGTCAAGAGTGTTGCCGATTCGAAATCTTCATAGCAGCAGTTGCAATTGGACTTCAGTGACGCGTGTCGGCGGGTGACATGTCCCTTAAGACGAATTTGGCCACCAACGAATGGTTTTCACAAAAATATAGGACACCAACTTGACCCGGGGACCTGGGCAGTTTCGTCGCACACCAAACCTCGTCCTATGATGTTTAAAGAAAGGACAATCAAACATGCGGTTGTCCGGCGTTTTTTGCTGTACTGCATCTTATGTTTTTCAGTATCCAACTCAGTTTCGTTGCCATCGTTTGGGTCGTCTGATGTCTGCCGTTCTTTGCCTTTCCGCTTCCTTGCATTTTGGCTACTTCTTTGGCCCGAGTCCGAGCCAGAATCAACCGTGCAACAGTTCACGACCTGCGAGGATGAAGAGCCTCCACTCTCATACTCTTGATACAGGACGAGGGAGAGCTTCGATTCGAGCCAAGACGTGAATCGGGCCATACTACGGAACACCAAACGCTGCTTCCTCATCAAGTGCAAACCTTACCTCCAGCCTCTACCCACGTGCTTAACTTGCTCCATAGTAGCCAGAGGCGGCGGGGTTATCGCTCACAAACGATGAAGGAACGAGGGGGAGAGGGGAGGACTCATTACAATATGACGTGAAGTAGGATAATGACCTGAGCTCCCAAACACGATTGGTAAACTGCCGATTGGATACGGAGTTTAGTTTCCACTTTCGTTTCCAGTTTCTGGAATGCCGGGATACGGTGGGTTACAGTAGTAGAAGGGCATGAACGGTCTCGCAAAGTCGGCCGCTGGATAGGGGTACTGGGTATGTGCAACCGGAACTGTAGTGCGAGACTTATTATAGTTGCCCAGGTTTCTGGAAGGGCTCGAGTGCTCGGGAGGCGGGTGTGGAACGTAGTTAAGAATGCTGTACAGTAAGAGGCATCATTGCTCTGGATGCCAAGAGGGGCATGGCTCCAACATTGTTGCCTCGGGATTAGAGGAACTCAGGTCGTGCTCCTGTGAGGATACATCCTTGGATTTTTGTTAGATAGCCTCAACGCTAGGGCTACATCAGTTTGCCCTCAGCTTCCTCTTGACATCACCGCACTGCCACTCCCGGAAGCCGCTGAATCCACGAGTTCCTCCAGCTCTGTGAGTCGCCGTTGAAGATCCGCATTTCGTTCGTCTAGTTAGCTGTAGCTTTCTGTCTCTTTCTTGATTTGCTCTTGGCACGCCTCGCTCTCTCGTTCAAGCTGTATTTCACGCACAACCAATAGCTGCTCTTTAGCTACGCTGTCACGGAATTTCTCTTCGTAAATAAAACATCTTTGCCCTCACACGTGGATCTTTGTCTTTGCCTCATCAAGAGCCTCTTATAGAGCCCAAAGGATGAATCTTTCCTCTTCGCGATCTCGAGCCATTAATCTCCGGTCTGGACGGCCCCTTAATGCCAGCCGTATCATTGTGACCGCACAATCCCAAATCATAGTCGCGACGTAAACCCTCGGGCTCGAGTACCAAGGCCGTCGCCGGATCTAGAGGTTTAAGCCATTTCTGTGTAAGTTAGCATGTCCTGGATCCCCAAGTTTATAAGAGGCGGCTGTGTTGCCGTCAAAGGTGCATCCAAGTTTTGCGCATTTTCGCAGGAGGTAAGGTGTACAGTATTAAGTGCAGTTAGCACAGTCGCACTACAGACAAAAGATCACTCAATGGACACTTGATTCACTTGATTGCATGAATACTTTACTCGACCTATCGGGGCATTGGGTCTGTATACGACACGCCTTTTCGCAAGGTCAGCTAGGCCGAATACTTGGCATGATTAGTTTCGTTGCTCAAACATCTCAAGACTTTCAAGCCGGAGCAAGGTTCATCTTCACAAAGAGAGTGCGAACATAATTGATGGAACACAACTATGGCCCGGTACTGTCTTTCGTACGTATCCAGTGTGGCTGCTTGAGTAGGGATATACTACTTCTAACTGTTCAATTAACCCACCACTTCTAGTCAGTGCTACGTATGGTGAAATGCAATGTGTGTTCTAACAGGACGGAATTCTCACCGAAACGACATAGGGCACCAGCGCAAGAATTGCGCCAGGCTAAGGGGTGAGCAAAGCAACTCTATTCCGGGGTATCTTCCCTAACGCCATACTTTTGCGGCTTGCGCAAGCCTCTCTATGCCTTATTCCCCGACGGCTTGCCTTCCATCACGGCGAGTTTCTTCATTTTCTTCGCCTGCCGCTTGCTCAAGGGTGCCTCGCCAGTCGTGTTGTCGCCGTCCTTCCGCTTTTTCCCATTCCCGCCGTTTTCGTTGCTTAACCCCTTCCCCTTTTCCTTAGCCGCTGACTTTTCTGTTTCGATCCCCTCCATCTTATCACCTGCTTCCCGCTGGGCAACTTGCACAATATCAATCACGCCTCTGAACGAAGTCCTCTTGATGCCCTCGTTGACCACGACGGCTCTGGGATTGACACCCAGTGCTTCCATCCCCCGCTCCGTCCCCAAGCCCCATACCGCGAGCAGATTCGCCACATCCGCCGGCCCACGCAGTCCCATGACGCCCTTCGCCTCGCTGCTCACAACCAGTCCCCTTCCCTTCGTCGCACGCATCAGACTCATGACATTCCCAATGAAGTTGGACCTGCCCCTGGCATCGGCCAGCAGAAACTGTGCATAACAAATCTCGAAGCGCATGCCGCGATTCACAGCTGCCATGCACGTCTTAGGTGCGAAGTGAAAATCGAACTGCTGCGTAAAATCAGGAGAAATGAGAGACGCCTCGGCAATGCTTAGGCACGCCGCCTGGAAGGCCCACGCGGTCATCGGGCGGATGGCGAGAATGTCAAAGGCCTGGGCGACCTGGGGCAGGCGGTTGCTGGACAATGCTTCATAGAGGATCACGGTGACGCGATGAAGGATTTCGGGTTGCTCGTAGTTGGCGGTTGCGATTTTGGAGTTGCCGGCCTTTGATGCCGGAGTTGGCGGGGGGTTGGGGAGAGGGTTTACAGTCTGCGCTGGGAAGGGCGGGTTGATAGTGTGGTTGAGGGCGACGACATTGTACCCGAGCGAGGTGCTGAATTTTAGGGTGCGTGAGAGCTCGGCGGCACTGGTCGAGGACGACCAGGCAATGTTGAGGTCGTAAAGCATTTTATTCCGCTCTTCTGGCTCATCTCGTTGTTTGAGTGAGTCGCGATTGCGTCAGACTCTGTTGAAAGCTGCGGTGGAACTCAAAGTTTGCCGTAGTCGAGTCCGAAAATCATGAAAGTCGGAATGTCGGATTGCAGGGTCCGACTAGCGTACCTTGTAGAACGGAAGTGGTGCCGTTGCTGATGGCAATTGGAGGCCTGACCTCGATTCCGATTCCCATTTGAACGCCAAGCCGACATTGGACCTTTCGCAAGCATGACCAAGCTCTTGTGGATTCTTGGCTGAGCGGCACAGCCACGGTGACGCGCAGTGGAAATTTCCCAGTCCTACTATGTAGTCACAACGATACAAGACTTGTTGAATGTTGCATCTGCTCATGAAATTGTTGACCTGGAATTCCTCGCATCTTAACGCCTAGAAAATCATAATACACCCCCCACCAATACTGAATAGCAAACAACTCTCGACTTATACCGCCATCGACCTCCGACCGGGAATCGCATAAAGCCAACCACCCACCATGTGTTTCGTCTTCACCTGTGGTGAGCACACCTTTCGCAAGGAGATTGAGGGCTACGAGGGCATCACCTGCCAGTGCCATAACTGCGGCAATTACTCTGGCAAAGTGATTAAGAGCAACCCGTGGTTCACCTTTTGCTTTATTGTAAGACTCCATTCCATTCCATCCTCCGCCCCCACCAATGAACAATGCGCTAAGCCTTGAACACTGAACAGCCCGTATTGCCACTCTCCATTCACGGCTACCAAGACGTCGTATGTCACATCTGTAATTTTGCGCAACCACTCGAGAACCGTGCCGATGTCCAACAGATGAAGGGCGGCGGCGGAGGAGGAGGACCCGGTATACCGATGCAGAACGGGCCGCCGCAAGGCTGGCAGGGTCAATCGCCACCGCCAGGACAACAGCCGATGAGGTACGGATAGCAAAGGAAAAAATTGACGAAGTGATGAGACACGCATGGATTTGAATGAGAGTCTCCAGTGAGATGGACGGTAAGAAGGAAGCTTATAATAATAATGGAGGGAAGAAAGAAAGAAAGCGACGAGGTCAATCGCCTCGTCTCGACGCTTGCAGTTGGGTAAACATGGGCGTTTGCGGCATGGCATTGGCGATCCTCCTTCTTCGACCACGATGGTCAATATTCAAATAGTTTGAGAGCATTTGGTATGGCACATATTTTGATCACGACGATGGTCTTAATCTGCATGAGTATGCCGCGGCCGTTTCGGCAGAATGTATGTAAATAGGCGTCAATCAGGAATCTATAGTGCATTGGCAATATCTGTCAAGGAGCAACTTGACTTGACTTTCAGATGATACTGGACATGAGAATGTCAATTCAGGACCGGCCGCCAACCCTTCCGAGCTACAAAGTCAACCACTCCTTCGTCCTTCAAGACTTCTGCCCCTTGCCGTCCAGTAACAACACTGCGCTCAACTTCTGCCCCTTTTACGTGGAATGGGAATCTGAGCCTTGCATCTCCAACATCCTCGTGCTCCTCGACGCACTCCCAAATAACTTTGCCTTGTTTCCGACGCTTCACGAAACCACAGGCCTCCCGATCAAGCGAGAGATACCACTTGCGCTGGTGTACACTTCCAATGGTGTTGGTCGCACCGGTATACGCATTGGTCTTACGTACTTCTTCATCCTCTAGCTCCCGTATCTCCCGTTCCATGGCGGAAACGCCTTCTTGATCCACTTCAGCCGGTGCATGAACAATGTCTTCTTCGCCGCCGACGCCGGCCTTACCGGTGTTCCGGTCGGAATCCGAATCGGAGCTGGTCATGGGCTCTGGAGCCTTGGTTTTCGCACCACCTCGCCGCCGTCGTGTCTTCGGCTTTCTTCCAATCTTTGCTCTCCCGGCCGCATCCTCACTCTTAGTGAGACGCAGAGAGAGAACGTAGTTGCGCGGTAGGCGGCTTCCGTTGAGCTCTAGGCGAATCTTGCGGGCCTTGAAAGCCTGGTTTAGCTTTTCTTGTTCTGTGAGCTGAGGTGATGCGCCCGGAGCAGATGGCTGAGAGTCTGGGTCCTCTGCTGGCGCGTATTTACTGCGTCTCTGAAGGACGGTGTAAGTACCAGTATCCCAGATTAGCAGCGAACCAGTTGAGGTGGAAGCGGTCTCTACAAGATGATTCTATATGTCTGTTCGTCAATGAGATGTTGCGGTGTGCACATGATGTACCTACCCATAGACAGTGGACTCTTGTTTCAGTCGCATTTCGGTTTAGCCGCTGGCTATTCGGATCACCGGGCAAACCGTACATGATAGCCCATGATGCACTGCTGGTCTCGTTGATCTGGAGACGTAGGTCATAGTGCGTCCCAGCAATAGGATGATCATGCTGGTGAATAACGAAGTGAGCACCCTCGCGTTTTCCGAAATGCGCGTCATAGAGCTCCCGATAATTTGTAACTGGAAGTTGAGGCATGCCATTAGGGAAGGGCGCTAATGTCGCTTTCGCAAGTATACCGCAGAAGTATGCAAGGTGGTCGTCCACTTTTGCTTCGCCTGCTTCCACCGCCGATGTTTTGGGTTCATCAGCCTGAGCTGGTGGGCTCGGCGATAGCGAGCTCAAGCTGCTGCTCGAATCCTCAGCATCGTGAGCCAAGCCGGTAAGCTCTATACTCCATTCCAGATTTCGCTTCTTGATGAATGGATTCGGCACCAGCTCAGGACTGCCGCGACCGCGCTTTTCTGGCATGTTGATGGATCGTATTGTACATTGATCGTGCCAATAAAGGCACCGCCTGCGCCGGTAGAAATGGGAAAAAAAGACCAATTGGTGGAGGCAGGCCCAGATGTACCTTAAAGCTACTTACTTTTGAGAGATAGACCAGTTTGAATTGTTCACACAGATATATATGGTCCTATGCAACCGATCACTCCTCAATGCCCCACCACCATATTTCCAGACCTTCAATCAGTCGAGTCCAGTCTGATAGCAAGTGAACTGACCACGAGCCGTCCGATTCATTGTCCAGTCCGGTACAGCATGAAGCTAGATGACCGAATTCTGTAGTCATTTAGGAATAAAAAGACATGAGGTAATTGACCACTGGCCCTTCGCTAATTATCTCCCAAATCAAAATAAGTGTCATAACAGACAGATCCTATGGTTAGTCCGATACTACTTCTAGTGAAATACCAGTTTAGCGACAATACTATACCACTTTGTTTCAATGGAGATGTTGAACATAATACTATACCTGACCTATAGTCATACAGCACAATGCCCAGTTATAGTCAAAAGGCGCAACTGATACCACCCTCATGGCATGGCATGTCTGAAAGCTAGCTCTTGAATAATCTGCACTGCATCGAGCGTGTTCGGAATGAGGGTTGAAAGCAGTTTCTCAAGTATTCTTCACTACTTCACTAAGACGCCCGACGGCATAGTTGATGATGCACCTCCACAGTATGGAAGTTCCAGGGTTGTATTCTTGCCATCAACTACCTGCAGAGGATACAATTGTTTCCATGTAAATATTAAAAACCACTAAGTACAATATCTTCATAAAGTAATCAACCGGGTGTTTAGAAAGTCACTTCACATGATATATATGCTCGAGTTTGTTGTGTACGGTCATTTGGATGTTCTGTATGGATGGGAGTGGGTAAGATGATGATAACTTCACACTCTCCTGGGCACTGCACTAAAACCCTTCTTTCCAGGCTTCGATGTCTCTACCACGACGCACGCAAGTTTTCGACGTAGAAGAACATGTGTGTCGTAGAGTAATGGCAACTTCGTCTCACGCAAAAAGAGGAAACACATTCCAAAACAAAACTTTGATACCATTGAACTTAATGTACCAATTAGATGAACAGAGTGGGACTCGAACCCACGCGGATTGCTCCACTGCGATGTCTGTCACATTGCGACAAATTTATCCAGTTCACCTGAACGCAGCGCCATAACCACTCGGCCATCTGTCCTTCTTTGCTGACAAAATGGGTCGGAAATTGGTATAATAAAATGCAGCAAAACTTTTGCGGCCGAGGAACGGCCTCCGGCCCCTCACCACTCAGGTGGGGCACGACTTGAGTATTGCCACCACAAGAGGATCCAAGCGCTGAAAGTGGCACTAATGCGGGTAGTAGTGAACTGTGTAAGTGACACCAACCTAACCTAGAACTTTTAGTTCTATCAGTCAGGGACTGCATACTTTTCGACTACTTCTGAGCCCCTCCATTGTCTTGTTGGCTTAGCTGATCGTGGCAGACAATGACTTATTCATGGAATCTTATAACTAGTTAATCACTGTTAAATCCTGGTATCAAATGGCTTATGTATCAGGTATAGTATTGATTACCATGAACGATGGACAATATATCAGACAGTATAGCTCCAGGGGGATAAACTGGCGCAACACTTTTCGCTACTATTTCATTTACTGAAATTTCCATTGGGATAACATTAGAATCTGTCTGTATGTTTGCTTAGTGCCCAATAGATATGGCTAGTGAATAGCCAGCATTTATGCTCTGTTACGCCAATTGATTACAGCCATAAGCTCCATATTGTACTAGATAATGAAACTGCTGGGTTCGTGTTCACTCATTTCGGGCTCTGAGTATCCTTCCAGTGATTGTGGTGGAAGACTAAAACCATAGGAAGACAGGACACCAAGGGTACAGCCAGTCAATTGGACGGGACCATACGCATCTGTGAGAACGATTCAATGCGATCCACATCTCTTCAACAACAACCAAGCCAGGACCTACTTCCACCAGTTGGTTCCTTATTCGAGCCATCTCGGTCTTTCCAGACGTCTCGTTGATCATTGTCGTCAGCCACCCTTAGTCGCCTCCAGTGTGATGTGAATCCTTGAGCTCTTAACTGTCACTAATCAACGTTACTCAGCAAGCAATACCGGAACTATCGAGAAGGACTGTATAACTAGTGAGGCGCGTAATTATAAACGTGACCAGAAACATGATGAGAGCACAAAATATATTACATGCAGTTGATAGGGAAACCATAAAATCTTGGGATTGAAAAGAAGTATGCTCACCGTTACGCACCGTTACTCTCGCAAACGCCGAAGCAAGCCGCGAAAATGATGAATACTTCCTATCAACAAACGAAATAACGGTAGACTCATTTTACGTGGTACTGAATGTTTGAGTCTGCAAATGAGAAGCCGGTCTGAGGAGCCGGTCAGACGAGACGATCTTCGTAAGCGGCTTACTCCTTTTGCGACTCCCAAGTTGAATCAGTCAAGACATGTTAAATAAGGATTGGCACATATAATGCGCATTTAATGTACAGGAAGCGGACCGTGTTCGTATGATGTTCTCAACCTGAGAACGTGGACTCACCAGGAGGGCAGCCTTGGAGTCCTGTGCGCGTACTCAAGCACTCTCCACCGCCAGCTATAAATGCGATACAAATGGGTCATAATAACGGTGTTGTATATACAACATGTTCAAATCTCATTTTCATTAGGCCACATCATTGAGTTGTGTCATACCAGATGAAAGCTTTAGTTCAACTGTCTAGAGACTCTACACTATGTCAAATGTTTATTGCACAACAACGCACACAGTGTAGAACAAAACATCCATATGTGATGATGAACAAGTCAAATTCTAGTCCCCCAAGCCAAGCGAGCTGTGAGTCCACTATGAAAACGAACCTGTCAACCTGAGCCAGAACTCGAGCCATATCCATACAAGAAGGCAGATTAAAACAAAGAATGCTACTCCTGTCGTCCACAAACGCCAATGCCAACTAGGCCCATCTTCCCTGCTGTGAGGAGTGACAAAAACACAAGTGCCGGTACGCCGATGCCCTTCTAGACCGAGCCTATGTATGAGGCACCAATTTCAGGTGAACGATTCCTCCCCCTTCCAGCCAAGCCAAACTCGGGCGTATATATGGTATAATCAAACAATCAAAGGTCTCCTCAATCCTGGAGACAAACTCCAAAAACATCACGATGACCACAAAACACTCACTCCTAAGTGGTGATGGTGATCTAATTCCATGCCTTGCTCAAAGGACTCGCGATTTTGGGCGCGAATTGCAGGCTCTTGCGTCGCGCAGCCATGAGTCTCATGACGACGTTTTGGTCCTTGTCCTGGCGTAATAAACCCTCGCCAAGGTCGGCGTAAATGCTCTGCTTAGGTGGCGCGGTGCGCATCAGAAACTGATCCTGCTCAAAAGAGTCGTCGCCGACGGAAGTTGCAGCTGGGGTCTCGGGAGTGACATCCATTGCGAACTGGCGGATGGATTCCGGGGCAGGTGTCTTAGGCACCGGAGTAAGTACGCCAACAGCGTCCCAGTCATCCTCGCCAGCAGCGTCCATATTCTCATCATCATCATCACGATCAGAGGGAGTGCGTATCCAAGCAGTGCTCTCTCGTCGACTGACGTGGTTGTTGGGAACAGTCTGACACTCGCGGGGCGGGCCAGCGGTCTGCTTCATGGGCGTGACTAGCGTGCCGTTGAGGTTGGCAAGGGCCTTGGGCTCCATGCTCTTACGGCGACGAGCACCTCCACGAGGCACCATTGTGGTGTCGATGTAGTAAGGTGCTTCTTCGAGCCACTCATTTTCTCGCTCGCAGCTACGTCTTGGTTAGTCTGTGATCAACACGTGAATTATACCCAAGTAAATAAACTCACTCTAAGACCCAACCAACGCCGACACATTGGACGACACCTCCGCTCTCTCGAACTTTCTCCATAGTCCGCTTGCCACCATCCTTGAACACAACATGGGTGATGCCGATCTTTGAGGCTGAGTAGTCAGTGTTGGCGGCACTGATGGGATTCCACGGCCAACTCTTGACACAGCGGGCACCCATCTGTGTAAGCAGCTCAATAAACACAGTGCTAGCATCCGCACCTTCACTTGTGTGCACATCAACGAAGACGACAGCACCTCGGAGCAAGGCAGGGTTGAGGTCTCGACGGGGTGTGCGAGCAGGAGTGCCCATTGACGACCAAATGTCCGACTTGGATGGAGTAACAGGGGGGTTCTGATTCTCCTCCGCCTCGTCATGCTGATCAATGTCCAAGTTGGAAAACTCCTTCGTCGGAGAATACGAAATGACAGTCGCGTTCCTAATGGGACCTGTAGGTCGATTCGGGGGGGGCTTAGAGACACTAGCGCTGCGCTTCTTAATTCGCGGGGTGGAATCATCGGCAGGCTTCAGCGGGACCTTGGTGGTGGTGTTGAAAGGTCGCGGCGCAGAATGGCGTATAGGCGTGACAGGAGGGACTGCAGCCATGGAGGAACGGGAGGCTTGGGTAAGCAGAGTTGGGTCAATGGGAATAGCATTTTCATCGCCATACTCCTGACTGGCTTCCGAAATCGAACCGTCGTGGTTCTGAAGGTCAAGCATCTCATCGATTTGCTCTGGCTCGAGGAGTGACATCTCGTTCGCCTCGGCAGCGAGCTGAACATCCTCGTTAGTCAAGGCAATGTCATCGAATTCCGGATCATCGTAGTTAGCAGCGATATCCGCCTCCATGGCAGCCACAAGAGCAGCCTCGTCAGCTTCCATATCGTCCCGGACCTTCATCTCGTCATCGAAGAAAGTATATTTTGCGGGAGATGCCTGAACCAAAGAAATATCTTCCTCGGTTATTTGAGCATTGCCAAGGGGCGATTCGTGGCCGAGCTTAGAAGGGCTGCCTGCCTTCCATTCATTCAGTTGTCTGGCAAGAGGTGTGTAGCCAAGCTTGGAACCTCGTGAGACCGATCTGATGGCGCGGCTAGCAGCCTTGATGGCGCTTGATGGCAGCTCATTTCGGGGGGTCTTCGAGTTTGCCGGGGTGGGAGTTGCAGGCACAGCGTTGAAGCTCTGCGTGTTGTCATCCTGGAACGTAGACAGACCCTTGCCACTAGAAGCGAGCTCGTCTTCAGAATCGTAATTGATAGACGTTGTGAGATCCTTCTCACGCAAGCCAAAGAAGGGGTTCTTAGGTCGAATAATGGAGCGGGGAGGCGTCGTCTCAGGACTGCGCGCGCCAGCATCTTCTTCCTGATCCTCGTCAATATCCATAGGATCTTCCGCCGACTCCTCGACAGAGGCTTCCGGTTCAGCCGGACGACTTTCGTTGCTGACCGCATCGGTAGCGGCCTTGACGGGCGAAGTTTTTTCTCGGAGCGCAGGGTCTGCGCTGCGGGCCAGAACGGCAGATAGGCGGCCAGGGAATTCGAGTTGACTCGGAGACTCGAGTTGTAATACTTGTGCTTCATTCACATCGTCGGTCATGGCATCTCCGTCGTAGTCCTCAGTCATAACAACATTTTCAACAACAGCCTCAGCCCTCTCGGGCATCTCCTCCTCCATAGCGGATGCAGTTTCGACTGCCTCCTCAGTAGGTAGCTCCTCCCCAGCTTCACATTCGGGTTTCCCTGCGTTTTCCGGCTCCTCAACCTGGTCCTCTGCGGGTCGAATCATAGTTCCCAGGGGCTTCAGCGGCGACATTGGTCGCTTTGCTGGCGAATTCAGAAGCGACATCTTCAGCGGCGATCGGCGTTGATCTGATAGCTCATGAGATGGAGCCTGGAGACCCTGAATGGGGACTTGAGGTCGCTTTGCGGGCGACTGAAGCATTGAGGTCTTGAAGGGAGACTGCGTAGTCTCGGTGCTCTGTTTGTGAGCCGAAAGGATCAGCGAAGGAATGGCGTCGACCCGCTTGGCCGGCGACTTCATAGCATCCTTCCAAGGAGAAGAAGGTGGCCGTCTTGCCGGGCTGCCAAACACCGACACGCCCGTGGGCTCAGACGGTTCCTCGACCTCTTCCTCGACAGGCTCCTGTGTGGCGGGAACTCCAAGATCAAGTTTCCTGGTACTGGAGGGCGGCTTGACGGGGCTCTTCATCAATGGCTTGAGAGGGGTCTTCTCGTCAATGGCAAGTTCATCATCTGAGCTGCTTTGTCTAGACAGGGGCCGGTTCTGGCTGTCTTTCTTGGGACTGAGTGGAGCTGGCTTCTCGTTCTTGTCGTTTGAAGTGGTTCTTGTTCTGGCGCTCGCCCGCGTCATTCTGCCACCTGCAGCAGGTTTTCGTATAGGCCTGGCTCGCATGCCAGTGGCAGTTGCAGTGGTAGTGGTGGAGTCTGTAGTCTTTGTCTTGGCCTTCACTGCGGCGGGGGGCAGTAGGTTCTCCTTATTCTCCCTCTGCGGCTCCTGGAAGGTGACCGACTTCTTGACGGCAGCAGTCCGGAAAGCTGGTCGGGACACGGCCGACTTCAAGCCTGGTGTGGGGTTGGTGTTCACTGTGGTGCAGATGGCACCATCCTTTGCAGCATTCGAAGCAGCCCGGCCTCGGGTCGTCTTCTTGACGGGCTCTCCATTCTCTTCCTCTGACCGTGTCTTTCTGGTAGCGCGTGCTCGCGTATTCTTGCCTGGTTCTATCTTCGGAGCTTCCGTGGCGATCTTCTTGGGTCGGCCTCGCGTTGCCTTCGGAGCGGGAGCTGGTGCCTCCTCTGTCGGGGCAGCCTGTTCTGGCTCGGGCTCGGGCTCGGGTTGAGGCTCGACAACTTTCTTGGGTCTGCCGCGTGTTCTGGCGGGCGGCTTGTTCATAATGTCTGTGGTGGATGTTGGTTCCTCATGGTCGCCCAGGTCGTCGGGTCTGGCCTTGCGCTTCATGGAAGAAGTTGTGCGGGTGGTGGTGGCAGTGGCCTTCGCCGAGGCGGTCACGACCTTCGTGGGTTTCGAAGTCGCGTCACCACTGGTAGCCTTTGCAGCTGCCCTCGCTCGCGTCATACGTTTAGGTGGGCTTTGAACCTCCATTTTGGCGGTTCGGGTGTTGTCGTCAATTATATTGCTTACCGTTTTGATTGAGTTATACCTGTGAAGTGTGGCAGACCAGGATGGCCGGTGATTTTTAAAGGCAATCGCGTTTGTAAATACAGCCCCACCTTTCTGTTGCCCCGCCGACACTCCACCCTAACCATAACTGGCCAAGCCTCACTTGGAATCACCGATATCCTATCTGATGATCGACATTCTACAAATTTTGCTCTTTGGATAGTAGAGGTTGATGCACCACATCTACAGACTGTCTGTACCGTTGGAAAAATAGTCGCATGGCTTTTCTCCTTATTCAGGAGAGCTAATGACTTGAGGAACTACTTAACCTAGTTACTCTTGTATGTGATCATTCCTGTGACTACCCGAACCGTTCACATCAAACATCTGAGGTTCTCTGGAATCGACAATCTACTGCTTATCTAAACCTTGCTGATAAGTGTTTGACACGCTTAACGTTTCCAAGTATGCTTGGCTAACAAAATGTCTCGAGGACCTACTCGAAGTGAGGTAAGACTTGGTACAAGTTCATTATACTCAACCCTAATAATCACCGTGTTGATAGCTATATAATTTCTCACAATCATGTTAGCCAATGCGTGGGCAGTCTACCGAAAAATTTCTAGCTTTCATCCAAGTATCCAGCAGTATGAGTTCCCACCGTATCTATCATTAAACCGTCCCCAACGCCATACCTCTATTTCAACCATCGCTCTCTTGTCATGAGCATCATGAAACCCACCCATCCCTTATTTGTCAGCCCCAGAAGCACTCTCAACATCACTCCTACTGGGCATCTCCCCCTCCCGCCTAAGCCGCTGCTTCGTAACATGCTCCTGCTCAAGCGAATACTCCTTAATGGAGAAACTCAACAGCATACTCACGCCAGAAAACGCTACAAGCGCCATCCACAGTATCTTCAGTCCATCGGCATACGCCTGCACGAGCAGGGCCTTGTCCTCGCCCTCGGGCATCGACTTTATAATGCCAACCACAATCGTCGCATCGCGCGAGTACTCGTCCGCCACGGACACAAAAGCCGGCAGCGCCTCCAGCTTCACTTTAAAAGCGTTTTGAAAAACGACGCCCGAGATGGCGACGCCCAGGGACTGACCAAACGTCCGCAGGAAGGAAAAGAATGCGGCGGCCTGACCGTTAAGCGCCGGCTCGGACGCGGCCTGGATGGAGAGGCTCATACCGGGGAAGAGCATGCCGGTTCCCACGCCGATGGGGAGGTTGAGGAAAATCCACGCCGGGACGTTGGTCCCAGGGTTGAGCAGGTAGAGGATACCGGGTAACATAGTCGGCAAGCTCAAGAGATTCGATTGGTTAGGATCATTCCTGTTTACGGTGGGTGATACTGCTTTTTTGTTTGGAGTATCCGTTGGCGGCGACGGCGGAGGTTACAGGTGAGTAGGCCTTGACGGCTTGGTAGTACAGCACTTTAACGCGTCAGTGTAAACTCGATCGGATAGAGTGGAAGATGCGTACCGAGGAAGTATAACAAAGACCATAGAATGATGCCATGGAAGATGGCCTGAATGTAAGTGCTGATCAAAGTCCAATTGCCGAAGATCTCTCTGCTGATGATGGGCTCGGCGGCGTACCAGAGTTCCCATAGCGCAAAGCCAGCCACAATCATAATCCCGAGTATCAGGGGCAACAGTGTCCGCCACGAGGTCCAGCTGTACATCACGCCGCCAACGGATACTCCAAACAAAAAAGCAGTATCACCCACCGTAAACAGGAATGATCCTAACCAATCGAATCTCTTGAGCTTGCCGACTATGTTACCCGGTATCCTAACCTGGTGCAGAAACAGCACGACAAACACGAGCCCGAGACCGATGATAGGCAGGTTGACGTAGAATATCCACCGCCAGCTGATATTCTGGGCAAACCCAGCACCAATCAGTGGGCCGGTTACAGTTCCAACAGACCACATGGATGACAAGACACTGAACCATGTTCCTCGATAGACTAGAGGAACGAGGTCAGTGATAACGACCTAGAAGCTTGTTCCGGACCAAAATGCCTGTAGAGCTGTACCACCCAAGGCAGTGCTCATAGTAGGTAAAGCGACGGCGAGACTAGTCGAATCAATAGCAACGGCGAGGACAAGGGTACACAAGGCCATGAGGGCTAGTAAGAAGTCTCGGGTGGGTTTCCACTCGGCCACGTCGGCTGTCACGGAGCCGGGAGTATCGTCAACGATGGCTGATGGGGTCTCGCTATGAATGGAGTTTCCATCAATAGCCAATAGCCTCGTGGGGATCTTTTTCATCTCTAAGGGGTTCATTGTAAACCTTTGGGCGCAAGGAGAAGTACAGGAGTCAAGTAACCAAGCGCCAAAGGAAGAAGGCAGACGGAATGACCGACGAAAATTAGCAGAATACGGGATCTCAGTCTTACCTTCTCATGACAACGGCGGGAATGAGTGAGCCTTATAAGAGACGACAGACAGCCTTACCGAACCACGACGATGCCATCTAGGATTCGAGGATGCCATCAACCCAACACGTACACTCGCAACGATATGCAAAATGTGCGATGCCACAAGTCCCACCAGTCTCGCCAACACCGCTGGCGGGCCCTATGTTGGTCCGCATTCCTGGTTGAACGTGCGCAACATGATGACCCGGTTGGCAAGACTCGCATTCGCAGTATATGTAATCGTAATGAAACCACGTTGTTCGGTCCTGAGAGTGGCTGGTAGTAAGGGGCTTGTTTGTTCCGGGAGTTCGGTTGGCCCATTGGGAAATCTGACGCGGGTTGATTGTTGGGCCGATGGTGCTGAGAATGCGAGGCGGGAGCGTTTGTCGCAACAGTGACCACCCGAAGCAGTCTAGCGCCTCTTCCGCCATCCTGTCAAAAGACGGACGCGCCTTGGATGGCTTACGCGTTACAGCGGCAAGTATGGGTGTTGAATATTGTCAAATGATTCCTACAGGCCTATCAACCACTGATACTCCTATTGTTGTGTGTAGTAACTCACGTCAGCCCCCAATCCCAGAGCGGTTGGATACCCCAAGGATGTGTAACACCATCAACTATACCAACTACAAACTGCCCTTAGGCCTCGCTATCGTTATTATCCATCAATTAACCATCCTGGTGGTCTCCCACAGGCCTAAACCATGCCCAACCCCTTCCAAGGAATCTCGAGTTCGCAGGTTTGGTTATTATGTCCTACGAAGGGGAAACTGGGCCAAACAACCGTCATCTCAATTTAGAACCCAAGAACTGCTATTAGTCCATGCCTCAAAGAATAAATATCTTTCCCGGCATTGTTACTAGTAAGGTTTGGAGCTCTCTGGTGTGCCACATTACCAGTTCGTTACCTCATCCGCAATGTACCGTATTGAACACCTTGCTGGTAACGCAGACTTTCTATACCAATTGGATGCCATGGCCGAGTTATGTAGAAAAAAAACATCCTTGATTGTATTATTCGCCCACAGCACTATTAAACATATCAACTTTTATACCCCCACCTCAAACCGCCCGAGGCATCCCACGTCTTTGTCTTTCTAAGTCCATGAACAAAAGAAAAAAAGTCAACCACTACGGCGTGGACCAATGGTGACCCAGCATGTAATCCCAAACGCCTGCTCCAAATGCTGTTGGTTTAGTGGTTGATGATACTGATACAAGTGAGCACAACATTGATTTTTCCCAACGGCTTCGCCCTCACCGGAATGGCAGGAGATATCCACCTAGTGGTGGTTGTGATCGTGACCGTTTTCGTGGGCATGAGCAGCACCGTTGCCATTCTCTCCGTGGTTGTGACCAGAATGGCTTGATCTCGTAGAACCCTCGTCATTCTGAGACGATGGAACCGTGCAGCAGCCCTGTTCAACACAGTCATCCACGCACTCCAACAGGCATGGAACGGTATGCCCACTCCCGCAGTATGGCGTCGAGGAACCGTCAGCCTGGCCGTCCAATCCCGTGGCAACTTCGGCATGGTTGCATCTGTCATCAAGACAGAATTCGGGTTGAATAGTTGCGCTGTGGATGCCATATGCATGAAGGCACTTTCGAGCCTGCTTAGCGAGCGCCATGTACTTCTCCCCGCCCTCTTCCGTGATAGGGAAGGCGACTTGCACGTGCATGGACGCAACAACTTTGGTGTCCGACAGCTGCCAAACGTGGACGTGATGACAGCTGATAACGCCAGGGAGTGCTTGAATATCCTCCTTAATGTCCTGGAGGTCGATTCCGTCCGGCGTAGCCTGCAGCAGGACCTTCGAGGTAGCTTTGGTGAGGGGATAGGCAGAGTGCAGGATGATGGCAGTGATGAACAGGGACACGGCCGGATCAGCGTAGTATTTACCAGACCATTCGGTGAGCCAGATGATCAAGGCAGTAGCTATAACACCAACATTTCCGAGGGCATCGCCAATGACGTGCAAAACCATGGCACGCATACCCATGTCGGCATGGTTGTGGCCGTGGCTACCACCTTTCTTGGACGTTTTCGGCTTGTTATGGTTATGCTCTCTGTGAACAGCAGAGTCTCTCCTCGATCTCGACCTCCGAGACTTTGAGTGCTTCTTGTGCTTTCCGTTGGCGGAAGCATTGGCAGCTGGGCCTAGGAGCCCACTCGAAGTCTTCGCGACCAGCGGTGTTCTCTCATCCACATTTAGCTCGTCATATATGGTGGATCCTCCTTCGGTCGAGCTCTCGTCGGTGGTATCTTCGATGTCAGTTCTGCTTTGATTGATAATGTTCTGTCTGAAACTGGCAGGATGGGGGTTGAGATCGTCGATGCTCTGCAAGCGGCTGAGCTTAAGGGTGCTTGGTCGCCGATGTTCTCGTCCTCTCGCACCTGACGAATGACTGGCACTATGCTCTGAATCGCCGTACTGAATGCGCCTGACCGTCTCCGGGGAATCGCTTCCACCTTGAGCTCTAGCCAAAGCAACATGGGGCAAAATGTCCATAGCCGGACCATCATCAGCAGTGAATCCAAGGCTTCTTCCTTCCTCAACAGCGGCGGCCTCGTTGTGCTCATGCTCGTGGACGTGGTCATGACCATGGTCCCCATGTTCCCCATGCGAGTGATCTCCAGGACCGTGCGAATGTCCATGTCCGCCTAGTACAAAGAAGCCTGCGATATTGGATGCCAGACCGCAACAACCGACAATGAGGATGAGCTGCGGGTTCGAAATCACCGGGGGGTCGAGGAGTCGGGTAACGGCCTCGAGGATGATGGAGACACAAAGAGCGATGAGGAAGACGGCGTTGAAAAAAGCACCAAGGATCTCGGCGCGTAGCCACTATTGTAGGTCAATGACATGAACACCAATTCGGCAATCAAGAAGAATACATACGCCATACGAGTATTTGTCCGTAGTCGCTCTGCTGGCCACGGAGACAGCCCACAGTCCAACGAGCAAGGAGATGATGTCGTTCAGCATGTGGAAGGCATCGGCCATCAAAGCCAAGGAGTGGACCATGAAGCCCGACGTCAACTCGACCAGGAAGAAAACGATATCTATCGCCAGCATCACACTGATGCGCGTCCTCTTTGACCAAGCCATGATGACAAGCAATTCGGTCGTGATGGTGAGCGAGGATGTAGAATTGGGGTGTTCGTGGTTTCTCAGGGAGGTTTGAAAGGGCGACTGAGCCAAACGCTCTCTGCTTGTCGTTTGGGATCGCTGTAGTAGATTACCAGACTAGTCGCATGAAAAAACGTGGTCAGTCAGAGCCAGGAAGCTCGCAGTTTGAGGCTGTTGCGGTGATGGATCCTATCCAACGTTGGATAGGACAATGACAGAGTAGCAAAACGCAGTTCTGACGCGATTGGCAGTCCTAGTCCCAAAGAGAGGGTTCCTGCTATTACTCAGGTTTGCCCCATGTGCAAATTGGGTTGTTTCGCAGAGGGATCTAGATGGCTGACGAATCCTTATCAAACGAATTCAACCTTGGGATGGTTAGAAATGGCGGCGAAAATGAAGGTGGCCGCACGCACATGTCGGTTCGGAGCAAAGCCGGAGTCCCCTGTGGGGTAGGTGCGTGATGTCGATTTTGGCGGGATGCTTAATCTTGATTGGACAAGAGTGCTATGGGTCTTGCATTGTCCACTTGAACCTTATCAGATATGAGTCCACTTTGCCCAACAGATGAATCGAGGAGATGCTCCACCCGTAGCAGTTGAAATTTGTGAATTGAGTTCAATCCAGTGGCCAGTACCTACCTGAAGAACCTTAGTCAGGTCTGATACAGTACCAGTACTATGTACGCAACGCATTGGGAAATCGTTCTAGTCTATTTACTACATCCAACAACCAACAACGCAGCCAAACATTGACATCCCACAGAGCTGCTATATCGTGTGTTTATCACACATGATGCGTTGCTGCTTTAGCATGGCATCATTTGCCTAGCTGACTTGGGATATCCGCCTTCCTGCACAAGCTTGGCGTTCCAAAAGTCGTCGTCCGTCAGGGTCTTGCGGAGTTGGGAGGGAAAGAATTCGCAAACTTACTGTCACTATTCCTAATTTGCGTAAGCGGTCTTATCTATCTCTCTTCAAAGTTTCCAATTGCCTATGTCATTAGAGTGAGAGTTTCAACTACTTGCGCCCAGTTGTCACTATACTAATCGGCCATATTTCTCCGTTGTGCCCCACATCCCAATTGAGAAATCAAAACACCATAATCCCCTATTAACTTCTACCACGCACCGGCCACCAAAATATGGTCGAATTACGCGCTTTTGGCAAGAATTATCCAGAAATCGAAGACTTAGTGGCGAATTCATACCTGACACCCGAGCATGCGTGTTGCGACCGCTGCAACCGGTCTGAGTCACGTGGCCATTGCAGACACGTTCAGGTGCTCTCGGCCGGAGACCACAGGGCACATTGTCAAGACCCATAAATCTACCAAACCACATATTCTGGTATGCGGCGACGTGGCAGATTCAAGGCAAATGAGAAGGCAAATGAGAAGGCAAATGAGTGAGATGAGCACCGAACATGCCTACTCGAGTGCCGCGACCCTAGGGCTAGGTACAGCACACTGGCAACACGCGCAGAGTTCAACATCAGCTCTAAGACCATCAAGAGGACCCTTAGCCGTCACTACTTCAAGAAATAGCGCGCCGCTAAGCGCATATTGTTGAACGAGAAGGATGCGAAGCAGAGGTTTGAATTCGCCAAGAAACACACCCCTAGGGCCATGCAACTGGAGCTAATGCGGTATCTATTTTCTGACGAATGTATATTCAGAACTCACCGGATAAACCAGGTGTTCGGGTGTCCGCTACGCCTCTGAACGCTTTCGAGACGGTCTTTTAGACACGCAGATTCATGGAAGGCCTAGGAATTCTATGGTCTGGTCAATGATCTGGGTTCGTGACGACGAGGCCGGTCTAGGGAAGCTCGTCTTCTACGAGAGGGATCCGGAAGCACCAAGTGGCGGCGTCTCGGCACGGTCTTATTATGATGTCCTAGGGCAAGGCGTACTCCCCTTCTACGAGGCTAGGGACCCCTTTATGCAAGACAATGCGAAAATACACAAATCTGGCCTCCCCACAGACTGGTTAGAATCGCACGGCATATGGACGACCGAATGGTCTACGCACTCTCCGGATTGAAATCCAATAGAGCACGTCTGCCACGCTCCGAAGCAGAACATACGGGAAACCGAGCCTAATTTTGCTGATTTGCAGAATATTGCCCAAGAAGCTGGGCGAGGGACGTAATACAATTAGCGTAGGCAGAGATAGATCCGGACCGTGTATTGAAGTTGATGAAGTCCATCCCCCGTCGCATCACTGCAGTGCGTAGGGCTCGCAGCTGGTACAAGCATTATTGAACTCTCCGCAAAAAAAAAACTGTTGTAACTGTTGGAGCAATTTGCAGGTCATTTGAGCACAATTGGTTAAGAATAGGCCGTTGAATGTTGAAGACGACCGTTGTGGTTGGGGTGTTAAATAGCGGAGCCAACGGAGAAATATGTCCATTGAATGTATCAAAGTCTAGGAATTCTTTCCCCAGAACCTGAGGTTGTTCAGAAACGGTTCAGCAGTGATACTTTTCACCTTTTACACCGGCGTACATCAGGGTGAGTTCATCTAAATCATACTTGTATTCTGCCTTCCTGAACTTACCAAAGCTCGGAACTAGCACCTGGCTCTGGCCTTCCCATTCCGTTTCAACATAGGAGCCTAAAAGCAGAGACGCTGGTTTACTTGCTTTGTACATGCATGCGATGGAGGCCATACTAGTTCCAATACATCTATCATCCTTGCACCGACTTATCAATCACATAACCTCATAACCGTAGCCAGTCACGGGCCAGATGTACTGTGTTTTTAAACCACACAGCCCATACATACTTGGACATAAAGCTTCTATATCAAGTACAATGAGTAACAGTGTGTATACAATATAGTCAACACTTGGGCTAAGCATTTTATTTTGAAAAACCCTCTCACAACACAACCACTCTCGACAGCTACTTACTATATTGCCATAAGGTATTAGTATCAAAGTCATTCCTTCTTCAACATCTGGCCTCCTTTCTCTAAGGGGAACCTACTGATTGTCTACACCTCCCAGTGCAATTTTTGAAGGATTCTTGTGATTAAATCATAACTATGACGTCAGCGCCTGAGGGTAGTCAGGAGATAACTCGCAGTGTCAGGATCACAAGGCAGCTTTATTGCCTGTACTGTATTGCCCAAGTTCGCATAGTAGACATATAGCGTTTTGACGTATTGTGTCCTGTAGCGCACGCGACCTCCGATTTAAACATCTACCCTTGACTTTTGAACCCGAATGTGCCGCCTGCCGAATGTGCCGCCTGCCGAATGAGTTATGTAAAGTGTATGACAAGCCGGGACATGAGCGGCATCACCTTCAGAGTCCCCCCCTCCTGCCCCCAGTTTGGTATATACGACTTTCACTTGGAAAAGAAAACCCGGTCTATCTCGTGATGTAAATATAAGCCAACTATGACTACGAGAACGTTGCATGGTCGCAGTGGACCAGATGACAAGATGGTGTTATATGGATGTTTGACACGTCGGCATCATGGAACAGGCATTTCCTGAGTGTACCAAGTCGTATATATACACGGATAGAGCAAGGCCACTGGAAAGGCTCTGCATATGGGATCGCTTGAATGGCCAGGGGTTAGTTTCCAGACCCCATACTGGAGTTTGTCAAGCGGGGAAAAGATAATGCGTCTCAGCAGGGAGGAACCTACATCTTCATTGACGGACAGGGGTGGAACGAGGGCAGAGTAGTTCTGTGGGAGACCATTTCCCGAATCTCTGTGCCGTCCCCTGCAAGTTCACCTTTTCCGGTCCTCGGTGAATTCAGCCAAACGAGTGTATAACCCCTGCAATCCATATATTGCATGACTTTGGTTCATCTGTTATACATACTGCTTGATCGGCAACGTCAGGGCTGCAGCTTGCCAGCACACAAATCATTTGTCAGCCTTGTAACAGAAACACCTAGACTGTATGTCAGCCCTGGAAGGCAAAGTGAAAGCCAGCCAGACCTCCCTAGTTGGCAGGTTACCGACAGCGCCGTATCCTACCGAAGCTGCTAGATGTGGTTCTTCGGGAGATCGACGCGAAGCCTGGGGTCTCTGTTGGTGGTCCTCCATGCGGTGATGGTCAAGCTGAGGTAGATCAATGTGGCTTCCCCACGCAGTACGACGCTGTGTATATTGCACCTGACATACCCGCAAGCATGCAATAAGGATCGCACTATTTACTGGTTCATGAAATACCTTCGATAGCTATGTTGATAGCGAAAACGACAGTGAGGAACTGTGTAGGGCGTTTTCCAAGACAGCCACAGGCATATTCTGGCAATGCAAACTGTCCTGGAGCATGGTTTGGACTTACGGCCAGAGTAACAAAACAAATAGCAGCCAACTTGATTCCACCGGACAGAGCTTTACCTTCGATCAATGCTCGCTGATAACACCAGGCCCGACAAGCTCCGGCTATAAGTGCTGGTTAATAGCACCGGTAGCAGGTGACAGACAGCGGTCTCCCACCCACTGAACAATCCAAGCCCGCGTCAGACTGCTGTAGCAGGAACAACTGTGCCACCATGACCCCAGTCAGGGCCAAAACCGAAGACGTCTGTAGATAGGCGGGAATGGTGCGCTCCAAGGTTGTTCAGGAAATCGCGGTTAGTACAATCCAGACAAATATCTACATAGGGATTGTAAATAGGCATGTGGTTTTCATCGTGGGTTGGAGTGCAACCCTGATCTCAAATAAAGCATCTCGCACTCAACAAAATAATCCTGGCAAATATGATCCAGACGTAGTATGTGGCGAACAGATTATGGAAGTCGTTGATCGTCACGTGGAATCAAGGTCACTTGAATAGCGAGCGAAAACCTTGGAATTGATACATGGATAAATGCCTGCGGCATTCCATCTTGGAGGGTCCACATACATGATTGGTGTACCGCAGTGTCACACCCATGGCCAGTGGGCATGTGTAAATTCCTGCCGCAAGACAGAGACGGCAGGGTTTAGATATATGTTGTAACTTGTGAGGCCGTGGAACCCAGCAACAGCAGTTGTAACTAGAGCCAACAAAATACTAGAGGTCGAGAATTAAGACACCAAGATACAGATAAACAAATACGAAATCAACACACCAAAATGACCACGGCAGTCTCCCTCATCCACATTAACCTCAACCTGATTTCTCCAGAAGTGTCAGGGTGAGGACGGAGGATGTATTGAGTCCCTCAAATAGGAACAAACTGGCTGTGTCTCGTGGGTCTACCTGCTGATCTTCGGTCTTCATTCGTTCCTGCTCTGGCTTCCTCGACAAGTGAGGCTCCCTTCTAGCCTTCTAGGTGCCATTTCTACATGAGCAATCCAGCTCAATGCCAGGACTACTAGGATCAGATCCTCTGGAATTGGCGAAGCACGCAATGGCAACTATCAAGACGCAACCAACTGCTTGATTCATGTAAGCTAGGAACCGGAGAGGGTATCGGGACTATGGCGCTTGTCAACCATTTTGAAGTAAGCTCATCAAAAGCGGGGAGTGTCAAGAGCTGTTAAACACGGAAGGTGTATCTCATCGATTGAAGGATTGCGAACCCTACTTGTGAGTTCGATTCAGATAAAGTGACAAGCTGTAACCCCGAGGGGTGGCAAGCTCATACCACAGGGTAGCACTCAAAACTCTCTTGGGATTGGACTTAACCTAGCCGAATTGTCGACCATTCTCATAGCCATCAGTCTTATCATCAGCCAGGCGCAGTATCTCCAGACATCGCCTGTGTGGCTGAAGGTTCTCTGTACTCCGAGGGATAGTCTTCTGCTACCAAGGGAGGCCGTGATGGCATCTTCAACTATTCCCAGTGTCACACGAGTGATACAGCTCTATCTCGACGTCAAATGCGCGGAACGAGACGAGGATATCGAAGATGATGAAGTTGCTTGGGGTTTCCGAAAGCGGATGAACTTGTCGAACTCCGCCATTGGGTGTTGTATTCGCCCAGATACCCTGTGAGCACTCTGGTTCATGGAATGAATATTTGCCGGGGATCTGACCAGCATGCGATGTGCCTCTGGTTAATTGTGAGGCACCGTGCACCATGGAAATCGAAGAAATGTCCGAAGTACATGATCCGCACAAGGTCGACTCTTGGGACGCATGGGGGGTTTCATGCCAGTTGAAGCAGGCGAAAGCACGGACCATGGTCGAGATTTGGGCGAGACGGAAGGAGCAGCCGTTGCATTATGCTTCGACTGTCCATTGCGCTTTGCAGCTCTAACATGACGAACGTTTTCATTTGGTCATCCTGCTCTTTCGAGTCGGCCGAGCTAGCAGCTTGGCCCAAGAAGAAGATAGCCACGTCCCACTCGTGATATTACGCATCCGATGTGGCAATGTCAGCTGCGCGCCTGTTCAAAGTTCTCGGCCCGCATCCCCGACTCTTTAGTCGGGTCCCTCGCAGGGTTGCTACGCAATGCCTGTCAGCGATCCAGCTCCCCGGAATGTCGCCAACATCAACTGCGGTTCCAAGACGTCTTTCGCCAGTCAACGACACAGCTTCCACATTTCAATATGTACAACGTCGTCAAACGTTCAAAAACAACACCCGAGTGGGTGTCAATGGATGTCCGAGACTCATTCAGCGACGAGTCCGCAACCGATTACAACGCCTAAACCCCAGTATACCACTGAGAGACTCAATCAGGGAATAACCTTGGTGCCGGTGACTCAGCTCGTCTATGGCCCGATTGGACTTTCCCACCTTCTGTTAGCCAGGATAACCGCCTCGATTGTTCAGAGGACTTCAGGAAACGTGGGCCATTGAGCCGACAAGTCAATGACTGGTCCTGGCTAGGTTAGCGTTTCCCGGCTGCCCCTAGATATCAATCGAGGGATCTGACTGCATGGTTTCAGGACTAATCAATCTGGTAAAAGCCCTACAATATCTTGACATGGGTCCGTAATTTCTGCGCTTCTGTCACGCTACCATTGAGCAGGGATTGACGACGTCCTCCCAATACACGTACCCTCTCGCCGAAGTAGTATTGGAGACATTCAAGTTGCGGCTCACGATGTCCACACATCGATGCGGATGTGAGGTCATAGAGAAGGACTACGAGATTCAACTGTCGGTTTGCAAACTCATGTCGACTGTGTCTGAGATATAGAGAGGTCAAAGGTGCTGATTCCGAAAGCTGCAGATGGATCACCAGGTACCGATCGCAGTTTATGAATACTATGCATTGTTCGCGGCATGGACGACTGGAGTTTATGGCCTCGCCAGGCTACCAAGTCGCCTTGGTCGTCACCGTTCCATGTCTACAGGTACGGCTCTTGTTGCAAGGCAACCCCACTCGGCCAAATCACCACGTCTGGCCAACAACAGTAGGCATTGCAGTAGGGCATATCTGCTTCTAGACACCGCTCTTCCGGTCCGCTCGTACCGATGTGACTGTTCCGGACAAAGACAAAATGATGGTGCCCCAGACGGACAAGTCAAGTGATTCGGTAACACCGAAGACGCCATTTCTCCACTCCCGGCTCTGCGGGATCCCTCTTTAATCAAGTTTGGGAGCCTTGCGTTTTCTATCTCGATCATATACAGCCGCAAGACCGGGTTTGTCTTAAAAGGCCCGCACAGTGAAGTACTTCGGTTTTCTTCTTCAATATTGCCTGGTGCTGCGGAAGGTAGCATTGTGAGCCTCCTTGGCCTCCATGCCGGCATCTCTCGCAGCTCAGCCTACCCTGGGTAGCTGCTTCCTTCCGTTTTCGATATCTTTGTTTCATTTGTTGTGGGCTATCAATGGTTCGAAGGTTTATTGCGCTTACAGCAGGTGACCCAACTTCTTGCATGACTTATATAGACTGGTTGTTCTCTACTATATTAGTGAATTATGCACTACGTATATCACTTGAAATCCCACCCCACAGATCTATTTAAGCATCCAGGTTCTCAGTTGTTTATATCCTCATTCTAGAAGCCCACCCGAAGGAAGGGACGAATCATCGTTTGTTGTCCATAATTGCAGTCTGCAACATATCTGGATCACCAAAGCCATTCCCTCGTCCACCACCAATTAAGTGTGGAAGCATCGATACTTTCAACTCGTGAAAGACAATTGTAACGGACGTCTCTATGGATGGTATCGAGCCGACTGTAGTAGATCACGGGATGGATCCCAACCCTTCACCACTGGAGACTACAGGAAGCACGACGACTCCAGACACACAATATTCGTCTCCAGCGAGTCCTTTGCAAAAGAATGCCGTTCTATCAGGCAGTCGACTAGTAGCCCAGAAAAAGCTCACATTATTGACACTAGAGGAGAAGGTCTGAAATTATACCACCGTATACTTCAAATCACTGACGACGCCAGGTATCTTTACTCACTGCAGCGGATTTCTGGCGGACGAACGCCATACCTGAAAAGGGAGTCCCAGCAATCAAGACCAGTGATGGCCCAAACGGCGCACGTGGTGGTATTTTTGTCGGAGGGACCAAGGTCAGCCCACTGAAGTAGATGCCGTGCCAACACTTCAACTCACCTGTGAGACAGGCTGCTCTGTTCCCCTGCGGTATCTCGCTAGCTGCAACATGGAACAAAGAACTCGTCTACGAGGTTGGACAGCATCTTGCTGGCGAGGTCAGGGCGAGATCTGCCCATGTTCTATTAGCGCCAACTGTGTGCTTGCACCGACATCCCTTGGGAGGCAGAAACTTTGAAAGTTTCTCGGAGGATCCCCTTCTCACGGGGAAACTAGCAGCCCAGTACATTCGGGGTCTCCAATCCAAGGGCATTGCTGCTGCCATCAAGCGTTTGTGGCCTTAATGCAAGATGTGACGTCTGCTAACCATGATGCAGACTTCGTGGCAAACGAGCAGGAAACTCATAGACTGACTATCGACTCGGTCATGATGGAGCGGCCGTTGCGGGAACTATATCTTCGACCTTTTGAGATTGCGATTCGAGAGGCAAAACCGTGGGCCGTCATGTCGTCATACAACTTGATCAACGGTATACACGCGGATGAGAATATGCATACGCTGAAGGATATCCTTCGGGGAGAATGGGGTTACGATGGGTAAGGCCCACGGACCACAGATTTCCGTACGGAAAACTGCTAAACAAAACTTTTCAGTACCGTGGTTTCTGACTGGGGAGGCACTAATTCAACCACTATGTCTTTGAAGGCGGGATGTGATGTCGAGTTCCCCTACTCGACAAAGTGGCGGTTCGGTAAAATTCTCAAAGCCCTCGAAGCCGGGGAGCTTGTAGTAGATGACATCGACCGTGCTGCTGAGAACGTCCTGACGCTAGTCGAGCGAACAAGGGAAGGGAATATGTCACCGGAGGAAGCAGAGCGGGAAGACAACCGAAAAGAGACACAAGCCATAATTCGCGAGGCGGGCGCCCAAGGTCTAACTTTGCTCAAGAATGACCGCGCTATTCTTCCCATCAACCCCCAAACTGCCAAAGTTGCCGTCATTGGTCCAAATGCTAACAGGGCCATCGCTGGCGGTGGTGGCAGTGCCAGTCTGAACCCCTATTACAACACTTTGCCGCTAGACAGCATTCGCGCGGCTTCTAAACAGCACGTCGTCTATGCGCAAGGTTGCCACATCCACAAGTGGTTGCCTGTGGCATCACCTTTCTGTACTGACAAGTCTGGCAAGCCCGGCGTCACTCTCGAATGGTTCAGCGGGGACAAGTTCGAGGGTCAAGTTGTAGTTCAACAGCGTCGAACCAATACGGATCTCTTTTTGTGGGACTCGGCACCCCTTGCACAACTTGGGCCCGAGTGGTATGTATACCTTTGTCTCTCACAAAACAAAACCAAAAAAGAAGACTAACTCTGCATAGGTCCGCCATTGCAACGACGTATCTTACTCCGACCACCAATGGGAAGCATACCATCAGCTATATGTCGGTTGGGCCCGGTAAGCTTTACGTCGATGGGAAACTAGCCCTTGACCTTTGGGACTGGACCGAGGAGGGCGAGGCTATGTTCGACGGCTCGATCGACTACATGGTGGATGTGGACATGCAAGCGGGCAAGTCTATCGAGTTGCGCGTGGAGATGACGAATGAGTTGAGACCAATGGCGAAACAAAATATCGAACACATGACCCACAAGTACGGTGGCTGTCGCATTGGGTTTAAAGAGGAAGATCAGGTTGACTACCTGCAGCAAGCTGTGGATGCTGCCAAGGAGGCAGATGTCGCTGTCGTTATTGTTGGGCTAGATGCCGAGTGGGAGTCGGAAGGCTACGACCGTAAGACGATGGATCTTCCATCGGATGGCAGCCAGGATCGTCTGATTGAGGCCGTTGTGAAGGCCAACCCTCGTACTGTCGTCGTTAACCAGTCGGGCTCGCCCGTCACCATGCCGTGGGCCGACGAGGTGCCGGCTATCATCCAGGCTTGGTATCAGGGCCAAGAAGCAGGAAATGCGCTGGCGGATGTGTTATTTGGTTTCAAGAACCCAAGCGGAAAACTACCAGTAAGTGGCTGCTACAAGCAATGTCTAACAATTCGCTAACGTTTGTAGTCAACGTTCCCTCGTAGACTTGAGGACACCCCTGCTTACCACAACTGGCCTGGTGAAAACCTCCGTGTGCTGTATGGCGAAGGGTTATATATCGGCTACCGTCATTACGACCGCACAAACATCCCACCGCTCTTCTCCTTCGGCCATGGTCTTTCCTACACCTCTTTCGAGTATGGCCGTCCATCCCTCAGCCAGAAGACATTAACACCTGAAGCACCAATTCACTTGATAATGGCCGTCACCAATACCGGCCCGGTCGCCGGCTCCGAAATCATCCAGGTCTATATCCGGGATGAGAAGTCGGCGCTTCCGCGACCGGAGAAGGAACTAGCTGCCTTTGAAAAGGTATACCTAGAGCCCGACGAGACAAAGCACATCACACTTTCTCTAGACAAGTACGCGGTTGGGTACTTTGACCCTGCTATCCCAGCGTGGATTGCAGATGAAGGGACATTTAAGGTGTTAGTGGGTGCTTCGTCGACAGATATCAGGTAACTTACTGCTCATTCTCACCACCCCATTGATGAAATTATCATACTAACCGTGGGATGGTTTAGGCAATCCGCATCGTTCAAGGTCAAAGAGTCATTCACATGGATTTTCTAGTTTTCACTACTTTGCAGTCTCCGATCTTGCATAGAGGGGGTTTGGCTCTCGGCTCTTTATCATGAACATGTGCACGGGATGTAATGGATTTTTGGTGTGCCCCTATTTGGTATTTAGTCGATCATTTCCGCATGGCATAGTCAGAGTACGCATAATAATGGTTTTCGGACTAGTTATGGTTTTCCTAGGGCACAAGATTCTGAGATACCATTCCTTTTTCATGACACATTCCTTATACGAGTTTCCTTTCGCGGAGGCATATCTGGCAGTGTTGAGATAACGTTGAATACTTTCCGTACTCGGTTTATAATAGTGAGCATTGCGACACAACATTTACGTGATGAGTTAAACGCTTTGGGGGATGTGATATATTTTCAACAATGAGCTGGTCGAATGATCAAAAGCCTTCCGTCTGGCCTTGATCCTGGCGCTCAGTGAGTGCGAAGTAGTGCCATTTCATAGCAAGGTCCGAGCATCACTTGCCTTGACTCACTTATCCTAGGGGCCAGAATCTGGGCTGAAAGCTGAGATGGGCGATGCCACCGCTATTGACTCTGGTGGTGAAAAGATACCACGCAAACAAGCCCAGTGAAGAAGTAGATGGATTCGTTTTCTGAGTCAGGTATGTTACGGGCACTCAATTGGCCAGAATGGTAGATCCCCCAATTGCAAGTGACAGGGGCACTACCCCATTTGATCGGAGCTTAAAATGCTTTTAATAGACTCTAGCTTCAGGGTTGTTAGAGCAGCAGAATTGACACGCGTTAAATGTGAAGTCACGAAGGAATTTCTCCGGAACGTTGTTGCCTTTCAATCTTGGAAGTAAGGCGGTGAATTTGATGCACATTGCAGCCAAGGTCCTGTATTGTGACACCCGAGAAGCCGACCTGAGACTCATTGGTCGCAGCACGCACTGTCTCCGTCTTCGCAAGGTCGGGAACCCGGCAGAGCTTCTTTCAAAACGACATCTCTCATTTTGAGCAAACACTGAACCAACCCGCTGTAGGCCCTCGAACAGAGAAACAAGTGCGGATAACCTGCGAACGTGTTGACCGTGGGTGTTTCTGACGACGCGTTTCCCCTTATTCCTATGGCTGCCATCGTCTGCGGGATCAGTCATGGCGCCGTCTTATAGTAATAGTGGCAATGGCTACGGCAACGGCAATGGGAATGGCTACGGTTACAGTTCCTCCTCTGCGGCGTCCTCCTCCTCTAAGTCGACACGCCACCAGTTCCGCAATCACCAGCAGGTCGACTTGCACTTCGACATTGACGAGATTCGAGCGGGCGCGCGAGTGCTATTACATCGTCTTTGGGCATTTGGGAATGGGCCGGGCCGCATCGCTGCCACCAACATAGCTATGCAGGGCGGACAGGTGGTCAAGAGAAATCTGGTTGCGCGCCGGCTCTTGAGCTTCCCGCACTTGCTGGTTGGCTTATGGGTGCTGGTGCTGCTCTGGGGCGAGAGATGGATCTTTGCTAGTAGGGTGCAAAGCTGCGATTGGGACCATTGGGAGAAATGGGTAAGTCTCCAGTTCTATTAGATCTGGGCTAGACGAGAGCACTCGCAGGTCGAGTAGACTGCGTAGAAGACATGTCAGGCACGGCGACGGCATAGAGTCCTTCAGCTTACATACATGCGCACGCAGCCCACAGGAGCAACACCACATCGCCTCGTTTTTGTCGCCGACCCCCAGATCATCGACCCGCATTCATACCCGGGCCGCCCGTGGCCTTTGAACCCATTGACGATGCAGATCACCGACAACTATCTCCGGCGGTCATACACGCAGCTTCAAAAGGTATTACAACCCGACACGGTCGTATTTCTTGGCGATCTCTTCGACGGCGGGCGCGAGTGGAAAACGGCACGCGGCGATTTCAGAGATCCGGAATGGGCTAAGCACCATCGACCCGAGAGCGAACAGAAATTACTGAAGGAGTGGAATAGAAAATATGGCGAAGATTACTGGCTAGAAGAATATGGCAGGTTCGGAGACATCTTCTACGAGCCGTGGGCGGTAGGCGGCGTCTTCCCTGGAGCCTGGCAGAGGGGGCGAAAGCTCATATCGAGCTTACCGGGGAACCACGACTTGGGCTTCGGAGCCGAGGTCAAAATTCCAGCCAGGAAACGTTTCAATGCTTATTTTGGGGAGACAAACCGTGTCGATGTCATTGGTAATCATACTTTTGTGTCGGTGGACTCTGTGTCCTTAAGTGCCGCCAGTTCGACCATGAAGGACCAAGTCGACTTACGCGGCATCTTTAATCCAGTCGAGAAGTTCCTCGCAGAGGTGAAGGCCAAGAAACGGCGGGCTGCGATCAAGGAACTTAAGTTTTGGCAAGGGGAGGTCGAAGAACTAATATTCGATCACAAAGTGGAGGAACTCAACGACGCCGAGTACAACGACGTGCCGAGTCTGTTGAAAGAGGCGGATGGGCCTGACTTTCCGACCGTACTGCTCACGCATGTGCCCCTATACCGGGAGCCAGGAACGCCCTGTGGTCCATTGCGCGAGCACTGGCCGCCGGCGAAGCCACCGAAAGGGCAGACGGATCCCGTATTCCCAGATCATCGCAATGCCATCAGCGTGTCGAGTGGCTACCAATACCAAAACGTACTGAGCGAGTCGGACTCGATTAAGCTGATCAAGAGCATCGGCAATGTCATTCACGCATTCTCTGGGGACGACCACGACTACTGCGAGCTAGTCCATTCCGAGAAGAAAGAGAACGTCCCCGAGATCACCGTCAAGAGTTTGAGTATGGCTATGGGTGTACCCACGCCGGGTTTCCAGATGGTCTCGCTTTGGAACCCCGTCGATGCGGATGGGCGTCCCCTTGCGGGAGATGGCAAACCTACTTTGCAGACACATCTCTGCCTGCTACCCAGGTCATTCTCCACCTTCACCACATACGCAGCTTTGGCTATCCTCAACGTCTTCGCCCTCGCCGCCCGGGCCTTTCTCTTCTCCATCCTCAACCTGCAGCCCTTTGCGCTGGATCCGACCCAGCAAGGCGACCGGTCCATCTTGCCCGTATTCAAAGAGAAGGTCGAAAGCGACAGTGGCAACGACATCAAGTCGCGGTCCTTTGGTACATCCGGCAATAATCTACTCTCCGCCCGCCTAGCCTCGAATACCCGAGGTCGGGGCGCCTCGATAACGAACGGTGCCGTGCGAAGCATCTCACCCAGGCCGAAAAGCAAAATTCGCTCCGACAGGTGGGGTTGGGGCGTGAACAAGGGTCCCAGGATCGAAATCAGGCGGGATTTCTTCGATGGAGGCAGGCTGCAGGGCACCACTTGGAGAGCAGCTGCTCGACCGAACTGGAGAACGAGCTTGCAGTCTCGGACGGCGCTGATATGGAGGGAGATGTGGACGACCACCTGGAGGGTCGTGTGGATGGTCTTTGGATTCTTTGCTTATCTTACTTATAAGGGATGAGCTTAGCGTACCGTAAATTGTGAAAATGGCAGTTTCTTATGTTGTACTAGACGTCGGTGGGTAGCGGTAAGTCTGGAGTAGTCGGTCTAGTCTGCCTTTGCTTTGAACGGTGTTGGTGGTATACATGCATGGTAATGGTTCCAGGCTGGCTGGCTGATTGGTTGGGGTTTGTCAAAACTTTGGATAGATAAATGGCAGCAGGGAAGACAGACACCGCACACACAGCTCTGGCGTACAACTGGATGGGTTGTTGTACAAATATTGTCCGTTAATGGGTAGATAGAAAAGACAATTATTACAGAGCACAAATGGCCACCTCCTAGCGCACATATGCCGAGAATAGGGTGCTTGGGTATTTTACACACAAGAATCGAACACAGCAGACCATACTGAGGGTTGTTGGACAAGCGACGGAAATACCATCTGTAATTGCTCAACGTGGTCTTCTCTATTGCCTTTAGACTGACTGACTGCACGTGCGGGATGACTTGGGTCTACGCGCGAATTACCTCCTTACGTGACCAGGAAATAAAATAAAAATACAATATTCTACCTGTATACCATTCGTGCCAGAGCACTAAAAGTAAACGTGTGTTTGTTGAAGTTGAGGTTATAGACGTGATATATCTATCTTTCGCTGAACATGATTGATAGTCGACGTCACCATGTATTGTCAGCGAATATGAACCTCACTCGGCCACTGCATCTAGCTTGATTACGGCTGAAATTATCAGAGGCAAACTATGCCACATAATCAGCAGCCAGCAGACATGAGCAGAAGGAGAAGACTAAGTGTTGATTATGTCCTTAGCCGGCGTGCTCCTCTCACAACATAGCCTGGCACGAGAGAATGTCCAAAGGTAAAGCCAACTTCACTTCGCGGAAGCGGCACGAGTAGTTGATTTTTCTGAATTTGGACAACAGCACCCGACAAGGCGGGAAGATTGGAGAGCAACATGGTTCAAAATTTGTCAGCAGGCCTGACTTTTTTCTTTTGCCCAGCTGGGTCGCCCGGTGCTCCCAAGTAAAAGACTCCCAAAATATCCAATTCGATGATGTCCGTACGGATCGCAATATTCCCAATAAACTACAAAACCCAGGCCCTAGTACCCCCACCCGTTGTTCCGGATCCCGACCCACCCTCCTGATAAACTCCAATACATCGAACTCCTGCGCTGGTATTCCCAATACGTAACTCGAAAGACAGATCCAGTAACTCGTGAGAGATAGCGTTGTTATAATATAGGCAGCCTGGGGGTTGGGCCCCTGTTGTTAAGGCGTTTGTGATACGTAAGTTCAGTAATCGTTAAAGTTGACGTTACTCGGTATTCCCATCTGGTGGAGTATTTTGTCCTCTTGGGTCCTGTTCTCATTACTAGCTGAGTCCGTGTGAATCGTTGATATGCTTTCGCTGGTGCTGGAGCCTGTCCTCGACGGCTCAAGTTCGTGATCCACAGGCGGTATGCCGCTGTCGGCGAAACCTTCGTCCCGCAGTTGCTGGAAACTCCAGCTCGGTTCGAAGCGTTTGCTGTTCCATGCGTAGTCGACTCTTTCGTACATCTCGTCAATTTGTTCGAGGCTGATCTTGCTCGTCTCGTAAACCATGCAGAATACGAAGACGCCGGCGAGAATGCAGAATGCTCCCCAAACATAAAACACCTTCGGACCCATGTCCGCGTAGCCCACCCCTTCACCAACCATGTACGGCGTGCCATAAGCGATTCCGAAGTTAAGCAGCCAGTTTGACGCCGTAGAAACTGACATGGACTTGGCACGGATTTTGAGAGGGTAGATTTCGGCCGTCACGACCCATGCGACTGGACCCCAAGAAGCCGCATAGAAGAAAACGAAAAAGGTCACGAAAACGATGATGACTTTGCTCGAAGTCTCGTTGTTGTCGTTCCCCACCGCAGTCCCGAAGATGGCGATAACAAGATGGCACATGGCCATTCCAATGGAGCCGACGAGGAGTAGGTTTCGTCGGCCCCATGTCTCAACGACGAACAGGCCCGGGATGGTAGAGACGACGTTGATGATGTTAGTGATCAAGGAAATGAGGAAAGGGTTGTGGATGCCAGCGCCATTGAAGAAAGTGGTTCCATAGTACATGATGAAATTGATGCCCGTCAGTTGTTGCAACATCTGCAAACCGCATCCGGTTAAGATCCTGCGGCCAAGATGAGGTGATCCAAGGAATATGTCGCGGTAAGTAGCAGGGCCCAACGTCAACTCATACTCGTGGTTCGCCTGGATTTCGGCGAGTTCTTCGACAAGAGCCGGGTGGGTTATGTCAAGCCGCCGAAGTCGGCTGAGAGATAGCGCCGCGGCCTCCTTTGAGCCACGCTTGATGAGATACCGTGGTGTTTCCGGGAGAATGAGGAGACCGAGGGTTAGGACACAAGCCCAAGTCAGCTGGAGCCCCATCGGGATTCGATACGCTGCCGCCCCATGCAATCCCTGCGTCAAAATGTTGACACCTGACGCGGCGAGGAGACCTGCAGTGATGGACAACTGATATGCACACACCAGAGTGCCCCGAATCCATTTCGGGGCCATTTCAGACTGATAAAGCGGAACGAGAAGAGACACGGAACCAACGCCAACACCAGCAAAGAACCTGATTAGGACACCATCAATACGGGTTGCACCTGAGTCTCGATCAAGCGGCATAGACATACCTGCCGGCCAACATCATGGGTATCGCGTCGGCGCAGACTTGGAATATAACGCCGAAACAGAAAATCCCCACGGAACCGATGATGGAGATGCGACGACCGATCATATCACCGGCGGGGGCGCCGAGCAAGGCGCCGAAGAAGGTGCCCGCACTCAGAATGGCGACGAGGATGGATGTCTCGGAGGGCGACAGGTTGATGGAACCCGTTGAATCGACATAGCCCGTGTTGAATTGCGTCTTGAAGGAGTTCATGGCAAGAATGCCGTTGATGCAGCTGGGGGAGATGTCGTGTCAGTATTACATGTGCCACGGCGGCGGGCAGTTGAGGTGCAATGCGACTTGCTCACCCAGTATCGTATCCGAACAGGAGACCACCGGTGGCAACGAACAGGCCAACCATGATGGCCGGGGCTGAGGAACCGGCGACATTGTCGGGTTTATGCCAGCCCATGGCTATCGCCATGGTGAAGGGATTTGCGACGTCAATCCAGCGCTGCTGATGGGGTGTCGTCGTGGGTCGGGTTCGATTGAAGGGGGGAGGGGGTTCGTCGTTGAAATTTGCGGGTTCGTGAGTATCGAAGACCGACGATGCGGATAGTGGATAACGACAATACAGAGTTCCAGAGTGGAGAACAGGCAGCGAGGGAAAGGCGGGAGACCTTGGGAGGAAGGTCAGGATCAGCGCAGCACTAGGGGGCTCCGGGAACCACGAGGACCGTCGAGGGCCGTCCTCAAGTGCCAAAGGACGCAGCCGTCTGATTGGTTTGGATGAGTCTCGCTTAAGCGATTTCAACGCTGGCAAGTTGGCGCAAGTTGGGGGGCGACGCTGCGAAGGGGAGGGGGCACCTTACCTGATTAATCCTGGTCAGGTTCTGGTCTGCCATCCAGCCCGTTCGCTCGCTGCCTTTGGCATTTTGCATCTTGGCCGCTAACTCGTCCTGCGTCTTCCCTCCTTCAAAATGCAGGTATTCTCCTTGGCTTCTGCATTGCCTGTTTCGATTTAGCTTGCTGCGCATCACACTATGTGACTTGGAAGTTGGGGCGCTTGTCGGGCCAATTCCAAATCGTGTGCCTGTGGCACTTGGCTTCACTTTCAAGACTCAATGGCTTGAGCAAGAAGGGCTTACATGTTGCACGGCGTAAAACGACATTGTTACGATGACGCATGCCTGAAAAGGGCACTTGGGTGGCAGGTGTCAGTCGAAGCATACGCGCTGTTCGATAATTGGAGATTTTGCTTTACCAGCCCTCAAGGTCACAGCCCTACCCTGACCCATACCATATTTCCCCAGTGCGTGGACATAGGGTTTGACGCCGCAAAATGGTACCGAGGTGTAATAAGCTGTAATAAGTACTTGCCTACTTGGTTAGGTGCAGATATAGAAACTGGGAAGTCGCTTCGGCTAATATCTAGCCGCGCTTTTAATGACTACTGTTCCGCCTGCTGTGTTGGCTGGGATAGTTCGACGGTGCGCCGAAGCAATAAGGACTTTGGTGTATTCATCAATGGACGGCCGGTGCTAGCTTGGCTTCGTTGGTTGAGGCATCGCTACCAGTACCAAAGCGGTTCCGTGTGCATCTCTGCGGCGCGGAGCCAACAACTGATACATCGGACGAGACCGTCCTTTCTTTTTCCAAGTCACGGGATGGCGAACCCAGCTTCTTGGTTTTGCTCGGTGACGGTTGCACTTCTTACCAGCAATATCGCTGCACACAGATGCGCAAATGACCAAACTGATGATACACGGGACTTGGGACGGCATCGCACTGTAGGTGCTATTTTGCTGGAAGGGTGTGGTGGTTCTACTCTGTAGGCACTTAAGCAGGGGCCCAACGAATCAGGTGCCAAGACGCAAAGCCATTGCTCAGAGTATGCGGGGAAGCCGCCGCTGCGCCTGTCTCGTCTCAGCTGGGCCAGCTGCATCATCCATCAATAGACATCTCCACTTTTCCATCAATTTTGGAACTCGAGCAGTTGACTTCTCTCCTTTCCCAGGCGAGGTGAGCGAGTAATATTGATTATATCGTCATGGTCATCAATATGCCATGGATCAAGCCCGTTGGAACCGACCTGTTCAAGCGGTCAAGCTCAATCCTCTATCAGGTATGACAGTATGTCAAGTGGAAGCTGACCTGCGAATTTCCATCATTGACAGGTCATTTTGAGTACAGGTCCATGGGGTAGACGGCAAGATTAGAGCCGTCATTTTCAAGCCAGTGAGTGCCGTAACAGAGTCGAGAGAAACCTTCATTGCACCTTTGCCGGACACCAAGCCGTACACCGCTCAACGATGTAAGAAGCCTCAGAATCGTTGCGAGACGCGAATAGGCGTCAATCATTCGTCTCAGGATACGTCGAAGGAACTCGCTCAAGAACCCATGGCTGAGGGTTGAGCCTTTGATAAGCGGCAAGCCACATCTACCTACTTTATCATCTAGGATCTCACTGCCAATGGGCGCCGGTCAGCCTGCGTTTGTAGTGAAGTATTTCCCGCATACTAGCCAAGTATTGCCCGTCTGGACTTACATTGAATCCAACGCATGAGTCAACTCGAAATCCAGAGTACGATAAAATAGCATCAAATTGTTTTTCACAGTCAAATATCGAAGTTTTTCACAACCATGTTCACAACAGCACAACTACTCCCAATGCCAGAAGCCCATTCTTCATATGGCAACAAGTACACGAGTCTAAGGGCAGATATGAGGCAATTCTTTGGCTGAAGACCCAACAGAGGTGGCCACCTCCTGACTACGGATATTGGAAATCCAAAATGAGGCATACCTCATCAATTTACGGGCTTGGAGCCTTGGCATCAAGTCTTTCAGTCCAGCTGTGTCCCTTCAAAAACAACGCTTGTCCAGATCTCATTTATCAGTATATCAAGATACCAAGCCGTCTCCCTCAGATGCCTCGTCTCAGTTCCGCCACCAGTGAACGGAAGGCGCGGATACCAACAGAAGCCACCACAATAACACAGCGTTTGGTTACCAGTGGCCAAGGTCTTGGGATCTGACCCAAACGCCAGTCATCGCTTCTTTTGTTCCACCTGAGCAATGAGCAGTTCGTGCTATTGAATAGTCAGCCCCCACACCCCACCCTGCGCCGCGCATTTGGTGAGATGTAGGTAGGATATGCACAAGGCACACCGTAGTTTAATTACTGTGAACGGAGGTATACTAATTCCATCTGGTCAGCCCTGCAGCAGCCCACTTAACTTAGCCGTCTTTCACACTCCCAATAGGAATATAGCCTACCCACGTCTCGCAACCGAAGACCCCCAACGTTGGCTATGCTGACTAACATACGTATTTGACATCGCGCACTATTGACTTTCCTCATCTGCACGTCGTACTGCAATGTTCTGAATCCTAACTTACCTGACCATGTCTTACCTACCTACCTACCTACCCACCTGCCTATATCATCCTCACCGAAATCTGCGGCCAAAGCCTTCTGCCGCATTTGCACCACGCTGCCGAAATTTCTTGTAAGTGCCTGGCCGCCAGCAAGCAAGCAAGAATCCTATGCGAAGCCTGGCCGACTACCTGCCAAAAGCTGGTTGCTTACATGCGCGGCATCTACCCGTTACGACAATCCAAAGCCCGAGTTGCGCTACGAGGGTAACGGTTTGGGGCTGAATGTGCAACCACTGATGATGGAGGGTGAAATTTCGCTTACTTTGGAATGATGTTCATTGCGCATCCACTAGACAGTACATTCAATACACACAAGTTCTGTGTGCAAAGGAATAATGGCGCGGAAAGAGCTGCTGTAATTCGTAAATATAGGGAATAAGGGGCAGGCATTTTACTGTCCGATGTGAACGGTTAGACTGACCACCCATGATGGAGTGGGAGACAACCGATACATCCGCAGAACCTGGAGACAGCATATATCGCTAATTTCACCCCAGAACAAAGAGATACATGAAAAATTGATTTCATCGCAGCATCCATAATGACACTCTGGATACAGTACTAAGCACCTCATACATATCTTCTCGGTTTATCAATCAGTGGTGGACATTCCACTCCCCATAATCCGCAACGTGTTTACCCCACACAGTAGCGTGCAAATGAAGGATAATGATTAAATCTCAAGTGTGACTTCCTGGCCCTTAACACGTCCTATCACCTGTTGTGGTGCGTACTTGGGAATGACTTCATCGTCGTGCAACATCTCAAACTCTTCTGTAGCATCACGGCCCATAAAGTTCATGATGGCCTGGGGACCACCTGGATGCTCTTCAAGCCAATTGGTAACGTCCATCACAACGCCCTTCACCACGACCCACAAATCTTCTTTCTTGTTGTGCTTGGAAACCTCCTCCATGGTGAACTCCTTATCGGGAACCTCGAACTTCTTAGGACTCTGCGGCTTCGATGCGGTCTCGGACGACTTACCGGCATCTGCGTTGGGGGTGGGTCCAGCAGCGCTGGTGAATTGTCCCACACTGGTCGAACCAGTAGCTCCGTTACCCCACTCCACTGACACTTTCCCCGGTTGCGAAGGATCAATATGGAGCGAGATTTGTCCAAGTCGTTGAACGGCACCAGTGACGCTTCCAGAAAGTGCCTGTTGGAAGAGGTAGTTGCTCGCAGTGTCACCAGCAACGCGACCATACACCACACACCCCAGCAACGAGGAACCGCCAAGTCGGTTGGCACCATGGACACCTCCTGCCAATTCTCCGCAGGCGAATAGACCCTCAAATGGCTTCTGCTCCTTGTTCAAGACTTGAGCCTTGTCGTTGATTTCGATACCCCCCATGGTGAAATGAAGTACCGGCTCCATGACAGCGACGTGGAAGTCGTCGTTGATATCCACGGGTCCATTGTGGAAAAACTTCTTGCCCCAGGGGTCCTTTTGCTTGCCGTCGGCGATGGCGTTATACGTTGTGAATGTCTTTTGCAAATGATCCGGGGTACAACCAATCTCCTTAGCTAGCTCCTTACCCGTCATCTTCTTCATCAAGCCACGTCCGGAGTAGTGGCGAGTGTGGAAGTCGAGCGTATTGGATGCCTTCGAATTTAGAATCAGCCGAATGGGAAACTTGTTCTTATCCTTCTCCTTCCACATCATGCCGGAGACGTAATCCCGGTGTCCCAGTTCGTCGCAGAATCGGTCACCGTCCGCGTTGATAAGCAGGCCACCCTCGCCACGAAGCGCCTCAGCGGCCAAAAACTTCCACTTGGATTCAGGATCTTTGGGATCAACCAGGCCGGTAGGGTGGACCTGGACTTTGTCCATATCGATTCCATTTCCGCCGATTGCCATAACCATCTTCTGACCATCACCAGTCGCATGAGAGCCGTTGGTGGTGGCGAGACCGAAGGTGTCCGGCCGGTGCTGCTTCAACAGCGAACCATCCCCAAAGTCTGCAGCGTAGCCGCCGGTGGCCAAGACGACTGGGCCATCCAAAGTGCTGTTCTCGCCACTAGACTCATACGTCACACCAGTAATCTTGTTTCCCTCCTTGTTCAACGCAGTGACGCGAGCCTTCTTGATGATCTGGACACGCTCGGGTTCGTTCTCGGCGAGCTCCTCTAGCCGTTGCATGAGGGCATATGTGATGGCCATGCCAGGGAATTTGGCATCGTGTCCTCGGTGCGTTCTTGGCTGCGAGTGACCGCTTCAAGGGGTTAGCTCAGTTCCGGCGGACTTGTAGGGGTTGGCTGTGCTTACCCAAGCCGGGAAACAAGTGTCAAATCTAGGTTGAATACATCTTGCAACCACTCGACGGCAGCGGCGGATTTGTATGTCAGGACCTTGATGAGGTCGGGTCTGGCCTTGTCCCGAGCAGACTTTAGGGTATCGTCATAAAATTGCTTAACGCTATCCTGGATCTTGCTGTCGACCTGTGTTCGCGTCAAGGCACCATTGATGCCAGAAGTGGCCTTTGTGGAGTTGCCGCCGAAGAAGCCTAGGACCGAATGTCTCAGCTTTGACCTAAACAATTGCTCAGAATCTAAATATCGAACTCACCTTGCTTATCAAGTACTACTACATTTCCTCCGGCGAGGTAAATCGTGTGCGCGGCACTCAGGCCAGATACTGCGAGACTTGTCAGCATTGGCTTCATCACATGAAGAGCGTACGACTGTGACGTCGGCATGTGGGGAGACATCAACTTACAGCCACCACCAACGACAATCACCCGTGGTGCCATTATGAAGAAATATGAATGTTGACAATTTGATTAAGGGCAGACTTGAGGCTGGCGATTTGGACGAAACGAAGAATCAAGTGTGGAAGAAATCAAAGGTGGAAATGCCTGAAAAAGAACTGGAAAGGGAGGAATGCCCACGACTTGATATGGTGTCGGCCGCGTTGCCAGGTATGGATCAAGCCATAAACGGGCGCCTTTGAATTGGTGACACGCTGATTCGTGAGCCGAGGTCAAGCGTCGACAGGGGACCTGGGAAAGCGCATTTGAACTCTCGACTTGCTTGTGTAGTGCGCACTTTAGAGGGCCTGCTTGTCGCAGTACGCCAGGATCATCCCCACCAAGTTCAACCTTGGAACTTAAGGCTTCGAACGATGCGATTCATTCGGTCTTTTCGCCTCACGCTAAAATTGACGATCCAGGTGCTTCTTGACCGACAATGAGGATGAAGGTTCGGCTTTTTTTGTCCGAGTAAAAGCACAGTTGGTTGATTAGATCAATGACTTTTCAGACAGAGGCATTGTTTACTCCGTACATGGACTCGTACCACATTCGACCGAGGACCTGAAGTCATTCGATACTACTCCGAGAATGCCGACCCATTTTCGGCCAGAGTGCCGAGGCTTGCAAATGCAGCTCGCAATTCACCCCAGACTCATCCATCTCTGGGAGGGGCGAAATCGGCGGCTTTGGTACTTTTTAGACCGCTTCCCCACAGTCATGAGCTACAAACCTGGAGAATTAGCAGAGGTGGGCACTTGGCGTGAGCCGGCGGTATATTCGTAGCTGAGGCTCAATGACATGAGTTCTAATCCTCGTACATTTTAACGCACTTTCCTTCACTATCCAATGTTTTCACGAAATTGTGCAACGTCATTTCATTGACGAATTTCTCGTTCTCAAATGTCACCACACGGACTTCTTCGAGCTGCAGGTGAAGTTTTAACATGTGACGGCCAAGGATGGGGCTTTTCATGCTGAACAACAGGCCCGAGTTGATAGGCTACTACGCCTCTTCATGGGAATTGCCCCAGATTTTAGCAAGCGGGTCGAGCACTTATGGACGGGATTAGCAGCAGGCCGGCAATCCCCCACAAAACTTGCGTGTCAGATGACCCTTTTAGATCTCGTTTGGCACTTCTTTAGCAGCTGATCGGCCTTTCTTAGAGGCTTGGTGTTTCCCTGCGGCGCATCTTGTACCTTTTTTTCGGTCTTGCATTGAATTGGCATGTGAAAGACTATGTGAGTTATTACAAGTTCCGTGGCACACTTCGAATCATCTCGTAGCGAACTCGAAATTGTGTTCGGATGGAACATCCCGACTGAGATAGATTAGTTCAAGCTGGGAGCAATAAGCCTACAAATCGAACGGATAGTTATATATATGCTACATGGATTGCAGTAAGTCATATCATGAGCAAGGGTTTTACTGCTGCAGAGTCGGAAACCTCATACGAGGCCGAACCACACGGCCTTTTCACCAATGGCTAACAAAATCATCGCCGTAGCTCAGATACAGAGACCCTCTGCCGTTCAATCGCACGCATGGTAGGAGCGGTACTACAGCAGAATTCTTGATCCAGCCGTTTCACTTAGATCAAGGATTTGATTTGCCGACATGTTGCAACTTACAGCCTCAGTGGAGGATGGCCTGAGGCACGCCTGGCGGTTTACGAGATCTTCTTTAAGAGTTTTGGCATTGACATGGCCAGATGATACAGAGAAAGCTACGGTGCGTCAATTCAACTCTAGGGGTGATGGCAGCTGGACACTGGGCTGTTCAATCGTTTTCCCTGTAAGTATCAGCTTGAAGGACCTCTTACCAGTTGAAACATTTCTCATCGAATGGTAGTTGCAGATGTCGGTTCGGACCGTGTAGCAGACATGAAATCATAAGGTGATACCCCATACAAGGAGAGGACACCTTGGACTTACATACCAGAGTCGTCTTATCTCTGGAAAGAGCATACTAAAAAGTTAGTGAATCCGGGAAGCCCAGACGCCCTAGGAGTATTTTCAGTCAGGTCGTAAATTATTCCCTGAACTCGCCTTCTCTTTGTTCCTGCGATCTCCGTGAGCCGTCTCGACAACCAACGCAGCTCGGTTTCCCATGCCCAACTCTTTCACCAAAGTCCTCAGCCTCCACGTGTCGCCACTGTTGACACCACCTCCCGTGTTATCCGAGACCTTGCCCAGGGCGGAGGAGTTCAGTGTTAGCAAGGGAAACTTAACCCGGCTCGACCAGGCCCTGGTGCTCCATGGCCGATCACCAAAATGCATGATGGGCATATGAATTGTCACCGTCGCCACGTAGAGAAATAGAACCATAAGCGCGAGACGGATGACCACCCTTCAAACCCCATAGGCGTACACCCGATGAGTAATGGCATAGTCGAAGCGCATGAAGTTAGCCACTTGCTCATCGGTGACGTGGGTGCAGGTGAAGTCCTCATCCGGTTTAAAGAACAGGGACGCAGACAACGTGGATCTCCCCGATACGTCGCCACCATCCCACGGGCTCATCTCATAAGCGGAAAGGACGTTATTCCAGGTGTTTTTTGAAAGTGGTACGGCGCCCTCGAAGGGCTCTGGGTAATGCCAACGGCGAAAGCTGCCCAAAAGATCTTGTGGAAGTGGATCACCACATCGGCTGCGGCATTGGCATTGGAATATTTGATGGTAGATGCATTTAGGAAGGCAACCATGCTCTCGTCATGATCCTTTTGAGACTTGTCCTGGGTCCAGGCGATGCAATATCCGTCTAGCTAGGAACTTGAATAGTGATTTTGGTCAACTTGGGGTAGACAACTAACAGATACGTAAGGCTGCTGCCACTGAAACACATCACCAGTGTCCAGTTGAAGTGGTTGTGGTCTAGACTGAGCTGACCAGTTATCTTCAGTTTATAGACCTGTTTTCCTCCTGGCATAGAGAAAACTGGTTGCCAGGGACACTATGTTGTAGATGGTAGTTTCAGTTAGGCTTGTTGCACTTGCCCCAGCAGAGTAGACCTCGGAAATATCATTGGTGCCCTTTTCTGTAAACTTAGTGCGATGCGAAGAGAGATGATATCACGACCGTAACAGAGTCCTCGGAGAAAAGTATCCTTCGCAAGCCGATTGCACAGCCACATTATATTGATGATGCACATGAGGGATAGAATCGGTCGTACTCGACAGGATACCCGAATAACCCAGAGAAAGGTACATGTTGCTTTGGAGAGTCCAAGAGTCACTATATTCGCATACTTCTGGGGTTGGCGACGCTGTCGTCGTGGCTGGGACATCTCGAAAATCGAACATCCATGTAGCTCTGGAAGAAGATTATCTCGTGTCCAGCTTTTGAGAATTGTCTAAGCATATCTCACCAACCCAAATTAGGTAGTATTGTAATCACAGAGGAAGGCCCTACCACCGCTTTCATACAAGGTGGGAAATTTCATTGAGGAGACTTTCCAGTGCTTTGCCTTCGCCTAGAACTCTTTTTTTACATGATAATGAGGGTCAACAATCCGAAATGGAGAAGAAACCAGTCCAAGAGGGACTCCAAGGGAATCGGATTTTCTGCTGGTAAGAGGTCAGTACCCTATGCTGTGGAAGAGAATGTGACCGATGGAAGCCACCATCAAGGACTCGTGAACCTTGGCAGTAAATTATACGACGTTAAGGCCGTTAACCCCAGGCTACAGTGGTCTCCAAAAGACACCACTGAGATATAGCCCAAGGGAAACAAATGTGGTGGACACGGGAAGGAAGTGTATCAGCATGAACTCTCCGAGAACCTTTCTATGTCGTCTACTTAATAAAGCCTGTCGGCTGGTGTAGTTGGTCACTTCGCTGGTAGATAAGTCCCGATTTGAGCCTCGCCCACTTGGGTCGGTGACGAGTCGCGGGTTCGAATCCCGCAGCTGACACACAAGGGGGTTTAGTCAACCCTTACGGCGCGCTGCCCACCTTGTTGACTTCGCCTACCTAGCGATAATAGGGAGATTGGTGCAGTTTAGGATTACGAGCATCCTAGCCAGTCGACCGTCAAGCACTACGTCGGCGGAATATAACTCGACAGCCGGTCCAGAATTCGAATCGTTAATCCGACCCCTTATCGGACCTCGCCTTTCCGATAACGCTCGTCGGCGAACCCGTCCCCTCACGATAGAAGGCGCGCAGCACGCCCTCTCGCCGCGATTCTTGCGAGCGTCTGACCACGTTACGGTCTATCCACTTGAGCGTATGGTTGAGATGTATACGCTCGACGAGAACCCCAATTAGCAGATACTACGACTTGTCGCGACAAAAAAATAGTCGAGCATCTTCTGCACATCAGCAGCATCCCACCCCTGAGGACGAATTTAAGTGCCACATTACCACACTTATCGGTAGTTCAGGCAGGGGTTGTAGCACAGACTTAGGGAGGGACAGGAGGTTTAGTAGTCGTTTGGCTACAAGTTTACCTGTATAACCGCCCGACGCGGCTTAAGGGCCCGCTATATCATCTATAGCCCCTTAAGGGAGTACTTGTAGAGGTACCGAGGGTTAACACCTACGGCGTATTTAATATTATTATTTTTAATAAAGCCTTCGGTCGTTCGAGGCTGGTGTCGTTAACATTTGCATGTAAGCTTTGTTGCCCACCACTCGAGGCTGAAGCAGTGTCATATGGCTCTTCGAAACTGTGATTGATGACGACATCGCTGAGGTATCCTCCAAGTCTTGCTTGAAACCTCGCTTGCCGATTAATCCCTTCTCCTTCGATCCTGTGGTTCCCCAAAGTGCACCATCAAGCAATTTTCTCATCTCTAGGGAGTCATGGTGTTGCAAGCCACCTCCCTTTGGACCGGCGTACCTAGAAGGCTCTCTCATTGTGTTCAAATTCGGTTTCCAAGCAAGGCTTAGGCAAGATGAAAGTAGTTGGCTCAATATTGTCTTCGCCGAAGTCACCCACAGATGCATGTAGGAAAAGAAACCCCGACATGACAAAAGATTGTCGGTTGGATTTGACTGGAATTGTGGAATTCGACCTTCACGCAGTGTAAAGCACGCATCACAGCCCTTATATGCGGCCGTGTAACTCTAGGAGGCTGACACAAGTTGGATGCTGCACCATTTGAACGTGGTTGATATCCTTCGATCTACTAAACATTTGGGACCTGAACGACTCGGATTCCAATTTATATGAACTGCATGGATTCTCTAGCAAGCAGACGCGTGTCCAGTTTGAATTCTGAATACAATAATCTTACCTTATTAGCAAGATCGTTCGATTGACGAGCACAAGAATGTCGTCGACAGACCAATTGCAGGGTTTGGGTTGGAGTTAGGGTTAGAGGCAAGCCTAGAGTTAGACTGCGTTGACCTCTCTCTCGAGCAGTGATCGTAGTTCGCTACTTGTTTTTTCTATGTTCAGAAATAAAAATTTACAGTATTTTCGTTATGATAATATCAACAACGTAACGACGATCGGTGGTGGCTATGGTATCTGCGAGTCCAAGTGGTTTTGGTGAGCCAGATGATGTCATCCCCTCAATTACCCGATAACAGGGAGCTGCCGTATCGGTCTCTAGACTTGCAGTTGCATCTTCAACTGCCCGGTACTCAATCTAGCAACGATATGAGTTGATCGCAGCCTTCATTACTCACCCTCACCATGAGGCTTTCTCTACTGCTGTGTTTCCAATTTGCCGTAGCTACAGTCTCGTCACAACTTGTCGTACTACCATTCCGCCGTTCTGCACCTCTACAACAGCAGCTCATGGACCCTGCAGGCACCGCTGGACCGGGGCCCGCGATGCCTCCCGCCCCGGATTCCAACAAGCTGCCGGCGCAGGGCGGAGTCATGCTCTCAGATGTCATGGGTCGCGACCGCAGCATCAACATTTTCGCCGGCTTTACGAGGGACATTGAGTCGATATCGCGCCGTTTGGACGACTTGTCGCAGAACAGCACCGTCATAGCCCCGCTAAACTCCCAGATTGAGAAGCTACCGCGTAAACCTTGGGAGGACCCCAGAGACTATGAGGCGCTCGGCGCAAATGCGTATGAGGGCGGCGACGGGCAAGACAGGGCGCAGAAGAATCTGAGGAGGTTTGTTGAGGCGCATGTTGTGCCAATGAGCCCGTGGCCCGAAAAGGAGAAGATAAAGACTATTCTTGGAGACAGGGAAATCTGGTGGGAGAAAAGGGATGGTGCTAGAGTGGTAGGTCCAAGATCTTGTCATCTCTTACTACCAATCCAATGCTAATTCTGACTAGATCCAACCTGACGATATCGAGGTCGATATTGTAGGTAGTCAGGTTGGTAATGGAGAGATTTGGATCGTCCGAGGGGTTAGAAACTATGCGTAATGGTGGTCGCATCGTCGCCCTCTTCAGCCCTTGAGGTGTACAATTGGATGGAACAGTGATGGCAGCCATCCTAGCAAAGCAATCTGATGATGACTCTTGAAGGCTACTTTTAAGAGCAGAAATATTTGTTGCTCAGTACTTTGCGCATTATTGGCCCCAGAATTCGCTGCAACAGCTGTGGACAGATTATGCAGAAACGAGATTCTTGTGAGCTAATAGGCTAGAGATTTCCATCTGAAGTGATTCCATTCGTTTAAGTTGGCACTCGTCTCCATCTCAAGAGCAGTACAAGTTCATCGTTAGACCCTGATAGGAACTATGCATATAGGAACATCTGTTTTGAGACGTTCGTTGACAATTGCTCTGATTTTGAGTCCACAAGGACATTTAATCTGACCTGACAAAACGCGTTCTGTCTTGTCCAATTTACGTGCAGGTGATCCGCTTAATCTAGCAAATGACCCTGACTATCACTGGGAAAACCTCGGCTGTTAAGGCTTGCCAATGACATTGATTTTGGGCCGGCATTCGGAAGATCATGCTGCCGATGGCAAGGCTGTAGATCCACTTTGACCCTCACAGTTGGGCCTGCCAAGGCTCGTCGCGAACAGGGTCAGTTCATGAGAGCTTCAATTCGGCGACTTTCACCCAGCTCACCACATCCCTTCAACCCATATACAACCTATATCCAACCTCTAACTTCCACTTCTTGGCACAAGCCATCAAACATGCAGGCCGCACTGATGTAGAAGGTATGTATTTCACCCGCTGCTCAATCGGTGCCCATGACCTCCCAGCTGCCCCTTGAGGGTTCATCGCGGTGGCTTTTGAAGTTTGCGATTGTCCATCAACGTTCGCAGGCCCTTACCCCCGGTTACTATCTCGTGGCGTTCTCTTCACAGTAGCATAATTCTTGAAGCCCGGGCCATAACTGACGTCTTGCGATAGCATCGCTCTAATAGAAGCAGTCATGAATTCTCACCAGGCGGACGAGATGGCCCACCGGGACCGTGACTCGGCAGAGCGCCATAATCGGGAGCAGTATCCAGCCCAAGCTGGAACGCCGCATCATAGCAATGCTGGCTCGCTCACCATCCACCAACCTGTCGCAACAAGACTGCCTGGAGCGATCCATAGTCCGGGTAGCATCCTCGCAAATCATGGATCAGCGCCTCCCATGCCCATCGGTTCGACCAACTCCTTTGGTGGCGGCCAAGGCCCCCCAGAAACAAATCGAGCAGTTCCCCATAGTGCCCAGAGCGCGTCTAGTCAGATGTTTGGAGTGATAGGAGGACAGAACACTGGACCGACACCATCATCATCGGGGCCCGCGTCCGTGTTCGGAGGGCCGCTGCAACAGGAGGGAAACCGTCCTTCCGGTCAGGCTTTGCCGTTTGGCGGAGGTGCAGGAGCAGCAGGAGCGGCAGCAGCTACGGGAGGCGGAGGAGGATCTGCTGCCAATAATGGCAGCGCTGCAGCAGCAGCTGCAATGTCTGGAGCGCATCCTATGCCCGGAGGATCTGGCGCACTTCCACAGGGTCAACAACCTATTTTAAATGTAAGTTGGTCGTTCTTCTTGAAGGGAAATTTGTGCTGGTATCGGTGCGTTGTAGTGTCTCGCACCTGCCCGGTCCCAATTTCAACACAAGCATCGGACGTTGCATTACTGCAGTATCTCCTGAATTTGCCCATCCACGTCGCATTCATCATCTTTATCCTGCAAAGATTCCCGCTTGCCACTTTCCAAATTCATACACCAGTTGTATCTTGAGCAGCTATACTTTGATGCGCGTCAATTCATGGTTCCTGGCTTTGTCGTTTTTTTCGTCCATACAACACCATTAACCTATCAATCATGGCTCGTCCCGTAGCAGGCAGACAATTCTGGGAGCTGTGGATTTCTCATGACGTGCCCTACGGTCAATGGCTTGTAATGCGGCTTCTTACGCTCTCTTCACTGCGTGGAAGGCGTTCATTTGCTGACACGAGATCTTACAGGATGCGTTAAGCTATCTGGACCAAGTCAAAGTGCAATTCGCAGATCAGCCAGACGTCTACAACCGTTTTTTGGACATCATGAAGGATTTCAAAAGCCAGACGTCAGGATATCCCGATCCTCAAGCCCCCTTCGTTGCCCACGTAGCTAACGTGATGAGCAGAATCGACACGCCCGGCGTCATTAATCGCGTCTCTGAGCTGTTTGCCGGTCATCCAAACCTTATACAGGGATTTAACACTTTCCTACCGCCTGGCTACCGAATCGAATGTGGCACTGGCAATGATCCCAATACTATTAGAGTGACAACCCCAATGGGCACAACTGTGCAGTCCATTACAGGAAGGGTAAACCAGGGAGCGGACGGGTCTCATGGGCAATTTGGTTCCAACGCGCCATTCTTTAATCATCGCCAGAGCAATTGGCAACAGCAGCAGCAATCACAACCACAGCACAGCATCGAAAGTCCAGAGGCTACTTTCAGCGCTCCTGTGACAAACGGTTCAGGAATCTTTAACCAAACCCAAGCCTCCGGCCAAACAGCGCCCTTTGATGGTCCTACCTCTGCGCAACCCCCTCGGGGAACTTCTCAGGTCCAGAACAATACTACACCCATCGCCCCTGTGGCACGTACAGCCTTGACCCCTACTCCAGGTGCGACAGGTGCTGCAAACAGCGGCGCTGCTCAGACCGCCAATATAGAAAAGCGTGGACCAGTCGAGTTCAACCATGCCATTAGTTACGTGAACAAGATCAAGGTGTGTTCAATCTCAATAGTACACGGAAGGACGCACAGAGTTCTCTTTTTTCACTCTTCAGCCCCAACAGATGAGAGCTGTAACTAATCAAGACGCGTACGCGTAGAACCGATTTCAGGACAAGCCTGAAATCTATAAGCAGTTCCTTGAGATCCTGCAAACCTATCAACGGGAGCAGAAGCCCATTCAGGATGTCTATGCACAAGTCACCAGCTTGTTCAACACTGCCCCTGACCTTCTCGAAGATTTCAAGCAGTTCCTTCCGGAATCAGCAGCTTCGGCGAAGAGCAACCAGGCGCGATCTGAAGAGATGCTCGCAGTGGGCGGCTTAGCTCAGACCACACCACAGCCTGGCCATACTATCAGAGATGGCCAGAAGCTGCCTCCGGTCGGTAGCTTTGCGCCTCCTCCGAGCGCCACCAAGGATAATAAGAAGCGACCCAGAAACGACAAGCAGTCTTCAGTCGCACCTCCGAGCATGGCAGAGAGCCTGCTATCTGGCGGTCAGCGTACTGTTTCTGGTGCTCAACCTGGGCCCAACAAGAGACCGAAGCTGAATCACAAGCCCCTTGGGCCTGACGCGCCCACAATTGAGCCGACGCTGACCCCGACGCACCCTGAACCTCTGCCCCCTACGTCTTCTGCCAGTGCCACCGCGGAGGAGCTCGGTTTTTTTGAAAAGGTGAAGAAGTATATTAGCAACCGCACAAGTATGATTGAGTTCTTGAAGCTTTGCAACATGTACTCGCAGAGCCTGATCGATACGAACGATCTGGTTCACAAGGCGGACAGGTTCATTGGCAGCAATCCTGAACTCATGAATTGGTTTAAGAACTTCATGGGGTACGAAGGCGAAGGCGACGTCATGGAGAATCGCCCAAAACCACCTGCAGAGAAGGTTTCACTAAGCAACTGCCGTGGGAGTGGCCCCAGCTACCGTCTCTTACCTCGCCGAGAAAAGCTCAAGCCTTGTGGTGGCCGAGATGAGATGTGCAACTCTGTCCTCAACGACGAATGGGCTTCACACCCGACTTGGGCATCTGAGGATTCGGGATTTGTGGCTCACCGCAAGAACGCCTTTGAAGAGGGTCTGCATCGGATTGAGGAGGAGCGACATGACTATGATTTCAATATTGAAGCCAACGTCAAATGCATTCAACTGCTGGAACCCATCGCGCAACAAATGCTCAACATGACGGCCCAAGAGCGGGAGACTTTTGTCATGCCCCCAGGCCTCGGTGGACCGAGCACTTCAATCTACAGGCGTGTGCTGAAGAAGATTTATGGACCTGAACGGGGCTCCGACGTTGTCAACGACATGTTCCAGGATCCCTTTGCGGTCGTCCCTGTTGTGCTGGCCCGACTGAAGCAAAAGGACGAAGAATGGCGATTCACACAGCGTGAGTGGGAGAAGGTCTGGCAGGCACAGACCGAGATCATGCACCTGAAGAGCCTCGACCATATGGGCATCCAAGTGAAGCAAAATGATAAAAGGAACCTCTCACAGAAGCACCTGGTTGATGTCATCAAGACGAAGCACGAAGAGCAGAGGCGTATTCGCAGCACTAACCAAAAAGTTCCTCGCTACCAGTTCGCCTACGAGCTTGGTGACCGTGAAGTTATTCTTGACTTGCTTCGATTTATGGTCATGTATGGCATGAACAACGGGCACCATAGCGCGTCGGAGAAAGAAAGGATCGTCGAGTTTTTCGAGTCCTTTATCCCCCAGTTCTTTGACCTGCCTGAGGACAAGGTCCAGGATCGTCTCCACGATATTGACTGTGAGTCTGGCGAGGAAGATGCTGAAGAGCAGTTGCCTGCTGAGCTAACGAACGGACGTTCTCGTCGCAACGGCAAGAAGTCCGATCTCCTGCGCGGCGTCCTAGACCCTGGCCGCAACGGAACCAAGAGCCGCAAGGAGAAGGAAGACAGTGCCGCATCAGGCAGCAAGGAGACCACGCCAGATGTTGGATCCGCAAACGAGGAAGAGATGGGCGACGCGGCCGAGGAGGCGATCCCGTCAGAGTTTTCCAACGAGCGATGGCTGCCCATCGTTCCTCGCGCTACTGTTGTCAAGGGAACCCATCCGCTGTTGGATTCTGATGGCGAGTTGAAGGCCGACGGTTTCTTCCCCCGCCCTTGGTACAACTTCTTTTGCAACCAAACGATATATGTCTTCTTCAGCATCCTCCAGACCTTGTATAAACGGCTCAAAGACGTCAAGGACAGCCAGCAGAGCGTCCTGGACGAGATCACACGGGCCAAGAGCAAAAAGCCGGCCAAAGATCTTGGCATTACTGTTAACGAGATCAACTACTTCGACGAGAATGATCCGTCTTCCTTCTGGCCCAAGACTGTCGAGTTAATTGAAGACTATATCACCGGCGAAATTGACGAGAATCGCTACCAAGAGGTACTCCGGCATTACTACCTGAAGAAGGGCTGGACCCTGTACACTATTCAGGACTTGATGAAAACCCTCTGCCGACTTTCTCTGATCTGTACAAGCACGGATTCGAAGGAGAAGACACCTGACCTGATCGCACAGTTCCTGAACAACCGCTTGCAGGAAGAAACTAGCTACCAGACCGAGATCAGCGCCCGCACGTTTGCACAGAAGTGCATTAAGGATGCGGACATGTTCGTCATTTGCTGGGTGGGTAATGTCCACACTTACTTCGATGGATTATATACTTACCAAGTTTTCTATCTATAGTTCCCTCAGAAGAACGAGGCCACAGTCCGATGGCTACAGCGTGACGAGACTACGTTCTATATGGATGAAATGGAAGTGCGCGAGCGTTGGCAGTACTACATCTCCTCGTACATGCGTGTGGAGCCAACAGAAGGCGTCCCACGTGCACGATTGAGAAAGACGGTTCTAGCCCGAAACCTGCCTTCTAGTGACGTCGATTTGGACGATGGGACCGCTCCCAAACCCCTGAAATACGAGGAAAACTTGCCTCTCGCCATCTGCCTCAACTCCAACGAGATTGTTTGGGACACAGGCGCCTCCGAATACTTCATCTACTCAACAGCACCCGAGCCAGACGAGGAGAAGGCGAAGGCCGAGGAACGTGCTGCCAACATACGCGACCACCGTGAGCAGCTATTCCGTGAGAAGCTTGTTATGAACAGTCCCTGGATGCGCAATGTCACCCAGCACGAAGTCCAGCAGGCGAATGAAAGGTTCCAGGCCTGGTTTAAGGATGGCGTCGCACCTGACGTAGACATGGAAGAATGAGCATCTAAAGTAGTGTATTTCCCGTTTCACCGGTCGAAGACCGACTTACTCTCATTCCGTTCGGATACGACATAGGAAAGACATCTGGGACGGCGTTAAGCGGTCACTTTCACAGCTTGGCCGATATATCTTGGCCTTTTTTTTTGTGCCGCAACACCTCGGTATGAACTTCGAGTCTTGCAGTCGCCATGGTTTGAGCCATGGTGGACTGAGCGCTTCTCGGCTCCCAAACTTGCTACGCTGAATTATCGACTTTTGGCAAGGAGAAATGATTCCTTTGCATTCTAATCTCAGCCCCCAGCAGTCGGTAATCATCAAAAGTACATTGCCGGTCGTTTCACATTTCTGTATAGTAGTGTTGACGGGGCTAAAAGACGCGCTCAATTTATGCCATATTACTCTCTTGTTTGTGACAGTGATTTCGAAAACTTGTTGGCCTCAGCTTATGCAGCATTCAACTTCCCAGTTGTTGTACGTCGGGAGAGGGCTTTTTCCCGTATACATGGTGTGTTATTCCCCCCTGCAGTAGGTGATCGTTGCTGTAATTGTCTGTTCTGCTGGAAATCGAGTAGACTAACGGTCAGAAAAGTAGTGTCCAGCATCTCTACGCTCGCGATCACAAGGCTGTTTGCAGCTGCTGTCTAGTTTAGAGGGCATGGGAGGTGTGTCGGTTTCCCTCGGGATGGCGAACATGTGCGCATAGTAGGTCCCAAATACATGGTCTGGGTAAAGTCATTGGTAAAATGTATATGTCTTAGATGTGTTTTTGAGAGAATGCTTCGCAAATCGAAATCAACGTGCCTCACGGGTAGTTGGTACCTAGGTATCTATGAACACCTTTGCCTCTAAAATGCCATTCCAAAGCCTGGAGCTGCCATGGATCTATTGCAGACTCTCGATGATAATGGCGCTAGCGCCACCACCGCCGTTGCAGATAGCAGCACATCCAATCTTGGCCTTCTTCTCGCGCAATACCGACGTCAGGGTGGTAGTGATGCGAGCGCCCGAGCATCCCAGGGGATGTCCGATGGCGACGGATCCACCGAAGACGTTCACCTTGTCGCCCGTTAGGTTGAGCAGCTTCATGTTGGCCAGGGCCACAACGCTGAAGGCCTCGTTGATCTCGTAGAAGGCGATATCTGACTCCTGGACACCGGCGTGCTTGATGGCCTTGGGGATGGCGAGCGAGGGGGCGGTAGTGAAGCGTTCGGGCTCGCGCGCGGCGTCGCCCCAGCCCAGGATCTTGGCAATCGGGGTCACGCCCAGCTCCTTGACCTTAGCCTCGGACATGAGCACGAGCGCCGCGGCGCCGTCGTTCAGAGGGGCGGCGTTAGCGGCTGTGACGGTGCCGTCCTTGGCCTTGAAGACGGGGCGCACCGTCCTCAGCTTCTCCGCGTTCAGGTTCTTGACCTCCTCGTCGGTCGTGATCTTGATGGCCGGCTTGCCGCGGCCGCCGCTGACCTCGACGGGCACAATCTCCGTGCTGAACATACCCGCCTCGGTCGCCTTCTGGGCACGCGTGTAGGTCTCGATGGCGTACGTATCTTGGTCCTCACGGCTGATGGTATGGTCTTCAGAGCAGAGCTCAGCAGCCAAACCCATGTGCTCCTTCTTGTAGGCATCGACCAGACCGTCCTTCAGCATGCCGTCGACGATCGCCTGGTCGCCGAATTTAGCACCGCTGCGCATGGTGGGCAGGTAATGGGGCGTGTTGGACATGGACTCGGTGCCACCGGCCACAATGATGGATGCGTTGCCCGTCATGATGGTCTGCGCGCCCAGGATGATAGCCTTCATACCGCTGGCGCACACCTTGTTGACACCCGTGCAGACGACACCTGGCGATAGGCCGGCGTGGATGGCACATTGCCGGGCGGGGGCTTGGCCGAGGTTTGCGGACAGGACATTGCCAAAGAAGACTTCTTCAACGTCCTCGAGCTTGATCTGGGGGACCCGCTCAACGGCCGCTGTAAGTAGCGCAAGTTAACACATATGAGACAGAATAATGTCGGGGCTTTCAACGTACCCTTGATAGCGATAGAACCCAATTCAGTGGCGCTGAGGCTTGACAGCTGTCTGCATAGCTTCTGGTTAGCTTATTCTCTGTTTTTTTCTTTTTTCTGGGCGTCCCGGACGCGGAGATGATCGAGTACAGGTAGGATGCCTCAACTTACCCTAGGAACGAGCCAACCGGCGTTCTGGCGGCGGAAACGATGTAGACTGGTGGCAGACCCGACATTTTGACGACTGGAGGGGGAATTGGACTGGAAGAAAGGAGGACAATATGTGATTAAGAAGAGAGGCTACCGCGAGAACAATTGATCTGATAAGTCCAAGTCTTATTTGAGGTTTCTGTCCCTCTTGTTGCTCAACTCGACCGGTGCTATTATGTAAATTCAAAGCTGCTTGCCCCTCACCGCCCCTCATCAATGACATTCCTTCAGGGGCCCACTCAGTAGCACTGTCGCTTTTAGCGCCGTGCTGTGATGAGTTGTATACCCAATCAGAATGTAAGCTGAAGCTCTGTCGGGCCTGTAGCGGGTCCCGGACTTTCTGTGTTGCCGCTGTGGATCTCAAGGGAATTGTTGCCCAAACAGGGGTCTTCCGCAGCTACTCTCCCGCTGTAGTGGGGCAGCTGCAACCAAGCAGCCGTCTTCGGCGGGTAATTGAGGAAAAAAAAAATCGAATTGATAGTAGTTCAGGGGTAGCTTGCCTCAAACAATTGATTGCAGGAATCCTCGAAACTAGTACCCGTGCCACGCCCCACTTATTTCAGATTCGCTTGAGCTTACTAACTTAGCTTAATCAATAACCTGGCTAGTTTTTCGATACTTTCAACTTCAACCTATCCTATCTTTATTAATTTATTAGCTTTTTCTAATCGTAATAGACTTACAGCTATAGGAAGCCGTCGTCTGCATGCAAGAGTATCCTTAAGCTAAAATTGCTAAGATTGCGCGAGAAAGCGGCGTAAAACGCGAGAACCCCCGTGATGCGAGTGCATGTAGGCTGTGAATTGTTGTATTGGGAAAGGATGGCCAGGTCAGCTATTCTGGCCTGGCAGAGCTCTTTTATAGCTCTTATCTATCTTATCTATAGCTATAGGGTAACCCCCTATGGGGTCACTGTAACGAAACCTCTAATAGTCTAGCTGCGTAAACCACTAAAGAGTCTGTAAGGGTCTGTGCTAGTAAGTAAGTCCTGCTGCGGAGTCCTCAAGCAATAATATCGGGGTTTGACGTATGGAGTATAGGGCTCTGGGTAACTGAAGTATTCAAGTAGGGTAACTGGGAATAGAGCCGCCAAGGCAGTTTGCCTCACCAATGGGTTAGATTGATGCTTAGATTGATCACTGAAGTAGAGACTGTCTATCTATGAAATGCCTGGGAGTCCTGTCCCTTATATACCCATCTCTCCTTCACTGATCCCCACTTGGATATGTTGGTTGTCCAACATATCCAACATATCCACCCCTGTAGGTCACGTGACCTATCGGTCCTTTCCTTCCTCCGATGCGGGGTCCCGTGATCCTAGCGTTTGTATCCACCTGGCCTGCCGACGGGCCTGTAATGTTGGTTCAGGGCCAACGGTTCGTAACATAGGCTAGTATACAGGTGCGTATAACGTGATCCACAAGTCATTTTCGCACACAAGTCACTTTCGCACTTTTCTTGGCACCTTCAAGTAATTCAGTAATATCCTATAACCCGCATTTTATCCTTTAAATTACTCAAAATCTTCTTCATTATCAGTTTCTACTTCTATTGAACAAGTCCTTGCATTATGTCCAGTCCCTCTGCAAATACCACAGCGCCTTATACCGGTCTGCCGGCGCTTTACAGGACGACTGCTTTCCCCTTCTTCCTCCTCCATAACCTTGATATCACCCCTCAAGGCCCGTAAAACTTGTGCATCACCTATACTAAGTGCTCCTCCATATTGGATTTGCTTATTTTTCGTCCTACGACGCTTACTTAGTATATGGTTCGTCTCACGAAGCTCTTCGTTCTCCCGACGTAATAATGCATTCTCATGCATCATTGCATGCGTAGCCTTCGTAATCGAGTCAATTGAGTTCAAAATATGCGTCAGCGAGCTGTTTTGATGCCTCTGGACGCTACTTTTAATCAAAGTTGACTGCGATTCGGCTTCGAGGGTGTTGGTAGGCGTCTTAGAAACCCAGACGGAGGGAGGCAATTGGGGGTCGGGTGTCGGTGTTCGTATTACTTTTGCGATATCCAACGTAGATATGACCCTATCCGGGTTAAAAGAAACAAGTCCAGCTGCTTCGAATCCTGATCTGATGTTCTTTTCGTGAAAAGCACCAATGAAAGCTTCCAAAAACCCAGCTAAGAAATCCTGCTTCTCAATATGGGTTTGATGCCTTCGCATTAAACCCTCCACGAACGCACCGTACAGCCGTTTCAACACACTAAAAGGTACCAAATCCAAAGTCTGGAGCTTGTGGGATGAATGGGAAGGCATACACAATGTAATTACGCCGTGCGCCGCGAGGTAAGTCTCAAAATCCATCGAGTGGTGGCTCTCGTGACCATCCAATATTAAGAGAATTTTCGCACCCTTCCGACGGCTAATAATATGTTGAACAAAGTGTTTTGCCCATTCCACACCAATATTATTAGTAGTCCAACCGTTATGGGAAAGGTCGACCTTCCAGTTGGCCGGTAGGTCGTTACCGCGATACCACGAAGCAAGATGAACCTTGCCCGCGAAGATGATGTACGGCGGTACCGCCCAACCTTGCGAATTAATAGCCTGGATCACCGTAACCCATTCCCGACCTCCTTGTGTAGCTTGTCTAGGCCGTCCGTGTCTTTCTGCACTCGTTACAACCATACCGGTTGTGATTATGCCCATTAGGAAGCCCGTCTCGTCAAAGTTGTAGATATCCTCCGGTAGGATACCGTATTTAGCGATTGTGTCCCTAACAAGCTCAAACAACGCGTAATACGCAATAGGATCTTCGCTAAATACCCTCTAGTAATCAATTCGACGGTTTCAACGCGTTCGGAGGTCTTGTCGGCGGTTAACGAAGTTCGTGGTCCAGTTCTTGCCGACGGGGGGCGCGTCGCGTATGCGTCGTAGGACATTCGCCATTTCTTCAACGTATCGAAGCCGAGGAGGAAATGCTCGCGCATCTAGCTCAATTATACGTCGGGCAATCGTATCCTCTTCGGTTTGAGTTAGATTTCGTTTTAACATATTAGCTTCGTGTCGCGTTTGGTCGCCGTCGAATCGATTCTTTAGTGTACGGTCGCAAACGTTGTAGATACGGCCAAGCTTACGCCATGAAATTTCAGGGTTGCGCTTTTTAGCTTGGATAGCTAGCTGAAGATCTGCTTCTTTGGATTTACGAGGCATGTTGTGGGAGGGAAGAAAAGTGCAAGCTAAGTTAAAAGGTTGAAATATTTGAAAAAGTGCGAAAGTGACTTGTGTGCGAAAATGACTTGTGGATCACGTTATTACAAGACTAATTCTTAAGGAATCTAAATTAGGTAGGAGCGTCTCGAGTTCTCCTCTTAAACTGAGCGGTTCCGGGTGTCAGGGTACGGCTAGGCCGAAGGCAATAGTACAGAGTGATGGGGAGTAACGGGCGTCCCTCCTACGTAGCACCGGGTGGTCACTGGCGGTCTCAGGTAGGGGTGCCCACGATGATGCATTGATCTCTACTCTCTCTATCTTCTTCCCGGGCCTCCGCCCCTTACATAGATAGCTAGAACCCGGCGTCGGAGCCGCGGAGCACTAGTTTCTCCGATTGTTCCGCAAACCAAGACTTCCATATCGTGTCATGACTCGCACGTCCCTACACCAGAGCCCCACCGGTGTCCCACCGGTGCCTATGGCATTCTGTTCTCTAACACCAGGGTTCTACCGGATCGGGGGCGAATCCCTCCCGACTCAGCTTGTCAGCTGAGACCGGCCCGCCATATCGGCTCTCTCCTTATATTCATAAACTACTATCTGAAGCCGAAGACATAGCCCTCATAATTATATCGACCGCCTTAATAGGATTAATCTTACGGTTTACGTAGAACCTATTACCGACGCTATAAATATGTAAGGAAAGAGTCGTCATGGCGGGCCCGTCTCATATTACAAAGGACTACGTAGAGTAGCTAAAAAGAGCTTTTTAATTACCGTAAAAGAAGCTAGAAGACGTCGATTAACAGGCTAATTAAAGCCTACAGATATCTTCGAGAGAGGCTTTAGTTAGCGGTTATTACGTAGGTTCTAATTGAAAGTTGTTGTTAGGCAACCTTGGTGGGCTTTGCCAAGACCACCAAGGTTACCACGTGACTTAGCCCTTCGGGACTAAGTCCAACCTTCGTGCTCCATAGGACTAGATAGAATGTCATGCTTTTACAACCTCACAAATCTTTGACCACCTTTGCGTGTAACAGTTGTAATCTATCGAAAAACTGGCCAAGTTGGTGGTGAGCACTAACTTAGGTTAGTGAGCTCAAGCGAATCCGAAATAAATGGGGCGTGGCACGGCTAACATTTGAAGAGCCTCAATGACCTGGTACAATTGTAGCCTTGCCTCACCAGCCACAACACCACTTACCACCTTGACCTTTGGCAGTCAGCCTTGCAAAAAGTTTGAGAGTCGCGTTGATCGCGAAGCATACCCACTTCCAACCCGGCCTCTCAACTTGTATCACACCAGCAGCCATGGACGACCTCTACGATGAGTAAGTAACCCGCAGACATTCCATATGAGCCCAACCTGACCGAATTCCACTCATGTAGGTTCGGCAATTTCATTGGCGAGGAGGCCGACGCATCTGAGGAGGAGTCAGAGCATGGCGTGGATGCTGGGCAATATGTCTACGACGAGGAATTTGAGGCGGCGCATGAGCCCACGGGACAAGAGCTGATGGAATTGGACGATGAGGGACCTTCGAACGCTGTTGTTCTTCACGAGGACAAACAATACTATCCGACAGCCCAGCAGGTGTATGGAGCGGACGTCGAGACGCTCGTCCAGGAAGAGGATGCACAACCACTCACACAGCCCATCATCGCACCGCCCGATATCAAGAAGTTCACGATCGAGGAGGACGACCTCCCGCCCGTCTTTTTTGACCGCGGCTTCATGGCAGACCTGATGAACTACCCCGACCAAATACGCAACGTTGCCTTGGCTGGGCATCTGCACCACGGAAAGACCTCTTTCATGGACATGTTGGTCATGGAGACTCATGATATCGGTGAAAGACTTGAAAAGAGGAGCGGAAAAAAGAGAGATGAGCAACTACGGTATACCGACGTCCACGTTCTGGAGAGGGAGAGAGGCGTGTCAGTCAAGGCTGCTCCAATGAGCCTGGTACTACAAAGCACCAAGGGGAAGTCACACCTTTTCAATATTATTGATACCCCAGGGCATGTCAACTTCGTTGATGAAGTTGCCGCATCACTACGACTGGTTGATGGTGTGGCCTTAGTGGTGGACGTGGTAGAAGGAGTTCAGGTCAACACCGAGCAGATCATTAAGCATGCCGTACTTGAGGATATTCCCATGACACTCATAGTCAACAAGGTGGATCGCTTAATACTCGAGTTACGCCTTCCGCCCACCGATGCCTATTTCAAGCTGAAACATTGCATTGAAGAGATCAATACCATTATTGAGAACACGATACCGGGTGCGGGAGAAAAAAGGCGCCTCAGTCCAGAGAAAGGCAACGTGCTGTTCGCATGTAGCGAAATGGGCTGGTGCTTCACCCTTCAGTCTTTTGCCAAGATGTATGCAGACAACTTCCCGGGCGTCATCATGGATGAGTTTGCCAAACGTCTCTGGGGTGATGTCTACTTCAACCCGAAGAAGAGAACATTCAGCCGTAAGCCATTACAGGGTGAGAATCGTGCGAAGCGGTCCTTCATCAGTTTCATCCTGGAGCCAATCTACAAAGTCTTTTCGCTTTCCATCAGCCAAAGCCCCGAAGACCTCAAAGCCACCTTGGCTTCATTGGACATCGTCCTGAAACCATCGCAGTACAAAACGGACGCTAAAGTGCTACTAAAACTGGTGTGCGAACAGTTCTTCGGCCCGTCTACGGGCTTCGTCGACATGGTCGTTCAGCATATTCCCTCGCCGCTTGAAGCGGCACAAAAACAGTTGGAACGGTACTACACGGGCCCGTTAGACACCAAGGTGGCAGAATCGATGAAGGCTTGCGACCAAGACGGCCCACTAGTGATAAACATCACCAAGCTGTTCAACGCTACCGATGGTAAGAGCTTTTCCTCGTTCGGCCGGGTCATGAGCGGCACAGCGCGGCCAGGGATGCAAGTGCGAGTTCTTGGCGAAGGATACTCAATCGACGACGAGGAGGACATGACCATGGCTACAATCTCTGGGGTGCACATTGCGGAGACGAGGTACAACATACCAACCGACGGTATTCCGGCCGGAAACTGGGCATTGCTCGGCGGTATCGACAACTCTATAGTCAAGTCGGCAACTGTTATGCCTCCTAAGCTGGAAGATGACGAGGAGGCGTATATCTTCAAGCCAATAACGCATTTCACCGAGTCTGTCCTCAAAGTTGCCGTGGAACCCATTAACCCGTCAGAACTGCCGAAGATGCTGGACGGCTTGAGGAAAATCAACAAGAGCTATCCCTTAATCACGACGAAAGTTGAAGAGTCTGGGGAACATATCATCCTCGGCACTGGGGAACTCTACATGGATTGTGTTCTCCACGACCTGCGAAGGCTCTACGCGGATATGGAAATCAAAGTTTCTGACCCTGTGACCCGATTCTGCGAGACGGTGGACGAGATGTCGGCAACAAAATGCTACGCTATTACCCCGAACAAGAAAAACAAGATCACCATGGTCGCTGAACCGTTAGATGACGGCATTCCGGAAGACATTGAGGCGGGCCACGTCAAGATGCGTGACGGAACCCGGAAAGTGGCCAAGTTCTTCGAGGAGAAATACGGATGGGATCTGCTCGCTGCGAGAAGCATATGGGCATTTGGACCGGATGAGTTGGGCCCAAACATCTTACAGGACGACACGCTTCCCTCCGAGGTAAGCCCCACGCGGCAGTTTTCTTCTTCCCATCATTATGTGGCACAGGTCTGAACTCCTAGTGAGTCATTATATGGACTTGCTCGGAACGCTGCAAGACGTCGCCCGAACTGGAAACTCGTTCGCTGTGTCTGGATTGTCCTCTCAGCCTCAGAACCAGGAGCCGACCTCTTTACCCCGAATACCACCGTGTTGAATAATACCTAACATGTTTGGCAGGTCGATAAGAGTCTGCTCAAGACTGTGCGAGAAACCATTCGCCAGGGTTTCAGTTGGGCAGCCCGCGAAGGTCCATTATGTGAAGAACGTAAGTTAGTTCACTTGAGTCTACTCTATCTCTTACCTTTTCGCCTCCTCCATTCTGCCTTTTGCATGGATTGCATTGCACGTACCCGCCCTCCTTCAATTTTATTCCCTTCCGACACATGCACACCACACGCACGCCATACAACGCAGAGAGTTTCCGCGCGTCCGGCCGAGAGAATATAATACGTCCAGATCCGATAGTCTCCATCTTGGAGCGCCGATGTCACTCCAGATTTCATCTCGATGCCGCCGTGCAGGGACCAGGAGGGAACAGGGGGCCAGGGACTTCCAGCACAGTGATGAGAGCTACAGGGGTCTTGGCAATCCTCCCACCAGTTAGGCCGGCAATGAACTGGATACAACCCATGTCGCGCACCATATGCTAGGAAACAAACTGCAGGCCAACCCCCCCCCCCCCTTTCAGCGTCGCAAGCATCGCCTACCGGTCGCATACTTGCTGCAGAAGCCCTGGCGAAATCCTGTTTTCCGGCTGGCTGCCACTACTGTCCTGTCAAGTGGTACGGCACAGTACTGCATATTTCGACTAATGGTCGATACTCGTCGAGAGTTGCCGGCCTGTTGTTACTCTGGCAAACATTGCACGGTGCGCTGCAATTCCTGCTCAGCACTCCGGCCTTGAGATCGGCTGGTGACGGTGAATTTCCCGCCAAAATACCACTATCGCCTCCAACGGTCCCCACTGTTAGTGCCAAACGTTCCGCAGTCGCTGTACGCGGATTTGGGGATGTGCAGGGCTGGGCGTCCACCAACCTCGTCCGCTCCAGCTTACGATTAGGCGCCCCTAGACAATACCGAGTTGCCAGTGCTACTGGCGCTGACGTTAGCACAGGGCAACCTTGAGGACGCCTCTCGAGCTAAGAGGTATTCTCCAGGCGAGCGTAAACTAGCAAGTGCTGTTTATGAATATATCCACCATATGCCCATGCTACCGCAGTTCCCTCACTCAAGCCCGCGCCGGGTGGATAAAGCGATGTAGATTTGACTGACGGTGTGTGCTAAACAGCAATCCGCAATACTAAATTCCGCATCATGGACGCGTCGCTGGCGCCAGAGGCCATCTTCCGCGGAGGTGGTCAAATAATTCCAACGGCACGCCGCGCCTGTTATAGCTCCTTCCTCATGGCATCCCCCCGCCTCATGGAGCCACTCTACTCAGTCTCCATGACGGGACCCCAGGATTCAATCCCGGTGCTGTACAACGTGCTGGCACGGCGTCGCGGCCACGTGCTACTAGACGGACCCGTTGCCGGTACCCCATTGTACCGCGCTAGTGGCTTGCTGCCCGTCATCGACAGTTTCGGCTTCGAGACGGATGTGCGTATCCAAACGCAGGGGCGCGCCAATGTAAGTATGGTCTTCGAAAAGTGGCAAAAGGTTCCTGGCGACCCACTTGATAAGGAGGTGGTACCGCGTCCTCTCCAGGCCGCTGATGCACAAGCTACGGCGAGAGACTTTGTCCTGAAGACCAGGCGGCGGAAGGGGTTGAGCGAGGATGTCAGCGTGGCCAAGTTCTTGGAGCCCGACTTCTATCAAAGCCTGTTGGAAAGCGGCGCGTTGGGAAGTCCGTAGTTTGGGGAGGGGTTGTGTGTGGCGTCAGTAGTGGGTGGTCGATACCGATTTAATCGAGTCTACGGTTCGCATGTACAATACAGGGTTTACGAATATTGAAAGCCGGGTACCGTCGGTCTCCGCAAAGCAACAGCAACCAATACGTTCACGAGGCTACACTGGACGCATCGTATTTGTTCTGGAAAATTGGTGATAGGAGGCATCTGCATATCTTTGCTTGTGGCAGGATGTCTCCATTCATACATACTACGTACATACTTAACCGTAGTACTAAGGCAAGAAACAGGGAAGTGAGTGATGTTGACTGACTGCCCTGCAGTGTGTCGGCCACTGCCTATTCAGCCTATGCTTGTCCAATACTGCCCAATGGAGACGAAGCGGCGCAGCCTAGCGAATGCGAGTTATCTCATCTTATCTGATGCGAATTTCGGCCGGAGCTGACAATCAAATTGGCTTTGACTGGACGGGAAAGCGAGTTGCTGCATGCAGTTCGCATTCGAACGGGGTTCTTTGATGTGGCGCTGGGAGGTCCAATACTGTCGAGAAAGACTTACCTATGTTAATATTCCATCTAGCTTCCATGGATCCACCGATACTGCCAATACTGCATCAACCGGAATACTGGCACCTCATTTTAAATGCACAGTCTGGGCTGCTAGTTTTGTCCACCTGGTCGCCGACTGCAGTGACAATGTGTGGCACTGTGAGGATATAATCCGGCAGGTAGACTAGACTTGATTAGTCTAGATCTGACTTGCATGTCCCGCCTGACGTTTATTAGTATTGCTATTACTATTATAATTTGGGTTTTCCGCGTAACCCATTTAATTTTACCAAAAAGACGCATGCCGGGTCTATGCGGCGAGCCGTTGTTGTACTGCTTCTGGAATGTGGGAGGGTGGTCGGAACTATCGGGTTTCCCGGGGTGAGGAGGGGGCTCAGGAAGAAGGGGGGGGGTTGGGGAATTTGGGGCAGAGAGGATGGCTCTGAGCAGCAGCATGTGAAGTGGTGTGAAAATCGTCGACCACGGTGCATGTGCGGCTTGACAATGACATGGCGGGATGAGATGGACGGCCGCCTGTCCTACACGATCTTCCGATCTTCATCATTGGAGTTGCGCCGAATATGGTGGACGGCTGCAGATTGATGGCGTTTTCGTTACCCAATTACCAGTGGACGAGAAATGATAGCTGATCGGATAATTTGGGGACACTGGCTACTTGCTCACTTGATTAGTAGAGCCTACGTTAAGAAGATAGTTTAGTGTATGTGCCTAGGCTAGAGTGACAGAGACGTGGGTTTGCCAACCACCCCATCCATAGGTGCTGTTCAGATCCACTGTGTCGTCATGGATAGCCCGGTGGTGGAAAGGCGTTGTTGAGTTGGAGAGCGCGCCCTACTGGTTACGTCCACCTAGCTAAACTGTTTACAGCAGCAGCAACAGCAACAGAGCTGGTTAACGTTACATAGCGGTCGAGCGTCTGTGCTCGGGGGACTATTCGACCAAATTGAGTAATACCTCAACATGGTTATATACCCTTTTGCTTTCGTATAGCGCCTATCGAGCTCGTGCGTGTTACAGGTTGTGGTTCGCATATTCCAGGGTTGACGACAGTGGGTATGCCTTGAAATGTTCGCTTCGGTTCAGCGAAAGCTGCTTCAACACGAACTTTAAGACGGGGACTCGGTTACAACGCGACCAGGGCCGTCACCGAAATTTGCTTCCTCGCTGCCGATCTTAGGAAGATCATGCTAAGTTACCATCCACAACCCATCCGAATCGGGCCGCGACTTTGGTTCGGGCTGACGAGTAACGACATCTCAACTACTGCCGGAGAAACGTGGCCATAGATACAATCTGTCATCTTGGGTTTTGTTCTACTGGCGTTGCTAGACCAGACGTTGAGTTGGACTCATACATGGTTCGCCACAGATTATATTAGTGGCCTCATCATCAACATGCACGATGCAGCTTGGAGATGTGCCTTGGAAACCCTTATCGGAGTGTGCATTGAAGCTCATGAGGAACTTCACCAGACTCGAGACATTGCCGACCAACAAGCAGTCATGAAAGACGGTGTTTAGTTCTTTCTATTCCAAATCTCAATCCCCTTCCATCGAGACTCGGCACCGCCCACGGATATTGCCCCAATTGCCCCAACGCCGGCCCAACAGGCCCGTATAACCCCTTGAATCTGTACCTTCCAGATTTTCCCAAGCAAGCCAAGCAGAAAAACGTAGCTATGTGGCCCAAGTAGTGTTTCCTGGCTGGATTGGATAGAAACCCGGTGCAGACTCGGACACAGATGGTCAACAGGACCCAAATGGCTGCCATGTGTGCGGCCTGCTTGAATGCTTCTACAAACTCACAAGTAGATATAGCATGACCAGCAGGGAGCGTATTGTGAGCTTGTTTGTTGCCCTGGGTACATAATGCTTCGAGTGTTTGAGCCATTAAGTCTTTACTCGCAGGTCGCAAGCATCGCGTCGAGCATCCCTTTGAGGTTGTCATTCTCCAAAGCCGCAGCTACTCTCTCCTTGTCTGCCAATTGCTTATTGACTTGGTCGTCCTGGCTGTGCGCCCCCTCCTTGATCACCACGTCCACACGGTAGTTGGGCGGCAGTGCCTGCTCCAGACGGACCCTGACGCCAAGTCCAATGACGGTCGCCAGAGAACAATGAGTAATGGTTGGCGTTATCTTGACAAGCACTGTTATCAGGGTATCTGGATCTGAATGTGCAGATGGAGAAGGTGTGATTTGAATATCAGGTAGGTTCACGACAGCCAGCTGGCCAAGTGAAATGGGATGCTCAGGGTCAGAGATGGTGGAAATCAAGTCTGAAACGTTAGCCGTCTGATACTCGCTGCGGGACGTATAATTAGACAATCTTGAAAAGGCGTGGGAAAAAAATGGCATGATAAACACCTAGACAGTTGAGTGTCGGTCATACAAAGTACATCATGGAACCACGTGGCTCACGTGGGCTCTCAGTAGAGTTTTCCAGCAAGGGCAGCGATGTAGTTCGTGGAGCGCATTGGCGCTGCACGAATCTATCACGATGAAACGTGCACCATGTACACTGGCAGCCCAGGAGACACTTGGTGGTTCACAGCATGACAAACCAAGCCTCCGCCACGCCCAAATAGGCACAGGAGCAGATGAAAATGGACTCTGAAGTAAATTCAGGCTGGCTTACCGTAGATCTCCTGCTCGTCGATGGGTTCTTCAGTGAAATCGTTGTCCTTTTCGCGGATGTCGTGCCAGGATACGTCGCAGAAGGGTTCCGACAAATATTTGGGCTTGCGCATAATGAGCTCACTCAACTGGGATACTGGCCCCTGAACCACAGCCTTGGTGGCCTTGGACTGTCTGGTGGGCAGCTGTGCCGCCGTGAGGATGGTGGGGTTTGCGTTATCCATAGTGGGTTCGGTCAGGGCGCATGTCCTGGGATTTTTGGGTATTCGGTGAGGAATTTGATGACGATGAAGTTGCTAGGATAAGTGCAGGTGGTCGCTTTCAGTCGTGCGATATTTTAGATTGTGGTCTATGGACTGGTGGCGGTTACATCGCAAGCAGCGGCTTTGGTATGGTCGCCACTGCGCCACTGCTGGTCCACAGTAGTGAAGTGTTTGTGCAGCGGTTTCGGTGCTCAACTGCGTAGATGCATGCTGTTTGCCAGGCAGCTGGCGGCAGACAACAGGCTCAATGGGGAGCGGAGTGGGGCCACGATTCTCCGTACCTACCGTGACTCCCATGAGCTGATGGTTTTGTGTCCAGACTATTGTCAAGGTTTATTGTGGTTTCAAGATCTGGATCCTACAGAATTTGATCCAAACCAAGTATAACCTACGTTGGGACCAAGGGGTGTTCTGGGTGTCTTCATGGTTCTGTGCTGCATCAAGCTTCATATGAATTGATGGCTTGGCAAAATGTGGCCGAGTTTGTGATGGTTTTGCCAACGTGTCCCCTTCCCTTCCGCTTCTTGCGGAACGTCTATGGCAGGTAGTCAAGTTTTCTGCTATTGGTCTCCTGATGACATGGACATGTCTTCATGCACCAGAATACCTGACTGCCTGTGCCTGGTCTGCCGCGTGTCTCGCTGCTGAAATAGGAAGGATACAAATACAACCGTGGATTGAGGTAGCATGACTAGGACCCGCCCTGCACGTAGTCCAAGACCGTATTTATCTGGATTGGAGATGGTATAATCTATCAGATCTGGTGTTCTTGCAGGGTGTTGTTCTCAGAAGATCCTCTCGTCATTTAGTAAATTCATGCGACGTCTCATTTCGAGGCAGTGCGGCAATGATCACCTTGCTATATTTGACTAGTGGCCGTCAAAGCTATACTAAAAGAGACGTACTACTATGGATGGAGGCGTCATTACCGTTGACACCGCCCTAGGGGATCATTACGTTCTGAGGATCTTCTATCGACTGATAGAAGATCTGTAGAATGTTCGTCGACTCGAGCGCATAAAGTCAAATTCCCCGATCCCTGGCACTGCGCCAGTAGGCATCGGTCTTGCTTGGTACTTTACGGTGAACAGCCGGGCCGGTGGATAAGAAGCATGGCGCAGGAATTCTGGATAGGTCCTGGTTCTCCGATCCCGTCCTCAGATCCAACCCAAAGGGTCGTTGATGGACAAGGCCTGAGCTGAACCTATGGTTCGTTACTGGCCGAGGTTGCCGAAAGGGGAAGAACAGTTGGGATTCGTGTGCCTTGCAGGAATCTGCCTTTTCCACTACCATCATCCCAGCTTCTCTCCTCTCCCTCCCTTCACCCCCTTATTGACCAACAGTGTAATAGATACCCTGCTACGCATGTATTGGCAACTTGATACTGAGACGTCTGGTCTGAAAGTGAGGAGAGTTCATGACGAATCCAGAGCTAAGATATTGGCAAAGTATAAGGCATAAGAATGGCTAACGGCAGATCTGGACAACTCAAGAGGAGGGCACTGAGTCTATCAAGGCGGGGGCTCGGAGCAGGGGTACAGGCATGAGAATAACCAATGTTGTCGTGAATACCACTCGCGGACTCGTGGAGATGATTGTCCGTATTTATCCACCGTTCAACTAGATCCGCCTGACGAATGTATCGGCCGAAGAAGTGGTGGTAGCTTCAAGACCGATTCCCATGACGAACGAGCTGGCGCGCAGGCTCGTGGACTGGGGTTGATGCTGGGTCTGGAGTGACTATTCAGCCCCTAGTAAGCACACAACCTGGATCACGCAGAGCTTACAGTCTTGTTCATCTGCCGCATCCATGACTGAACGAAATATGTTAGCACATGCCATCGGTTACCAAGGTCCGAAAACCGAAACTCGGCTTTCCAAATGTTGGGTGTCCTTCTGGTTACGTCCCGAGGGATCATCCTTACATCATTAGGTGGACAGTTCCCAGTTTTTAAAACATAACTTATTGAGATGTGTACTGTGTACGAAGTCCTAACCTTAGGATAATGTGACTTTAGTTCCAATGCGAAAGTGCGGAGAAAGGGTAGTTGAGTGGTCAAGGGTGTGGGGGACAGTGCCATCCATTGCATAGTCATGTTCCTCGGTAACTTTTCCTGCGAAGTTCTCGGCAGCGTTGTAGCCTAAGCGGTAGCGAGCAGCTGTTGCAAAACCCTCCTCTTTTCCTAGCGCTTGTGTTTTGCATGTGACGCTGCTACACGAGTGTGTGCAGTTGATGAATGATTAGAGAGAGGTACCACGCAGAAGTACTGTCGAGAACCTCCCAGTTGGGTCGCCGGCACAACGTCTCTGGCTTGTCATTTGCTGGAGTAATTTTCTTGGCTACCGGGGACCATTGAGGCGCGCAGACGCCAGGGGGGTGGAAGGGCAATTGGTCCTTGGGACGTAGAGTTGGGGGGACCTTCAGGGACTTTGGACCTGTCACTTTTAGTAAATTTTGGGTTCCAAGATTTTAAGGAAAATGACACATGGATATCCCCTTCCAGTGCTAGGGTGCCGAGTTCAGGATACTAATAATTTCCGTCACTGTCGAGGCTGTGATGAGATACATACCAACCAAGTTGTACAGGTTACGCCACCTCAGAACTCCCGGAGAAGAGCCAAACAAGATGGGAAGTTTGGTGCATGACATTGGTTGTGTCGCATTCTAAGCGACGGCATGGTCGCCGCCTAATAATCGACATGAATTTTGAAGGTGTTTTCCGTCAAACACATCTACAGTCCTTCGACCCCCACACCAAAGATGCAAACTGCACCATTTTCCAGAGTCGATCTATGTTGGTTCGCCAGGGTACCTGCATCTCGTCTGTGTTGCAATATTGACAAGAGTAGCATCGAACATTCGCAATGTTTCTTCAGCAGAAAAAAAAAATGCCAATCTTGTTTATCCCTTGTGGCTACACAGAGGGTGGCAGCATGTTGAGGAATGCTCGCTACCATCCTTGTACTGTCGCTGGTGTGGCTTTGCGGTCTATCTGGGTGTGTCCATCGATCAGCGAATTCGTCCAGCCCAACACGACGCGTGATGAGCACTGCAACACAGAAGACTGTGACCAACAGTGGATCGTGAAGTGGACTGATTTTGTTCCCATGGGACAAACGATGAAAATAGCTTCACCCCAGAGAGAGCTGTCAGGTCAGAAATAGAAATGTACGTGTTTCGCCGCCAGGAGTAGTGGCGTTTCAGAGGTCTGAGAGTTGTCCGCATACGTCAAGGGGACCGACCAACCTCTGAAGACATGGCAGAGACATATGGGACGGAGAAACCCGCGATTATAAACAGTACACTGCATCTCAGCTGTGCGTTACCGCAATTCGACAAGCGGAGGAACAATTCACGTTGTCGACTACCCAGGAGGAGATTATATAAATAATATTAAATACGCCGTAGGTGTTAACCCTCGGTACCTCTACAAGTACTCCCTTAAGGGGCTATAGATGATATAGCGGGCCCTTAAGCCGCGTCGGGCGGTTATACAGGTAAACTTGTAGCCAAACGACTACTAAACCTCCTGTCCCTCCCTAAGTCTGTGCTACAACCCCTGCCTGAACTACCGATAAGTGTGGTAATGTGGCACTTAAACTCGTCCTCAGGGGTGGGATGCTGGTGATGTGCAGAAGATGCTCGACTATTTTTTGTCGCGACAAGTCGTAGTATCTGCTAATTAGGGTTCTCGTCGTATACATCTCAACCATACGCTCAAGTGGATAGACCGTAACGTGGTCAGACGCTCGCAAGAATCGCGGCGAGAGGGCGTGCTGCGCGCCTTCTATCGTGAGGGGACGGGTTCGCCGACGAGCGTTATCGGAAAGGCGAGGTCCGATAAGGGGTCGGATTAACGATTCGAATTCTGGACCGGCTGTCGAGTTATATTCCGCCGACGTAGTGCTTGACGGTCGACTGGCTAGGATGCTCGTAATCCTAAACTGCACCAATCTCCCTATTATCGCTAGGTAGGCGAAGTCAACAAGGTGGGCAGCGCGCCGTAAGGGTTGACTAAACCCCCTTGTGTGTCAGCTGCGGGATTCGAACCCGCGACTCGTCACCGACCCAAGTGGGCGAGGCTCAAATCAGGACTTATCTACCGGCGAAGTGACCAACTACACCAGCCGACGAGATTATATATATTCTAGTTAGTAGCAGTTGGGAACTGACGCAAGTTTCGCAAGGGGGGTTGGAATAAGGATGGATTGAGCAGCCCTGTAGCGGTCGACCAGACGGTCTCGGCTGCCGTCCCGCTTAGTGACGAAATAGGGACTTTTCTCTGCTTTTCCTCATCATCTCATGATGTTCGTGGAGTCTCTCATAGAGACGCATGGGCCAGTTATTGAGCCGAACAGCCCCGGCATCGCTGGGTTATGATCAGGGACGATGAACAGGGCTAGAATGAAGAAGCCGAGTACGATGTTGGGAAGGACGATCTCTCTGACGATGTGCCATCTCGAGTTGTCTAACCGGCTGTTGAAGTCACCCAACCCCGACCGCTATTGCGGAGAACTCATGGAGATGGTTGTTGTCCGAGTCATGACTTTGGCAACATAGTACGAAGTACATGTTACTTTGTACCTGTTATGCTGGATGTGCAGGAGCGAGGCCCTGGCCTTTTGCAATCAGAAAGTGGATCCTTGGGCGGATCTCTACCACTTGCACTCGCAGGAATGACTTGATATTATAAGCTATGACCCATGGAAGTGGTTGATGCTGCGAGCAATCATACCTGAAGGAATCCCATGCTGCGAGTCGGTTGACATGGACTTAAGGTACCTGGATATTCAAGGGTGCGAGTAGAGCAGCTGATGTGGGTAGCATGTTCTCATGGTTGCCTACTTCGTCCGATGTCGAGCGAAGGCATCATGGTTCGACTAGACGTTTCCAAAAGATCAACAGTTCCTGTCCCGGTGCTCGAGAACTCAGAAGTCAATTGAAAATGTTCCGTGGTAGGACTGTACTCCAGAGTAATCCATGGCGTTACAAGAAACGGTGAGCTGCCCAATTGTGTGACTCGGAAGAGCTCGGCAACGTGATACAACAGCGTTGTGCATGGGCCATCAGGAATCACCCACATTAAGGGCACACAGTTTATCGAGTCGCACGTAGTAGTACTTGTGAAGCACCTCTTCAAATCAAGTCGCCCAGTGGTACACACACAAGTCGATATATACATCAATTGATCACATGGGTAGAAGTCGAGGAACTTTGCGAGGCTGCGACATTAGAGTAGAGACCTTCAGAGCTGTCAAAGTGCCTCTCTCCGGACCTGCCTTTAACCCCTCCTTCCGGTGTGATCCAGAAGTACCGCGACGTACTTTAAGTTAATTAATCAGTGCTTCCACCTGGGGTGGCTCAAAGCTCAAAGCTTGCAGCCCCTTGAGTCCCCACGATTTTGCCCTGCTCTTTCCGCCAAAAGTACGCCAACGCAGCCACAGGGCTATTCGGCAAGTGCTAAAATTGACTTTGGGAGTTAATTGTGCACCCTGATCAACAAGGTTGTTTCACTCTATAACAGAAACGATATCGATTGATACGCGCAACTCTCCTAAGTTGGTGTTGCTGGTCTCATCTTCTGCATGGGATTGCAGCTTCGCAATGTTTGGCAATTGCCCTGGCCCGCAGCTCTGGCGCAGATGGGCTGCCTATTGAACTGATACCTCGGCGCGAAATATGGCCACACACATATTAAGGGATAGGGTATCATAGTATACCCTATGGTCAGCCGTTATGGACGACAATGGCCTAGTGATATTTCCCTCCTGCTCTCTCACTCTCTTCCAGGATCCGGGTTCCTCACCATTTTGCCACGACTACCGGCAGACTGGGCGAACAAAATCCATTCCTGGAATAAATATTGTTTTGTCCCAGAGATCATCTGCCGTCCTCGAGTGAGAGGATCGATATCCACCATCCATCACTTGCATCTCCAAATCACAGCCTACCAGTACCAGCCCACCTATACATCTCTTTCCCATTCGAACCTAGGCTGACTGCTAGTCTTGTGCAATTTCATCAATATAGAGCAAGGGTTCTAGCTACTAAGAGCAGACTCTCACCTGAGCCAATTTCTTGCTGGAAAGAGCCTCCCACCATCACTTTGGGCGACGCTCAGCGCTGCTCCACTGTCCCTGACAATCCCTGGCCGTCGAGTCCCGGGTAGCAAGTAGACTGGGACACACTCCACGCTCCCTGACACCTGCCCCCTCGTCAGTTTGTTCCATGCCCATTCTTCGGTCCACTCTTGTCCATAATAAGGGACCGCTATCCCCCAGCGCCTTTACTATCGGTCCCTCTCTACCGAAGAGGCAAAAGCGCCAGCCATATTTTTTGGTCCGACGTCCGTTTCCCCCTCTAAACCTGCGACGTAGAACTTCTGAACCGATCAAGTGTGGCGCGCCCAACGTTCTTCGGTTACTTTTTATATACCTAATTATTTTTTTTGGCTTTGCTTTACTTTGCCGCCGTTGCACACGCGCCCGCAACGAGCGACGTCGACTATCTAGAGGAGCTTAGGTTATCTTGTCCGCGTCGCCAGAAATCGAATTGTCGAATTGTTTGATGAGGAGGAGCAAGAGGGGTTCTCGGTAACCGAGGGTTAACAGCCCACGTCCAACACCGCCATGTCTACAGATCCTTCTGTTCGCAGGCTGCTGCCGCAGAGCTCGCATGTAGGGCAGTTCTCGTTCGCGCCGCCAGCATACCAACAGACCCGGGAAACCCAGAAAAGTGCGCCCCATCATTTGTGCCCCAGATTTTCAATTGGGTGCGTTCTGACATGCAGATGTAGACTACGTGTTCGTGGATGAGCATAATCGCCACAAGCGGCTGAAAGGTGAGATTTAATCTCCAACGCCGTGGAATTCTAGTTGACTCTTGTGGCTGACCCAAATTTGTACTTGCAGTGATGAGGTATGACAATTTAGCAATAGGCGGGGGGATGGTTTTTTTTGGTAACACTTGTACTAACAATAGACCTCGAAAGAGCTTGTGAAGGTTGCCGGAGAAGGAAAATTAAATGTGACGCTGCAACGACAAATACATGGCCATGCTCGGCCTGCATACGGCTGAAGCTTCACTGCGTTCGACCTAATGGACAGTACGATGGATCCCCGACAGAAACGCAATATGAACGGTCCGACTACGACGGTACGCAGATGCAGGACAGCTTCAGGCAGATGCCCATGCAACAGCAGTCCATGATGGGAGGCCATTCCAAGCCGGGCATGTATGGTGCGCCAGGGCCATATCCAGACAACCAGGACGTCTATCAGACAGTCCAGTATCCAGGCGGTTCTGGAGGTCAACACAATATGCATTACACGACGATTCCTCCCCCCGTGGGCATGATGGACCAGTCATACGCACCCGCAAACGTCTTTCCGACCCCTCCGATGCACCAACAGACGGCTCATTCCGAGTCCTCGCCCGAGTCATACCATCAGGACCAGTACGGGCAACATGACGTCGCCGACCTTCTGGGAACGCTCAAGATCGATGAAAGAGGAACTGGTTAGTCGCACCCATGTCTAGCTTTGACGTGCAACGTGTCACGGCCATTAGCTGACTTGCCACAGCACCATACTTGAACAAGAAACAGTCGCTGCGAAACCTGCAGGAAGAAGAGCCGGTCCTCGAAGAAGTTGACGATTTCAAGATGCCACTGCCGCCGATCACCACGGGACCCGGCCTGAAAATCCGCATTCCACCAGAGTTGATGCCGGACGAGGAGACGATCCTGCACTATTTTGACTTGTATTTTGTAAACGTACATCCTTACGTTCCCGTGCTGAACAAAGCCCATTTTTACCAACAATGGAACTCGAATCGAGAGTCCATCTCCCCTCTGGTTTTGGAAGCAATCTTTGCGGTAGCTGGGCGCTTGGCAGACGAACCCGCCCAGGGCCAACAATGGATTACTCTAGCCTCTAGTAAGTGGTGATGATCTTTTGGAACAAAGGCAACAAATCACTGACCAGGGGCAGAACACGCCGATTCATTCATGGATGTGCCGAGGCTGAGTACCTTGCAAGCCCTCTTGATCATCCTCAAAGCTCGCGAGGCATCTCCCAAACGTGGCTACTATTACCGCTCTTGGATGTCCATAGTCAACTGCGTCGCAATGGCCAAGGATCTTGGTCTTGACGAGCACTTCGAAGATCACAAAGCTGGCAAGCCTTGTGGGTCCAATCCCCTCGAGTGCTGTATGAAGACTCGAATCTGGCAGACGATTTTTGTCTGCGAGGTCATGATTGGCAGTCCTCAAGGTCGCGATGATCTCTCGGTTGATTTGAATTCCTTGGACTTCAGCGTTCCAAGACCCATGCCCGGTGGCGACGAAGCCGAATATCACGTTGGTCGAAATTTCACCTACTTGGCTCGAATTGTGCACAACATCAGCCGAATGAACTCTGTCTACAGCAGGATAAAGAGAAGGAAGGACTGGGGTATTGACCCGGAATTCGTCCAACTAAACCCATCCCTCAACGCGTGGCTGAGCGACCTCCCCGCCGATCTATCCATCACGTTCCCTCCGGACAACTCGCCTCCTTGGTTGCCATCGCACTATATTGGCAATCTGCACTCTTACTACTACCTGGCTCTGATTCTACTTCATCGACCTCAACTCACTTTCCTCGAGCCGACGAGCCCGGATGGGCAGTGGAAGTCACACATGATTCTGTGTTATAATTCAGCCAAATTGCTGTGTCGCACGCAAGAATCCATGTTGCAATCCTATGGTCTGAGTGGTCTTCAATGCATGCAAAGAGGCATCAGCTTCACCATCTACGCCATCCTCTCGTGCATCGTCCTCCACCTTGTGGGTTCCAAGGTGCTCTTAGTATTGCTGGGCAAGCTTAGCTGACAATCTCACAGGTGGCCTTGACGTCTCCGGACCCCGATCTGAACACCGACGCCCGGGACTACTTTACACGGCACATGCGGATTCTCGAGAAGACGATGGGGTCCTGGCCCATACCCGAGATGGTCAAGCAAATTGATGCGGTTCGAGAAGCGTTCTCTGCTGACACCCGGAAACCCTTTGTGCTAAAGCCTAGTTTTCCCTACGGGAGCCCGTCCCCTACGACCCAATCTAGTCCGCCTCGTGCCACTACTTTCAGGCCGCCAATGCTCAGGACCGGCTCGATGGACCAGGGCTTAGATCAAAACTCGCAAGTCAGTTATACCAGCCATCCAATCACGCCACCAATTTCCGCAGGTGCTGGGGACAACAAAAGTGACTCTCCTGCTGTACAGTCACTCGTCATGATGGCTTCGGGCCAGAATTCGCAAGCTCCTCCAATGCCGCACGGAATGTCCATGGCGGATCCGCCAAGTTGGAATCCTTCGCGCATCTTTGAGTAAGCGGCCAATGTAATGACATCTTTTCGCGGCTTTGCTAACTGTCCCCTAGTCAGTGGAACACGACCTTCGGTACGCCACCAGCCCAACCCCAGCCAAGTTCCGTTGCCCCTCAGTCCAGTTCTCTAAGTATCCCCGCTTCTTCAGGTGCCCCAGAAGTCCCATCGATCCAGGACATTCAGAGCGCACACGCCAGTCTCCCAGGCGCTTCCCAGTCTATGGCACCCCAGTTCTCGGCCCCGCCTGTGCAAACCTTCGTCACGCCAGCCATGTGGCAAGAATCTGTAGCTAGTGTCTACGAGGGAGGTCTGAAAAGACAATGGGACTACGACGGTGGCAACTCGATCGCCGGCGCCATGGCAAAACGTCGCTGATTTACGCCTAACGCCGAGGACGACTGGCGTTTTCTCTTCGACGGAATCATTCTGAAATACGACGACATAACGGTCCAGCAGCTTCAATCCTAAAAACCAGAACAACGTGAGATGCAGCTCGCGGTATCCGCGGTTTCCACGTCGCATGCTCACTACACATTCGTTCAGCTTTCCGAATTCACATGTACAACAAGCGATATCTTGGCGAGGAAAGAGCACCACATAACGTTATGGGTGGCCTTTCTCATGAATCATATGACTGGTATGTAGCGACGAGCGTATTACACAAAATCGGGGATATGTCCCAAGGGTTAAAGGATATTGGAAGTCATATGGTGGTTTTTTTTTGGTTTTAGAAAGTACGGGGGCTCGCATCTTTGAGCTGGGCGTTTTGGGAGTTGTGCATCATGATTTCGGCTGTGCGAACACAAAGGGGATGATATATGACTGGTCGTGGACCCCTTATAGTTTATATCGCTTCACATGGCACCAGACGCTATGCCATGTTGGACGGATTGCTTCTGGTGTAGGCGCTGCTGCGGTGCGTTGTTCAGTGTATGCAGAGAGACGAAGATCGCTTCTGGGTGACACCCCAAGCCCTTTAGCAGAATCAAGAATACCCACCCCCACGTTTGATTTGGACCAAGTATATTTGCCACAGCTTGCGATGTGAGTGTAGCAGGACGTTACAGCATTATTCAGTTATCATCACTGCTCTGACCAGCCATGGGGAACGGCGGATATCAGACTTGCCATGTGTACTTGGACGGCTAATGCATCCTTGGTTCCTTCTGCGGTTTCACATATCTCAGTTATCATTCCCCCTGAGAAATCATACAGCCAATATCCTAATGGAAAGACAAGGCATTCGAGGTTGTGAGTAAGAAATGACAACATAGATATTAGTGGTATGTTGCAGTGACCATGGTGGAAGCAAGGGTGCCCCGATGAGCGTCCCATTGCCCCGAAACCCAGGACTGTCCGAGCCTATGGTACAGTATACCTTGGAGACTGGCATTGGCCCAAGGACAAGATAATGAGGAATGCCAGGTCCACTAGTCTCCAGACCGAGGAAGGAGGAGGCAACGGACGGAATAAGCGAGTTGAATTGAATATATCATCAGGAGTGAAAAGAATGTCAAGGATATCTCCTCGCCTTGGTAGCCAAAGTTTGCTTCGAAAGGACATCATCTAGTATTGGTACATATAAAAAGCACGGAGGCACTTGTGCCACGAAGATGCCACGGCGTTGTCTCACAGTACGAAAGCTATCAGAGAAAACGCAACTTAGTGCAGCCGTGTCACTACGGACGTGAGAGAACTCGGCCTTTTCCAAGTCTGTTTTACGTAATGATAGTTTTTGGCCCTCGGACAGATCCTAGAAATTGATGCTAATGCAGTGACATGGTATACTGGTGTGAGGAGCACATATGCGACATGGTACGCCGAAGTATACTGACTGCGCGCACTGATATCACATGGTCATATCATCTAGGGATCAGAGATCTGTACCTATTATCTTTAGGAATGGTAATTTGTTGTAAGAGCATAATATTGGTTTGTGACTTGTCTCAACATTGAAGCATGTCTTAACTGCTGCAGGAACTTTACTAATATTGCAAGATGAAGATTACTAACGCACTCGAACACGGAGTTATCGTACCCGTCTCAAAGTTCATTAATGCAAGTAAATTACAAGGAGACTGGAAACCCAGTCTTCCGGATGCGAACAACCAGTGCACTTTATAATGAGCCGACCTAGTTGAGTTCTGTATCTGTCTGCAATGCTTGGAAGCCGTTCTATCTGCGTTGTGAGCGGTCATTATGCGGTCATGAGTAGCCGAATTTGGACTGGGGGACTGTATATGACTTTGCTCTATGGGCATGGTGACTGAAGGTGATCCCTCATGAAATGGAAGTTATAGATGTCGATATTCTATGTCTGGCTTATAGGTAGCTAAGATGTTGTAGTGGCGTGTGGCAGACAGGGCACGAGGGGGGTGAGTTCAGTTCCGAATGGCTTATCTGGATGTGCGATAAGGGAGGCTCGAAGTAAATATTGTAGAATTGAATTTGCGCACGGAATAAGGATGCCAAAATGGGCGACGAGTTTCCAACAGAGGCAACAGATTCCATTGATGCGTTATGACTTATCTCGATTAGTATAGTGGTCAGTATACGGGCTTGTCATTTGACATGTACGCCCGGGACCCGGGTTCAATTCCCGGATCGAGAGAATATTCTTTTTCCTCCTATGGAACTTTTTACTCATCTTCCAGTCATTTTTCTGAACTATATAACCAGGAAGCATCTTCCCCCACTCATTTTTTCTTCACAATTTTGAGTCAATATCTGGTGTGACTCAGCGGAAGCGTTCTAGCGAGCCACCTCTATTACCAAGTAATCTAGTTGGGCAACTCAAAATCTAAACAAAGCAAGCCGCAGCGGCATAACAGCAAGTTCACTATGTGTAATAACGCAAGTCTAGTCTTGAAAACACACAACGAAGCCATAAAACCAATCTATTAATTGAGTGTTCCGTGAGTCTCATCAACAGTATAAGATACAAAACGTGCTACTCGGCATGCCCTATGGATTGCACCGCTTATCAGTTAGGGAGATTGATGCCACTAATATTTCAGCTGAAAAGGTCCCTTCCCTTCCACATCAGAATGCGTATTTCGGCATTAACTACGTACTATCGGCAATGGATGCGAATGCTTGACACGGTGTTTAGCGTCGGGCCGTCGACGGGACTCGGTCATAGGCCGAATCCGTAAGTGGTTAAACACCGGGCCCACTTTATAGTCATTAACTTGGTAAGGCTTGGTGGCTTTATTCTGACCTGCTGGTATGTCAACCCGAACGATTCAGCAACAGGCGAACGGCGAACTCAGATATGCGCTGCCAAGGCGCGATTTCAGCGTCACTGACGACGAGAAAACGACCAATTAACCAAGATTGTCACTAAACACAGTGCCATAAGCGCCGACATGGCCGACTGAAACATGATGATGCGGCCAGCTTTTGCGAATGACGAACAAAACTCCCAAACAATGGCTCAACGGGGCTATTTCTGTACCGTCTCATCATCTCATCTCTGCGGCCAGCAGTGTGCCAAGACTGTTTCGATCGTCACGTCACGATGACAACTATGGAGTTGGATGCTTTCGGAGGCGTGCGGTGCATGCCGTCTTGCCCGTGTGGCCCTCCCAGGAAGCAATGTCGATCATGCCGAGCCACGAGTTTATGATGAATCAAAGTCGACCAATGTTTTACTGCTTCGCGACATGCACCCATGGTCATCTTTTTTAAGAACTATAACCACGGCTGTTGAACCAGTCTTGATAAGGCGAACAGAACAGCGGCGCTGTCAGTTAAACCTTGTCGAGTTCCTTTTCACTCATCATCTTATGATGGTGGTTTCGCTAGCCTTAATCTCAAACGCTCCGAGTTAGGAGCTTGTCTCAATACGGCGCCACATCCCGCTCGACCCCTGTTGCCCGACTGCAAACTGCGGCTCTTTGGGCAATCCTGCACCGAAATCCGTCAACGCTGATGGCGTTTGGTGCAGAGCCGCAAGGTCTTGCGCCAGGGACTCCTAGTGCCCCTCGATATCCTAGACCATCGTTGACTTACTGGGTGCGTCCTCCTGGCGCGACTGTCAACTGGAGTACCTGCGCGCAAGCGTGCACTGCGTTCCAACGCCTGAGTGTGCAACTCGTCCCGATGGACGACCCTGGTCGAAACCAACTCCAAACTGGTCTGTTCACCATCTCTTGCACGTACTCTCTTTTTCATTCGCGGCTTTTTCATCACTTTTCCGCCTTCAACTATTGCAGATGCTGTACGTCTTAATTGTCTCGCTGGCTCCACGCTTCCCACTCTTTTGATCGACGCGTCGCCTTTTCCAGTCCTGAGTAATGTTTGCGCACGTTTCGACTGAAATCTGACCTTCCTTTACTGCCCATTATACTCCTGAGGCTTGGCCGTCGTATGTTTCCCGATTGCCATTTCGATCGCTGAACCGGCCTCTCTACTACCTAATATCTGGACTTGAAGATCGCCTGTCGACCTTGTCATACACCCTTACACTTTTTTTTTCTTTTGTCTTTCGGGTTGATCCCACATTATCAAGTTGGCTGGTCTGCTTGCGCCGCTTTTAGAACAGATCGGCACGCCATATTCGAAGTCATCGCAGGTCGATAACACGGGAGGACGAGTCGCCCATAATCCGGCTTCAGGATGAGGGCAAATTTCCACGGCGCCTTGTTTCTCGGGCTCGAGTTATTGGCACTCGCCCAGGTGCGTATGGGAGTCAGGGGTTTGATGCTGAGGGGAAACAGTTCAGCTCATCAGATATCTAGGCCGCCACCACAAAAAACCATGTCAATAAGCCAGTAAAACGAGGATTACTGGCGGACATTCTAGATCAGCTATCGGGCCAAAAGGGGGCGAATGACGACCAGAAGACTGTCACCGAGACAATTCTGAAAACTATCACGGTTGGAGATGGCGGAGCAGCGGGCGGTAACGGATCGACTCCCATGACCGTCACAGTCACAGCGCCAGCGCCAGCGGTAGATCCAGCAGCAGGAGGGTGAGTAAATGGGCGCAAGCGCGGGAAGACGCGGGACTTGAAATCATGGAGGACAACATGCTAACGTGAAGAACAGAGGGCAACCCTCATTTGTAACGACGACGGTTGTCGATACCGCCCCCATTCCGACAGTGACAGTCACGACGACTGTGATGCAGATGATCCCATGTGGAACGACTACTGCGGCCGCCGTTCCCCCAGCTGTGCCATCCTCCATCGCCTCTTCCGCTGCGGCTGCCGTCTCGTCGCCGCCACCAGCAGTAGAAGCACCAGCGGCTACTACCGTACCACCGCCACCACCGCCGCCGCCCACTATCACTCCGTCATCCCCCACTGTCACTCCGTCATCGAATCCGGTGCCACCCCCTGCTGCCTCGACTCCATCCGTTGAGACCGCGCAACCTACACCAACAACTATCCCTGCTACGACTCCGAGTATCCCCACGTCAATGACGAGTTTGATGACTATGCCACGTGAGATAGCCTGAAACCCCTTCCAAAGATGGACTTGAACTGATCAACTGACTCCCACTATAGTCCAACAATCTACTGAACCGGCTGCCTCACCGAGCACCGCCGCGTCCTCACTGGCTCTTCCGCTAGAAGTAGATACGAGTACTCCCGTTGCCGCGGCGCCTGCAGTAGTAGTCACGCCACCCCCAGGGGATGTAGCCAACGCCGGTGTCATCGAGGGTCCCTCCATCAACCTGAGTGGCTTAACGTTAAACAGCATTCTCAACCTCGGCAATCTTGTCACGGTCACCATCGTCCCATAGCATCGCATCGCCTCGCCCCAGAATTGTTTGCTTGACTAGGACAGCACAGTACATAGAGGAAAATACCCACTAATTGCGTTGTAATTATTTCTTTCTTCAATTCTTACTTGGGTACAAAATCCCTGGGACAGTTGGTTTATATGTGTACCAGTTTATGCACCTGAGCAAACATGTGTCGGGGAGGCCAGCTGCAGTCTGGCCTCCCCGATGCTAGACACGCGATTGGGTTCAATGTGTATATAATTCCATTCTCACAGCTAGTATAGGAGCAGGCCAAGAGCTAGTCTCTGAAGGGCATTCCAAGAGTTTACTTACCTAATCTAAGGTCGTATGGTTGACTGTGATAGAGTAGAAGGTCGGCTGAAAGGTTCATTGGCAGATTCCATGCTGATGGTTCTTATCTCGTATTTGACACGTAGGTCATACCATCCCCCGTCACCCTTTGGGTAATTTTAATTGAGTAGGTCGCACTAAAAACTGACCAACTTCAATTACAGGCAAATCAACGGTCACTTTAGTTATGCACTGTAAAGTTGGTGATCTGAGGTAACATTAGGGCCCTTGTGCGACTTGGGACCCTCCCGTGTCTCTCTCCACCTGTAACTCCCTTCTTCGCCTTCGTAGGTAGCCGGAATGCCAGTCCTAGTGAGATCCTTTATATATATCGTAAATACACCGTTTTGTAGCTCTTTTCTCTGGGGTAAATTATGTCGTCGCTTGAATGTACGGCCAGCGCATGTGATAATAGCGGATGGTATATTCGGTCCTCCGATTCGGAAGAGTTAACCTCTTCTTAGCCACCATAACTTTACTTGTCAGGATTTGACCTTGAATAGGAGGAGGAGGATCTCCTGCAGCGGATTAGGTAGTGCCTGCCGTTTCTTCCCCTCCCCCTTTTCAAGCAGTGTAGTTTCTCTCTTAACGCCACACTTTTGGTGCATTCGGCTACTTACTCCGCTTCTATAGCCTTAAACCTCTTGAAAATCTTATAATACTTGTAGCGGCTGCGAGGAGAGGATTAATTGGTAAAACCACGAATTTAGCGGCTTGTTTTCGCGGGAGAATCACTATCAAGTTCTGTAACTTCAAAGGGCTCAGTGGTACCGCGATTCTTTTTTTAAAAAATGTAGCTGGATTTATCCGTACCGTATGATCAGACCTCAGATGGAATTCGTTAGTGCTGGAGCCGTCATACAAGTGTTAGGTGGTGGCCATACCTACTGACCGCCTGACCCCGTTTCAATATACGTACCCGGCGTAAATTAGACTTGTTAATAACCGTACTATACCTATATTCCCCCTCTTAGACACCCGTATCGTCTATATTATACGCATTATCGGGTTTAATACGACAATTTGCATATAATCGTTCGAGGAGAGTATAGAAGTCTCGGGGCTTATTCGAATCGAACGCTTTAATTCGGCTCACATCTACGACGCGCCTAATCTTAGGAAGTATCTAGAGATAGCGACTAACTCAGTGATATACCTAGTATTAGCCGAGTAAATTGTTATCCCCTTAGGTAAGGAGGATTTCGATGGTAAAGTCGCCTATACATTCGTATAATTTTTTGTATGAGATCTAGTTCACGATATGATACGAAAAGGTAGGGGGACCCACTGGTTAGGTGAATCCCATTCAATTAGATACTATAACGTTGCGCACTACTGCATTATAGCATCCTCCCCCCTAGGTGCACGCATCAGCAAGGCTCTAAGATCTGCCCTAAGAATATATCTTACCCTACTATTTAGTTTATAGTAGAGGATCAACTAGGCAATATTTTAGTTATAATAATCGGAACTCTCTAATATCTAAGCTCTACCCTCTCTATTTAGATAAGAGAAGGATATTTAAAGGTGTAGGGTCTTTTTTACTTTCATAAGGGAGGACCAAGCCCCTAGGCCAATAGACCAAAGGATCTAGAAATGTCAGTGGATCCTGACATTTGGTCCGACTGACTGCTATATACAGTACTATATGGCTATGTAATCGCCAGTACTGTGCTATTTACACCAGAGTTTACGATTTCATTTCCTCGTCTCCCTACGTAACTAGGACACTAGTAGATATATACTATAGTAGAGGTCCTACTAAGTATCTCTGATGCGTGCACCTAGGGGGGAGGATGCTATAATGCAGTAGTTCGCAACGTTATAGTATCTAATTGAATGGGATTCACCTAACCAGTGGGTCCCCCTACCTTTTCGTATCAATCTCTATCGTTTTAAGGGCGTATTCTGTCAGGGTACGGCTAGGCCGAAGGCAATAGTACAGAGTGATGGGGAGTAACGGGCGTCCCTCCTACGTAGCACCGGGTGGTCACTGGCGGTCTCAGGTAGGGGTGCCCACGATGATGCATTGATCTCTACTCCTTCCCTATCCTACTTCGAGGTGGTCCTTACATAGATAGCTAGGCCGCCGCTTGGACCCGGCATAACAGCAGGGTCGGCGATGCCGAGGATCTTGACTCTCGTCATCCCAAAGCTTCACATAGATTGTAATCATGACTCGGGAGTCTTTTGTCCGAAACACCCCTCCGGCGGCCCACCGGTGTCCTGCGTTCAGTATCCTGACATATTCGCTATAGCCTTATAGCTTCTAGGTAGCTACTTAGCTATCCGAGAAGATATAATAAGTGCTAGATTATATATTTCTAGCTGTCAGAGCCTCTAGGGCTTTTGATGCGAGTGCATATGGGGTGTGAATTGTTGTATTGGGAAAGGATGGCCAGGTCAGCTATTCTGGCCTGGCAGAGCTCTTTTATAGTTCTGATCCATCTCATCTATAACTATAGGGTAATCCCCCATGGGGTCACGTATCAGCTTTAAAATAGCTATTAGCTTAGCGTCTAAGACCTCCACATAAAGACCTAGATTACTACTAGTGAAACGGGGTTAGGCGGTCGGTAGGATGTACCTATCACCTAACACACTGAGAAGACGGCTCCAGTACCTTCAGATCACATCTGTTGGTCTGATCAAACGGAGATCGTGGTACTGGTTACAAGAGCGAAGCTCTTGTAACGTCTTATACGCGAGTTGGTCGGATGTGCCTCTGAGACTAGCAACGGAATAATTCTCAGAACATAATATCTAGCTCTTATAGTCGAATTGAATCTCTCTCTAGTATAAAAAAATGAATATAAAGATAATTAAGGATAATAAAGGGGGATAAAGAAGGATATGAAAAAGGTATGTAGAAGGTTGAGATATATGAAGAAAGTTGAGAAGAGGACTCGTATCCTACTCCGTCTCTGTGCTTCTTAAAGAAGAGAAAATAAACTTTCTCCTAGCCCCGTAACCTATTTCCCCCGATGTCCGGCCTTACCCCGTTACACTAGTAGCAGAGATTATCCGGTAGTCCTTTACTATTAACTATACCTTAGGATACGTCGGTATAGAAGATAGTAGGGCTATCCGTAAAGGTAAGAGACATTATTAGGTCTAAATGTCTTACTTTAGTGTTAGGAACGGCTTGGCCGCAAGGCAATAATAAAGAGTGAAGGGGAGTAACAGGCATCCCTACTGCTGGCCACCGGGTAATCACTGGTGGTCTTACTTATGCATACCTAGAATAGTTCATTGATATCTAATCTTTCATCCTTCTTCCTCTAAGACACCTCCGCTACATAGATAGCCAAAACCCCCATTCGGAACAGCAGAGCGCCGATTCCTCGGTATTCCAAGACGTCCATAATATTCTATGACCCATAGGCCCCCACGCCGGCCACCCACTGGCTCTGGTGCGAAAAAGACAACTGGCCATTTTTCGTGCAATGTTTGTCGGTATCTTCGCTCTCGTGGGTATTTCCTGTACTTGGGATAGGTAATAGCGCAACTCAGGAGTATATTTAAATGCTAGCATACTCATGTTACTGTAGTATGTAACCCAACAGCTCGTCCCTTACATGGTGGGAAGCAAGAATAGTGCGAGGTGGATGGCAAGATTATCCTAGTACTCGTCACCAACATCCGCGTCATGCAGTTCCCAGCACGTGAAGCCGAATGTACCAAGGACAAGCATAGTTTCAATGAACAAGCAGCCCTATACATTCCAGATTCCCGGGAATCGATCCTGGGACATCGTAGAGATCAGCTCCAACAGATCCCAGATAATCAATATAGCTGCCTACAAGTATAATCTGTCAGCAAAGGACTCTCCGTTTGTTCGTGATAAAAGACTCTCAATACACCAAGGAAACATCAATTACAGATGATATGGATGGTATGGATGGTATGTATGCGGTTGGAAGACTAATACAGGCAAGCCTGAAAATGGCAAATGCTATCCTGGAGAGTCTCAGCACCCAATACTTGTAGACCCATGGAGGGCATGGGAATCCCGTCCTCTTTGGCAAGGAAACTGCATGTTTAGTCCTGACGTTGTCCGGTTTATTCAGTGTTTTTCCCCGCTGAAGCGATGATTCACCCCAGTTTGGTTCCCCATCCGCGTTGATTGAAGAAGGACGAGGTGGTTGAAGTGGGATTTTCTCGTAGACTGATCGTCTGGGGAACTGCTGATCCCTCAACGTGCGCATGTTGTTGGAACAACAGACAAGACTTCACGTACGATGCTTAAGGATGGATGCTCAAGTATGATCAGCGAACTTTATTGGGGGAGGTAGAACGCGGGTCTAGCACACTGAAATATATCATCTTTGGCGATCTAGATCTCTGTCAGTCTGTACACGCTGGCGCAGCTGCAGCATCATGCGTACTGCAATTTTCAGACTTGCGGATCTGCATTTCCACAATGTCCATCGGGAAATATTGCCAAATGTCGTTTCACAGCGTCAATCGACAGATAATATGTGGGGTCATTTCCCATCATTATTGCTGACTGCATATCTAAGAAACCGGATTTACCATAGTAGATCTGTCGTGCATCCATCTCATAACTCAACTCCATCAATTCCTTGCCCCTGATCGATTTTCGGTTTAGATGTATCCAGCAATGTCAATGAATGCGTCACGGACGGCTCCAACCTTGCATTTGGCTTGGAGCTCTAGTTCGCCCGGAAAATCATCTTCTGGGTATTATAGCTAGCCTTCTGCGTACTCAGTTGAGTTGAAACGTTTTTACCGTCAGTCATCACTTATACAGTACAATATTTGAGGCCACTTCTATCCACCACGAGCATCTCAACTGGAGCCATTATGATAAAAATGCTGGCATTGGGGGGTCTTCTCACAGCAAGGATGGAGATGGACAGAAGCCATTAGTATTTCCATCATAACGATATGCGGCCTCTGTATCCTCATCTGCCTACTTATCAGCATCTCGGAAAGGCCTTTGAAGAGTGTTGCGACTCTACACCAGGGAGACTGCGGCGACACGACAAGGCTTAACATGGCCTTACACTTGGTCCTCAACATGATATCGAGCGGGGTGCTGGCATTGTCAAATTTTTTATGCAAATACTAAGAGAACCGTCACGAGAAGAAATAGACCGAGCTCATATGTGGCTATGCTCGCTAGATATTGGAATACCATCGGTCAGGAATTTACGCTACTTATCCCCATTTAAGGCGGTGAGCTGGCTTGCGCTCCTACTATAATCCCTCCCGATACACCTATTATTCAATAGTTCAATCTTTGAGACAGGCTACCAAGGCTTGCAGTGTCGTCTGACTATTGCCACCCAGACTTTCCTCGATTCTACTCAAGCCGACACGAGCAACTTCTTTCCCCCAGGGGCGGCCTTAGCACCCGCCGGAAACCCTGGCCCAGGATACGAATGGGATGATGGTTTAGATGATTATGTTTCATTTGATGCCTTTGTTGTCAACCAGCCATGTGGGTACGGGAAGCCGTCCCACTCGATCAATACTGGGACAGCTCATCAGATGTCTGCCAAAATATCTCGAAAACATCAGGCGAAGCGCAAAGCTCCTGGATGCGGCTTCAACCAGACGAGTAGTACGGCGATGTGGCCCAGTACTGTAAAGCCCGACCCCTATCTCGTAACCTTTGTTAGGCCAGCTTGTCTAACATGTTGCTCTTCGTTATTATCGCTTGCATTTCTATCAAGTCAGTACAATGTGGCATTGTATTTTGGAGACTTCCATAGACATCTCTAGTTATGCCTGGCGATGCTTTGGAGTCATTTATCCAGCAACCTGATCCTAATACGGCGAGGCTTGGTACTCTCGATATCACCGACAGCCGCCGCCTCGAGTATGAAATATCCCCTTTTGTCGCTCAAATTGACGATACAGCAGACTTCGACATGTAGCTAAGGCCGTTAGTGAGGCCACACAGATGGAACACTGGAAACCACTGTCGACTGATGTCCATTATTCCCCGAGCTGCATGGACAAGAACTTACCTCCTACTGTTCTTTGCAATCGGGTCCTTATCAGCTGCCCTCGATGTGGTAACGATAAGCGAGAGCGTTTCAAGCTTGTAGACTGATGTTTTTAGACTAATACCGAATACACAGCCGCGGTGGCTTTGGCAAAACGGATGAAAACAGATCGACGGGAATTCTCTGAGCCAATTCATCGTATCTCGGGACGCTGCTCTTTGCGAACACACCCCAGCTGATTCTATCACTCTGCTACTTCTCTTACAATGCCCTCTTCACCCGCCTCCAGGTCGAGCAGGAGTGGAACGCCTATAGCTTGCCAGAGTCAGAGTCGTCTTACAGGCTGCTGCACGTCTCGCATCCGCAAGGCGACCAGGTCTCGAGCTACCGGCTACAGTTGCCGTATAAATACAGCATTCCTCTCCTTATCGTTAGCATTGGGCTACATTGGCTCGTGTCTAACTGTTTGTTTATTTACACTGTGGAAGGAGGTAAGCAGCAGTCACAGCTAGATATCGATCACATTTATCGTCGAGTTCCAAATTGTGTAACGAATAAAAAGGATACTGGCGAATAGACCAAAAACCCCGGGCTTCACGTCTCAAAGCTTTCTACGCCAGTTCGGCGTTTCGGACGATTCCCTGGTCGCTCCGGGCTTTTCCCCGCCTGCAATCTTGGCCTTATTCGTCGTCAGCACCGCCATGTGTTGTATTCCCGTTCTTTTCGCACTTAGAAGAGTGCGTGGGACTACAGTTGCCGGCGGTTACCACTCGCTGGTCTTGTCTGCGGCTTGTCACGCCCCTAGACGACCCGCTCGGCAGAACGTTTCGATCGAAGGCAGAGAAGAAGACTCCACAGGGGAACACTCGCGCACCCATTAACATACAAAAGCAGAGAGCGCGAGAGAACGCAGGCGTGAAAGGGACTTGTACGCCCTGCCTGCGGAAGCTGGTCCGTCAACGAACTCCAGCTCCTTGCATACCGCAGAAACGGACGAGCTTCCACGAAGGATCCCCACTGCTTTGGGGCGCCATGCCTTTGTTCAAAGACCCGAAGGAGAGCTTCTTGGTAGAGAGTGGAAAAGAGGTCAGGCATCTTGGCTTCGGAGGGGCGGAGCATGACGTGCGTCCACTCGAGAATGGAAAGTTTTACATATAACTTGTTGTCCTATATTTCATCTGTCTCTATCGCAGTGAACCGCCTGTTCGCGTGTTGTGTGGCACGCTTATATGATTTCGTGCGTCATTTCCCCCCCGTGGCCGTCAGAGGGCCTATAAGTCAACCAACCCATTTGCGGCCACCCCACTCCGCGACCCGACGCGACCCTATGCATCTCCACTACTATTTTCTATAGAACCGTATAACCGCGCGTCTAATTAATAAGAAACTTACCCATTTATGAACCTGGAGTCACGAAGCGATCAAGAACTTCGCTACTACAACTAATGCTACGAGAGCTATCTAATCAGACGGAAAGCGTCTATTCTAGTACCGTCCTAACAGTGTGTAAGGTGGTAGGTATATACTACTGACCGGCTGACCCCGCTTCACTGTATAATAGATGTAGAAAATAAATAAATAGCTTCAAGCCCGGATATGATAGCTAGAGTCCTAACTGTAAGCTCGTAATATAGTGTTTGATACGTGACCCCATGGGGGGTTACCCTACAGCGATAGATAAGATAGATAAGATCAGATAAGAGCTATAAAAGAGCTCTGCCAGGCCAGAATAGCTGACCTGGCATCCTTTCCCAATACAACAATTCACACCCCATATGCACTCGCATCAGTGTTATACGATACTAACCCCCGACTCTAAAGAGTTTTGATTTAGAACATGGTGATATCTAAGGATGATTAAAGTAAGTTAAGGCTTATCTCCGCTATTATGAGAACACGATGATTTCTAAGGCCTAGAAGGTACTCTACGCCGTACGTGGTTCCTGAACTCGTATTTGCAGCAATATTCAGTATAAGGGGTCGTTCGGTAGGAGTAATATACTAGTCAGTCTCCAATAACTGTTTTATAATCCGCTTCCTTGAAACTCGTATGCTCAAGCACCACCGAGGCACTGCCGCTGCGGCGGACGTAACAATACGTCGCTACAAACAATGTAAGGCCCTCCAAGCGCCGCCTGATCCAGCTGCTTGGAAAACAATCTCAATCCCTACTTGAGCTGAACGCACTTTCCTTACTAAATAGGCTAGGTGCGTGACACAGGCCTCCTCTTATTCGACAAGTGGAGATGCATCCAAGACATGGGGCGTTGTAGCTGGAAGCTGGAAATCCTACAATGCGCAGACGACATTACTTTTCCACCAACCACCACATTTTGACTTTCTAGAACTTATCTATATCTAGCTAAGGCCTCTAGCTACTTACCTATACATGCATAGTCTACCTTTCTCACTGTGCCGCTCCTACAATCAACTCTACATGCCTGCCCCTTTCCGCGCCATCATCGTCGGCGGCGGTCCCATCGGCCTCGTTGCCGCCCATATGCTGTCCCGATCCCACATCGATTTCATTCTGCTTGAAAAACAAGATACGCTCTTCGCTGACCGCGGCGCCAGCATTGGGGTTTATCCGCAGACTTTCCGGGTGCTCGACCAGCTGGGACTGCTGGACTCGCTACGGGAGATATGGAGTCCGCTGAAAGACAAGTGCTTTGTCACGCATGGCGGTAAAGTCTATCGCGAGCATCCGCGGTTTTCTTGGATGGAGGAGAAGTAAGTTGGTTCATCTCACCCCTCATGCTTATGTACTTGTTTATTACTGTTTTTCTTTCGAGGAGTTGAGAATATGATGAAGGGTTGCTTACTAAATATTTTATACGGTGAAGCCATGGCCATCCGTTCGCCATGTTCCATCGCGCCGAACTGCTGCGGGTGCTGTATGAATGTTTTCCCGAGGAAGAGAAGAAACATGTCCTGACCAACAAGCGACTCGTGAATGTGACGACACAACCTGGGCGTGTCACGGTACAGTGTGATGACGGCTCGATTGAGTCAGGATCGATGGTCATAGCAGCGGATGGAGCTCACAGTGTAGTCCGGTCGTGTATGCGCCGTCTTGCGGGGGCTTCTTCGCCACATGCGCCTTTGAACAAGGTGAAGCCATATGTAACGAAGTATAGACTGCTATACGGTACTGCAAGCCTCATGCCTGGAATGCCGGCAGGGTCCAGTTGGGATGCCCATGGTGTTGGGATGTCAACGCAGCTGTTCGTTGGCCGCGATAAGGCGTGGTTCTTCTGGTACGAACCGCTGGAGTCGACAACCCAGGAGCGAGTCACTTACACCCGAGAGGACGAGAAAAGATTCGTTAAGAAGTGGGGCCATGTACACATAACCGACAAGATCGTCTTGACAGACCTGTATTCGGCACGTTATTCCTCAGGCATGACGATTCTGGAGGAAGGGATCGTTGAGCATTGGAGCTGGGACCGCATAGTACTCGTTGGGGACGCTGTAGTCAAGACGACCACCAACCTGGGGTTTGGCTTCAACGGCGGCATCCAGGGGCTCGTTACGCTTATGAAAGGTCTGAATAGGCTTGTAAGAAAGCAACGTGGGGGAGATTCCATTGCTGGGGATTTTGATTTGGTATTCCAGGAATACGCAGCAAAGTCGATACCTCTCTCGGCCAGGTTTGTGGCCGTATCTAGTCGTGCACTTAGAGAGAGCACTTGGTCCACTTGGAAACATTGGCTCATGGATAGGTATGTGAAGGGAGCAATTGATGCAGACCGGAAGATGTACCATAAGATCGGATCTCTAATCAGCCAAGGACTCGTGCTAGAGTTTTGGGGGGAGAGGAACCTGCCTCCTGGCAGGATGGCTTGGTTGCATTTCCCAGATCAAGCGGCATGCATAGGAGATGTCTCATAGTTTGTTTATATCTGAACAGGAGATAAGAAACTTGCGCCGCCACCAGAAGCTTCTGCTGACTGCCATTGGCATAATTAAACTCCTATAGTCAGCCTATTCATAAGGATGCGCGCAATGGAAAATAGAATGGAGTCTACCACTTGAGGCTTCCTGTTTGAGGGACGTATTGAAGACATGGGGAAAGTTCTTGCTGGCAGAAGCTCTTCGCCTGTGATGAAGGCCTCTGGATATTCCCCGCCTCTGTCAGGACGAAGCTGCCCGCTACTTTGCGTTCGTCCTTGCATGCGGCTCGGTGCGCAGCTGGTCCAGTCTTGCCACATCGTCACGGTTCCTTCCCTGGCTACCAACTTTGGCGTTGTCATGTCGGCCAGTGCCCACTCTGTGATTTGACCACCAGTCACCTGCCTGACCTTTCTTTCAATGAGAACACTACAAGACCTTGCTGCAGTCTTCTTTTTCCAGAGTCAAGCTAGAAAAAGTAGTTTCCTTTTGACGAGTAAGTTGACAGATATCACTGCTCTGACTCGCAGCTCAACGACCTGCTATCCTCAACAGACTTGGCTGGCTTACTGGAAGAGATCGCTGGTGGGCTTCTGGCTGCTGGCCACTTACGTGATTGAACAGAGACCAGCTCAGGCTCTGTAGTTCACCTGCATCAGCAGCAGTTTGTTCACATCCTTATCGACAACTTGAATTGGAGCCATGTAACGCTGTCAGTCCTACTTCTTTTTTTCCCTTTCGGCCATCAATAGCTGACAAAGAGTGCCAGGGCCAGAAACCATGGCTTGCCTTCAGGTTCCCAATGGCCTCACCAAGGGTCATTCAGAGGATCACCATCAGCAGCGTGATCCAGATGAGACCGCTGTTACAGTTCCCGTTTGGCATCTTGAGCCTGGAGATATTGAGCCGGGAATCATCGAAGCCTCTACAGCCACAAGCAGAGCATCCACTCGAATTGTGGTCTGCAGATGTATCATCCCAGGGGCACTTCGACATACACCAATTAACGGCTTTGAGTTGGTAAGTCTTCCAAGACTTGGGGTCTTGGAAATGTTCACAACTGACATGGCAGTGAACAGGTCACTTGTTCAAAATGCATGTTCACAGATTTGCCAAGGAAAAAGACGTATACAGAGAACCTATCCTATATATTGGAAAAGGCAAGGCTCTCATGAACCCCCGGTTGACTTGTTGGAACCTCCCGTCCAGTTTGAGTTGGCTGATACAACATATAATATAGTGCCATATGTCTATCTGCGGCAGTCTGAGGCGTGCAGCTGCACCCACTAGCGCGGTGGATCGGCGGGGGTTTTTCCGGCGGAAGCCTGCACTTAGGCTGCAGAAGTGGCTACGCAATCGCGTCACCAGCAGCACTGCACTGCCACATTCACCGGCATCACGGCGACTTCTAAGATTCGCCTATGCGATTGTCGTCCACGTTCTCTCTGATACAACCCCTGATTCCAATACCCAAGGTCACAAATTACTTCAGCAACCTCTCTGGTTGATCGCCGATCTCCTTTCAACAGTCCCGGGCATCACCACCCTTGTCTTTTGGGACATCTATTCTGATCAATCTGCCCACTATTAGAGCAGTGACAGGGGGAACAGCCCTGTTCATGCAAGCCCAACATGGTGAGGCACAAGTGATGCATGGCAAACAAGTTACTTGACACTGACGATTGTCTGTTTTTAGGGCATCAGCAGGCGCCCGAAAGATAAGTCAGGCCAGGCAGCCCACGCTGGCAGTGGACAAGCGCAATCAGCCAGCGGCGCAAAGCCCAAGAAAGCCACCTTCGAGACGACCAAGAAGAAGGAGATAGGTGTTGCAGATCTGACATTGCTCAGCAAGGTCTCGAATGAAGCCATCAACGAAAACCTCAAGAAGCGATTCGAGGGTCGCGAGATCTACACATACATCGGCCATGTCCTGGTTTCTGTCAACCCCTTCCGAGACCTCGGTATCTACACCGACCAGGTCCTCGACTCTTACAAGGGCAAGAACCGCCTGGAAATGCCGCCGCATGTGTTCGCCATCGCCGAGTCCTCGTACTACAACATGAAGGCCTACAAGGAGAATCAGTGTGTAATCATCTCGGGCGAGTCAGGCGCGGGCAAGACTGAGGCGGCTAAACGCATCATGCAATACATTGCCAACGTGTCTGGTGGTGAGAGCGGGGACATCAAGCAGATCAAAGACATGGTGCTGGCCACCAACCCGCTACTCGAGTCCTTTGGAAATGCGAAGACGCTGAGGAACAACAACTCGTCACGGTTCGGCAAGTATCTTCAAATACACTTCAATGCAAATGGCGAGCCGGTCGGAGCAGACATCACCAACTATCTGCTGGAAAAAACCCGGGTCGTTAGTCAGATTGTGAACGAGCGAAGCTTCCACATCTTCTACCAGTTCGCCAAGGGCGCATCGCCGGAATATAGACAAAACTTTGGCATTCAGCAACCAGAAACCTACGCATACCTCAGTCGGTCGAAATGCTTCAATGTCGATGGAATCGACGACCTTGCCGAGTTCAAGGACACACTAGATGCTATGAAAGTCATTGGCCTGTCTCAGCAAGAGCAAGATTCAGTGTTCCGTATGCTTGCTGCAATTCTGTGGGCTGGAAATATCTCCTTTATTGAAGGGGATGACAGCTTCGCGCAAGTGGCAGACCAGTCTGTCGTCGACTTTTTGGCATACCTCCTCGAGGTCACGCCAGCTGCATTGGTCAAGGCCATCACCATCCGCATCTTGACTCCGCGAAGTGGTGAGGTGATCGAGTCTCAAGCCAATGCTCCTCAAGCAACCGCAACGAGAGACGCGCTGGCCATGGCCATATACTACAATCTGTTTGACTGGATTGTTGGAAGGATTAACCAGTCCTTAAAGGCAAAACAAGCCACTTCGAACAACATCGGCATTCTCGACATTTATGGATTCGAAATCTTCGAGAAAAACAGTTTCGAGCAGCTTTGCATCAACTATGTCAATGAAAAGCTACAACAGATCTTCATCCAGCTGACACTGAAAGCAGAGCAGGATGAATATGCTCGCGAGCAGATTCAATGGACTCCGATCAAGTACTTTGATAACAAGGTCGTATGCGACCTTATCGAGCAAGTCAGACCTGTTGGTGTCTTCTCTGCCCTGAAGGACGCGACCAAAACAGCGCACGCTGATCCTGCCGCCTGTGATCGTACCTTTATGCAGAGTGTCAACGGCATGAGCCATGCTCATCTTACTCCGCGCCAGGGAAGCTTCATTATCAAGCATTACGCTGGCGATGTGAGCTACACTGTTGAAGGTATTACCGACAAGAACAAGGATCAGCTCCTCAAGGGTGTACAAGCTCTCTTCCAGCAAAGTCAAAACCAGTTCGTCCACACCATATTCCCTCAGCAGATGGACCAGGACAACAGAAAGCAACCTCCTACGGCAGGTGACAGAATCAAGACCTCGGCAAATGCCCTGGTGGACACTTTGATGAAGTGCCAGCCCTCGTATATCCGTACCATCAAGCCCAACGAAAATAAGTCTCCCACTGAATACAACGTACCAAACGTCCTCCACCAGATCAAATATCTCGGTTTGCAAGAAAACGTCCGAATTCGACGTGCTGGTTTCGCATATCGTCAAGCATTTGACAAATTCGTGGAGCGTTTCTTCTTGCTGTCACCAGCGACATCGTACGCTGGAGAATACACCTGGCAAGGCTCAGAAGAAGCGGCCGTGAAGCAAATCCTGAAGGATACAAGTATCCCGAAGGAAGAGTGGCAATTGGGTGTGACGAAAGCCTTCATCAAGTCTCCCGAGACGTTGTTCGCTTTGGAGACGATGCGCGATCGATACTGGCACAACATGGCCACGCGCATCCAAAGAATGTGGAGAGCATACCTTGCATACCGAGCCGAATCCGCGACGCGTATTCAACGTTTCTGGCGCAAAAAGAGGGTGGGTGCCGAGTACCTGCAACTACGAGACCAGGGTCATAAGGTGCTCCAGGGACGCAAGGAGAGACGCAGGTTCAGCTTGCTGGGGTCCCGACGGTTCTTGGGAGACTACCTGGGTATCAATGCCACGACTGGGCCCGGTTCCCAAATTCGCAATGCGTTGCAGATGTCGGGTAGCGAGAAGACCATTTTTTCGTGCCGTGGAGAGGTTTTGGAACATAAATTTGGTCGATCAAGTAAAGCCAGCCCTCGTATCTTCGTAGTGACCAACAGCAAGCTCTACATTGTTGCGCAGGCTCTCGTCAACCACGAGGTGCAGGTTTCTCTTGAACGTACGGTACCGCTCGGCGCCATCAAGTTCATTGGCACCTCGTCTTGCAGAGATGATTGGTTCTCACTCGGCATAGGCTCACCGCAGGAAGCGGATCCGCTGTTGAACTGCGTCTTGAAGACGGAAATGTTCACTCAAATGCAGCGAGTCATGCCTGGTGGCTTCACCCTCAAGATTGGTGAATCAATTGAGTACGCCAAGAAGCCAGGCAAGATGCAACTTATCAAGGTGATCAAGGACTCGCCACAACCCGTCGACTATTACAAGAGTGGTGCGGTGCATACCCAGCCAGGAGAGCCTCCGTCTTCGGGATCGCGGCCAACGCCGAAAGGCAAGCCTGTCCCTCCCCGACCCATCACGCGTGGCAAACTCATCAAGCCTGGTGGTCCTGGCGGTCGACCTTCACGAATTCAAAACGCCCGACCCACGGCCTCTTCCACCACCAAGCGCGGCCCAGCTTCCCTCCAGACGCCACGTCCGGTGCCCACGCCTGCTACTGTCACAAGTAGTATCCCGAGTCATACACGCAATCAAAATTCTGCCTCTTCAACTTCTCGTATGCCGCCCCCGCCGCCACCAGCTGCACCGCCAGCGAAGGCCAAAATGCAAGCCAAGGTTCTGTACGATTTTGCCGGGCAGAAAGAGAACGAGCTTACAGTCAAGGCTGGCGATATCATCGAAGTCGTCCAGAAGGAGAACAATGGTGAGTTTTACTAATCCGTAACAATGTACTGATCATGCTAACGAACTACAGGTTGGTGGCTAGCCAAGAATGGCAAAGGTCAAGCGTGGGTTCCTGCTGCGTACGTTGAAGAGATAACCGTACTTGCTCCGGCGCCAGCACCTCGAGCACCACCGCCTCCTCCAGCATCCAACGGAGCTGCGGCAAGGAGTAAACCCACACCACCGCAGCCCCCGATGAAGCGGCCAGCTGCTGCGAAAAAGCCTGCTGCTTTGCAGTCACGAGATTCCGCCATGAGCATGAATGCCAACGGCTCAGACAGCAGTCGAAGCAACACCCCCACACCTAGCATCGCAGGGTCTCTTGCCGATGCCCTGAAAGCTCGAAAGAACGCAATGCAGAAGAAGGAAGCAGACGAAGACGACTGGTAGGGCACTGGCTCCTCAAACTGACGTGGGATTCTGCCGAAAGGTGAAGTATGGTGACCTGCGACTTGACACATGTGCTCGTCACCAGAATCACTACGAAGTTATGTATGTTAGAGTAGAAACCCACAGACATCCCCAGCATGATCGTGGGCAACGAGGAAAGCCTTGTCGCTTTCGTAACGATGATGAAAGGCGGCAAGCCACTCGGACTTTTGAAAATGTGTTCTTCTATAGCATTTGGTGGTGGGTTGAGCTCTTGTTATAGATAGATAACCCTTTGATGAACATGCTTATTATTTTCGCCGATACTACATGTCTCACGTGCCCTCGCCATCTTTCGTTAAAACTTTGCGTCGTCGTAGCAGCTCACCCAATGGGATGTCGTCATCTTCCTGATCTTCGTGGAGCGCATCAACGTCCGGCTCGTCAAACTCAGCATCCTCGTCGACGCCATAGTCGGCCAACTGCTCCCCGTCCTCATTAACCCAGCCCGATCTGCCTTCGTTGACAATTATCGGTCCACCAAAGGATGCCCGAGTCGTAGAGTGATTATAAGCCTCGTCAACGACGTCATAATCGTCCACTTCCTCCAGCTCCCCCAAGACCTGATTCCTAGTTCTCTCCCACCGTCGCAAGTCCTGCTCCTGTCTCTGCCGGAACGCTTCCCTTTGCTCCTCAGGGGTGGCCCATCTCCCGCCGTCCTCGTAATGCTCCCTCTCAGCCTCCATCTCCTTCTTCCGACTCCGCCACATCTTGGCATTCCTTGCCTTCTCCGGATCAGTCGGCGGCCACATATCTTCACGGTCGTTCAGCCCGTTCTCCTCGTACTCCCATCCGCACCCCTTCCCCTTCCCGTCCCTGTTCGGCGCCACCTGAGGTCCGCCGGCGAAGGGGAAGAACCACAGCAACACATTATTCGTTCCCATGGCCTGCGCCATATTCTCAAACACGCCCACATCATACGGGAACTCGACCGGATCAATAACCGACTGTAAGGTTCCCGTTCCGGCATCATCCCCAGTCCGCCACCACCCCTCCCCTCTCTCACTCCTCTCCACCACCGCCTCATGCTTCTCAATCTCCCACCCCTCGATCATAGTCGTGTTAAACAACCACCCCTTCACCGTAGTTCCCAACATGATCCCCAACGCGAAACTCATCACCGCGCCCACAAACGCGAACACGGTCAACCAAACGAGCTCGAGGAAGCTGGGGCCTAGGTACGCGGGGAGATGGCGGTTGGACCATAGCGCGAGGAAGCGTTGCGATAAGAGGTAGAGGAGCATCCAGAGGGAGACGTTGGTGTAGGCCAGAAAACGGAGGAAGTGCGGGAAGGTTTGCAGCGAGACGCAGTTCGCTGTCCAGGGGCAGTGATGGTCCATTTTCGGGATGCAGCGCGCGCAGGTGCGGCAGTGGTGGGCGCGGGAAGGTTTGGGACGGGCGCATTTGCGGCAGTGGCGTTTTCTTTTTGTGTGCGTAGTTCCCTTGTCCTCGCCCTCTGTTTGTGCTTCTGCTTCATCGGCTTCTTCGTCGTCGCTTGCGCTTGCCTTCGCGTTCGTCGGATCGATAGGTTTCTGAGCGCGGGGGGAAGGTGGGAAGGTGTACCGTCCCGGGTCGACCGAGCAGGCCTTGCAGTACGTCCACCATAGGCAGAGTAGGAGGGTGTTGAATGCATATTTTTCGGTCTTTGTGAGAGGACCCGGAGCTAGGTCGGGGGAGGAGGCGAAGAGGAGTTGCGAGCCGTAGCCTAGGAAGGCGATTAGGAGACAGACGGCGGGGATGGCGAGTTTCTGCACCGAGAGAGGCGCTGAGGTGCCGACGAGGAAAGCCATGTTGGGTTGGCGGCCATCTGGGTGGGAGGAACGGTGATCGGGTACGTTTGGTGAGGATAGTCAAGTCGGGTGATTTACAAGCCAGACGCGGTTGGTGGATGTTGGAGCTGACGTGGGGGCGCATCCCCGGCTGTTGGACCCCACTAGGCTCCAAGATATCGGTACTCGATCTCGGGGGCCTATGAAATCGGATTCGAACAATAGACGTGCACCTGGAAGGGCGACTTCAAATTCAACACAGCTTCTACGCACCTGATTAAAACCGAGCTGCAACCGATGGAGGCTAGCTTTCTTCATAGGAGAACTATGAAAAGGAGACGTGACGCACAGAGGCACGGAGGCAGCGTAGGCTGAGATGCTGCAGCACCTTACTGGGACCAGAAACAGCGCTTAGGCTCTGGCCCCAAGCTAGTCTAGTAGACCTATGGCTAATATGCCGTAAAGCCAGGTTCCGTCGGTCCTGACCTGCGAAGCGCGTACGAGTAGGCTGTCAAGCTCACGCTAACATTTTGTGGGTGAGACCAAGTTCGTGTTGTGCATGGGGCCGCTATGAGCACGAGGATAACAAAATAAACAAGATCATATTATAGAGTCATCCTGTCATTAATCAAGAGTTTGCCGTCACGTACGCTACAGCATTCTGGAGCCTAGTGTTGCTTGTTAGCGACTCTCCTACAACCCTAATGTGGGCTGTTTACTCACCTAGTTGGCCAATACGAACATGCCGACATGTCATTGTATTCTGGCGACACGTCGGCTAACGCCAGTGAGCGACTTGATGCCACTTCTAGTCCTTGGGCTCTTCAACCCGTATCCTTCAGCCTCCCAGAGCGGCCCCGGCCGTCATTTTGCATCTCATTACTGAGCTTCCTCCTCCTCCTTTTCAGGTTCAGGTTCATGTTCAAGCCCAGGACTCCGGCTGCGACTCCTTCCCCTCCCACCGCGATGCGACTGTCGGCCTCCTCTGTTGCCCTTCCCCGGCGGTGGTCGCACAAACGCAAAGTCCACACCGATTGTCTGGTCCAAGAGCTTCGTTTGGTTGGCGCCGTCAATGGCAGCTCGCGCTTCTTGAAGAGTCGGGTATTCGATGAGCGCATATCCCTATCCATCGGAAATCGAGTTAGTTGTCTGCTCTTCTTGCTTGAAATAGGTTGCCGCAGTCGCGCAACTTGCCTTTACATAACCGCTGCGTCGGTCCAGGTTTAAGTGCAGGTTTTTGATCTCGCCGTAGTCGCCAAAACTGTCGTGCAGTGTTTCCTCATCGGCTTCCTCATGCACGTTGGTGACCATGATAATCCAGCCCTCAATTGATCGGACGGCGGTAGCCTTGGAGTGCGTTTGCATGTCGCCGACCTTGGCCGAGGTGGCTTGCGGGGAGCCAGGCTCGTCAATGTCCATTTCAACGTCCGCCATGTTTGATATTGTGGGTATAGTAGACGGTACTTTTGGCGTATAAAGATAGTTTACACGGGGTTCGGTGATTGTGTTGGGAGGGAGCTTGGGAAGTCGTCGACTGTAAGGCCGTTTGTCCAGTGCCTTGTCAAAGCTCCGAGGCCCTCGCAGCCTTGAAATGCTCAAATGCACTTCATTCATTTTGTGGGGCGGCGATTTCTACAGACTGACCAGCTGCGCTGGAGCCAGCTGCCAGGAAGGCCCGCCGGCTGCTGTCTCCAGTGGGAATCTCAGAGTTTCAAAAGTACCTTCGCACCGTAAGTGCTCTGAGGCCGCTCGTAAGAACTGCATTTTAATTGCAATAGCCAAGAAGTCTGGAGTACGGAATATGGCTTGGCCTCAGCCGTGTCTCTTGACATATATATGAGAAAACATGCTGCTAGACTCGATCATTTCGAATACCCATCTCAGCTTCAGCAATCACCATCATAAGTACCGAGCTTCAGAACTTGGACCCGTAAGGCTGAATCAATGACCAACACCTTAGCATTGTATTTGAGGCAGCAGCAAGCAGTACAAGTCATATAATTGAGGCGCCGACAGATCGAATAGTTGCTCATATACATGCTAATGCCATCGTCACAAGCTGACAAGTCACTTGAGCAGTCCATATAAAAGCTTGAGCATTGAAGGCATGAGTATCAATTTAATAGGATGCTCTTCCAGGTGGGTCCTCTCTGGTGCACGGGCGCACCGGGCCCCACTCCATCCCAAACTGGAAAGGGCAGTTTGTTTACTCCCCCGTTCGCATCCACCGCCGTGATCACGCTTTCCGTGAAATGAAACTTCTCACCATAATTATTTCCCAACTTCGCCGTCCTGCTCGCCACTTGCTCCTACTTTGGACTTTCATATTTGCATCCATTCTTGTCATGTATGCCTCTTGATTCTGCAGCTGCATATTCACAGCTCACAGCTGCCATTCAGCATCGTTGTGACGGACGCGTCTTCGCCTTCCCAAGGTTAGACGCGCCTCGCCCACCCACCTCCACCACCTACACACAGCACTTGTCACATCTTTGGACGCAGTTCGCGTCCCCAGCAAATACATACGACATACTTTAATCACATCTCATCATGGCAGCACACACAGACCGGTTTAAGTCGCGTATCCTTAGGGAGAAGTTTCAACATCGCGACAATCCCTTCAACTCTCCCCCATCCTCTACTGGCTCCCATGGAACTGTCACCATGACCTCAGATCTGTCATATGATCCTGAGGGCGAGTCCACCCGGCGCATGCACAGAGATGACGACTCAATTCAACTGCCTGGCCTGCTGTCCCATCACAAACATGGGTCCAAAGCCCAGTCGCCCTTCAAGGTGAATACCTCGGCAATAGGACGCAATTTCCCCGAGTGGAAAGGTGGCTGGAATGTCAATAGTCGCGAGCAGACCGAAGACATCTACAATGTCACTGGCGATCGTATAGATCAAGGAAAGGAGAACATTCCGCCTTCCTCATCAACTGTGGCTTCCCCTACTCAGGCCAAGTCGCAAACCCCAGGACACTTCAAGACTGGCGGCGGAACTCTTCGAACCCTTGCACAGATGCAAGCCCAAGTCGATGATGACTCTGTCAACATGACCACAGGCTCAAATCCCCGCCGCGGCAATGTTACATCCCTCATTCAGACCCTCAAGGCGGCGCAAGCCACAAGGGAGTCGGCGCCAATAAAGTCGTCACCCAAGCCGGTGAACGTACGCCATTCGCGCATCAGTAATACCAACGCGCGTCCATCTACCCCCAACCAGACCGGTCGATCGTTCTTCCTACCCAACCTCATTCACATCAACGACTTCGTCTCAGGTGTCTTGAAGCTATCATCGACAAAGAATGGCATTCCCGTGTTCGTGAAAAATGGAAAAGTCCACGATCGCGAGTCTCGGACTTCGCCTGACCATCATGCTAATGTCGATGCTATCAAGGTCCCTGAGGACGAGCAAAAGATTTTCGTCTCTTTGGATAAGATCCGGGAGGAAATCCAAGCTTTGCAAGAACACGATGACCAGGTCTCTAGGCAGGCCGAGATTCTCCAGGAAGAGCTCTATGAGCTGCAGATACAGCTCTCCAAGGCCAAATCTCGCAAGGATAGCGCCATGGGCTCTGACTCTGATAGTTCCATGCTTGACCATCTCAACAACCAAAAGTCTCAACTGGAAGAGCAAGTTGCTTCGCTACAATCCAGGCTGGACAAAGCCAACCGCAAGATTAGCATCAATGAGATCCATACCGAGTCGTACATCAGTGAGCGCGACGAAGCGCTTAAAAGTGCCTCCGCACGTCTCGAGGAAATCAACCGCTTGCAATCGGAGCTTGATGCGGCGCGCCGAGAGGTGAATGCTAGTCGAAATGGCGACGCACAAGATCTTAATGTAGTTGAGGCAGAGAACAGAGATCTGCGAGAAGACAACATCTCATTACGACATCAATACAAGTCCATGCATGAAGAAAACCAGTCTCTTCGCTCACACAACACTCTCCTAACCCACCAAAACGTCGACTTGCAAAAAGAAGTAAAGCGACTCCAACGCGAGCTGGACTCTCTACAAGGGGAAAATGAACTGCTGCAGAAGGAATACGCAGTCATTGTCGAGGAGAAGCGGACCATTAAGCAGGACAATCTCAGCCTCGAGCGTCACAATGAGAAGTGGTACAATGACACCAAATCCCTGCAGCAGAAGGTGACTTTACTGGAACAACGGACTCAGGATCTCCAGGACAACAACAATCAGCTTCACCATATGCTTGACTCGGTCAATGCCGAGACGGGAACGATTACGGTCCATATGAAGGATGTTAAAGATAGGATCGAGAAGAAGACCCGAGACCTGACTGAACAGAACGCTCAACTCCGTCAGCAGATCGTCGAATTGCAGGCTGAATATGCATCAAAATACACTTCGTTTGAACAGGAGAAGCGCCGTCTGGTTGGGTCCAATGAACGCCTCAATGACAAGCTCGATCACATCAGCAAGCAGTTTGAGCAGATAGTATGCGAAAGCAAAGAGGAGGCGGCCAAGTACGAGGAGATGCAATCGTCTCTGACGCAGCAACTTGAGGACCTCAAGACTACTCCTACTACTACTACTACCAGCAAGACTAAACCCGTCAAAGTCACACGGATTATTGAGCCAACCACATCCGCATCGAAACACAAGAGCACGTTGAGCGAGATGTCTGCTAGAAGCACCACCTCTCAGACCGACTTCCAGATGCAGGATGATTATACACGGCATATCGACCTTACTCAAGACTCCGACTTTGCGACTAACATGTCGCGGGAGGGGAAGATTGACAAATTGCGAGACGCTCTTCGACAGGCGCAACTTGATGCTCAACAGCAGGACGAGCCTGACGAATACGCAGATTTAGACGAAGCTGCAATCACGGAGGATATGAGTCGAAGTCTTCCTTCTTTGCCGCAAACACGGCGAAATGATAGCATCGCGTTCAAGTCTAAGAACACCACGTCTAAGGGACAGACCGAGACCTCTAAGGCACAGCCGTTGGGAATCTTGAAGAATGTGCAAACCCCCCGTCAGATTCCGGAGCAGGATTTGACCGGACGGTTCAGCGTAAAATCGGGCATGAGTGGGATGAGCTTGCCAAGTCAAGCCTCGCCACCTGACCTCTCCCACGGCCGCCGCCATTCGGATAGTGTACGATTTGACCTCAACGTGAACGTGGAAGAAACATCGGCGCTCTTCATGGATGACATAACACTGGATTCCCGCAAGCGCGCCGTCGAGAGACAGGAAGCACTTGCTGCCAAGAAGGGCAAGGCCACTCCCGTTCTTCCCAAGAATGGCGCAAAGAAGGCCATCCCAACTCTGTCGAAGGATGCCAAGCGTGTCCTGGACAGCTTGTGCCACGACCACGATTGTCGCAACTGCATCGTCTGCAAGCGCATCAACTCGCACATGCACGAAGACGAAACGACGCGAACTGGCGTCAAGACAACTGTACGCGTCGAGAAGCCGATCCCCGTCACGGATCGCATACCCAACTCGACAACGGACTCGGCGTACGAGGACCAGCCAACTCTGCGTCCCGCCCAACACCCAGGCTTGGCGCTGGCCACTGTTATGAAGGGTCTGCGCGACGAGCTCGCTCATCTCGAGGCGAAGTATGCGAAGAAGAATGCCATCTTCGCTGCCATGGACCCTTCGTTTGGCAGGCGAGAGCGCAAGGGGGTGACGTCGGAGATTCAGACTCTGATGCGCGCTATCAATGACAAGCAAGACATGATCTACCGACTGCATGATGTATTGGAGGGTCAAAAGGCCAGCGGGCAGCAGATGACAGAGGACGAGGTGGACGTGACGATAATGAGCATCTTGAGCAAGGACAAGGAGGTGACTTGGGATGGAATTGTTGACTGATTGTTTGTGGGACACTGGAGCGAGCTAATTCACTTTGGTGGAGTAAAGGTGTGTGGCATTCCCTGGAGTGCATGGGTTGGAGTTTCGGATGGTTTCTATATGATTTCTCTGTCTGGTTACAACAAGGCTCCCGGCGGCGTTTGGTTGCAAAAAGGCTTTTACTGCATTGCAGTTGTTATTTGGTCCAAATACACTTGCCTTGGACGGGCTATGATACTATACTACTATGCTTTGTCTTGGGAACTTGCCTGTTATGAATACTGGTCACCTGCTCTCTGCATGATGTGTAAATGCTGTTATGGCCAGTAACTACCCCCCCTGAAGTGTTGACGGTGAGGCCATGGGGCATTAGGTTCACATTTTCTCTCCGTCACCCAGATCATCCCAGCCCGTGCTGATCCCTCTACGGCTCGAGTCTATATACATTCTAGCTAGCTGGGCGAGCCGACAGAATTTATGGATTGCTGGAATATCCGGCGCCACGCAGTATGCCTTTTACTCCTGCTCTACGCGTGTCACACGCACCACCTGACCCTTATTCAAAGTCAGTTGCCATTCCAAACATGGATGGGTAAAGAAGAAGAAAAGGGGTTAGTAGTTTTTTACAGAATCAGGTAACATGTAATTGGGGGTTTTAACATGTTTTGATATAGACCAGACTCGATAGCCGCACTGTTCCCTTTCCCACTTCTGGCATATTCACCTCGAGCAAGTCACACCAGGTACATACATGCCTCGGCCATTACACAGATTCAGTTAGAAGTCTTGTTGTTGCAGATAAATGCTCAACAGTGCAAGTAGTCTTCACATCCTTGCATATGAACCACTAGATAACTATGGAAATACCCCTCGCTTCGCCGTGCAAGTCCATCATAACTACTCCGCTTATAAGCTCGCCTTGCCCCTCGACTCAAACGGCAAAGTCAGCACAATGACCCCGGCCGCAATGAACAGCGCTCCACTCGTATACACGGGCGCGGCCGTCTCGAGGTTGGCGAACATGGCAATAATAGGGGCCATAATGCCGAAGACGCGATTCGCCGACGCCGTCAACGCATTGCCGGTGCCGCGATCTTTCGTGGGGAACAGCTCTGGGGTGAAGGCGTACAGCACGGCGTACATGACGTTACTGGTGAAGTTGTAAGCGCAGTTCCATCCCAGAAGGGCGGCCGAGTTGGTTGCCGTGGTGGAGCAGTAGAGGAAAACGCCCGTGAGCACCGTGCTGAGCGAGAGGGTGCCCTTGCGGCCGAGCTGGGGCAGCTCGACGAGTAGGCCGCCGATGAGGGCGCCTGGGATGCCCAGCACGGCGATGATGAGGGAATTACGGTAGGTGATGTAGGTGGAGCCGTCGCCGAAGTCGGCACCACGGGTGGCTTGGATATAGGGGAGGAAAGCGTTGTAGAGGGGGTAGCTGATAAGTCGTCAGTTTTGGCATGTTTCGTGGCATGCCGGGTGGGGTTATATCAGTGAGGAAGTAACAAGTAAACTGACCCTAGTCCAATAAAAGCCCAAACCAGCATCAAGGCCGAGGTGCTCCAGGCCAGCTTGTTGGTGGCGAATAGGGAGCGGACGTGGGACAAGTTGACAGCCTGGAGCTTACGCTTCACAGCTATGGTGGTGGTGTTCTGGTGCTGATACCCCTCGGGCTCGCACGCCCTGAGATGGTCAATCGTCAAAGGCGACGTCTTCCCGTTGCGTCTGGCCACCTCGTGCACAATGCGCACGGCGTCCTCGTCGCGGCCCTTGCCCATTAAGTACTTAGGGGACTCGAAGATAGTGAAAAACACGAATCGAACCACGAACATGATTAGAGTCAGTCCGCCCACGGCCACCATGAAATAGCGCCATCCCATGTTATCAGACCTAGTGCATTCCGTGTCCGTCTGCTGGCACGTCATGCTGCCCAGAAGCGGCCACGCGATCAAGTTGGCAATGACTTGTGCCACAGCCCAGTCGATAGACAGAATCGTCAGGAGATACTGATGCGAGCCCGGCAAAAATTCCAGAAAGATGGCTGAATCGACGGGCAAGTTTCCGCCCACACCAAAAGACCAGAAAGCAGCGAATACGCCAATGCCTGCGAAGTTAGGTGCCGACGCCGCGATCAAGCCCCATGCCGCTGTCAGTCCCAAAGTCAGGTTGAAAGCCCACTTGCGGCCGAAAATATCACAACCGAAGCCCCAGAACATGGCGCCGGCGAGAAGACCCAGGTTTTGCGAGAGGGTCAGTAACGGGGGTTTCGACGGCGAGAACTCGTTCTTGATGGGTGTGAAGATGAGGGATGTCACGATGGGCCAGAGGTTGTCTGATGCCCATCCAAAGCCCACGACTATGAAGAGTTTCCACTGGTACCATCCCATGCCGATGTCTTGTATCTGCACATAGCCGTCAGCATCGACAACTCCAAGAGTCAAATATGTATAGCTAGTTATGTTGTTTCACTCGCCGCTTTATTCAGCATCCTGGCCTTGGCCTCGTAGACTGGATCCAGCTGTCCCTTGGGAATCGCCGCACCCTCCTCGAGACTGCTTGCAACGTCATCATGGATGGTATCGCTGTTATGATTAGGCGCCTCGTCTGCGGCTGTATGCTCGGGGTCTTTCCCCATTCTGCTGGTTTCGCTGCAAGACAAGTGGGATAGATTAGACAGATGATGAGTCGCAAACTGGGTCCTTTCAGCCGGTCAAAGTCTTCAGAACCACTTGCGCGTCCTCAAGTACGACTGCAGCTTCGAGAAGTCGCACCGACGAGCTAAAGTCGAAGCAGTCGCGCGGCAGTGGGAAACCGAGCAGAAACGCCGCTTATGGCGTGCTTGTTGATCCCTGATGCTTGACTGGTGCAACTTTGCGATTTGCAGCATTGGCCTATCGGTCCTCGCCGTGTCGATCACTCCAGGTTGTTTGGACTTTGCCGATTAGATGTCGCAGGGATCTATGCTTGCTGACGGGGATTTAGTTGCAGTAGGTAGAAGAAGGTGTTTTTTGGTTGGGGACTAGTAAACGTGGGGTATTGCTGGACTTAGACAATGGGCACGATGACGCCTTGCAAGCCACTTCGAACGACAGCCCATTGATTTGAGAACTCGAGCAGCCACTTTGCTTCTTCCGAGGCTTGGTTTCGTACGGGGCTTCAGGCATTTCATAAGCTCTATTGGAGACGGGAAGGCATCTTCATAGATTTGGTTTAGACTTCGGCAACGCTCCAGGAAGCTTTGGGGCATCAGGGGTTAAGCCCACCACTTGTAACGTAAAATGAAATTGGCAGGTGACAGCATTACATGTGTATTGTCATTTTTATGCACAAATATGAAATTGTGGACTAATTACTTAAGTGCTCGTGGTTTCAATAGCTAGCAGTCACCGGAGCATACTATCAGACGAACGTGTGTATAGCTCGGTCGGTGGCTACACCCAGCCTGCTAGAACTCCCCAACCAAGAGTGCTACCGAGGTAAGTCTACATCGAATGAACACAAAATATCATACGAAAGGCCACATCTTATCTCATGTTGTAGAGAGGTAAGTACGCCAAGTTACTGGAATTACTGAAATCAGAGCCGTCGCGCCTCTCATTAAATGCAGGTCCGCGTGGATGAGATCGAAGTAGTGGCTGCTTATAGGGGTACGCAGCTGGTTCCTGTGGTTACCAAGTTCATCTATACTGTTACATAATAAATTCCAGAGCAAATATTCAAACTTAATATAGCTTCTCCATGTGTCATTTTTCATCAACCGTGGTTCAAGCCTGTGCTATAATTCACACTGGACCACAACCGAGGAGTACTCAAACTTCTCAATTCACTTATGAGGGGGGTCAACGAAACTCCATTATCTATCATTTGGCTCTTTCTGGTTCGAGGACAGGACTGGGATACTTTTGCACGTCTTTTCTCTGTACATCATGGAGGCTTATGCAAAGACATGAACTGCCAACTCTGTAACACTCAATGCCTCTAACACAACCGAAATCCCTATCTTTATTACTCGGATTCAACCTTCCAAGCGGACATCAGTAGACCTGAGCAGAACACATTCATTTTATACAACCCTCTACACCGCGAAACCAACCGCAATATAATCAAAGTTGGCACGTCTCATCCGAAACCCCAGGGAGGAAGTGCCTGGCTTGTTTGTCTTCCGTACGCAGCCCCCTGAACGCAAGAAGCCGACAGCAAGTAACTCATCGTCGAGTGTTCCAAGCTCAAAAAATCTCAAAGGACAGATCTACCCTTTTTGGAGGCCCTCACAATGGTCGTTGTCAGTGTAAGCATGCTCAAAGATCTACAAGAAACAACCGCATTCGCAATCAGCACAAACGAGACTAACGTCAAGGGCACGTCACAGGCCTGTCCCACAGACATGATGGCAACCCCGCGCCTCGGTCACATCAACAGTACGAGCTGTTACACATACACATACACCAACACCAACACCACCATTACCACCAAGACGAATACCCAGATAACCCCTCATTCAATTTCACCCGCCCACGCAATCACCCAGAGGTCACCGAAGTAACCCCACCGACCTCCCAACAAGAGGAGAAACCCAGGTTCCAATGCAGCGTCCACCGCCGGGTCCGTGAATCCAAGTGAGCAAGCTGCCCTCCCTGTCGAGTTAGCTTTAGATACGGCTGGTGCAAGACAGTCTCCACCGACATCGCCATTCTCCCCGAGGAGCTAAACACCCCTGCCGAGGCAGCCGGTGCGGGTATGGCACATCGGAGGAGTCTACCAGCAACACCTTCTACCACATCGCGGTTACCCTTTCTCGGTCGTGGTGCAACATCGTGGCGAGCTCAAAACCATGGAGCGAGCTAGTATCATCCGGAGCCTGGAGCAGGGCGATTGACGCATTCACTCGATTCGGTAGTCGGATCCTAGCAAGGACAACTTGAAAGGCGAGGGGAGGGACGCGATGGCGTGGGGTTTGTACACCCCGGTGCTCCGAAAGATGAAGGACCTGGGCGAGCTTCAAACAATCTGCAAATTCAGGCTCAGGCGCTTTGTTGACCTGGATGCCAATGCATCGAACGATAAGCGGATTTTAGTGGATTGGATACGGAGAGAAGTGGACTCAATGTGGAAGGCGTATGTGGCACTCTCCGCCAGATTGAAGATGAGGAGGTTGAACAGTCGGAGGAGGGAGACGAGGTTGATGAGGGTGAGAGGGAGAGGGAGGTGGACAAGGAGTTTTCAGATGATGAGTATTGTTGGATTTTGAGGATTACGAACCTTGATCCTGGTAGATCGAGTCGGCAACTGTCAATAAACCTCAACGCCCAAAATAAAGAATACGCGCCACGTTTCTCAGAATAGTTGTCTATAAAGAGACGGCAGCTATCATACAAGGGTGACAATGTTTTTGAACCAAACTTGGAGCATTCCACACCTTATGGAGGAGTCAGCGATTCCAACCCGTCAGGGACTATTGACCCTGCTGCCAGATCCTCGCCGTATTGATCTATAACCACCCGAATGCTGACCACTCTATTACGATGCTTGAATAACCTTCCCAGCTCCCTCTTGACCCCTTCCATCTGCTTAGACGAAGGACTCACTGCCCACGCACACGAGCCCAGCATCTCAGCATGCATCCTGGCATGAGCATCGGCACACACAAACCAATCCACGTCCGCCATGCTCTCCCGCCACCGCGGATCCTTGGCAACGCACGTCTTGCCATGCGGGACGACAATGTAGATCATCCTCAAAGAGGTCATGTGAGCAAGTGTATCTTGGTCATGTTTCTGCAAGAAACTTCCCCCCGAATCGGTGATGAAGTGGTGGTGTCGAACAGCCAGCTTCTGTATTTCGGGCAGCCAGTGGTCGCGCTTGATCCAGCTGCTGTTGCTTAAGGCCGGTGACGAAAGGCTCCAAGGTCCGAGCAAAGCCTTTGAAAAGCCCTCGTGGTATAGTGTTGGTGGTATCGTGACGGGCTGTTTACTCCCACAGAAGAATACGTCTCTCGTAAAGTTAACCCAGGCATACTTGTTTTTGTCGGCGAATAATCGGGTACTGTGAAGTGTTTCGCCATCACCGGAAATGACCAGTGTTTGCTTGGGAACATGTATGTAGCTCCCTTCTGGTAGGCATATCTTGCGGTCACCAGGCCCCGCATGAGGGTGAACAGGCTGTATGCAATCGGGATCGCCCAATTCGGCGGTCACAGTGACCGTCTTGTTCGTTCTGACATCCACTGCTGCGTACATACAACCACTTCGGTAGTATGTGAAGATGTGACGACGCCGCGGCCTCAAATCGCGATAGCATTCCCAAACCATCAGTTGAAGTTCGTATGGGAGCCTTGGAAAAGGGTGAAAACTCGTGCCGGAGTCCATTTTCTTGTTGCCACCAGGTTACTCCGTGTGTATATGGACAACTTCAAAGCTGGTTATAGAAGAGCAACGGCAAGTACTAATGCAAAACTGACAGCCCAAAATTGAGCAAAGAAATATTATAATAATAGTTGTTGAAGCGGACACGAAAGATGAAAGTGCACCTGGTTTGCCCAGTCTGCTTTTTCTTTCAATACACCCTGTAAATCCCCAACCTGGCCGGCCATCAAGGTGCCCCAACTTATATAGTTTCATTTTAATGACGTCCACCTCGAGAACCTCAACCTCCTCAAAATAATGTGCATTCAAACCTGACGAATAATTCGTTCACGCCAGAACAAACAGTGCAATATTTTGACTGTCTCTACTAGGCTTGCGACCAGCCAAGTATGGGGACATCGCAGAACCTTGGCAGCAGTCTCATCGTCTGCTAGAATTCACTGCGGGCGCCCAACGTAACGTAGCCATTGGTCTGCTTCACATCATCATTGCCCAGAGGAGAGTAATAGAACGAACACTTCACCACAACTCCTAGATTACTGTTCATTAAGTTGACAAACTGAAAGCCGACCACGGATCAATTCTGTAAACGGCACCGACACTATTGCGCAGCTTCCCCCCTTTGTTGTTTTTGATCATGAATGAGATTTGGTTTCAATGTCACGACGAGAAATGAACAGATTCTTCTATGTTTGGAAGGCATTATAAGCTGGAAGTTCCGTATTTATTGTTGTCTTGTAAACCGAATAGCCCCCACGGACAAGCATCTTTTCCGAGCATTCGGACACGGGCTAACTTGTCAGAAAGCTGATTATCAAATCCTCACTCGGAACTGAGGGCAAGGACATAGAAGCGGATCAACGGCTCCTTGCCGAGGGAAAATGAAGAATGCCGAGCATATTGTACAGATAGTAGCTCTGGAAGAACTAGCAACGTCGAACGGAGAAAAGGATGACGCCTCAAAGTCGAACCCCACACCATCTCGCCCAACCATGATCCTGGAGCACCTGCCATACGGTGATTTGATGGAGCTATGGACGAGGTGTTATCAATGGAAAATCTCCATGCCCAACCATGTGCTCTTGGCGTTCTTACTTTGTCGTAAGCCAGCTGTCATCCTGCGCTTTAGCTTTCAGATACATACTCACGATGTGTCAGTGGCTCCTGTCTGCGCAGCGATAGCCTACCACGAGCATCTAGATCTGTCCAATCCTGGCATACGGAACATGTCGTCGTGGCTCTGAAGGCCAGCGTTCTTTCCCAGGAGTCCTACAAGCGCGAGACTTTTTGTTCATTGGGGACCTGATGCCGGGAGACCTGGAGCATGGGCTAACAACAATGTCAAAAGTTCGGAACCTATCCAGCAGTGTGAGACTTCTTGATGAACTGAGCATTTCGTAGATGATTGATTTGCCCGGTCAAGACTGCGAAACGTAATCCCAAATGCGCCAGAGCTGCGCAATAATGTTGACTTTAGGCATAATATACGGGACATGGTCTTGTAAGTCAAATATAACCCTACGAGATCATCCAAAGTCTAGCTATGGTTGACAATCCCGACGCCGTTCCCTTCGATGTCAAGACCAACGTGGCCACTCCTCGGCTCGATGGCAGGGCAACAAAGCGTAACACTCACGCGGCCGTATCTTTCCTTTAAAACGCGCAGATGAATGGGGACTTGAGGACGCTTGTCGTGAGAATGATGTATATGAAATGGCTACTCATGTAACTCTATAAAATGTTATAAAGATCTTTAAAACAGGAAATGACTTTGGATGCGGGTAAGCTGCCTAAAACATAAATACTTTCCGTTGAGAAGTGCATAACTTACTATGATCGAGAAATATTTTCTTCAGACCTGAAATTTTAGTCGCTGGGTCATATATGTCCATATTCATCATTGCCACAATTTGAGATACTACGGCATGAGACGATATGTTCAGGGGAAGCTATACCAAGCATAAGCTATTGAATAATAATCCTATCATGCTAAGGACTCTCCAAGGGGGCATGAAGCAATACTTGGCCAAAATGGACAGATAAAAGACCAGTTTTGATATGCCTTCTCTATGCTAGAGATTTGGATGAAGTTTCGACCGTCAAGGCCAGGAGATTAAACTAGCATTACGAGTGAAAGTTTCAAAACTTGTATTGTGAAGGAAACAATGTCAAGGTACAACGACAGCACAACATATTGAAAATCGCGAAAGAAATCCCCTTTCTTCAAATTTGAACTAAGAGGTCAACCAAGTTAAGTCTGGTAGCTGGGCATGAAAAGTCCGTTCCCAGTCCCATTAAGTACTTTAACCTATGTATTGCCACGGCCTGCTTGTATCACTTACACCTGTTAACTCGGATCCAATACGCACTCCGGCGACGGGTCAACCTAGTGATTGCAAACAAAACTGGTGGAATTTTCGGCTATGACCTTGCCGATTTTGCTTTGCAATCTTGCCAACTACCATCCTTCAAAGAGCCTCATCTCTTCCCATACATGGCCGCCACAACACCAACTCTCATGACAATACTCAAGTAAGGTCAGTAATATCCCCATTTAGTTTATTGGTATAGTATAATTCAGATACACAATCACCTTCGCCACCAATCTTCCAAGCTCCTCCCCCTCGTCGCAAAAGAAGTTCACTCCTACCTTCCCTCCCCAAAGCTAACCAACCCCTTTCCTCCAGACCTCTCTCTCCGATTTATCCGCCACACCAAAACAAAAAAAAACATGTGCACCCAAGTCTACCTCCGCTTCCACGGCTGCCACTGCGAGCTCCGCTACCGTCTCGACGAGTGCAAGCACGGCCCTGCCTCGCCTCATTGCAAATACATCCAGAAGGCGTACTACGTCTCGCGACGCCCCGAATGTCACCACCACGCTTGGGTGCAGAAGCGACGGACTATGTACAAGATGTTGCGGGCCCGGCTGGAGGTTTTTCCTGCACTGCCATTTCAACCTCCTCAGGCGACACTGCCCCTCGTGCAGCCGACGCAGCCGATGCAGCCGATCCCGTCGGTGTGGGATATGCCATGGATGCAGGACATGTTGTCGACCCTGAACATGCCTTCAATGCCGTCAACGTTGGATATGTCATCAATATCCAGCATGTCGTTGATGCAGCAGCCGCACTTGCCTCGGCCTCCGCCCCAGCAGCAACAGCAGCAACAACAACAGCGACGACGTCTTGACCCGAATGACGAGGAGTTCAGGGACTTGCTTACACGCCAGACGGAGCCGGGAAATTGGTGGGATTGAGGAGCGTATGACACGATTTGGTGCGATATGGTTGATAAACTACTGCGTTCGGTTTAGCGACAAAACCGGGGATGAAAAGGGGCGAGGTAAGTAAACTGCCTCAAAAAGCCGGGGAAAAATCAAGAAAGAAGTCAACTAACTTACTTATCCGCGCCTTTTTAGTCTATCGGAAGGAACCTGGATGACGAGATACTTGATGGATCCCATCGCGTTGCATTTTGGAGCAAGAAAAGCGAAACAAAAATACTGTCATGATATTTGATGGACTGGACGACGAGATTACGTACAATTGTCGGGAGTATATTGGATTGTGACCTGTAGGCACAAGTTGGAACAGGAGCCGGACGGGGTTATGAATTATACCACTTCGCCTCTTCCCTTCTCTTGTCATCATATGATAACCCGTGGTGTGATTGTGATAAATTCAATCGATTTATGTAGGGCTCAACCTTAAGTTACGCCTGATATGCCAGACTGTTTTATTCATAAGTGGAACCCAGCTGCTCAGCGGCAACTGAGTGGTGTATTGTAAGATCCGCTACTATTTATTCGCTTCTCGTATCGTCGTAGAGGTGCTGCGTCTCTCTGCGTCTCTGTCAAGAAGCTGTCGTACCGCTGTCCCATACCCCGGTTGTGCTGTGTGCGCTTGTTAGTGGTCATTGGATATCTAACCCAAATCGTCCACAATTATCCACCGAAGTGTCCTGTATCAATCAACCTTTCCAAAATAAGACAGCTAGATACCAAACTCCGAACTTCATCTTCCCACTAGGACCAAGCCGGTTTCAAACTTTCAGTAGGATACTTTCTACCCCCAACTCCTACCACCGGCGGACTAGCCCCCCTATACCGTCTCCTCTCCCTCTCATCCCCCGTCAATACCCGCCTCGAATCTCGCTTCCGATCTCGATCTCGATCCCAGTCTCTTTCCCGATCCAACTCGCGCTCCCGATCCCTTGGATCGCGACCTAACCTTCTTTCCACATCAGCGGCGCTGCTCGTGCGCCTTGTCACCGTCGGGCGGTGTAGATACGCCTTGTCCTTGCGACTTCTCCACTCACGTTCCTCCTCTAGCTCCCGTTCCCTCTCACGGTCTCGCTCACGATCGCGGAATCTCTCCCTTTCGCGATCGTGCCGGCTCTGGCGTTTGGGCGACACGTCCGAGTCAGAGTGTTCGGGTGTGAGAGATTCGTCGGACCATCCGCGAGGGCGCCGCGAAGAGGGTTCGGGACGGATGCGGCTGCCGTGTGATGCGCTGGCTGCTTCGCGATCGCTGCGCGAGGTGCTGCGAGGGCGTTCAGATCCAGGCAGGAGGGAGCTCAGTTTTTGGCGGATGCTAAAAGTACCGCCGGAGGGTAGACTACGCCGACGAGGGTCGTCTTGTCGCATTTCGGTACGGTGAGTGGACCGAATGGGGATGGGTGTTGGTGCAGACGTTTCGGGGGGAAACACGCGGACTGAGTGTAGAGGCGGTCGTTCATGTGTCCGCGGCGGCGGCCGGGAGCGCGCGCTGGAAGGCAGATCGCCGTCGGAGTCGGAATCGGAAGAGTAGTGTCTAGGTTGACTATGGTGACGAACGGGGCGAGGTCGCCGGGCATCGAAGTGACTCGGCGACCTTGCTTTGTCGTGTAGAGGGGCCGGATAGTCATTCCAACTTCGGCGCCTCGCACGCTCTTCTGGGGAGCTGCTGCCACTATCGATACGAACCTTCTGCGGCGACGGGCTAGGCCGATGGCCAGGCGGAGGAGGAGCAGGAGTAGGAGGAACGACATGGCGGCTGTGTATATGGTTGAACGGTATAGTGCGTTCCCGCTCGAAGTAATCCATCGCTGGCTCATGCCGTGAGGCGGTAGCTGTACTAGCATGGCCGGCGCCTGGAACATGAGTGAAGTAAACTCTCGGATCTTGCTGTGGCGAGGATTCCTCCTTAGGAATGGCCTCGCGTCGCAATCGCCCCGCGCACTCTCTGTGCCATTTATCGATGGCGGGATCGCACACGGCGGGCAATGCGTCGGCGGGCAGGTCGGGGGGAAAGGGTTCGCCAGTATCCGGGTGCTTCAGAGCCCAGTTGCGCACCGCAAACTGCACGAAGGGGACATGTTCCTCAGGACCCAGCAGGATTTGGAGCGACTCCCATCGCACAAAGCCCTTCAGCGTCAGGGCAGGTACGCATGGCTCCTCGTAGTCGTTCTCGGTTGGTTGCAGCGTGTGTTGACACCCAAGTGCCTGCCAGATGTACGATATCGCTTTGTCGGGTGCTTGAACAAAGAGCGAGTCGTAGTCGCCGCCCACCTTTCTGTAAAAGGCAGCGAGTTTTGCCCTGTCTATCACGGTGACTTTCCTGTCGCCTATGTCTGTGATCTGCGCAATGGCGAGTTAGCCAAACAAATAATCAGTCTCGCGTCTGTTCGTCATTCTGTGTCCTACGATGTATTTCCCGATTGCGCGCAGGAGCGCATCCAACAATTCTGTCGCTGTCTTATCCTTCTTAAACAGATAGCCATAGAATGTCTTGCCGTGGGCGGGGGACGGTGGAAATGGAGGCGGCGGCGTGGCCTGTGGAGCAGGAGCTGGACGAAACAACGGCGGGGGTGCGGCGCTCGATGCCGCAACAGGTGGGGGAGGCTCGTCGGATACTGGTTTTGCTTCGGACGCCATGTTGCTTTCAGATGAGGCTGCCAGCTACAAATTTCGATCAAGATCGTTGCGGTGGGAATAGGCGTTCAATGGCAAGGAGAGGCCGCAATACCATGGCGGATTGGGGAGTGGGATGGGTGATGTATAACTAGACTGAGTTGCAGGTTATATATCATTTGCTCCCGATAGCGTCACAACAATTCGGAACTACCACAGAGGGTGCGCAATGTCGCGGGGCGGCAACACAGGATGTATCCTTGATATGGGCAAAAATCATCTGGATTGGCGATTGCAGCCGCTAAAATAGATATACAGGCAGCTATTTGTGAGTCAAGGTGACCGGATGCTCGAGTAGCAATTTAGCAATGCCTCAAGCTCCAGGCTCGAGCATATGAGCTTGGGAGGTATTGCGCATCCCGCAGGCATCCCGCAGGCATCAAGCAGGCATCATGGCTGTGTCTCTTGGACAGATGCCCAGCTTTTGGCCGATCAGTTTCCAGCGGATTGGCTACCAAACCAACACGTGCACAGCCCAGCTTCCAAGCTTTTCCCGTTGAAGCCATCTGCTGCATGTTTCAGTCCAACTTCGCCATGACCCTATATAGCGAGTTTCGCTGAGCCTTCCAACATTGCCATTTTGCCTGGTTGCCTTTCTGTGAACTAGGTAGGCCACGCAAGGTTGACGAGGCTAACAGTACGTGTTGAGTGTTCGGAGCATCACGGTCGGACGAGTTTCTACTCGACACTTGACCGTTGCGATGGCCCGAAATATGACGTCATTTGACGCCCGCAATGATGGCTACACGAAATCTTTCAAAACCAGGCAATGTGAGGTCATTAAAGTGAACACATCTCTAAACTCAAACGATGGCATTCAGTGGCATACAGTGCCAACGATATATGCTCAATATGCACCCAAATAATCATCTTTCCGTAGAAGGTTGGATCTGTGTTGTGACGCAATCACATCACAAGATTGCAAAGTCCATCCGCCCTGTGGAAGATCATCCACCGCTTGATGAGTACACTAACCTTGTCATCGCCCAACATCTTCTCCTTGCCCTGTGCTGCGGCAGTAAGCGTCGAATTTGTAGCTGCAAGGGTCACATTCGTATAGCGGACAATAGCCGCTGTGAGCGTACCCCCCAGCGCGAACCCCCTTCACTCCAGTCCTCTTGTGCGCTAATGGTAGGACACCGCGCTGTGGCGAGAACGGCGACGACAGAGGTGATCTGGACAGGCACGGCGTGGCTGAAAACTACGTACCACTGCCTGAGCGCACTTCGGCGGGAGCACCACCGTCTAGTATGGGGCATGGCCAATGTCGACTAGTTCCGATGGCGCTTGTGGGTGTAAGTGGAGACTACTCAGAGAATAAGGTACGCCGCTGGATACGAATGGACAATACCTGCACACGTTGCTGAGGAAATGATGCTTGCGGATGCGGCAACCTTCACGGGCGTTGATAATCCTGCCATGCGGAGCTCAAGACGAAGGGTATAGGTAAGTGGCCTCAGGTTTGTTAATGTCACATTGGCATCAATGAGAAATTCTCCAGGCAAGGTTTTCTCATACAACGGCTCGCATTGAGTTACAGATATCCGTGAAATTTGCAACTCGGACAGATAGATCAAGCTCTCTTATGTGCCTTCGACGTCGTTGTAATGCGGCGAACTATTTAGACTCGAAAAAATAAGAGTTGTCCTGCACGCTACCAACAACGGCGGGGGATGAAGAGCAGATGGCAGGGGGACGAAAATGTCCTAACGGGCACCTTAAACATTGACATTCAGAGCAGTTGGATTTTGGAATTTACGAGATTTCCATGCTCTGCTGCGTCTTTGCCAACTGCTAATCAACAACCCACGTACATCGAGAACTGTTGCCCACATTGCTCACGAAGCTCAGCTAGTCAGACTCTAAGTGCTTCTAGGCCTTGTCCCCCAATGACAGTACGAAACCGGAGAGGATGACTGGAACACCCCCAAATCCCGGTCGATTGTCTGCCTCCTCCCACTCCTTGAACTGCCGGAAGCCGACTTTGGCCATGATGTTCATACTCGCCCGGTTCTTGGACTCCACCATGGCCGATAACTGCTCCGGGACTCCATCTTCGCCGAGACCACCTCCACCCTCCACCGACAAGGCGTCAACTTCGAGCTTAGCCAGCGACCGCGGTAGCTTCCACCACGCCTTAACGAAGCCCTTTACAAATTCGGTGGCGTACCCACGACCCCAATGCTCCTGCTTGAACATGTAGCCGACCTCTGGCCAGCCGACCCAGCCAAAGTTCGTTTTGTGCACTCCACCGCAGCCAATAAATTCTCCCGTCGCGGAGAGGTAGACGGCGAAATTGTAAGTGTTTGCGTCGTTGGGGGGCAGGAACAGGTTCAACTTTTCCTGGGTCTCTGCGAGGTCAAGGTCGATACGACCGACGGAGGTGTAGATCATGACCTCGGGCTGGCGGCGTAACTCATGGTAGCCCTCAAGGTCATCTTGAGAGAAGGGCCGGATCGTCAGTCTTTCGGTGATGATGCGTGGCCGCTCTGAAGCGGGAGGGAATGGGCGAGTTGGTAACGTGGTTTTCACTTTTACTTTGGAGGGGTTGGAAGCCATTGCGATGAGTAAGGACTATACTGTGTGCAAATTGACTTCGAACTTAACTATCAACAAGGTAATACTCTCGGGACATCTCATCCCAATACCAAACTACTATTGCATCTTCAGCCACATAGCGTTGACTCATATCTCGCGCCCTTTCGCATGAGCCCAGAGTCGCCGGGCGAAAGCTAAAACAGCACGAATGGCTGCTGTAGCCACAAACATCGAACCATCAGTCTACAGGCTGCAATTATACAAGTTGCTCGTTGCATGGCCTCACCTCGTTAGTCCTTGCTCGTCGAGATACCAAAATGGTGGCTTAGATTCGGCAACGACCAGGGACGCTTGCCGGTGCGGTGCTGCCTCGAAGTGATTTGCCGCAATGGCCCCACCTTTTACGGCGCGATGTACTTTAAAGACAACAAGGACGCCTGACCCTCATAAAGATGGTTTATTGACGACAACCTGCTTTGCATTTGGCCCTGCGCTTCACCAGCATCCAACTTCGCATTCCCGCAGAAACAAATTTGCAGAGCGTAGTTTCTGGATACGACATATTATCTCCGATGGATGGGCTTCTACCACGGAGGCACCCATGATCTTCCTTGAATGTCAATGCCGTCATGGAGTCCCCATCTAACTCATCCGTACACAACAGGGCAAAACCGAAGAACAAGCTAAGTTGCACGGTATGCAGGAACCGCAAGATTCGCTGCGACCGCACGTATCCGTGTGCCCACTGCGTCCGGTCCGGCGCCGAATGCGTCTTCCCCGTGCGAAAGCGCATGCAGCGGCCCAAGAAGACGAAAAACTCGGAACTGCTGAGCCGTCTGAGTCGGCTCGAGGCCATTGTCGGTAGAGTGGACCCGGACGCCTTGAGCGAGGTCAACCTGTCGGATCTCAAGACACCGGTGTCACATGTGCCGGTGCAGTCTCCAGGCAGGCCTCTGATTCATCCCTTCCTTGAGGGCAATGAAACCCCCCTGGAGGCGGCGGCGGCGGCGGCACCACAGGCCGTCTGCGGCCCCCAGACGGACGCCCACACGTCAAAGTATTTAAGTGGTCATTTCTGGGCCAACCTTTGCAACGAGGTTGGAGGGCTAAGGCACGCGCTGGAGGAGCCATCAGGTTCCGACTCTGACGATGATTCCGAGGATGGAACTCCGGACTCTGCTGCGGATCAGATGCTGGCACCTCAGTCATTCAGTTCCGGTTTCCAAGGGTTGTTAGCCAGTCGCACGTCGTCAAGCACTGGAGAATTAATCCATCCCTCGCCAGATCAGATCCGCTCCCTGGCTACCATCTACTTCTCCAATGTAGATCCTATTTTGAAAATACTTCACAAGCCTACCGCTCTGGAAATGGCTGGTGCTGCAATTGATAGCCTCAACAAGTCTCAGGAAGCTCTCCTGTTTGCGATTTACTTCGGTGCCGTCGTCAGTCTTCCCTCATCCACCAATACCGCCAGACTTGGTCTCGAACATGCTTTGCCGGTCCTGTGTGCCAAGTATCAGCTTGCTGTAGAGCGTGCACTCGCAGCTGCAGACTACCTGAACAATCCTGACCTTGAGTGCCTCCAAGCGCTGGTCATATATGTGGCGTGTCTCCGCTGCCACAACGGGTCCCGTTCCTCCTGGGTTCTTGTCGCTCTTTTACTGCGTCTAGCGCAAGCCATGGACCTCCATAGAGATGGCGACGGGAGTCAGTTCACCCCCTATATCGCCGAGCTAAGACGGCGACTTTACTGGCAAATAGTGGTGCTTGACGTCCGAGCTGCCGAAGACAGAGGAACCGAGGCTATGGTAGTCTCGGGCAGCTACGATACACGCCTACCTCTGAACCTCAACGACACGGACTTCAGTCCAGACACGAGAGGCCCCCTCGTGGAGCGGGCAGGTCCGTCCGATACGACCTTTAGCCGCTGCACGGCGCAAAGTTCTGGCATTTTTCTCTACGTCGGCCCGCCAACAAACTGCCCTGGTGGCATGCCCGCGAGAAGCAAGGACGAACTCATCGCGCATGTGCAAGAGCTCGAAGCACAGTTTATTACGAAGTCAGACCCTTCCCATATCGGCTCCTACTTCGCATCCATGCTCGTCCGCCTCATCAACCTCAAGCTCTGGCTCGTGCAACAATACCCCGTCCACCTGCACCGAAGCCCGCAGGACACAGACGACACCTCTACGTCCAACCACTCTCGCTGGCCCAAGGTATCCCACGAGGTCATGCTGCAGACGGCCATATCCGTCATGGAGCTGCAACAACACTGGCGTTCGGACCCCTATTCCATACCGTTCGACTGGTGGTACATGACGTATGTCCAGTGGCACCCCCTTGCAGTATCTCTTGCAGAGCTGTGCTCGCAGACTCGGGGTCCGCTCGTGGAAAGGTCATGGAAGTGCATAGAGGATGTTTTCCCCAAATATGGCGAGATCGTGGCTGAGAGCAAGCGTGGCTCGCTGTGGCGGCCCATCCGAAAATTGTACAAAAAGGCCAAGGCCGCGAGGACCGAGGCGCTCCGCGAGGATGCGCACAAGCTTGCTGAGGCATCAGGGTTCGGTAGGGGGGACGTCCTTATGACAACTGGTCCCGATGCGCTCGCTGCGGCTGAGAGTACTGCTGCTGAAACCATCTCTGCCACAACTGCCGTCCAAACAGCAGAAGACGCACGGCAGCCAGCGCCACTGTCGCCGGTACAGAGCTTTCCCGGCGGCCTAACGACGGCGTCGTTCTCTACTTTGTTTCAGGATCCAACGGGCTGGGTGGGTATGAGTTTTCCCGATCTCAGCTTCGACATGCCGGCTGACCCGACGTTCGAGGCTACGAATTGGGGGGTATGGAATGAGTTCGTGAATGACTATGCGGGTAACAGCTCGAAGACGAGTTCTAGTGAGGAGGGAGGTTGAAAAGCGTGCGAGCTGGGAAGGGAGAGGCTGGTACTATTGGTAGGTTGTTTATCAAAATATCATATCCTAAAAAAAACAAGTTACAACGCCTGCCCAAATTTTAGGTTATAATTGGTTAGTCTTGTCTTTTCTAAAGTGTGGAAGTGAGTGCATTGGCTTGACAGTCAAGGTGAGATGGGCATGGAGTGAACTCATATAAGAAACCCATCAAATAAGTATGTCGTTCCGGCGACATTGGTGTTACGTAAGGTGTCTTTGGATCAACAGTCGCACATTTGATGTCTGGTCCGGCTTGATTAACGCAGACTCTCTTTCTGTGTCACATACAAAGCGAAGCAAACGCTTGTTCCACAAACTTGGTGGGGCTTTATGCGGATTCGAATTGGTAGACGTTATAATGTTAAGTTGCTGTTGTCTACAGTACACGGATTCCTACAAGTACCGTACCTTGATATCTGCGGCTTGAAGCTGCCTTACAATGTTGAACCAGTTAGCCAATTCCAAGTTTAATGGTGGTATATTCATCGAGTCGAGCTTGTACGCAGAGCTGGAGAGATGGATAGCTTTACATGGAAAGCATTGGCATGGCAGGTTAGACAAGTCTATCTGAGGCCTTCGTATCACCACCGACAGGTCATCCTATGGTGGACCCCAGTCATGTGTTTACTGGCAAGTAGTTGAGAACATGTTGTTTTGAAGCATTAGCCGTGAATCACTTCGAGATGCAAATTTCAACAAAACGAAAATATCATGACCCATCACATGCTCGAATTGTGTAGTATTTACTCTCTATTTTGAGAGCTTATGCAGCAATGCCATTTCCGCATGATCCTAGTAAACACCGGCAGAACCAGAACCTCCTGCATGATTCCCAGAGACCCCCAAGCAACAACACGAAATCCTCTTTTATGCGAACGTGGATGGTCGGTTGGCGCTGAAGATCTTCTTGGTGCTAATCTTGGGAATACGGTGAGGCAGAGGGAAGGCGAGGTTCTTGGTGATGAGTTGCTTAATGTAGGGGCGCTTGACGTCATCGGCCTTCTCGAGTTCGACGACGCGGAGGATCTGCAGTTCATATTAGCATCTTTCGACTCGGCACAGACAATTAATCGGGGGTTCATACGTGGATCGATCTGAATCGAGATCGGTGACGGGCAGCCATGTCCTGGTACATTGCCTCGACGGCGTCGGTTCGCGACATCTCACGGTACTCCTTGTACATGTTGTGGGTACCGGAGCGAGAGTCGTATCGGATCCAGACACCGAAGTTCTTGACCTTCAGGGGGTGCTTCTCGTGGATCTTGTTCAAGCTGACGATCTCGCCGTTCGACTTCTTGACCTTCTTGAGCTTCATCAAGAAATACCAAAAGCGGGACTTGGCGACGACCTCATTGGGCGCGAAGACACGCATGCGGTACAGCTTGGGAGCGGGGTTGGACTCCGTGGGCAGATGGCGCCCGATGACCTGGTACTCCTGAAGACGACCTGAGGAAAGAGCCTCGTTAGCCTACGCCATGTCTCACTGCCAGTCAATCGCAAATAGCCAATGCCAGACTCCTTTGATCAGCTGTTGCTGCAAGCGGCTTTTGGGCGATTGACGCGGGTCTTTCCTCCACGTTGAATTGCGTTGTGTTGTCTGCGCCTCCGATTGAGGCATGTAATTCTCGCTCCCAATGTGCTATGCGGCTCTCGAAGAGAGTTGCGTCGCTTGTAAGCTGGATCAAGCATCTCCCTCGGCAGTTGGTAGCCCTTCTCTACGGCGGCAGGTGAAGTCATCGTGGATATCGTCGTTGGTCGTCGCTGTCGGGCATCTGGGGGACCGGTCTTTGCATCTCCTCCCTTTCCTACCTCTCCAAAACAGAGTCTGGCATCGATAATGAAGAAAAATCAGTACTCACCCATTGTGCAGTGACGACGAATGTCTCCTCTTGGATGTGTCGTTGGTCGTTGGAGAGAATTATTTGGCCGGGCAAGAAAACGGTCTCGTAAATTTGGGCCTTGGGGTTGGAAATTTTGCGTGTGATGGTGGGCAAGAGCGACTCGCTTAGCCCTGAACTAATGGCAGAATGAGCTTAGCGTATGGTCCAAGCGTCTGGCCGCAGTCGCTCTTTCCTCGAGTTCATCGTCCCAATCACTTTGACCAATCAAGAAACAGCATTCGACCTTTCAGAGAAGTAGGCCATTCATGCCTTCATTCTCCCATCTGAACTGCTAGCCCACCGGGATCGATTTATCTAAGTCTGCACGCTGGGCCTACGATAATTTGTGGCTTGATTACCCGAATTGTTTAAACTGGTTGGTCTTCGGACTAGCTGCAATGAGCTACAACTGACCCGCCAGCCCACCTTCGTTGATTCCAAGATGGACGCCCTCATGCAAGAGTTCAAGACCGCATACTCCGCAGAAAAGGGCAATGATCTCGCCAAGACACTTTCGCCATACCTGCCAGAATCCCCCGAGAAGCTTCGGTCGATATGGGAGAGTGGAGACTCCCGGACCATTAGAGAGGACCTTGAATTCTTATTCACTCAGGGCAACCCAGCGCGCTTGAGGCTGTCACGTGAGGAAAGTGGAGGGTGGCAGGAGGTTTACTTCGCCTATTGGAAGGCTCTAGGTGAAATCCTGGCCGTTGAAGGCCAGAGGACAGATGGGGTTAAAGTACGTTCTTTCTATTGCAGTCCTGCATCAAGACGATCTCTGTGAAGCCTCAGAGGTCCTTACGGCCTGATCTTGAGGTGGACTCCATCGAAGGCCATATCTTTGTAATCGCTGTTGTGCCAGTCGCTAATTTGTGTACAGTCAACGTGGACAAAGGTGTACGAATCATGGAAGGTGTTTACGAACTCGCTCATTCGTGGGTACACTAATTGTGAATTTGAGAACTGGACTATTCCGTGCTTGTACATCGCTGGCAAGTATTCGAGAATATTTGCTATGCGGTCAGACGCCGAGAGAGATGCCAATGGCGATGATCTAGGGGCCACTTACCAGGACGAATTTGACCCTGAAACGGAGAAACACAAGTCTCTAGAGGATTGCGGCCGTCAGCTTAACCGCATCTTCAACACTTGTCTGAGCGACAGGTGATATCCCATTCACCCCTGGTTGAGTACTCACTAATTCAAACACAGAGCACCTCTGAGTGAGTCTCGGAAGTGGGGCATCTACTACGCGATCAACCTCCTCTTCAAGACTTACTTCAAGTTGAACCAAGCTTTCTTGTCACGGAATGTTTTGAAAGCCCTGTCTGCCGGGCGAGGGGACATGCCTGATTTTGACAGTTTTCCCAAGTCCCAGCAGGTCACATTCAAATATTATGAAGGTGTCCTACACTTTTTGGAGGAGAACTACGAGGAGGTCAGCAGAATTAGTGTTCCTGCAGTTCAGTTTGTGCGACTAACTGTAAACTAGGCTGAGAAGCACCTCGAAGTTGCATGGCTCCTGTGCCATAAAGATGCTAAAAGAAATCTTGAGTTTGTTTTATCACACCAATCTGCAGCCTGATCACGCTGACACGCTGCAGGCTAATACTCACCTATCTCATCCCATGCCATCTCTTGAGGACCAATACACTCCCCAGTGCTAAGCTACTGGAGCCGTACCCGAGGCTCCAAGAGCTATTCGGCCCACTGGCGGAGGCGATCAAGAAGGGCAACTTGCGTGCATTCGATCAAGCACTTCAGCAGGGCGAAGACGAATTTGTCAAGCGACGTATATATCTTACACTGGAGAGAGGTCGCGACATATGCCTTCGTAACCTTCTGCGCAAAGTCTTTCTTGCTGCCGGCTTCACTGACGACGACCCACCTGTCCGCAAAACCAGAATTCCATTGGCGCATTTCGTAGCGGCAATCAAGGTTAGCGATGGGGAGGGAATAGATACCGACGAGGTTGAGTGTCTGCTAGCGAATATGATATACAAGGTATGTCCTGCTTTTCCCCCCTGAACATCGGTGTTCGGACAAGCGCATTGAGAGCCGTTGCCATTTACAATGGCCTCCGCCTTGTCTGCCTACGTGTTGGTTCCTGGGTCATCTCTTATCACCCAATGTGACAATTCCCTTGGATACAACTGTGACTGACTGAAGGCATATGTGCATCACAGGATCTGATGAAAGGCTACATTGCGCACGAGCCTGGCATTGTCGTGTTGAGCAAGAGCGGGGCCTTTCCTGGGTCTGGCCTCTGAGTCAATTGGGTAGGTAGCGAGATGGATCGATTGACTGAGCCCGTTTACTCCAGCATGTGAACCGAAAGATGTGACTAGTTGACACTGAACTCGTGACACGAATGGTTTATGAAGATTACTGCGGTCCTAAGATTGTGTGCAGAAGGAATCTGATCCCGCACAATATTCTGTCGCTATATCTTATCGAAGCATGGCACCGAATGAGAAGCATACGTCTATTGCTGCAATCAAGCCACTTGCCTCGGTGAGACTTCAGGTGATTTTTCTAGCTTAGCGACGCAACTGTGACAGGCATACATCAATTGCGTTGACTGACATGCACTTCCCTCCCATAGAGTCCCGCTTGTACGGGTAGCTTCTTGCAAAATAAAACTTAGGATTGTGCATGTTTATGTTTTTCTGAGCACTCGGTCAATACTTAGTTTAGTCAAGTATCCTAGTATCCAATGCCATGGGGTTCAATCCCTATCTACTTAAGGACCTAGGATGTTCTGGTCTCAAGCATGCGACCAGATACCGAGGAGCATATCCCGATCACGACTCGTCACTTTCAACGGTTGCCATACACCCACGCCCACACTCTAAAACTAGTGCGAATGCTGTCCCCCGTCAGATGTATCACCTTAACAGTGACTCACAAATCACTCCATACCCAAACGACTCATCCTTGTCCCTTCTATATGACCATATGCAATCGCTTTAGCTCTAAACGAACGTTGCAAGGGTCCTGCCGGATGGACTAGGGAGCCATTTACCAGTTAGGCTCCGAGCCGAGGCAGCCGGAATGCTTCGCGGCCCAGTATATCTGTTTGCTGATGACGTCCTTGGTGTTCTTTTCCCGTCGATCCCTACCTACAGTGGAGGCCAACTAACTTTGGAACTTTCAGTATTCGGTGTTCTGTACGGGCTAATTTCTCCATCTGAAAGAAAAGTCGAATTCTTGCCTTGTTTGTTTCTTTGGTCTAAAGTTGGAATGATCACATTTTTATGGCCGCTTAAAATGTGTGCTTCGTGCTGATCAGTAAAAAGCGTGATAATTACAAATATGTATACCGAAATTATTCGTTATTTTTGCTCCAGGTTGAGAGCCCCTGATCCGGTCGGTCTAAAGAGACCAGGGATGAAACATACTATCAACGATAGTAAGAATTTTAGTGATACAAGTTCAGAGATCCTTCAAGTTTTGCAGTCTAACTGGCCTGCCCTCTCTTTTCCCTAGGGTTTCTCTCTCAAAATAGGTAGTCGTCTGCTGCCTTCGCTGAAGAGCCCACCCCAAAATTTCTCTCTGAAACAACGTGCAATCTCGGTAGTGTTTTGGTGGTGGTTCCTTCATCGAGATGGTAGAAACCCGAGATGAGCCGTGCGAATTCCGGAATACAAATGCGTCAATGAAACCCAGTCGTCTGAGATTGATAATGATACAAAATGTTCGTCAGAAATGAAACCAGTTCGATACTTGAAAGTCAAACTTGAACGCCTTTCGCCGTGATGTGGTATTGTGTCATTATTTTGCCTGATCCCAAGTCTTTGATGGTGAGAAGGACGCGGCATAGGTCATTAGGTGGAAGAATGGCGACGGATGAGATGGGTACCAAAAGGTGGGCGGAAAAAAAGAAAAAGTGCGGATAGGGGTTACTGCCGGAATAGACAGACTAGAAGAAGTGGCGATTGCTGCGAGGTGTATTTCTGTGGTTCAAGTCAGTGAACAATATCTACATTCGGCCGATGAGGAGAAGGAAACTTACTGAGCGCTCGAGATATCATCGACATGGTTGCAGAGCGCCACAAAGAGGTCAAAGAAGAGTTGAGTGCCTCCGTTGAAAATCTCCAGTTGCATCGTGCCGCTCCTTTTGAATGTGCTTCGACTTCGAATAATCAGAGCGAGGTAATGAGCCCGCAACTTCGAGTCGGTGTCGGGCGTATTGGCATAGGCGTAACGAGCCGATGTCAGAATGGTGCTGCATTGAATGCCGGACTCTTGTTTGTGTTAGCGACGATGTTTGATATTTGGTGGATAAAAAATTACTTACGAAGACCTTGCTTTCGCAGGGCAACTCGCTTCAATTCCTCGAGCCCATATTTCTCAGCGGTGCAGTAGATGATGGTGTCTTTCAGAATATCGCCATCAACGGAATGATGATAGACGGTCGACTCTAGAGAACCACGAGCGTCTTCGTCGAGCTGCTCAATCTCCCACGAGTTCCGCTTCTTGTTGTGAACCAAGCGTGGGTAGTAATCGCCCTTGTAGAGGTATTCGAGTACTGACGAGAAGATCTCGGGTTCTTCGTCGGGAAGATGGATGCGCTTGTTGGATGCCGGATCCATGTACATCCCCGACATTGTGCGTTCGAACCATGGTGAAGCACAGAGAACGTCTTTATGAGCGGCGAAGATGCGCTGTTCCTTTCCGACGACAAGCGTCACGATGGAAGGAGTCAGGACACTATTGCATCGTGTGAGTCATTGTACGGGTAGCTTGAATGGCGCGATAAATATTGTGACGTACCTTGAAGGCGACATGGTAGCATCATTTGTCGATGTCGCTGTGGTTGGGCGTCGCCGTGGTTCGTGACGGCTTTTCGAAACGCCATTCTGCTTGCTGAACGACGAGCTGGACTTGCTGGCTTTGTGGTGACTTTTGGAGAAGCTCTTATTGCTGCTCGGGGGAGGTTCGTGTCGTCGGCTGAACATGATGATGACTCGAGTGTGTGCTTCAAGTACCCGACCGAGGAGTCACTCGACCTGAACAACACGGCGATTCGTGGAGATGCGAGTTATCGGGGCTCGGTTGATTCGAAATGATGGGAATATCTTGAGCAGTTGGGAGAAAACGATGGAAAAGACGAAGACAAAGCGGAAAAGATGGAATTCGTCCTTCTGCCTACCTGAGGTCGCCAAAGATTGCGAATGGTTTTGAGAGGGAACATCTGGAATTTTCTGATGGGTCCCATCCGGCTTAAGTAGGGTCGGCCCCATGTTGCCGCTGTATGAGTGCCTGACTTTTTGCTGCCGTGCTCGCAGGCAAACACGCTTTTTGGTGATGGTCGTTGCTTGACGCGGCGGTGCCCCACCCATTTTACGCGGTCGAATCGCCAATTCACGTGCTATCTGAGAGTACGCTAGAGCGCTCTGGGCGACCAAGGCCCCCCAAATTCTTGGATTTTGTAGGGACTTCAAAGCCACCGCAAGGGCTGCTGGTTCCCGACAGGGATGAAGGGTTGACGAGGCGGGCAAGGCGGAATGGTGCTGTTGGTCTGTCACACTTTCGAGTCATGGCGAGTCTGGTCCCAGGGGCTCGTCCGGGATCTTGTTGATAGCGTCTTTGTAGTGCAATACCACGATGCGACGAGGCGACCGGATCGCTTGGAATTGTGCAATCAATGTTGCCATCCAAGTTCCGTCTGATTTAATAAGGCAACGAGCGACGCCCCAGTTGAATTGCTCAATTGTTGCCTCCTGCACAAATGCGACTTCCCAAGAGGCAACCCGCCAGACTGAACACTCAACAGCTGAAACCAAATGCGAACCTTTTCCATCGGATTCACATCAAATTGCATCATGGTGGATGTGTGATCAGTGGCACCCCCTCGGATCCAGGGGTGCGCTGAGCCATTGGGGGTTTGTGAAGAAATGGCTGAGCTCCTTCGGTTCAATTCACAAAGCTCTCGAATTACGAGTAAAGATTCAAACAGGGTGCTTTTGCCGAGACCTGGATCTTCTGAGAGTTTTCCCCGGCTAACGCAACACCACAGATATCCTGTTCATTACGAACAGCATTTGGAGAAATCATGTTCGGCAACATCAACCCACGATTTCCCCGATAGCGGTAAAAACCAGCGTCAAGCATCGGACACTCAGGAGGTCTCTCTAAAGTGCTACGTCCATTGTCACCTCTGATTATTTTTTCTTCCTTTCCGCACCTGAGAAGTGGCTGGACTTAAGACAGCCGGTTGGCGACAGCGTCCACTTTTTACCCACTGATGTTCTACTTTTGCATTTCATGTTGAACTCGTTCCAAGGGTCGTGTGAGGCCTCTATGCATCTGATATGTGGTTTGTTACTAACCCGCTAACCAGATGAGTCTGCCTGCGAACCCAGGTAATTCATGTATATCAAATCAGTACCAGACTCCCCATCACTCCAACTATATCTAAAGATGTAAATAGCCCAGTCCACAGGAGCGGTACCGTCGCCGCTGTACGGGTCTTTGTTGCAAGTAGTTTGTCCACTAGCGGCAACCTTATCATCCTTGCCGAAATTATTGATGCCATCATTATCAGATCCGTGATGTCCATAGATACAATATTCACGGCAGTGACCCAAGTGGTCATGGGAGTTTCGACCCCAAACCGGCAACTTGTCCTCGTCGCCAGTGTCACGTAGTCGGCCCTAGTCTTAGCTTAAAACGCGCCCAAGTTGGACACATAATAAGCGGCGAGGGTGCTGCAGTGAGCCTTTGCCCGTCTTGCCCTTGAAGTCGCTATAGAAGCAGAGGTTGGAGATGGCGTCGCCTTTGTTCCACTTGAATTCCAAGGGAACACGTTTGCCAGTATGGTTCAGAGTATTTGCCACCTCAATGCTCTCTGGCGCAAACGTAGTTTCGTTGCAACAGTTGGGATGGTTCCCACCGCGGCAGATCCCAGGCTGAAGCAGTAACGAGAAGGTTGGTGAAATGCATATTCAGAATGAATATTAGATGAGATTAATTAAGTCAAATGATAGATATGTAACTGAATTTTGTTTTGTACGAAGCAGACAGGACCTGGGACATAACCTTTAATTAACCACCCAGCTTCTTCAGCAATTGATTATTTTACTGCCAATCCCATTGAATTTATCTCTTTCTTGACGCATGGAATCCCTATTATCGGGAGCCCTCAACTGCTTTTGCATGGCGACTGCGAGCCGGGGATCCTTTGTCGTCCACCAGGTGGACTCATCTTATGTTCCTTGTTGTAATATGTTGCCATGATTATCTTACCAGGAATGGGGTACTCAATGGATGTCGGCTAAAATACACATTACAGGAATTACTCGCCATTGTCTAGTTGTCAACTCTTACCAAAGGTCACAGCGATTCAACTCATGTTAGCAGTGACGTCTACGCCGCTGTCTTCCGTATGGTGATGATGCCGAATATGTAACCCATACGCAAGAACCGATTTACTTCTCAGGCTGTTATTATCACTCCAATTCGGTATTTAGCAGCGTCATGTCTGCTACAGAATTCGCCTGAGAGTCTGAAGGTGACTCTGTTCGTAATTTAACATGGATGAGCTACCAAGGTTGACAGAAGACCCAAACACAAGTTGCTGGATATCTAACGAGCTAGATCTTGGTCCTAAAGCTCTCTCGAGCTTGCCCCTGAGACGGCAGAGCACGTAATCCTCTTTTGCGGGCTGTTGGAAGGACCGAGGGAACGATTACGGGCCGCCATCGCACCACGGCCACTATACTCTCGCAGAGACCTCGCAACGGCAACAAGAGAACCGGTAGTTAGTGGGACTATTGTAAGGTGGCTGCTAGGGACGGGTCGGACAGCTTCAAGGCCCAGATAGCATCGATCTTCTCAGGGGGGACTTTGTTGGTAGGTTGAGAACCAACGTAGTATGGTAGTGGACGTAACGCAGTCGCCAATAGGGCGAACCGACGACGCAGCGTATGTATTTAGTCCAGCCATTAGGGCACGGTTTGACATACGGGAGTACTAGTAGAGGTACCGGGGGCTTCGAGCCTACGGCGTATTTAATAATAATAATAATAATGTTGGTTATCGTTGAGTTGTTATTTTAACGACTCTGTGCCACGTACTCACTCAAAGTTGCGGCCCAATTAACCCCATTTCCGCGATTATAGAATGCAAACCCGTAACTACAAAAAGCCGATGTATTGAGGTGGAGTCGCTTTTGGTTTCGAAGATCCGTTTCGCGATAACAAGTGCACAGCAAAAGCCCAACGGTACATCAGCCAGCCCGAATAAACAGTATACTATCGAACCAGTCTTCCAGTATATAGCCCAGAGCGACGGGAATCAATCCAGTTTCATTCCTCGCCTCAATGAAGTACGGGGCTGACAGCTGCACGATCTTGTACATCAGAGCCAGCCCTCAGTTTTATAGTACAGTCTGCAGCCTCTCGCGCGGCTCACATTTTGACACCGTCGAGCCAGAAGAACTTCTGTCTGAAGGGATAAAACACTACAGGAGCCTACTTGTCAAAGCCACGCGCAGTAGGCCGACTTGCTTTGGAAGCGAAGGTAGTGATATGTCCAGATGGGGTCTGCTCAGGTTGCTGGAACATGAGATTAGTTGTATGTCGGCGTTGTGTCAGATTATGGGTATCAGTGTAAGTAACGGAGAACACTCAACCCAGCTACATACAAAAGCGATACTGTGTGAAGGAGGACATCCAGCATCTAGTGCAATGCAGGAAAGGGTGTAATTGTGGCATTTACTTCGATATTGGGTCACTCTCAGCACAGTACTGGACAAGATTGCCTGTACCCCAGAAGCAGGCCATTCATTGTTATTTGGTTGAAAATGGACCAAATCGGATGCTTGAATTAATGAAGGAAAGTCCCAGTCATCAGGAGCCCAGAGTTGCTGGAGAAGTTCGACAGCTTTGTAAAAAATCCCCGTGGGAAGCTATGGCCTCAGGTATGGAGGTGTGCAAGCTAGGCACGGATCGTAGTATTTAGGGATCCTCCGGGGCCCCTACGCACTTCATACTACGTAGTACCAATGCAGCTCCCTCCAAAGAGTCTGGCTCTCAACTTAAGTCCAAAGACCTCCTTCCGCCTGCACAAATCGCTCAATTGTGCACCCAGTAATGTCTGAAATCCAGTGAAAATACATGCGTTTTGCGTTGATTTTCCTCTCCAATAGCATGTGTACCAACCGCAGACTTGGCCCAGTTTATGTACGTGATTTGGCACAGAATTAGCGCTGCTCCGTAATTATTGATCTCACTATTCCCAGTCACAGTGCATTTCTCGCAAGCTTTGACAGTACGGTGGAACTTCGGCTACGGAGCAAATGAAACTATATAGTTATCAGATTGATCGTTGAAACTCAACAAATTCAGTTAGAATCGTATCGTCAGTGTGGTTCAGGTGGTGTGCATGGCTATGCCTTGTCACCTCCCAGTGACTCCTCAATCGGGTCACGTGGTGTAGTTGGTTAGCACGTCGGATTCTGAAAATTCTCATAATTCCGGAGACCGGGGTTCGAATCCCTGCGAGACCTTTTTTCTGCTTGCTGTTGCTGATCTTAATAGATTTTTTTCTTTAACTACTCGTCAAGTCTACAAACGGCGGTTTAACCCACTGAACATACTGGGTTAAGGAAGTCTATTTGTTTTTTTTACGATACTTCCGAATACTAGCGATGTTCACCAAACTGCTAGTACCTCCCTAATAAATGTGTATACTGTATAGAACAATGAATGCACGTACCTCAATTCGCGAAAACGCTATAAGTCAGGTTGGAAGTGCAGGCAGTTTCTTAGTGCTATAGGGTTTGTTACCTGATCGCGGGACCCATTATTCTCGGCCAAATCCGAATATACTGAGTATAATTGGCAAAGGGTCTTCATCCCGTTATCCTCTTCAAATTCTGGTACTGGCTGTAGCTACGAAGCTGAACCTAGCTTTTCCGTTACATGCTCCTAAGCATTATATTCAAACTTTTGGGAGATACTTCCGAATTTGCTGTGGTCTGGTGAAGTTCGGAAATATCGGTCAAAAATGACAGATCGTTTTAGGCTTGACGAGTACATCTTTGAGGTAGTAGAATTAATGTGGAAATAGTTGTTTATTTCGGCAAACTTGAAAAAAGTAGATGGTCTAGCGATACATACGCTAAGATAGTATTATATCTACTAATTACTGGTCTATCGAGGGTCACGTGACCGACCAGTAGTCTAAGATTACCAGCCATGTTAGGCAACCTTGGTGGGCTTTGCCAAGACCACCAAGGTTACCACGTGACTTAGCCCTTCGGGACTAAGTCCAACCTTCGTGCTCCATAGGACTAGATAGAGTGTGATGCTTTTACAACCTCACAAATCTTTGACCACCTTTGCGTGTAACAAGCCACTTGGACTTAGCCTCAGAGGCTTCCCCGAGGGCCTTCCACAGAACACAGCAACATAATCAAGTTGACTGATCACCTCAAAGTCACAGCCATTTCACAGAGGGGTCATATCACCGTCACATCAAGGTCACACACCAAGATAACTAAATCTCTGACAATTGTGTTACAGTAACCAAGCTACCAAGTCTGAAAAGGGGTGAGAGGCTACCCAGTGCTTTTACTACTACTATAACCATAACAACAACACCAACAACGTGTTGAAGCTATTCACAGACAACGATATGGCGCGTAGACCGGGGCTCTCGGAGGCGATGAAGTCTATCTAGATGGTGTAGTATATCTCTTTTTTCAGAGGGGAAGCAAGCAAAAATATTGTTAACTACTCCGAATCGGGGAATCGAACCCCGAGCTACACGGTGCTTAGTAATGGAATATTACATGAGAGCGTGTAATGTTAGCCACTACACCAATTCGGATTGCGTTATTATCTGTTGTGGACCTGGTTGAGTTTATCAATGCTTGGTACAACTTATCCACTACTCGCCAGGCCTTATCACGGCGTTTTGGTAACTGCGATATGGCAGTTGACTTCATAAAATCCTATGATATGATAAACCTTCGACACGAAGCCAGAAGCCGCAATTTAGCCTGCTAAGTCGTAATATGGGATGCATGTATCCATTGTAGGTAAAACTCCCATAGGGATATCTACACACCAAACTGGGTTGGACGGTCAATCGAATAGTAGTACTATGTATAGGAAATTTGGTGCAGGCGGGCTGTCGACACAAAATCTGGGTCAAATCGTAAATATGTAATGTAAAATTCAGATCATGTTTCCCTGAGCTAGCCGCCTCTCCATGTGCCGAACGCCAGTTGCTTTCCGCAATACATTGTACAAAGGTATGCGTCGATCCTTCCAAAAGTCTGATGGATCTACGCAATATATCGTGAATCTCAACTCCCTGTGCGTTTACGAAATCACGACCAAAGCCATTACTCCAAAGACCAGTCCCAAACCCGCAGATCCAGACCCAAATCTAGACCTGCTCGCCGCACTCTGAGCCGCAAGATCCAACTTGGGCGTCGGCTCATATGAAACCACAGGCGTGCTGTCGACCGTACCATTCCAGCAGTACGAGTCGAAACACCGCTGACAAGCCGGCGGCACATTCGTACCGGTCTTGACGAAGCTACGCTGCAACACGGCGCATCCTGCACATGTCCTCCAGTCCGAACCGACCGTGCTGTTACCCATAGTCGCAACGTTAAATCCGTTTTGAATGATATTGTTCCGCTCGCTATCCGAGTACGTCGGCGTAAACGTCGAGACATTGCTCCATGCCGTGTAGGGCGTATTAGGAACATACACAATCAACGGCGGGACGGGTGAGTCGGACGTGAAATTGTTCACGTCGCATCCGAAGAAGGTCGGCCGGCTGTTGAGGCCTAAATTGATGAAGGTCTCGGCATCGGGGACGGCGGGGAACTGTGTGCCATTTCCGATGGACTCGAAGCTGCGTTCCCACGAAGCTCGCAGGGCTGTCCCATTGGGCCAATTGTACGTGGTGTCTGCAGATGAGTCTATCGCGAAGATGACATCTACGCCGCGTTCGGGCTGGATAAGTGGATGTAGTGGAATATTCTGCAGATCCTCTCCTCCGTCGACCAGGATTAATTCGGTCTCGCCGGCGTTATAGTTCGTTTCCGAATTGTAACCGAAGAACGGGTTTGGAGTGTATTGGGCGATATCGTTGTTGCTATCGCCGAGCCCTGACAGTATGCTCGAAATGGCATCCGTCACGATGGAAGGCAGGTTAAATGAAGATAGGTTCGTGAGCATGAACTGATTGAAGAGAGAACTGCTTGTGCCCATCACGAAACCTATGACCCGAGTTAACAGTGATTTATTTTGAGACTTGTTAATTATGGAGAGAATGCATACCATACTGATCAAACCCGCTCACGCAACGGGAGCCCGTCGAAATACTGCCGCCGCTAAAGTTGCTTCCCAAATGCTCCAATGGCGCGAATGCGAAAAGTGTCGGGTCAAATGACCCCATTTCCCAGGGGTTAAACTCGTAAACAGTTGCGTTCAGTGAGATAATCTTCGTGTTTGCCTGGCGACCGTCGGCAACTAGTATGGGCAGCGGGTGGTCTGCTGACGTAAATCCGGGCGATTTCGCGATGGAAGAGAATGTGTAGGCAGGACCGCCATCCGTAGCATTGATTAGCTGGTATGAGAGCGACCGTCCCCAATAATCGGTGATGGAGGTGTCGAAGTGGGCATCACGCTTAGATTGCACCTGATCCTCGATGTCGTACCAGTACGAAGCCGTATTCAGAATCGAGATGCCAGATGCTTCCGGCCCCTCGAAAATGTTCCTATCGAACGCCCAAACAGCCGAGCCAGAACTGCCGTCTCGAAGTTGTTCCACTGTCGAATAGTTGTTGGCATATATCGAGCCAACTAGCCAGCCTCCTCCAGAAAGACCGGCAAGATAAGTGCTTGCTTGCATGATGCCTCCAAGACCTGAATCCAAACTACCCGCGACCCGGCTGTCGGCGGCGGCCAGAAAACCAGCGCCATTCATGAGAGCCCGGTAACCTCCTCCAGAGATGGCGATTCCAATGTTGGGAAGAGCCGTCAGATTTTGCTGAACCGAAGTGATATATGCCTCGGCATCGAAGTCCGTTATGTTGGACCTTCTTAAGAAATCCACCATGGGATCAACCGTCTTGGCCCTGCGAGTCTTGAGCCATTGCGACTCATTGGTACTAATGGAGGCGGCATTTCTAATCGTCGGCCGGTTGGAGGGGCAATCAACTGTGGCAGGTGCGTACCCACGACTAGGTGAGTTCGGTAATGCTCTCCGTACCAGGCCCCCGGCAGTGCCGAAAGCTGGGGCCGATGCGTCCACCAACCCAGTATTTGATGCTGCAACGGCGGCGGAGAACAACGAGAGTATGGGGACAGAATAAAAGAAATGCATGATGAATTACCCCTAGAGGTGACGCACGATTGCCGAGTGTACTGGACAGGGTAATGAGTTGAGAATTGTGGGACGGGGTCCCTTTATTTTCATACTGGATAGTTTTGGGTAGAGTTGCGTCACACTCAAGTAAGGCTACGCCAGATGGATGTGCGTCAGTGACACACAGCCACACAGCCAAATCAACTTTCAAGAAGCTAATAACACAACGTCAGACGAAAGCGTCGTTCTGGATCGTTAACCTTGCAGTTCGAGGACACTAGATACAACGAACAACGAGTCTTGACAAAATTTTCTGTGGATCAGGACAAGCGAGCAGTAAGTCTGTTTACAGCTCTAATGGAAGCAAACATACGCGAAAAGGGACTATCATATTCCCTTTCTTTTCAGGTATTCGCAATAGGCAACGAAATAACCAGAAACACCGTTGGAACTGTCATCAAACGTTTTGCTGTCAATGTTGAAATGCGAATCCTAATTTGAGGCATGGTTGTTGCTGCGCCTTCGAGTTCATGACAAGGGTGGTGACACGGTCGTCCCTGCGTTTGAGCCTTACCCGGTAGTCTCACAGCGATCATCCTTCCAGCATCCGCAGTCTGCAAGCAGCCTTGGCTGTGGCCGCAGGCCGAATGCGCTTTCTGTCGCGTGAGCTCGTCACCTCACTGATGAGGCGCTTTTGATAATTTGACGATTTGTATTGATCGATATAGTTGACTCGATCGTAATCATTTCGGCAGATGCCGGATTTAATGTTTGAATAGTTTGATAATTATCCTCATTGTTGTTACCACAACACCCTGCACCACTAGTACTTTAACGTGTTGCCACAGCAAATTCTCACGCATATCTCGGCACAGTGGTTGGCGGCTGGCAGTTGTGTCGAGCCGAGGTTTGACACTACCTACACCTTCTAATGTCAGCTTCTAGGATTCAGTCTTTCAAGCCGCGATACAGTCATGCAAGAAATCTTACACATAGTCAGCTGAGATGTTTCCTAAACGGCTGTGTCCTGGCATTCCACTAGACGCATCATGCATGGCCGACGATATAGCAACACACAGCCTGAATCAAATGACTAGGTTTTATTGAACACACCAAATGTAGTGACGATTCTGTGTACTCATCCTCATTCACGGGGGTATCGTGAAGCGAATCATCTATGAAACTAACGGGACAGCAAACCCCAATTCCTCCTTCTCTAGAAATAGAAGGCTTCCATGGAATTTCGGGTATTGGGTATAGATGGAATATGAAACAATCGTCCCATCATACAAGCCGATTCCAACTCAAATGTGGCCAATTCCCGTCCTAGTCATCGAACAAGGTTCATTCTGATATAAGAAGAGAAACAGGGCACACGAAAACGTGAGACATGGAAGTATCGTGACGCGGCACTTTTGTGGACCAGCGAGCTTGTGCTTGTCGTGATGTCATGAGGCCACCTGTATAAGGTGGTAAAAACGTATAGATATGAGAGGCGATGATGTATCACCTTAACATTCGGTAAGGGCCCTCTACTTTGATATCTTTGACTCCGTCAGGCATCTGGCGAAGCCACTCTATCCAGCAATCGGTGTCGATGTGGTCGTCAGTCAATCGGATTGACAACGACAAGTGAGGCCCACTGGGCATCTCAGGGCTGTAGAGTGGCGTTCTAGGTTGCAATGGGGATAACGTAATTGAGGGGAGCCTTGAACTGCCCGATACCTGCACATGCAGCGGTAACGGGGTGCTGGCGGTGCTTTCCCTCTCGGGATGTTTATCCTGGATAATCCTAGGATATATGGACAGCAGTCTCGCGTGGAGCTCTGCCGCCGAAGGAGCATTGGGAAGGCGCTGAACAGCGCGTGTACGCAACTGCTCAGCCAATGCTCTGGTGAAGCTGCTTCTGCCGAGAATATTGAAGTGTTCCTCGGAAGCAGACGCAGCTATAAGCTCCAACATACCCATTTGGCGAACCATCTTCGCGGATGGAAAGTATGCAGCGTCGATGATGAGGAGGGTATCGGAGCAAGCGTCTTCCAAGGTCTGCTCGATACTACCCCACCTGATGGTTGTAGCTCTTTCTCGATCTCCAGAGCTGCCGAGGGTCAGTAACATAGCCAGTACACGGTGGCAATATATGAAACGCACCTCGCTAGAACCATCTCCCTATTGTCATCGAGGTAGCTGCATCCGTTGTAGTACACAATTTTTAGGACGTCTCTCGTGTCGCTGTTGTCAGTAAAATCGTTGATGACTCGTGACAGCCATCGGGACGGGCTTTTGTAGGCATCCGAGGAAACCGGCGGTATCTTGATGATTTCAAACGTGAAATGGTAGTATTTGTCAAAAACATCGCCAAGCTCCTGAATCGCGGCCGTGACACCAGGCTCCTCGTCCTCCTGCCAACAGATGAGCAGCGCCAGGACAGTGCTGTATCGACCCCGGTGAGGGCCAGCAAGAATCCTTGACGCACTGCTCTCCAACTCGGACTTGATGAAATCAATGTTTGGTAAGGTTGCGAGTGTTGGTGGCCTTGCAACCAGCGGGGGCATGGACAAGGACTTATCCAGTCGTGGGCCAGACGGCAAAGGCGTCCGTATGCGCGAGTCACTCAACGGTGCGCGACCGGGAGTTGTCTGGGTGCCTGGAGGAGTCGGAGTTGAATCGATATCCATCTCCTGGGGATCTTGAGTAAATGCATGCCTCACATGATTGGGTCGAGGACTGAGGGGGCGGCCAGCCAATGGGGCGAGTTCTTGCATGGGGCTATGAGAGCGGTATTTCCTCATTGCGTCTTCCCAAGTGAGGTTGTGATGATTTGGGTGGCACTTATTTGAAGTCAGTTCAGCCGTGTCCCCTGACCATTTTTCTGTTTGGCCGTTGCGGTAAGCATGTGAAGCAAGCAACTTACAGCAACCCTGCGTCGACGGCAGTCCTGGCACGCGCCCAACTTCCTGATCAAGGCTGCCTTTTCCCTCTGCTGCGCCGACAGAGGGCCAGTCCTCCGACGGCTGGCCCGACGGTTATGCGAGACGTCGGAGCCATCTTTGATGGAGAAGATAGACTGGGACGACTCTACACTGTAGGCACTTGCAGTTGAGTTGCTGTCAGTAGAGACAAGGGTGGCATCTGTCGCACTTGTCGAAGTCGAAGAATTGGTATCTTTTCTAATCGGCTGCGGTGAGCGACTGGACGATGCAGGTGAGTGATGGTCCAGGAGGTTAGGAGTCCCAGGTTGTTGTTGGTCTAGCTGAGCCCGGATGTGCTGCTGACCAGTTGTTTGACCGTGAGGCGGCTGCTGCTGCTGGGCTCTGCCGTCGTCCGACTTGGGAAATGCCTCTGCTAGGGACGGAGCTGGATGCATACTTGTCTGGCGGCTCGCGGGACAAGATCGCTACATCATAAAAGAAGTAACGAAGTTGCGCGCCCACGAGCGCGTCTTCCCAAGTAATGGCGACCTGCAAAAGGTTCTCTTCGTCGTTCGGGCCCCTCATCGACCCATGAAGATGGATGCTTGCTCTCGGCGAAAAAAAAGCGAGGAGCCTGTCACTCGAGGTACTTTGAGAAGGCAAATTCGACCGAAGCGTACAAGCGCACAAGCCAGCGGGCTAGAACGGGTAGGTACCGACAGGGGTCCTGAGTGCATCCAACAGTGTCAGGCGTCGGGAGCAGCCGAGTCGGGATTGCAAAATCTCGATCTCGAGCTTATAGAAAACTCTATTGACGATGCAACGGAATGGTGTTGATGCAGAAAAGAAAATGGAAAAACTGGTTGACTTCCTCCAGCCTAGGTCGACTATCCATGGTTTTTTTTCTTGTTTTTCTTCAAGGCTACGGCGGCTCGCCACGTGGGTGCATACTTCTGGTGTTTATTTCCCTCTGGTTTCCCACTGGACAGTATCAGAGACACCCCTCGCTGTCTTGCCGTCTTTCCAGTCGAGAGAGGCCAATCATCACGCGCTCAAATCAAGCTGCTTCCGAGAACCACCATGGCTTCGGTGAAATACCTAGGTCAAATCCCACCTGCTGTTTCTGCCGCCTGCTTTCCTCGTTGGTCGTTGCCGCCTAACGCAAGCCTGACATTTCCAAAGTCGATGCAGCCTCGATCCCAAGTTTCAAGAGATGCGCATCTCATCTGCCCCAGTACTCTCCGTAATTTGAGGTCGACCATCAATGCAGTTGCCTGGGCTGATGCCGAAATGAAAAGGTCACTTTGAAGCAGGAGCAAAATCAACGACACGGCATCAAACACCGCAAGACGCGTGTTTCTTCAGCAGATTTCCGCTTTCGAGACGATAGTTCCGCCTCTGTCATTTGACCGGTAATCTTGCCCGAGTGCCGGTTCAATCACACCAGTCAATTTCTGGCGCTCGGTAAAGGTCGGAACGAAGCTACGCGAAGGCAAGGCTCACTCCATACCTCTGTACTATCTATGCACCCGAGGTTGCCAATGCTAGCTCTCGGTGGGAATGTGAGTGGGAACCGCGGCAACCCCGAACGATTTGTTCGTCATGCGACGTAGTGCGTGCCCAGGAGCTCCTCGTCCCATCGGGCTTCGGTGGGTATGAGCCTTCATGATGTCGTTTTAGCAAGCTATTTAACGAAATGCTATCTGATCTGGCAGGTTGGCTTGAGATGAGAGAGCAGACCTCTTACAACGAGTTTCACGGATACAGTGCGACAAGGCGGATTGGGTCACTGTCAGTCTGGAGCCTCGTGGTTGTTAACCAAGTCGGGGCATACTACCTTTGTGGGTTCCTAGTACACACCAGCTAACCCCGATAAGTTCTCTATCACGGAAGAGAACTGTTCGAATTGGTGTGGTTTTTTTCCGGATGGTTGTCAGTATTTTGAGACACCAGAATCGCTTCTCCCCGGTGTACACCAGTCTGGCACCGTACAGTGCCTGAGTGTCTAGTGTACAACACGATATAGGCGAGCTGCTGTGACACGAAGCTGGAAGACTGAGATCAGTTCCTAAGTTTGTATACTCGGCACTTTGCCCTGTGGAAGCCTGGGACGGCAATGCATATGTCAGCGCATACGCCTGAGTACGGTAGGTTCGGCAGAGTTATATGAAAGTGTTACTGTGTCTTGTATAGACGTAAGTTGTTGCTGCTGGTTTAGGTACGTCTTATTATGTTCCTTTCCTTCTCGGATTAATACCGAGGCCTTCTCCTGACGCCAGCTCTTGCTATCCCATGGCACATCTTCGACAAATAAATAAAGACGGCAACAATCTTGCCCGTGATAACTTAAGCAAAGCGAATATAGAATGTTTCGTCGAACTCTCCTCGCCCCGTCTCGCCAGAAAGCAAACCCTCCTGGCAGTTCTCCGGCCTACGTCCCAGACATGCACAAGACATGTTTTCTTTTTCGAACAGACTCCCATGAGTCTCGCTTTCCTTGACGCCCCAGTTTAACATGTTGAACCCTTGATCCTTGGAGTTGGAAGAATACGTACGCATGGCCCGAACCCTCATGACGTCTTACTCTTCGTCTTCAAAAGCGATCCCAATTCCGAGCACCATGCTGACCAACCCCCTTTGTTCATTGTCGGCGGCCGCGCGTTGAATTTCTCAGAACTCTCGCAATGGCCGTGTGTCATACTAACCGCTGACTCTTGCTTGGATGATGAACCCACCTGGGAACTAGTCGAGTCAAGTCGGAAGTGATCGTATAAGCTGGCCAGAGCAGAAGCCGGCAACATCGTGGCGACCAATTGCTACAGTGATAGGAAAACGGGGAGACGTTGGAAGAAGGGCAGGCTGATGCTTGCCTGGGGTATTCCCAAGCTTCTCCGGAACTCCTTTCGACTTTATAACGTCCTCAGAGATGTGACGGCACTGGGTGACTATCAGATCCTTGTCGTAAATCGACAGATCGACAATCAAGGTGCATGGTGTTGGTCGAGCTGATACCACTCACCAGTTGTGCCACACATGATGCAGGTGAGAGTTTACGACTGGGGCAACATGCTGTTGCGGATGCATTGCTCCTTAAGAATCGTTGGGAAATCCACGTCCAGATGGAAGCCTCGTCGTTGCCGCTAGCTATACTAGAATTAGTTCAACCGAGTCGGATCGCAGAAGGATCAAATATGGACTATTGGCGCTGATGCCATTACCGCATGTGAAGAATAATTCTGGAATACTCTTCCGCTCGGCTAGCAAGGTTGCGGCACCATGCTCATTCCAGCCCCCATCCTAGCTGTCAGTGTAGCCAATAACCGCTGATATAGTCTTTATTATGGGACATTCTACCCAACGACGACTATGCACATTCCAGTTCAGGGTTGTGCTAAGCTAACACCGCAAAATCATCAGAGAACTAATCGAAGGGACAAAGTGCACAAACCAACGGTCACCGAGGGTGGGGTTTCCCTGTGATGGGTCCGAGCCCACCTTTAGTCCGTGAAGTTGGGCATCGAGACCTTCAGCTTACACGAGCGTGGGCAATACAGGCAAGAGAGCTATATTGGCGATGACGAAGATGATGGGACCAACTCCCAGGAGTGTGCAGCCACGGCAGGGCTATTTATGGGCAATGGGCCCCAACGCTCCACCCAGCACACAATGAGTAATTACGCCCGAATCTGCGCCTCAATGCGTTGACATTAGTCCGACTCATAAGGCCAAATACAGGCAAAGATTTTGAAAGCAAAGTGCAATAGTAGGCTGTAAACGATAACCTAGAAGCCATAATGAGCTCATTCCGCCGAATCATGCCGTGGCTGGCAGGCAAGCTTCCAACCCCGCTCTTCATCCAGCCTTATGCAATCTCGATTACCGAGGCCCTAAGGCAGCCAGCCTTCTTGCAACGAATCCCTCGTCTCCTCTCACTGGGGCACCCGCACTTTGGGACCACCGGCAGCAACGAACTTCGCCGACGCTATGACGATGCTCTTCCAAACGCCCAGCTCCTCCGCATTGCGCGGCGCATAAACCAGAACGTAACCCCAAGGAATTATGACTCCGCTCAACTTATGCCTCTCAGCCCACCCAAGCTCAATCAGCCTCGCCGAGTCGGACAAGCCCAACACCACATGCGAACTGCCCTCCTCATGGGGATGCAGAAATTCCCCTCTGGTACCCTTCATGTGTCCAGGAATAGCAAACCCATCAGCCAGAAACGCAGCCTGCTGCGATGCATTCTCCAACCCCGACGGCTTCAGCTGCAAGAAATCCGCGTTCTCCTTCACCAGTGCGACGAGAAAGTCCTTCATCTGCTGATGCGTCTCCTGAGTAGCCTGCTCCGTCATCTGGCGCTGCGGGGCGACAGCGCCGGGGACGTTTGGTCGGGACCCGGAGCGCGCGGAGGGCAGCGTGCCATTCTCGAAATAGGACGTGCCGCCCGGGCCGTAGAGTGGAGCCAGGTCGTCCGGGTTGTAGGGGGCCGGCGCCCTGATGTCGGAGCGCGCGATGAGGTGCAAAGCCGAGTTGATGAAGAAACCAAAGACATTGTAGGGTAGTCCGCCGGGGCCGAGACGCAGCCAAGCCCGGTACGAGGTGATGGCGTAGGAGAGGATGGGGATGCCGCCCAGGGTGATGGCGGCCCATGTGAGCCGGGTTTTGTCTTGAATGAGGGAGGCCATTTCTGGGTCGTGTGGGTAATTCTGAGGTGGGAATGTCAGACGAGGAGGGGTTCGGGGGATCAACGTCAATATTTGCAGAGACACGTCTCTTGGTTTTTTATGTTGTACGACATCACTTCGAAACTCACTATTGACATTTAAACCTATCGGACTTCTCTACACCGAGTCCGAGCCGTTCACGGTCTGTGCGCCCCACTCGGCTGCGAAGCGGATATCGAGGCAGCTTCTGCTCTGCCGTGTAAGTCGTCCATCATCAATTGCCTAATTTCATAGTCAGGACTGTCAGATTGAATGTCAATAGAGTTGGTTTTAACGGCAAGTGGAGACTACGTTTGCTACTCCGTGCGTCACTGCTCTATTTCATACCAGTGTAGTGTATCTACTTGCCTTCAAGATGCAAAAGTCATGAATCCACATTTCAGGTTACTCACAGAGATTGAATCAGGGTGTAGTTCATACACAATCATGAAATATGTGATTGATTTGCTACACTAGGGTAGTCACTGTCGGGATAGGATCAAACGTTGGTGGCTTTATCTTGGTGCAGTGACGATGAACAGGTTGTACGCCAAAAATGGCATGAGTCTCAAGACGAGAGTATCTTATGTTATAGGATGATTCACGAATTCGGACCCGCCACGCCTATCTTGAAAGGAAGCTCGTGTTTTGGATCGAACCATTTCTCTTAAGCAGACAGTGTCTTCGATATTGTCTAAACATCTTATCCAATTGTCGAATTTGTGCAACGCCTCATTCCAGCTGGGAAAAGCTTGTCTTCATTTTGTTGGCAAGGGGGAGGGGCCGGGGCGGCTGTCCTATCCGTACATGGCATTGGCACCGTCACCACATTGACTCTGGTGTGGCTTCTGGCCGCCAGCAGCGAAAATGATGTTGCTGCTTACCATACTGATCTACAACCCGAGCATGAGTATCGAGAGATCGAGTCATTTTCGTGCTGGTGCAAAATTTCCCAAGTCAAGAAACACATCAGTGGCACTCGTCCTTGCGCAAGGCCGTTTCGACGACGTCATCCAGCTTGAAGATGTGGCCATGTCAGTCCTGGGCATCTGCGGCCTCAAGGCTGTCAAATTCCGGCCACTGATGGGGTTGGGACGAGCAGATTGTATTGGAGGCGAGGCAAGCGTCGCAAGCGAGCTGGGCCGTCTTGCCTACCACTAAGGCTTTGAATCAAATGCCCACGCCCTCAGGATTGGACACCCGGTTTGAACTTGATCTTCCTGTCACTTGTACGATGCATCATCCTCCGTAAGTTCGTAACCTGGTCTTGATCTCAATTGAGCCTATCGGCAGGAGTCACTCAACCATGCTGCTTAGCTCTAGCTTTTACTTTTATTCGCTGACGCATTTGTGAAGCAGTAATGGCAACAGCGCGAACTTGTGACTTCTCTCGGCTAATATCTCTGATTGTCGTGTTATCTGATATATTCAGATTAAGAAGTGATTTTAATGCTTTATATTTAAATGGTTGGTAGAGACTCCTGAGGGCTTTCTAACGTCTGAAGTTATTCATAACAATGCATGATAGTAACGTTCAACTTCGCCTTTCCATTCAGGCAGTTTACACACATTTAAAATGGAAAATTGTCTCCAATGAGCAATTTGTTTTGTCGCAGATGCTTGCCAATGGTTTTAGCCTTCTTGCAGGATGATGTAACATCTATCTCTGTCAGGGAGACATTGTTAAAGGCATGTGGTGATCGTTCTTTATGTCGTATCCTTGCCGAAGGATCGCAGCGCGAAAAGAGTATTTCAGAGCTTATAAGTAGTTCCGTGAAGCTAGGACGTATTTTTGGATCAAGTTCCTCGTAGCAACATAAAAGGCTAGGGGTAATGTAAGCTCATTGTGAACCCAAGAGATGAAGAAGAAATTGCTACTTTACAATATGGGACTGTCGACATCGATAAATCTTGTCATGACTTTCCCAATGAAGCTCGAGGTCGAAATTGGGAAATTTGATAGTCCAGCTTTGGTATTGGATATGTGTGGTTAACCTCAAAAGGCCATGTGTAGACGCCTTGAATTGTTAGACGAACTTCTCGTGAGTCTTCTAAGCTTAGGTGTCAATTATGATGGAAGAGAACCGCCTGGTCTGCTGCTAACCCCCCGAGCTCGTTGGTGTGTCCATGTACATTGGGCCAGATCCTCCATTCCATTGGTTGAGATTGCACTTGGACTCTATGACAGATGATGGAGTAAGTATTCGAAGACGAAGGTGTACGCGGTGTCCAACTCGGGTAAGACCCAGAGTTGAGTTATTCTTCTCCCATTCTTGTGGCTAACTACATCTGAGACGGAGGTAGTCGTGAATCAGCAGTTCAGAAGACTTCCCTTGAAGTCGGACGTTGCTTTTTGCAGTTCTAGTTACAGCTATGAGGCGTCAGAGCAAACTTAGTCCGGTAGGTCTTTATTTCACAAAATGCCACGGCCATCTGGGCCATCTTGTTGCTCCACTCTCCTGTAATATGTGGGAAACCTCCTATTCTGGAATTATTGGTCGTCGTAATATACTTGAAAAGATCTAGAGAGGCTGTGGTCTTATCCTTGTGGAGAGAGTACTGCTTGCCTGTACCTGAGTAGTAGAAATTGGCGAAAGCTTCCTGAAGTTGCGGCCTTCTAGTTTGATGCGCTTCGGAAGGTGACGTTTTTGTGGCCAGTAGCCTGGTTTAGCCTTAGGTATTTGTTGTCCTAGTCAACTTTGGCGAGCGGAATACCGAATTTTGGTTATCTTATTGGTATCCTATTATTCCTATTTCCTATTCAATTCTCTCTCTTCTCTTGGGCATGTCACAGAGGCTTATTCGCAAATCCAAGCTGGCCATTTCCACCATGGAAAACCACAAATTGCGCCTTCAAGAAAATGTCTCCGTAAATGGCGAAAGGAATCCCCGCAGTGATAGCCTGGATGCCACCAAAGCAAGTCGTTGCCTCCTCGAACGTGTCTCCATCAACCGGGGAGAAATTAACGAAGTCGCCCGGAATCACAGCTTGATAATCGCCAATCATCGCCGTGTAATCAGGCAGCGTCGCAGTGCACGGGTATACGTATCCGCCAGCCGTTGCAACGGCGTTTTGGGCTCCCTCCACTTGAGCATAGTACGCATCGACTATCTCCTGCGGAAGCAGCATCAACGTTGTGCCTGTGTCTGCGATGGCTTGGTGTGCTGCGGAGACGGTCCCTGAGGTGCCGACAGCGAAGCCTTCAGACTCAAAGAGCCAGAAACCGGATGAGACGTTGACGGCGACGAAGGAAATGTCGCCGGTGAATTCGGTCTTGTCGATGAAACCGAAGTTGTAGTTTCCTGCCTCCGATTTCTTCAAGTTTGCTGTGAACAGAGGCGATGCCAAATCGGTCAAGGCACTATCGAAGAAGGTTTTTTGCTGATTGGGCGTCACCGTGTTGAGGGTACTGAAAGCCAGACCTAACAGGCCATCCGAGTTAGGGTTCGAAGCTACGCTAGAGTCAGTATACCGTATTCGAGGTAAGATGGTACGAATCGAGGCTCGTGAGTTAGATCTGCGCAATGGAACCACCACGATTGGGTTCTCTCGATACATACTGAGGCATACCAAGAGTAACTTACTGAATGAAGCGGAGACATTACGTGCTGACTCAACAGCCTGGCTGTCTACCGTGACACCACCTACCGTGACAGTATCTAGATAAACAGCACCAGCCGAACTGCTACCATCGCCGTAAGAAATCGACCATGCCGCTCCGTCTATGAGCTGTGCAGTCGAGCTCTGGTCGATTTGGTAGACTGTCTGTCCCGCGACCTGGGCCTGAGGTGTTTCGCTGCTGAAAACCCACAGGTCAGACGATCCCGTATCAAAATCCAAGTTCAACGTTTGCGGCGGTGTTCCAATCTGACTACACGGAATGGAGTTAGTATGTCCCGTTTGGGTCGTTTCCCCTACATGGGAAACCCTAGGACTCGGGTCATCAACACTAACACTGGACAGAGGTATTCTGTATCGAACGCCTCAGGAACAGCAGCCACCTCGCCTATGATAAGTCAGACCTGTTGGACGCATAATTATGGCTGAACGACATATTTGACTCACCCTGAGAATCATCGTCTGTATCTCCATTGTTACCGTTGTTCCCAACCAGCCCCAGTTCTGCAAGTATCTGGTCAATGAGGGACTGCAGATCATCAGGTACAGCAGCCCCAAACTTCGCATAGGCTCTAGCAATGGCCATTGTACCCCTTCCCTTCTTCATGCCAGTATATCTCGAATTTGGCACCTGGCTGATCTTGAACGTCATTCCACCCAAAGTCGAGATCTCCAGGACATCTTCCAGTGTCAATGGCGCCGCTAGGACCAGAGTCTCATGGCAAAGAATGGAAGCCGCGACAGCGACAACTTGTCCGGACTTCATGATTTTTCATCAAAGCCTTGAAAGGAGCGACTCGAAGCGAAAGAACTGGTATCCCCAAAGCACAGCCTGCTGAAACGAAAAGGGAACTGTGCACTACCAGAGCGAAACGAACCAGCGCGCTCAAGGAACGAAGGAAGGAGTGAAACGTGTGTGGTAATGGAGCGATTGAGAAACCAGAACAGACAGAAGACGAGAAAAAGAATACTGCAGCTAATCTACCTACATTTAACACCGTTATGCGGAACGAATGGGGTTGAGATTGCCCATGGTTTCACCCATCATCTGGCAAAGTTCGCTTCCGGGCCTCAGCAGTGTTGTCGCGCATGATCAACGCCAAGGGGGATACTGATGTCCTACCATGAACATGGTGAACATGTCGAGAAAGCTTGGTCTGGTGCATGCTTGGTTCGGCCATGAGGCTGATTTGATATGACAGGGCATCTTTCCGGGCCACATCTTATGGCTTGCTGTTACATCATCCCTGCCAGTTTTATGCTTTGCTCTCTGCTGTCAAAACAGGAGTGGTATCAATTGGCAGCGCAGGAAAAGGCGATGTTATGTCGACGAATCCAGAGCAGCGCCAACTTGTGTGACTTTGGCTTGGTGCATGGAGTAAACCGTCCAATGGTGAAGTTGGCTGTTGAAGGTCAATATGCCAAAATGCTCACCAATAACTTCAAGATGATCCCAAGCCCCACCACCCCTTCTAGTCTCTACACTAATTCTCTTCCCCGCAGTTGAATGCTTTGAATCCATTCTGCCAATCATTTTGACGTCTTCTTCACTGTCGATTGCACATTGGATGTCCTCTAGAACGAAAGGAAATCACCAACTCTAAAGGAGTCAAAAGGAGTCAAGACAGTGAAAGAGAACTACCCAGTTTCGTCTGAATTTGAGTGACCTTAGCCCACGACTGCTGCCATCCGATGTCGCCGACGGTAAGTAAAAGTTCAGCTGGCAAGCATCACCCAATGATTAAGCATGAAACAACACAATTCCATACATTTGTCTAAACCTCATACGCCAGTTCCAGGTCAGTTCGCAGGAATACCAGAGGGGCAGGGATTATTAGTACTCCAGCCTACTTAGGCATGGTGAGATCATCCCTGCGGAGTTGGACGTATTGTCATTTACACAGCACTGAACACCAGCAGCTACATCTAATAAATCCAATCAGACATTCACGAAGTCGATTCCAGTACCATAGAAGCTTTCATATCCAGGACTTCCTCAGATCTTTGAAAGCTTAATTCTTCGCCAAGTATCGGCAGCATCGGCGTTGGGGGCGGCTGTTATTGTTACCGAATTTCGTCGATGAAACCAGCGGCCATGTCTGTTCGTTTCAGATCAGCAGAAGAGCCTGCGGAGCAACTAGCCTCGCTGAGCTTCTGAACAAGTTTACGTACTTGATGGGTTCGTACGTAAACTTAGCGACCCATCTCTTCGAGATAGCATGATGATCGTAGTACCGAGGGAAGCAGTCCTCTGTTGACGACTCTGGAGGGATGCCGTCGTATTAGGCGCTATGCTTGCTCTACGTGTTGTGCTACGTAGGTTAGTGTTAAGAGGCTCTGTGAGAGGCTCTTGCTCTCCGAGGGAGGGAAGAAGGAAGGGTCTAACCCACCAGCTACACTAGCAACTGTACCGCTTTCGGCCTAGGGCATAACTGTGTCGCTCAATCGCAAAATAACGGTCTAAAGTTTATAGTTTGAAGCCCATCACTATAAAGCCGAGTTGAAAGCAATGCCTAGGGGTAAGAGTAACTGTATATTTACTTTACAGTAGTTATCTGAACTAAGTGTCAGTGATCCACTGGCATTCAAGCACTTTTGGTCTATTAGCCGATGGGCTTGGTCCTCCCCCTGACAAAAACCTATGAAAATAACGTTTTAGTGAATATTCTGAATATTCGGACTACGGAGGATAACCGTTAGAAGCGCTTACAACTAATACTAACTGAGTGATAGCTATAGATTTACGGTTCTCTTAAACCGAAACGGCTAGCATGTAAAGATATAGTATCGTTTTGATTTATATAGCTAATTAGTGTTATATTTCAAATTATTTTATTTCTAGGTCAATACTAGTAGAAGTTTTATAAGTAACTAGTACTATCAACTTCACTAGAAGTCCATACTATTTAGGTTCGAGAGGTTATGGTATGTTAAAGCATCGGTACCACTTAGAACCAACTATACTGCAGTTATGGTCTGTGCTAATATTATTACGCTATCTTGTGAAGGTGGATCGCTAAGTTTTGGCAACACGGGCAAGAAAACAGCCAGCCAGCCAGCCAGCTGGCCGGTCGTCTTCTGCATTGCCATTCTAAAACATCAAACTTAACTTACAAGCTGCCAGTAGCAAATAAAGCACTGACGGCATATTCTGTGCTTTGGGCATTTGTAGAAGTCGGACAAGATGGATATCTATGAGGATGATGCACAACTCCGTCAGTCGCAAACAGTTACTGGACCTATATGCCTGCTTGGTTGCGCCCGCCGTAAGAAAATATAGTTGCATATGAAAAAGATCAAGGAGCCTGGAATAGGAATATCGAGCAGATCATCAACTCAGGGTTTACGAAATTCATCTAACTCTCAAGTCGGTCTAGGTCATCCCCATCTGGGCATCCAATCCCCAGATGATGGACAAGTGTAAAGTGCTCAACTGCTTCAATGCCAACGCATAATGGAGAGCCCCAACTCAACTATCAAACTTGTCCGCTCAGTGTAGCCAAGGCTGGCGTAACGTGAGAGCCGCGAGATCCTTGGCGTCCAGTCATTACTGGTGGTCACTAGGTTTTTGATACGAAGCCAGTCCAAATACAACGGGCCGATGGCGCTGCTTGCAAACGCAAATCTACCCGTGCTCTCGTCAACAAAATCCATCTCAGTTTGTAATCTTTCTGATTCGTTTCGGAGAGCAGACGAAAGCTGCTAACCACGATTCCCACTTGCGCAGGCCTTTAGTCCGTCTGAAGTTCCGTTAGCCGGGAAATGAAAGACATTTACGGGACTATACTCACCATACAAGGGTATATAGTAGAAGGACGATTACCTATGCATATATATATAAATAGCAAAATAAAGAAAGGCTCATTGCCGTTTTCAGAAAATACTCCGAATGCTCTGCTTAGATATGATCGGAGTGACGAAGCTCACAGTGTTCGCCACCAGCCAAAGAAAGTTATCCAAGTAGATATGGGTAGAACAACACCCGTTCAGCTAGGAACCAACTCTCCCCTTGTAGCCAGTCTGAGCATGTTCTCCAACGGCAAACCCTCCAAATCCTCCGTCTTCGCCGTGCCCGACTGACTCCCCTCCATCGGCAGAGGCGGCGGCGGTCGATCCAGCATGATAATATCCGGATCATCATCATCAGCCGCCTGCGACACGTTTCTTCCCTTATTATTTCCACCCTCTTCCTCATCCTCATCCTCATCATCCTCTTCGCTATCACTTTCAAACTCTTCCAACTCCCTCCGCAGCCCCGTCCTCACATTCTCCACCCCCATCTCGCGCTCCTCAGTCGTATATGGATCCAACTGCTCCTCCTTCATGAACGGCTCGAGACGATCAATCATATAATTCCTAACCTTCCCCCAGCGTCCAGACAGGGCCTCAAAACCCTCACCATCAGCCATGTCCCCGTACGTCTTGCGCCCCTCGTTCATAGCGGCCTCGACCTCGGGCTCGGGCTTCTTACGCAGGAGGCCCATCAGGAGGCCTTCCTGGATGCGACCAGGGTAGTTGGTCGAAGGGTGGACGGCGAGACGTGTGAAAAGGTCGTGGTTCTTGGACAGCACCTGCAGCACCGATGCGATATTGTTCTGGAGCACATCGGCCTGGTTCTGCAGCTCCTGGAGGGGCGGGAGGGGGTTGCTCTGTAGCACCTTACTTCGTAGGCCGCCGATCGAGTTGGTGAGCTGGTAGAGTCGCTGCCGGGATTGCTCTACCACTTTGAGCTCGTCGTTCGAGAGACCGAGCGCCGAGGCCGAGGATGACATTTCGTTGATGCGTTGAGGTCATGCGACAGGAAATCCGTGGGAGAAATGTGGTCAGGTGTTCCCAAAGTGGTGCTGTCTTTGGAGAATTGAGAATGCCCAAGTCGAAGTCGAATGCCTAGGCTTGTAGTAGTAATTCGGGACTTGTCTGCGGTTGGGTGGGGGGTAGCTGCCCCAAATCCAAATAATAACGTGCACACTACTGTACGTTTAAAAGAGGATGCCACCTACCCCACTGCAACTTAGCAGGAGCGATCTTCAGGGTCCATCCCATGTGTGGATGTATCCATTGCAAGGGTCATCCACAAGTCATATTTCAGCAAAAAAGACTACACTCGTTCAGTTGTCAATATGTGTCCCATGATTACGACCGAATTATGAACGTGTGATTTCACTATATCCAAGATCGATAGATTCGACCGATCGATCGATGTAAGCAAGAACGTGCGCCAGATGATGGAGAACCAAGCTAAGCATAGGGAAAGGTATCTATTGCATTTTCATCAACAGAAGCAAAACAGTAAAGTAAAACCATCAAAGCAAACCGCCGTCGCTATATGCCCGACATGAAATGTTGTAAGACTCCAAGCCCCTATGCCCGGCCGATAAAATCATTCCCAAATCAATGTGAAGGTATCGTTGATGATCACTCATGCCGTGCCGAACCGACAAGACGCGCTGGTTACTCGCCGTGGGAGCCGGCTTGGTCACACATAATGCCACCTGTCTCGCGGCCATACTTGTCGACGGGCGGATAACGTGCCCGGCGTTCGAGGTCGTCCAAGGGAACGAAGGAACGGATGTACCTATGCATTTGTTAGTTTGCATGCAGTGAAAAGGAGGGTTGAAATCGAAGACGTACTTCTTGTGTCCTTCTTCATGTGCGGCCGGATTGTAGTCCCAGCTGTCGAACCGTCCCTTGGTCAACGCACTCCACACAACTCGGCGCTTTCTCTGAGACAGCAACACATCCTTGGTGATAGCGTCGAAGTCCCACCGAGCTTTGGCCTCGTGCTCGAACTTGGCGAATTTGAGCTTCGCCTCTTCCTCCTCGGGGGTCAGGTTGTCGGACTTGTCAACCAGCTGGGCCAGGTTAACGAGCTCCAGAGGATCCCGTTCAAGGTTGAATAGCTGAGGAGCATCGGTAGGGCAGGTAATGTACTTCCATGGTCCCCGGCGAATCATCATCAGAGGCGCGATGGTGCCTTCGCCAGTATACTCAGAAATGACAGTGTCATGACCCCCCCGACTTTGCAAGTGAGGAAGAAGCGAGAGGCCATCCATCGGCAACTCCGGGGCGGGCTTTGTGCCAACCAGATCACATAACGTGGGCAGAATGTCCAAAGTGGAAACATTCTCCTTTACGCGGTGTGGCTCGAATTGTTGAGGGTAAGAGAGCAACAGTGGTACGCGAACTGAGCTCTCGAAGTAGCTCATTTTGTACCTAATTCGTAGTAAGAGACTTGCGTCCTTAAATTGGGGTAACTCGGAACACTTACCATAAACCTCGCTCTCCCAGCATGTCACCGTGGTCACCACTGAATACAATAATGGTGTTATCATCAAGACGGCATTGCTTGAGAGTGTTCAAGAGACGACCAATACAGTCATCGACATAGCTGACAGCACCATAGTAAGCTCGCCGAGCGCGCTTGATCTGCTCTGGGGAAATGTTCTCATCCCACAGATCGCAGACCTTCAGGAGCCTCTTGCTGTGCGCATCCTGCTCCTCCTGCGGAATCTGCACCTTGGGCAACGCAATATCGACATCTTCATAAAGATCCCAGTACTTCTCCTCAATAGTGTAGGGATCATGAGGATGTGTGAGGGAAACCTAGAAAAAAAGTCAGCACAACTGTGAGGTCTGTCAAGTCTTCACCTGATTCGGATTCCAATTTTGCCGCCACCAAACCACGGCATTCCGCAGTTTTCCGTTGTACGTACCGTTAAACAGAATGGTCGAGAGTCGGGACCCTCGCGGACTTGATCGTACAAGAATTGTGTGGACTTGTACATAACCTCCTCATCGTAATCGAGCTGGTTGCTCCTCACACAAGTACCGGCCTGCAAGATAGAGCTGGCGTTGTGATACCATTCCAACCGTCTCTCTGCATTATCCCAGTCCACAGCCCAGCCGAAGTCTCCAGGATAAATGTCGCTGGTGAGACGAGTCTCGTAACCATGAAGTTGATCTCCCACAAAGTGCATCTTCCCCGCCAGAACAGTGTGGTAGTTCTTGTGACGCAAATAATGAGCGTAGGTCGGCCAGTCACTTGAGATCTGGGAAGCGTTATCGTATGCGCCGATCTGCATGGGCAGAAGCCCAGTAATCAAACTCATGCGCGAAGGGGCGCATAGGGGAGATGGGCAGTACGCAGAGTCAAACTGAACAGACTTGGCTGCGAGGGCATCCAGGTTGGGAGTTTTGATCTGCGAGTCTGGGTTGTACATTTTGAGAAGAGGAGCAGCGAGCTGATCGGCCATGATGAACAAGATGTTGGGCTGCTTAGAGTTTCCTGACGGCGGGGCAGGGCCGTTGCCATTGGCATGGCCATTGCTGGCAGCAGGAGGGTGTGATGAATGAGGCATTGAGTTGATGTCGGGGGCCATGATATCAAGAACCGGCAAAGTAAACAGAGGCTTGGGTTAGAACGAAAGAGTACTTTGACGAAGAAGAGAGAGGGGGAAAGAGAGAGACGACGGGAGATAAGTAGATGAAATAGATAACAAGTGGCAGGCAACACAGTAGCGGTGCGTCCTGATATCAATTGTGAAAGACGATGATGACCAATCGGGAGCAACGAAAGGCTTACGAAGAACAATACCTGTATCATATACAAGCGGCTCCCCGGATGATAGACACGCGGGACAAAGCTTTGGATCTATTCAGAGGCTGTGAGTGGAAGGCTCAAGAGAACAGAAGGGCATAATCAAAACCGTAGGCTATCGCGCAATCATTGCGAGCGATCACGTTTGACACCGCTTGTTTTAGTCTAATAAGGGCATAAAAGGACCCCCTACCGCCCGACTAGAGCCCCTAACGATCTTCGAAAATCCCCTTTTGGTGACAACGAAGCGCTTCCAGGCGATAAGCAGGGATCTGCCGTGCTGCAAGTCCAGGGATTGCCTGCCTCGATTCAACCCCTGGGGTCAGATGAGCATTCAACCCGACGCCCAAAGCAGTATTGCACCTTGTCACATCAAACAGCTGATCAACTCGAACGGACACTGGCGGGATATGTCCATCAATATGGGAAGCTGACGCAGGCTCGGAAGAGCGGATCCACCAGTTCTCCCGTACACCCAAGCGGAATCTGGGGGAATTCATCCGCGCGCCGAGGCGGTAATTCTGATTATTGTGCTGCAAAAATGACGGCTTTAACTGACTCAACCCCGGTTTTCCTTCGATGGCGACAGAAAGCTAGATTCTGGCGCAAGAGCTCCATCCTCTAGTTTTGGGCCGTCAGTTTGTAAGCAAGGCGTGGCCCCGTGTGGCTCTTGCGGCTGTCTTCGCTGCTATGCTGTCTACCTGAGTATTATGCGGACAGTTTCATGGTAATTGCTCAGAGCTGCGGAGCCTAGATGGGTTCAGGTATGGATTAGATGAATTGCGGGGTGCAGACAATGGCCAGAGCAGCGGAGTCCCCGGTTTGAGGCTTCGTAGCCCCGAGAATAGCAACCACCATTCATGAAACGACGGCAACAATGGGGGCTTACGTACACGCAACGTCGTCCGCAAATGAGGCTGCCAAGGATGCATGAATACCTAACGGATAAACAATGACTACCGGTCACATGTCCCATGACGAAGGCCCCATAGCGGTGAATCATCAACCCAACTGCGACTCCCACACGACGGAGTATTGTGCTCGACATGTCAGGATGTAACTTCAATAGTCTGCATCCATCCCATCAATGGATGTGAATCCCCAAAAGACACTCAAGCCAACAAGCCAAGCACACAACTACCGAATGGCAAAGTCAATAATTGGGTGCAAGAGAACGACTACAAGGCGCTAATTACGCAACGGAAGTGCCCGGCATAAGTTTCAACTTTTGACGGCTCAGCAGATGCGAGCTTACTCCAAGGACGCAGACGGGTAAGATTTACTTGTCTCTTGTTTGGGTTTATTAGCATCTGCCAAAAAAGGCACCAGGCAGAGAGTATAACTCTGCGTCTCGCAGCAGTTTCTCCGACGGTGCAGTATACAAAAAGGCATAAACTCATCCTACGCACTTGGCTGCTCAACACAGTATCTATTGACGGGACCAAACTGCATGAAAGGTGGAGCTCTAGTCGTGGAAATTTTGACCAGATGGACTGGCTAGTCTATTAAATATCGACGTTACGTGGCGGTAACTCCTACATGCTGTCAAGATAGATCATCATCCCGATTACGACCCATTCCTCGACCACACACCGCAAGCGATGACTAAACTCAACCCCGGCGTCGAGTTGTTGGGCCCTTTTTCGGTGTCGCCGTCGATGCGCCAGAGCTGTCGACAGCAGCAACCGGGGCCTCCTTCCTTTTCCCCCGTGCCTTGGCCGAAGGCGCATTCCAGTAGTACACCATCTGCGTGGCGAGGACCAAGTTCAAGGCGAAGCCAGCAATGAAGCCATACAGGATGAGATTGTCATCCACCTCTTGCAGGGTTGTGAAGATGCGAGAAAGAGAGCCGGCGAGATAGTTGAAGACCTAGCAAAGTTGTTAGAAGCGATATAAGCGAGTCTGCTGAACGAGGCACTGGATCGAAAGACGAATATACTCTGCTGGACGACAGGAGGGTGTGGCTTCCAAGACGCAAATGCTTACCGTGAATGCGCTCAACTGCCCGGTGCCTCCTTCTTGCCAAATGGCAGCAATCTGGGGAATCTTGCTTCCCACGCCCAGCACACCAGCTCCTGCTTGCAGGTAGCCCAGCATCTGCATATCCACAATATCCTTGGTGAACAAAGTGACAACGCTGGCAGCCAAGGCAGCCACGAACAGAGCTGCCATGCTAGCTCGACCACTGTAGTTCAGAACTAGCACCGTAATCACGACGTTCTGCACCATGATCAAGGCCGTCTCGCCAAAAGTGCTGAAGGGGAAGCCGTTGCGGACATTGTAGGCAAGCGATATGAGGTAGGACGAGGTTTCGAGTAGGTAGGACAGGAAGCTGACACCCGACGACGACTTGGACTGAACGAGCTTAAGTATCTGGGGCACCTTAACGATGGATGACGCGCCGATGATGCCAATGCCCAGGCCCTTGGAGATGGCGAGCTTGACGCACTCGGTGCTGGTCGGGTCGAGGTCGAGGATCAGCGTCTTGTAGCAGGTGTCGCCGATGATGGACACGCCGAGGTCGCGGATTGGTGCCGGTAGATTATTCGTGATGGGTTGAAGGGGCTGCAACGCCGACTTTAGGGCCTCCATTCTGTGGGCTGTCTCTTTGTGAAGGTGACAAATTTGCCTCTGCGTGGAATCGACAGCGGGAAAGGCAACGTAAACTAACGGAGGATGAAATTCGCAAAACTATCAGGTATTATGGGACTTGACGACAGGGATCTTCGGGACATTTAACTGCGGTACTGGGAAGGAGCTAGGACCAATTGGGAACGCTACTGAATACTTACGAGGGTCACGCAGGAAACATCCCGAGGTCATTACGGCACCACAAGCACGACATGTTAGCAAATATCATTTTGTCTCGGCTATAACTTTGAAATAACATGCCGTTCATACTACCCGTGAGACCAGCAGCTTCATAGAATTCCCCTTCCTAGACGAGATCCGTCCTGCAAAACACACTTCTGGTTGTCTGCTGTACTCCTTAACCAAGGGGAAGTTCTGGCCATATTTGTGGCCAGCAAAAGAAACGCCGTACAGGTTCTAAATCAGCCAAATCATGTGGTTGCGGGTTGGCTAACTTGGCGATGTCAATATGCAATGGGCGAGGAAACGCAAGTCAATACTCAAGATCGAAGGTATAGGCGTTGGAGAGATCGCAAAAACGTCGAAGAAGCCCCATTTTATCTCTCGAACCTCTAGCTTCGAAGATTGGGGGACGTTGGTGAGTTGAGTACCCACGCAGCAGACACATAGCCAGCTATTCCATCACGACCGCGAGCGGAGGAACTGGCTCAGCCTCTCCTTGCAGTGCTTGAGATTCTCGAAAGGCTCCCAAGTGGACTCATCCTCGGGATAGTTCTTCCACTTGACATGGTAGAGATCGTCACCTGAATTCCTATCCTTCTTCATTCCATAGATCTTCTCGACGACGTACTCCTTAGGCGAAGCCATCGTGCCCTTCTTGCGCCCGCGCTTGGGCGCATCAGAAGCCCTGGGGGTAGGAGAATCGGCATGATACTTGGGCTTCTACTTGTGGTTAGACTGGCTTGCAGATAACGAGAAGATTTACTTGCCTTTTGCTCAGACATGTTCGCCATTGCGAACTCAGCAGCAGCTCGACTTGGTCGTCCTCTCAGGATGACGGCTTTGGCATTGGCATTGACATTGGCAGTGTCCTTGCGCTTCGAGAGAGAGCTATTGGTGACATCGCCATCCTTCTGGAGACTTGACTTGGGAGTGGCGGGCTTGTCAGACTTTGAGGGGCGACCACGACCGCGACGGGCGGGCGAGTTCGCGTCGTCAGCGTCGTTTCGAGCGACCCTGCCAGGAAGGCCACGCTTAGTCTGAGGCGGCTCCTTGGCCGTGTCATACTCAGCGACCTTGGAGGAATGTGCCCGCTTCTTGGCCGGAATGTCCTCATCTTCATTGTCACTGTCCTCTTTCGCGACCTTGGCGATCTTGGAAGGGCGACCACGCTTCTTCACCTGAACGTTCTTGTCTTCGTCGTTCAAATCAGTCTTGGCAGCATGAATTCGCTTCTTGGAAGCAGCCTTGGAGACCTCGGGCATGTTGACCTCATCGCCATTCTCACCATCAGCGCCATACTCGCCCAGTTGTACAACACTTCTGGGCTTGTCACGCAACTTGGAGACACCAGACGTGTCGGCGCCAAGGTCAGCAGGCTCATTGATGACTTGAACCTCATCAGAAAAACGCGTCATCTTACGAGCGCGACCTCCATGCTTATTACCCTTGCCCTTGTCCTTATCGTTGGCGGGCCCAGCGCCTAGATCAACATCGCCGAGCTCGTTGCCTGGCTGGTCCTTATCATGCTCATCGCCCTCATGGTGGAGGTGAATGCCACCACCGACTTGAAGGCTGCGTGACATGTCAGAAATTCTTTCGCAAAACATGATAAGTTGGTGCGATCGAGAGAAACTGCGATGAACTTACTCTGATACCACCATACCAGCGTCTTGGTCGTCAAGACCGGTAAACGGGCCGGGCGCCATCGTGCTTTCCCTGTTGCGATCGCGGTTGACCGGTAAGAGAGGAGAGCCTGTCTGTTGCAGAGAAACTGTAGGACCCATAAGCAGGTGAGGGATAAAAGAATGGAGGAATCGTATTATGCCAAGAACCTGATGTTTTAGTAGGGAAGATGTCTGATTGCTGGTTGCCGAAGGATCTTTACCCGACGCGAATTGAGACGGGAAGGAAGGCACAACCAAGTCTAAGTTGGGAAATCGTGGTCTCAAATGAAGCTGTAAGGAAAATTGGGAAAGATGAACGGTTGTGAATTGAGGTAGTTGTTTCTACCTAGAGTGTCTTTCGGTAGATATCCAGGTAAGAGTTGAAAGGTGCTTTATGAGGTGTTTGGATGATTTTCATTTTCTCTGATCCCAAGTCTTGCCGCATAGGAAAAAACCACCTCAAAATGCGGCTCGCAAGAGAAAGCAGCTGAGTTCGCCCGTTGGAATGAGTTGGATTTGGATATGGGAAAGCACCAAGTGGTGGATGCAACATGATGACTTGAGCTGTCTCAGTGCCTTGTAATAAGTAGTAAATACAAGATAATTCGCGTTAGTCTTAAGTAAGTCTGTGCTAACAGGTGGCTTTCAGTTGCGAGGTTTGTATAGTCGTTGAATACTCAGTCGTGAATCCAGTATGATTTTGATGACCTCAACTGATGTTGACTATTTTCTACGGTTGTTCGCCAACTCATACCAGCAGTAGTTGACCGAAACTGGTTCTTGCCTATCGAGACTTGGAGGAGTATAAGTTTGGACCCTTTGCATTTGATGACTTGTGCATAAAGTTAGATGAATCCTTGGTGGTAAGTCATAATTTTGAAGCAAATTGAAAACGAGGCACGCAGGGAATAATCGAGTCAGTTGAACGCATTTTATCATGATCTTACGGTGGAATCATAACACTCCAGATAACTCAAAGTCCGACTTAGTGCATGTGTTAGGGTAACTTGGATTTTGACAGACAAATTGGTTAGCCTCGTGGAGCAAGCACATGGTTAATGAACCCAACAAAAGTCTGAAAACATGCGCGCAGAGGCAGATCACAATTTGTGTTTTAAACTAGTGATATCATGCAAAAGCTGCATTCGTTTGTTGATGCTGCCACCGTTCACTACTTCTCCACCATCATGCTGGAGAATAGGAGCCGCAATAATTTCAGCAACGTGCTCACCGAGTCTGATGCTTTCCCAAAGCTGCAAACTAGCTATACAACCTAAGTTCCTCTCCTGGCTATCGTCGATCTCACTCGACCTCATTCCAGTACTTCTTCCAAATACACATCATGCCGTAAGTCCGCTGTCAAGATTCCGGAGGCATTCCATGAACATACTTTGAGACATCATCTTGGAACCCTCAATCGACATCTTCGTCATAATTGTCCGGCAACTCCTCGAATCGACCCTCTTGTTGAGCTATACGTACGGGATTTTCCGCAGAAATAATGCCATTAGCTCTCAATCTAGTATCTCGTTAGCAAAGGGGACTTGTGTGGTATATCTTCGGAGTACACACCGTTCAAACAGCACATAAAGTCTCTCGGCTTCCCTTTCTTTCTCTTCCTGGCTCATCTCTGGAGCCGCCGGGTGCCTCTCAGAGTCCAAGAACTGGCCTGTAACAGGGTTCACTGGCCTACTCGATCCTCCTGCATTAGCGAAGGCTTCCGACGCGCTCTGTGGGATGGGTATATTCCGATTGAAGAGGAATCCCGAGGCAAAACCATAGCCGACGTTGTCAACAAATTTGGACGCATCTTTGTCTGACATGTCGAAGAGGAGGTCCGATATAGCATTCCGGAGCTGTGGAGTCACCGGGTTTGTGGAGTTTCGAAGAAGCCAAGAGGAAATCGTACCGCTTCGACCAAGCACCTCATTTCTATCCTTTTCTGTCGGCAGTAATCGACGTCGTATGGAAGCCTTCACCTCTTCTGGTGCATATTCGTGAACGGCACGGATAACACCAATGAGGGCCGTCACCAGGCTTTCCAATTCATCGTTGCTGTAAGTCGTACTTGCGCCGACCAAAATATCCAGCAAACGATCTGCTAACACATTGGGCCCCTCTTGAGGGTAAAGTGATGATTGAACTTCCTTGGCTCCAACGTCCAAGTTCAAAAGACCGTTGACCAAGGTGGAAATGGGTGGATCAAGGGGTTTGCTCGCGGTAAAATCCACCTTGCAAAGCAGGTTGACGATGTGGGGAATGGCTGGGGTAAATGAAGATGTACGGTCTTTGCAGTAGTGAGTGATGTTGAACATAAGCTTCAGCGTCTCTGTCAAAGCAATATCTTCCATCGGCTCTGTTACTAACTTCTGGCCTTGTCGATGCTTGCAGTGGCGTTCCAAGTTCTTGATGATAATGTCATCGAGATGGTGTTTGTCTATAAGTTCGAGTATGTTGGTGTTTGTGCCGTAAGTTGTTAAGAACAAGACCCTTGATATCAAGAACTCATCGTCTCGGTTATCGTTTTTGAGCTGAGCGCAAGCTCTGGACTCAAATCCCAAGTTAACAAATATTTGCCGCGTTTCTGCTTTGAGTAGCATTGCGTTGCATATGCAGCGCAGGGCATTTCGGGCGGTTGTGCTAGAAGGGCTGTTGAACGCGTGTCGAGTAAGAGTTTCGATTCCCTGCGTCTGTAAGCAAACGAAGGGCCGGTTGGATCTCGTGAAACATACGTCTTTGGTGTAGATTGGGTCTGCGTTCTTAGGGTCTCTACCGTATATCTTCAATTCTTCTAAGACGGCATCTCGTTCTGTTGAAACTCGATATTAGAGCAGGTTAGAGAAGGAGAGCACAACTGCTTACGGTGAGGTAAGAGACTGATGGTGTCGAGATCTTGCTTCAATTTGCCCATAAGCTCCGTTACAGCATTGAGTTTATCTGTTCAAGTATTTAGCCAATGGACAGTGGTCCAGGAAAGGAAAAGTCACCTGGTCCTGTCAAGGTTCCCATAGCCTGCTTCTGAGCCATCTCTACCAAGGAACTACTTGGCTTCTCCTCGCCACTGGCAGTGCGACTGGACATGCGACTGCTAGAACGATTGTTTGAACCCGAGAATATTCTCTTTAAGGCACTCGGGCGCCCTCGCGGAGTCTGTGGGGACATGGTAAGCGGGAGCCGCGGGCGTACTTGAAATCAAGCGCAGGGCGGCGTGTGTGATGGATCAGAATGGTATGGGCTGATGCGGATGTGGATGAAGTGAACAACCAAAATACCAAATAAAGCCTATTTGAATTAAGGAATGCGACAAAACAATGCCCCTTATCAATGAAGAACTATCACTTTGGGGTTGTTGAGAGGTCATCTCACCCGGGTGACGGGTGCAGTATGTACAGTTACAACCGAGACGCGCCGCACTTGCATTGAGCGACCTGAGTTTTGGGGAGGCCTAATTTGGCATGGGGGAACAAGGTAAGAAGGAAGGGAGCAAGTACCTGAAGCCGGGTAAGGACCCTGGTGATCACTACGCAAGGTGACTACTTCATGTACTCGAGTACTAAGTAGCCTGAACGGGGCTTGAGACGGAGTCGAGCACTACGACAACGGAAGTAACTGCGGTGTCACCCTGATCAGGAAAACAGATGCCCTTACGAGCTGACACCACATGACAAGGAGGAATTGTGATGGAGTCGTGCAAAGGTCACTCTGCAGGTGGATGTACTTGGCATACAAAAGTAAGGTAACGGGTGTCAAACGCTTGGAAAGTATGGGAACATGGGCGATCCAAACTCGATGAACTTTGCCCAACTCGAGCTTCTCCGCATTTTGATTGTGGCGTAATAGACTTTGGGACTTTATGGCGGTGCAATTTTGATGCCGTTGCCGTTGACCTCAACCAGGCAAATTTACGATGATGCCCATGATGCCTAACTGCTAGGACACTCGGTATAAGCAAAGGTGGCTTAGGTTTGATGTGTCATGTAGGATGGTCCATCACTAGCAGAGTTTACCACTGCCCAGATATCCAAGGTGTACTTCGTCTTCTGTACGAATGCATGAATTAGCGAAGCTGCTCTGCCAAGCAGGTCCCTCGACAGCTGACCAGTCTCCACAGTGGACTATAGGGTCAAATTCTATTCGAGGTTAGAGGAGGACCGTGCTCATTAAAGTGGTCCAACGCGATTGCTTTACGCGGGTCGCGACACCCTGGTTGGCGTCAATCGCGTCGAGGTATATCAAATCTAGTCGGTTCTTTTTTTAAGCATTTCCCATTAGGTTATAGATCCCCCATACACCGAACCCCAACCAACTTGACCTCGACGCTCACTACCTGTAGGGTGACTACTAGACCTCGTCTTTCAACACCAACTTTGCTTTCTAGTGTCTACCCAGCCGGAATCTCACATGTACACTCATTGCACTACATAATTCTTCAGCGGTGGGCCTGCAAGTTCTTGGAGGCGGCTTGCAGCCATGGTCCCGCAAGTAGTGGTTCCAACGAAAGGTTTGGAAACATTGCCAACTCGACCACCCACACCGCCGCGCGAGAAGACACACGAGATACAGGCACTCGCCCGTCGTTCGCTCGACCCGAGACGAAGTCTTCATACGCCTCCAAACTATTCCCCAGACTCGTCCGACCTGTCCAACCCGGCTTCGACAAGAACACGCAAGAAGGTTGGCTTTTCAAGCCAGGCCGACTATCGCGACGCTGCTACCTATGCCGAGGATGCAAAGAAACGGCCGACCCCCCTTTCTACACACTCGACCACGAAATCTTCCAAACCTATCAAGTCCATCTTGAAGCCCACCGCTCACGTCGCAGTCAATCCATTGGATCCGAGCGCGAGTACCGACGACGCAACGAGACATGCGAATCTTGCCAACATGCTGGAATCAACCATCAAACAGCTCGCAGGGGCCGATAGAGACTCGAAGCTCGATGCGTATATAATGCTGGTTCGAGTACTGAAGGCGTCCAATAATCTGCCCGACCGGATTGCTTTGCAAGACAAGATGAGCCTCTTCACGCAGTTCATGCAACGAGATGTCACCACCAAAACTTCTCAAGGCACTATTGACTCGTCCTTGGTCAATCATGCCCTAACACTCCTCATCACCTTCCTACATTTCCCCGCCATTGCCTCAACTTTATCCAGTGACTTCGGCGTCTTCGTCATAGATCACTGCATCCGGTCTTTTGAGGACCCAGCTGTTCCAAAAGACGTGGTGAGACACTTGATGCAAGTCGCCGCTTCCCAACACTTCCCGCCCAAGGTCATGACTGCAGACCGCGTGGGTCGTTTGGTGGCATCGTTGCACACTCTGGAGGACCATCTCGCCGGCAAGAGCATAGTGATGTCTCGCATCCTCATCTACCGCCGACTGATCCAACAGGCCAAGCTTCACATGATCTCCCACTCGGAATGGCTGAACGATCTTTTCACCGATATGCTTAGCGGCGTAAGGGAAATTCGGGAGACAGCAATCGCCTTAGGCATGGAGGTTAGTTTCACTATCGGCAAGGAGAAGCAGCTCTCGAGAAAAGTCATGGAGATCTTGCAAGTGGCTGTGAACGACACAAAGTACATTGAATATTATGCCGCCCAACTCAAGGTCATGGCCAAGGATAAGCAGGTTTCGGTTGCAGTGCCGCAGATCTGGAGCGTCATGCTACTTCTAATGAGATACCCTTTGGAGAAGTGGGAATACTTTGGATCGTGGTTGGGAATTATCCAGCTGTGCTTCAACAGCAGCGACTTCCCCACGAGGTTCGAAGCAAATTACGCGTGGAATCGTCTCGTTTATGCCTTGCAACTCAACACGCAATCGTTTTTGAGGACTCTCAACACCGTGTGTGAGCCGTTCATGGGCCAGCTGAAGCGCAAAGGTAATGGCAAGCAGAGTGAGGAGCTGCGTAGGGTGGTTTTTGGTAGTATCTGCAACATCTACTATTACGCCTTCAAACCTAATGCCAACCAATCCCAACTTGATGCCATTTGGGATGGCTGCGTCCGGCCACTCATGCACCGAATGGTTGTGCCCGAGATGGATGGGAAGACTCGAGGGCGATCGTTGGCAGAAACGCAGGATAACGTTCATCAAGCCATGCTAATTCTGACGGGACTTTTCGACTCGTCAACGCCAAGGTTGTGGAAAGAGGACCACGTCGCCGACAACCCTCTGGTCAAACCTGAGGAACTACCTGCCCTGGACCCAAAGTGGTTACGGCGGAACGCCTCCAAAGTCTTCGAGGTTCTTGACCCTTTACTCTCGAAAACATTCGTGGATTTGTCAGACTCGGAATCTGTCCCTCACAAGCTCTGGCGAACTGTAGTGGGCGCTGTGGCGTTTGCCGCGAGCAAGGAGGTCAAGGTATCTACGGACACAGCAGTCTTCATGGCCAGTGCCTTCACGTTTTTGTTTAGAGTGTGGTCTCGTGGCATAACCGACGCGAATCATAGCGGCGACAGATCTCGCCAGTTCTGCGAGGCAACTCACGAATTTATCTCGACAATGACCGACGCCCTAGGCACGCTGCCTTTCACCGAGAAACAGCTCTCTATGGGCGGCAATGCCTTCCAACACGTGGCAACGCCATCTCATCGACCCGGCAAAGGCCAAGGCATTACCCGGACACCTCTTCATCATCTCTTCTCGATCCTCTCTACCCTACCTCTAGGTGTCAACGATGATGAGGGTCTTTCAGACCTCATTCGTTCAGTCTTCAACCCTTTCTTTGCGGCAAAGTCACCCCGTGCCAGAATAGATCTCGCCCACGAGCTAATGCAGTTGATCTCTATGGACTCCATTTCGCCTTACGGACCTTGGCTCGTCATCTCCGAAATTGTTTCGAATCCCTTGGAAAACAGCCAAGGGAGTCACTCGTCCACACATTCTAGTGGCGAGCTTCCGGTTGGCCACGGGTATCGAGAGATTGTCAAACATCTCGAAAGAGGTATCAAATCCACCCCAAACCTCCCTTGGGAACACTGGCATTCGCTTTTCCAAGTGTTGGTAACCCGTGCCACTGAGCAAACGGGTGAGGCGGGATGCGCAATTGGGGTTGTTGAGCCCTTAGCCAAAGCCGTTCTTGATGTCCTGTCTAATGAATACGAAGCCAGGATTGGCCTGACTTTGTTCAAATGCGGTGTCGATTTGATCTCCACCGCAAAGCAGCCTCGTGACCGTCAAGCTCTGGATGCAGGACGGCGCCGCCTGTGGGGTACGTCAGTTGCAGGGTCGAGATCGATGTCCCTCGATCCTTACGACAACCTCTATCGGCTCATGAATCATCTTCTGGCCGTGTCATATCGGCAGTACGGGGAGAATGAGAACAAGGAGGCAGTTTCTTTACTTGCCGAGGTTGCAGGCTTTCTATCAAGATGCAATCGCCTGTTGGTCTGCAAAACCCTAATTAACCTGCAAGATAGCCTTGGCCTTTGGATACAGGACACAGACGGGCGATATAACAGTATCCAGTCCTCGAGTTTGTCTGACTCAGTAAGTCAACCGCGTGACATTCTGTTCATGATTAACTGACTTATTGTAGGTGAAATTGCTCTGGAATCGCATCGACGCTGTCTTTACAGAAGCAGGGAACCTGGAGCAGATTCAACTTGAGGCAATCGAACCGCTGTTATGCTCTGCCTTTGAGAGTAAACACATGCATATCGTCAATGGCGTTTCGACGTTGTGGAATAAAGCTTTTGACCAAGTTGATGAAGTTCAATATCCCGAGAAACTGAAGGCGGTTTTGCTTTCTCTTCGGCCGTATGTCGACCTCATCCTCCCGGGCCTGGATATTTCAAGCTATGAGTGCAGCGGGCGAAAGCCTTCATTCATCGAATCCCAATCGCAAGAGGAACCGACCGCTTTCAACAAACCAACAAGATCAGGTAACAGCAAAACCACTCAGCCGGCAAGACGCTCTTCCAGACGGTCAGCGACTCCTGCGTCCGCCCAGCTTTCCCTTCCCAAGAAACGTCGATTAGACTTCACGCCCACTGACGCCCATCGCAAGTCCGCTCGTCGTAGCTCAGCACGGCTTAGACATGATGACTCTCAGATTCAGTTCGCTGCCATTGAATCATCGTCGCCCATGCACAATGCTGCAGAGCCCCAGGTCCTTACCGATCGGCAGAAGGAAGTCAGAGAAAGGCAACGCGAGAATGCCACCTTAGTCCCGGATATCCAGTCCAGCGGCAAGAAGAATCTGCCGAAGCAGCCGTCACCACTGCGTAGTGGTACTTCAGATGTTCCGGCGCACAAGGTCACTACACCTAAAACCCACCGGAGCTTCGAAAATTATGTGTCTTCGACGCCAACACCACGACGGGGTCAAGCTCCACCTATCGGGGACAATGACCAAGAGATGACGGACGACATACCTTCATCGCCCCCGAATATGGACGTCCGCCGGTATCCTCTCTTGCCAGAAATCAACAAGTCACAATCCAGCAGCAGTAGTGTCTTGGATGACTGGGCATTCATGTCCTCTCCTATTTCCGGGTCTCCACGTCAGAACCGACAAGTCCTCTCGAATGAGCAACAGTTGGCTGAGAAGGAGACAAATGGTATCGCCACTGCTGAGAACAGTAGCAAGGAAGTACTCGAAAACGCTGTGGTAGTGCCTGCAGCAGATGTTTCTGAGGATGATGCTGAACGTGGCGAGATTGGGGGTGAAAGCCTGGGAGACGACATTGCAATCGACGGCACCAGTCAGGCCGAGGATCTCCCACTTGCTACCAGAGGTCCATCAACACCGTCTGCGGCTCGAATGATCAAAGACCAAGTGACACCCAAATCCGTCAAGGACGTCTTTGTCGATGCTCTCACAAGCCCGGTTTGCACTCCGCCAAGTAAACACTCTCTGCTTACAACAGCTCCAACCGCACAACCCCCACCTGGTACGTCTCAGCTCAAAGGTGGCTCCTTCGAGCTTAGCGATCTCGACGAGGGGAGCATGCTGCGTCTGGTGGTCGAGATTGACGCTCGGACATGTGAGCCTATGCCAAGGTACTCCGAATCCCCTGAGAAATCGAGAGAACGAACCCCGTCCCCTGTATCGAAGTGCAATATCGTGCATCCAGAGTCGAAAATCGATGGCTCCAAAACACCCAACGATCCACCTGTGCATGAATCATCTCCTACAGTGGTTAACACGACAACGGAGAACCCAACGTCCACGCCCTCGCCCGCAATTCCATCTACGCCAGTGAACAGCAATAGTTCACAGGCATCGGGCAAAGCTTCAAAAAGAAGGCTGAAGAAGAAGCGAAAGCGCGTGTTGGAAAAGTCTGAGGAAGCCGGAAGCAATAAGCGCAGACACGATAGAGATGCTGAAGTCGATGTCGATGGAGTGTCTGAGAGCCAGCTTCCACCTTCAAGCGACAGTAAGCCTCTTTTCACACTCGATCACGATGTTCCATCTGACAGTCAACGTAGACACATGTTTGGAACAATCCGAGATTTCTGGCAAAGAACTACACTCAAATACATCGCAAGGATCTTTGGGATACGATCCTGAGTCCAAGAAGCACGGATCCCCAGTATCTGGCTCTGATAAGCATGTAGACGAGAGGAAAGCCGTGGAGTTGCAGCTAACTCAGGAGACATCTCATAATGACGGCAAAGTGGGGTTAATTCGTGAGGCTTCAGGAGAGCAGGAACTGAATGCTGAATCGCCGCCGGTAAAAGAAGTTGAAGCCACCGACATCACGATGGGAGAAGTTACCGAGGAAGAGGCACGTACTATTGAATTTGCGGATGCTGCGGTGCAGACTATGGAAGAGGCCACTTTAACTTCAGAAAAGTCGCCAATGGAGAAAATCATGGATGCCTTGAGGGGTGGTCTGGAGGAGCTGCGTACAGTGGCCTTGTCCAGGGGCGAAGTGTATCAAGTGGAGGGAATGTTCATGGATATCAAAAGAGAGCTCTATGGGGCCGAGAGCCGGGGCCGGGGAAGAGACTCATGAATCTGCTTTGGGAGGTAATATGCATATTTATGTATTTGCTCGCCAATGCATCCATGTGAAGAGTTAATTTGTACATGTATGATGCTTTAGGAGGGCAGAAGGCACAATCCATCGGCGAGGAGTTCGGCTGCATCGTTGAATGAGAAATAGACCTTATGTACGAAGTCTTAGTTTCATGAATCTTAGAAGTTTCGAATGACACAAGTTGCGCTTGAACAAACGACCCAAGTATCTCAAACGACATGTAGTTGTTCTGCTCATTCGGAACTTAGTAGAACACCTGCTACCTTCGAATGGGCCCTTGCGAAACACTACACTCAGCTACGTCTGGATCAATTCCTTGTTCAAGGCCTAGATAAGGACCAGGTGTTAGTTGAGTATAAGATACTCAGATGCCTAGAGATGGCCCGTGCCTGCAGACCCCTGCCCATCTTCGCCCAGAGGCCGCGTCACTCTTGACTATGCTTATCTCGCACGACAAATGAGAACAAAGTACGATCTGGAGGGTTGCTATACATCTCGAAATACGTGAGGGCATATCCACGTTCCTAGCCCTTCTCGATTTTCCTTAAACATGCCAAAATGTGGGTTTGTTGGCTAGTATCCGCGTTGGTAATACTGGGTTTTGACCTAGCTAGGTGCGAAAGCTCATCGCAAATCCCGCTAAGTACAACTGTTTCACCTCTTGAGGCGTCCCCGTGGCGGCTCAACTTCTCTTCAACGGCACCCTACCTCTTCTCGTCCGTGTCATCGTTACTTCAGCAATGGGGCAACACGTTTTTCCCCAACGGCCACGCTGTGGTACCATGCGAGATTCCGGCTTACACTTTGTTCTTTCACGGTCGTCTCGATGGGGAACTGCCCCCTAGCCCAGAATGGCTAGCTTTCGACATGTGAGTTGGATTACAGGGGTGGTGCTGTCGAAGTATGCGCTTACACCAATTTTCTAGTGAAATGTCGTATGGCATCATGGGGAGCACTCGGAATTCTCATATGCTTACGTATCAAACGACAAGACCGGTCAGAGCCCTGTACTTCGATGGCGAGTCGGCAGCTTTGATGGGATTGGGACAGCTTGATACTCAGATGCTGCACGTCTTCTCTAACCTCAGTGGACCCCCACATAATAACTTTCGGGGTCTCTTTGACGAGTATGCTCGAGCGACTGGACTATGTGACTGGCTCTTGGGCGCTGGACTGCGAGGTGATGGCTGGGGCTACGAGGGCATTGTTCGAATGAACGCCGGCTTCGAAATGATCTGGTGCAACTTCACCAGTCCAAGCTTGAGATTGTTGACTCGACTCAACGTGACAGCGCCGCAGCTACCCAAGAAGGAAAGCAGCAATGGGGACGACCAGGGTCTGGGTCTTCACCTACAACAAAGACAGGAGACCTCATACTACTCTCTGCCCTCTGCACCGACCAAAACAGAGCGCGCAACGGATCCATCCAACCCACCAATGCCGCCCAATTGGCGATGGGACTTCGATCGGGAACCATTTCTGCGTTCTCAAGGCTGGGGTTGGTTCTCCTCGGCCACCTACCACTACGGAGCATCGAGAAACGGCCCTGGTCTTGGAGAGGTTCGAGCCAAGACAATCGACTGTGGCATCATGAGCTACTACTCGCCCTCGTTTTCCAATTTGACCCTGACAAGGTCTGCGGCCGAACGGGAGTTGTACAACTTGACGGAACAGGGGTATTGGCAAGGCGAGAGCTCTTCTGGCAATCGAACGCTGGGTCTGACCCAGATCAGACGACGCAGACGCTATCATCATCTCGGCCATGCAACTTCTCAAGATGCTATGCTGATGCGGAACACTTCTGAGCGAGTATTGCGAGATTTGTTAGCAGGGAACCATAGCTGCTCAGGAGCAGATTGGACTTACATTACCAACGAAATTTCACAGAGTGTCGGGATTCACCTGAAGGAGCTTTCGAAGGTGCTGGACTCCTTCCATGCACACTCGCAGAACTACACAACCGTCATGAACTGGATGTCCATCCTGAGATCGCAGAGCCACACGTTCTATGTCGGATTTCTCGAGTATCCGGAGCAATACACACCATCGGTCTGGGGCCCCGAGTCGAAGCTATTCACGGACACGTATTCACGCTGTCGATATCGCTATAGTCGACTCATGGTGCCCTCGGAAGGGATCGAACTTTCCCCCGAGGAGGGCGATATTAAGTGGGCCGTCGAGGAGACATACGGCGCCGTCTGCTTCGTTCTCCTGACCATCGGATTCCAGATCGAGGAGGGGTGGGCAAGCTACTTCAACCAACTGAAGCCCGACCCAGACTCGACGGCAGAACCAATCCAAAAGCACTACGGAAGCCTGGCTGCGACGTGGAGCGACGGAGTCCAACAACTGATGGCCTGGCTCGGCTGGGAAGACGAGTTTACGGGCTGCGCCGAGGTCTGCGCCTGGGATGAACGGTGCTACATCCCCATGTGGCCTTTGATGCGCTGGACAGGGGGAGACGGTCCTCCACGGCGTCCGTCGGACGGCAACGGAACTTACCCCGGATTCCCGCCGTATGGAGGACATGGCTATGGTGGGCCGAATCGGGGTGGGCCGAATCGGGGTCGACCAGGAGGGAGACGTTGGGGGTTCATGGGAGATGAGACGGAGTTATGGGAGCCGACTTGTGCTAAAGTTTCGCATTTCATGAGATAGACGTCCGAGTTGGCTGTTAGATATACATGGGAGATGCCCCGATGCATTAGAACACGAATAAAAGAGTTTCCGACCCCCTACAAGTTGAAAGTGGATACAACAGTTGTTCATTCCACAAGTGCCGGCTGTATAACTGCACCTGTGTCTACGACTTTTGTCCCTCTGGATATTTCCATTGCTCTATGCGTTTTTATCATCTTGCCGACGCCTTTCTAAATGCAGGTCGAAGTTGGATCCATTGTAGAGATTGCGATAAGGGTCACAAGACAAGTATCCCAGCTCTTGTGTGGCTGATCCTCGTTCGTCACGGGTCCCCTTTTTCGTTAGGCACTTGTTGAAGTCGTTCACCCAGGGGTGGTCTCGCTAATCCCGGAGGAACCGGGTCACTAGCTCTTCAACATGTTTCTTCCTTCGACGGGCCGACCTGTCCTCGTAACCTTGCTTGTTACGCTCAAACTGCGATGAATGCCTTCATCGCCGCCACGGCATCGCCATCATGCGCCTTGAGCAATTCCGTCGCCTTCGGTTTCGTGAGATCCAACTCCTCGACCTATTTTCGGAATCAGTCAAGTGTGCAGCCCTATGAGCCCAACGACGAAAGAGGACCACCCACAAGTAAAGCAACATCCGCCGCCTCCACCTTGACCTTTTTCATCTCTTTCTTCTCGGCCGCTGCGGCGGCGGGAGCTCTCATATTCTTCAGCGCCTTGCTCGCCGCCTCCTGGTCCACGTGTGATGAGCTTGCATCTTCGTCTCGCGCGTCGAGCTTGGCCATGGCTGCCGCGGCTTTGCGGTCCTCGGCGGACTTCGTCTGGGATTGGACTTCGTCCTCGACGTCGCCCATCGTTGCGCCTTCGACGATGGCCGGGGGTTGGGGTTCGGCCATGGTTGGGGGACGGGGATGTTGTGGCGATGGTGAGAGACAGATTATTGCTGTAGATTGGGATCACTTGAAGAGTGCAGTTGTAGGTTGTTGTGCCAAAATGGCGATGACAATCGATGCCGAGGTCCCTACGACCGGAAGCTTTGCAACTGGTTTCTCCAACTGAACGGACGCCACAACTTGATCTGATAAATGGAGCTCACTGTGTGGGGCCGGCGGGACAGGATACGCTGGCGGGGTATGGCGGGAAAAGCTGTCGCAGCCCGGGGCAGTTGCCAAGCTCGCCTTCCCCATGAGCCCCATGAGTTACAGGGTGCTTTAGTGAGCTCTCAACAACGTATTCTACGTTGGCTTACACGGCCTTGGAAGGCCCTTTCACTGCCCGCTTTTGACTCATATTGGGCATCTCACCGGTGGAAAATCTCACATTGGGGATTTTACTTCTAAAATTGGCAAGCACGGCAATTTTTTACGGTTTGGAAATTATTTTCCTCTGCTTATTCGGAACTTCCGTCTTCTGCAAGCACTCCCCATCAATCCATTTCATCCTTTCCAGCATCCGTTTGAACCACCATGGGAGCCCCTTCTGCCAATTCGAATGGGCTTGGGAATGATATCAACAAAACGTCCGGCTGGACTCCTGATTCTTGGAGATCAAAGCCCATCAAGCAGTGCCCGGATTACCCGGATCTCCAGGCAGTCAAGAAGGCCACCAGCGAACTTCAGAGGCTTCCCCCCATCGTTCACCCTCACGAAATAAACAAGCTAAAGGAGCACCTGAAGGATGTCGCCCAAGGTAACGCCTTCCTGCTGCAGGGAGGTGACTGCGCCGAGCTCTTTGACTACTGTCGCCAAGACGCTATCGAGTCCAAGATCAAGCTCTTGCTACAAATGAGCTTGGTTCTCATCTGGGGTGCCGATAAGCGGGTCGTTAGAATCGGTCGTATGGCCGGTCAGTATGCCAAGCCTCGATCGAGCCCCTTTGAGACAGTCGACGGGAAGCAGGTTCCGTCTTTCAGAGGCGACATTCTCAATGGGTTTGCCCTTGACGAACGAAAGTTGGACCCCCAGAGACTTGTCAAGTACGCTGGACTCATCAAAGACTGAGAAATGGTCGCGATACTAATGCGGACTTCTACAGGGCTTACAGCCACTCAGCAGCGACGCTGAACTACATCAGAGCAGCCATTGCCGCAGGAATCGCTGACCTTCACCGGCCTCTCAACTGGGGGCTTGGCCATGTCAAGGACCCCGAGCTGAAGGCAAAGTACTCTGAAGCCGTGCGCTTCCTGACGGACATGCTTCGCTTCATGCGCACCATTGGAGCCGACAAGAGCGACAAGCTTGACACGGTTGACCTGTACACCAGCCATGAGGGCTTGCTCTTGGAGTACGAGCAGGGTCTTACACGATTAATGGAGAATCCTATGTACTCGGGTGATGATACGGAAAAGAAGATGGAGTACTACGACACCTCGGCCCATTTCATCTGGATCGGCGACCGAACGCGACAGATTGATCATGCCCATATTGAATTCTTCCGCGGCATTGCGAATCCTATCGGCATCAAGGTCGGCCCCACGACCCCTGTGGCCGACTTACTCGAGTTGCTTCGCACGCTCAACCCCGACTGCGAGCCCGGAAAGATCACGCTCATCACTCGCTACGGTGCTTCCAAGGTCAAGGAGCTCCTGCCTTCTCACATCCGCGCCGTTGAGAGTAGCGAATACAAGCGATGCGTCATCTGGCAATGTGACCCGATGCACGGCAATACTCGATCGACCGAGACCGGCATCAAGACTCGCCGCTTTAACGACATCTTCTCGGAGCTACAAGAGACGCTGCGGATTCACAACGAGGAAGGTAGTTACCTCGGCGGTGTTCACTTAGAGCTCACAGGTGACGCTGTCACGGAGTGCACGGGTGGAAGTGAGGGCTTGGATGACGATGATCTCTCGACCAACTACACAAGCTTCTGCGACCCGAGACTCAACGAGAAGCAGGCGCTGGAGCTTACTTTCCTGGTGGCTGACCACTTCCGACAGGGAAGAGAGGATCTAAAAGCCAAGACTTGATCATCTTAACGTCATGCATCGAGGAGTTAGATGAACATGGATGGTTGGGAGTGAAGCATTCAAGCCATGGGCTGGCTGAATGAGCTGTTGTCGTATATGTTTGTCAAGCTCAAGGCGTTATGGGGTACGGCGCACGACAGTTCGTGGAGCACAAAAAGGGATACTTTTCGCTATTTTGACATGACAGAAAAATCCTCATCTGGATCGATAGGCACCTTCAATAGAGAGAAGCTGTGCGGTACGGTACTTTCCTCAAGCTCTACTATTTGCTCTCCATCTGATATTTTGTGGCAACCCAACTGGTTAGTTAGCATAAGCATGAGAAGATTCATGACATCAGTATCTGCCATGATCTTTTCTAAAATTTGTAAGTATCCTATACTAATCGAGGGTCGGGTTAGGTTGGGTACTGACTTATTCCATCGCACACCAAAACGGCCCGACAATTCTATCCTTCGTCCGGGGCAACTCTGTCTTGCTGCAGAAGAGCCAGACTACATGGTGATCTTATCATAGTGCTAAGCCTTCGACCTGCGACATAAGGACCGGCATTGTTCCATTCACTCTCATATCTCCCTCGGTCCATCTCAGCCCTTCGCTCCAACGGGAATTTGAATCTGTGCCTCATTTTGAGAATCACGGTCAAAATTGCGAAATGTTGCGTGAGCGCTCACCTCTGCACCCAGGGACCGTCAATGAGCGCCTTTAATTTCCGCGATGCGTATTCACGTTTCATTCATCTCATCCCATCACAACCGGATCGGGTCTTGGCAGAAGGATGTCCTCCGAGGCCTCGTCCCGCAACGACACGCCCGTCGTCTCTCTGGGGGCCCACTCCGCCTCCGAAGTGCCGGAGTCCCGAGTTCCAACACGACCTACGGATTTCATCGTCATCCTCGTCGTCCTAGACCCACGCCTAACGGAGGCTCGAAGACTGTAGCCACAGCCATTCATTAGACTCCGTTCCTGCCGCTGGGGTTGAAGGGCTGCTCAGACGGTACCGCGGCAGGGGGTTGTGCGGCGTACGAGGGGCTTCGGCATTGTGACACTACAGGCGCGGAAAACCTAGCTTGAGGTCATTCACGGTGTGGACATGGCGATGCGCCGACAAGCTCGTGGGGATCCTGAGTTGCATTGTGACAGAGAATTGTTACCCATTAGCTTCTCATGAATAAGACTGCGCAAAAGATAAGTATTGCAGGGCGATGGTGTCTAATCAAGCTGGCGGTTTGTATTAAAGGACAAATTTGAGACATGTGGTTATGATCTATGGGTTTGACATATCTATTGCAACAAGATCTGTTGCGCAGGCACGCACGAAATTTTGGTATCGGGAATAAGCCTAGTGGTTCTTCCAGTTGATCTGCTGGTGAGATATCTTGCTGTCTGATCTGCAGACGCTCCACTCGGCCGTTCCCTGCTCCAAGGAACTATCATCGGAGTCCGTCAGAGTTGTCGAAAGTGATCCTATCCCCCCAAGATCCATACTGACCCGAGTTGGCCGATTTGACCACTGCATAACGCTTCTTTGTTTTTGTCGCCATCGTCATCACTCTACTACAGCTTTCCTCTGGCCCCATCCAGCAGCTCTCCAAGTCAAACCGAAATGGTCTGCGCGCCCTCAAACGTATCGCCTTTTTCCAGCTTCTGCCAGCCCTTGACGGCCCCAGCCTCGATGCATATCATGTTCTTGTACCCGTCCTTGGGCTCGAAGTCGGCCATGCCCTGGGCCTTGTCCGTCCACGGGTTCCAGACCACCACGTCCTCAAGATTGTCTCGCACGACGCTGTACACTGTACGTCCGCCCTCTGACACCACGACGGGCTCGGAGGGGCCCTTGGCGGGCGTGTAGACGCGGTCTGTCTCGCCTGTGATGGAGACGGTGCCGGATTGCTTCTTGGCTTTTGCGCCGTCGACTTTGTCGATATACTCTGCTTCGTCGAGGCCGGTGACGCTGACTTGGGCGATGTCCTAGTAGCGCAATGTGTTAGCCATTTTCATCGCCGTCGCTTGAACCTTGCGTAGGTCGGGAAGAAGAGCTATGCGTAGAGAGCAACGTACCTTGATGCGCAGATACGTATGCATCAACAGCTGGCACTCGAAAGCTTCGTCACCATCGTTGGAGATCGTGACGCTGGTGACAAGGTTGTCGGGGTGAGGGAGACGCTGTAGATGAGGGAGAAGTTGTACGGCCAGAGCTTTTTAGTCTCGTCGTCAATGGTAGCCGCACTAAGGCCAAAGTCGAGCTTGACCGACGACTCGTTCTTGCCCTGCGATTCGCTTGTCGACTTGCCCACTGCAAGAAGATGAGTTAGCGATCGTTTGTTTTCAAAAGCCAAACATTGTTTTCGGCCACATTTCCACAGCAAACAGCTCCTCGCCGGAGCAGGGCAAGCATAGAGCGACCAGGGACCAAGCGAAGACTTTACTTTACTTACAGAACTCCCACTTGCTGGTACGCGCAAACCCGTGCTGAGGCAGGTTGCCAGCAGCCTTATGTTCGGGAGCGGTACCAAAGACAGGGAAGACGAGAGGAATGCCGCCACGGACGGCCTTGGAGCCGTCAAGCTTCGCGCCCTCGGAGAGCCACAGGCGCTCACTGCCGGCACGGTCCTTCCAGCTGATGAGGGTGGCACCGTACAGCAGTACCTCGACGCTCTCACCCGTGGGAAGCACTGCGCTGACCCGCGAGTTGTTGTGGGTGATGTTGACCTGAGCCTGGGGCGGGAGGCCCGGCGTCGTCGCCAGCGCCATCGGCTTATTGGGGCGGTCGACCATGGTGTGCACTTTCGGACTGGAAATGGAATTGGTGTTGTGGAGGATTGAGAAATGGACCAAACGAGTGAAATGTAGGCGCTGACGAGGTGGAATGAAGCTTGGGTGGTGAATGACAAGTTACGGTTGGTTGGATTGGACGACGATGGCGGGGTTGCAGCGAGTGGTTTGGTGTTGCGGGGTTGTCGTTGCTGTCGGTGATGTGATGGGATGCGCAAGTGTTGAGAACAAACAGAGACGCAGCAAAGCAGCGCTTGGCAGTGTGGCACAGAGCTGATCTTTTCAGAACTAGTAGGTAACAAAGTGACGCAGCTTTGCCTTGTTTCGCACTTTTGGAGCTGGAGCTGTCCAACGCGTACGCTTCAAACGACGGCCTCGCAAACCACGATGAAACCTGCCCAACTAGGGGATCTGACGGACGATCCGTTTGAGGCTACTGCAAGGCATCGTGCGGCCTGTAGGGATTCCACCTGCTTCTGCTTTTGGACCGCAAGACCGGGACCAAATCGGCGTCGACCTATTTGGAGCATTGAAAAACGGCAACTCTTACACATGCGATGTTTGATGATATGTCAGTCTGCTGACATGCTGCTGCCCACCACGTTAGATTTGACTGATATTCAATGGCGCCATGCCCTCCGAGCGGAGCTACCCTTGAGCGTAAGCTTGTACTAGGCCGCCCCACGGCGGCCTGCGGATTGTAGTGCCGGGAATATGTCGACGGCTCGTTATGAAATGGTGCGATGCTGTCAAGAGGCTGACTGAGGGAACTCCCCAGAAAGAACGAACTCACCAGCGTAGGTACGTATCACATAGCATAATTTAAATCACACATAGAACAAAACGCAGTCTTCAACGGTTGACTCGGTCCGGTTCGCATTCCTACTATCTACCAGTCCTGTCACGACCTGTATCCATCAGACCACCAATCTAGAGACAGTTTCTGTGCTCGGTTTCTCAGCGATTTACCAGCCCAGCCAGGTCCGTAATGTTGTTCCCTTACTCACCACCTCATTTCAAGAACATCCGCCAGTCAGAATCTCGGTTTCCTTTCTGACTTTGGATTCTGCGGCGGGTCGACTCACTCCGATAACGACGAGTGCACACGAACCTCCACAGGGGCCCGGCAGCCGAGCCACGGGTCCGATAGGCCATTCCGCATGCTCTTCAAGTGGTACAAGGGCAAGCTCAAACACTATGCCACATCCAGAGCCCCCCCTCTAACAATATGGAGCTCTTATCGCAGCAGTACCACCAATGCTTACCTTCCCACGAGTTTGTGCCGAAGATCTCGCGGTAGGCAGAGGCGCTGGACTTGTCTTTCGTAGCATAGGTGGACTCTCAGGTTGTGGCGGCTTGTTGATGATATGGGTCAGGCAGTTGTTTTGCTGAGCCGGGGATGTGGTCAAGTGCGATTGCGCTCGAGCGAATGGTACTCAAGTTATACTCAAGACCATTGGGAGGAGTGCTTGAGAAACTGGCTTAACCTGGCCGAGAAAAGGAACAGATAAAATGACGGAAAGGAGTCACTCAGTTCTTGGTATAGGAATTCAGCATTGGAGCTGTGGCGCAGGACGGCGCCCAGCAAACAACGCCTTTGGTATCGAATATAATCGAGGGCAACTCGCAGTCACAACATAGGGAAACATACAATATCACGCTATTCAAACACCGGCACCAAAGCGCCTAACCCTTCATTTTCATACAGCCACTGTATCGGTTTTCTAATGCACTAAAACACAGACATATAGCATAGCCTGCTCGGGACATAAATGTAGATATGATTGTAAATATTTTGATTCTCTCCATTTTATTACGCCCAAACTCCCCGGGTTGCACACAGTTTTGCCTCCTTCCTTCCATCGCTAGCTCGTGGGTATCATACGTACTCGCTCACCAAAATCCAGTCAGTCTTCCTATCGGCCACAAGTGGCCCACTCGCTCTCCTGCTCGCCTGCCCCTTTTTGGCAGAAGTAGAATAGTAATAAATTATAACACATTAGATATACTCCATTATAGATTAGTACCCCCCTGAGAATCTCAGTGGCGCATATTCTCAACGTATTCTCCCCGACTCCTCCCCGCTCCCCGTCAACGCCGACAGCGTCCTCGCGATCTGCAACGGCGGCGGCAGCGCCGAGTCCCTATAGTGCCTCGCCAGAATGGAATCCGTCTCATCCGTCACCCCCGAGTCCCGTTGCTGATGCGACGTATAACCGGGCGGGGAATACACCGTGGGCGAGAGTTTAAACTCCGAGTCGCGGTAGTATTCCTCCGTAATGGACCCCGTCTCAGCGATGGACGAAGCGCGGCGTTGACGGAATGTATACGGCGACGAAGGGCGGGACTCGCCTTTGAAAAAGGTCGGGGCTTCGGGGCTGGGTTGGGCGCTCTCGGTGGTCAGATCGGCCAGGTCGGCAAGGGTGAAGAAGGCCTCTTGCGGCGAGTTGCACTTGTATGACGTGGTGCTGTCGGGGCGCACGTTGATCCAGGAGCGCTCGCTGCTAGTCTGCACCGCAGCTTGGGTTCCGGATCGGGCTTGGCTGAAGGGTAGATTTGTTTTGTGGTAGGGGTCCAGACGGTAGTCGGGCGAGGTGGCCATCGAGTCGCTGTTTTTGAATGCTCGTGGACTGCTGGTATTAGTCAAGTGGCCGAATCGTATCGAGCTTGGCGTCGGGAGGATGGCTGAGTCGCGCATTCGGTCCACAGTGAAATGGGATGCAGTTGGGGAGTATGGTTTGACCCCCTGGGGATAGGCCATCTCTTGAATATACATGACCTCGATGCTGCCACCGAAGTTATTGATGGTTTCTGCCTCAGATGGGTGTGAGGACACGGCGGACTCCCTACGGATGTCGGTGTCCAGAGTTAAGTTCTTGTTTATGGGCCCGTTTCTGGCCTCGTTGAAAGACTGGGCGTTTCCAGCCTCGACATCGCTGGACTTCTTGGGGGACGAGTCGGGGTTCGGGTTGGGCGACCGGTTCGAGAAGAGGTAAACAAAGAGAGGCTTCAGTGTTGGCAAGCAAGCGCAGACGATAGCGATGTTGATCTCCACCAAGGACAAGATGATTATCGTCGTGTTGGCAGTAAAATCCACATATTTAAGCACATATTTCATGTAAACCAAGCGGAAAGCCGAGATCACGAGGATGCTGAAAGTGTGTTAGTGCTCACGTATATGTAGTCCAGGTGCTCCATAGACGCTCTCGCAAGGGAAATAATTCAAGAGAAATAGTTCAAGACTCACCTAATTACCAACGAAAAGGTCAGTGTCAACGCCAGTTTCCGGCGAAATGGAAGTTGAAGCTTGAACACAACTGCCATGGGCAGGCAGACGATCAAGACGTCGGTAGAGTTGCCGATCGCTGCATTGCCCCAGTATACCGTAGCGGGGAGACATTTTCCAGCAAACTCCCCATCAACAGCCCAAGTCCACAGGGACGTCAAGGGGATACAAGCAATGAATAACGTGACAAGGATATAGAGGTAAAGAATGGTGACGAGACCCAGGGCAATTTTGATAAGGAAGGCGATCGTTTTGAACGTCAGGAACCGTCGGTACAGCAGGAGGATCGACACCTTGGCGAAGAAGAGTGAAAGACTGTAAAATAGAATGTCGTACCACAACGACTATAGGGCATGCTTGTTAGTTGTATTCAAGTAAACAGCCATCTGCCCCGTTTCCTTACCATAATGAAGCCTGACACTTGGGAGCCAGTCAAAGTATCCCGATGAAATCCGACCCCATATTTGACCTCTGTTCGATTTAGTTGTTAGCGGAGACGAAAACAGTGTGTGGCTGTCTTCCACAACTCACGTTCAAACACACCAACTGTGGCGCCTATGGAGAATAGCAGAGACACCAATATGCACCAGTCCTCCACGTGAACCTGTCCCTGGACATAGCCGCGGGTAAGAAAGCGAAGCGCCACCAGAAGGAAAGAAACGGCGGGTGCAGCGATGGCACAGACGATGACTTGAGCTCTTCGGGACTCGGCATCGGTGTCCATTTGATGTCCAAGGCGAGGGACAAGCCCGTGTGTCGTCAACTTTCACACACTCTCTCCCACGTCCTTCTCCCACTGTCGTGGTGACCGGGTCGTCACTTCGTTAGAGTCTCGAAGCGAACGGATGGATCAGGTAGTCGAATGGCCGACCGAATGAAAACTAAATGAATGTAGATGTATGATAATACAGTAAACGAATGAATGAATGAATGAATGAACGAACGACCTGAACGAACAATTGCAAAAACCCTGCCCGAAGACCAGCACCCAAGCTCCAATTAGTATGAGAAGGAATGCAAGGACTGCAACGATGCGGACATGCAAAAAATTAAAAGAACGTTGCAAAGGAAGACACCCCACCGAAAACCAAGAAGTGATAGAACGAAGTCGTTAAGACAAAGTGTCGTCAAGATCGATCCCACGTCGGCGGCACCGGGATCTGTTTATAAGAAGGGCCAACACGCACCCCCACCCTCGTTTGCCCAAGGACTATTCTGGAATAAACTAACTACGCACCTGTTGCGTAATAGCAAAAAATTCTCTAAAATGAAATTCGTTCGCCACGCTCAAGGCAGAATCAGGTTGATTAACCCTTCACAGTATCCCTCCCCAACTGGTTCCATTTTAATAACTAACCCCGTCAACTGCCATGTGCGCGCCCGGTCCCCTCGCATCCACAATATATACCTACTACGGTACAGCACAGCTTCCCATGGCGCAGTACACTACATCGGGCAGCGTTGGCCGAATCCCGTACCCTCAGTCCACCCACAGGACGCCTCCAGGCCCCAGATGCCAAGGAAGCCCTTCAAATACTTTATTCTCTCATCCGCGCCGGTCATATCCTCGACGGTTGTTCACGGGTTCGGACGAACGCCATTAGGTCGTCCTGAGGTGTCCCCTGCCCTGGAAGGTCGTGCTAAAAAGGTTGGATTCCCATTGGTTTCCGCCCCTGCGCTAGTCGTGCGCGACGGGCATGGTTAATTGAGGCTCTTTGCGAGTGACTAGTCCCATTTCATTTGGTCGTGGATCCTTGCCGTCAGCCACGCCCGGTACGCATAGGAGCTGGGAGGCAGGCCGACTCGGAAGCAAGCGAACGTCGAATGGCGGCTCGTGTGAATTCCCGGTCCAATATCCAATCTATCCAAGGGTATAGTGGTAACCGTGTCACTTCAGTGTACGACTTATGCTCTTACATCGATTGCAGTGTCAATCTACACGACCAAGAAGCAGGGGTCTACCCAATATTCTCCCATACGGCAGTGCGCAGTCCCGAGATCTCATTCCAAAAATGCTGCCATCTACCCGAGCATGTGGTATTCACTGCGGATTTTCAAATTAAAGGGCATGAATGATCTACCCCAGCATTCTGGGGCAACCGCATTCGGATGACGGTTGGTTCATCGACTCTTTCTGACGCCAAGAAATAAGCCAAGATGTCAACGTCGAAGTCCGGTCCATTCTGGGGTGATAATACCACCATTTTGGGAAACCGCTTTCGGCAAGACCCCTGCCTGGACTGGCAGCAGTACTCCGTACTGTCTCCATGGAGAAACAAACACAAAATCTAAATCTAGTCTCTCTCAATTTCGGACAAGGGGGTCGGTCCATCACATACGACTTCGCAATTTTGGTCACCGGCCTCCACAATAGATGACGCTTCCATGGGCCGATGAGTCTACCGTACTGGGAACCCCCACTGCCATTAGTTAGTTACGATTAAGCCTCGTTCAGTGGGGGCAAAATTTTCCAGGGCAGGGCCTGCGCGTAACAACCAAATTTGACGTGTCGCTAGGGTTACACTGCAATCCATCATCCCCCAAGGAGATGATGACTCCACATGAGACCTGAAGCCGCTACGCGAGAAACATGGTTGGAGTTATAGTTGCCGCCTTTCGTACAATGTATTACGCCTATACAGCCGCCTTCCCGACGTTGTCAGCGGAGGTATATGCGCCGAGGCATTATGCCTACCTCGTTCCTAAAGTCACTTTGAAATTTTCCGTGCTCCTGCCGCCGTCTAATAAAGGTATCATAAGCCATATGCATCTATTCTTCTAATTTGTAGCTCGACACACCGCTGTTTTGTCAAGGAGCACCGTCCATAACCAATCAAATGCGAAGATGCACTGTTGTTATGAAGTGTTGATCGTACACCCATCGTCTCCATGCTGTAGACAATGAAGTCCTGACCTTTCGTCCCGCCCACAACCGGGCCCATGCTGGTTTGTGGCCGAGTGTCGAAAACAAATATGCCGAATACCAAAATCACTAAACCGATAAAAAGTAAACAGCAACTGAACCCCTTTTCGATGATCCTTTTAATGCCAGGGGTACAACCCCGTGTCTATCGCATTGTGCGTATTACCCTCTTCCAATTGATCTTTCCTTCCCCAGTCGTTCAATGTTTGCCTCTGTTAACGAGTCGCCTTCCGATAATGACGTTTGCAGTGGGTGCGGTTTGGAGTCAACTGTTGCGCCCGCAGCACCGAGTAATTTATCGTCGCGAAGATGCATGGCTAGCTCGTTGCTGTCCAGCTGCCTCGAGGTCGCCGTTGTGTTCGCAGCGTGGAAATTGCCGAAAGGGAATGTGGTCGTTTCGTGAGAACCATTCCGCGTGAGCGGCTTTGGCGTAAGAAGATTATTAAGGTCATCATCATTGTCGTTGTGAGCGTCCACTGATTCTCGATCCTCCGGGGTTTCCACCCCAATATCTATGTCGAGACCAAATGTGGGGATGTTCGCACTGACGCAATGCTCACCGGCCTCTGAACAGTCCGAGACAGATGGGTCGGTAGTATCACTGCTCAACGTGCTCCGTCTGCGAATTTGGCTCCAGCGAACCAGCATTCTCTCGAGAACCTTGCCTTTCACCGGCTTAGCAAGATAGTCGTCCATACCCGCCCGTTTGCATTTTTCTCTATCCCCTTGAATAGCTGACGCCGTCATCGCCACAATCGGAACGTTGCTCGCGTACGCCCTGTACGGTGCATGATGCCGTAATATGTGCGTCGCTCGATAGCCATCGATGACGGGCATTTGCACGTCCATGAGGATGATATCGGGTTTTGCGAGTTTACCTTCCTTAGACGCTTCAATGTAGTCTAGTGCCTCTTTCCCGTTCCATGCGGCGCTGACCTGAAAGCCAAGCTTTTTGATGGTCTTGGTAGCGATTTGCTGGTTGATCGAACTACAAATCGATTAGTATAATACGGAAATAGAACCTTACAAAATGCACCTACTTGTCTTCGACAACCAATACCTGGATATTAGCCCGTTCTGACATTGGCATGTCTTCCCCCTTCGCGGGCCGTGGGGAAGATGTGTTGATAGATTTTGCTTGGTGAGGTGGTCGGGTGACGTCGAGTTGACTGGCAGAAAGATCTGCAGATGGGGTACCAATTATATGTTCATATTCAGAACTGTTGCAAGATGCACTCATTTCCGAATGTAATCTATCGGGCAGGGGACCAATTTCCACCAGAGATGATTGTCGCGGACCTTGGACTTTGTTGAACGGAATCCACTGCAACCAGAAGAGTCAGTATTTAACACTTGCGGATATCCAGGCAATGATCCAGGGTGCTCGGCCATGTCTCGAAAGCAAAAACACCTCAAACAGCTCTGTGTGACAACTTTTGCTCTTGAGATAGACCAGAAAGAGGAAGTAGGAACTCTCGAAGTTACGTACGAAAGTTGCTGTGGTGCCAGTCCCTATTGAGGACTGCATCGATATTCGCCCATGCATCAAATCAAGCAGGTTCTTCGATATCGTTAAGCCCAGTCCAGTCCCTCCAAACCTACGCGCAGTCGAAGGGTCTCCCTGACTGAATGGCTGGAAGAGCCTCTTCTTCACGTCCTCCTCGATGCCAATTCCGGTGTCTTCAACGACGAACTTGATTTCAATCGTGTCTTGAGTCTCTTTCTCCTTCCATACCGAAAACTTGACATACCCGTTATTGGTGAACTTGATCGAGTTTGTCAACAGATTTGTAATTATCTGGCGAACGCGGCCGGGGTCGCCCAGGACGACCAGGTCATTAGCAATGGCGTCCGAAATATCGGAGCGAAAATCCAGGTTCTTTCTTTCAGCGGCGAAGCTGAGCATCTTGGATACATCTTGCACGACAACTGACAGCGAGAACTGCACCTCCTCGATATCCAGGCGACCTGACTCGACTTTTGAGAAGTCAAGAATGTCATTTATGACAGTCAATAGGGCAGTCGCCGAGCGAATGATATTCTCCGCATATTCTCTCTGCTCCTCATCAAGCGGAAGATCACACAAAAGTTCAGCCATGCCAATGACACCAGTGATGGGGGTTCGAATCTCGTGTGACATCTGGATGCATTGTTAGTTTAACTCTCAAGCCAAAGATCTACGCGACTCACATTGGCCAAGAATTGACTCTTCAGGCGACTAGCTTCTTTCGCTGCCGCTTCATTAGCTAGTAATTGCCGTTTCTCTTTTGCTTGCACTTTGAGATCTAGTTCCCGTTCCTTCAACTCGGTTACATCCATGATGACACCGATGACCCCTTCGACAACAGACGGGCTCATAGGGTCGCCCTGCGAATCCTTCGCAAACGTGGGTATGAATCTCGTGCGGAAAAAGTGTTCGTCTGTGTATTGTGAGATTAGCGCAACTAGAAGCATGGGTATTAGCCATACCTATTTTATGTTCCTGAACCACGGCTCGCTGCTTCCTCCCACAGATCATATCGTGGATAGGTGCGAGGAATGCAGGCATTTCGCCCTGCCGCAATTGCGGGCTCAGGTCGTTAAAAACCTCATCCACGTTCATACCGATGTACCTTCTCGTTTCCAGATCCTCGCTGTCATTGTCCGAAGCAGTGTCTCCAGGAGCATTCCATATCAAGGCACCCTCTAGCATGGTGACCCTACGCTCGCGGTCGACAGAGAATATGGTAGTTTGGGCGTGAGACAATACAGTGAGCAGTTGTTGTCTCATTCGTTTGGCTGCTATCTTTCGCTCCAAACTCTCATGAATGTCGGTACAGGTGCCAAACCACTTTTCAATCTGGCCCGTCTGCTTGTTCCGCAGGGGCAAAGCACGACCTAACATCCACCGCCATTGACCGTCTTTCCTCAGGCAACGGTACTCGGTAACGTATGGCTCGCCGGTTTCTAGGCTGTGTTTCCACCTTCTTTCTGTTGCGGGCATGTCGTCTGGGTGGAAAGGATTCTTCCATCCGTGGCCCAACGAATCCTCGGGTGGCAGTCCAGTGTAGTCGTACCAACGATTATTGAAATAGTCATGTAATCCAGTGGGCGTGGTTGTCCATATCATCTGTGGCATAGTATCACAGATGAGCTTGAAGCGCTCCTCGTCCAATTCTCTGATGTGCGTGATCTCTTGTGCCATTGAAGTAATGTCGCGACAGGTCACAACTCCTGCTACAAACTCACCAGTGACTGTGTCTCTGATAGCTTCACCCAACACATCGAACACGACTTTAGCGTTTTTCCTCCTGTCGAACATGCCAATGCGGAAGCCTGAGAAGGGCTCGCCCGTCTTCAAGAGGACAGAAATGGGGAACTCGCTCTCTTTAAGCTTGCGAGAGAAATCCGCAGTATATATCTCCCATTTGTGCAACAAGTCAAGGCCTTCGACGTCGTTATCATCACCGGAGGTCTCGCTAATAAGTTCTCGGGCCGCTTGATTCATTACAGGAGCAGATCCATCTCGCCACATGGCAAAAATGGGCATTGCTGTGTTGTCTAGCAGAGCGTCTTTGATTGTTGTCCTCTTCAGCAGTAAGGATGGCGTGCTGCTGAGTGAACTTCGTGATGGGGGGCCCATTGGTGGAAAGGGACTCGAAGACAACGACACCGCACTTGGACTTATTCTAAAAGAAGGAGAAATTGAGCTGTGACTCGAACTGACCGACGGTGGATTCGAATTCGATATGGACTTGCGGTCGTCGGCTTCCAGAACGGATGGACGTGCCACAGGTTTCCGAGGACCAGTAGGTGGCGCGTGGCTAGAATCAGTGGTGGTAAAGGTCAGAGTGAAGTATGTTTGATGCTCTTCAATCTCAAATATGGAAATGATCATCTTCGCATACACCTGGTCCTCCGTCTTCTTCCCGTTTGTAGTCTTTTGGGTGCTTTTGGACATGATGACGACCTCAACAACCGAGGACGGCGTGGGTCGACCCGATTCCATGTCTCCCGGAGTTGGCGCCGGGCCATGATCTTTGCCTGTCAGCTTGTGCATATTGGCTTTCGGGGTGGAATCACCAGTGGAATGGGCTGGTTTAGACGAATCAATCCCATGCCTGGCGGCCATTTCGACAACTAAAGAGTCCAGCAAATCTTCCCAAGACACCCATACTGGCCGGCCATCTTGGAGCATGTCTACGCCAACTTGCGACAAGGTCTGGCCGCGGAGCTTGTCCATCGCCGTGGCCCTATCGTTGTACACGTCGGTCGAGTCGTTGACGAGCCCTAGCAACCGGCCCATGGCCTCATTGGCCAGCACAACGGTCTTGAGATTATTCAGCACAAGCAGAGGCACCGGCAGGAACTGCATAGCCGAAAAGGCAAGCTGGCCGGGGGTAATGAACGGCATGGCAAGCCTGAAGGGGCTCGCCGACTGCGACCTCTTGACCTTGCCGGGCAACACATTAGGGACGTCCCCCAGCATGCGATTGACGTCGAAGGAGGAAAGCGTGCCATCGTGGCTCAGATTGAAATCGACAGGACGGTGGGGCCGTCCGTGGTTCTCGAGAGACGGGCGTGGGGACGGCGAATCTTGGGTCAAAGGGAGGGACGCATCCAGTTTCGTGGATATCGGGCTAGACGGCCGAGCAATGCTGCGAAGAGGATCGGAGCGTACCATTTCGACGCCGGCCCCTGTTGCGGGATAGAGGGTTGAACAAGCCCATGAAAGATGGGTAAGTCAGGCGCAACATGCGAAGACGGACGGTTTAGGGGATTCAAGAATCAGTACAAGGCCGAGGGTTTGAATTGGGGAACTTAGAAGTTGCAGTCGGAGCTCGATGGCCGGTGTACATGTCCCAGGATCTCGACTGTGGGGTAGCGAGGTCTAGACCGGTCCTGGAATATAGTAGATGGGTGAATCTTACTCGGTACGCTTGAAGCTGTAGTACCGCGTTGGTCGATCATCAATTTTACCAAAGAAGCCGTTTGCCGCGTTGAACGACAAGGTAGATGGAGGAAGGTGTGTGGACGGGTGCAAAGTAGATGGCTTCAACGAGTCTTTTTTCCTACTTTTCTTTCCCCCGCCTCGTCTCCAAACGTTTTCAACTGCGGCACTGTCGTTGCGCAAGGCTTGTTAAAGTTGACGTTAGTGGAGTTGGGTTGGAGAAAGCAAACCCATGGGGTGAGTCGTTGTGCACACCAGCACGAGCAGTAGGCAGTTAAGGGTAGGTTGGTAGGTTATTGCTATGGTGGAGTCAAGGAAGGCGACTGTTGAGAGAAGAGGCGGGAAGCTACTCGTCAAGCATGGGTCCTGGTATTGTTGGCGCAATGACAGTTGAGGGATCAGCGTTTAGGTCCAGGGGTGCAGAACGAACAATACACTGCTAGACGCCGTAGCTACCGACGTTTGAATCTGCTCTACTTGCGACAGCTTATTGTCGAGCAAACAGGGTTTATGGACCAGGGGCTTGCAGAGGTTGAAAAGTTCGGGCCATTTCCATTAGTCTTGATCTGTCTACGTCGAAAAGAATTTGTGGAATCGGCAGATGCGGTACGCAACCGGCAGCAGAATGTAGATCTTCAGAGGGGCCCCGCCAGAGCAAGACACCCCGGTCCAAATCTTGTACGACCCCCTTAAAACATAGAGGCAACAGAACCTCTCCAACATCGGTCTATTCAGTATCAAACAATTCGATCCATGATGCCAATCACTTGGAGAAGTGTCACCAGCAAATGCGGTCGTAGCTATGGCGTGGCAACGGAGAGATCACTTTCTGAGCAATCCTTAGTAGGTTGCCCTCGCCATTTGATGTATCTTGTCTCGATGCACGTCCACTTTCCGCACTATCGCAAGACCGAGAAAGTCGCTCGAGGGCGGCTGGCAACACGGGAAAGCTCAAACTCGATCACGATCGGCATTGTCAGCATCTAGGATGGTCATTTCTGGCCATGCGTATTTCTCTATTGCCCAAGTCGCTAGCGAACTAGCGCTGACGAACCTATGAAGTAGTAATGGTCTCCCTCATTGCGCTGACGGTTACCGGCAAAAACGTCCCCTCGAAGATGGTGGCTACTTATTAAGCATTGTTGGAATCTTTGGTCAACATACATCATTATCCATGTGATCTAAAAATCTCAGTTTTGACCACTCTAGTAATTCATGGTAGTAGTTTTGAGCAAGATGGATGGGGTGCTTGGTCGACCGGAACCCGAACGACACGCTTCACACGACGGAGGCAAGGCATACAATAGGGTTTGACACCAATAGGGTTTGACACCTTTCCCAGGCCATCATGTTCGTCCGGCACCAATGCGTCTAGGGTTCGGAGGTTGCTTAATCTCATCCGTATCAGTAATACAATGTATAAATGATGTCATCTCCCCGGTACGCTACCCGTGGATTTTTGTATTTGGTCTAAAGCAACCCTGTGCACTATAGCTTACGCCTATTCCCTCCCCACGATGCCAAAGATTCTTCTTAGTAATGCTACAGTTGGGCTTGTTCATATCGTCACATTATTTGATCTCAAGAGCTTTCTTTGACTTTGCCGCAAAGATCGCAAGACCACCAGCTTTTCTCACGGACTCGGCCGCAGAATGAACACGTCCAAGTTGATTGTGCTGGATGCTTCTTAGTCTGAGACGGCGCATTGGGATCAGCTGGGCCTGGTCTTGTTGGCAGTGCAGCGGCTCGCGCGGGTTTGAGATTGGAATTTGGCTTGGTAAGGTCAATGGTTGTTCGCCGCCTTTTCGACGACCTCTCGATCAGGCCTTTTGTGACGGCCTCGGATCGCTCGGTCCCGCATGCATCGCAGCATAGATAATTTAGTGGGTTTTCCAGTGTGCATACTTCGCAGTTCCAAGCCGTCGGTACAGGGCTATTGCCATTTTCACTTGCCTGGTCTAGCTCGGCTGGGCGTGCCTGTGACTCGGACGATTGGCCTTTTTTCTGGTTCTCCTCCCTCAGTCCCGACGCAATTCCTCCGCCACTTCCCGTAGGATTGCTTGCAGTAGCCGGGACATAAGAATCGCCGTATTTGACCTTCTCGTCTTCTTGCACCAGCTCCCACAGCGCTTTGGCAATAGCGGCTTCGTTCGCAGCGTCTTCTTCAGCCTGAGTTCTGAAACCGTTTCTAGATGCCGTATCTGCAATCTCCTTGATCTCGTTCTGGCTAAGATTATTGCTGGCACAGCCCTGCAGTGTCTTGTTCCGGCGCTCCACAACATCAACAATGACTTGTCTGATGTCTTGGCCCGGTCTAGGTGCGGCTCCGCCCAAACGTTGCCCGGACCCGGTACCGAGTGTCCGGCGTTTCTCAGCTGCTGCTCGAGCGAGTCGACGGGCTTCCGTCATGGGGATTTTTCTCCCGCCTAGCCGGTGGCCTTCAGATAAGAAGCCTTCTCCTGTGTAGCCTTTCATCGCCAGTGCCTCATGCTCATCACGCAATTGATTCCACAAGGCATGGAACTTTGCATCATGGGGGCCATGGATGTTGTGGGATAATTCATGCAGCATCGTGTCAACTACTTGTTCCATGGGCAGGAAGAGTGTGCGGTCGCTTGCATATCGAAGTCTGAGACATATCTTGTGGCCGGCATTCACGTTGAGACCTGCACAGGCACAGGCCCATCAGTACTGCGAGTCTGTAAAATAGAGCGAAAAGAAGTTAGACAGGAAGACGAACCCAGGAGGTTTTGTTGCTCGGGGTAGAATTCTGTGAGTTGCCTGACCTTCCAACCACGAGCGCGCATGATCGGCTTCACCAGAGATGCCACCTTCTTCAGCATATGGAGTGCACTCTTTGCCCGAGGGAAGTCAGGCAGATGCGAGAATGAGAGAATCAAGGGGTCGATCTCGGCCATCTTGGGCAGGTTTGGGTAGTATCGCAGGATAACTTGACGATTAAATGGATGTATGTTAGGGAGAAAGATCGCAGTTCAGGCCAGCCTATCTATCCACCGGGAAGATACTGCTGAATGCCTTCCCAGGCCATCACGTAATACGTTCGGCGTTTAGATGATAATCGTACGCAGCTCTTGGAGTCACCAAATGCGCCACAGAACCAAAAAAACGCGTGACATGCCTAATAAATTCTCAAGTTCTAGTGTTGTCTCAGGAAGCCGTTTCCGGTGGGGCAACCGCGGTCCTGAGTAGTTCGGTGGCGGATTTAGAGACCCTAGAAAGATCAAAGGCATATCTAGGCTGCCGGGACCAAAAGTAAAGCTTAATACGTCGCTAATTCTTGTAATAACTTCCGCCAGAATAGACACTCATCAAAGTGGGTCAAGCACGTATATTTGTCCCTTTTTAGCGAGACTACATGTTAGGCAACCTTGGTGGGCTTTGCCAAGACCACCAAGGTTACCACGTGACTTAGCCCTTCGGGACTAAGTCCAACCTTCATGCTCCATTGGACTAGATAGAATGTCATGCTTTTACAACCTCACAAATCTTTGACCACCTTTGCGTGTAACACTACAGTTAAGATCATTAACCCCCACTTTACCGAATAATTATGGGGCAATCCTTGTATAACCCGACCATGGTCGACTTAGACCGACCACACTTTTTCTTTTTCTATCCGTAGAGAATTTGTCGTAGCAACTCTAGCCGTAGTATTGTGGGATTTAGCGCCAGTTATGCCCTAGGCCGAAGGCGGTGTAGCGGCAAGTGTAGCTAGCCCTCACAGACATAGCTTTCTACATAGCACTTCTGGCAACCAACGCAGTACGTAGAGCAGGCACACTAACCAATACGCTATCCACAGAGCCATCAATAGAGGGCTGAGTCCCTCACATGTAATATAACATAATTATTCTATAATTAGTTTAATATCGACTCTATTACCAATAGCTTTACTATACGTAACGTATATATTTCACTATGATCTAAATGCCCGCTCTATATTTAAGAGTATAGAAACTAGTAACCGAGCTTAGGAAGAGGTCGCTCGCTATTTACGAATCAGTCTATTCATTATTATTATTATTATTAAATACGCCGTAGGCTCGAAGCCCCCGGTACCTCTACTAGTACTCCCGTATGTCAAACCGTGCCCTAATGGCTGGACTAAATACATACGCTGCGTCGTCGGTTCGCCCTATTGGCGACTGCGTTGCGTTCACTACCATACTACGTTGGTTCTCAACCTACCAACAAAGTCCCCCCTGAGAAGATCGATGCTATCTGGGCCTTGAAGCTGTCCGACCCGTCCCTAGCAGCCATCTTACAATAGTCCCACTAACTACTGGTTCTCCTGTTGCCGTTGCGAGGTCTCTGCGAGAGTATAGTGGCCGTGGTGCGATGGCGGCCCGTAATCGTTCCCTCGGTCCTTCCAACAGCCCGCAAAAGAGGATTACGTGCTCTGCCGTCTCAGGGGCATCGCCACAGCGGCATAGCGGCGAGTACACGCCAAAAGCCCCTGTCTTGAATAAGAAGGCTGCTAGTCCTATTTTTTCCGTCCTGATCTGGCACAGCGTAGACGCCTCCAGTCGGTTCAGGCCGAAATACTTGCCCCCTTTCGGTATCTGCATCGAAGGGCCCTCCGGTTCCTCAGCGATAGCGCGTCGCTGGCGATCGTGATGCTCTGCTCCGGTGAGCCATCTCTTCCTCCAGTGGTCGAGGAGGGCAGCCGGGACCTCCTTTTCCTCACTCATCCACTCGGAGCCCCGGGCCTCCTTCTCCATAGTGTACCCTGCCGGTCGGAGTAGCTGCGACGCCTGCTTCCTCTTCGCCGGCCTATCCTGCCGGAGTATATGTGACGCTTTAGCGCTCGCGCTGCGAAGCAGATTTCTCTTCCCGCTAAGCCGTAGCCGTTCTTCAAACTTAGCAGCCCGGGCACTAAGATAGAGGTCTAGTGGCGGGATTGCTGCTTCTGCTTCCAGGTGGCGAACCGGCGTCGCTTTGTGGGCACCACAGACTACCCGGAGGCACTCGTTCTGTATCCCCATCAGGCTCTTAGCTGGCCCTGCCGGTTCCTCACTTATAGTATGCCACGCAGTCGCCCCGAAGGCAATCGCGCTACGGATAACCACCGTATATAACAGCCTCGCCCGTATAAGATCGCAGCCCCACGACATATTGACTAGCTTTGTCAGGGCTAGCTTTTGAGTTGCCATTTTTGTTTTAACACGCTCAACATGGGCGTGCCACGTCAGTTTGCGGTCGAACCAGACTCCTAGGAACCTGGCTGAGACTACCGGCGATTCTAGGTATTGAAACCTGTAGAGTGAATTTCTAGTAGGGCATCTCGGTGCAGTCTATTCAATATTATCCGCGAAGACTCCTTCTAACACTGAAAGTATCATTTTCTTACTCTCCATGGGTAGATCTCGACATAGCTATACTGTATTTATCGCCATCAGTGTAGTTCTCGCTGTTGTACGGTAGGTCTCCAAGCTCATCCACATGATGCTGCTAGCCCGAACCCTCGGATCGCACCAGCGACGCTTATGATTTTGCCCTCGAAAGGCTGGGATCTGCCCCAGTGGGCGAATTCCAGACTCAGAAACAAACTTAAGTACCATACGAGTTCTACACAACAATATCGGTGAGTCCAGCGACAACTTGAATGAATGGGGGGTGGGGATTGGGTTGGTTGTCAGGATATGACATGCTATACTTGATGGAGATAACTATCTCGACATCGTCCCATTGGTCTCTGTTATGAAGCAAAGCTGATCATTTCCTCGAGTAGGATAATTATTGCAGTATAATTTCTACCTTTTAAGCACTACGTTAACTTTGGCCGGCCCCTACCGCAGTGTATGCAATCTATGCGACTCCTCTTTGGACCAATGGTCGCTTTGCATATCGTGCCAATGGCGTTTTCTTAGGTTCTTTCCCCACTGTCTCCGGAGACAGCTTCCTGGAATGCAGGTGCTGGCGCCATCACTTGCAAATACCGGCAATGCCATTTCGAGGATGCCGTCAGTGGTTGCCGACCGATGTGGTGCATACGTAGCATGCATTCCCTTGCATTGCATGCTGAAATGGATATTGTTTTGTGGGGACATGAAGCTGGAGAAGACCAAGTAAGAAAGGTATATAAGTGAACGTCAATGGACTAGACTTCGGCAATACAATCCTGGCAATGCTGAATGAAATTGAGGGAGTATACAAGGAAATCCTTGAATTAAAGCGTATCCTAGGTTCCAGCATGGGGATTCCTAGCTCCGTCAAGCTTCAACAGCCAGACCGCCAACTTGTTATAACCGAAATCGAGATGTCAGCCCGATCTAGTTCTACTTTGGAGGAGACACGGAGTGAGCCGCAGCCTGTTGAACATGAATGGGGACTTGTGATGGTTACTTGCGTTGAGCAAAACACTCGTATGAGGAGATAGGGGTTCATTTATGGAATTTACAACGAGCCAGTCTGGGAATACTGCTGGATGGACTGGCTGTGTGACGCCAGTGAAATATATAATTGTATGGGCTCGTAGGTTACGAGTGATTGACATGGCTGCAATGTTTCCATAGACAAGGGTGAATTTGTAGATAGGCAGCGATGAACAATACGGCGATACATCTTGCAGGTGTTGATAAATTCATGTTTTGGCTCAATTTTATCGCCAAGCACTCCATGCCCTAGAATGTACTGCTCTTGTAAAGTATCTGTGAAGTTTTGCAAGGGAAAATATGGAGAGGACTCCAGATGACTATGACTACTGAGAGTTCCAAAATTGTCTCATGCAAGCTATCTGCTCTTTCAACTGGGTATCTTAGGATAGCTTGCACCGGATGGCAGCCTCGCACCTGATAGGCCATAGGATATGGCCATGGTATCTTTTCTCTTTCCCCAAAAGTGAGCGAGTGTGCAATGGCTGATATCAAGGTGTAGTTGATACAAAGCCAGCAGAGTATTTTCCCATGCAAAATGGAATATCGAAAGGCATTTATAAATCCAGTCAAATTTTGCAAATTACTTGATCGTTTCATAAAGTAGGTCGTATTGCATGCAGCCCGAGACCTCGGTAGCGAATGAGGCACGCGAACCTCAATGGGCAATTGCCTTTACCTACTTTGCACCTTTTCCTGTCACTGATCCAAATCCTTCTGATGTAAATATTTGTTTGATTATGCCTAGTTTTTAAGTAGCCCTGGCTCATTAAAAGAGATTTCAAAGGGTGAATTTTCTCACTCAAAGTATCAAACTGGTAAGCACGACAATGTGCAACTTCCCTGTTATTGTTTCTATTACCAAATCTCGACCAACATGTGACTGGTCACGAACTTTTCAGGCACACAGACAAAAACTTGCTCGCTCACTGCAATCGTGAATGTGGACTATGGAAAGTCATTTTTCAAGTATGAATTATTCTTCGGTTCTTGCTTGTCGTCAAGCTTCTTGAGCGACTAGCTCCATTCTTCTTCTCCTCAGGACATCATACAAATTGAACCAGATCCTTGACAAGCCAAATCTTGGTTGCATTCAAGAAGAAACTGGGCCCTGCCTCAGCTTTCTTCCTCAGTTCTATCTGGAGTGACATAAATTTGTCGAATATCCAACACATCCATTGTGCGATATCTTCAGTTAAAAACAGAACCCGTCGGGACCAGTCACCCCCGTCAGTTCATCACCTTTGACTTTCTGCCAATTTTTACTCAGCTCAAAGGAAAAGATGACAACACAAGAAGTTCTCGAAATGGAAAACACAACGGCGACACCTCAGAAGCTCCCCGAGGGTGAGACGCTCAAGTATATCCTTGCCTCCCTCATCTTCACCCTCTTTGGCCTGCTCTTCATTGTCGCCATCGCAGCCGGCCAAGTCCGCAAACAGGCTCGCCACACTATTATCAGCGGAACCCGCTTGGTTGCCTTCGGAGTCGGTTACATTGTTGTCGGTCTTGTTTACATCCCCGTCCTTCTCCTCGACCAAGCCGAGAGAAACTACACGAAGAGATCGTGGAGTGGTTGTCAGATGCCGTCATCACCACCAGATCGCTATAGCCACAGCCTCAGCTGCAGTAGAAACCGCAATGATAGCGATGTGAGCGACTTGGACATTGGGGAGCTGCGCCACTGTCTAGAACGGGGCAAAGGGATTGATGCAAATAAACGTGGCTTGTGATTTCCCTACATCAGGGCTTTCTGCTTCGACTTTCTGGGAAGGAACAGACCAGAGTTTATCTTTCAGTGCTCGCGAAGCGTTGAGAACAGATCGCACAACACCAAATACTCTATCACGAAAGCCAACATGTGCCTAGCAGCCTCGGTATCACTGCAACCTGAAAACCTACAATTAGGAGTTACCCAACCAGAGGACACGATACGACATGGAATTACTCATGAGCTAATAGGAGGATGACGAAGGACATCAGGGTAACCTGACTCTGCCTTCATTAGAGAAGTTCACCTGCCATTTAATCAAGATGGTGGATTCGCTCCCCCAGGTGTTTGGTGCACGGGAAAACAAGAACTAAGTCTCGGGGAGATAATTTTGCCGCTCACAAGGAATACTGGGTACGCATCTGCAGTTCCTACGTGCTTTTCTTGCGGTAGTACATTTTTCATGTGGGCCCCAATACTGGGGAGCAGACTGATAAGGTCACTCGGATTCTCGTAACCTGCCTCCAGCATACTGCGGGATATTGTGAAGGCATTCTGGCCTGTCATTATCACTCGAGCGCCGGCTTCTTGTCGCGGCACCTTAAGCTACCGGGTTCTGAAATAAGAAAATGCACCAACGTCTAGTCTCAATGCTCACTGGGATCAAATCTAGCTTTCCAGGTAAAGTCAAAATAAGTGTTTTAAACCAAACAATAATGCAGGCTGCCAATCACTAAAGAGCCAGCAGCTATTTAAATAACTATTTTGATTCGCGATCCTCACAGAGTATATGCCGAACCAGAAAATAAGATAGGTCTATGGTCATAGATAGCTGGACAACAAAATAGCCCTAATTCAATCTATTGCTTATAGGCGCCGGTAATGAAATGAAAGTAGCAAATGAGACCTGCATCTCCTTGTTCTAGAGAGTTGGCAAAGAAAGCTATTAGCTAGCAAGAATCCGTACGTTATATAATACATGCCGTTCTGTCCTAGATTCCTTCGTGTCGACCCGCAGAGGGAAGCAAGCAGCCATGCAAGGAAACCAGTGTCCTATGAGTTCTGCAGATATACAGTCGAGCTAGCTGTCTGTCTGCTCGATATACCAGTATCCTTCTGGGTCCGAAAGTTTATTCCTGTATATATTGTTCTCCGGGTCCCATATGGTCTAGCTGGCATCGTCGGCTTCCTGCGTTGTGGGCGTCCACCCTGATGCACTATAATTTGACTTATTCTGTTTCTTCGACTTGCTGTTGGCCTTCTTGCTGGGCTTTTTGGGCTTGCTGCTACTTTTTGGCTCGGCAGCAGTGCCGGCAGTGTCCTCGCTGACGTTAAGTTGGGCCAGCGTGCCTGTGAGATCAGTCACGTCTTCGTGCCCCAGTTCCTCAAAGCCCTGTGGACCCGAGGAAGACACATATGCAGCTCGGGTTTTGCCTTCGCCTTTGGCGAACCGCCAGTAATGGGGTCTGCCGACTCTTCCGAGAAGGTTCGTTGGTGGGTACTCGTTGTTTGGAGCGGGCCTCTAAAGAGTTTAATATTGTGTATGTCTCGAACAGCCAGAGTCAGTAACCCCGGATAAATAGGGGATCGTACAGATGTCCTCCTTTGAAAGGACAGAAATTTCCTTGTCGTCGTACAGGACAGCCTTATCGTGAGACCCGGACTCGTCCTTATCTAAGCTAACCTACTAGGTACGCTCGTTACTTAGGCCTACTCTTCGTTATTCCTCCTTTACGTTGGGGCTTAGACTTAGGTCCGTTATCGGATTTATTCGCCCTCTTTTGTCAAAGTTAGGTATAGTCTAATAGTATTAGCAGGATTAGCTGTCGGACCAGGTAGCCTTTAATTCTATAGTTAAGTTCTCTATTAAGGAAACACTCCTTCCTCTGCGGCTTATTATCGGATGATAAGCTCTAGTGACGGTGCCTCTTCCACAACTACTACAGCTACTAGTCCTACGTCGTCGGTACCTACCTTCTCTAGGGTCTTGTCAGAGAACAGAATGCCATAGGCACCGGTGGGGCTCTGGTGTAGGGACGTGCGAGTCATGACACGATATGGAAGTCTTGGTTTGCGGAACAATCGGAGAAAGTAGTGCTCCGCGGCTCCGACGCCGGATTCTAGCTATCTATGTAAGGGGCGGAGGCCCGGGAAGAAGATAGAGAGAGTAGAGATCAATGCATCATCGTGGGCACCCCTACCTGAGACCGCCAGTGACCACCCGGTGCTACGTAGGAGGGACGCCCGTTACTCCCCATCACTCTGTACTACTGCCTTCGGCCTAGCCGTACCCTGACAGGTCTTCTCTTTCAATCGAAGGATATCTAGCTTCCGCTGGATAGATAGAGTCTTAGGTGCCGACAGTATCTCGAGGAATCCTATACATTTGATTGTGCATATGGGGTGAAGTTGTATGAATCAGGAAGTGTCACAAGGGAGGACCAAGCCCCTAGGCTAACAGACCAGAAGATCTACAGTGCCAGTAGATCACTGACTTTGGGTCCCACTAACTACTATGTACAGCACTCTGTGGCTCTATATCTCCAGCGCTGTGACAATACTCCGATAGTAGATATAGTCGCTAATAGATTAAGTAAGGTACTATAAGGAGTATAATTCGATAGACTCGTAGTATAGATTAGCTTAAAAGATATCTTAGAATAGCTATGGGCAAAGAAACTAAAGGAATTGACGGATGATGATTTATGATAGGGTAAACAAGACTATTACTAGGTAACATGCTTCCAGAAAGTCATCTAGGGGGGTATGTTAGATTACAGCCATTTTACAGAGAGGCGATTACTATTTTATCAAGTTTACTGTTAACTAGATTACCGCCACTCTACAAGCCACACAAACAGCCAAATTGGAGGAATGAAGCCAATGGCCTGACTTGCATCTTGGAGGATGGTTAGTGAGCCCGGGAGCTCCAAGTTGATGATGGACGAGGCAAAGACACTGTTGAATATGGTCGATCCCAGCGCCAACCCGACAACACCGCCCATGAGGCGGATCAAAAGCAGCAGCCCGGTGGCAAGGCCCGTGTGTTTGATATCGGCCACGCTTGCCTGTATGGGAAGATGGAGAAGACGCATGAGGGCGCCGATAGCCACACCCCACAAGATGGGAAGGCCAAAAAAATATAGGGGTGGACGAGTCTATGCTCAGAAGACACAGTAGCCTGGTGCCTACTGTGACAATAACCTAGAATGAGCGGATGGCCCATCGGTATCCTTTATGGAAGACGCCTACCAGAATCACGCCGACAACAGCGAAAACCACGCTCAAAACGCTAGTGGGAAGCAGTGTGATAGCCGATCCTACAGGCGTGTCAAGCTTGACGGCCTGGTAGAAAAGGGGCAAGTACTGTAGCAGTGAGTAGAGCGAGACTCCGTGAATGAAGTTGGCGAGGATCGTTAGGTTTACGGTTTTCGAATGGAAGAGGCGAAGGGGGAATGCCCAGGGATGTAAGGCATTCGCCCAACTGAGCGGGACGACAAAAACCATAATTCCAACAAAAGACAGGAGTATCCCACCCCAGTCGAGGCGTTTGAGCTTGGCCATAATCGAGGCATCAACCGGTCGCAGACGAAGAAAGAAGACGACCAAGAAGAAAGACACAACCGGTAATGGTAGGTTGATCCAACCGATCCAGCGCCAGGATACGTAGGTACTGAAGAGAGCGCTCAGTGCCGGCCCCAGAATGCTTCCAATGGCGGTGGGAAGAGCCAGGAGCCCGAGGTATAAGGAGCGCTCCTTCGTCAAGTCCGCCACGATGACCTCAGCCATGAGATCCATGCCCCCGCCGCCGAGACCTTGCAGTAAGCGGCCCACAATGACGGTGGTCATGTTTTTTTGCGACGGCAAAACCAGTTGAACCCAGAGTGAACATCAGGAAGCCGGCGGTGTACAGCGGCTGGGTGATGACGACGCATAACAAGTACACAATGCTCGCCCAAAATGACTGCAGAGTGGTGCCATACAATTGCTTCGCAATGGACTAACTGCCGTCGTGTCAACGTTAGATTCTTGGGAAAAGTCATTAGCGGCAGCTGTAGGCTGACCGGAAGAGCTACGGCTAGGGTAGTGACATCAAGGGAAAATACAAAGGCGTCCACGGTGATGCCAAAGAAGCTGACATAAACGGCCAGAGACTTCTTGCCCTTCTTGGGCGTCGTGTTGATACCAACCGGATCGGAGTCATCGGATTGCGGTGTCTTCTCGGCGTCTTGACCGCCGCTGTTTTGGCCTTGGGCGGGAAGCGGTTCATTGAATTCCATGGTGTACCGAATGGACTCCGGTAGTGGCGCAATCAGGCGACCAACAGCGGGAAGATGTGTTGGCAAATTTGGGTCGGCGAGTATTGATGGCTTCCACTGGAACCGACAAGCTGCTTGTGGACGGCTGGAAGACTAAAATTGAACAGGAGGCGAGCGTGAGATGGCACCCTTGATAGCAGAATTAAAAAAAATCAGTAATTCACTGCAGTGAGATGGCTGACCAATTTCGGCTTGGGGACGTTTTCTGGGTATCTGCAGGCACCTGAGGGCGGTGTAACCAAACAATTTACAAAATTGAGAAGGAGTGAGAAACCGTGGGTGCTGATTACGATGGAATCAATTCTGACAGTCTTAGGTATGGCGCCTGTAAGTTAAGAGATAAAAATAAGCGCCCTACTTTTCTAAACTTGCCTCTCATTTCCCGGCACGGCCAGGGCAGATACTTCTAGCAAAGGACGATCAACATGGCAAATGCACTTTATGTATTTATTAGTTGTATAACGTAATCCAAAGGCGAGCTGGCCATTTAATTCTCGACCAAAAATAATACAATTGGATCTAAACGAAATAAATCTACTTCTAGCTCAAAAAGCTGTCGAAAATGACCGAGAACTTGGTATTCGGGCCACTTCTCGTATTTATAGAGTACCGCGATCGACACCGGGTACGCAAATGCACGGCCAAATATCACAACGCAATTCTACGCCAAACTCTCGAAGACTTGCGGATCTAGGGGAGTTAATCATACCTTTGAATTAATAAAATTAATAATAAAAGTCTATTACATGATCGACGTCGATACACGCGCATTTCCTCCTAGACTCGGCTGGGCCATCCCGCCGTATATCATTGTTGGGGACAAATACCACCTCTCTCTTTGGTATGATAACAGCCCATTACCAAAGGACTGTCGCATCGCTGTTACTGATAACGGTTGGAAGACAAACGAAAACGGTCTCAAACGGTTTGAGCACTTCGATCAGCATACAAAAGGTCGTACAATCGGGACATTTCGTCTTCATCCTTGACGGTCACGAGAGCCACTACTCGATCGATTTTGAACAATACTGCAAGGAGAACAAGATTGTTATCTTCTGTATGCTTGCCCATTCGTCTCCTTTTCTCCGGACTCCTGACGTCGGTTGTTTTAGCCCGCTGAAAAAAAGCGTAAGGCCGGCAAATCGAGGATATAAGGCGCGAGTATATTACCAATATCACGAAGGTCGACTTCTTTCCTGCATCCCACGCTACTTCCCAGCAGGCTATGTCGCCATCGAATATCAGGGGTTTCCGAGGCGCTGGGATTGTTCCCCAGCCAGCTCACAGAGAGTTTATATTACTATTATATCAAGGTTACTATTAGATTACCGCCACTCTGCAAGCCACACACAGCGAAACCGGAGGAATAATTACCTATTATATTCTACTGTGATCCTCCGCTTCTATGATTTTTACTATAAATAGTGATCATATATATCGACGTAGCGTAGTTAGGTCTATAGTCAAGGGATCTCCGACTTAACGAGCTTAATAGTCTATGTCACGACCTGGGTTGCATCGCATTGGTATAGACCTCGATTAGGTGCTATCGACGAAGATTCTACTCTAAGGAGCGAAGGAAAGAAGATGACAACTTAGGTTTGAGGGAGCGCGACTAAGTCATCCACGCTTGGCGGGGCTCCTACAAGGGTTATGATTGGCTTCCCATCTCACACTGCCACGGCAGGTGTTCCAGCTGTAAGTCACCTGGTTGTAGTGAGTCTGCGAGGGTTGACCGTCACAGTCTATATATTATTATAACGGAGCTCTATCGTCTTGGCATTAAGTTAAATCTAGGTTCTATAACGAGTCGAGATATAAAGAGAAACTCTTTAGCCGCCTGTACTAGGGCTAATAACTCTAACTCCGTGGTCGAGGTTATTATAGTATCCTACTTAGTAGCCTACTAGCCGATTATGCCCCCGAAGAGCCTAATAGTGTATACGTAAATTATGAAATTGTTCTGTTTCTGTGAAGGTCAACCCTCGCAGACTCACTACAACCAGGTGACTTACAGCTGGAACACCTGCCGTGGCAGTGTCAGATGGGAAGCCAATCATAACCCTTGTAGGAGCCCCGCCAAGCGTGGATGACTTAGTCGCGCTCCCTCAAACCTAAGTTGTCATCTTCTTTCCTTCGCTCCTTAGAGTAGAATCTTCGTCGATAGCACCTAATCGAGGTCTATACCAATGCGATGCAACCCAGGTCGTGACAGTTTCGAAGACGTAAAGATCCGAAGAAAGGAGAAAGTTCATATAACGAATACGATTTCTTAGTCCCTTCATCTTTGGCGCTAGCAGCCCCACTTATACTGGCTGGCCCCCTGGCCCAAACCACCACAGAGCGGCTAGGAAACTATCCGCAGCTTCTAGTTCTTCATGTTATTGTTATAAAATTTTGATAGGGTATACTGTAGCCTTGCCTCAGTCACCTTGCAGTGCTGGGACAGAATGATGAAATGAGAAGGTCGGCCGGGCGCACGGGTTATCACTCTGGCAGTAACTCTCCAAGCGTTAAAAGCAGCCACGAGAGGTGAGCACAGATGAGAGCAGATCCCACATATTCTATCTAGTACGCTACAACGAGGCAAGATCTTGGTGTAGTTCTGCACCCGAACGAAGACAGATAATTGCCTCAACAAAGATTGAAATCCACAATATCAAGGCAAGTTCACGTGGTGATAGATGCTGTAAAGATGTGTAGTTATTTGAGCATATCACGTGACTTCCTACATCATGATAGGTTAGATATCCTGGGCGCAGTTCCACGGATTACGCCATGGTCGCAATCCGACTGACTGGCAGCTTTACGTTCTTGCACTTTCCGAGCCATCTCTCCTCCCTACTACCTGAGATCAATTGAGCCATACAACATTCCTCTATCCCCTTGACACCTCTCACAATGTTCGTTAGAACAGCATTCAGAGCGGTACAGCCGTTGAAGCGTGTAAGTTTTTCCATGGCCCAAGCTCCCGAGCTTTGCCGCAACGGCCTTTCAGCCCGTTGGACCACAGCGATGGCATTTAAAGCTGACAAATTACGCGTCGCAGAATTTGATCTCACGATCGTACGCAACAGAGCCGGCAAAGGGTGGCTCCAACACGCTCGTGCTCGCCGCCGGAGGAGCGGTCGTTGCAGGTGGTGCCGGTTACTATTTCTTCGCGACCCCGGCAGGCAAGGGCGCCGCACAGAAGGCCGAAGAGAAAGTGAAGGAAGCCGTCAGCGGGCCCGCTAAGAAGGCATTCGAGGGTGGCGATCAGGGCTTCTTGTCGCTGCTGCTGGAAGATGTTGAGACCGTCAACCACAATACCAAGAAGTTCCGCTTCAAGCTTCCCGAGGATGGCATGGTATCGGGTATGCAAGTCGCTAGTGCTCTCTTGACCAAGTTCCAGACCGAGGGCGAGAAGCCCGTCGTGAGACCTTACACGCCTACCAGTGATGAAGGTAAAACATCTTCTACTTTCCTGATTATTGCGCAGACTGTTGACGCATCCTATTGCAGATGCCCAGGGATACCTCGAGCTCGTCGTCAAGAAATACCCCAACGGCCCCATGTCCACACACATGCACGACATGAAGCCCGGCCAACGGCTGGATTTCAAGGGTCCGCTGCCCAAGTACTCGTGGACTGAGAACAAGCACGACCACATCGCACTGATTGCTGGTGGTACTGGTATTACACCCATGTACCAACTATGCCGCGCCATCTTCAACAACCCCAACGACAAGACCAAGGTTACCCTTATCTTCGGCAACATCAGCGAAGAGGACATTCTGCTGAAGCGCGAATTCGAGAACCTCGAGAACACCTATCCCCAGAGGTTCCGTGCCTTCTACGTCCTAGACCAGCCCCCTAAGGAGTGGGCCGGCGGTAAGGGTTTCATCACCAAGGACCTGCTCAAGACGGTCCTCCCCGAGCCTAAGAGCGAGAACATCAAGGTCTTCGTCTGCGGCCCTCCTGGCTTGTACAAGGCCATCTCTGGACCTAAGGTGAGCCCTAAGGACCAAGGTGAGCTGACGGGTATCCTTAAGGAGTTGGGTTACTCTAAGGATCAGGTTTACAAATTTTAAGTGGAGTGCAGTGCTTTTGTCGTCGTGTTAGACCTAGATGTGTGAATAGATGGGTAGTCGATTCATCACTTGTACTATGAAGAACCCGCTTCTTGGGGATCCGGATTACAAAAAGAGTTGGATTACTTCGACCTAGTTAATCACGTTGTATCCTGTGATGCTATGTATGCTGTCTCTGATCTATGCTTATCTCCTGGCTGGACCTCCCCTGTTTTAAAATTCACTAATTTGCTGGTCAGCGCATTGAATTATGTCTACATAAGTACAATACTTACATATCTGTAAATAAAGTAAAGCCTCTAGGTCCAAACCCAGATGTTGCGCCAGTATGCGCCATACAGCATCATCATCTACAGTAAACACAAAACCCATCCTCACAAGGCTTTGTTTAAGATAATATTATTAAATACGCCGTAGGCTCGAAGCCCCCGGTACCTCTACAAGTGCTCCCGTATGTCAAACCGTGCCCTAATGGCTGGACTAAATACATACGCTGCTACGTAGGTTCGCTCTATTAGCGACTGCGTTACAGTACCCTCCGTTAGAAACAAACATGTCAATAATACTAATCGGGTGCCTACTGTTCTTAGCCACTATCGAGGTCGTCCTCTGCGCCGTCATGGCAGCACGGCTGAGAACAGGCTATGTAGGCCGTGGGGTGACGACTACAGTTAGGACAACTATTATTTGCACGTGTCGATAATAACGGTCCTGTTGAATGAACACCATGAAAGTTGTCAAAGTACAGACTCACATTTTCTAGCAACAACACTAAATACTAAGCTTTAGGGTCACATAAACATCTCAGCCAACGCCGCACGACCGATGGTTGAACCTTGATTGTCAGATCCCATCCAGCGAATCTCTAGACATGAAGTTTCCGGCGATCCGGGACAGCACTTAGACTATTCAATGCTAGCTTGAGGCGCTAGTAGTCGTTGCAAGTATCCGCAACCGGGAAGGCCCGCCGGAAGCTAACTGCCAGTTGAGCTTCCATATCTTGGCCTTCACTGATGGATGGATGACCCTGGACCCAACACCCAAAATCGATCGAATCCCGATGTTTGAAGCCGAACGTGTGCCGCGAGATCCGAGATCGAAGACAAGCCGACCAACTTTGTGCCACAAAGAGAAGATAGGAGTAGCTATAGCCATGCCGGCTAAACGACCGCAGTGCTGGCTTACACCGACATGTGGCCGATTAACCACCAAAGGCGGCCAACGTTGGCTTACTGCATACATGTAAAGTCGTCAACAACTGCCTTCCTATAAATAGCTCTTCGACCTTTTGTGAGGTAAGAAATTGACGGCCTTGCTGCAGACGGGACGATCCCGGGTTCCCATATTGTTTTCTCATATGGCGTGCAGGGTAGTTGACGTGAGGATCTGGGGTGCATCTGCTCTACATGCGCAGGTGGGTATAAGGCTGCGGCGATTGAGAAAAAAAAGGGGAAAGACAGGACCTTCTCTCTAACCGCCTGTGCTTTTGGGACAACCCGGAATGTTTTCGATACTATACTGTCGCGGCAAATGTGAAGCCGGTGACGTGTGAGCCTAATATGGCGTCTTCGAATGTGGCTGGTGTGACCAGTGCAGTTGAACTTGGCGGAAAGGTTTCGTACTGTGAGGCATCCGTAGCGATTTCCACAATCATGAGACCAAGTACGATGCGCTTGTGCCCTTTCCCAAGGCTATCCGGCAAAACGACCAAGGTTTCCGGCAGTCTTCGACCGAAACTGACCATGTTCATGTTCGACGACTCCACCTGGGTTCTGGCAAAGGGCGTGCATAAGAATGCTTGTTAATTATTCTCTTCAGTTGTTAAATGAGAAGTTGTTTCAGTTTGGGCATGATCGGCACCTCTAGAAGATAGGGAAAGAGGCCATACGAACACGATGCCAATAACATATAGTACACAACACGCGCAATGGGGTTGGTGTGGTGGATCAGACCCGTGGTTGTTGTACCTGCATAGAATGCATATGAAGGGCTATTCCAATGACTTTTCTAGGTGTGTAAAAGAGCTATTGTCAGGTCAAGCATAAGCACCGGGCTCTCATAAAAACATTTCTCGGTTGGTTTTTTTTCGAGGTTCTAGCATCAGCATTGCGGTTCCTGGTCAGGGATGACATCAGCCACTGGAGCTATGTCCAGTCAGCGACTACCAAACTGGCCGACGACAGAACGTCATATTCTGGGCAGTCCAGCGTTGGCACGCTGAATAGTGAACTGCCTGCGAGAGAACCACGAAAGTTTTCACATATCAAGAGGAATCACCAGTCGCTCTTCTCAGTCTACTACCCGTGCGATCTCGGCTCATATGCCGCAAATGGGTAGACGTCTTACAGGGCGAGTTAGTCACCCCGAGCACGTGTATCAAGGTGTAAAGAGTAGGCGCATTTTTGAGTATTCCGCATGTATCTGTGACGGCCTACACTGCCCTCACAACGGTGCTCAACAATCACCCGGGCCTTTCGAAATGCGAATTTGGCGGGTCTTGGTCCACTGAACAGTCAAGATACTCCCTCAGGGGGAGAGTGAAGCTCCGCCAAGCTTTCCGTCACCATTTTCGGCCATGGATTGGGTGGCTCTAGGACCTTTGACAGCTCGATTTTCGGAGAATTGGCAAGCAATGAATCTATCGCGGTCGCTTTGGAGCGGGCGCAATAAGAGACCGAACCATTATGTGGCAAGTTGTCTCGTACGAAGGGAAACGCCCAAGACACTCATCCTCAACTCCTGAGGGGTCTACAAAGACTTGCGCAATGCACAAATCGACACGCGAATGGCTGGAATCGAGGGTTTTAATGCCTTGGAGCTTTTGAACCAAGGAAAGAGAGAATTAATTTTGCAATCAAACTTGAGGAAGAAGGGGAATGTCGGTTCCAGTGCGAAAGGACGGGATGGGGTAGATTTCTCAACCGGGACCCGGAGAATGCTCCTGATCAGCATTCCTCTGGAGGCGCAAGAACCATTAAGATCACACGGAAACATGGCACGTTCTCATGGGTCGGACAGGGCCTCCTTCTTGACACCTGGGGATCAACTACGCTCATACTTGGGGAGGCTGCCCAAGAGCACCTGAAGAAGACTCGTCTTGACATTGGATCCGAGGCTTTCATGTACTGGCAGGGCAATGCCCAGCGCATGGTGAGCATATGTGAAGAAACAACCAAAAAAGGGGGTTCTTTCTACTGGATGATATCAGTGAAAGAATCAGCGCGGCTCTCACAAACTGATTTCGGGTTGCTTTACTCGAACTGGATGTCTCTGTCCATGAAGACTCTGGTCAACCCGTGTAGGGCCATTCATTTGACGGTCAACTCGTCGCTCGAGTTCCGGGGATTTCCTGCTTAAGAAACACACGGTCGGAAATGTTGGATCAAGCAAGACACCTTGGAAACTGGTACACTTCCAGAAGGGTCCTTGCCGAGTTGCAATCGACCGGAAGAAAGATGGACAGGGGTCCGCCCTAGAAGCATTTCCAACGAATTGCGACTTTGGTTGATGAATCTTTTACGGTGATGACCGAAACAAATGCCGACCGATGCTGATGGAAAACCTTTGGTCGGCGTTGCGACCTGGACACCTGAAGGCTTGGCCCCTATAGACCCCGGTCGGCGGCTTCCAGGAAAAATAGCGCATGCTATATTCGATGCACCATCGCTTGATATTTTTGGTCTACGGCGTGTTGGCGAGGTGACATAACATCATGCTTTAGCGATGCATTGAGATACCATTAGATGAGATGAGTTCCCGGAACGAAAAGCAGAAGCGACGGTATTGAGGAGCCAGGGGATGCACGGGTTGCATTGTGACCTATATGATTTCGATTCCAATAAAGGCTTACATCCAGTATTACACGACAGCATGCTTCCAGAACAAGTACGAGACCGCGGACAAGGGTTGGCAGTAGCTGAGATTTCCTGCGGACCTGGGTCAGGTAACTGGCCTGGATCAAGGGATGTTGTTGGGATGGCGAGAAAGAAATACGAGAGAGAGTGAGGCTGAGATTTCATTGGTGACCCCTGGTAGGTGGTAGGAAGGGCTGTCATTGGCTTCTAACTAGAGATATTGGCTAAACATGGAGCTTCGTTGCTCAACCTGACCAAACTTCACTAGCCAGGAACCAGCCGTTCTGCCGAGAAGATCTGAGGTCAGAGATGCATCTAAGGCGTGATTTGGTGACTCGTCTCGAGCACCCAGATGCAATGCTACGAACCAAAAAGAAAATAGAAATAAAAAAGCTCCGAGCCGGGCGGGTCCTGCAGCCTCCGTTTTTGTCCCGTTTTTCGTCGGTAGATTGCAGTTAGTTTGACATTCCGATGGGAGGCGTTCTGCAGCATCCTCCAGAGTAGTAACCATGACACGCCACTTGCGAGTCTGCGTGGTAATTCAGATCTTCGTGAGGAAGTTTTTCATCCTTCCCTGCCCGTACCGACTTTGGGCGTATACTAGACATCCGGGTCTGGAGTCTGCCTCCCGTAGCATCGAATGCACAGCTGGGGGCCAAGTCAATCATCACAGGCCACGAGAGTGTGGAGACGAATTACGGCTCGAGGTGAGAGACAGACGGTGTGAGCCTGCTGGAGGCTAGGGCGAGAAGCGGCTATTCCGGTTAAAACCATGATGCAATCGTCTCCCCCCGGAGATTTACTGGGATCGTGAATCGTGGGTTCGGATCGATGGCGGCACGCTTGTTAGTTTAGTCCAAACTGGAGAGGCAGTCGGCGAGCCGGCAGTGGAGCTGAAGACGCAAAGGCTTGTAGTTTCGTCGATCATAACTCAGCACGTCGACGGACGCAAGTCGTTCCATGGTGCAGGTCGCAGGCCACTTAACGCCAGGCTGATTCGTCGTTTTCAATGTTGTTCCGAGTATCGAAATTAATTGATGCTTCCAGAGACCTTCCAAAGCGACGCAACGCTATGCCGTACCCCAGGTTTTGGCCCCAGCCCCCTCGCTAATGATGAGCCCACGCAAGGCGACCACCACCGTAGAATCATTTTATTAAGTGGCCTTTGACTGAGGCCGTTCGGCCATATTCAAAATCTGGCAATATTTGAATTCTCAAAGTCGAGGGAGTTCTGGAGAGGAATAGATAGTGGCACTAGATGTTAGGGACAATGCAGGCGCCAGCAATTAGACCGCGCTTAGCAAGCTCACCTTCAGAACACGAAGTCCAGCGCAGCGTCTTTCGGAGCTAATGAACTCCTGGCATCCGTGGCGCTGCAAGAATGCATTCAATTCTTAAATTAAGCTGGGGGTCCTGTTTTGTGGAGAATATGCAATTGAGTTGGCAGTGGCTGTCTGTGCTTTAAAGCTGTTACCGGAATCCAAGCGGGCATTGGGGGAGGCCTAGTCTCGAAGAGGAAATAACAGGCCTGTACAGCCAGCCCTGGAATTGCCTCTCTCGGCTACCCTAGACCTCTGATCCTCCGTTGCCAAGAATGCAACTGCCCGCCAATCAAGACAACCCCTTGTCAATTTCTTAACCGCCACACACACACACAAACTTTCAAGAGAATAGCAAGTGGCAAATGGGGACTTTTCCATTAAACCCCGGCGTGGGCACACAGGCATAATGATCTGGTATTGTGTTGAGAGAAGGCATGCTGCCGAATTCCGAGCCCAGTCGCCTACTTTCATACTATCAAAATTCGTGGAGCCAGTCAATCCACGAGCGTGCAGTGTGGTCGGTTCTGGTGGATATCAGTCCGAAAACAGAACAGCGGGACCGGGAGGCTGAAGCGAGTCCTGAAAGAGGGCCAACCAACAGGTTAGGTACCTGTTATGGTGGAACAATCGAGGTTGGCCACCTGCGACTTGAGCAGCAGCAGGAGGGAGAGCCGGATTGTGCAGGCGTACCCCCGCTCAAAACTGGTCATGAGTGGAGGATTATTCGTGTTGGTGATCATCGTGGAGCAAGCTACCTTCTTTGACAACTTGATGTCTTGGTAGAAAACAAGAACAAACACGTTTTCTACCCGCGCCTGATCCATTTTCTCCATTTCCACCGGTTCCTAATAATCCATCAACCCAGTCGACCGGCTATACCCAAGTTCCCGCTGCTGAAGTTCTTCTTTTTAACCTACGTTTTTTTAACCTACATTATTTTTTTGCGTCTGCTGTCGGCTCATCCCTGTCTAATTTGATGACATCCTTTGCATCCTCACCACTTGCATCTCACCAATCGTCACGGTTGTATCATAGCCTGGACCTCCCTGAGCCTCCTCTAAGTCACTTTCGACGCGGGGCAAGACCAAAAAAAGATTACCAGACTTTCGTGATATTCGGCTGTCAATTTTTTCGTCAGGGCGAGGCCCCAAATAGACCCGGCTATACGGACATACGCATCTAGGGCCAAGGCAGCTCCATATCGTATTCACCTTTTCTACATTCACCCCAACGCTCCATGGTCAAGTCAGTAGCAACGTCCATCAACCCAGAGGACTAGAAACGTGCTCAGCTGGCTTGTTTTCAGGCCGTCTAGCTCTCACCGGGTGCCGGGCCTTGATCCCATTTCCTCAGATCCCGCAACTATCCCGCCAGCTACTTCCCCAAGTCGAAACGCAAACACATTACTTTCCTTGTCTGGGTCGACGCGTAATCCTCAATATGGCGAAAGTGCAGAATCCAAAAAGTGACAAGCCAACGAGGTCGGAAAGTCTTTCGCGCATGCTAGAGCTGGAGAAGAAGTACAAGGTACGTTATTGCCGGTTGCGACCCTATCCAATATCGCTCTCTACCCGCTGGCGCATGACCCTCTCCATACCCCATCAAATACTGATATATGTCTCAACTCTGGTAGATGCAGCGCGTTCATGGCAACGGATCAGGAACACTCTCACCACCGGGACCGTCAAGTACAAGTTCAGAGGCTGCCCAGCTTAATTCATCTGTCAAGGCTCGGCGTGGTACTGGAGGTGGTCTGCCACCTCTTTCCCATCAAGCCCAGATGACGAAAGCCGTGCGCCGAAGCTCTGCTCTACCTTCTTTGTCATTGTCAATACCACCTTCTCCAACGTCGACCTCAACCGCCGCCGTGAGAGCGGATGACCCTACTCAGAAACCCGCGCCAGTCCCACAGTCTCTGAAGGAACCACCGCGAGAGCCCACCAAGACGGTGACGTTCTCCCAGCCGGAAGAAGTCGAAACCGAGTTGTCGGACGACTCATCCATCTGCCAGTCGCCCATCTGGGAGGGATACGGGCAGAGAAAAAAGAAGGCCAAGAAACGGGAGGCAGAGCAGAAGAAGGAGAAGGAACGTGAAGAAAAAGCCAACAAGGATCCAAAGAAGAAGCAGTCGCGACTTAGCAAGGCACCACCACAAGATGCTCCGGCAGCCAAGCTCCTGCTTAGTATATTAGATCGCTCGGTATCTACCCCTGAATTAGAGCCTCGCCCCAAACTCACAGAAAGGCCACTGAACCGATCAACCACGGAGTATCCCCCAGACTCGATGGCCAATCATCAACACCTCACAAACCAAGTGTCGAATGTCAACAACGGTAAAACAAAGAGAAGGGGTTTCTTGTCTAGCTTTAGGTCAAGCTCGCGGAATAGCATCGATAATGCCCAGGCTTTAAAGAGCGCCGGAGCCGACCTCGATTTGGCCAAGTCCCGCAAAGCGGCTTCGATCAATTCCAACGTATCCGCCTCAACCAAGTCCATGGCGTCTCAGGAAAAGAGGCCAGGACTGCTAAGTCGAAGTTCGACTAGCTCAGCTCACGGCCGGAATCAGTCATTTCTTTCACGGCTTAAAGGACCTTCTTACCTGTATCACAATGGCAAGAACTCCGCTGATACCGATACCGGTGACAGTGACCCAAGCCAGCGACCTAGCAACTCACAAAAAATTGAGGCTGCAATGCCACCGGCAGCGACATCTCAAGAACTCTCCCACCCGCCCCCTGCAACCACTGCTTCTACAGTCCCAGAAGCGCCCGAGGCCCAGGTCCTGCGGGGTCGCCCTGCTAATCTACGCACGGCACAACCAAGAGATTCCAGCAGCGACTATGCAGAGTCCGATCACCCGCAGCCGCGTGCTCATCTGCCCAAGGAGTCTAGTCCAGCTGCCCCGATCGCGAATGAAGGGCGGCGCCGACCTTACAGCCACCTCGGAAACGTCAGGCAGCAAACCGAAGACACGAAATCACATTCTATGACACGGCAGACGGATGGTCGTATTGGTGTGGCAATCCAAGCGCAACGGCCGCATCGCCAGCACCCTCGCTCAAGCCAGACAGTAGTCCACGCGGAATTGAAAGTTGAAGTGCAGGAACCCGAAGCCAGGTCAGCCCATTCGGCCCAAAGTGAAGACTTTGCATCTCCCTACACAGAAGAGATCGATAGGCTTGCCATTACCCATACACCTCATGGTGAAAATGGAGAAGTATCTCCTGGATCGACTTTCCGCCCCGTTTCTCACTGTAAAGAACGTGTTTCACCAGAGCCGAGCAAGAAAGCGTCTGGAAAGACGATTTCACCGACGCCGAGTGCCATTGGGAAAGCCAGGGTACACAACGGAGGGCTAGAAGGACGCGAAGAAGAAAGGATGATTATGAAGTCTGGATCGACTGCAAAGGACATTCCACCGCCTGCTGTAAACCAACGGCCATTAAGACCCGAAAAGTCCTCCGACTATTTCACCTTC